GTGCCAGCGACTTGGGGAAGTAAGGGCGAAGAGTAATGAAGTGGGGGAAAAGGATAGAGGTAACCCGGACGAGCCCCGAAGAGTATAGATGAGTCCGAGCGAGTCCGAAGTGTCCGAGACGAGTCCGAGCGAGTCCGAAGTGTCCGAAGTGCGGGAAGACTCCGGAGTCACCGGACGCGGCTCGGATGCGAAAGGAGTGGGTGGAAAGGAAGTGGAAAGGAAAGGGAGCGAAAAGGAACGAAGGGGAATGAAGGGAATGTAGGTAAGAGTCCATGGAATGAAGGAAAGGAGAGAAAATAGGAGTGTCCCCTTACAGGTTTGTCCTTTAAGACACGATCCGTTCGTTGCTACTTTAATCGTATCTCGCGGTATTTCTGGTTCCATCTGTGTCAGTGTTTCTGATGTTTCTCCTTCTGTAAACACTCTGAAAGCTTCTTGCAGGGTGTTTATCGTAGCTGAGCTTTTATCGAAAACTCGCCAGCCTTCCTGGTTATCATCTCTTCCCAGATTTTCGTCGCCCACCCCTCTTGGATCCCACTTCTGTGGTAGTGCGTCCAGTAGCTGTCTTGCTCTCCTGGAGCATTCGTCTGGGTGTTTACATTTGTATTCGTTCCTTCCTTTCGTACACCCTTGGCATTTACACCGTTTCGATTTTTTATGGTCCGGGTCGTCTAAGGTACTTGCTTCTAACATTGCTTCGCCTACGAGTCTCACCTTGTGTTTAGTTCTTAGGCAGATACTCGCGTTTGACGTTGCGACTCTCCTTAGTCTTGCATTTTCTCTCGCATGGAACCATATTGGCATGTTCTTTAAGGTTTCCTGTGATAATCGTAATGCCTCAAGTCTGACTCCATATTTGAACGCCGTCGATACCATTGTTGTAAGCTCCCTTGGGCATGTGGTTGTTGCTCCGCTTAGCTTTGCCCTCCAGGTCTGTAGGAACATGTTATTCCTTAGTTCCTCGGGTACATTCTTGTCTATCTTTCTTCCATTTAGGGACAGGATTTTGTCCGCAAAGTAGGTCCATTGCGGACGGTCCTCAAGCCTCAAATAATCTTTGACCCACATGAGCCTTATGGCCTCATTTCTTGCTTTGATGTCTAAGATTCCTTGTCCTCCTTGTTCTATCGGCATGTAGAGCATGCTCTCCTTCACTGGGCTCCGTTTATCTCCCCAGAAGAATGCCCTTATTCGCTTTCTCAGGCCATCTTCGATTTGTTTCAGCATCCCTTGTACCCTTGCTAAATATTGCGTCCTGCCTCCTACTACCATCTGGATAATTAGCTTGCGTCCTTCTATCGTTGGGTTTCCTCTCCCCCACCTTTCCAAGTCTGTGTCGATGTTTTCTACTACTGGGGTCCATGGGGCTTCTTGATTCCCATTATTCCCTATCCACACGCCCAGAATCCTTGTTAGTTCCCCGTCTGGGATAATCCTCATTGTTGCTGGTATTTCCTGCCCATCTGGGTTAATTTTCCTTTCCCGCAGGACTCTTTCTCTGTATTCTGTACTCCCGATGGGTATTATTTGCGTTTTCTGTATGTTAAATCTTGCTCCTGCTGCTAGACACCATTTGTTTAATATGTTTTGTAGCGTTGCTAAGCCGTCTGTTTCCTTAAGGAAGACGGTTGTATCATCCGCAAAGAGGTTCGCAATTAGCTTCTCGTTTGTCCCTGGTACTTCGATACCTTGTATGCCCGATTCTCTTATAGCTATGCTCAGGGGTTCTATCCCTAGGTCGAAGAGGAGGCATGACAATGGGTCTCCTTGTCGTACCCCTCTTGTCACTTTAAATTTGGAGCTCATATAGCCGTTTATCATTACCGCCGTATTTGTGTTCTCATACAGGCCCCTGATCGTTTTGATGAATCGCTCGGGGATTTTGAAGGCCCTTAGCACTGCCCATAGGTAATCATGTTCTAACTTATCGTAAGCTTTTTCCTGGTCTAAGGCTAATATTACGCCGTTTTCTTCTGTCAGGTCTGCATAGTTTACCAGCATCTTGAGTAGTTGTGTCTGGTCTGATATCTGCCTCCCCGGTACAAAGCCTGCTTGGCTCTTATGCAGTAGTGTTGGGGCTACCTCTGCTAGTCTCAGTGCTAAAGTTTTCATCATCAGTTTGTAGTCGGTGTTCAGCAGTGTTACAGGTCGGTAGTTTGCGATTTCTTCTTTGCTATTCTTTTTATAGATTGGGCACATCCAACCTTCCGCGAAACGTGAGTTTTGTGTGAGTCCATTCTCTTCTATATCGTTGAAAGCTTCCACCATCATATCTAGTATTATATTTTCCCCTTCTATCTCATCTTTTTGAGGTATTAGAAGCTTTTTCCACATCTCGTATGTCGCTCCATCTTGTCCTGCCGCCTTGTGGTTTTCTGACAGTTTTAGTGCACGGAGTACTTCTTCTCGACTTATCGGTGATCCCAGAATTTGTTTTCCATGGTCGTCTAGCTCCGCTCTGACTTTCCTTAGTAAGTCTTGTGTCTCTCTTAGTCGTTCGACTTCGTCACACTCTTCTCTTCCGTCGCTTTGCAGGTTATCATGGTAGTTTCTTGCCAGCTCTGCCATCTTTTTTGAGTCTCTTTCATACTCAATTTTCTCTCCGGTCTGATTTGGTTTTTTCAGGGCGTACATAATATCTCTCGGCTTGATCTTCTTATTTGTCTGTATCCATGTTCTTGTCATTTTTTCTCCTTCCAGTCTGTCCATGGTTCTGACTTTCCTTCTTGCTTTTTGGTGTCTTCGTCGTTCCATTGCTGTAAGCTTCTGTGTTGTCTCGGCTATTATTTCTTTAATTTCCTTCGTCTGCTCTCCTTTTGACAGCTCATGAATTTCCTTCTGCGCTTGTTCTATTTCTCATTTTATTTTGGGTACCAGCAGTTTGTCCCTATTTCGAGCTAACTCCATCAGATCCCATTTGAAATGTAAGTAAGTTCGCTCGGCGTTGAAGGCTTCTTGCTGTCGCCCCTCCTCGTCAGCTCGTTTCTGCTTCCATTCTTTTGCTTTTTCCTTTACTTTGTTTAGGAACCATTTGTCGTTTAGGACTCTTTCTTGTATTGTCCATCGACCGTCACCTATTTCTGGTGCGTTTTCTGCTGATATTTGGACTGATATTATCCAGTGGTCAGTGCTATCTAAACCGGACGGTTTTATTCTCCACTCTCTTGACCTTCTCAGTTGGTCATTTGTAATATAAATTCTATCAATATGTTAAGGACCGTGTCAAGGGGCCTCCTGACTCGTCCGCACAGGGGCGCGGGAGCGCGGACGCGCGGACGAGCGGAGCACACGGGACTTGGCTTCAGCTTTGATGCTGCGCCCTCCTCGCCCTGCGGTGTCCCGATTTTGGAGAGAGCAAGGTGAGAGGCGGGCTCCGCGGAGGAGCCTGCAGCAAAGACTTAGAAGGACAAGTGACGAAGAAGGAACTAAGATTCAGAGTGAGGAATACATGTCTACTAGTGCTACTATAAATACTAACTAACACATGTATGTAGTGAGGCTTAGTATGTAAGTACACATGTAGGTGAAACATGTAACAAGTGAATCCAAGTGCTGCGCACCATGCATAGGCCGCGAGGGCGGAGCCTGAGGGGCTCCGAGGGTCCGAGTTTCCGAAAGGGGCGTAGGGGGGAACCCCTAAGGGGGCGTGAGGACTGGTATATGACACAATACGGGACATCGAAGATGGGTCGTCTTCGTTTCTCCTTGTTTGTTGGAATGTGAATCTGACACTATTGGGGTAGATCGTTCTCCACCCATCCCTCAATCTTAGTTCCAGTTTTATTTTGTCTAATGCTTCGGTTGCGCTGTTTCTTTCAATGTGGGCTGGTTGCCTATCGATTGCTTCCTCAATGACATTGAAATCACCCAACATTAAGTCTGGCTTCCTCACATTTGGGTTTTCCTCGAAGTATAGTCTTATCTCATCCCAGAATTTGGCGTTATCACTAATGTTGTTGGGTGCGTATACTCCCAGGACTGTCAACCTTTTTCCGTTGTGTATTGTGGCTTTTACCAATATTGCCCGTCCCGCTATTATTTCATCCACCGTCGCATTTTCAGCATCAAGTTCCCCTCTATTTAACACTGCTGCAATTCCCGCTCTCTGCCTTGGGTTTATGGGGTCAGCCAACGCTTTGACTACTAGTCGCCTTCCGAAAAGGTTTTGTATGCTCATTTCGCGTTCCTCATCCATATGAGTTTCCTGGAGTATCATTATCCCATACTTATTTTCTCGCATTATTTGATTTATCCTCAGCCATTTCGCTGTCAGACCTCCTTCATTCTGTGTAGCTGAGAATCCTTTCATGTTGAAAGAGGCTACCTTGATGTTCGCTCTGTTTGATCTCCCCCTTTTCTTTTTCTTTTTCTTCTTATTCCCGGCATTTTCATTCTCTGCGGGTGGGGTGTCGGTGTTTCGCATTCGCCCATTATCTCCATGTGGCCTTCTGTTGTTGGCTGGTCATACACCTGCGGCATGCTGGCTATGACCTGGTTGCGAGTTCGCTGCATGCGATCTCGTTCCGTCTGTACCCTGTATGGGTGTATTTTGAGCGGCATGCTCTTGCATTTCACTTTCGCCTTGTGTATTTTCACGCCTGACTTCCCTGGGGTTGTAGCCGGCTCTGGAACTACCCTCCCCTCTGTCGAAGCGATCATTCAAGCCTATGGCTGCTTGCGCATTACTATTTTCACCGTTCGTAGCAGATAACCATTGATCAACAGGCCTGCCACACCTGCTAACCTCCAAAGGTGACGCAGCATTTCGCCTCCCTTCGGGGGGGGGGGTTACTTTGCATGCGTCTTTGGTGATTTAGGCTCACCCGGCTTCCTTCCAGCCTTCGCCTGGTCACGGCTTACCTGAGTAGGGAACCTACCAGTAAATTCAGCCGTTGACCTCTGCTCAGTTGTGTCGCTTGTTCTACTCTTTTCCATTCCACAGTCCCGACACTGTTTGACACATCTCCATACATGATCATTTATCTACTGTTTACTACGAGCTATTTTCCCGTCTGAGCCGCTCTCTTTCCTCTTTTCTTAGCCGCCTTGTCTTTCTTTACTTTCTTCTTCATTTCTCGCTCCTTGGCCCCTACCTCCGGTCTGTAGAGTGGTTCCGGTTTCACGAATGCGTGGTTGGGGATCGGATCCTTCCAGTCTTCCAACCTCGGGAACGGGCAGTCCTCGCTGCTATGGGTCTCCGCCTTACACCACACACACCCAATAACTTCTTGGGTCGAGGTGAGGTACTTCATGTCTCCTATATTGAAGGCCGTCCTTCGGAACTTCTTCAGCCACAGCCTGTGTTCTTTCATGTTGTCGTAGAGCGGTCGCCCCACTAGCTGCCATACCGGGGTATGTTCCACTTCGTCCGTAGACCTGTGGATGAATGCAAGGCTGAGGAAGGACAGCATGATTACTTTTCTTTCTAGAACCGATTGGCCTACGTTCTTGGCTGCCAAGGCCTTGCTGACCTCGCGTGTGAAAGCGTCATCGTCAAAGAGGCTGGAGATAATGGCTCCCAGGGCTTTCTTCATCTCCCCAATGTCGCTCGATACACATCCTCCTGTGTAGTTGGCTATCACCCACGACCTCGGGGCATCTTGCGGTGGTTCTACTGCTTGGAAGGCTATCTCCTTCCCCAGGATTTTGAAGGCAAAGGTTTGTCGATGCAGGAGGAAGTTACGTAGCTCGGGTGGTACGTTTCCGGCGATGTACGCGAAGGGCAGTGCAAAACGGGCTTTCGTGGGCGGTTCAAATTGGTGTGTTGGGGGAGCTACTGTTACTGCTTGCCCTCCTGCGAACTCGAGGCTTTTCAGGAAGGTGAGTACCTTCTCCGCGTAGCGATCGTTCTCCCTAACGAACTTGTTTCCCGCTCCAAGGGGTAGTATCAGGATAGAAGTTCCTCGTCTGCTATCCAGCATGTCCTTCACCTCTGCTTTCATGTTCCCTAGCAAGGTCGAGTGTTTGTGTACCATTCTCGGCATATCGACCACTGTATACGGGATCGTGGTGGCTGGGGGGGTTCCTTGTTTCGGGATCATTCCCCAGTGCGGGTTCTCGTTTGTGAGGTCGTCGGGGAGCTCCGTGCTGAAGAAGCCGTTGACTTGGGCTTGGATGAGTGTCGTTTGGAGTGGTCCCTGGTTCACAATCATCTCCTTGAGGATGATGTGCTCCGTGCTGGCCACCGCATTGGCCGTATTCTCCTGAGGTCCCAGCAGGAAGGGTGGCGCATACGGTACGTATTGTGGTTTTTTCTTTGTCTTTGGGAGTTTTTTGAACGGCCTCCCATTCTTGCAGGATTCTCGTTCGTTGTCGACATCCATTCTTTGGCGTTGGTGTTTAGGTGTCTTCCTCTTCGTCGGTTCGTCTTCCCGGTGTTGGTCTATGTCCCGGGATGCGAGGGTGGTGTGCGAGGTCTTGCTTCGTTTCGCCATGGACAGTGATGGTTCACTGTTGGGGGGGTTCTCTTTCCATCTTTCTTTTATATCTCTCTTGTGGCATCCCTCGTGTCGCATCTCTTTATGCTACTTATCAGTATTTTATCTTATCTCATCATATTTGTTGTGTGTGCGTATCCTGTGTATTGCTTCTATGCTAGATTGTACTGGTCCCTATGTTCGCGGGTGTGGCCCGTATTAAGTGTCTCCCTACAAGGACTATGTAGGTAGCTAGTAGGGGCGGCCTCGGCGTGTATTCGCCCTGTTTCCTCTGGCTCCTCTGAAACCCCCACGATTTCCTCTGCCTCTGGCGCCTCTACCTCTGGTTGCTCCTCTCGTATTGGCTTCATTCTTTTCGGTCTCACGCGCCGCCATGACTTCTTTCGGGATCGGGCCCTTCCAGTCTTCGACCTTCGGGTAGGGGCAGTCTTCGCTGGCGTGGGTTTCGCACTTGCAGAATGCACATGAGTCGTAAGGTTTGGCGCTCTTCATTTTCGCGAGTTTGATCTCGAGGGCGGTGTCGATGAAATAGTGTTGTCCTTTGATGATGTGCAGCCACTCCGTATATTCCAGCCCGTCACCCGCGATTGGCTTTGCGAAGAGTTGCCAGACTACTTGTTCTCGCTTTGCTTTGTTCGTTACGTTCATACTCCATAACTCGAAGGTGCTCAGAGCATCCCGTACTCTGTCGTTGATTGATCTCGGCTTCTCGGTCTTCGCGAGGCATCCGTCGACGTGGTTGCGAAATTCTGTATTCTTATAGAGGGTTCGTTTGATGGCTGCGAGTGCCGTGTTCATCATGTGGGGGTCATCTTCAACGAACTGGCCCGTGATGTCCGTGATGAACCAGGGGCGGACGTCTACGTCAAAGCGGATGGCTGAGAAAGCTATCTTCCTTCCTTCGATTTGGAACGCGAAGGTTTGGAACCATAGAATGAAGGCCCGGAGCTCGTTAGAGCCGTACTGAAGAAGCAGGACGTGGGGTTTCGCAAACGCGCCTCGGTTGTTTTCATCTCTCTTCAGGGGGTCTATTACTCTCAGCTTCTCCGCTCCTTCTATAGCGAGCCCTTGGAGGAAGGATTGGATGTCCTTCATGAGGTTTGGGTTTTTCTTCTTTGATCTTGTCGCCTCCCCCGTAGACTAGCAGTGCAATGAACTTGTCGGGCTGGTTTTTGATTGCCTCGGCAGTTTTGTCGTTGATTCCGGAGAGCAGGGAGTCTAGGGATTTTACGACATGGGGGAAATATGTCATATACCAGTCCTCACGCCCCCTTAGGGGTTCCCCCCTACGCCCCTTTCGGATACTCGGACCCTCGGAGCCCCTCAGGCTCCGCCCTCGCGGCCTATGCATGGTGCGCAGCACTTGGATTCACTTGTTACATGTTTCACCTACATGTGTACTTACATACTAAGCCTCACTACATACATGTGTTAGTTAGTATTTATAGTAGCACTAGTAGACATGTATTCCTCACTCTGAATCTTAGTTCCTTCTCCGTCACTTGTCCTTCTAAGTCTTCGCTCCGGGCTCCTCCGCGGAGCCCGCCTCTCACCTTGCTCTCTCCGAAATTGGGACACCGCAGGGCTAGGAGGGCGCAGCATCAAAGCTGAAGCCAAGTCCTGTGTGCTCCGCTCGTCCGCGCGTCCGCGCTCCCGCGCTCCGCCCGCGCTCCCGTGCCCCTGTGCGGATGAGTCAGGAGGCCCCTTGACACAGTCCTTAACAAAATATCCTTGGGTGAACGCGATCCTCGATTCAGCCGGTAACAAGGGGGCGAGGTCTCTGCGGGAGAATTGCATATGCGGGTTCTCTAGGTAGGCGGGGGGGAGGGGGGGAGGGGACCTTGGAGGGGACGGGGTGGCTGGATCCTGATCATGTCTCCCTCCTGCATCGCGTTCCATGTCTATGTCGCCTCTCGTTTGAGTGGTGGGGTTCTCTATCAACTCACCCTCCTCCGGGGTCTCGTCCCTCTCCAGCCGTGGCCGCTTTGGTGCAGGTCCATTCTGCTCTACCCGCTGGCTGGTTTCTGTGTTGTCGGTAGGCAGATTGTTGGTCGTTTCAGCCATTAGTTCTGTGCTCGGTTTGTTGTGTAGTGGTACTGGTGGTGGTGGTTCGTCAAGGGGTTCTGAGGGTCGTGCTCACTTTTCTTTCCGTATTTAATCTGTCTGCCTTTGTGCTTTGTCCCCCACTTTCGTGCCCCGAGTGGCGCCTGGCCTCATGTTGGTTGGTGACTGAGCGATGGGTTTGCCGTCGTCTTGGTCGACATCGCGAGCATATCCTTGTATGCTTGCCTTGTTTCGTGTAGTCTGACGTCGTGGGCGATAGTACAGAGCTGAGTCGGTGTGTTTACTACTATTTGATTTGGACTTACGCGCGGACGGCGCCTGCGCTGGTGTCTCCGATGAGCCCCTTGTCCTGGATGTAATGATATTTAATCCTCTGTTAGAGTACTCGTATAGTATCTCCTCCGAGTGTTTAGTTTATCGTAGTTCGTATCCCTTGGGGACGGCACCCCTTGGTAACGCCACTCTTTCGCGTATGAGTGGCGCATCCCTCGTGACGTTGGCTCGTCGGTCTGGGGCCTCACGGCGTGTTTTGAACCTCTGCTAAGTAGAGCCAGAGGACGTTCCATTTGCTTCACCCCCCATTAGGTGGTTACTAGTCCCTTGCGCCACGTAGAGGCTGGAACGCACTTCACCATGATGGTGGTTGCAGTGCAAGGGATAGCGGAATGACTTCGCAGAAGTCTAACAAGCGGTTTCGGGGGTCCACATTCATTTGAAACTCCGCCGGCGCGTTTCGCGAGCTGACCTCTATGGTGCCATAGTTCCCATCTAGGAAGCGTTTACTGGTTGTAGACAGCTCTCTTTGTCTCCAGAAGTATATAAACTGGGTTGCTCACAAAACACCATCAATCATTATCGTTCTTAGACCTCCACGTTCACGTCTTTGGAAGACAAGCGTTCGGCCACGCTGCCTCACGAACATCATGCCAGTAACTACGGCCATAACAGCATGCAGTATCGATGAGTACAACGCTCAGGTCATTGACTGTTCTGTGAATATCAAAAATTTCGCCTGCGAAGTTGCGAATGATATTCCTCCTCAAGCCTCCAGCATCTCCCTCTGCATTGATGAGGTACTAGGTACGAGATACTGCATCATCGCACGCCATTGTACAGCTCAAATTGTCATCTTAGCTCTTGAGAAGGCAGCGAAGGAAGCTCTGCGAGATGCTCCGCGATCTGGAATGAACACCATCGATATTCTACTACAATCAGACGCATATCTTCAGGCATCGCATCACCGGCTCAAACTACTCTTGGTGCTGAATTATAATCCGGTCGCCATGAATAAACTTTTTCGCCGATACGAGCAGTTGAGTATCACAACCAGCCGAAATATTTGGAGGGCTCAACATCGTAATCTAGACACAGGGTCAAATTCGATGAACTAATGGACAGAACCGCGAGATTTTCATGGTTTAAGCGATTGGTTTCTCTCGGAGATCGTGCAGCAGCACGCGATGTACTGAGTCAGACGAGGGAACTTCATAGAGAGATCAAGGTTCGATTGTTTCGTACCATTCACCACGGGTTCTACAGATATCTGAAAACACTCTCCGTTGCAGACTGTGTCGGACGCAACTAGTGAAGCAACAACCGATACGAAGATACAACAGCGCGTCCGGGCAAGAACAGGGGATTGTTAATTGTCACCTGCAGTCCAAACGGTGGTGGTTGCGTTTAATTTCAATTTCTAGTTACCACTCCCACGCACTGGCGTACGCACCGGATTGTACTAGGCTAAATAATTGGCAGTGTAACTGCATGATTGCATGCGGTGGCCGCAACAAGTACCGTAGATGACAGAGACGACCGGCCATCAGGAATAGTCAGTATACGACTTGATTTTTGGGATACCTATGTTAGACGGGACTAGTCGTTATTTGAGGATCCAATGCAGGGGGCGAGATGGCGAGTCGGCGGTGACCGAAGTTGATTTTCTTCTGAATCTCTAGAAGGTTTGTCTGGCCGTCGTGAGCGCTTGAGTAGGATCAGCTGAGTTGAAAGAATAATAGTCACAAATCCGTGACAACGTGACAGAGACCACCTCCGAACAATGGACTCCTTACTGTAGCACTTTGCCCTTTGTTCGTTGAGGTAGCTCTAAATACCATTCGCCTGATCATGGCGGCCACTAGCTTTGACCTTCTTCCCCCCGTTCGACTTCCACAATGCGTCCCGAGTTTGCCCCCGTAGCCTTTATTTCTGCCTTTTCGGTTCTGTTGGTTGTTCCATGGCACTGGCGAGCCCGAAACGTTGCCACACTATCAATGGCCGCATGGCTCTTTATAACGAATGCCATCTACGCCATTGACGCTGTTGTGTGGTCCGACAATGTCAAGATCGCAATTCCTGTCTGGTGTGACATCAGTGCGTACCTACTCAGCTTCGAGGCGAAGACATTCATCTGATTTATCGGTCCTCCTAGCCACGAAAATTATCATTGGATCTCAATTCGCGCTACCAGCAGCATGTCTCTGTATTTCTATACATCTCGAACGCGTCGCATCGGTTCGTGCCGCCAGAATCATGCAGCAAGATAGACGCCGCCGACAGATCTTCGAGGGCCTCATGTGCTGGGGCCTACCCGCCGTATTCATGGCTCTTCGTGCGTATTTATACCGAATCTTGATGCATATATCTTGCTCACCCATCAATTTGCGTATAGATTATATCGTGCAAGGTCACCGTTTCGACGTCATTGAAGACTATGGTTGTCGACCAACCACCTATATCTCCTACGTCGGCATCTTCTTGATGTACTTCCCACCACTCTTCATGGCACTCGTCTCCTTTGTCTTCTCAGCGCTTGCGCTCCGACATTTCCTCAGACGCCGCGTCACATTTGCCCTCCATCTCCAAGCTTCCAACTCTGCCCTGACGACTTCACGCTACTTCCGACTCATGTCTATGGCGCTCGCCCAGATGTTCGCCATCATTGCCGTCACGGCGTATACCTTATGGTTCACTCTCATTGCCGTGCCTATCCGCCCATACACGTCATGGGCTGATGTCCATAGCGATTGGTTACGGATCGACCAGTATCTCACTAAGTTCACCCCTCCTCTCGTCGTACGGAGCTTTTACGCTCTTTGGTGGATGGTCCCCCTCTCTACATTCCTCTTTGTGGCCTTCTTTGCTTTCGGTCAAGAAGCCTTGGACGAATACAAGAAATGCTTCATGTGGCTGATATCAGTCATCTTCAGAAACAAACCGGCTCCGGGCTCGGAAGAGATCAATCCCAAGGGATCTCTCCTCGATCGGTATGTCTCCTTCACGTGCCTTCCTGCTAATGTATTTGAGCTGACTGCCGTTGATAGTATTCCTGTTAAAATCACCCTTCCTTCATTCCTTGGCGGGTCTAAGGACACGATGAACTCATCTACAACTGCTTCCAGCTCGTCTATTCCCACATACACATATCCCCAACCACCCCCTCCGCCGAAATACATGCCAGAGACGCCTGTCGATTCCTCTTTCTCCGATTCCTCATCGTATTATCCCCCTGCTCCCAAACAATTGCTTGACGTTGACCTAGAAGCTCACCCCCTTCCGCCTACGCCATCGTCGTGCGCATCAAGCTCTTCATCATCTAGCACTGAGGTTGAAAGCGAAACACCTTCTCTCCATTCGCGGGCATTCGCCCCAATCCCCGTCCCTACCAACGTAGCAACATCGCCGTTCCCTCCGCCGCCGCCGTCCCGCCCACGCGTGAGGCCAATCATACCCGCTAGCAATGCCCAAGAGCCTGGTTCTCCACGACCATTGACTTATCCTTCTGCCGATGCATGGCATCGAGGCATTGCTATAGCGTTACCTTTGTCATGACCGAAATATCATCTGTATCACATAGCCCATTACTCTGTATCTTCCTTTATTTACCGCACAATATGATTTCCTTGTTCCAACAAAAGTTTCCTCCTTGGGTGAAATGTTGAGATCCCCAAACACGCATCACCACATCCCGCGACGTTCCCCCATCCATGCATGGTATTTAATCACACCGAGGGGTTTATGTCAGTTGAGGATAATACTGCCATTGCTATCTCATATTCATTACGTTATCCAGATAACTCAGTATGAAATTGTACCCAGTGGGCCCCCTTGGACAGCACCCCGAAAAAGCGGATGGGGATGAGATTATGTAGGACAATGGTTATTTGAGCCTATTTGCGTACCATTCTTCAGACTCCGACAGAGTCATTGCCAGAAAAGGCGACTTGCATCCATTCTCGGCAAACAGCCGCCATTGTCCTGTTGACCATTGTTCACGAATTGCCTTTATAACCGAACACGCCCTTTGTTAATCCCTCAACGCAACCCACATCGATTCACCACCATCCACAATCCCCGTGACAGCCACAGTCTCCCCGTACTTTACATATTAACACCCCCAGTAAGGTCCATGCATCTCCGAATCATAGCGTCCGAATTGACCAGTCGGTGGCTCGTCTAGAACTATTGCGAAGGCTTGGACCTCGTCCCCATGGACACATTTATATCCCTCGATGAACTGTTCATTGAAGGATCCGAAAGCGATGTCGACATCATGTCACAGACATCCTCGGACAGCGAGGATGAAGACTCGGATTGCGAGATGCCCATGCCAGTCAATTTCGAGCGTAGAGGTCCAGGTGGCGCCGCACAGTTCTGGTGCATTATCTCATAGCACATACACCTCCAAACGGTCGTTGCACACTCCTTCATATTCTTATAAGGTTCGTCCGTTAGTTTCATTGCCAACGGGCGCACGCACCAGTGCTGACTGCCGTTACTCCAGTGTCTTCGGAAGCGCAAATCACGACATAATGTGATTCTCAATACTCCTTTTCATTATCATATACCATCTTCGCCTTCGCATCAGGTACGTCCATCGGCTCCGATCCGTCGTGTCTATCTGACTTTCGCTGGCATCTGCAGTGCTTGAAGCACCTTTCGTTCCATTCACGCCAGGTCCGTTATCCATATTCCTGCTATAAAAAGAACCCGAGGCTGATGCGCTAAAATGCAGTGCTTGACGCACAGGACAACTGGCGCTTGTCGCACAGTGACCCACACTCCTTGTCAATATGTCTCGGTCTCCCATTAGTACTGTTAATCCCTCCCATCTATGTACCATACCAGAAGGCGACTGGGCAGGCAGGCCCGGCCTCTTCGAATTCGCCCCAAACCAATGTACAACCACGAACGGAAATAACTTATTCGTTAATATTATTCTATTTATTCCAACGCTGCCCTTGATGATCTTCTTTATATCTGTGCCATGCGTGCGCTGGATTATTGCCATACGCGTTACTTCCTAGGCCCTGGATTTCTCCCTGCTCAACCTTTCATTTAGCTGTCTTGTTTGGAAGTCGAGAGAATAATTGTATATAAGTACCTGTACCCGTGTTGTTGGACAGTACAATGTTGATCTCGAACAGGAACCACAGGAGTAGTTCGTAGGCAGCAGCTCAGACTTTCCATCATCATGATCGTCGGTCGGTTCACAGTACACATTTCCGGTCAACAGTTATTGCGGAGAATACGAATCTTGTCAAGTTCTATAGCGTTCGGTCGTCGCGTCAATGATATCTGTGAAGGCATAAGAGCTGATGATATACTACCAGTCTGTTCTAATGCTCCGTCAAGGTATTTGTAGTTCTCCCAGGCAGAGCCTACAACTCCACCAAATGTCCCAGCACATCTAACGTTACCCATCGAAAAACTCGGGACGTTCATCTGGCGTTCAGAGTCTCCATGACTAGCTAGGCATTATTGGAGACTCAAAAAATAGTCCCGACTCTGGACTAGATTGCACAAGTCGAAATCGCGTGTCGAGTCTCCGAGTCGTATGAAGGCGGCTCCAAAACCACAGAAATGGGGCGACGTGCAGGCCATGCATTATTGCCCGTGCCTCCCTAGAGTCCGAAACCATGCATTGCGATGCATGGCTTGCAGTCACCACCGAGAAGCACGACCGCCACAATCCTGAGCTCCGACTCTCCTCTAAATCCACTGGAACATAGTATCATTCATTGTTTCTACTTATACGTATTCGAACGAAGTAACGGGAAACCAACATGCTCCGTAAACCAGACAGAGAAAGTGCGTGAGCTGGAGACGGGGTGATACGAGGGAGGAGAAACAGACGGAGAACTATGGATACACTGGTGGCTGAGAATAGAGATACATTTTACGATATCAGCGAAGAGGCGAGGAAAATTAGGGCAGAGAGCGAGCGCGACGCGCGAATGTAGTGAATAGTGAATGAGTGGACGAAGTGCGGGGGGTGGGTCGTAAATGGCTGAAGGGCGTTGGCTATATGGCAACGAACGGATACACGCTGGGATGCGTTGAGGACGTAGAATCGCGATGCGTGTAATTTGCAGTCGAAGTCGCGACGGAATGGATAGTCGACGGTGTCGACGGCGTAAAGGGTGTAGTGGGGGTGGGGGGCAGCGGATACGCCTCCAGGTCGACCTCATAAGACGAGCTATGCGTCGAAAAGCGGGTTGACGGCGATGCCGAGGTTGATGGTGAGGATGGTGAGGTAGGGGAGGGCCGCGATGACGACGCCGAGGCAAATGACGCGCGGGACGCCAGCGACAGTGATAGCGGGGACTGGGAGCAGCTGGGGAGCGACGAGGAGGGCGTGGAGGAGAACGCGAATTCAGAAAGAGATACGGCGTCCATGTCTTTCGTATTCGCCTGCTCTCCCCGTGAGGGGGCGTTGCCGTACTTATTGATGTTGATCACGGTGTCGTCGCTTCCGGCGGCGGCGGGGAGAGGTCGCAGAGTGACTGGGAAAGCGAATGCCCGAGTGGGGGTCGTGGGATAGGTGCCGCTGCTGCTGAAGCTCGAGGAGGTCGAGGTTGAGGCTGATTTCTCACTGTTGAGTTTGTCGAGTTTGTGGTCTTGATTCACGAAGCCTTTCTTGAGGAAGGAGAAGGAAGAGGAGATCATGTTTTTATTCGTGATCGGCCTGGGGGGAACACACACGTTAGATGATCCCATTCGGGCAGAGAGAGAGGGAAGAGACGTACAAAGACGGTAGTTTGCTCCCCTTCTCATTTGTTGGACCGAACTTCCTAAACGGCGCACACACGATTCCCTTAACGCGCGCCGCGAACGCCTTGTACTCCTGCACGGCATCGCTCCCGAACCCGAAGAACACAAAGAATACGACCGACGTGAGGGGCACCGTCCACCACAGCGCGTACGTGTATCGCCACTGCTGCACGGGAATCAGCACCTTCGCGAACTGGCCGATGCGTCCCCAGTCGGAGTGCACGTCCGCCCACGAGATCCACGGGCGGAAGCCGTTCTTGAGGGAGAAGGCGATGTGGAGGGAGGAGCCGGTGATGGCGAAGACCATCTGGGAGAGGGACATGGCGATGAGACGCAGGTAGCGCGAGGGGGTGAGGGCGGAGTTGGAGTTTTGGAGGTGGCGCGCGAAGATGATGCGACGATGCCAGAAGTTGCGGAATGCGAGTGCTATATGGGTGAGGCGGTGAGGAGAGAATTTGCGTTGGGTGAAAGGATTGCTTACCTGCGAATATGAAAGCACCGACGCAGAATAAGAGGGGTGGTATCCACATGAGGAAGAGCGCAACTATGGAGACATAGATTGTAGGGCGACATCCGAATTCTTGTATGATATCAAAGCGATGACCTTGTACAACGTAGTCTGAGTAAAGTGTGAGTAAAGCATCAGTTTTCGGAGGGGCCGTGAAACTCACGGAGTGCCATGAAGATAGCTGGTACGCCGAAGCAGAGCAATGAATCGATTGTTTGTCGGCGACGCTTGTCTTGGACGCAAGTATTGACTTGACGGATAGAGGACACGCGTTCCAGGTGCATGCAGAGACAGAAGAGCGCAGCAGGCAGTGCAAATGTTGCCCCGATAGTTATTTTCGTCGCTATGGGATACAATGAGCTTCCTGGTGCAAGATACTGGTATTGGTAGAACTGACCTATATCACACCAAATCGTGGCCTGTATAATGGCATTATCGGACCAGATTATAGCATTGACGCCGTTTATAATATTAGCTGCAAACAGCCAGACAGTGATAGAGATGGTAGCAACGGTCCCTGCTCTCCAATGCCAGGGGAGAGGGAGGAGGACAAGGAAGGCGCAGATGAATGAGACGACGGGGAGCTCGATGGCCATAGCGGTATAGTCCGGGGAAGGGAACGCTTTGAAAGGGAACGAGTCCCATGTTGCTTTTGAGCATCAGTATGAGCTCGCGTGCAATCAAGGTTGGGAGCAACGAACAAAGGACTGGCGGACAATGGACAACCTTGGCACGTGAAGCCCCTAGAGCCCCTGTCACATAGATGAAGAAAAAATCCAGCTGGCTTCGATGTGCCCAGTTAAATACGTAGGTAAGTACTCTAAATCGAAGTATTCTGCTTTAAATCGCATTTGCTACTGACTTCGAGCTGAACATGCAGAAAACGAGGATAACCACTCGAATTTATTTGCGCAACTTCTCACGTGATCGCGAACAATGCCCCGACTCCGATCCGCCTCGTTTTATTCCTCCATTGTTCGTTCCAACCCAGCTCACCGAAAGTTCTGCGCACAATGGAAGGACATGTCCGATATAATCAAAGCGCCCCCCCTTCTGCCACTGGAACTCCTACGCTTAGACCCCCTGCTTCGTAATGGCCGACCTCACCTACCCACTCTACCCCATCTTCGCTTTCTTGGGTTTCTTCCTTTCGCTCGTTCCACTACCATGGCATCTTCAAGCCTGGAACTCGGGGACATGCTACTTCATGATGTGGTCCTCCCTCGCCTGCCTCAACCAATTCATCAATTCCGTTGTGTGGCACAATAACGCACTCAACCCATCACCGATATGGTGTGAGATATGTACGTTGACGGAAGTTATCGATGTCTAGCGCGGACATTGTGGCTGATTAGATTTTGGATTTGCAGCTATACGGATTCTTATGGGCGCATCTGTCGGGATTCCCGCTGCGTCTCTTTGTATCAACCGACGACTATATCATATCGCCAGTATTCAGGCGGTTTCGGTTTCTCGCGGAGAGGTTCGTCTTCTTTATGCCTACCCTTTAGCTCTGAGTAGATGTACTCATCTTGATGCCTCGTAGAAACGACGCGACATTCTGGTCGACACCGGGATATGTGTCGTATTTCCCATCGTGTACATTGCCCTTCGTGAGTTCAACATTTTCGTATTCGTAGCGCGTTGATTGACTCCCGCGCCCCCAGAATACATCGTGCAAGGACACAGATACGATATACTCGAAGATCTGGGCTGCCAACCCGCGCTTTACAACACACTGCCAACCTACTTCATTTCATATATGTGGCCAATCCTCATCGGTCTTGTCTCTGCCGTATACTGTGGTAAGCATATCATCCCATGCGGTTCCCCATCCTTCTCTAATGTTTATATTAGTTCTATCCTTACGTTCATTTATTCGCCGTCGCGTGCAATTCAATCAGTTCCTCTCGTCCAACAAGTCCCTCACCGCCGGGCGCTATTTCCGTCTCATGGCCCTCGCCGCCTGCGACCTTACTTTCACTATCCCCCTCTCCATCTTCATCATCTGGCTCAACACCGTAGCCACCCCCATTGCTCCCTGGATCAGCTGGGAAGACACCCACTTCGGGTTCTCGCGCGTGGACCAAGTCCCCGCCGTCATCTGGAAAATGAACCACCGCTTGGTCATTGCCACCGAAGCGACGCGCTGGTTCACCCCCCTTTGTGGCTTCCTGTTCTTCGCCCTTTTCGGCTTCGCAGATGAAGCGAGGAGAAACTACGTGAAGGCGTTTTGGGCTATCGTTAGGCCCTTTGGGTTCAAGCCCACACCGATACAGCCTGGGAGACATTTCGTTTCTATTGGGTAAGCCGATCCGTGGGGTCCATAGTCATGACGTCTGCTAACCAACTTCTGATGTATAGACGGTTTGAGAAACCCAAGCCTCCAGCATACTCGTCGACCGGTTCGATCCCTTTATACCTACCCTCTCCCTCTGAGCCATCTATGAAACGATCAAACTCTGCCACTACTACCACCACTACCACATCAACTACAACGTTTCCCGCCTCAGACACCAAGTTCCCGCAGTCACCAATAACACCTACTTCATCATCTTTCTCAAGTTCTACGCTGTCGCCTGACGTTGAACGAGGCGCAACAGAATATATAGCTCTCGATCTCAACCACCAAATACAATATGATATTAAAAGACAATCTTCTGTAGCAGTAGCCTTATGAATATCTTAGAATGTATTTTTTAGTATCTGAAATCCTCTCTGGGACTCATCGATTTCAGCGTGGCTGCTGTGAAGTACGTGTTGAGATCGGAGCTCAGGACGCAGGAACTTGGGGCGTGGGCCACTGTTTATCATTGTTCGTAGATGCCATTGTTCGCCTTGAGAAGGCCCCGTTCGTACCCAGACCCCTTTTTGCGCAATTGATTCATTTCTTTTGGCGTACTAGTTATGCATTCCATTTGCAAGTTGTCCGATACGAATAAATATTGCGATTGCTCAAGGAGATATCAGGTACTACACAACTGTTCCATGTTTACGAAGGACTAACTCCCCCTTGTACTAATAGCGTCGTATCCAACGACGGCGATACACATATATGTGGGAGGAATAAATAAACGAATAAAATAGGATAGCGACGATAATGAGTGAGGATGCCATATGCATATGTTTCGAAAATTTGAGCCGAGTCGAGTCGCTGGGACTAGATTGGGGGATGAATACGAAGGGGTGGTGTCCTGCACCCTGCCGACGACCCGCATAGCAAGCGACTGCTAACAACGAATGGGAAATAGCGTCAGTGAACTTTGACCCCATTTCAAGCAGAGAGGTTAACTCACAAAACCCAGCGTCGTCGAGCTACTCAGGTTGTCGGTTCACATGGGTTACGAAACGGTGCACCAAGAGTTGGTAACACCGACGCCGTATCGCTCTTCGTCGACTGGCACGGGAAGCTCGTCCGGTTCATCATTATTACTGTCAGGATGTGAGCTGCTTTCGACAGGTATTGACGGTAGTGATGGTATTGAAGCAGCGAGCTGCTCGAGGATGGTGGTGGTAGCAAAGAAGTCCATATGGTTTGTGGCGGGTGGTAGTGGATAATCGCGATGGTCCAAGCTTTGCGCCCCTGTGACATCTTTAAACAAACGTACAATGAGGACCGGTACAGCGGCGCCATTGTCCTAGTACTATTCGATTACCATCAGTCCCCGACTTCGTGTGTTTGGCGTTGTGCTGGTATCCTACGCAAATTATTTGGGGGCAGCAAGTTTTTTTTTCCATTATGCAGAGTTACACTATACCCCTATATGGATAGACGAACAAAGGAAGGGGATTGCCGAGCGCTAATTTATTCTCCGACGAATCGCTATCCAGTCACGTTACCCATTGTGCTTGCCATTTACGAGCTCCGACCGCCCAAACAATGACTCCGACCCGTTAGACTATAATGGAGTGTAAGCCAAATAGGTCACAACAGCGAGAGAATTGCCTTATTCGATGTAATGGCGGGTCCTTATAGGGTGAGTGGACATACATGCTTGGCCCCCCAGCATAATTTTCCACCACCAGCGACAGAAGGTTGATACTGCGAGTGTCAGCGCATAGTATAGGGCTTAGCCCCCAACCACCGCATCCTAGCCAGCCCCGTACACTTCCTTAGCGATACCCGACCACTTACCAACCACACTATTTCAATGGACACCTTTAACCGCCTCGAATCACTCCTCACCCTCTCGTCATCTTCTTGGACAGAAGCAGGCGCAGATACAGAAGTCGCACCGTCGTCGTCGTCATCACATACGACAGACGATGGCCTCTTCGACTTACCGGTTGACGCTGAGCGAGACATCCCGGGCTTTACTTCCCGAGGATGGTGCATCATCTCATGACCCGAGCCCTCGGACGGTTGCGTCCAGAGCCGGTCGCGTCTCCGTCCGTATTCCCGTGGCACTGTAGCGAATCTTCTACAGCGTTAGTCCCTCTTCATTCCGTACGAAGATAGAGCTGACCTCGACCTCCAACAGCCCCACCCACATCCAAGTTTGCAAAGGCAAACCCAAACCCTTTTTCGTTCACCTACCCCCGTTCTTGCTCGTGTGCTCGCTGCGTCTTTCCCAGAGGAAGAACGCGAGACCACCACCCACGCTCTCTCCTCCCTCCCCTCCTAGTAATCAGCAAACTGCGCCTGGAGTGCAGCCTACCTTATCCTCCTCAACCAACCTACATGCGGCGTCCCTATATCATTATTATCAGCGGTATTTATCAACATAACCATCAGCTCGCCGGCGTACCATTTTCGGGCACGTACGCGCCAATATGTATGACCTGTAATCGTAATACCCGTGTAATACTAGTGAATATATTAATGGACAAGGATGAACTGAGGTGCGACTCATCGAGAAACCTGCGATGTCTGGTTGTATCGTTCTCGTTATGGACTTGAAGCTATGGCCTTGAATCGGTTGAGATCTTGACGAAGATTGGGACCATCATCGCTACACGCCCGTGTATGCCATGCCGATTCGAACTTGTTGACAGATGGCCACCGTTCGTCGAGTGTCGCGGATCTGACATTGCCATTGGCTCGATGAAGGTGGAGGTGGCAGACGCGTCGATGGGAGACAGCGAACTTGCATATAGTGGTGAAAGTCATGGAACCACAATTGGGAGACCGGCGCAGTCCAGGGAGTTTATTTATACCTGCTACCACCCTGCTACTGGCTACAGCACCGATCAACCGATCAAGCTGGCCACCCGAAGGGCCTTGGCATCGACGAAGGTCATAGCATCATCGAGATATCTAGAGTTTGGACCGGGTCAGAGATTCAGAGATCCATTGTCCATTGTTGCGCCCATCGTGCCACCGTGATTATCGAGATTAAAGCCTGGATCCCTGTGGCAAGGTGTCGCCCAGGCCAATCCGTCGACCCCCGTCAGTTTCATAAAAGCCCAATAGCAAATCATGAATCAATGCCACCCCCATCACCATCACCCATCCATCATCCATCCTCCACCACCAACCGCCGGCTCATCAAGCCGCCGGCGAGTCGCCTCCTAGCAAGGCCGAACAAGTCTTCCAAAAGAAGAGGCGTGCACCAGATCTCCCAAAAGACAACGAGACATGCACAGAATGCCAGCAATCTTCAGCGCACCGACCACATCAGCTGCTAGCTTCGCGACGAAATCTCGAAGACGCGCTTGCGCACAGTTTACGGCGTACACAGCGGTCTGCGGCCCAGTACCTAGTACACCGATGTACACCGTGGCCGTAAATGCGATGCCGCGAAGACAGAATCATTGAACCACGTCCTCGAGTTAGTTGTTTCGCGTTCCGTGGGCCGAGGACGCGATACATACAAACTTGGCAAATTTGGAGCCCAGAAACAAGGAATTCAAGTTTCAAAAAACAAAAAAAGAAGAAGAGAAAAAGAAGCAAGAAAGCGTTCAAGGGAGGCCAGCTGCCGGGCGTTTGAATGCACCGACCTACTGACCTGAGTCTATACATCGGCGCCGCCTTGAAGACGGAAGGCGGACCAAGCACAAAGCAAGGGAAAGGAAAGTCCCCATTCCCAGCGGGGCCAGAATTCGAAGCGACGTCTGGTAGACAGTGAGACAGTGAAGGCGGCCTAAGACTTCAAAGCTTCAACGTTCTGAATTGAAAGGCTTCAACTCGACCATTCCCCAGGTCTCCGAGACTTCGTATTCGAGGATCAAGCGTCAAACATCGTCAAGAGTTAAGCGTCAAGAGGCGAGAGGCGAGATCTCAAGAGCGACAGGCCGCCAAACAAGTAGACACCGAGACAGGCCTGCCCATTGAGGCTAGATCAGGCATGAACGCATGAACACGAAGAACCAAGAACCAAGAACAACATCGACATGTCGACGGCGATCCAGAAATGACTGGTCGACGAATGCGATTTGGCGCAGAAGATCGCCTCTTCTTCTCTCGCCGCAAGGGAGAGAAAGACGAGGACCGAGAGAGCCCAGATGACGAGACGAAGGGCTCATCGTCGAATACGACTCGAGGTAAACCATCCCGGGCGCCTGCTAGCGACTCCTGATCACCGCTTCCTACCTTCCACATCCCGTGGACTGTCGCGCCCACCGTCCACCACCGATCGGCCAGCATGCTACCATCATCCACGACGTACACAGCGTACATCAGAATCTCCTTCAAATCCTAATCCGAATCTCGACGCGGGCCCGGCATTCCGGGATGAGAGTGGATTGGTGCAACGGTGGCCAGGTACACGACGGATATTCGGCTCAAAGTAAACCTTCGACAGACGGGCACGTCGCTGACGCTGCAATGATGTCCGACACTCGCCTCTTCTCCCCCATCGCGAGGGTGCAAAGGCGTGAGCGAAAGGGCGAGAAAAGACGACTGGGACGGTGAGATGGAGATGGCGGCGCCGGTCGTCGAGCACGCCTTCCGAATTGCCGCCACCGAACCACCAAACCCACGACGTCCCGACTCACAAGCCCCACCAGGTGATGGCTTGTGAGCAAGCGAGCGTGCCGGCCAACATGGAACGATGGAACGGGGTTGCGTACGCAAGCGATGCCGGAGGCCAGCAGTGTATAGCGTATAGCGCATCAGCGTATCAGCGTATCAGCGCATCTGCCTGCCTAATCCAAGTGCAATCATCGTCCACGGCGTACCCTCCAAATACGCGGAGCCCAGCAAGCAGCCTGAACGCAAGGCGGAAGATAGAATGAGCCAATGGGTCATCCAACGCGTCGACACCAAGCTGAGATCGCCCGTGTGCCCTATGTACGTCTCAGCCCGCTCCCCCCATCCTGCAAGCGCGTAATAGTGCATATAGACGTACATCGATCTATTCATCCTCTCATCCTCCTCTTCCCCTCTCATTCGCCTTTTTCCTTTTTCCTTTTTCACGCCTCTTACGCCAACCTCCTCGCTCTGTCATTGAGATCGTCTTATCGAAGCTTAGCCAGAGGCGAGCCGTATAGACGTGATCCTTCGGCTATCAGTAAAGATAAGTAAGTGCTCTTCGTTCAACTCTGCCGCAGCCCTGTGCTTGGAGCCCACCCACTCCAGATGAGTCGCATCTGAAGACTGTTGGACGGTCATGTGCAATGTGTACACATATAGTTCTGGACTTCCTGCCTTTGCACTGTATGCAGAAGCACAAATACTGAGGTGTGGGAGGCACGGTGGTTTGCTGCAAGTTAGTTCCTGCGACATTGCAAACATGCAGACGCTGGAAGTGAGTGTGTGCATGTGAGGAACCCTGAAGTTCCCATGCTGACATTGTTCTTCGGACGACCTAGGTTTCTTACGCATCCCGTACTTCTGTACCAACGATGCCACACCAGCATATGCACACAACCAGTTCGATCAAGCAACAGCTGTCGACGACTGGGTCCCAGGTGGCAGGGGCAATTCGGACCATTCGGAACAAGGGGGTTAGTTGGTAGATCAACATCATTGCATAATTTGCACCACCGCGCACCAAGTGTGCGGGCACAGCACAAACGCCATAATCATACAACGTCCCGGTGTCGTACCGAATACTAATACAAGGTCCTCCCTGGTGCACCCTGGGACTCCCGACCGAACCTCTCATAGATCCGATCCAGGGCATGGACTTTTACTTCCAGACGAAGGCGAATACCGGCGCCTTCAAAGAAGGTTCACGGCTTAAACTCGGCCTTCGACGCGGTCTTCGATGAGTTTCGCGATCGTAGGCCCGTGGACTGGTATCTGGTTGCCCTGGAACCCCTCCGGGTAGTTCACGTCGGGCTTATCCGCAGAGGAGTGATATCTACGAACACAAATGGCGACGATGAGCACACATTTACCTATGTTGGTGAGTGGGTGGGTGATAGGTGAATGAACGTACGTGTCGTTCCAGACCGTGAAATGGGCCATGCCGAGCGCGGTGGCCGTCCACTGGTAATCGTGGGCGAACCCAGTAGGGTAGAATATCTCGATGACCGTAGACAGCCGTGATGGGGGCATCAAGACGAGGTGGGTGAGTCCATTCCCATGCACGCCTAGCAGGATCTACCATTCATACAAGTCCAATCGTGAGCATCCATCCACCACATTGACAAAACGCAAACGACGAACCGTGCTCCTCGACACCGCCCTTACTTGCTGGTCCTTCGTCATCCCCTCCGCCTCCAACGGCTGGAACTCCCACCCCCTCCCCTTCCTCTCGACCAGCTCCATCAGCGCATCAACCAGCCCCTCATGGTTCTCCTCGACCAGCTTCCGCCGACTGCCCCGCTGCCTACTGATATACGTGATCACAATCGTCTCAGGCACAGGCAGCTGCGTCGCCTCCAGCACCTTCGCCTCGTCCGCCCCCGGTCCCCCGACGCGCAGCGCCTCCGCGAGCGCACCCTGCTTCGCCGCAGGCCGCAGAAACTCGTCCAGCTGCACGCCCGCAAGCGTCCACACCGCCTCGCGCACCGGGCCCCACCACCCGCCGACCCTGATCCCCGGCAGCTGCCCGCGCGCCCGCACCGCCTCCCACGCCTCCGCCGCCGTGCGCTGCGTGCGGCTCCCGCACACCTCCCCGTGGAACGCCGCCGTGCGGTCCACGAGCATCACCACCGGGAGGTGCCACGCCCGCTGGTGCGCCGCGCTGTAGGCGTCGTCGCGCGACGTGTTGGTCGTGCTCAGGGCGATGCGGTCGAACCAGTCCTCGGCGTGCTCGATGGTGGTGGAGGGGAGCGCCGCGCGGATGAAGTAGGCGTCGAAGCCCGGGGAGTCGCGCCAGCCGTCGGCGTTGGAGTGCGCGAAGATGATGCGGTCGACGGGGGGCGGGGGCGGGTAGGCGGAGGTGGAGGCGTACTGGAACGCCGCGTCCTGGGACGGCGCGGTGAACGACCCCGTCCACATTGCCCACGCACCAAAAAGAAGCTCTGCAACCAGGTGGTAGTAATGCCGCAGGAATTGGTGCGGATCATTGAGCAGCCACTGCTTCACGTCAAGATACGAAAGCACGGCAAACGGAAAGGACACGCACCGTATTCCCCTCAATAGACACTATCCGATTCGCCGTCTCGCCAATGGCAGAATCGGGCCCCCAGAGGTCCTTCGCCTGCTCCGGCGTCAGGAAATCCATATCCCCCGGCGTCGCCTCCCTCTCCTCGATATTATTCGGATTCTTCGCCTCGATCCCCGTACTCGTCATCCGCCCGATCGACGGGAACGCCTCCCGATCGGCCGTGACGACGTACAGCGTCCCGTGCGCCATGTACAGGTTCCGGAAAACCGTCCACCCGGGCGCGTGCTGCACGATCGTCGTCTCTGGGATAACGGCCGCTTGGTCGATTGGAATGTGCGTGGCCTCGGGAGAGCCTAGAGTCTCGGTGACCGTCGCGGTGACAGTAGCCGTCTTCACCTGCTTCAGGCGCACCGTCTTGGTGGCATGGCGGGTCGTCACCACCGTGACCATATTCGTCGCCGTAGCAGTCGCAGTCGTTATACTAGTAGCAGTAGCAGTAGCAGTCGCAGTAGTCGTCGTCACCTGAATCGGGAGGTTTGGATCCCGATCGAGCTCAGGGGCGGCGGGATACTGCGTGAAATGCGTGTGCACGGTGATGCTATCGGGGACGAGGAGCCACGTCGAGAGCAGGTACGTCGACGCCGCGCCTATCGCGAGCAGGAATATGTCCCGCCGCGACACCGCGCGCGCGAGCGTCGTCGCGCGCATGGGCAGGAACATCGTCTTCATCGCGGCTAATTCGTCTTCAAGCAGTTCCGCCTCGTCCTCGGCCGCGTATTCGTATTCGTATCCGTATCCGTATTCGAACTGTTGCTCTTCCGCTTCGTCTTCGATGTGTGCGTATCGGGGCTCGTCGGCGTCGTCGTAGTCGACTTGGAAGAAACCTGGGGGATGGCGCTGCACGCCAGGGTGGACGGGCCCGCAGGCAGGAAGGGGGAGAGCAGGGGTGGTTTCATCGGCCATCAGTCCCCAGCTCGCTCTCGTTATATCTCCCAGCTATCTTTAGCACCCCACGCACTGGACAGGGCTGCTCAGCCTGTCTATGGCCGCTTGATCTTCTGTCGTTCCGTCGCTTGAGAGGTTCCTCTTGATCTGGCTCCTGCGCCGTGATAGGTCGATTGGCGTCTGTCTTCCGTGCGTCTGAGAATGGGCGACGATTGGGGAATCCAGAGGTCCAGAAATCGTAAAAGCCCCGTGTGTGAGGTGATGGTGATGGGGATGGGGATGGGGATATTGATGGCTCGAGTTGGTGCTGACGATGCCTGGCCTAGACATCCGCAATACCCAATACCATAATACCATAATACCATAATACCGCACTACCGCAATACAGCGATACCGTAATACCGTAATACCGTAAAGCCCCCATGACCATGTTCGAGGTACCACTGCCGCCTGACGTACGCGGAAGAGCGCATCGGGCTTGATTGGCAGCGAGGATTGCGAATTCAGCACGAGAGTTTGAATTGAATAGCGCGGCGGAAGCAAAGCGCAGGCTGCGCGGTGCCTGGCGCATCATCGTCCCAAGGAACACTAATACTATGATTATAAGAGGGGCCACAAGGAAAACGAGGAAAAGCGCGCCGAGAGTCCCCAGCCTGGGGAACGAGAGCGGCTTCACACGTCCAGACGTCCAAGAGCTAAGAATACCCATCACAGGCCCGGTGATAGATGAATAGATGATATAGATGATATAGAAGTGCATCCTTTCGGGTTTCGGGAGCGCAGGCCGCATTGGGACCGTCCGAAGCACAAGGAGCACAAGGGAGGGGGGGTTGCACGGGTGACGGAAGTCGATTGCACGTAAATTGATGACATCGAATCTATTTATGGCCTTCCGCACTTGGTAAATACTTAGTACTTAGTGGCCAGTGCCGCCAGAGGGGCGGGCAGGGCGGGCCGGGGTGGGTGTTTCGAAATTTGATATTTAGTACAAGTGGATCAATCAACCGATCTTCCTGGTCCTTCGGTACTGGAGGGTGATAGCGTGCAGCGTGCAGCGTGCAGTGCGGCTTGAGCCACCGCGAATAAAATTCCCCGTCGTGTAGCAAACTGTAACGCGGCCGAGTGGACGAAGTGGTAGCGAGAAAGAAGTCCCGATACAGATACATTTCTACAATGACTCGCGTAGTGCATAGTGCATAGTGCGTAGTGCGTGGCGTTTCCAACAGCTCTCGGTCCTAGACGACGGTCCCCACCCGGCCCATCGACCGGCACAATCAACGCACCACACCGAATCCAAGGCCTACAATACATTACTCCAAAATACCGGGGCGCCGAGGCCGGTGCTGGCGTTATTGGTTTACAGGAACGCGTCCGACGCCAATATTTTGGCGTTAGTTCGTGGATGGAGGCTGGATTGCGTAGCTGTCTTCGGGGGCGTGGACCATGGATGTCGTCTCGAGAAGCGGATTGCGCGTCGCGCCCATCCATCCTCCGAGTTCGAGGTCGGGGCGATATAGCGATATACTAATCATAGCGATATAACAATCAAGATGGCGCTGGATCATCGCGTTCGCGTTTCGCGTGGTCGTCGTGTCCCGCCACACCGGAGGGGCGGGCGGGCAAGGTAGGGCAGGATGTCGTTCGTAGCCGCTCTCCGGTTGAAGGGGGTGGTCGGTGGTTAGTGAATAATGGATAACGGCACCGCCTTCTCGTCGCACGAGTCCGATGGGATGGATGGGATGGATGGGATGGATGGGATGGATGGGATGGATGGGATGAACGCAGTCGTCGTCGGTCCCGTCGAATAGCCGTCAAACGCGAGGCAGTACGGCTGGATGTCTGCATCCTCGTCTGTATGATAGGACGCGGGAAGGGAGAATAACGCGTGTACATATGTACGAAGGCCGGAATGGAATGGAATGGGAATGCAAATGCAAATGCAAATGCAATCGAATGACAGGACGAGATGGTGCTTAATGGGATGCTACGGGATCCTGTGGGACGTGATGCGTGAGGCGTTGATAGGATCGACGTAAAGTCCGCGCTCTTGGACTACTTGGTGTCTTCGTGTCTCGTTCGAACGCCAGAGAGTCGGTCGAGTAACATCGCGATTCGCGTCCGAAACATGAGGCTGAACTAGAGGTAGAAATAGAGATAGAGATAGATGTAGAGATAGAGATCCCATGGTCCGGGTCCGGGGTAGTGCAGGACAGGGCAGGACAGCATAATGATACGACGGAAGAGCGAAGAACAACGCACGTACATACGCCGTACGCAATACGTCATCCCTCCAAGGTGCGATGGGACGCGACTCGTGACCCGTGATGTCTCCCTGCAGAAGCTTGACGCGGTGGGACGTCTTGGGCGCGTCGGAGACGGTCGATGCCGATAATGGGCGCGTGCGCGGGTAGGAAGGGGGGGTACGGGGCGCGTTGGATGGCGGGATGGAGCACGTTGACGCGCCGAGGGTTTGAACGTTTGAACGTTGGAGGAGCCCGGAGTCAAGGTGTCGAGGGAGGATATGGCAATGTCGGTATGACAGTCGATGGTCGTCCAACGCGAGAGACGCGACGGAAATGTATGCGCTGAATCGTGACGAGGGAAGAGGGAAGAATCCCCTCCATGGTCGCGTAGGAGATGCGATGGAGCGTGCGCGTGACGGCAGACTCAGAGGTGCGTAGTACTAGCTAGTTAGCAGTATGATGAGACGGACCAGTTGGGGGAGTGTGTGGTTCGGCTCAGGCTTGATTGGACGATCTATGGCGCAACGACGCGTACTGCAGCGCTAGAACACTGGCTGGCCGATAGGGTGGATGGGCTGCTCCTAACCATGCGTGCATGTGCGTTAGGACAGAGAATCTCATCGCGATGGTCGTCCATGTTGGCATGATGGCAATCCAAGAGACGCGGACGGTTCGGACTACTTGATCCACCAACGGAGCAGGTGTGTGCGAGTAGATACAAGTGGTAGGCAAGCGCGTCGCCCACGCATCCACACCGCAAAAAACAAACAATCATCCCACGAAGGGCTCAGAAACACTGAGAGTGCTGAAAAATTGGCTTATGCGACGTTACGTGGCGTCTCCCACGGTATCCCCTAGTAAAAGGCGAGGGGATAGTTTGGTTGAGAAACACCCAGTCGCTGCCATTGTTTGGGTGCATGGGAGGGAGGGGGAGGGTGTTTTGTGTTTTGTTCGGGTGACGGGGTGGTCAGGTGATGTGATGTACACGTGAAAGGGGTAAAGGGAAGAGGGGGAGGGGCGTTAGGAGTCGGCGTTAGGGGCGCCGAGCAAGCGAGGGAACAGATACAAGGGCTGCTGCTTGACTGTGTAACGGTGTGGAGCTTGTCATTGGTATCAAGTAGCCTTATCATCCTATCTAGCTGAATGCCATCCCTCCTATCCATCCCTTTCACCACAGGAAGTTTACAAGGAACATAGCTACATACCAAAATTCATGTAACACTGGAGGTGCATAAGCAATAAAAGCATGAGAAGTGCAATAAATAAAGTGTGGAAAAGTGATCAAAGAAATAACTTCTAATGCAGCAAAGGATTGTGCATTACTCCTGTGTGATATATGTGGGATATATTCAAACTATCTCAGAATAAATAAGACCCAATATCATCCCCAGACACATTAACTTATTCTGTTGGGATCACCACTAATCTGGTGCCACAATACACTGAGTCTATTACTTCTACAGCCCTGCTTACTACACTACTCTACGAGCTCATACATAGCTTGTGGTGCCCATATCGGTTACCCTGTCAGGCATACGGACGAACGGATGACTTCCGGGCAGATTATGCCTAATGATTACAATGTACTCCTTCCATATTCAGTAAAGTCCGCTGATATCCGGTATAACTCCGCTCTGATCTAATTATAGGTACATTGTCACTCCGTTATGTGCAGCTCGCCGTCTGGCAGGCGCAATCACAGACGGTCTTTAGGACGTTCGCAGGATACAATGGCCTAGGATAATCAGTAATCAGAAAATTAGGTTCGGGGAGCGCACGTTTGAAGACTGTCATATGCCCCGGGCGGAATGTAGGGCGACATTCAAGATGCGGGCGAATGGCAGAGGATAGGCAGGTAGAGGCTTGACAACTCGAAGGTAAGCACGTTCCTCTCGATCGACGATCTCCGCAGTCGTTGAGTCTGTCCAGGCAATTGCATCATTCTTTGCGTCCTCCGTTTGGGAGTTGCACGCCACTCGTTGCGCCTCCGACAATTTCAAAGCGACTCTATCTAGGGGTATATCGCGGTACACCTCTTCACCCACTACGCCCCTGCGCGACTGGGTGAATAATACTATTACAAACCCAAGTGTAATTGCCCGTATCTGCGGTATTTTTCGCGTAGGCTGAGTAAGTCGAAACATCTGGTATTAAAAGGTGCATCGCATCACTCATAGTCTACGCTAGACCTGCTCCTTACCAGCCTATCAAGCATAATAGTACATCTCAACCATGTCATCCGTACCCTTTTTCACCCTCAATAATGGCGTGAAGATGCCTGCCATCGGTACGGTTGACCGTTCATGTCTCAAATGCATCCTGCTGAATGGCATCGGCATTTCACCCAGGATTGGGTGGATGGGGCGGCGAAACACCTCATGAACAGGAGGCAGCGAGAGCGTGGTTTTTGACGGCCTTACAGGTCCGTTGTTGGACCTCCCAGTGGCACTCCCATCATCTAACTCTAACTCGTATTTATGGCAGTCTGGATACAGGCATGTCGACGTTGCGCAAATTTACGGTGGGCTTACAAATTCCCCCCTCCCCCGAGCACCCCCAACTGAATTCCTCGCGATCCGCGATCATCTCAAGGTACTGAGGAGTCGCTCGGGAAGGCCGCGAGGGAGTCAGGCATCCCCCGTGAAGAACTCTTCATTACGACTAAGCTCCCGTGAGTCTGACTCAATCCGTGAATGTGAATGAACTTGCCCATGATCCAATATGTCTGTATCTCGTAGGTCAGGCCATCATTCGCGCGTCGCCGAATCCTTCCAGGAGTCTTTGGATAACCTCGGCCTCGACTATATCGACCTGGTGCCTATCATTCTCTGATATATCAAACTCGTCAAGTCAACACTCACTATCGTCACAACACCTACAGTACCTCGTCCATTTTCCGTTCCCGTTTGCGTACGAAAGTACGGCATTTTACTTTTACTTTTACTTTTACTAACCTCTGGATCTCGAAATCTCGCAATACCGTCGCTTACTTCGCTTTAGAGGGCGTCGCGTTTCCCAAGAACCCCGACGGGTCATTCAAAGTCCTCGATTCGCCCTCGTTCGTCCACGTCTGGGCCGACGTCGAGAAGCTGCTAGACACCGGAAAGGTGCGAGCCATTGGCGTCAGCAATTTCTCCGTCAAGAAGTGAGTACATGAGTGCATGCAAGGCGCGTCTTATCGGGATGTCGGAGCTGACATACGCCAACACAACAGCCTGGACATCCTCCTCAAGTCCGCAAAGGTCATCCCAGCCGTCAATCAAGTGGAGTAAGTCTCATCGCACAAATATCACCGCCTGCTAAGTACTAACATGACACTGGACACCGGAAAGGCTACATCCGTACCTCGCGCAGCCCGACCTAGTCGAATACTGCAGGAACAAGGGTATCGTGGTCACCGCCTACACCCCGACCGGTAAGAATGCCCTAGTGATAGTGAGCCGCTCTGCCAGTGTGATGTTGATGCTCTTTCCAGGTTATCAGAACGTTCTCACTAACCCCACCATCACGGACTTGGCGGACAAGTACGGCGTCAGCCCCGCGCAGATCGTACTGGCGTGGCACGTCGCGCGCGGTGTCGGTGCGGTGCCGAAGAGCAGCAACGAGGAACGGCAGAAGCAGAACATCACCGTACGTGTTCCTAAGTTCTCAGGAAAAATCGTTTCACTTATTCGCTATATATGTGAATAGCTGCCGACGCTGGCGAAGGCGGACGTCGCGAAGATCACGGCGCTGGACAGGGGGGAGCGGATCTTTGGCACGCTGGACGAGAACGGCACCTTTCTTGGCGTGACGCCCGAGCAGCTCGGGTGGTGAAGTAAGTGTTCCGAGTGTATATGGGAATGCTGGACTTTGGGAGATGGACCAAACCGTACGCGTTGTAACGTATCACGTATCATTCGCTGCGACGCTGTGTCGAGTATAGGATCCGGTCTATTCGTGCAATCGTACTTCCTCCGTTATTCACCATCCTCACTCCTCGATCGACGCTCATACGTCAACGCGTCAAATCCCATAAATCAGTTGCCGTACGCGAACAGTATCGCGCCTCAAGTCTCAGCGATTACCGGCACCACCCAAGGACCTCCATCGTGATTCGCGGCGCCATACACCTTGCCCTTCTCATCAGGTTTGTTGCAAACAAACCCGCTCCCCTCTGTCGCGAGCCGTAATTTCCGCAGTGTCCGATGGCTCCAGCGTTGTTGGCAGCTTTAAACAACGAGTAAGTGAATGTGAATGTGAGTGCACAGATCCTTTCCCGACCTACCGATGAGCGGAAACTACCACCGTCACGGTGGTATTTATGTTGTTTCTGCCTTTCCTTTCTTTATTGCTGCTCTTTGGGGCCGCTGCGACGCCGCGGGCGACATGCGAAGCTAAGACTACTCGCCGAGTCGCGCGGGGGCAACACCGTACTTCCCCGCCAATTCCACGACGGTGGGGTTAGTCAGAACATCACATCCTGATATCCTGAGGTGAAGATTGTGAGACGAGCGCGCAGGGCCCTTCGTTCATTTGGTGGACCTTCCGGAACTGGAGCTCGCTCCCCCGCTCTCAACACAATAAATACAGTAAGGGTAAGTGCACAATCACTATCAGTGTCTTCCTTGGATATCTGAAATTCTGAATGACGCTTGGTCGCAAGGTGTCCCGATACTCGCAGCTCGGTTCGAGTTTAGGTTTAGCCGCTGATGTGTTGAGGTTGAGAACCTTGGGCGTGTTTTATGTTTTATGTTTTATTACCTCAAAGCCTAAAGGGGGACTGAACTTGGGAACAAGATTCGTTAGATTTGTCACGGTTGGGTACGGGTGTCCAGGCGTTTCGCGAATCGCGGCTATGTGGAGATCAAGGTTACCTTGACTTCTGTACAGTGTACACAGTACTAAATTTAAATGCCTCGTTACCCTGTTGATCAGCTATACACTTACTATCGGGCGCGTCACAAGGTCGGTAGAGTCCAAGTATACCGTGGTACTGCCATTGACGAGAACGTACATCATCATCTCTCTCACAGCATTGGCTATTGTAAGTCCTCCTTCCTGGAAGCCCCTCGTGGTATTCAAGTCGCACTAGTTTGCCACAGAAGCGACGCAAGTGTACCTCCCTGTGATCCACTTCATGATCTCGAATAGTGAGTATGCTCATTGAGCTTGGTTTTAGTCGAACCTAGAGCTGATTTTGCAACATAGTTTATGTCAATTCATACCTTACAAGGTGGCCTTCGACACAGTGGTATTGCATCCATTTTCAATGCCTTTCTCATAGTGTGAATTGGCGCGTTGGCTTGCGAAAGGATGGTCAAGGCTCGGACCTACTTTCGACGCAAGGTTCGCTTAGGTTCCGGAGTGAAACAACACGGGTTACGCTTTAGTAGTCCTTCTGCACCGTGTCCGAGTTACGGGACTCCGTATCCTATTTTCGGGGTACAGTTTACCATCAACCCCGTACTAATATACTATGGTTTCTCATTCGCGAGCACTCTTTGTTCTGTCCTTGCGCAATCCAAAATATAGTATACACCATGAGTACAAGTAGAAGTACATTCTCGCTTTGCGTATATACGTTAGGAATAAATAATAAATACGCCCCGACTTGTCCCCAACGTCTGAGAGTCGGGCGAGTCGGGCAGTCGGCGGATAGACGTGTACAGCCGTGGAGTTTGCATACGCGCTCAAAGGGAGCGAATCCGGGGTTGGGAGATGGGAGATAGGGCGAGGATAGATGCTGAGGGCGAGGATAGATGCTGGCGTCGAGCCGCGGGGCTGAAGGAATGAGGGGTGGCTGCGTCAAGCACCCAAGGTAAGGTAACGATTCGACTCGTCGAGAGTCGCCGTTGCGATGGTTGGTTGTTGTTTGATAAATATTCAGGCAGAGGGGAAGGAGAAGGATCTAGGGGAGGATGACGGTCAGCGGAATGATTTTATGAGCCTGAAGCACGAAGCACGAACCTGGGGTAGGCGGGGGAGGGTGGACGTGAGGTATCGCATGTGGTAGGTGGTATGTGGGGGCGGTAGGTAGAGGAGGTTTCGCGTTCGGAGATGAGATATTAGAGGGTATGTGGGTGTGTGGTTGGGGTGGTTTCCATGTGGTCGAAGTGGTTTTCATGTGGGTTAAATAATAGCGGACACAGGCTGCGGGATGTGGGATCTGTCCAACACGCCGTATTAGATACCACATCCACCATACTGACATGGAGCGAAGCAACTCACGAGATGGTTAGATTGATCCGATTAATACCCTGGGAAACGAGGTTTCAAGCGATGGTGCACCACGTTATGATCTGAGACGGGTGGTCCTCATCGAGCGGAACACCACCGAAGTCATCTTGTGGCTGACTCGTGTCGTGGGCAGCGGCGGGCTCGAGCTCGAGGAGGATGGTAGCGAGGTCGTCTGAAGTGGTGAACGCGTCCATTGCGATGGACGGTGAATGGTACGGCGTTCAGCTGTGCGGTATGTGTTTGGATTTGGGGTTGAGAACACTGGGTACGATGATACCGCAGTGTTAAGGGTGGGTTGGGTGTTGTGAGGTTGCGATGGGGTTGTCAAGTGTTAAGTGCAGACTCCCTATTGGAGTACTATCACTAGTCGGCCTAAGCGACGTTCAAAAAGCGGGGGCAAGAGGTGAAGGTCGAAAGTCGAATAATTGACGAAGTGGGGACGAGGAGGAGGTTCTTATATGATTTCGGAGGGACTGCATGGCCATTGTTCTAATTCGCAGTCATACGAAAATGGACGGCCGCTCGCGTGGTATTTGGGTTAAATTATTTTATGGTACGGGGGCCGCCATGTGTCGGCGACAGCTGTGTAGCGGAGCAGGGATACGTTGCACACTGAAGGGTAGCCAAACATCAGAGAGTACAACATCAGTACGTACATACGTACCGAACCCGGGACTCGGGATGCGAACGGGAGCAAAGAAAACTTTGTCCATTGTCCATTGTTCTCCTGAGAAATATAGCTTCAGCGCCATGTAAGCAACGTTCGCGAGTTCATATGTTCGCCAAACGATGTTGAGTGTTGAGGCATACAAGGTCGTGGTCGCAGTTATCCCTTGCCAGAGCTTGGAATTGCCACTGGAGTGACTGCATGATAGAAATTTGAAGGTGGTCGCAAATATAGGGGGTTCTTCCTTAATTGGTCAAACCAAGCGAAACCAAACTCTAGCCGCTAGCGACCACGTGATCACAATCGAGTTCATTATGCTCCAAATAAGGCAATTCCAGTTTCCTCTGACACCTGCCAGTCCATTGTGCTACGCGGGATCCTTTGTTGAAGAAATTGTCAATGGACATTGGAAGGGTTAATAATGGTTTCCCCTTACGAGGTTGGACTTACCGCTCACCCTCCCGCCCTCTTTCTCCTTGAGCTTGAGCCTTTCATTCGCCTTCACGACTCGTTCATTTCATCATGCAGTATCCTCAGCTACCAGTTGCGGCCTTTCTTGCCGCTGCTCTCGTCCTCATCCCCACACCCTGGCACTGGAGGGCGCGTAATATTGCCACCTGTGGCATTATATTCTGGCTTTTTGTCGTCAACTTCATATATGGCGTCAACTCTATCCTTTGGGCCTCGGATGTTATCGACCGCGCACCTATATGGTGTGATATCTGTGAGTTTAGCCTCGGCCCCCCAAAGGCATTCGATGGGCACAGTCTGATATATGAGCCTTTGCATAGGTACAAAGATAGTTGTAGGCGCATCCTTCGCTCTGCCGATATGCACAATGTGCGTGTGCAAGCACCTCGAAATGGTGTCTTCGAACCGCAAAGTAAAGTTCGACCATAATGACAAACGTCGTCGTGTGATCTTCGAATCGGTGATGTGTTTCGTGGTACCGCTTGTGTTCATGGCCCTCCGTGCGTCTATTCCTCTCCTAAATCATGGAACCAAGCTGATTGCTCATTTCCATCTAGATTACATCGTACAAGGCCACCGATACGATATTTTCCAGTACATCGGATGTCAAGCAACCGTCTATATCTCTGTTCCTGCCATCCTGCTTATCTGGGTCCCTCCCCTCTTCTTCTCCGTCCTCACTCTTATTTTCGCATGTACGTCTTTCTCATTCTCTATCTCCCACCCCGTTACTCACACTATCTCTCCGCCTTCCCTAGCCCTTGCCCTCCATCACTTCATCCGGCGCCGCATAACCTTCGCCGCCCACCTCCAGAACTCCAACTCGGCGCTCACCCCCAACCGTTACCTCCGCCTCATCGCCATGGCCATCACCGAAATCATCTGGGGCACCTCATTCACCACCCTCAATCTCTGGAACAACGTCCTCGGCGGCCTCCGCCCCTACACCAACTGGGCGGACGTCCACTCAGGGTTCTCCCGTGTCGCGCTCTTCCCCGCCATCCTCCTCCCGCCGCGCTTCATCTCGATGATGATGCTCCTGTGGACGACGATGCCGGTCTCGGCATTCATCTTCTTCGTGTTCTTTGGCTTCGGGGAGGAGGCGAAGAAGGAATACACGAAATTGTGGGCGTGGATACGCAGGAACGTTCTCCGCAGAAAGGACTCCGAGAAAGCGAAGATGATACCGCTGTCTGGCTCTAGCCACCAAAAGTTCCCTAAACCGCTCCGTCTATCGACGCTGGGCTCGTTGGCACTCTCCACCACACGGCCTACCGCCTCCACCACCTCATCCACGTTTGCCTCCACCGCTAACTCAGACTTGGAGAAAGGCACTCCTCCAGCGTATACCGCCTCGTCTACGAACTCTTCCTTCCCTCGCACCCCGATCAAGCGCGATCCCGATTCGTTTAGCATCTCGACTCTATCTTACTATGGCGGTGCCATCGACTCTGCACCAGCGCCTGAACACGAGTCTTCTCGCGTAATGGTACGAGTAGGCTTGCCTGCGTAAGTCCCTTCTTCCCCCGCACAACCTATCTGGTAAACTAACCTGTGTTCCTGAATCCAGCACACCACGACCTATGTACTCCCTCAACGCCCCCAACGCCAACCCATCCACCAGATCATGTCCATCAACGTTTCCTCGCTCAATCGGGTCGACCGAGAGTCTTCCCGCATGCATCCAAATATCCCCCGCCTCCTCCCCATCGCACTCTCCCTCTTCTTCGTACGAGAACCTCACCATCACGACCTCCGACTCCCATTACGCCACTGCCCCGTCCTCGGGCTCGTTCCTCACTACAAAGCCCAGCACGACGTTCACGCTGCGCTCCATCCCCTCCGTCGAGCGCATCTACCTCGTCTCCTCCCCTTCGGGCTCGCGCCCCCAGCGCGTGAGATCGCTCACGCCCGCGCCGTTCAGCGATCTGCAGGAGATCCCGTCGGAGCCTGAGGAAGACGAGAGGTCGTTTTACTCACAGTCGCAGTCACAGTCGCAGTCGACGGTGTCTTCAAGGAGGCCGTCGTTGACTGAGGACGGACACGATGATGAGACGGTTCAGTGTGAAGATCGGCCGCATGTTGACGTTATGGGCGCTCTTGGACACTCGAACACGCCGTCATACTCGCAGCGCGGACTCATGGATGCGATTAGAGTGACCGTGCATACGGAGACGAGACACGGCGCTTGAGTGCTTGATGTACTCGCCCATGCCTTTTCTGTCTTCCTTTTCTCCTCTCATTCGGACCTCCTCATCATCTACTCATCATCTCTCATCAGCATACCATCGATACCTATATCTTTCGTTCTATTGTATAATATTAGAGACAAAGAAAGTAATAGCGTCTACCTACCTACAGGGCGTTTGTAGTTTATGCCACCATGAAAGGACAAAAATAGGTCCTCACTGTATATTTATCAGTCAAAAAAATTCCAAGATTCTCTTCATTTGTTATTCTGGCGAGACACTGGTAGTGTTTGGATGACGTTGCTACGAAGCTCATGAAGAAATGTACATGTAGATTAAGACTTACACGAATGGTGTACATCTGATGGCGTGATCAATCCAACAATTCGTCGAGGAAAGCCTCCATCTCTGCTTTCGACCCCTTTTGAGGATGCGACGAACCGTCAGCGGGGGGTAATGCTGGGGGCAGGTTGAGTTCATCTACAAATACCGGTCCACGGACGAGAGTTAGAATCTAATCAATATTTGTTATCTCGCTAGGATGCAGGGATACCTACCTTCTTTGATCGTAAGACGGGTTGGGACGGCTGGTTTATTCCGCAGGTGCTCTGCCCTCGCTGAGAATCGTTCCTTCAGGTCTACGAACACATCAAATCAATCAAATACTCCGACTTAGATCCAGACTACAGGGAGCTATGTTAGGGAGGTAGTACGCACCCCGAGCAGCGTCCGCGGCTGCCTTCTCTTTGCTCAGTTGAGCTAGATCTTTATCCCATTCGATCTGCGACACGCGACCCTTCTTCGATGAAGCAGCAGGCGTTCTTGAGGACGATGGTAATATTTTCGATAAGGAATGATCGACGTCCTCGTCATCATCTTCTATAGCGTCTTTACCCAGCGGTATCCCTGGGAGAGCAGACTCGTCCGATATCCTCTGCCGCTCCAGAAAATGCGATAGATCAATCTCGGGCTCGACGATGGGTTCCCCTACATATTACAAGCGACGAGTCCACACGAGTAACACGTTAGATCCAGGAATATCATTGAACGAGTGGCTTACCGTCCGAATCTAACTCTGGTTCTGGTTCAGCATATCGATCTGCATTAGAGCCTAGCTGCCTCCTCGAGAACTTCTGTTCTAATTCTCTAGCTGCCTCCTCGTCCTCCTCATCCGGAGGTTCCTCGCCATCTAGCAATAATCTCTTGCCGAAGACAGCGGGACGACCACCCCCTCGTCGGCCTTTCGCGCGGAGGTACTTCCCTAGGCCGCCGCGTGATTTGCCTCGACCTCGACCACGGCCACGAGAGTCACTAGAACCGTCTGAGGTGGTGGTGGATGGCGAAGGGGCAGACATTGAAGTCCATGTGGCGGCGATGACTGATTCAGCGCCCCTGAAAACGTTAAGGGAATAGGGAACTAATTGATGGAAGAAATTTATTTATTCAAGGTTTCGTTAGCATAAGTACATTTATGATTTCGTGGGCATAATTGGGCATAAGGCATAGGCATAATCTTGATTTGGGCGTAAAATCGTGAGTGAGAAGAAAGCAGGAGAAAGCAAGAAGAAAGCAAAGAGGAAAGCGAAAAACAAAGCAGGTGCACAAAGCAAAACGACAACATTCACAGAACAAGGCGGTGAGATTGACCTCGAAGTGGAGGTTTCTGACTTTCAAACACGCGCGAATACGACGCCTGAAACCCTCAGTCAAGGGTTGCAGTCGGCCTATTCTCCGCGTGAAGAGGGACGCCTAAGATAAAAAAGAAAAACGTCCCAAGAGATGCGAATAAAAATAAGAAAGGCGAGAATAATAAAAATATTAATAAATTATACCACTTTCCGGATGCGTTACTGTGCATTTGGATGTTGGATTGCGTGAGATTGAGATCGTGGCAGAGATCTGGGATGGTTGGGAATGGAGATGGTTCAGAGATGGTTTCTTTGGTCGGCCACGGAAATGTGGCGAGCTCTGCGTTTGAGGGGAGGGTAGGTGAATGAGTATGTTTCTGCTGCTTCTTATCAGGGACTTTGTTCAGCAGCGGTGTATCAGCCAGTAGCTTAGCCGCGAGGGTATCAGGAATTGATATTTCGATGGTTAGGTCTGAAGTATCCAAGTCCACATCCGCGTTTCGTTTCATCGTCTCTGTGGGTGTGGCGAAGAAGCAGTCGATCTCGTCGCCTTCCTCGACTTTCTCAAGTTTAGTGGGAGACGATGCGAATAAAGCCAACGGGGTAAGAAGAGTCTCGTCTGAATCTTCAGAGTCGACGGACTAAACAACGAGAGAATGTGAGTAAGATACCATAACAGGCTAGAGGCCGAAGAAACTGACATCCTCATCGTCGCCACTAGCACTTGAAGAGGCATCAGGTTCCGAGCTTTCGTCATACAATGTGTCGTCGCCATCGTCAGAGGCGTTAGCGAGAACTCCAAATTCGGATGAGCCACCAGTTGACGAGCTGGTCATAGAGAACGTCCGGAGTCTGGATGGCGAAGTCCAGCTCTTGAAGGAGGCTAACGACAGCCGACGCTCGCGCCTCGCACTGGGAGAGCACGGGGTGTTCGGTGTATTTGGGGAGGGAAAGGCGGTGGAGGGAGGGCTATGCATGTTTGGGAGGGAGTGAGCTCGCTGGACTGTGGACCAACGCTTGAGGGATGCAAGGGACAAGCGACGATTTCTCGTTGGCGTAGTCGGGACGCTACGCGTAGCACTGGCCATGGATGGTGAGCTGGAAGTCCTTTTGATGCTTGGAACATAGCGCTTCCACTTCGGACTAGAGGGCGAAGAAGGGAAGGTGTGGGACGAGGACGCAGAGGAAGGCTGAAGGTTCTTTAGTGGATGGAAGACATCAAATGGTTGACTACTTACTGCCGACATCGTTCGGCGTCGCTTGGGGGTGAACGGAATTGACATAAGCCACTTATTGACCTTTTCGAACCCGCTACTTCTGATTTCAGTTTCGACGTCGTCATCGATGCCCTCAGAGTCGTCCTCGACTTCGACCGCAGAATTCTCGGAAATCCTGGCTTGAATCAAGCTTGCGGCTTCCCGAGCGATCTGTAACTCTCTTGCTGTCTTAGCGAAGGAAAATGTATCCACAGGGCTCCGGTGGACTCTGCTAGGCGAAACCTGAAGAGGATTTGAATTCGCGACGGAGCCAAGAATGGGAATTATACTTACGGGCTCATCGACGAAAGGATCAGATCTGTTGACCTCCTGGTGAATCACCAACTTCTTGGATGGCGAAGATAGGTCTGGGCGGATGCGGCTAGTCGTTGGGGCGGACGATGCCAAGGTAGCAGTGGGTGTCGCAAATACAGATGATGAAGCTTCCGATGCAGCATCAGAAGTCGTGTAGGAAGTCATGGTTGATGGAGAGGTAGCGCGGGAGGGGGAAATAAATTTAGATGGACGTTGGGATGGGGGTTAGAGAGATATGTGTGAGGGTAATTGTTGAGCGATACTTATATCTCCTGCAACCCTGTGAGAAATTGAACAAAACCGGAGGTGAAATAGCGTCTGTCGGGGGGAGATGACTCTTCGCCTGCTTATGTAGAACTCTGCGTGGTTTCCAGAACCACTAGATAGTCAGTCGGTGGTTCACTTGGCGCTTCCATTGTCCTCCAAAATACAGATAGTGGCCAGATTTGGTCATTGTAGTTGAGGGTGGCAACCCTGACGAGGGACAAACTTCGACAACCCTCGAGCCCGTTTCACGGTCGGCCTGCAACTTCCGGCTGTAATTGGCTCGCTGGGGCTGGTGCCCTATTAGCTAGCTTCAATCTGTCAAGACTTTGAACGTGCTATTCACCTTCCTCAGTGTTCGTGAAAGGGTTCACAGCCACCCCGCCCACTGCCTCATTCTGAAAGCTGCGTTATGATTGGCTGAGATCCGAGGTTGCTCTATTCTCGCTTCGGCTATTTTTAACACTAAGGGACGCGGAAGCATAAAGCAACAAATTAGCGCTACATGGGTTGCATTATGAGTCGGACCAACCATTCTGATCCGTTCCGAGCCCGGGATCCCGGAGAAACGTGATAAACAGATAATTTCATACAGTAGTTGTCCGTGAGTAGCGATAATACATAATGATTAGTCTGGTGATATCCATGAACCATCAAGTTGATCCATGCCAGCACGGATCCCTGGGGAACGACGTCAGGCTTGCAAATGTCGTATTCATCTGGACTGACCTTGGAGTCCCGTCTCAGAAGTGTATATGTAAAGACTAGAGGTGATGACTGAAAGTCAGTGATTGCGATGAGGTAAAAGAGAAGGACGCCGCACCAGTAATCGAGCGTTCATGTGACTACGCAGTAGCAAAACGCCCCCGATCTAGTCCTCTCGTCGTCGGAACAAGGGCCAGAATCGTTCGAGGTGGACGAAGATGACGCCGACGACGAAGCAGGCTGTGCCGTACCGGGAACGATGTAGGCAACGAGGGTGAAGAATATGTCCATGCGTGCTTTGAGTGGTGGGTTTGTGAGAGAGATTAAGATAGTTAGTCGTGAGGGCGGGGGTTGAGCAATGTTTTGGCCGCCAGAGACAAAGCCAGAGTTATATAGAGCAGAACATTGTCGAAGGCTGTCCAAGACTCGGTCTGTTCGCCAGTAATGCCCGGAATATCCAAAGTGCGTTGTTGAAGTGGAGCCTTCAAGGCGATGAAGCGGTTATTGTCACGTCGTGAGGTAGGGTCTGGTAGCAGCGACCACTATTGTCTTTTAAAAAACATGAGGTCTTAGTATCTGAGGACAAAAGCGGTGAGACATAGATGACAATAGATCCGCACGGCCAACCGAGACTATGGGCATGAGTGACGTCGGTGTATGCTGAACTTCCCTACGCCAATTCCTCTGTTAACTGTAAACCTCGTCAAGATAGCACACTAATAACGGAGAAAGAACATTCGTGCGGTGAATATAGCTAAATTGATGACGAACCGTTTATTGAAGATGGCGAATTTATGCTGAGGCGCACGCTGTTGTGAGGAATGCTTACATTTCGCAAGGACCCCCACTTCACTTGCTGAACGATTTGTAGGAGCAAAGACGCCCAACACCACGTAGTAAACTTGGGTATAAGCACCCCCGATCAACATCAATTGTCCGATCGCGGAGAAATGTGTCGTAGATGATGTTCTTCGCGTTTAAGAACATCCGGCTCCTCCTCCGCATCTGTACCCCTAATGTTTGTCAAGAACACTGTCAAGACGAAAGCAACCACCGCCCATGGTATCAACGAGATGAATGCCCATCTCACGCCGTTCCTAAACCCATTCCTCACTAATTCCTGGACATCCGGTGGTAGGATGTCTATCTCCTGGATGGAACCCAACCCGCCGCTACCAGAGATCGACGCGAGGGCTGCTGCATGTTCTGCGGAGACTGCGCCCGATGCTACCGCGTCTTGAAGATAGACACGGACTTTAGCATTGAGTACTGCAGCGCACTGAGCCAGGCCGATGGTCCCTCCGAGCGACCGAAACTACATAATCATCGTCAATCCGAAATTGATGGGGCATGAAATACTTACGAAAAGCAGCATTGCAGAAACAATCGCCAAGCGTTCTGGTGGCTGGGAGAATCGCGCGTGGATGGCTAAGGGGCCTATCGCTACACCGATACCGACACCAGCCAGAACCATAAATCTAGACCAACGGAGTAGAAGTTATCGCTAAGAGTGATCTCTAGATAATTAAGCGAAGCGCACCCTTTGACGAGATTCTGCTTATCCTGTTGCATTGCCAGCGAGATCAAACCGAGCGCGATGGGGAGGAGTAGGCCACCGAATAGGATTGGGTACTTCGGCTGTCGGAACATATACATTAGGAATGGATTACAACAGCTGAAAGAAAAGCTCACGTACCTGGCGCAGATGTTTGATCATGAGAGACGACAGCAATGACCCGCCTCCCTATAGACGATCAACGTCAGCGATGGATAAAACATGACATTGGTTCGGGAGGTCAACTTGCCATCCCAGGAGCGAAATACAACAGTTGAACGCCTGCATTCGTGGCAGATAAACCAGTAGCAATGGTCATAAAGATGGCGACAAAGTAGAGCATGACAATCATCACCATCCCCGATACAAATGACGCAGCTAAAACAGCGCACACATCGTATGACGTGAATATCTCCAGTGGAATCATCGGCTCGGCAAGGAACACGGCTAACAAGTTCACTTTTGCGGTATCGGTACGTTGGCTCTCTAAGAACCACTCCCAGAAGAGGCAGATCGATATGAGCAGGCCTCCTAAAACGAAGCATACAATAACTTTTGCGCTATTCCATGCCTCGTTGGATCCCCAGTTTAACGCCAGCAGGAGTAGCAGACCCCCAGTGATGAAGATGAAAGCGCCGATCCAATCGATTCGAAGAAGCCGTGCAACGAATCCCTGATCTCCCCGACTATTGTAACGGGCATCGACTGCAGCTTGACGATCCTTCAGTTTGTTCCGCAAGAGAACAAGGGATAGAATCATGGACACGGTGCAACAAGGAAGGCTTGTGCGTTTCAGCGAAAGGCTTCGATAACATGTGGGGGAACGGCTCACTTGATTGCGAAGATCCATCGGAAGGATATACCGACTAACGCACCGCCTATAACGGGACCAATGACATATCCGATCGTGTAAAGGAAGAACAGCAAAGTAGTCTGCCAGTTGTTGCTGTCCAGCGATCTTGAATCAGAGATGATCACCCGAACGATCTGTAATAAACATATCAGTCATTTCTTTGAACCGAGACGATTATAAACAAACAGTAAGTAACCCGGCCGCGCCGACGCCCGCTACTGCTCTGCCTGCGAGCATAGTCTCGATATTCAACGCACCGGTGCTGATGGCACTCCCTATCATAAAGATAAACAACGAGAGCTGTAGGGCGAAGTGTCTGCCGAAAACATCGGAAAGTGAGGCAAATAATGGGAGGAAGGCCGTCGATGTGAGCAAATAGACGGTTCCTATGTAACTAGGCAGCAGCATTAGCTACAGTAGTTGTACCAAGGGTGAATACTACCTCTGGAGATCTAGTCGGTTGAAAGCGGACTGGGCATTGCAGAACATCAGCAAGGATTCAGATGCTTATCAGGAACATACAGCGATGTGAGGCTGCGCGGTCGCCACAACTAGACAAAGGTCAGCGATCTACGGGATGGCAGGGAATGGCCACTTACCCGTATAATCAAGCGTTTCTAACAGAACTGGCACGGCGAGACAAACAGACAATGTCAACAGCCACCTCCAGTGTTCAGATTTGACTGTGGAGCGAGGCTCGAGCTCGTCTTGACGCTCATGGCTATCTCCAAAATTTCGTTTGAAGAATCGATAGGTGGCTCTGAAGAGCATCTGAACGTTGCGTGGGTGATGAGCAAGTCTACTTGCAGTTAATAAGACCCACGCATGATCATCACTACAGCAAGCTACAGCAGGTGCTGCGCACAGGAACTGCGTGCGTTCAACTGCGGTCGACTGATTTCATCTTTGACTGTGATCGCCGACGTGCTGTAATTAGATTGATGCACAGCGTCTGCGGGGTATGGGAAGTCCTCTTCCATCGGGTCAGTGCCCGGTCGTGGGCGTTCGGGTTGTGTCGGGAACAAATGCTTCAGTGCGAGTACACCGCAGAGTATACAGTCCGGCTTGGGCGACGTAAAAGGGAAGTCACCCCAATGCCAAGTTATGAATGTACCAGTGGATGAACATCTAAAGGATTCCTTCTCGCAGCAAAACACTGGTTTGATTCCCGCGTCATAACAAAGGAGCGGAATCCTCGCGTAGCTCCAAAAGAAACCGACCTCTATAGAAACCCGAAAAAGCTGCAATGAACCTTAAACACTCGCCGAGTCTAGTAATGAGGTAAACTCGCCAGGGTAGAGTAGTTCCACATTCCGAGAAACGTTGATGTCCTTCGCAGCAAGCTGAAAGCGAGAACTCGAAACCAAAGCTTAGTCGTAGGTAGTGCTAGACTGCTCGTGCCACCGCAGCAACTAGTGGCGCCTCCAACGAGGAGTCATGAAGGACGATAAGTTGTCGAATGAAGATTAAGTAGCTAATATCTCAAGATGCGGTGCCATTCAGAAAGAAGTTTGGAAAGAGTATTAATGGTAAACATTTCTGGCCGTCGTGCACGTGTCCCCCTTATAGCCCCTGTGTGGTATAGTAACTTGCTTCAACGTCGATGTCGGTTGAATGGAAGGGGGCAATAATTTAACCTGGCAGGTCTGATACCCCCAAAGTACAGCTCATCGGCGGATGGAATGCAGAAAAAAATATCTTTGCTGGACACGTTGCAAGGGCGAACACGAGTCTAGGCAAGTTTACGAGCTGCAGAAGAATTTCACATATATCCTCAATGCGATATCTACTCTAGAAAGGATTCAATCGCACCTGCAGATGAAGCCTAATCGCATCGTATGATCACTTTGAGCCCGTGCTCGCGAGCAAAGGACCCAAGGGCGTCGACAGGTGATATATTTCCCAATAGCGGAGCAAATGCTTTCTCGAGCTTGGCAATCTCCTTTGCATCGTCCTGCCAGGGATATGGCAAAGAAGCTCCCGGGATAAGATCAATACTAAGGTTGACCCGCTTCAACATCCCGAGGCTATGGAGCGGTTGTATGGCGCAGCATAGCCCTTCATATTCCTCAAGGCGTGGTGCCATGTGCTGACAAGCAATCTTGATGGTAAGCTGCGTAACACAAGCGGGGTGCGGGAGGCACTGGAGAGACTCCCTTGCAAACTGGATGACCATAGAGTACGAGGCGTGGTATGGTCTGCGTATACAAATGATGCATATGTCGGAGGGGGATATTGTCGTGCCGAGACACGGAACAGATTTGCCGACTACAAGGGAGTAAGCCCAAAGCAGACATCATGGAAAATTGGAGTATAAGCTATACCATCGAGAACAAGCTTGGCCAAACCGGCGGGAATCCATGAAGGAATGTCACAAGAATCATTGGCAATTGTCAAGGATTGGAGATTGGGGCAAGCAATCAAGTTGGGTGGAGGAAATCCTCTGAGCTGCAAGTTGTGGAGAGAGTCCAGACGAACGGGGTCTGTTTCCACTGATGTTGTCTCTTGAAAGGTGTTGAGAATGTCTAACGTCAAATCCTCAAGGGTATTTGAGCATGCGGACAGGACATGCAGCAGGTCCGATCCATTCTCCTCGATGACCCAACTGTGAAGGACAAGACGCTTCAGAGGGACGGTAGAGATCAGGGTCAAGATACCCAGCATGCACAGCCTTCCGTATGAGGCCCTGGTAGAAAACCCGAGGGCAATGTATAGAGCACGTAGATTCGTAAATCGATCGAAGTAGTGTCTTTCAAGATTCAGAGCCTTGTTCAACTCATTTCCGACAGATATCCGAAGGTCGAGGATATGCTCGTAGAGATGAGGGGATGTGAAGTGCAGGAAAGAAAGTCGAGCGTTAATTTGACCCGAATGCATGACGATCGTGCTAAAGATGTGAGGCCGGCATATATAGTTCCATGCGCGACATGCAAGGGAGCAAGAGGATAGGCCTGGGGCAATAGGCTTCTTGCGGAAAAGCCAATCCTCCCTCGAGTACAAGGCGTCGTGCTGATCAGCGAGGTCAGCGATAATATCATGGATGAGCTCAATGGGGAGCTTTTTGGAAGAGGAATTGGAAGCCAAGGTCTGCATGCTACATCGCAAATACATCTGAGTGGGCTGCAGTCGTCCAGGAAAGCGGAAGGACTCGCCTACAGATACCAGACAATGGTTGCGGATTAACCATGTTTGGGGCGCCTATCATCACTTCATTCTCATACCTCGCACCAGCTGGGCAAACACGTAGAATAACTAGTCGTCTCGACAGGTTTTGTCCTCTCCTGAATACAGCCTCTAACTACTCCCAGAGTTACACTACTAATTATTACAAGTGTTTCATGGTGAATCACCATCCGAGTTCCTCGACTGACACTCCCCAGACTCTACCATTTTCATCCGGCTTGTTGCATAGCCTCTGCCCCTTGTCCAGCGCCGTGATCCTAGCGACGTCTGTTACGTCCAAAGTAGGAAGCTGTAGATCAACCAGTAAGTAAACAACACATGCCACACAAGAAGAACTGACATTGATATTTTGCTTCTGTCTTTCCACGTTGGAGCTCTTCGGGCAGGCGCTACCTCCTCGCGCGACGTGCCACGCCAGTACGATTTGCGCTGGAGAGACACGGTACTTGCCCGCCAGTTCAGTGATTGTGGGGTCAGTAAGGACGTTTTGATAGCCTAAGGCGAAAATCATCAGACGAGTGCATCGCAACAATCGTAGCAGAGAGCCTCACCGGTGGGAGTGTAAGCAGTGATCAAGATGCCCTTTTTCTTGCAGTATTCAACCAAGTCGGGCTGCGCGAGGTACGGGTGCAATCTTGAAAGGTCAAGTTAGCGGACAGGGATTGATGACAATGCTTCGCTGGATGTCTTACTCTACCTGGTTAACCGCGGGAACGACTTTGGCGGTCGACAGCAGGGTCTCGAGGCTATTGTCGCACATCAGTCACCGCCTTGCAGCATCAACAGCAAGTCTAATGCGCTTACGTCTTGACCGAGAAATTGCTCACGCCAATCGCCCGCACTTTGCCAGTATCGAGCAGTTTCTCCACGTCCGCCCAAACTTCGTTAAACGACGGGGATTCGACGGTTTTGATCGATCCGTCCGGGTGTTTGGGGAAGTCGTTTCCCTCTGGAAGAATGAACTGTCTTACAAGGACCTTCAAGTGGGGTTCGTAGGGAGAGAACCGTACCTTCAAGTACAACTCGTTGAGGCCAATGGACTAGGTACTAAGGACGCAGATATTATTGGCTTTAGTCAGTCGTTTCTTAACCGAAGGATAACAACGCCACTCACTAGGTCGACGTAATCAAGTCCTAGATTGTTCAAAGATTCCTGGAAGGATTGGGCTACGCGCGAGTGATGGTTCCATCTGCGCCAAGGTATAAGACAACTCTTGTTGGCTTATCTTGACACTCACGGGAGCTTCGTCGTGACAAAGATCTCTTCGCGCGGAATGCCAGACTCTCGTATGGCTTTCCCAAGGGATTCCTCGGTACCTAAATTATACCGAAGTGTTAGATGCCGTTAATCATTGAGTCTTACTATTGTGTACTCACCGTACATCTGTGCAACATCGATGTGCCTGTACCCAGCCTGCCGTGGTGAATCTCAGCGATCGAGCTCAACTGTACGGCGTCGCCGGGAGATCGACCAACCGACCTGCAATCCCGTCAGAAACCACCCTCTCGCTGCGGCCCTCTCTTCAGCTGTCAAGCCACCCCAGCCGCCCAGCCCTACACGAATTGAAAAGGAAGAAACTGTAGTTAGATAGCAGCGAAGATTAGCTCGGGAAGATCACACCTATTGCCGGGATCTTCACACCGTTGTTGAGAGTGAGGATGGGGACTCCGGAAGACATTGCGCCAATGTGTGTGCTGTGCGTCAGGCTCGTGTAACTCGAAGGAAGGCAAGATATACTGCCATCCTACCGCGTTGCCGTGTATTTGCCTTACTCAGCCTCTCTCCGCATAGGCAAGGCATTGAATGGACAGTGACAAAGCCCATTTCACCGGCATCTCAGCGGTGGCATACGCAATTATCCCGACCAATCGCATCCCATCGTATCACGTCACGCCCACACGGACGTGGGGAAGGCTTAGGCTTAGGAAGATCAATCAACAGAATTCCATGTGATTCGCTGATACAAGCTACAACGAGCTGCAACGATACAATCGTACAACGTACCTATCCCCAAATATACGAAGCGTTCTATAGCGCTCCCTGGGGGGAGGAATACCTCTTCTTTAGATCCCTTGTGCTAACCCATCCCATAGATTTCTGTCCGTAGATATAAGTGAAGATCGGCGGTGTTTACAGTCGGCCTTCGACGCGGTCCTCGATCAGTTTCGCAACCGTAGGACCGTGGACTGGTATTTCTGTGCCTTGGAAGCCCTCCGGATAGTGGACGCTAGGCTTGTCGAAGACGGAATGATACCTATAGCGCCGTTGGTACTCGTATCTCATAATATGAATGGGGAAGTAGACGTACGTATCGTTCCAAACTGAGAAATGCGTCATTCCAAGAGCAGTTGTTGTCCATTGATAGTCGTGGGCGAAGCCTTCGGGGTAGAATATCTCTATAACGGTGGACAGCCGCGACGGGGGCATCAGAACAAGGTGCGTGAGTCCGTTCCCATGCACTCCAAGCATAATCTACAGGGAACCACCATGAGAACAGCGACACTGACATCGCAGAACAACTTACAGTACTCCTCGATACCGCTCGCACTTGTGAATCCTTCGTCATCTTCTCTGCCTCCAAAAGCTGGAACTCCCATCCCTGACCCTTCCGATCCACCAGCTCCTGCAGTGCGCTAACAAGTCCTTCGTGATCTTCGTCGATGAGCTTCCTCCGATTGCCCGCTTGCCTGCTGATATACGTGATCACGATAGTCTCGGGTGCAGGCAGCTGCGTCATCGGCAATATCATCGCCTCCGGCCCCCCAACGCGCAACGCTTCCGCGAGGGCCGCCTGCTTCGAGGCAGGTTGCAGACTCGCATCTAGCTGCACACCGGCGAACTTCCAAACTGCTTTGCGAATGGGCGACCACCACCCGCCAACAGCCAGACCCGGCAGCTGCCCACGTGTGATCATGGCCTCCCATGCCTCTGACGCCGTGCGCTGGGTGCGACTTCCGCAGGACTGGCCGCGGAAAGCGCCGCTGCGATCTGCGAGTAGGACGAGTGGGAAGTGCCAGGCCCGTTGGTGCGTCGCGCTGTAGAAATCATCGTGTGAGGTGTTCGTTGTGCTCATCGTGACACGATCCTGCCAGTCTTCGGCATGTTCGATCGTGGTGGAGGGGAAGGCAGCGCGAAGGAAATAGGCATCGAAGCCAGGGGAATCTCGCCATCCATCTGCATCGGAGTGGACGAAGATCATTCGATCGACTTTTGGGGGCGGCGAATAGACGTCGGCGTACTGGAAGACTGTGTCGTACGAAGACTCGGTGAAGGAACCTGTCCAGATGGCCCAGGCACCAAAAAGAAGCTCTGCAACCAGGTGGTAATAGTGATGAAGAAACTGGCGCGGATCATTGAACAACCACTACTTCATTGTGAGCACGTACATATTGTAAACGGAAATGGTACGCACTGTGCTCCCCTCAACAGAGACTATACGGTTGAATGTTTCACCGATCGTGAAGTCGGGCCCCCAGAGATCCTTCGCTTCTTCCGGAGTCAGGAAGTCCATATTTTCTGGCGTAGCATCACGATCTTCAATATTATCGGGATTATTTTTGAAGGCGATACCAGTACTCGACATTGTTCGAATTTGAGGGAATGCCTCTCTGTCGGATGTGACGATGTATAGAGTGCCGTGGGCCATGTAGAGATTGCGGAAAACAGTCCATCCCGGCGCGTGCTGAATGATCGTGGTCTCGGGGATAACTGGCGCGAGATCAATGGAATTTGTAGGTTCGGGAGCCACGGTCTCCGTAACGGTTTCGGTGACGGTGGCAGTTCGAAACTGGTTGATCGTCCTGGTGGCATGCCGCGTTGTGTAGACGGTGGTAGTCGCTCTACCAGAGAGTTTTGCGGTAGTGTGATCGAGAGCGATGGGGTATTGGTTGAAATGGGTATTGACCGTGATTCTATCCGGGATGAGGAACCACGCAGATAGTAGGTACATGGACGCGGCCCCCGCAACGAGGAGCAAAATGTCTCGCGGGGACACTAAACGGGAGATCATCGTGGGCGGACGCAAGGAGGGGGTGGTGGTGACCAAAGGCAACCCTTCTTCTCCAAGACTTCGCATATAAGTGAAGCGTTCTGTCGGCAAAAGACGGTTAAGAACCAACGAATCTAACCAAAAATTGACAGGGAGCTGTCATGAGCACGCAGTGCAGACGCGTTGTGGGAAGGTCCTGGTCAGCGGTTGATGAGCGTCAAGCAAAGAACCGAACGCGTACGTACAAGTTGCAAAGATGATGTCTCGGGCCCGGTATGTCCTTCGGGCGTTGGCCTGAATGGAGGCAGGAGGAGTGGATTTCATCGTATGTTTACCGGCCGTATTATATATAGCTTGTAAGTATCAAACAGCGTTTGTTCTGATCAGCACGCAGTATGGAAGACGAATTTCGGTGTCGATCCCAAGCCTAGGCCGATGTACTGCAAATTTCATGATCAGGAAGTCGTGTTAGGCCAAGGACTTCGGGGGGAAAGTGCGTTGATAAGATGATAGGAGGTTGAAAAGTCGCAGCACTGGCCTCGGTGCCTGGGCTCATGGATGAGAAAAGGAGACGAAAGCTGAAGTAAATTATGAGATGGCTTCACACGTCTAAGAACACAAAACAATCTACGCTATACTACTTGAGACCACAGAGGAAGCTCAAGACCTTCTGATAATTGTACCCCGGCGCGGCAGGCCGCCGCGAGAAGTTAGCCTGGTGGACCAGTCTTGTCGGTTTGACGATAACGATTGAAAATATCGTACTGCGAGAAGTTACGGACAGAATTGGTCAACCCAACTTGGTCAACCTCCAGCGAAAATCCATTTCCTCGCCTTCCGACGTGGGCTAACTGTGAATCAGATCAGGGCCTTCCTCGCCTTTCCAAACTGTCACAAGCATCTAGACTCTAGAGTAACTTCTCCGATGGGAGCGTAAAGTAAGCCTCGATACGCTGCACACTGTGGGTTTTACCAGCCGAGAATCTCCAACTCAGTGGCGACGACCATGTCGTGGACGTATTAGTGGAAGTGGATCATGATGTAGAAATCGAGAATCAACATCGATGAGTACAGACAAGGTGTGCGATACTACGACTGGACCATCTTCATCCTACACCTACATTGGCATCCATGTTGACGAGGAATTTATCAGGGGAACTACCTAGTGCGTGCACAGGCATTCAACGTGACCTGTTGGCCGACCAGAAATGCATCCTTGAGCTTGAGGACCGTGACCGAGGCCTTAAACTTCTTCATTCAGATAAGAGGTGTATCTCGCGGCTCACCAATTAGTATGAAGACTCAAGAAGCGAAACGTTGACTTGCCGAAGGACCCGCTCATACTTTGCAGAATGGAGCATCCGGCCACGAGGCATCCTTTCCCCCCTTCATCGCTGCCGCAATGCAGACGAAGCAGACCGGCACGCATCCATCACTCGCCAGTGGCCTGCTTCCCGCATCATTTCCGCTGCTATCGAAATTGGGTTGGATGAATCAGCGTACAGCTTATAAATGTCGACGTCACCCAGCCCATGGTCAATAAATACATGGGCAATGGTTGCACTGGTCCATAGCCTGCTCGTTCCAAGTCTTCGTCAACTACCACATAATACACAATGCCCTCTATACCGATTTATACTCTCAACAACGGAGTAAAGATTCCAGCGATTGGTGAGATCAATATGTATCTGCGCAGAAAACAATATCATTGACTTGCATATCTACTTAGGGCTAGGCGGCTGGACTGGTTTAGACCCTAAAGAGCAAGAGGCGGCCAGAGGATGGTTTCTGACAGGACTACAAGTCAGTAATCATCCCCTTCATTTACGTAAGTTCCTCGAAATAACAGCAACCATGATAGGCTGGGTATAGACACGTCGACGTAGCGCACATTTATGGTGAGGAGATACACTAGTCTGTTCCCCGTGGAACACATTTACTCACAACTTAACATCTGTAAGGCACCGAGGAATCCCTTGGGAAGGCTATAAAAGAGTCAGGCCTTCCGCGCGAAGAACTCTTCATCACGACGAAGCTCCCGTGAGTCAGCCTCTTGATTCTGCGAGACATACCTCATGCAGTGTACCATCTGTATATTTGCAGATGGAGCCACCATTCCCGCGTAGCCCAGTCCTTCCAGGATTCCTTGACCTCCCTAGGCCTTGACTACGTCGATCTGGTGAGTATTGTTATCCATGAATTCAGCTTCGGTGCTAATTAAATAAACGCCTAAAGTACCTCCTCCATTGGCCGCACCGAGTTGAGTACGAAGGTCCGTTACTTCTACCAAATGTCAGTTTTCGTGAATTAACATTGCGCTTTTCAGAGGGGAATTACCTTCCCAAAGGACCAGACGGATCTCTCCGAGTCGTCGAATCGCCCTCCATGGTCGAGGTGTGGGCCGACATAGAGAAACTGCTCGACACCGGGAAAGTACGGGCCATCGGCGTGAGCAATTTCTCGATAAAGAAGTGAGCCCTCCTTTCTTATTGTTTCGCGACGCGATGATTGATGCATGTAATCATGGATAGTCTGGAGCTCCTTCTAAAATCGGCGAAAGTCGTCCCCGCCGTTAACCAAGTCGAGTAAGTTGTTCGCAGGCGTTCACCGACCGACCGATGTTTGCTCATCAGGCGGTTGAAGGATGCACCCATACCTCGCGCAACCCGAATTGCTGGAGTATTGCAAGAACAAGGGCATCTTGGTTGCTGCGTATACCCCGACAGGTGGGTTTGTTATCACTATTGACGGCGCGCGCTCGTCTCACAATCTTCACTTTAGGTTATCAGGACGTTCTGACTAACCCCACCATCGTGGAATTGGCAGGGAAGTACGGTGTTGCCCCCGTGCAAGTAGTCTTAGCTTGGCATGTCGCCCGCGGCGTCGTGGCGGTCCCAAAGAGCAGCAATAAAGAAAGGCAGAAACAAAATATCACGGTGAGAGTTTCCGCTCATTGGTAGGGAAAGGATCTGTGCACTCACTTACTCGTTGTTTAAACAGCTGCCAACGCTGGAGCCATCGGACATTGCGAAAATTACGGCTCTCGACAGAGGAGAGCGGCTTTGCAACAAACCTGATGAGAACGGCAAGGTCTATGGCGCCACGATGGAGGTCCTTGGGTGGTAATCGCTGAGCGACTTAAGGCGCGACACTGTTTGCGTACGGCAACTGGTCTATAGGATTTGACGCGTTGACGTATGTGCGTCGATCGAGGAGTGAGGATGGTGAATAACGGAGAAGGTACGATTGGACGAATAGATTGAGGTGCTGACAATAGCGGATCCTATACTTGACACAGCGTAGCAGCGAAATGATATTTTACAATGTTTTGGTACATCTCCAAAGGTTCAGCATTCCCATACATTCGGAATACTTACTTCACCACCCGAGCTGCTCGGCCGTTGCTCCAAAAAGGGTGCCGTTTTCGTCCAGTTTGGCACAGATCCTCTCTCCCTTGTCCAGAGCTGAAATCTTGGCAACGTCCGATGGATCCAGTGTTGGTAACTGTTCATCCCGTTCATTAACATAAATGTCATCAACACTCAAACTCCAAATAGCATGTCTTACATTAAGGTTTTGCTTCTGTCTTTCTGCATTGCTGCTCTTCGGTATGGCGATACATCCGCGGGCGAGGTGCCAAGCCAGCACTAACTGCGCAGAGGAAACACCGTACTTTCCCGCTAACTCGGTTATAGTTGGATCGGAAAGGACTTTCTGATAACCTGGAATAAAGAACATAAGGTGAGCATGTGCACGATGCTGGTCTTCACAACCCTTGTTACCGGTAGGTGTATATGCCTCGACGGCGATGCCCTTGCTCTTGCAATATTCAATTAGCTCATTCTGAGCGAGATATGGGTGCAACCTTGTAGACGGTGATCAGTGTGTGATGAGCTGCGCTTTCAAGGCCGCTTACTCAAACTGGTTAACGGCGGGAACGACTTTAGCGGACTTGAGAAGGATCTCGAGGCTAACGATGCCCACATGTCAGTCAGGTATCGCGTCACTAGATTCATCTGTGCCGTCCACTTACTTCTTGATTGAGAAATTGCAGACACCGATTGCTCGAACTTTTCCGGTGTCCAGCAGCTTCTCTATTTCGGCCCAGAGCTCCACGAAAGACGGGGATTTAGCAACTTTGATCGAGCCGTCTGGGTGCTTGGGATAAAACTCCCCCTCTGAAAGTAGGCACGATGTTATGATAGCCATAGGTGCTCTTAGAGAAAGATTTACCTTCGTATTCGAACGGAAAAGGCCAATGGATCAGGTACTGTGGTGAATATTCGTTTTCGTTAGTCGTATCTTCAGAACTGACAGTGAAGAATATTCACTAGATCGACGTAGTCAAGAGCTAGATTCTTCAAAGACTCCTGGAAGGATTCAGCCACACGTGAATGGTGACCCGCGCTGGGGATGGAATAATCAAAGATAACGTGTCAAGTTCATCGCGGACGCTCACACTCACGGAATCTTCGTCGTGATGAAGAGCTCCTCCCGGGGGATACCAGATGCCTTTATAGCCTTTCCAAGGCCTTCCTCGGTACCTGGTAAGAGAGAGTAAGCCCCGCATGCTAACCGGGTCGTCGCTGGGCACCCACAATAAATTTGGGCTACATCGACCAGCTTGTACCCAGCCTAATGTGATCATAACATTAAGCCCTAGGGACGCAGGGGGATAAAACTTCGCCTAACCTGTAATCCAGTCAGAAACCAGTCCTTTGCAGTCTCCCGCTCCGCAGGGTGATAAGTACCGCCTCCCAATCCTATAAGCCGTACGTATCAGTAAGTACACTGAGGTTAAAGCCTCGCTCAGAAACATACCGATGGCTGGTATTTTTACACCATTGTTGAGAGTGAGAATGGGTATCGGGGACATATTAGATGCAACGGCGTATTGCTAGAGTTCGAGCAGATAGATAACTGGGTGTCTGAATCCTGCACTTAAATACTGTTCAAGGGGTTCAGAACGGTCCAGGATTAAAGCATATCATAATGCCCTTTTCACCGGGATTTACAATGAGCTGACTCATTGTCTTGCGACGAACAGAGAAAGTGTAGGGACGATATGCCGAGCCTCACGGACATGAGCGTGTCTTCCTGACAATCCTCTCACGAGAGCTACCTTCAGGGATGATCATCAATACAAACGATACAAAAGGCGTAACCGTAACACATACAGTGAGGCACGACATAAATCCCCAGGGGCCTTGGGGGTTGGATGCAAGGAGGGTGAGTGACCGGCATCCCAACCGGCAACTCGATCTTGCAACTCGATCTTGATCAGTAAGTACTGTTACCCTGAGTCACTAACACGATCATAAATGCGGTTCGGCACCATCCGATATATGTACTCCCATTCAGCGAGTACATGGGTCTCGTATATCATGCATAGTATCTTACCATGTCCACACCGTGTGGATGGATCGCCATCGCCTTCTGTTGCTCACCACCCAAGCTGCTCCAGCGTCATTCCAAATACTAAACCAGCTTCATCTGGCTTGACGCACAATCTCTCCCCCTTGTCCAGAGCCGTGATCTTTGCGACGTCCGATTTCTCCAACGTCGGCAGCTATTTACATAGCGAATAAGCGAAACAGTTCCTCCTGAGAACTTAGAAACACGTACGTTGATGTTCTGTTTCTGCCTTTCTTTGTTGCTGCTCTTCGGTACCGCAACGATACCACGGGCGACATGCCACGCCAATACAATTTGTGCGGCGCTGACGCTGTACTTCCCAGCCAGTTCCGTGACGGTGGGGTTAGTAAGAACATTCTGGTAACCTGGAAAGAGTATTAAAATCACAGAGTCGCTCACTATCACTAAGACATTCTTACCGGTAGGGGTGTAGGCAGTAACCACGATACCCTTGTTCTTACAGTATTCAACTAGGTCGGGCTGAGCGAGATATGGATGTAACCTTTCCAATGTCACGTTAGTAGGCGGTGATATTTGCGTGATATGACTTACTCGACTTGATTGACAGCTGGGATAACCTTTGCCGACTTGAGGAGAATTTCCAAGCTGTTGGCGTATGTCAGCTTCGACATCCTGATAAGACGTGCCTTGTACTTACTTCTTGACGGAAAAATTGCTGACGCCAATCGCTCGCACCTTTCCGGTATCTAGCAACTTCTCAACGTCGGCCCAGATTTGAACGAACGAGGGAGAATCGAGGACTTTGATTGACCCGTCTGGGTTCTTGGGAAATGCGACTCCCTCTACAGCCAAGTAAGCAACTGTATTTCGAGATCCAGAGTTTAGTAAAATGTCGTACTTTCGTACGCAAACGGGAACGGGAAATGGACAAGGTACTGTAAGTGTTGACGGCAGTGAGTGTTGACGAGTTTGATATATCAGAGAATGATAGGCACCAGGTCGACATAGTCGAGGCCAAGGTTATCCAAAGACTCCTGGAAGGATTCGGCCACGCGCGAATGATGGCCTGCCCTACGAGATACAGACATATTGGATCATGGGCAAGTTCATCCACGGATGTCAGACTCACGGAAGCTTAGTCGTAATGAAGAGTTCTTCACGGGGGATGCCTGACTCCCTCACGGCCTTCCCGAGCGATTCCTCAGTACCTTGAGATGATCGCGGATCGCGAGGAATTCAGTTGAGCGTGCTCGGGGGGAGGGGGGAATTTGTAGGCCCACCGTAAATTTGCGCAACGTCGACATGCCTGTATCCAGACTGCCATAAATAAACACGAGTTAGATGATGCGGAGTGCCGCTGGGAGGTCCAACAACGGACCTGTAAGGCCGTCAGAAACCACGCTCTCGCTGCCTCCCGTTCATGAGGTTTTTCGCCGCCCCATCCACCCAATCCTGGGTGAAATGCCGATGCCATTCAGCAGGATACATTTGAGACATGAACAGTCAACCGTACCGATGGCAGGCATCTTCACGCCATTATTGAGGGTGAAAAAGGGTATGGATGACATGGTTGAGATGTAAGATTATGCTTGATAGGCTAGTAAGGAGAAGGTCTAGCGTAGATTATGAGTGATGCACCTTTTAATACCAGATGTTTTCGACTTACTCAGCCTAGGCGAAATATACCGCATACGGACCATTACTCTTGGGTTTGTAATAGGATTATTCATCCAGTCCCGAGGGGGCATAGTGGGAGAAGAGGTGTACCGCGATATACCTCTAGATAGAGTCGCTTTGTAATTGTCGAAGGCGCAACCAATGGCGTTCAACTCCAAAAGGGAGGAAGCAAAGAATGGTGCAATGGCCTGGACAGACTCAACGACTGCGGAGATCAAGAGGAACATGCTTACCTCCGAGTTGTTAGCGGACTAAGCTTCTAACCTGCCTATCCTCTGGCATTCGTTCGCATCTTAAACGTCGCCTTACATTCCACTTGGGGCGTATGACAGCGTTCAAACGTTCGCTCCCCGAACCTAATTTTCCGATTATCCTAGGCCATTGGATCCTGCGAACGTCCTAAAGACCGTCTGTGATTGTGGGCTGCCAGACGGCGAGTCTGGTCGTTGGGGAATGAATATACGGATTCGGCGGACGATTGGCCAACACTCTGCGTTCACGACCGTATTGTATCCGAGCAGGTTACTCGAGATCCTGCAGTCCATTGAATGTCTCCTCGAACAAATCCCTCCCGTCGAATACGGGAATGCGAGGCCTCAGGCTGCGGTGGCGATGGCATCCTTCGGAATGAATTGTTAACAATCGACCTCGAATGCTCGGTCTTGGCGCGGAGGTGTTGGCTGACCAGCACATTCTGGGAGATGGCGAATGACTTCAATCAACGTGAGGCACTGAAAATTCCAGGCTCAGAAGTCCTGGTTTGCTCCGCTAGGGCGAACTACAAACTGTTCCAACTTCCGTCGCTGAGCGCGCTAGATACAAGACACGCGATGGGTTCGTTCCGTCAACCTGGCTGCAGTGGCAAGCCTGGTTTCGCTTCCCCAAATGAGTGTGAGCATTTCACTCATTGACAAAAAGCGCAATGAAGAATTGAATACTTTACTGGATGCACATACGCCGAGTCTCGCGCTTGAGAACCGTAGTTGTCCCTCGTTTGCAAGAAGCAATGCAGGCTCTCCTCGCAAGATAGGTTGGCAGCGTTGCGGCGTAGATCCAAGTCCTGTATCTCGAATCTAACGGCACAACGGTGAACAGTAACTAAGAACTTGGTGGCTGCAGGGCGAACCTGCCCTCCGCGTGCTATATTCCCACGACCAGCTAGGGGTACGCGACCCAAACCCCAACTCGCGTCCTGTACAATCGAAAGTCCACGAAATGGCAGAAAGAAACGTAGCCTCCAAACACATCGCCGAAACTGAAGACACTGTGATGATTGACCCCAGCGAAACGCAACCCGAGCTCTAAAAACGAAGATCAATTCACCGATGCGACGCGTCTGGCGAAGAAACAGTGCAGTATGTACGAGCCGGAAAGCGAAGTCAAATCCGGCGCTACGTTCGCGAAATTACTTCACTTCCGGATGATCCCCTAGCACTTTCAAAGGTTAAACGTTAGGGCCTCTGTCCCCTGTTGGATCTCCACTTCATGACATGCTCTCACGTTCGCGAGTCAGCCCCGACATCCATTTTGAAGACCCAGTTACACGGCCGCTCAATTGTGTACGGCTGCAAGAACTTCATAAATTATATTCTGAAACAGCTGAAAAGTAGTTGTAAAAACGACTACCATGACGGGTGTGAGGAACAGGCCGGGTACCCGGAACAAATCTCGAAGAAGGTTGCAAAATAGCTACGCCATATCTAGAATGCTCTATAGGCGGGAGGAAATTTCCAGCTTACACGTACATTCATCGTCTTCTGCACCGAATTGAGACCTGTTGAACTTGGTACGTACGAAACATCTGGTCTTAGACATTGGGATTTTTCATCAACATCTCACAGCGCCGAGTACTTAGACGAGGACGCGAATGTCCGCATCCGCATCAAGAACGGAGTTAGCGAGATGGTCTAGGCCATTGAGATATTCAAGCGGAACGATCTGATCGACGACATTATTGCCCTCATTGCCACGACTCCTGACGATACTTCACTTTTATCCAACGTCCGCTCAAGGAGGAATACGGAGCAACAGACTTGAAGTTCGTTAGAAAGGGTCTATTCGACGCGCACGCCGAGATCATAAATGAAATCCAGGGCTTGCGCTCGTTCCCTCCCGATTTGACTCGTCCTTTCCTTGATTGGCACCTCGGTGAATGGCCGGACAAAGTCGAGGTAGAGGAGACGTGGAATGCTATACGCTGGATGATAATCTTCTCGGAGTGAACGATATACTACGGATGATGTCTTACTAGTGAGTGTTGCTTCACGGTCCTTCGACTCGCATAGTGTGTTGATGCACTGTTCGTTGTAGTTGCGAAGGCAACTGGTGATACCTATCAGAGGTTATTCGTGCCATGATCAAACTCTATGCTTGGAAGTACACGCAGGAGCTCGCGAGGTACATACCAAAGACAACAAACCACGGTAGCTCTTCGTCCTCAAGCTACCCGTGTTCTTCTAGAGTTTTACATGTACACGCAGAGATTGAAACGTTCCACTGTGTTGTCGCTTTACGTCTGCTCCTAAATTGAAATCATCCCATATCAGTGTGGTTCCAGTTTGAAATGCGGATTGTTCATCGAAACGGCAGCAATGATGAAGGCCGTGATATTCTCAAGCAAGGTGTATTCTTACCGATGAGAACGCCATGAAATACGAAATGCCTAAAACATCTATGTTGCGCTCATGGCGGCGCGCCCGGCTCCTTAATATCCGGCGAGTAGAGTTATGATGAAGTTGGTTATTTGTTGTGAAGGAGAGGGCATTTCTACGTGAGTATGTATGGTTTAATGAATGGTAATCTTCTGGGCGGGGTTAAAATGGCACGTGAGTACTTAGATAGTTCCTGCGCGCTGTGTATCTTTTCCTCATGCGTTTGCTGGAGTCCCAGTCAAACGCAAAACAACTACTTGTTCACTCGGACTTGACTCGGACATTGCGACCATCAGCGCTTATTTTTAACATCGGGTGTCGTAAGCGTACACGTATGATAGATCTGAAACGCGATGCCGGATTGATTCCCCCTCAAGTTGTGATCATCGTCTATGAATTACGGTGATAGTTGGTTGGCAACCGTCTGAACATGTCTTCTCGTTGGTGTTGGATATCAACCTGAGATTATCTGATCGGTGAATCCTCTCATACATATACGAACGATTCAGAATGAAGTTTCCCCAGTCTTGGTCACTCACCCTATACCTGTTTTCTTTCGTTCACTTCTTCCTTTCGTTCTACCTACGATATGGACTCTGGCAGTCCACGAAAGCGCGCTCTTCTTATCGGTATTGAATACATTCGGTCCACAAACCCGGAGCTCGGGCGTCTTACAGGGCCTGCAGAAGAAACGGAGAAGCTAGCTTCGCTTCTACGAAGTGAGCGTTCTTCAGACTAACTGTAATTGACTTCGGGTTGAACAGTTTCTAGGGCAGTATGGTTACTATCCAGAAGACATAATCACATTGACAGATAAAGACAAGAACTTCCTTCGACAGCCAACACGAGAGAATATAGTGAGTAGTCATGTTGCGGCGATAAAGCGCACGCACTCACTATGTTTGCGGCAGCTCCGCGAGATTGATGATCTAGTGGCGGACGTTGAGCCAGGCGATCGGATCCTATTCCACTGTACGTGCCGTGTCGCCTGTGCTTTGGCGCGACTGACGCCAATAAGATTCTGGCCACTGTGGACAATATCCTCGACTAGACGGTACTGAGGAAGACAACCTAGACGAAGGTCAGTTCCCGAAATCACCACGAGAGAGGTATTCCTGACGAGGTTATCGATCTTGTCATTAGCGATAGAAGCACTAGATGGCCCTATTCTGGATGATGTACGTGTTATGACCCGCAATTGTCACCGAAGTGTTCAATATGCTAAACTTGTACAGATATTAAAAGAGCATCTAGTTGATCCGCTACCAGCTGGATCCACACTTGTGGTGGGTGTTGTCGTGGCCGCGAATACTAGTAGAACAGTGCTGAAGAATATTCATACCAGGCCATACTCGATACATGCCACTCTGAAACGCTGCTTGGTAAGGCTAATCCACTCTAATGATTGGATTAATAAATTCACCGCTACAAGACCTTCCTCATTATCACTGCAACAGAGTTTACGTGCCGTTGAAACACACAGGCAGTAACTTGAATGAGGATGACTATACGAGTAAGTCAGCCTACCGATAGGTTAAGTGCGCTGTCTTACTGTAAAAATCATTACCAGCCCCCAATTGGAGACTACAGCGCCTGAAAGGAATGAACGCCCCTCGCCGCAAGTTTCCTATGAGGCCCGCAAAATCAGCCTACAGCACTTATACGAATATGAAGGCCATGTCTTTGTCCATACGAATCCCGAGACGGACGAGTCTGGCGGTTCTACCTGACGATGCGCAGTGTTCTTCCTCGGATAGCGAAATCACAGAGTCTCCGATGCAGGAAGTCCATCATCATTGCCCGCCCACCCCCGGGCTAAATGATCTGAAGCCTACCGTGGTAATGCAGACGACCAGTCTTCTTGTCATGTGACTGATGAGATAAAATGTATGTACCAGATTGCCATCTCTGCGGCCAAAGATTCCCAATCAAGCTATTTCTCAATAACTACGGTAGGCTTTAAGCGTATCGTGCGTGGATTGGGCTCATTGTGGTGTATTAGATCATAGTGGATATTCTCTGTAAGCTGTGTAATGACGGCCTTGCAGATCATCTTTGACGTGAATTCTTGCAGTCGAGCGCCGAGAACTCCCTCTCGAGGACCTAATCACTCAACTTAGGTAATGAATGCCCACTAGTGAGAAACGGAAAGCTAATAACAGCCTGATGAAATGCCAGTTACAAGATGTACGAGGCGACTCGCAAAGACCGGCAACGACACCGGGGACCAGAAAATACGCATCTCAAAGCCCGGTACTGCCACCCCTCGGTGCGTGTGCCAATTCTGAATCTATAGACGTTCCATTTACCATTGACAAAACTGCCAGGTATCGAGTCTTTCGTATCTAGTAAGTCCCATACATCCTAACATCATTAGTTGAGCTAATCAAGTAACATTCAAAGAATCCAAAGACGAGATTTACTCTTTAGTGAGGCTTCGTGTCGACCTCACCCTTTCAACATGAAATGGATTGAGGGCGTATGTGGTATGTAACGGAGTTGGATGGAGCGGTTTCTTATTGGGGGTCCCGAGCATCCCATTGTCATATTAATTACCTCAAATACAGGGAGCCGAGCTTGTGTTCCTCGATTGCTGGTCGGCGGGGACGTGTAGCAGAAATTGGGCTTTGATATCCATCGTTGAAGGAAAAGTTTAAACCCCCACTAAAGACAACGCCAGTCAGGCGTGTGCACATTGAACCCCGTCCCAGTGGAGACCGGGGTCTTCGCTTCAGCCCCAGTAAGCGGTTGTATGGACCGTGAAATCCACTGATTTGTGCCCCAAATCTGACGTTTCGGAAATCTCAAATTTTGTTTTGATTCACCTCCCAATTTTCCTGTGCCCTTGGAGATTGTCCATTAAGATCCGGGTCATCCTTCCACATTCCAAAGGTGACTAAACTGGTTTAGTGAAAATCGGCGGAGCAGAGACGTTCACAAATTTCCGACTCGAAGACTCCTCAAGCACTCAAGCACTCACCACCCGAGCTGCTCCTTCGTAATGCCAAAGAACTTGCCATCCGCATCCGGCTTGTTGCACACCCTCTCTCCCTTGTCCAAAGACGAGATTCTGGCGACATCTGACGGCTCTAACGTCGGGAGCTATCCATTGACTAAGTTGAGAATCTTCGTACAAATATAGGAAGACTTACAGCTATGTTTTGCTTCTGCCTTTCCTTGTTGCTGCTCTTTGGTACCGCAACGACGCCGCGGGCGACGTGCCACGCCAATACGATTTGCGCAGGAGAAACTCCGTACTTGTCAGCCAACTCCGCGATGGTGGGGTCAGAAAGCACGGTCTGATAACCTGAAGCGGAGACCATTGATCAAGACGACGAAACGTTGTGTTATCAGGTATTCTTACCGGTGGGGGTGTAGGCAGTGGTTACGATGCCCTTGCTCTTGCTGTATTCAACCAGGTCCGACTGCGCGAGATACGGGTGTAACCTTATAAGTGGCGCATTAGCGCACCTTAACACGCGCTTTGCGAAATACTTACTCGACCTGGTTAGCAGTGGGGACAACCTTCGCAGACTTAAGCAAGATCTCGAGGCTGTTGTTGGTTAAATATGTCAAATTGTACCTTACGTGATGGTAAGCCGATGTGCTTACTTCTTGACCGAGAAATTGCTAACGCCAATCGCTCGCACCTTTCCGGTATCGAGTAACTTCTCTACATCGGCCCAAGTTTCAACAAATGTTGGGGAATCAACCACTTTTGGTGTTCCGTCTGGATTCGTGGGGAAGTTGACTCCCTCTGAAATAAAACACGTTCACGTTTGATAGCTAGTATTTGGCGACATAACTTACTTTCATACGCCAGTCCGAAGGGGAAATGGATTAGATACTGCGAGCGTTATCAACAATAGTCAACATTTAGGTTGATTCGACACGGAATGATACTTACGAGATCGACGTAGTCAAGACCGAGATTGTCCAAAGATTCCTGGAATGATTCAGCTACACGCGTATGGTGGCTCGGACTGGGAATAGAGATTGTATGAATGAGTCAACTCATCACAGAGATTGCGCTCACGGTAGCTTCGTCGTGATAAAGATTTCCTCACGTGGGACGCCTGATTCTCTTATAGCCTTCCCAAGAGCCTCTTCAGTACCTGATAGGGAGCGGGTCATCATGTAATGGATCATAATGTCGTCCCATGTGTCGCCACGAACCGTAGATTTGTGCTACATCAATGTGTCTGTACCCGGCCTGACGACGTTAGATGATTTGTAGCCGGACAATGATCTGACAACCAACCTGTAACGCGGTCAGAAACCACACTCTCGCCTTCTCCTTCTCCTTCTCATCACGACCAGCCGCGCCGCCCAATCCTAAGAAAATGTGATCGCCAATCAGCGCAGCCCCACGATGCTCTACCCGTAAACCGTACCAATGGCTGGAATCTTCACCCCATTGTTGAGCGTATAAGTAGGGACGGAGGACATGTAATGCGACAATGCGGTGCGATAGACTGGTAATAGAGGAGAAGATCTGTTATGTCACGTACCTCAGAACCGACTATGTAATATCCATACCATCGGGATTTATATAAGACGCTGATTCATCCACCTCCTGCAGCCACGCAATGGACAGGTACAGCATAACATTCACTGACAGTGGGATTAGAGTCGCTTGGTAATCCAGGGATCATCAAAGGCCGAAGAGCACGGCATTATGATACGATAATAGGGCTGAAAACGAAGTCATCGACTGCAAAGATCTGAGTTTACCTTGTGCATATATCGCTGGCTCCATTTCAGTGTTGTTGCTGGGGCGGAGCAACGAAGGCGCGCCAAGATCTTGAACGGACGTCGTCGGTATACATAGGCTTTTCTTGCAACGGCCTTGTGGTCGAACCTTCTAGCGGCCCTTGAATCGGGGGTAGAATTCACACCAAGGACGCATTTTACGTCCACGCGCGGGATTTGAAATCCACATCCATCGTCCCGCAGAATGGTCAAGAGAAAGGTAGGGCATAAGCCAGACGATGATATTGAAGTTGCGATCCGCCCCGTCGAGTTGCTTACAACAACACAGATGAAGACGAATCCGCCACCCTTCTGAAGGAAGCCCTGGCCCTTGTGAAAGATAGTGACGACGGCTCCTCTAATCTTGCGAGTATCCTAGAGGATCCACCGATAAAGAAATTTGACTTGGAGGGTAACAAAAAGCGTATCGACTCTCTCATGAAGCAGCCGCAAAAAGCTGCGAAACGCCGCCCGCCCTTGCCTGGTTATGGAAAGAACTCATCATGGCTACAGTTCAAGATGCCGATTCGCTTTCCTGCTCGACGACCAAGTTCGGCGATTCAACGAGTCAGAGCGTGTATTGAATCTGATCGGGGAACTAAATTGGTTATTGTCATACGAAACAAGCCAAGCCAAGCATAAGTGAGCAAAAATGCTCATGCGTCCTTATGCAATTAAGTGGATAAAGCCAAAGATGATGATGATCGGTTCGACAAGCACTCGACGCCCAAGAAGCACGCAGCGGCAGAGAAGTTGACTCTACAGCAGGTTCCTAGAACCAGCACACGTCGTATCGCGAGTTGAGCTCCGCAGTCTTTTCTCACACTCCCGGGATATCAGCACGCTGAAGACGAAGCCAACGACGAACTATAACTTTCCTTCGACGACACGCCTAGAGCTTTGCACAGTCTTATAGCAGTTGGTATACTCTATCTCACCGACGGTTGTAGCCGCTCCTGAATTGAAACATGATCATTACCATCGGACTACAGTGCAGAGTCACGACAGGCAACCGTAGTATATACATCATACAAGGCGATTACGCGCACATCTGACACATGCTTGCATACCACAACCCCTACACACCTATAAAAGCGTCAGTGAGTGTCCTGCACGAATACAAAAATCGACAGACCAAAAGATACTGAGGTAAGTTATGATGACACTCCTCACAACGTCCCCCGCCGCTACGATAGCGCCAGCGATGACTCTGGCAGTCGTGGTTTACGCGAAGATGATTCACCGCCTGTCGGACCTGCGCTTGATATAGTTGGGGCTGTATCATAGCCTCGCGGCCCATGTCATTCGCGACGCGCTGGCGGGCGGTATCGAGGAGTCGCTCTTCATCCCACTGCGCGCATTGGCATTGTTTCCAAGGGACGGCACAAATATAGCAGAATTCTGCACGGCACCGACACGTCATATGGTAGCAGCCATAGTTAAGTTCGACCACGGCATGGCATCCGGGACACGTCTGCCACCCCTTCTCACGCGCAAGCTCTTTTAGCTCAGTGAGCGCTGCCTGCTCGACGCAGTCCTCATCCCCGTGCCCCAGACTCTTGCAGGCTAGGCACACCATCTCTCCGCAAGACTCGCAAGCGACGCTCTTCTTCACGTTGCTTGCAGGACACAAGAACGAAGAACAGCGAGGTTCTGGGCAATAGACGCGTTGCAATGGAGGGGTGGCGAACTCTTGCGCTTTGAGTCGAAACTGTGAATGGAGTCTCCGATCCCTCAACGAAGCGAGAATCTCGCTCTCGACGAAGTTCTGCCCGCAGCATCGTAAAGGATACAAGGACTCGTCTTTGAGACAAGCCGTCACTAAGTCGACGATGCAGCGAGAGCACCAGTCGTGGCCACACGCCGGGCGGAGGTTGTGGGATGGAGTGAATGATTCCATGCACGAAATACAGTCCTTCGCGGTGTGAGAATGAAATGGGCGGTTGGGTTTGGAGCGGTACGGATTGATAGACACGGTGCTCTCGACTTCATCCTGACGTACAAATACAAAGGAAGGAGGTGCCGAAGGCTTTTTGGGAGGCGCGTGGATAGGAGCATCAGGGATATTCAAGGAAAACCCGCGATCCTCTACGCGTTGCTGATAGTCCGTCCTCGGCGGTAATGGAAGACCTGAGCTGAGAGCAATAGCTGCCCTCCTATCGTCGTCAGCAGATCGTTCGGCAATGTCAAACGCGCTGAGGATGGCGTCGTCGGTTGTCAACGCGCGATTCAGGCCTTGGGCGACTCGGAGGTCCTGCATGCTGGAAAGCAAGTCTTGCATTTCCTTCTGCTGCGCAGTGAAAGACAATTCTTCGTCTGTTGGAGGCGACCCTTCATTCCTTTTCCCTTTGCGATAACGTTCGACTTCGTTGATATCGTCAAGAAGGAGCCTTGCTATGAGAGCAAAGGTTTCTGCATCGGCGGTGGCCATGGGGAACCAGCGAAACGAGTAATATCAGTCCTGACGCCTTTATCTATTCCTACAGAGTTCTGCTGCGGCGTGCGGTGAGCCCACAAATGCACCAATAAGTATTAAGCTCGCCCTCGTGTCTATTCCTCCCTTTGTGCGCTTCTTATCACGACTACGGCCAGCACTATCGATCTTGATGTTGTAGAAGACAAGAAGGAAGACTTGGATTAATCGGTTGTTCTAGCATCGGCTACGCATTAATACTGAGTTGTCATGAGACTTGCTTGAAGTTTGAGCTTGAGCTTGTGGTAGATCGGACACCCGACTCTTGATCGCACGATAACTCAGGGGCTCTTAGGGGCAATATGTCCTGTGATAGGGCCAATTGGGTAGGCGTCGTGCATCCCCGTCACGTAGTAAAAAACTGGAGAAGTAGAATTGAAGAACAAGCTTCGTTCTCTACTAGTGCGGCTTCAGGAAGCGAACCTCAACCCATTGTCCGTTTCGTTCATCAAGAACCTCTATATTGATATGTATGCTTGCAGATCCAGACTGTAGTTCATGTATGTTACAAATGATATATAATGTGGTGACTTACCTCATGATCAACGCACCCAAAACCTCGACAGAGGACTAGCCGCAGTGAGCATTAGCAAAACACTGGACATAGCATGAAAACAGTACTGTGTACGAAGTGTGAGTTCAAAAATTCACTGAAAAAGCCTGGCTGCGGATCCGTCGCATGAGCCGCAGGTTAACACCACATTCAACGCGAGAGGACATCGAGGATCAACGGACGGGAGCAAAAACAGACCCAGCCGTGATTTGAACACGGGACCCTGCGATCTGCAATCGCATGCTATAACCACTTAGCTACTGAGTCTTGCACAACGCTCAGGATTTCGCCATCTATTGGCGTTATGGCGTGCGTGAAGGCGCTATCGCTAGTTGATCACGATACTGTCTCATATCTATAGCAGAGGGAAGAGGCCTACCCGTGCTTGACGAGCAGCTCTGCTCTACACCCAAAGAAATCATACAGATCAAGGGAGAGGAAGGTACTAGCTTGACTGCGCCCCACCACCTCGCCCTCGTATTCTATTCAGCCCTCTCATTTACCCGAACGGGTTCCGGCGTGGCACGCGAGGATTAACTGCGAATGCCATAATTACTTGGCTATGGACCCTGGCAGGCCTCGGAGAACATGCGATTTCACGCAAGTACATCAAATCTGAGTCCAATCGCCACCACTCTTCGTCGTTCCACCAAATCCGCTCAATCGCTCGGGCCGGGACATCCCACTCTGACACTCGATGCCAACGTTCGGATTCCTCGTGGCCCACACGGAAATCGACCACTCAGAGCGACGGAATTGCTTGGAAGAGGAGGGGCGGAACGCTGTCAAGTGATTCCCTCTCCGCAGAATCGTCCAACGGCGGCCATACCAGGTGGAAGCGAATGCCTCTAAGCTTATGACCGCGACATGGCCCAATTAAATGATGCATGGCATTAATAAAGTCTTTACGTGGGCCCTGTTTTCAAGTGAGCAGTTTTCAAAGACGCAGAAAGTCATGGCGCACGAGAGCAGGATCTAATTCCAAGAGTTCTAAATTGCATAATGACGAAGCAAGACAAACTAGTAATTTAGTAACTGAAGGAATCAAAAGCAACGGTACCACCGCGTTCACTTCAGCTACAAAAGTACGCCGTCTCACACCATGCCCACTTAGATTATCCCAATTCCAACGCTCAAGAATAAACAACGACTTTGAAGATCCCAGCTATTGATATGATTTACGAGCATTCACCTCGAAGGGGCCCTCATTTTGTCTAGGATTGGGAGGCGGGCGGGCTGGGACCCGGAGTCGCAGACCGCGGCAAAGGATGGGTTCTGAGGGCATTACAGGTCGGCCATCAAATTCTCTGGCAATGACCCTACCATCTAACTTACTCCAAGTCGTCGCAGGTGGCACATCGACGCGAATTTATGGTAAAGGACACTCATGACATTGTTTTATGTGGTCCATTTTGGACGGTTTGTTATGATTACAAGGTACCGAAAAAGTCCATCCAGGAGGCCGCAAGAGACTCAGGCATGTACGGCCAAGTTCCCGTGAGTGCAATCTCGACATAGTGCCATCCACTTATACTTGGCAGACCGAGCCACCATTCGCGTGCGGCCGAATAGTTTCGGAAATCTTTGACAATTCTCGGATGGCGTAGAAGACCGGCATCACCACAATGACACTACGCAAGATATACAGTGGGTGATCTCGTTGCGGTGTTAGGGTAGGACCCTGTGATGTAAGGTGCGTGTGTCGACCTGGGAGATGATATGGTCTACAAGCCACACATTCGGCTATCGATTGTTATTCAAAACATTGGAAGTTCTCTCTTTTCTGTTGCGTAGGACGGTGTCTAGAAACCTAATGCCGAGAGGAGGACATTATAGGGAGTCTCGCGGTGCATGAGAAGAGAACGTGTACATGGTGCCGAATACTGGCTCCTGACGCTCCGAGGGCTAACAATCGGACGCACCCCCACTGGCTCGTGGAACCCAGAAATCATTATCATCTCCACGACACCCACGACATTCAATCAACGATTCATCTGGGCTCGACGGCCCGCAAGAACACCTCCACGGTTAGGATGTTACGGCACCTTGTTCAACCTGTGCGATTTACTAGCGGCGATGATGTCGATCCCACGGGGTAGCGGGTGGTGATCAATGCACTGTCGGCCACTGGTCGGTCGAGAGCAAAGTGGAAGGTACGTCGTGCAGGGTCAGTGCTCCGACAGTAGCGCTGAGTTGACTCGGAGTCGTTCCAGGTACGTTTGAGCGATCAAATCTCGGAGTACGTCTGCTGCGCAGTGCGCGGTAGGGCTTGGAACCCGCCAATGGGCGAAGCGACTGGTAGATAGATAAGTGAACCAGGGAATCCTTACTGTGAGTACGTATTATTAAACTTCGCTGATGAACGGAGAATATATCATGATCATCGCTGCTCTGATAACATCTGCATCGTATTTGATGGCTATGTGTATGAGTATCAGTTTCACCTTCTTGTTCTTGTGCCTAACATCCTGATCTTGCCAGTATTGGTGTGTGTGGGGGGGAAGGGTTTGACTGAAGATTACGGCTGCGTGCTGCGCGTGCGGTGATGGAGATGGCATTGTCGATTGTGTATGAAGTGCTCTGGAAGGCACTCGGACTCAAAGTGATCGAGGCGGCAGCCGTCCTCCTATGGTTGCCAGTGTTGATCAACAATTTCCGCAGATTCACTCACATGTCTGGGAGCGTGACTCTATCATCGCGTCTCATTCACATGCCATGTCTTCTCCGCAGCCTATCGCGTTCTCTGGTACATGGCATTCACATAGGAGAGCTTGGGCTTTTCCAATTCATTAACCTTCCTCGATCAGGGCAGATCCAAAAGAAGCGCCGGTTGTCAAATGCTTTGTTTTTCAATGTCTTCAATTTTGCAATAATGATCATTCGAGACTGGCACTATTCACAGTATTGTAGAATTTTTTGGAATTCGTTCTTCTTAGCTCTCCTCTCCTCCAACGTGCAGTGCTGACCAGTTGAAGTAAGGCGCTTGCGGTTGCTGTGGTGATTATAAGACCGGATAGATCCGTGACATCAAGACCAAACACAGAGACTATTATCTCAGACACTGCCCTCACTGACGACCACGACGACCAGCAAAGCCTCACCCTAGACAGACCTGACGCAGGAGAACGAACCGGACGCAGTACAGCGCTTTCGCACCCACCTCGCGGCCTTTACTGGTACAATCACTATCTGAAACACCATCACTGTTCGCAGCCAGCGTTTCAGAGACTTTACATATATCATGGCTTTCAACCTGACCGCAACGTCTTTGACACCCTCGCGACCCGCACCCCAGGCCCCTCGACGGGGAACGGACGACAGTAGTAACGGCTATCCTGCCACTTCAATGCTTGCTTCATCAGGGTACAATCCTTCGTTTGCCTTTACCCCTGCTTCCCCGTCAGCTTCAACCTACGCCTCGTCGTATTCGGGAATCGGCGGCTCGCCAGGAATCGGTGGTTCACCCAATCGGTCGCAAGATAGCAACGCGTTCGGTGGCTCCCAGATTGTACGAAATGGTGTCGTAAGTGTGAAGGAAGAGGGGGCGTTCGCCTGGATGTGGAAAGTGAAATGGCTAGTCCTGAAAGAGCAAACACTATCAATCCACAAATCTGAGGTGAGCTCGCCATCGTGCTCGTTGGTGAACGCAATCTTAGGCTAGTACAGACTGCCCCTCAGCAAACGCTCATTCAATTATCCGATATCTCGAATATTGAACGGACCGATCTTAAACCGTATTGCCTTCTGCTCGAGACTAAGGATAAACGATATTTCCTATCCTTGAAGAGCGACGAAGAGCTCTACGGATGGCAGGACGACGTTTACTCGCGTAGCCCTCTCATGGGTGTAAGCAATCCTACCAACTTCGTCCACAAAGTCCATGTTGGCTTCGATCCGATCTCGGGCGCCTTCACTGGTATGCCGGAGCAATGGAACAAGCTACTCACCAAATCTGCCATCACCCGTGAAGATTACGCCAAAGATCCTCAGGCAGTCCTCGATGTCTTGGAGTTCTACACGGATCATCAGAAACGCGAACTCGAAGACATGGGTGCGTCCTTCCATTTATTCGTCATATGTAGAATCTCATCGAGCGTCTTTAGGCGCACCAGCGCGATTCAATGCTGGGACTGGGCTCGGCGGAATGGGTAAAATGGGGATCCCGCTTTCATCGTCTTCATCTAGTGATTTGTCTCGTCCAGGCATGAAACGGCAAGACACCGCTCCTCCTGGGCTTTCTACGAGCGACAACCTTTCCACCGATGCTGCCCGGGCTGCTGAGTTGGTAAATGGCTCTCACGTTCAACACGCCAACACCGTCTCGGCCGGCGCTGGCGGACGCCCGCCAATTCAGCTTTCGTCATTACAAGCCTCGAGACCTGCTCCCCCTCGTCCCCTCCTTACTGCAAATCGACCTGCTCCTCCTGCACCTGGACCCTCACTCTCTGCCCCCAAAACATCTCTCGATCATACGCCATCCTCTGCCGACCTTCGTGCCCGCCAAAAAGCCCACGGACCGCCAACCACTAACCCCCCTGCCACCGCTCTCCCGATAAGGAAAGAGTCACTGGCAACTCAACAATCTACCCAACAATCTTCCAAGGAGCAAGCACAGCGAGAGAAGGAAAGAGCAGACCGGGAATGGGAGCGGGAGCGGGAGAAAGAAACCACACGGCCGCCTATGGGGGCCCCTGCTAAGTCTTCCCCTGCCAACACTAAACCTGCGACTCAGCCCGCCTCCGGTGCAGCTGGCGCCACTGTCGGCCCTCCACCAGTCAAACCTTTGCAACCAGCGAAGAAGGTACACATACAGGCCGATGATAAACCCAAGACGGGTGCAAATGGCATCGCCGCTGCCGCCGCTGCTCTTGAGAAACCTAAGGAGAAGGAGAAACGTATCAGCACGATGACGGAGGTCCAGATCATGGAGAAGTTGAGACAGGTCGTTTGTGACGATGACCCGAAGGCGATTTATAGCAAGATCAGGAAAGTTGGGCAAGGGTGAGTGGCTTTTCTTAGTTCGTTGCTCTTAGCGACCAAGTGGACTGATCGCCGCTCGTACAGTGCGTCTGGACATGTATATGTCGCCAAGACGTTGGCGACTGGGAAGAAAGTGGCGATTAAGGAGATGGATTTGTCACACCAACCCCGAAAGGAGCTTATCGTGAATGAAATTCTGGTTATGAAGGAATCTCAGCATCCGAATATCGTCAATTTCCTCGAGTCGTACCTCGTCAAAAGCAACGAGCTTTGGGTGGTCATGGAGTACATGGAGGGCGGTGCTCTCACCGATATAATCGAGAACAACACCCTAGAAGAGGATCAGATAGCGAGTATATGTTTCGAGGCAAGTGCTCCCTTCAATCTCCAGTAACTACGCGACTTATTTATGGGCGGTCAGACCTGTAAAGGCCTGGGACATTTGCACAGTCAGAGCATTATCCACCGAGATATCAAGTCAGATAACGTACTGCTGGATGCACAAGGCCGCGTTAAAATTAGTATGTTGCCTCGACGAAATGACTGCGCTCTATTCTCATTCATTTGAATTAGCCGATTTCGGTTTCTGTGCCAAGCTCACGGACCAAAAGTCCAAGCGTGCGACGATGGTGGGCACTCCTTATTGGATGGCGCCTGAGGTAGTCAAGCAGAAGGAGTACGGTGCGAAGGTCGATATTTGGTCCTTGGGCATCATGGCGATCGAGATGATCGAGAACGAGCCCCCATATCTGGACGAAGAGCCTCTGAAGGCTCTGTACTTGATTGCAACGAACGGTACCCCGACGCTGAAGAAGCCGGAAGCGCTGAGTAGGGAGCTCAAAGGATTTTTGGCTGTTTGCCTGTGCGTGGACGTGGCTAGTCGGGCGACGGCAAACGAACTACTTGATGTGAGTCTCCTGATCTGTATCACCTTGTAGAGTGTACTCATTATTCCCGTGCAGCACGAGTTCTTGCGCAAGGCGTGCGCATTGTCAGGGCTTGCGCCCCTGCTCAGATTCAAGACGAAGCAACAATCATAAGATGCCTGCCTCGTCTAATGCCTGGAGATTTTATTCTACGCGAGGACGATCCTTCGCCAGGACGCTCACCTCGCCGGCCTTTCCTGCTTCACTCTCGACTTGTGGAATTACGCTTCTCTTTTGCTCTGCTCAACAGTTGCCTTTAGTTATTTGATCTTGCATATCACTTCCTCCCAAGCATCCGTTTCCTCCTTGACATTTCACCTTCACCTACTCGTTTGTTTGTGATGGGACTCTACATACTCATGGTCAAGGCTTGTCGCACACCACGACGATTGGCTCCTTATAGTCTATCCCATATCACCGACGCATGCCCCCACTTCTCGAGCGCTTCTACTTTTACCTATACTCCAGTCGCCGATATCCTATTCCCGCCTCTATCTGTCCCCGTATTTTGTGTTTTCTCGCGTGGAACAAGTGGCAAGAGTAAATATTCACGTTGGTCATTGGAAGAAAAGGGATGTATGTACATGATGATTAGGATAGATGTACTTCTAGGTGTGCATATCCATATATGTATCCGTTTAGAACATTGGCAGTCCTTCGAGGTTCAAGCGGTTTGCTTGTCGGCGACGATCTTGACTCGACGTGTCACGTGATACATCGATGACTCAGCCGAATTTTGGACTCTGAGCCGTAGAGCGTCCTTGAACTTGTTCAGGTCGCCGTCGTCCTCGTCGCGCAGAGCGAGCATCTGGAAAGCCACGAAGGTCGTACGGCTGTGAGTTCTCATACTTCTTACTGTGTAGCCAAAGGTCATTGACCCTGCATCGCCAGTATCGCACTCATGCTGAGGCATGAGCACACTAACATCCCCGAGTCCCGCAACCTCTGTGGATTTCGGGCAAAGGAGAAGCTTTGCTAGCTACAATCCCGGAGGCAAGGCTGCCCTGGCAATGGCCTCCTTCTCAGGCCCGCCAGATATCGTCAGGGCCTCAGTTTCCCATCTGATGTCTCGAACTCTATCTCTGCCCTGCTCGACCGCCGCTCAAGCTTTCTCCCAATTAATACAACCCACGATGAGGTTCCAAGTCGCCTTAGACGCGCTGTTACCCCTTCTCGAATCTAGCTCATCCTCGGCCGGACAGTTCCCCAGCAATGAACTTGCTCAACGTATATTAGCAGCCTATATCCTGTATTCCCTCTATGCGCCTTATCCGATATCTATTAATCCGTTCAAGACTGCCTTGTTTGCGACCTTTGTCAAGGAGAGGCGATCGTCTATCGTGGACGCGTCAACGACGGGGCCGAACGAGCAGCTAGTTTGGGTTCTGTGGAAGATTCTGAAGGGAGATGGCAATGATGTATGCATCCATTACTTCATCTACGGAACTTTCTTGTAACGTTTATAGATCGCACCTTACTCTCCGAGCACGCTGGCGCGTTCTCCCCTACCGCCGAAGCTTCGAGCAGCCCATCTGATGTTGTCAGAAGATGAGCTCTCGGATGCATCACCGTCATTGCATATGGGTCGCGGTAATGGAAGCGCTACGCAAGTCTACATCCTATTTCGTTTTTCACTTGACTCATCTAACACCTTAATTGCAGGGTCTCGAGGTCACTCGTGCAACCGGACCTAACGAATGAAACCCAATCCCATAAGGAGTCACTTGTTCGCGCTATGTCCCTGCTACTGGCGGCGAGAGAAAGAGTACTAACTCTCTCAGAGCAGAAGGTGAGTCTCGGCTTCGTTCTCAGCGAGTAGGTTCCTGATTCTTGCAGGTTCTGAATCCATTGCTTCCGGCTCTTCTTTCTGCACCGGCTGATAATCTTACGAACTCTCATAATGACACGGACACGCGAGCTACTAATGGCGGAGGCATCTTCCTGACATCCCTCGATATCGCTCCTATCGTCTATAATAACCTGAATATCGCTTACTCGATCATCGTTTCCTTGCTTTCTGATCCCCCTCCTTCCCGCGTCGTGGTTTCTGATGCCACATTTCCACCCTCCACAAGCACCAACGAAGCGGGATCACCTTTGGGGGAAGCTTCCATCGGGGAGATGCTGGCCAATTTCGGCACTCAACCCACACGAGATGTCGATCTCAGTCGAACTCGGTTCCTCGACGTCCTTGTTACGCTTCCTCCGACTTTCCCATCCTTCGACCTCATGGGCCGGCTTCTCAGAGATCCCACCGTGATTCCAAGCCCTTCCTCTGGCCCTGGGATACATAGCGATTCGAATGGCCCGGTTCCAAAGACCACTGTGGCAGACTTGATCCGCAACGATTACCTTGGGCCATTTGTCCACTCTTGCATCGAATATCTGGACGAAGCCGAGCGTGAAGAGAGGGAAGAAGGGAGTAGCGAAGACAAATGGGCTGTAGGCGTTCGTCATGTATGTCGTCTTCTCACTAATGTTTCCTCGTTACTAACCTGCTTAACCCTCATTTGTCCCGTCAATTGTAGCTCTGCCGATTTTATCATTCACTCATCAAACTCTCCCTTGTCGACCCCACATCAGACGCTGATTCCGCTGAAATGGCCCACTTCAGTCTCCGAAATGCCAAGTTTGAGGAGGCCATGGCGCTTTATAAGGTCTTCGCCAACGCCAACTCAGATCGAATGGCCTATCCTACTCCAGGTGGTTTTTAGCTCCGTCCATATGCCTCGATTGATACCATGTTCTGCGTTCTCCGTTGTTATGTTGTTACGTCCCAAAGACTGTACTTATGATCCATGCAAGATATGCCCTTTGCTTTTGCTGACCCATTTCGCATGCACCTCATGTTCCCTTTGAGCTCTCGAGTACCACTGTATTACCTACTTACGGCCTGTAGAAATTTTCCCTACCTTCATATCCTTATGCTTCGTGTAGCATGTGATGTTGCGAAGTCTGTTACCACGTTCCTCCCCACCAAGGGCGATCCATCTCTCAGGGTAACCACCATGTCGCAAACTTTGCCCTTGGATATAATCATCCTCATTGCAGGCCACTTTGACTGTAAGGATTCAACTCGGGCGCTTGGCCGCTTCCGACTCGTTTCACGAACACTCTGTGAACTCTTTCGGCCATTTTTCTTCAAAAGAGTGTATATACGGACAGCGCCATGCGACACCGCGGACGACGGCCAGGCTACGAAATTTCTGCGTGCTGTCGAGAACAGCCGAAACGCAAGACAGGTAGAACATCTGGTATTCAATGCGGTGGCTGACGACCAGAATCTAAGCATCAACGACATCCTGCCTCTCCTGCCTGGCCTTCGCACATTGATCTTTACCTCCTTCACCAACTCTCACGTCCTTCCTATTGATGCACCGTTCTCTTTGACGCGACTTATATATACGCACACCGGCGTCCCCATCGACGTCTCGAAGGTGTATACTTTCCTTCGCACGCAAACATCGATAGAGCACTTGGAATTGGATATAGACATGGACCACCGGCGCGCCCTTCCAGCGGCATTTCTGACTCTGCCAAGATTGCGCATCCTTTACGGTGACCTCCCACATATCTACCCTGTACTTACTGGGGCATCAAGTGACCTCTCCCATCTATGGGTGTACGGTTTCGAGGGAGAAATAGCGAAGCGTGCCATCGCCAACTCAAATCGACTTCAATCAATTACGTTCCTAAGATGCGACGGCATGGACGATACTATGCCAGCCTTGTTTGCATCATTATTTCCTAACTTAGAACTCTTGCAGCTGGATTTTCCTTTAGTAGGTAACCATTTTATGCATGCGGATATAACGACTCACCTGAGGATAGCAACACGATACACTCTACGAAGCTTTGGAATATTTCGTTCAATGGTGTCGGGCTCCTCGGCTTAGAGGCATTCGCTTCCACCTGAAATCACGACCGAGATATTATAAGTCTACGCAGGACTCCATCGTAAGTATCTCAATTCTCGACCTTTGCGGGTCGCTGCCTGATGCAACAGGCCAGGAAACGGCACGGCTCCTCTTCCAAACGTTTCCTTCCCTGGAAGTCGTCGATTTCGAAGCAAGGATGTGCTTACAATACAACCGTTGGTATCGAGGGTCAGAATCGGCTGTGACTATCCAGGTGATCGAGAAGCAGACTTGGTGGAGCTACACTGTTCATTGGTGGCATGATTGGGCTCAGAGCTACCGTGCTCTTCCCATCGCATCCTGAGTGTGAAGTCGATTTCGACGGCGCACAAGACCCCGTAGCTCAGTGATTATAGCAAGCAATCGGAGCTGGAGGGCTCCGTGTTCAAATGGCTGCGATGTCTGTGTGAAACAGGATGGGATGGATCGCGAAGGAGTGGCTTTTACTCATTTCTGATGAATGAATTTTTAGCTGCGAAGAACAGAAGTGGTACTTAACTGAAAGTATTCGTACACTTCTCAAGGTCTACAGGGGCAAAGACATAGGGGCGCTAGAGAAGTATATTCCAAAGACGATGACTGACGTGGTTCCATGACCACATTTCAAACGAATTATCTGACATTCTTCTAAATCACTGTATATTCATTGGTAGTTGTCACACCTTAGCGGCTTCATCTTAATACATACTCTAGCATAAAAATATTGATGACCGTTGGAATGGAGACTCGAGTACGTTTATTATAACTACGGAATGTACTCCAATATAGCAGACCCCTAGAGACCCATTGTAGATATGTCACGTGGTTATTCATCTCATTCAAGTACGCGACTTAGGAGGGGCGCGTCGAAATTTAGACCAACAACGATCCTCCTCCTCTTATAGGATACACCTGGTATCAGAGACTTACATCGACCGCAACATGTCAAATGCAAAGGGCACAGCTGTCAAGCCAGTTGAACGTCTAGCATATCCTACGAAGATGGGGTACCCTGCCGGTGGCACAAAGAAAGAAATCAGCGACGAAGAATTATTGGCAAGTCTCGTTGCTTCTCTGACGGACGCCCTATACGACGCGAGGAGGATCTGTGACAACGACTCCGGAATTACGACCTTTCGACGCACCAGGGCTCTTGTGGCATCTATCTCCAGTGCCCTCTCAGAGGATCCAGTTATCAAGCAACTCGACTTAGAGGAACACGAGCAGAGTATAGATGGTGTCATGAAGGAGCTTCTTCGCAGTTGCCAGTACGATTGGCACGATGGGTTGGAGGAACAAGGGGACTATATGTCTGAAATTTGTCAAGAGATGGCTGAGTGGCTGCGTGATATATGGAGTGTTCTTGAGACCGGGGAAAACCTGTGCGATGTGCGAGCGTGCATTGCATATTGCGCAGAGACGGTCAGGAGCATATCAAATGCTGATAGCCGGTAAGTGAACCACAAACTCCTTCCATGGTGTTTACTGACACAAATGGTTCAGTGCCGGATTTCACCACCAGGAAACCAACATTTGCATCATGAACGAAGCTGATGAAGTGATCTATGAAACCTCACAGCATATCGGCGAAACCCTGACCTGGTTTTACAAAGAACTCCTCGTCATGGATGCAGCTCAAGGAAATGGGTGGCTCACATCTACCATACTAGCGGATTTGAAGGCCTTTGACAAAGTAGAGGATGTCTTCGAATTGCTCCAAGAGCCCGGTGCGTTATAATCTCGACGTTACGATGCGCAGGGGTACTTACCTTTGGGCGTTGATTCTTAGAGGAGCACTGGACACTCGAGATGCGCGCTGCCGCCGAGGACTTGATTCGGAAAGAACAGAATGCGCCGCGTGGAAAATAGTCTACGTGTAGCACCCAGTTGTTATTGGGGAGAAGATTGAATACGAAAGTGGTGTGATGTCCTAGATATTTCCCCGAGTACGGGGTGATATGCGAAGAGAAAATGAGGAGGAAAACAAAAGACTGGGAAAACTACAACAATGAGAAGCAGAAGACATACAAAGTCAGTGTGGCGGGTTACAGTAGTTGTCCGTGCGGGAAGAAGCAAAGGTCAATAACATTAACGAGCGGGATCGTTTTGAGGGTCATGCAGAGAAGGAGGCGGGGGATATTCATCAGGATTTGGAGGTGCTCCGGGGGTGCTTTGTACAGCAGGCGGGGCGTGTTGCTGTAGATGGTGGGGAGTGGGTTGGTAAGACGGCGCACACTCTGAACGTATAGTTACCGCTCTAGGATGTCCTACTTCCAAATCCACATAGTTCGGCGGCCCACCCGCATGTTCATATGCGGGCAGCTCATCCTTGTCGCCTAGGTCGTCGTGATCCCCGCCGCCGTCCATGCGTCTCCCGTAAACATCCACATCAGCGCCCCTCGTCCGAACTCGCCTGCTTCGTTGCGCGTAAACGAGGGCCGGCGGTACAACGTATGGGTAGTATCCATTGTCCTCAACGTTGAGCTGTGCAAGGGCTGTCGTACGAGGAACGCGTCGGGCTCTACTAGTGGGAATGGTCGAGTCTGTGCGTTTGCGAGCGAAGAATTCTGAGAGTGTTTGACGCCGTGTCCGCATTCGATAAAGTCTAGAAAGCGGTGGAAATACGGATAGGGGAAGGAGTCGTTAGCACCAAGCTAGAGTCCAGGGCAGATTTATGTGCGCACATCCACATGACAATCACGACTGTCGTTATAATCCCGATTATAGGGAAAAGCCACGCCAAAACCGTCTTTAGAAGTTCATACCCGGACCTCAACAGTCAACTTCGGGACCTCGTCAACTGCACAGCGAAACTCACCTTGACCAGAGCCATATCAACGTCGCGACCGTTGGAATTTGGCAAAGGTGACATTGTAGCCGGATCAATGAAGAATGGGGGGTCTGTCGTCGTGGCAGAGACTGAAGCCGAAGTTGGTGGAAATGAGGTTGTTGACGACGGTGACAGTGATGATTCCGACATCTCTACATCCAAGCGTCAGGATCGTTACAGAGTAGAATTCTAGAATAAACCAATGTCAGTATCTCCAGTATTGGCTTCACAATAATCCTGGAATATTGTACCTTTGGTATGGGACTGCAGCCTGGCAGCGCGCACAGTGGGAGCGAGTAACTTGGGCGCCTAGTGCGCCATAATTTAGCCTGTCGCGTTGCTTATGTAAGTCCATTCTGTTGTCCAGCCGAAGGTGACCGAAACGGTGTGCTTCACATTATGCGGCCATCACTTGCGTTGCTGAAATCTGGTCGTTCTGCCTGGAAAGGTGAGCGTGTGGCAAAGAGCCATGGCTCCTGTTACTGAAGCTCATCCCTAGGGCCTTATTTCGTCTCATTTCCAAACCTCCGTGATGCTTTGCAGAACCATGTCCCCATAAAAACACAGGCAAGATCCTGTACAATTCTGCCAAATTTCGTTGGGTGAGCCTTACGCTTGACACAACAATCTTCACGCGTCTGATGCTCTGGCGCCAGAATCCGGTTCATGGTGCACAATGGGAAGGACTATGTACCCGTACTGGTGACGCAGGATATGGTCGGCCATAAGCTGGGAGAGTTTTCGCATACGAAAAAACGTTTCGTTTATCGGTGAGTGGTCTCCTGCGAATACGCGACGCGTCGAGCTGAGCTTGCTTGTCAGTCATACTAAGAACAAGTAATCTTAATATGTTCTACATGAACATTTGCTGCATATTACACTGGATATTCCGAAGGGTGTCGGGAGTGGTGATCAATGTCTGCCTGTGAGGTCATTGTTTGCGTGGACAATGTAGTCAGAACGGTGCGAGGTACATAATGCATATTAGACATTCACTGCTCTGCCACCATCCACCTTTCAGAAAGCCTTATTGGATTCCACTACCGACGTCCCCTGGCCACAGTTCAACCTAGACACACTTGCTCTTCCGCCGGATTCGCCTCAATCCGAGCTTGCTCAAAGATGATTCCAATCCCCATGCGCTCCAGCTTTCTCTGTTCGCTCTCTTGGACCGCCATGACGTTCAGAAAACATCCGCCAGAGTACGTGTCGCCGTAGACCTGAGTATCATACAGCCCAGCTACGGCATTACACCGCGGCAGAGTGATGAGCCGCAGATCTAAAGGAGACCTCGTAGAACGTGGTAGATATATGCGACCTGCAGCAGGGAGGATAGCGAACACTTCGTATCGTGCGTCCTCATTTACTTGAACCCCATTAATCCGCTGCGCCTTGAACGTCGCGGCTGTGGTTCGAAATACCAGGGCACCTTCGCTAGCATGCGGGGCCTGCTCTGGGTCGGTTCTTTCACTCGGAGGTACGTACCTCCTTCGACTCCCTTCTTCCGGAAAACCCACTCCAGCGATTGGCCGTACGTCGAGTTGCGCTAGTGCGCCGTGTTCGCAGATGTACCAAGCACGGATAAGAGATTCTACAACTATTGGGTGGCCCAGGACGGTGGACCACGGGACGCGATGCTCGACAGGCGCTCGCCAACCCGCCCACGACCAGCTCGGCGATGGCGCCTGCCCGAGTATGTTCCTACGCGTGAGCAGCACGTTCTGAGCTGGCTGCCACAACAGTGCATGGTTCAGGTCCGCCAGCGCCATCCCGAAGCGGAATGCCTTGGAAGGAACGCTACCTAGCTTGAACGCTTTTGTGAATGCGTTCGTCAGTGCTGATACCGCGTTGATGGTGCCGGTTTCGTTGGTAAGTTCCCGCTGGGTGTATTGACTAATCACTGACGCGTAGCGGAGGTCAACGTGGTCCATTGGGGCTTTGGGGCTTTGAGGGTGGTGAAGCTGCCCCCGCCCATGTATCGCAACGGGTGATATGAGCGCGGTGTACGGTTGCTCTTTGCAAGCACATTCTCGCACCACACCTCCCGCCCCTATTCGAAGTACACCTGGTGCTCAGTAAAGTAAAGCCGACGCCGGGACAGCATGAGCTCCTGGTACATCCACCCGCGGGTTCTCCACACCGATTGAGCTAACACTGCTCCAAGCGTCGGTAGCGGAACTGCAAGGTGGACCTCTTGGATTATCTCTATGTGCTGCTTCTTTGCGCGAGTTCCCTCTCGAAGGCCCGGAGGCGCTGGGACAATTGACAGGGCATCCACGCCCACCTTACGGACAGATTCCGGGAGTCTCTCGTCTCCGTCTCTCCACCATACGGTTTCGCATGCGTCTTTGTGATGTCTACCGCATATCTGCAACCACTCTCTAACCAAGTCCAAATTGACTATGTCGTTGATCACCCTCCCATGCACGTCCGGGCTCCTACCAAATAAGGGCGCGTCGCTCGCCTGACCTGGATGTCAAGCAAGGCTCATGCCCACTTTCTCGGAGAGCATGGCCCCATAGATGTCGCGTGGTCTATCTGAAGGGAGGATGTACAGCCGGTGGCAGAGCTCACCGGTTGGAGGTGCCGGGTCTTGCAGACACCCACATTCTTCTGCGAAAAGCGAGCAGCTAATCCCAGCGAGATTCACCTGAGGATGTTTATCCAGTGACCACGAACGTCGGAAGGCTGTCTTTACGAGGCGGCAGAAATCGCGGTGCTCAGCCCTTTCGAGTATGGCGATAAGAGGACTGAGCTGGATGGCGGCTTCTCTGGAGACTCCTTCATGCAGAATTCAATAGATGCTCAACCCTGAGCATGTCGGACACGGCGACTGTGTCTCACTATGTCCTTGCGGCGTTGGGACACGCCTCGGTGATGGAAGGCGCTCGTGAGACGATACCTTTGATCAACTGCCCCAGTTTACACATTCCCCCAGTGGTGTCAGCTTCTGTTCGCAACGTTCGCTCCTGCTGTTTTTTCTGCGTTGAGTGGTGTCTAGGAACCCGCTGTCGGAAGAAGGTGCTTCATGGGAAGTCTTGCTACGAGCATGAGAGTGGAACGTGTACATGGTGTTGAATGTCGAACTCTTACTCATCCTGGCGCTCCGAGGGCCACTGCAAGCGCAGAACCGCCCAATGATACCTTCACTAGCTCATGGAAACCAAATCCTATCTACACGACACCCACAATACTCGAGCAACGATTCATTTGGCGTTCGAGGTTGGAACCTAACGCCATCCTTTACAAAGTGCGAGATTTACGACTGATGGTGATGATGGAGCGGGAACGACAGTAATATGGCACGTACTACATCATGCAGGGTCAGCGCTCTCCGCAGTAGCGCTGAGTTAACCTCAGTATTTTATCACAGTCAGAAAATACTGACTTTGGCGGACTTGGGCGGACTTTGCTGGACTTAGGCCGAAAATTTGACTGTGAATAGACTGGAAATCGATTTTGTGGGTCCCCCTCGCGTATCTGAGAAATACGGTCAAATCTAGTCAGCTGGCGTCTAAGGTCAGTACAGATAAGTCAACACAATTGACCTGCTGTTGGCACTGTCGCACGGTCAGTAATAGTCAGGGTTAATCGTTACACGGTCAGGTACGGTCAAAGGGTCGAGTCTTTGCAAGTCCTAGTAAGTAGTCTCACGGTCAGTATCAGTCATTGCAAGTCGAGTAAAGGGTCGTGGAAAGTCACAAGAGGTCAAAATAAGTAGGGCAAGGATCCGTCACTTCAGTCAATGTAAGTCCATTTATGCCATGAAGAAGTCATCCAAGGTCTGCCGAGCATCGTTTCCGCTGTCAATACTAGTCTATCACAGTCCTACTACGTCTGTTTAAGTCTGAGATTTGTCATTTTGATTCTGTTTATGATACTTCACACAGTCAAGATTAGTTGTACAATAAGTCTATGCGAAGTCTTTTGAAGTCACAACTCGGTCAACTTAGGTCATGAATGGTCAGAGAATAGGTCACTTCACAGTTCCCACAGTCATTGTAAGTCAAATGAAGTCATGTTTCTTGTCTCTAACAGGTCATAAGAAGTCGTCCAACAGTCTAAAAATGCGTACAGAAAAGTCATAAAAGGTAAAAAAAAAGTGACATCTCAAGTCAAGAAAGGTCGCAAAAAGTTAAAATATATCTATATGAGTCAGAAAAAGTGAAAAAATAGTAAAAATACGGCGTACGCGGCCACATCAGTTCATACTGCTGGAATCGATGGTGGCGAGATATAATTAGGAAGCAAATTCGCCGGCATTTACGATAATGCGAGAGGCGCGAGGGGTTTGCGACAGATTGTTTGTGGATTCCGCTGCAGCAGAGCTGCCCAATTTGGCAGATTTTGCCCCAGGAGCCTTTATCTTCTTGACACAGGCACGCTGTTAAGAGTAGCATATTAATATAAATAAAGAGCCGTTGCGAGTGGAATACCTTCGCGATAACGTCTTCGAGCTCATCCAGAGTGGGACACATAGTGGGTGGGAGAGCCGCGAGGGCGGATGCACCTGTATCAAATAAGTTAGATGTTCAACGGAGATCCCAATGACCTACATGTTTCCTTATTCATATGTCTTACACCGGGGATCTGCTTCTTGGCAGCAATTGTCCGGAGCTCGGGTACATGAAGAGACTGTAGCCAAGGTATTAGAGGTATACCCACACACGATGTGACACCACTTACTCTTAGCTTCGATTGCAGCGCTGTCGTATCATCGTCTGGGAGCGCGAAAGGGTCGTCAAGGTTGCCGTCGGCCATTGGGTCCGCATTTCCAGAATTATCGAGGCCATCTGCTATGGCGAGGCCCACGCTTTGTTCCTCTGTCGGTGAAGCGGCTGGCGGCGCAGGGGGCAACGTGGCTGATACTGCTGGACGTTCTATTACTCGAGCCTTGCCCTTGAAAGACGGCTGTAAAGAAATTAACATACAACGTTAGAGTAGGAGAATATAACTTACCCCCCCAGATCGTTTCCACACATCGGAGAGCGTTGATAAAAGTCGATCGATGTACATATCATTCAAGTAACTCGTAGGCTTCGGAGTATGGTCGAGGCACAACAGCCGAGCGGCCTTGCTGGTAGCCAATGCCGCGGCGATCAGTTGACGTGCCATGTCAGTATTGCCCACTGCGGACCAGGATGTGATGACGGTGCCAATGGTGAGAGACCCTGACGTCCATTGCCAATGCCCCCAGCTTTCATATAGATCGTCCTCGTTGTCAACGCAATTGGGATCAGCGGTTTTCACGCGCGCCAACAACGCTTTGGCCTCGCTCGACGGAAAACCTTGGCCTCCGTGTGTTGGGGCATGTTCCATTGCATCGAGAAGCTCCAACCCAGTAGTAACGACGGCCTCGGCAAGCCGGAGCTCGGGACTTTGGAGTGTTCCTTAAAGGGAAGTTAGCAAAGGTCGAATGCAAGGGCAATCGACCTACGGCGAAGGTTTTCATCTATTCAAAAATTAGCTAAAGGTTGCGTGAAGTAAACGAGGCAACTTACAATTATCGTCGACTTTCACAGCAGCGAGAGACTTGGTTACAAAGGACACCTGAGAAGTGGGTGGGGCGGGTGCTGTAGACGACAGAGGAAGGGATGAAGTAGATACTACAGACGGAGGCGGAAGGGACTTTGGAGCTTCTTGGGTAGATACGTCTGATAAAGGCCGGTTCGATGATGATGGAGACATGTTGCGAAGGGGAGAGTGGAGGCTTTGAGGTCGGGTTTGCTTTGTCGGCGAGGCGGGGGGCAGCTTCGATGATGCCTTTGCTGCTTGCCTATGTTCTACAGCCTTTGGGGAGGCAAACCCTGTGAATCGGCGTTAGTATGAAGATACAATGATATTTTAACAGGAATTACCGGTACGATTTCGCTTTGAGGGTCCGGGATGTAATGGCGTAACCTCGTTCGCGGTTCGCTTAGACTTCTGAGGCGTGGCGGGTGCATTCTGCTGCGCATGCTTTCCATCGTTGACAGAGCCGTCGCTATCGCTCCCAGCAATCTTGGCCGAGCGGGCTCGCTTGGCCTCCCTCGGGGGGCCCTTGATTCGTACCATGGCCTGACCAAGCAAGTGGTCTGCCTTCCAATGGGCAGAGCAGATGGCCACATCCCCGTGCTGCTCTTCAAGCAGGATGATGGCGCCGTACCAGAGGTGGGGACATTTCGTTCGGTAGTAATCGCGAGGCTGGTTCTTATTTGCCTGATGCTTGATTGGGTGAAGGGCAACAATGCGTCCGGCGAGATTCAAGGCAGTGCGTTTGATGATCGAAACGAGCGCGGAGTCGAGGGGGTTTCCGTTGGAATCCCGAAGTGCTTTGCCAAACGAAGGGCGGTAGGGGTTCGATGTAGAGAAACCGGCGTCGGGGCCTACGGCTTGGGCCCCTTTGAAAGTCCAAAGCACGGAGTCCGGTAAATGTGCTGGCTTTTGAGAGGGAGCCGCCTCCCATTGGTAGCGTCGGTATGCTGCCTGGAACTCCTCGCTGTCAGTTTCTCCATTGACGCGTGAGATGGAGTCGCTGGGGGCTAGAGAAGGGGTAGACGAGCGTAGTCTAAATCAAGGTTATTAGCTACAATCTAAGTAAATGGTCTCCAGCTTACCGGAGGGACGCGTCGAAGCTGCTGAGATGCATTTCAGCCATTTCTCTCTGAATATAGTAGACGGTCTCCTTCAATGCGTATAGTTCCATTCGCAAGACCTCGTAATCGTCTCTGTCGCGACTGTGCCTAGGCGGCTGGCGGAAATCATCCTGTGCGCGCCAAGCATAAGCCATAGGTGGCTGGACATGCGTGATTTCTTCAGGCTGTCCGTAATATCCGGCGGGGGCGGCTGGGGCTGGGGGACGAGGTGGGTATTTGTCTTCATGGAAGGGACGTGGGGTGTATGGTCGATTGGTTGGAGGCAGAGCGTCAGTGCTGGAGCGTGCGTCACGAAAATCCCTCGTGGTGGGTTCTTGGAGCTGCCCAGGAACTCGGGGGCGAGGGTCGAGATAGCCAGTGGGGACAGCATGGCGCGGAGGTGGTTGTAAACCATGGTCCATCTGGATGGCATCCCGCGGGGCGTCCTGGAAAGTGGGAGCACGGCGATTCAACTGCGAGTCATGCCAGTCGTAGGCAGGAAGGCCACGGGGCTGAGTATGAGTAGAAGGTGCTGCAGAGTACTCGCTCGGCGTCGAAGACGAACACTGGGATTGCTGGTCAAAACGGTAAGTAGACATGTCGATGGCGCGAAGCGTAAGAGACCAACAAACGAAGCCGAAACTGGCGCGCGGGTCACAACATCACACAGCGGTCACAAGATCATACAGGGGTACAGGGGACAACACAGGCTCCTTCTGCCTTGCTTTTGCTTACCGTACTAGACAGGTGCCGCTGGCACCTTATTCATCTATATTCCAATTCAAGAATGAGGACCTTGGAAAGCAATCTCTGCACAACTCGCAGGCCTTGAGAAAAGCCGGCACACATATAGTCAGACACCGACAATCTTGTTGAGCAGTTTCTCCTTTAATTGCAAGCTACACTTGCGATAATTACATTTCTTCCTATAACTACAGTGCTCCATCATATACAGTCATTGCTGAGTGTTTTCTGTGAATATATATCCGGCCTTCCTTTCCATGGGATATCCCAATCAGGTTGATTATTGACCGCACCTCTTGTACAACTATTTGATCACTTTGCTCTCCCCATATTGAAACACCATCAAATGGAAGGCCATCCAAGTTAGTGTTGCCGTGGCTCGGCAAGCCTGAGCCGAGCCGGTTGAAGCCACGGCTTCACTCGGCTGGCTCGGCTTCGGCTTGGCTTAAACTCCCAGGGCACGGCTCGAGCCGCAGCTTGGGCTTGAGCCGCAGCTCGAGCCGGTGTACGTCGGCTCTGCCGCGCGAAGTGTCGAAGCCACAAGATTCATCAGTTTTCTATTAGATACTGCAAAGATATGTATGGAAGGAACTACAGCTGCATGAAAGGATGTAACAGAGAAAAACATTTCGTACAGTATACTATGCCTAGGGCTCTCCTGTACACTGATCCTCTGGTTCTGTCTCTAAGTCATCCGCACAAAGGGCTTCGAGCAACGACCCTGAATCGGGCTTGAGAAGCTCAGAAAGAAGGTCCCCACCGTTGTAGTCGGAATCGCACATCAGGCTCTCTGGAGTTTCCCACCCGCTCATAAAATCAAGCCGTTCCTTCTTCAGCGCGAACTTCAGCATCTGAAGGGCCTCCATCAGTTCGGGCTTGATGCGATTCCGTCGTTTGGTATCTGTCTCGGCGCTTGACGAGAAGACACGTTCACAGGGAACTGCCGAGGCCTGTATGGGGAGGTAGTCCATTGCAATGTCGAACAGGGTGCGGTGGGTATCAGTATTAATCTATAATTAGACCAGTGTGTTGGCTATGGTTCTTGTCGGATTAGATGCGGCTGTGCGTACCTCCCAGAACTTGAGACTGTCAGTTCCCTTAGGCGAGAGCACGCCGTTGGCATATGCCCTGAATTCATCATCGACACTTTGATCGCTCCCCGATTCCGATGGGCCTATGTTCATATCATCAAGACCGTACTGTTGTGCAAGAGTGTCGAAGCCAAATTCGGGCCGTGCCGCAGCGTGCGACGATTGGGCAGCTGACTGCGATCCGGAAGCATCCCTTGAGGGTCTTTTGTCCCGGTATGCCTTCATCTGGTGCCATAGAGACAAGAATGAATGATGCATATAGGAAAACCAGAGCTACGAGTACTCACAAGTGTCTTGATGATTTTAGTTGCCTTTTGCACATATGTTGATGTCCAATGAGCTCGCATCCAGCTCATCCGGATGGTCGGGTTGAGGACTTCCAATTAGTTGTTAGTGTATTAACACTGGAAGCCAAGCATCACATACACATGGCGACGATGTATGCCTTCGTAAGATCCATGCGGCTGTAGTATTTATTAGCCCATTTCAATCCGACATCTGTCCAGTGTTTGAGGTGTGGATTCTTTTGACCAAGCAACTCCCACGTCGTAATGAAGATTTCGAACGCCGGAAGGGCCCCAGCTAACACAGGATTGCGTTCTCTGGACATGACTTGTTGGACGCGATGTGGTATCTAAGTTCAGACCGTTCAGTTGCGGTGCAGATAATCATTGTGATTGACAATCACCGAAAGGATAATTTCAAAATCTTGGAGAGATTTCCATTGTGCGTTGTCAAGTTTGTAATCAGCAATGTCCTTGTTGGTCGGCGTGGATAGAAAGTAATCTATAGCCTGTTGTGTGCATAAGTCATCTATTTGGTTACCACAACCGGGGTGCTTACCGGTCGAAGTTCACGGAGACGGCGAATCATATAGAAGACAGAATCCCAACGAGTCTTGACATCGCGCAGGAGCTGAAGGTGGCGTAAGTGGATGGGGTCCCCGTTTGTGTCTTTGCCAAACCAGTCCCTTTTGTTGCCAAGGCGAATGATCTCATCGAAGTCGTCACGACGCTGTCCAGAAGCCCGCAGAACCCGTACGATATCGCGTCCGAGAGCAATGGGGTCTCCAGAACAAAGATCTTCGTACTTTTGTCTCTCTGGATCATCGGCGGGAACAGCACTTAGAAACTCGTGTGCAAAATCAGCAAGATCAAGATTGGTGAATTCTTCGATGACGTGTTGCGAGGAGATGTTGATGATGTGAGGAAAGCACATGATACGTTGGTCAACTGCATCAAAGTTTATATCGCGCTCCTTGAGCAATCTCTCAAGCTCGCGCATGAACGTCTGATTGTTCTCAGCGTTATCAAGTGTCCAGTGACCGGCCTTGAAGTACGATAAATCACAGTGACACATTTCTAATCTGTTGTCACGTACCTTGACAGTAATGCCCGCACGGTCTAAGATCTTCAGCGCAATCGCAGCCAGATTCTTGCCGTCGTGTCTACCAAAGATGCGATGAAACGCGATCAGTGCCGATTTGAGTTCGAGTCCCTTGGTACGCTCATTTCGAGCAATCCAATGTGCCGTGATTGCAAAGTAGGGTCGGAGGCGCTGATCTGACCAGATATCGGCAGTGAAGCAGATGTTTCCGAGCGCTTGCTAAACATGTACGCACTTAAAAATAGATGCTTTCGCTACCGTTGGGATTGGAACACACCTGGAGATCAATCTTTAAACGTTCGAACCACTTTGCCCAAGCTTTGATTATCAGGCTACGAAGGTGAGTACGCCGTGGTATATCTGTGTCCTTGAGCTCTTCGTGAAGAAAAAGAAGAAGACCACGAAACTCTGGGCATTCTACAACATTGAGAGACTGACGCAGATGCGCAATCAGGAAACTTGCGCAAGGATCAGCTGAGAACGGACTGGCGCACTTGATCATCGGCAACGACGAAGTTCACGAGTTTAGCATGCATCGCCTCGATGGAGAACTTGATCCGCTTTGCATTGGCGTTGGCAGCAGCCTGAGCTTCTGCTGCTTTGCTGTCTTGCTTGCGTTTGGGGAGCATACTAGGCCATCCATGCTCCTCGCATGCCTCATCATACTTCTCTCGGTGATTTTTTTCAAGATGGGAGCGAAGGTTGGTTGTGCCGGTGGTGATTGAATATTCAAACGTCGGTTTCCTCTTTTGTGGATTGCTCGCCGGATTTGCGTCGTACGCATCACTACAATTGAATGTATTCATAAGTTATAGGACAAGTAAAACCATGGAATCTGAGACCATACCGGCACGTCCAACATACTGTCTTTGTCCCAGCCTGCTTGTCGCCCCGGATGAAGAAATGGTCAATGTCTGGTGTCTTATTTTGCGATGAGGTGCTGTCGGCAATGGAAGCTTGAGCAGGAGAGACACCAGGGGTACGGCCAGGCAACCCGACTGGATGGTTGACAGCTCGTTCAACATCTGCGCGAGTGGCAGCACGACCACGAGGACGAGCCTGAGGACGCTGGTCACTTGCTTCGCTTGAGGATGCCGAATCCTGGGCATTCAGCTCGATTTCCTCGTTGGAAGATGATGGGGGCGAAGGTGCCAGTTGCCTGCGCCCTGCCCGCCTTCGCGGGGAGCGGCGTGCCACAGGCGCTGGCAGCACCTCAGTATTGGGGCTTGGAGTCCTTTGCCGGCGCGGGGCCATATGTAAATAAGCGCAGCAAGTATAGGTTGGCTTCTTGCTCTCCTGTGTAGTTAAATACTTAGTACAGTAGTTCATCCATGCGATGGTCGTGCAGCACCGCAACAGTATGCTCAAAGCAAACACATGTGAAAGGTGATGAATCAATAAGGCACATAAGCTAAAACCAATGAGGCCTGAGGGCTGAAGCGGCTGAAACATGTAGGTAATATGGCGACTGACGAGTCAAGGGTTAAGCGAAGCCTCGCGCAAAAGTGATGGTGGTGGCGGATACAGTCGAAGCCTCCTTCAACATGGTAAATGCATGGCGCAACACAGCAGGTAGCGGAAATGATAGAGGAGGTTGTAAACAGGGAGGCACTACGCGAGCCGAAGTACAAGGCTAGTGGTGAGGTGATGACGCCGACATTGCGAGCACGGTGGTAATGTGTGGCCTGCTACAATAAAACATCGCGGATTTGGGGTGTTTCACGCATGAGCAAGGTGTAAGACTGATAACGATGGCTGTACACACCTTTAAAGGTCCATCTCGACTCTGAGGGTGTCAGCCCAGCTGCCTCATCTGCGGTTGATATGTTGCGGTCACAGCTGGAGGATTCAAAGAGAGCATGTATATTCAGCATGAAGAAGAGCCTCACAGAGGTTAATATGAGCGTACCAAGGCGTAGGAACTTGAACGGGCCCGTCGATGAGCAGCGAGGAACAAAAGAGAAAGCAAGAGGAATAGGCGCCGATGGCCATGGAAAGGCGGCTTGAGCAGGCTTCAAAGCCGGCTCAAGCCGCAAAGCTGTGGAGCGAAGCCGTGCGAAGCTGGGAGGCTGGCTCGGCTTCGCTCGGCTTCAACGTGGCTTGGCTCCGGCTCCAAGCTGGCTTCAAGCCGGAGCCGCGGCAACACTAATCCAAGTTGATGAAAGGGTGATAAACCACAAGCAAAGAGTTTCGGTCTGTATCTTGATAGAAGGCCAGTGCTTCTCCAAACACCAATTCTGTCCTAGTGGCACCATGCTTGTAGGCCTACAACTTATGTTAATCCTGAACATGTTATGCATAAATCAGCAACTCACCTCAAAGTATCTGGATGATCGAGTAACTTTCCTCCCAATCTTTGATTCATTAAGACGGCTGCGCAGGTAATCACCACTCTGCAGAGGCACTTTTCCAAACCTCTCCAGCCAATCTGCATCTCCATTGTAGGGCATGTTCAACCATTGACAAATTGCCTTTAAATGTTGGACAAATGATGAGAATGGATCATTTCTCTCCTTTCTCTTGATAGGAGCTTTGCCTACTGGCACCCTTGGTTTTGCAGGCTCAGGAGACATATGAAGAGATGGGTAATAGAATAGAAGATTTTTAACTAACTGTTCTTCATAGATCTTATTGGCCAAGTTCACAAATGGCTCCTTTCTGGACCTGATTTTTCGTTCCAGAACACCAATGTGTCTTTCAAGGGTCCCCTGAGAGCCAATACGATAAGAACCATTCCAGCGAATGTGATCTGGTATATACAGTAGGTGAAACATGGAAAGGCGCATTCTTGATGCCTTTGTAGAGTCAACACCAACATATATTTCCTGAAACTCATGCAAGAATTTGACAATTTCGGTGCGGATCATTTCCAGATCATCTTCAGTTCTTCCAGTGATCTCCATAGCAAAATTCACTATCCGGACAAAACATGCGAAATTGTAAATGACAGCCAGGGGCATTTCAAGTTCGATGAGAATAGGAATTGTAAGCCAATGGCACAAAGCCTTCCATTCAAACATCTTGTATTGAGTATTTCTTTTGAGATGTGGGTCACGAACAGGTCCTGTGAATGAAGATGGTATTGTGGCCATGGCCCTTGTGACACGCTGTCCAAATAATTCTGCTCTAGCAGTCGATAGATGTGGAATTTCATCAGGGCCTGTAATTGAAGTCCACAAATCCCAGAAGTTGGCCATATTGTTCTCATACAACAGATGGAATGGATCGGAGAAGAAGAAATTTGGCCAAGCAAACGTTTTGAATGCTGCCAACAACGGAAGTCTAACAATTCCATATTTTTCTGTAATAAGCTTCCTCTCCTTCTCAGTCCTTGCAGATTCAAGTTGGGTAATCACATTCCAATACTCCTGTTGTGTAAACTCTGGCAGATTATTAAGATCATAATCAGGCCTGCCTGGGTTGAACTTTTTTGCTCCCTCTGGTACAGTAATACACCAGTAGATGCGCTTGCAGCCCTTAACATCAGATCTCATTCCAGTCAACTTCAAGTTGAAGAAATTTCCATGAAGAGAATTGATCCCAAGATGGCCATTGTCTTTATTTTGACCAGGCTGATCTGCACTTTGACCAGCAACACCTGCACGGTGCATGATATAAGATGACCTAATGGCATCCCAGATCCAAATACCTTCACCCATTTGCAGTAGTTCCTCTATGACAGGATACATAAATGTGCTCAGATTTCCTGGAGGCTCTGGGCCCAGTGTTGCAAAGACAGTTATGACATTCTCAGCAAGATACCGTATCTCAGGTGGCAAGTTAAGGAGAATCAAAATAAGAAACCAGCAATCAGATTGTTTCTTGAGTGTGAGCATAGCCCCATCAATTGACATGATGTAAAGCATATCACATTCATCTTGGAAGAGTCCTAATTTTCTGATATGATCCATGTGCGTTTTGCTATTGGCATAATCTGAGTATTTCACTTTTGCCCCCTCATTGAATAGTTTAATGGCAGCTTTGACAAGATTGTCTCTATAGCGCAACAGTCTTGATTGTTCTTTATTGGCAAACATCGCCCGGATGATGGGAGCTATTGGTAAAACCATAAACTGTGCTGCTGGCTTCTCAGTACCAGGCAGATATCGATCTCTGCCACAGGCAACAGGAGCCCCCTTTTTTGGTTTACGCAGGAAGTCACAAACATGTTTGTCTTTGTGATCCCCTGTAAATGCTATACATTTTCCAGGGCATATTGAAATGTATTTTGGCATAAAGTTTGTGAGTTTTTGAGCCAGTCTGCGGCACCGCTCAATACTCATTATTGGCTCATCTTCTCGGGCTGAGAATAACTCAGAGTATCTTTCATGAGCACGTCTAGTGGTGTTTGTTTGTTGAAACACCACCCAATGACTAAGGCTATAATTCTGAAGTTTGGTCAATGCAATTGGGCGTAGACCAACTTCAGGAGGCTCGGGCTCAGGCTTATAGCCATTCAAAATTTTTTCGCGGAGAGCCTGTTGGGACTCAGGAAGTGGGAACTGTGCCTCAACTTCAAATTCATAATTATTGTCTCTATCTTCAAAGTCCCAGTCTGAATTGGCATCATTTGCAGACGGTGAGCCAGAATTATCATCCGTAGCAGCACTATGGGCTGAGTCATAATCATCTGCAGATGCAGGATAATCTGGCGATGAGAGCACACTTTCATCGGAAGATGCAAAATCATCATCATCAGAAGGCAGGTCGTGCGGCTGCCATTGATCAAATTTCTCTGAGTCCTGGTAGTAGGGATCCAGTTCAGCTGGAAGTTCCTCGGTCTCTATCTGTATAAGTAACAGACTAGTTAGGGGATGATAATAACTGTCAACCAGACGCCGACACTTACTTGATCAAGAAATGGCATTGAGGTATTGGTGACGTCAATGCCATTTAGAACCTCTGGTTTCTCTAATAATATAGTAGATGTAGATTAGAATCAATAAACAAGGTAACATAGTGATATACTCACCCTGATCTGACTGATTCTTGCCGTCGTCATCTAGAAAGAAATGTGAGAAACTCATTTCAAGAAAAATGTATCACCACTGGCAGAAGATACAACAGTGATAACCGGTGATACTCACCTACTGTCGTATCTATCCTGTGGGTCAGTATATTGTGCGAAGGATTCGGCCTCATCTGCTTACCCAGAAAGGACACAGGACCGCCGGTGTCATCCACATCCATGGCTACAGTAGCATACAGTAAGTTATAATACCAAACTGATAAGCTATCAATGTATACCATCGTCATTTGTATTTTGCACAACTAACAAAAAATCAATTATTTAATGACTGCGCACGCAATCAAAAGTATCACCCACCGCGCTGTTTTGATCCCGCAAGCAGCTCCTCATTTGCCTCGATACAACGTTGAATGAATTGAAGGGTTGTTGGATGATGCGAATATTTCTGAAGCAATTCTCTGTCTTGCCTGAGATGTGCTTGTATTGTTCTCCTCACGCGGGCTCTCTTGCTGAACCCGTAGCAGTTCGAGCAACAGCAATACATGGCGGTACGAGTGGAAGAGTGACTTGATGATAATGGAAAGAACACGCACCGTTCAACACATGTTGTTGTCATCTCACGCATAGATAGGCGCCTTACTTTACTTCCCGCGGCGCCCTACTTTACTTCCCGCGTCGTCTAATGCTCATTGGCTATTCTCACCTTTGCCTCAAGTTGAAGCCTTCGAAATCGCACGAATGCTTCTCGTGTCCATGACCCCTGCCTTAGTATCATACGCCTCAAAAGACCCCATTCACACGGCGATTCACGGGAGACAACAACGCAATCGAAGTTACTCTGTGTACATATCACTGTCCAACTTACATCCACCCCTTGTGAGCGCAATCCTTCTCCAACTCCTCAAACTAGCGATTTCTCTCTCCAAATCACGCTGTAACAGCCCTCCAGCAACAAGGACTCAAGGCTGTCTCCTTGCCATCATGATCTTCATCTATCGCCTGATCATCAAAGCTGTTGAACGTTTCTGGCAGTTCCGACCCATCATTCCACCTGTCAATTCCCTCAGAATACCAGCGAGCGACTGATCCCTGGTCCCCCGGTCCGAACGCCATCGAAATAGTTTTGCGTGTAGTACCAATGTCCAACTTCCCTCCCCCACTCCCCAACCCCACGCAAACTCCCCTCCCGACTCCTTCTTCAACGTCCCGAAAACTAAGCCTCGACTTACAGCCGTCGAAATGAAGGAATTCGCATTCCATTCGTTATCAGCCTGAAAACCCCCGTCCTTACGTTTGCCTCACCACAATCGCCATTCCTATAATCCCAGCTCCTTTTCTTTTCTCGGCCTTCTACTACAATCTCAACTCTCTCAAATATCGAATGTACGCCGTAACAACCTCATTCGCCCACCGGGCCCCCCCTGCAACACGGACTCGAGTCAGGTGGCAGCCTTATTCTGCCCTTTCCTCCTCCTCTTCTTCAAACGCCTCATCATCATCATCGAATGTCTCTTGCCGTTCCCCGTCGTCCTCTTATTTAAATACCCCTGCTTCCTCTGTATCAAGCCCTCCATCTGTCAACACTCCCAACGACCCACGCCACGCCACCCCTTCCCTATCCCACAGCTTAAAAGAGCATCAGTCACGCGATGCAAACAAACAGCAGTACGCTCTAAGCCTTGTTGGTAAGAGTCTCACTGTCTGACACAGCGGTCGGATATCTTAACTATTCCCCATCAGACCAAGCCGTAAAGGCATTGTCCGACATATGGCACCCCCAAGATATCCCTTCTGTCTTCCTGACGTCCTCCAGAGCGACCGTACCCCCAACCCCGCCCCCGCTTCAGACGCCATCGACACTACTTCGCGACACATGTCGCCGCAACGTCCAACTTCCATCCCCCATATCCCCCTCCACTCGCAAACCCCCTCTACCCCTCGACTCCTCCTCCGACGTCTCAGAAATCAGACGACAACCGTATCACCGACACTTCTGCTAGCGCCAACACTCAGCATGGCTTGGTGCCAATCAACGGGTTTGTCCACGAGGTTCTCAAGCGATCGCGGACGTCTGTCTGCGTGCTACAGACCGCCCTCTGTTACCTCGAGGCCATTCGATCGAAAACCCCCGAGCTAGTATGACAGGAAGCCCTTGGTGAAGGGATTTTTCGTTAACCTGAAACCCAGAGCAGAGTTATTTCCGCCAGCCACCTTGATCACGACGCCGACTACGAGTACCTTCAAGATTCAACTTCTCGGAAAGAAGGTCTCCCATTCCATCCCTCCCCTCCCACCGATGGTGCCATTGCCACCTGCAGCGAGCTTTCCTGGCCTCTTAGATCCTTGCTTCAAAGTTTACTCAAGGTAGATCAGGGCATGGTTTATTGAGTGCATCGTGTTAGGGACTTCATTCACATAGCGCTATCTATCTACGTATCCATCAAATCCAGACACCTTTCCTCCTGTTCAAAGCCTCCACTATCAGAACGAGGACTTCGTTACCGTGTACACGTGATGTTCCCCACCTTGTTCGCTTACTTGCCGTACGTTCGCTTACTTGCCGTACACGCTCGCTTCAGAATTCAAACACACACGCTTGCTCGCTTCAAAAAACTCGCGCTCTTCAAACACACTCGCTCGCGTCAAACGACACATGTTCTACTCGTTAGCTGGAGCACCGATGTACGTCCTACGCCATGCTATCTACAGCTGACCTCACCTGATTCTACAGGTGAGTACTTATACAGCAGATCTACCATTGCCTCACCCGGTCTTTCCTTCCCGCCATGGCCCCTGCTACGCATGAACTCATATTTCTCACCAACGCTGCCGCTTCCAACGTCCGAGGGCGCCCAGACCGGGACTCAACCTGGTTGGGCATTCCGTCGGTCAACGTGTATGGCGAAGTCACAATCAAGAAGGAGTATAACGCATCGTTCTCTGTCGTAATACTCAAAGAAGGTGTTGTGAGTACATCCGTACCTGACTCTGGTACATATTTACTGATATCCGTAGCCCACGGCGACCGTCCTTGGCGCCACTTGTGTACGGACAGTGATCGACATCGGAATGTATGAAGAAGGTTATTACGCGGACAGCCTTTTTCTCCAGAACCCCGCTACGATTCGCATCTCCTCCCCTGACGGCGTGAAGAAAGTAATTGGTAAGAAAAATCCTTTGGCTTCATTTATACGCTAGCTAATGAATTGTTAAGCCGCGGGAGGCCTCATACAAGCAAGAGACGCACAAACACTTATCGTCCACGCTGACGGCATCTTATGTGCACGACGCAAGAAGGAATCCAGAAGTCAGACGCTGCGAGTGAGTGCTTAATTGACATGTCTTTTAGCATTTAATTTAATTACAGCTAACTATGTACAGGAACTCCGGCAGCTTCTTGAAGGTGCTATGAGTACGCTAGATAGCTTGGAAACCAGTGACCATGAGAAGGCGCTTGCGAAGCAGGTCGGCGAGTCCATGTTCGCAGCCTTCGCCGACGCCGCCATGAAATGAACTTCGTCGATTACTTGTTGTCTACTCGTTCTTTACATAATATATCATGTGTTTGTCGCACACAGTCAACCTCAGTCAGATTTTTGAGCGACCGATGAGTACCCTGAACTGACTTAAAAATACATGAAACTTTGCTTAGAGATTCCGCAAGATACTCCAAAAGGCAAGTGCTGTTTTTTTTACTTAGAGCTTACCGAAACTGACTAATCGCGACTACAGGGAACCTTTCGGTGATACTGACTGACTTAGGTAAAATACTGAGAGTTAACCCGGAGTGGTTCGGGGTCGCCTGTCATTCTGCGTTGCTTGTGCTCCCTTTCCCGTAGCTCTGGTCGTACTCAGCTCAGCCTAAACGCCACGTTCGCCTCAGGATTCGTCGCCCTCGAGAAGCGCGTTTTCGACTTCGTCCATATAGGCGCTTGATGACCGGGTCCTCTGGGTCGTGGCTGAAGCCACAATTACTTAGTGTTCGTTCGTTCTTCGTGAAAAGCGTCATACGACTCGTACTCGTACCTGCGGCGGCGATACCTGCCATTCCGGCGACCGTAAAAGGTGCTGAGTGGAAGCTGAGATCGGACGATCTCGGGGCTCGCCAAGTTGCGAACAAATCACCAACTCATCTGCGTCAACAGTACTGCATATCCGCAACTAGATTTACTCGCGATGTACCTCTATCTTCAAGCTCTCCCGCGAGCGCAATGTCAGCCATACTCTCGGCGGCGCGCTCGACGCTACATCCAGAAGACTTCTTCATTTGGATATCTTTGTTAAACTAGTGGACAGGTGACCAACAACCATATGTTCTAGTTCCACGCACTACCAATAAGTAAGTAACGTGAATGTGCGACCTGTTGAATATTCGTGTGCTAACCTCGTTCCTCAATTACAGTTTGACTCAACGGTTAGGCCTTTAGGCTCGATGCTCATATCTTTAGGAGGATTTTGGACGCCTGCATGCCACGGCTCGCCACTGGCACCCAGGCTGGTTGCCGATAGGGCATGGCGCGGGAGTATCACACGGTGGTAGCACTAACTCACACCACGGTGTGTCATAGTTATCGGCATATTGTCGCAGTGCGTTTATAAACGGGGCGTACCGTGGCGTTCCATTCGATTGCTCCCCCACCCACGATTGCCCGAATCATGGAAGCTAAGCAGATAGCCAGTCACTGGCTGAATAACTTCGCCGAGCACGTCTACGCCGGTAACGTAGATGACGTTGTCTCCTACTTCCAGCCCGACGGATGGCTTCGGGACATCCTTATCTTCACCTGGGACAATCGCTCGCTGGAAGGCCACGACAAGATCAGGGCCTACTTACGCGATACGTTGACGACGCCCAATATCCGGGATATCAAGCTCGACGAGCGCCCCCATGTTGGGCCGTACTTAGGCCCAGTGACGGCTGCGCATCATGGGGTGGGATTTGGTTTCACCTTTCAGACAGACATTGCACACGGTCGTGGTTACATTCGCCTCACCCAGGCACAAGATTCGGGGGAATGGAGAGCTATTTCCGTATCTACGGAAATGATGGATTTGAAGGGCCACGAAGAAGAAAGATATGAATTGGGTGTCTATGGCGGGCATACTTTGGCGTGGGAGTCGGTGAAGAATTCCCGCCGCGACTACGTCGAGGAACACCCACATGTACTTATCAGTAAGACGTTCCGCTCCGTTCGTCTAGCTACCTCTGTAGACTGACAATTCGTCGATACCCAGTCGGCGGGGGGCAGGCCGGCTTGATAGTCGCAGCGCGCTTCAAGCAAATGAACCTACCTGCGATCGTACTGGAGAGGACGGCTCGTGTAGGTGATGTGTGGCGGAACAGATATCCAACTTTGACCTTGCATACCCCTCGCAACCAACACCAAAGTATGCATTATATTTGCAACACACAAGTCCGATTGTGTTTCTGATGTTGTTCTTCAGTGCTTTATCAACCCTTCCCAAGCACATGGCCTAGATTCACACCAAAGGACAAACTTGCCGATTGGTTGGAGCAATACGCTGTTACCCAGGATTTGGTGGTCTGGAATAATTCGCAACCTCTCCCCCAGCCAAAATATGATCCCCTGACGAAGACCTGGCACGTTAAAGTCGCCCGTGATGGGAAAATCGTCGAACTCAACCCAACTCACATCGTAGTAGCCACAGGAACGCTAGGTGCACCCCGCATCCCCACCATCGAAGGGCGGGACGACTTCAAAGGAACTATCTTTCACAACGCAGACTTCCATGGAGCGAAGCCCTTTGAAGGCCGGAAGGTTGTCGTTGTCGGCGCGGGGAATACATCTGCGGACATTTGTCAGGATCTAGTCTTCCATGGAGCCGCCTCTGTCACCATGGTTCAGCGGAGTTCATCGTGTGTTGTGTCTGCCGCAAGCGCGCACGTTGGCCTCGACATGAGATTCCCCGAAGGCGTGCCGGCCGAGGTTGCTGATTTCAAGAATGAATCGCTTCCATTTGGGATGGTGAAGAAACTTCTGTCTCAAGATGAGCAGAAGGTCTGGGAGGACCATAAAGACATGCATGAAGGTTTGAGAAAGGCGGGACTGAAATTAAACATGGGTGTAGATGGCGCTGGGCTTCCCAGCTTGGTACACCAGCGACTGGGCGGTAAGTGTACACAATTCTTGAGACCATCGCGACGGTTGATCGATCCGTTTTCTAGGTTACTGTATGCCTGGTTCTATCCTGTTCTAGCGATGTTTTCTAATCCAGTTATCAGGGTTGGATGTTGGCTGTTCGCAGCTCATCATAGATGGGAAAGTCAAAGTCAAGCAAGGAGTAGAAATCGCCCGATTGTCGAGCGACTTAGTCCACTTTACGGATGGTTCTACTCTCGAAGCTGATGTTGTTATCCTTGCGTAAGCCTATTCACAACGCGTCCCGGATTTCTAGGATGACGCTCTTTGGCAGGACTGGGTACGAGAACATTAGAGAGACGATGCGAGAACTCTTCGGCGATGAGGTCATCGACAAAACAGGGCCCGTATATGGGCTAGACGAAGAAGGAGAGTTCAGGTCCTCTTTTCGCCGTTCCGGACATCCTGGTGTTCGTTACCTTCCTTTCCGTCTCTCTTGCATCCTCTGATTCTCTGGCAGTTATGGTTCGCAGCAGGCGATTTTGTATATTCCAGATTTTATTCAAAGAGGCTGGTATGCGTGCGCGCTGTCAACCCCGATTACTGCTGATACCGATATATTTGCAGGCACTGGAGCTCAAGGCCATACAACTTGGTTTAATCCAAGCGTAAATTTCAGTTCGTACGGGCTGCTAGGTGTTTTAGTCGTGAACATCACTGTTTCACCTCGTGTCGTTGTGTCTTACGTGGAATTCCTGCTAATCGCGGCGTTGGATGCATTGATCAACCTTTCCTGAAGCCTCTGTCTGCTAGACTCGGACCTGTCTTCCTCTACATCGCCCTAAGTCCTTGTGGTAAGCTCATAGATCACTAACTCGGATGAGACGAACATACGTAAGGGCACGGTGCCTCCTAAGCGAAACCCCTAGTGTAAGTTCAGACAGAATACATCGGTGAGGGAGACGTACATATACTGGGACGGCGGGTGGAATGACAGAAAACCGGCAAGTCCGTTAGTTGTGTGAGCCAGTCATACGTAGGAGTCTTGATCATACAGGATCACAGGGCTTTGCTACATCGGAAGTCGGTAAGATCATCTGTTCAGATGAAGGCAGCTATATTTACTTGGGGGATACAAAGTAGACTGTTGTGATGGTTTCTTCCCATCGTGATGTGGGGCGGGGGGCTTAGGGGGACACTGGGAAGCCATCTCTTGAAGACGAGTTTCCCTTCGCTGAACCATGAGCGGGATAATGACTTTTAGTCATCGTCAATGGCATCGTAGAATAAAGGCTCTGGGAAAAAGTCGACGCAGTTTAAGGCTTCCATCCCGGTCCCTTACGCTTGGGCTATGAAAGCTGTACCACATAGCCAGGCGCTGATTGAAGGCTGCTGGCGTGGGGTATAATCCATACGTTTGTACGTTCAATGATTGGCGCGCCTTAATTCACGAACCCGGGCGTCGCCGAGGACAGTCCATCGACGAACTATGAAAGGAAGCATCTATTGAGATTCCGAGATACCTCTACGATTAACGTTTCATAGTGAGACGCATATTCAGCGCATCTTCTCCGTCGCCGTCTGGAAGAGTGTATCAGCCACCACTCCTCAGCCTGCGATAAGCGGACCCACAATATTTTTGCTCCACCGAAACAACCTCAAACCCTAGGCTATCTCTATACAGGCCTATTGCCGCCTTGTTGGACTTGCGTACGTGAAGCGACACGAAAGATGCTTTATATACATCCACCATAGCCTCTTCTAAAGGTCTCATTAACACCCAGGGCGGTGCCATACGGTTGATTGCTCACGAGACAAAAGCATCAGTTTCTTCGCCAGACCCAGCCGCCGATATGATCGCAACACTGAAATAGAGTTAACGTGGCCATGCACCTCCCCCTTATCGGCGGATTCGTCGTCTCTATGGCGAAGGGACGATAAGCACCTGGGCCCAGTTGTATATGAATCCGCACATTTTCGCGAGCACGTAGCCGACGATGCGACCTTTGTGGTCCTCTGCGACGAAAGAAATTTGAGGCCATGTTGCAGCATGATATATCCCTGATGCATTGATCGTATGTTGAGTTGCATGCAGTGAAGTGAATGGAGGGACCTACAGAATTTCATCAAGTAGTTTTCAGGTAGATTTTGGAGATTTGTCGCTTGCATACCAGGCAAATCGTCCATCTACGGTGCAAGTGTCAACTTAAGGTGTTTGGCACGATGAATGCGATATCCTGCCTGACCTTGTGAGTAGTAGCATTAGTAGCGATCCTTTGCGTTGTAGTCCTCCACGAAACTCACCCTGGCAAGTCGAATATTCATGGTGGCGAGGCGAGGAGCCACTATTAGCTCCACTATTCTAAGGTTTGTAGTACGAGCCGAGGCTTGGGAGAATTCGGACCGAGGTCTTGAACTCGAACCATCACCATCTCGTTGTTTCCCACGGTTCAACCTCGGATACTCGTCGCTTCAAGCTTCAAAGCTTCAAGTTCTACAGCCATTGCCGTACTAAGACGGATGGCAGCACAATATCCTGCCAACTGTGGCGTTCCCTTTGTTAAAAGAGCTTAAGGTGGGGATACCCGCGCCCTCTGAGTCCTAGAAGGCCTTGACTCTGCTCGGTCACTATGACATTTGGGCTCGGGAATTAAATCCACCGAAGCAGCTCTGAAATGTTCCTTCTGGTTCAACTCAATCCTGCATGCTAAACCCCGCAACCAGTCATATCACTCCGCACATTGTAGCTTTGGTCAGTGGCCACATGCCATTGCCCGTTTTGACCTAGGTTTGACACGGTGGCCGTGTCAAAAAAGCGCACCCAGTATATTTATCTCATCAGACGATAGGGCGCGATATAAAACTCTGAGCTTGAGTTTGGAATCAGTTGACACTCACGATCAGTTGGCGTTCGCATCATATCCATGACCGTAGAGAAATCGGGATACGCACCGTTTCGCGTTGGGACAGAGACGTACCAAACTTGGTACAAGGTTGTGGGCGAGCTGGGAGCCGGACGTAGACCGATCGTGTGTCTGCATGGAGGGGGAGGAATGACACATCACTACATGTTGTATGTTTCATGCCGCATCAAGTTATCCGATCATAAGCTCACCATCTACCTGCACTATCCCTCGTAGACCACATGTCGCGCTCAACTCGCGCCTTGGGTGAGGATTAAGATCTCATTGTCCGTGTCTGCGAAGATCTGTCGCACACCTGACGTGGGTCTTGCATCAGCGTTCCCGTCGTTTTCTATGACCAGTTGGGGAACGGCGAATCAACTCACCTCCCGGACGCGCCTAAAGACTTCTGGAAGCCCGATCTATGGGTGGACGAGCTTAACAATCTCCTCCTATATCTGGGTATCTCCGATGGCTTTGACCTCCTTGGAAACTCTTGGGGAGGTGGGCACTCATACTTCTCTCTTCAACAGTGATCATCGATGTCCACTAATCACTCCCTTTCTGCACAGGCATGCTTGCGGCGCATTTCGCATCAACGCAGACGACCCCTGGCCTAAAGAGCTTGATAGTATCCAACTCCCCGGCGTCGATCCCTTTATTAAAGGAAGCGACAGAAGCATTGATCGATCGATATCCCGACGCTGCTGCAAAAATGCGGAAGCATGCTGAGGCAGGAACTTTCACCGACCCAGAATATCGATTAGCTGCGCAGTCCATCCACGCTCAACATTTCTGCCGAGCCCATCCCATACCTGAAGATCTCATGACGTCCCTCACTTCGGTGTCCAAGGACCCGACAGTGTTCTCTACCATGTGCGTGTGTCCCGTACCTTTGATCGCGTCGTCGACATTCATCGTTGACCAGGGTCGGTCCCTCGGTATATCACATAATCGGGAACATAAAGACCTGGTCCATTATCAACAAACTAAACAAGATTTCTTGTCCCCTGTTACTCATCAGTTCTCCGCATGACTTCGTGCAGCCTAGTGCGATCACCCCATGGTTCCAAGGTGTCCCCAAGGTGAAGTGGGTAGAGCTGCAGAATAGCACCCATATGCCGATGTTTGAGGAACCTGAGAGGTGATGTCCGCGTGTGTTCTACCGTTTCATAAAGCTGATGGACTTGTATAGATATTTTGATGTCCTAGTAGCGTTCTTAAATCGCGACGAAGGAGGCTGTCAGGTCGAGCCATCATAATCAACCCCACCGCTTCACTGTACCGTATACTTAGCTCAATTGAGCGGTTAGTTCCGCACGTTAACTGGACGGGAATCTATCCAGTGCTGCAGATATGGTTTTCCGTGACTGCAAGAGCGGGCTCATGTCCCTGCCCTTTTCCGACACACGTTTGACACGGTGGGCATGTAAGAAGGTATATGTGATCTACCGGTCTCCCACTCCTGCTCTAGGTTGAGAGCTATCACACGGTACGACATGTATAAGATCGTCGAGATGGGAGGACATCGACACCATAAATTATTCTTGCAGATAAAAGGTAGAAATAGAAATAGAAATAGAAACGCCACACGAAAAGTGAAAGTCAGGGTCTCGCAGTTTATTTTGGTTTAGAGAAAATAGAATAGTTGAAATAAAGTAGAAAATGGCCTTTATTGACGTTTGATCCACATAGAACAATAGATGATGGCCATATAGGTCACCAATCGGTGGGTAAAATGGCCTGGCACAACAACGGGTGGCCCCAATGAGCAAGTGGAACAATGTGTGGCATATGCGCGGGCCACTGAACGGCAGACATATAAAGAGGGTGTTCTCATACTGCGACTCCCCATCGCCCATTGGCATTCTCCCCTCCAGCATGCACTCACTAAGCTCATTGTTGGCGCGCATGCAAACACTCAGCAGTAGCGAGTGCCTTCTCGACTCCATGACGATCATCGATGTCCTCCGTTTCATACAAATCACGCACCACATCAAGTCCGAGATCGCGCTGCACATTCCCCATGGTTCTCTTGCGCCTCCTTCGTTTCTGCCACTCTATATCCAATGCCTCTTGATGCTTATTATCGGGTTTCCTGAGGCACATGTAGTGCTCCTATGGTCAGTATTCAAGGACACTATTTGGGACTTGGATATTTCAATGCCACTGTGCGAGCAAGACATCCAGCTCATTAGCAAATATGGTGATGCACCAGAACTCCCAGGTCGAGAACAACTAGGTATGTGTCTTTGAAATTCTGATTAATTCAGCTAATAAATGCGCTGAGCTCTTGAAGCGGCCTTCATGTTTTACCCACCAGTATCATTGTGTACGCTCTGTAAGATGCCCCTCAAGTACTCAAAACTCTCCCGGTATCGTGTCACCTACTTCTCGGTACGCCATGGCAGTCAGCACGCATACATGACTTCAATTGGTTGTCAAGGTAGATCCATCCCTACACGTGTACCACTATCCTAATGCATATTCATTAGCATGTACGGCTAGATTCTATCCAACATACTACACACATGGCTCCATGCATCACTACTACTCACCGCAAGTACCAGAGATCATTCAAATCAAGGAGCATGCCCTTGTCTCAGCCGATCTGTGCGAACTATTTACCTTTTGCATGCTCTTTGCATGGGTATCATCGCAGAATTGTAGCCACATATTCAACACGGCACTATCAGGAGTGGCTGATGGCAACCCACCTTCTTCGTTGGTCCTTACATCGGAACAAGTCTCAAGGGCTTTCACATATAATGCACTTCATCGCGAATCGGCCGAACAACATCGACCACTCGTGTTGCGCGCCAATACAGACAATGACACCAGACTCAAGGAAGTGATGGAGGCCCGCAACGATGAGTATATTATTCATGGCCAACCACAACGGATGCATGCTTGTATGACCTGTGAGAAGCCTCTTTCAAGAGGTGATAACATGAGACCATGTATACTTCAATTCTATGTGTTACACTTCACAGGGCTGATGCATTCTAATTAATTAGACTCCTTCCGTGCTGTTGTTACAGACGGTATCACTCTTGGTCGGCCATGTTGCAAGGTTCATAACTGCACACAACCCTTACCCACCAATCGAGCCCATTTTTGCAAGTTTCACGAGAAACTTAAACAGCAGTGTGTCTTTGTTGATTGCGACCGACCTGCTGAACAAACATTCCAGACTTGCTCCGAGCCTGCACACCGACAAGCAGAGAGTCATCACAAGGCCAAAGGAAAAGGCTTCTTTCAGTTGCGAAAGCGACTCGAGCGGCATAATATAGCACATCTTGAAGACTCTGTGGCGCCACTAGATACGGAGACAATTGCAGACGGTCAAGACCTTCCCATGGATCCAGTCCACAAGTCCGATGCCGGCAATCAGACAGTGAAGGCACGGTTTGGGCGTCGTCGAACTCACAATGAGCAGCTTGTAGTAGCTTGCTGTGGAGTGATCACAGGCCGAGCAACTATGTTTGGTGCTGAGGCCATTTCTGGTGTGAAGGTACTTGCCGTGTTGTCCGATTGAGGAGTGGGCAATTGACACATCTCTTAAGGATGCCTTGAAGTCTATCTACCAGATGCCACAAGATCTACCAGATGTTATCTTCTTCGACAACAACTGTAGCCTACAAGCTCATCTTCAAAAGCAACGTGATACTTACTTCCAAGGCACCTTGCTTCCAGTTGATGTATTCCATTTTTCGAGCAAGCACAAACTCTCCGACGACTTCTGCCAGCGACACTGTAACCCAGCACAATGGCCGGAATTGGTTAATGATGATGGCAGCTGGAAATTCAATTCGTCAGTTGCTGAACAAACCAATGTATGGATGGGAGGTTATATTGTGATTGTTCGTGAGATGCTCCCACATCGCTACGAGTTCTTCCTGGATGAAATGATCAAACGTCGCAACCAATTGCTGATACGTCGACTCCGAAATGAAGGCAAGGTGCCATATTGTATTCCTCAATATGTAGTAGCATAGATTGAAAGAATGTATTTTGCCAATTGCCATGTCCCCTCTCATATACTGCACATTGCTTTGTCTAGATGTGTTGCTGCGTGTACGAGTCGGTGGTCGGTGGACGGTCCGTCCTTCTGTTTCTGTCATTGGAACTCAATCAGTCGCGGGTTCACTCGGTCTGCGGGCACAAATCCATTCACTCACACTGACGGTCTCACTCAGCGGCATCTTGCACTTGCGCTCAGGACAACCCTCGTCGTGCGCTTGGAATTCCCGTCGTTCAGTCTCCCGGAGTTGTCCACGGCACATCTCGACCGTTGACTCGTCGTGCACGAATTGAACGTCCACCGCCATCTCGCTGGCGTTAGCAAGTGACGCCAGCAACGATGCACCTGACGATGCTGACATCGTATCCCGGCCACTCGAGGCATCAATGTCGACGGTGGCGCAATGCGCGTTGGAGTGCACGTCTGAGGGAGGTATTGGGGTGAGTTTAATCGGTGTCTTGAGAGCATGCTCGACAACATCCCAGGCCGCTTACGTTGATCCAGAACATCACCGAGCTCACGGGGCGTGAAACCCGTATTGGACGAGCGGCGGACATTGTCGGCGATCCCTGTACATGAGGCTGAGCAAATTACACGGTCGTAGTGACAGCTTGGCCTACCTCTGTGCTCGACACCCCACCCGTTCGCTGTCAACATAGTTCGTCGTCATGCACAGCGACGGACAAGTCATGGACAAAAAGTCCTGGTTGCTGGACGTCCGTAGACTGAAAACATCACTGCATGGCATATGTGAGCGAGAGTCTGCGGTGTTTCCGCTCGTTCTCGTGTTAAACGGTTCTCGCGTTAAATCGCGCACGCAGTACCGTTGTCCGCCTTCCGCACAATCGCCTTTCGCACCGCAGACGCCGTTCTGACAGTTGCACGTCACAGGTGTGTTCTTCACCGGCGAGTCCAGGCAAGGTCAGTGTGACAGCCTTCGTGTGGTCCTAATCTCTCGGAGTTTAAGTATTTCGGGGTACGAGATGTGAAAGACGCTGGACTCACAACAACGTGAGAGACAGCGCGTTTGAGATGACAGCTGAGCTCAGAGTATGGAGTGCTGAGACTAGAGACTGTAGAAGGACGAAGGGTTCAGAGAAGAAGAATCCACCCAAGCTTTCGCCCAGTTATGACGGGTGCTCCCACTGCAGAGGCCGAGCGTCTGGGGTACTGACTGAAGGGTGGAAGTCCAGGGTACTTTCTCGGTACTAAATATACCACCACGTCACATGATCCCGTTGACGGTTGCGCCGTCTCATCTCTCTGCTCTCAGCCTCTCTCACTCACTCACTCAGCGTACACTCCGCACTTCGCACTCAAATGCCAAGATCCCCAACGCTTACAATGCTCGCCAACCGGTGGATGAGCGCACAAGCTCGACGAGTTGTCGATACAGCCTTGTCACCCACTGCAACGCCCATAGATATCAACGAGGAGGAGGAGGCAGGAGAGCTAGTGGTAAAAGGTGAGTACATGTCTCAGGATAGTAATGCCCATGATGAGACTCACCGGAGAGGATCCACTGTAGGCAGTGTGAGGAAGAGACGACAAGGCAGCTGTAACCCTTCCGCTGCGCGCGACGAGCCCCAATTCCACGCGATCAAGGATGAACATGGTGTTCTCCCCGTCGAACGCCAGCTCAGACGGCGGCACGGCGATCACGCCGAACATGTTTGCGCAGGGCCAGCGCGGCACATTGACACTCTCGATGTCGACGACAACGCGGGATAACACGTCGCTTGCATGCGACGAGCCCCAACTCCACGCGATCAAGGATGAACACGGCGTTCTCCCCGTCGAACGCCAGCTCAGACAGCGGCACGACGATCACGCCGAACATGTTTGCGCGGGGCCAGCGCGCGACGACGACGCAGGATAACACGTTGCTTGGCCGTCCCTCCACACATCCCCTGGGTCCATTGCACAGCCCGAAGCTGTGCTACACGTCTGCGAAGACGGGGTAGGGGGTGCGGGAGATCTTTGAGCAGCTTGCGCAGGTGCAGCCCTCAGCGTCGCTCACATCGTCTGGAAAACAACAAATCAGCAACTTGAAGGTCTCCCCATTGCTCCCCATCAGTACCATCGTTTCTCGCCACTCTGTTCACTCCCTACGACAATCCAGGCCTATGCGCTCTGTTGATTACTTGATTATGAGCAAACATCGCCGCCACATCGACATTACTCCCAATCACCAACGCGGCAAATACCATCGCACCGGGGACTGGTGGTTCCATCTCCGTCAGCAACTTATTGCGGAGTACAGACACAAATTATGGTCGTTTTCTACAGCAGATAACCATGTATTCTCGTAAACACATACTGTATACACATGTGGACCTTGTAGCCTACAGGATAATCATAACTATTCTACTATAATCACTTGCCGTGGAACTCTCAGACCAGGAATAGTGCCACTAAAAGCCTCTTTCACATTGTGACGAAAGGTTTTCCACAAACTATCCTCTTGTGCTAAGTATTTTGACCTCAGAATATCCGAGGAGTGGACCCAAGCAGCGTAGTTTGTGTTCCAAGTACCGGTAGCGGGTTTCTTTGTGATGTGAGGCCAGACCTTTGGAAACTTCTCATCGTGAGTTAAATTAGCGATGGATTCGTATTGGGTGAAGCCATGGGCCATGATCTTGAAGTCTTTCAACGGCCAGTTTGAATGGCCAGAACTTGGGGCCAGGGTGAGATTGGCGGTGTTGGTCGAGTTGGTCGGCGTAGGTTTCCGGGCTTCAGAGACAGGGTTGGGTAGTGTTTTGGGGGTAAACAATACCGCAGCTGGGGGCCGTATTGCGAAAACATCGTCATCATCGTTGTCAGTAGCACCGAAAGAAAATAAAGATGTCTCCGAATTTGTGGAAGGTTTCTGTGTCGGTGTCGCAGGTGCCCTAAAGTGTGACCGCTCGTCAAGTCTTGGTTTCACGCGACGTCCCAGTTCCGGAGTAGACTCTGCGGCATGTTTGCGGGATGGTGTGCACATTGGAGTGGCCAAACCTCTAAATGGCTTGGCGGAGGAAAGATCGTTGACCTGTTCGGCCATACTATCATCTGTTTCAACCCCAAAGACCCTATACAGGATCTTGTCGCGATCGCGGATGTCACATCGAACAGAGGCCGAATCAATAATTACCCAATTGCTATCCTTGGGAACGAACAACTCATATACCTGCTGATCAAGCGCAAGGAGTCGCTTGACAGTTGAGCTGCAATCATCAAGTGCAAATGTTGGATAATTGTATGCCTCTGTCTTGACAACGAGAGGCTTCGCCGGATCCTGTACATGATGAGAAACCAGGGGTGCGTAGAAAATGCGAGCACATACCTTCCATATATAAACAGTGATGGTGCGGGCCATAGCCTGCTCGGCTCGCTTCTGATCCATCAAGCGTGAGGTATCTTGCTTTTGCTGAGCCTGGGCGTGTGACAGAGCTTGATAGTGCGGCTCGCGCATGACAGAGAGTTTCACCGGAGTGATCGTAGTGGGAGGCTCGGCGGCAGCACTTGGCGGCTTGGGTGGTGATGCAATGGGGATTTTGTGAACTGGACATATCTTGCTACTTTGTTGTTGGTGTAGGTGGCAGCATTTCTGGCAGTATTTATTGATGCATGAGCTACAGAATCGAACAGCCTTGCCTAACTTTTGACAGCGGGGACCATTGCACGATTCCTTAAGGCCGCCTTTGCCATTGGGCATCCATCGTGGCACATTTGGGCGTGGGGACAGGTCCGTGAGAGCTGTGGGAGCCGGAGAAGAGTGTCGGTTAAGCGCCAGATCAAGATCACCTAGATCAACCTCAAGATTAACGCCCAAGTTGGAAGTGATGGTCCCTGATGCTGAAGGTGTTGACTGAGGGGTAGACAAAGTACCGGTGCGAGGGATATTGGGAGTCAGAGGGTTATTCAAGAGACTGGTGAACGTGGGCTCTAGAGTTGCTCCATAGTCGGCCTCAAGGAGCTCATAGTTCGGCAGCCATCCGCAAAAGTGGTCTCAGCCGACACATGCCTGATATATCCGGCCCCGATGTTCTGGATTTCGCACCCCTTGGCAGCGCCGGACGGAGAGAGAGAGATGGCAGCGGTGATGTTCTTCCCACCCCTTTTCAAGATATCCGCATTGGGACCTGTTAGGCAGAAGGATGGAAAGATCAAGCATGGCGACGGAGTTGGGAGGTGTTGACCAAGGTGTGATACCCCACACCCGCCGTTCTTATATATTTTCTGTAGTGGCCACAAGCCACAGTGGATGGTGGGCCAAAGACCACAGTGGATGGTGGGCCAATGACCACAGTGGACACACTGTGACTGCAATCATTGTCCCAGACGGCCCAGAGGGGGACAATAGACCTTCACATTTCTAGTTTGCGTTCTATTTTCTATTTTCTACCTTTCAACTTTTCTTTCACATTCTCTGGTGGGTTTGCAGTTTTCAAAAACTGAATTCCAGTTTCTATTTCAGATTATAAAAGTAGAAGAATAATTTCTACTATCAAAGTACTGCGAGATGGGGCCCATTAGCTAGTATTCACACCCAACGACCCCAAGAATGCCAGCAGAGAAATCTGGATATGCACCTTTCCATGTCGGCACACAGATCTATCAAACCTGGTACAAAGTCGTAGGCGAATTAGGAGTAGGCAGACCAATTGTGTGTCTACACGGAGGGGGAGGGTTGACGCACCACTATATGTCGTACGTTCCGACGGTATCGCTCGACAACTGACTTGAACTTATAATGATTCTTTCGTGCCATTCGATAGACCCTATACTGAGCTCAACTCGCGTCTCGGGTGAGAGATGTCTATCCAGTGGCCGACAATCTATCTTATCTACTTCTGCACCAGCATCCCCGTGGTATTTTATGATCAGTTAGGCGGTGGAGCATCATCCCATCTGCCACTCGATGCGCCCAGAGATTTGTGGAAACCCGAGACATGGGTAGACGAGCTGAACAACTTGCTCGAACACCTGGGTATCTCCGACGACTTCGATCTCCTTGGCCACTCCTGGGGAGGTGAATAATTGTACTATGTTCTATGTTCTATGGTCTCCTGTTGACCGCTTTCGTACTCTCGAGTAGGCATGGTTTCTGCGCTGTTTGCTACTCGGGCCCCGCCTGGCCTGAGGAGCTTGATAGTGTCCAACTCTTTCCCCTCGTTCCCTTTGTTTGCGATGGGGACCGAAGTGATCATGGACCTCAATCCCGACATCGGTGAGGTTGCGCGGAAGCACGCTGCGGCGGGAGATTTCGCCTCCCCGGAATATCGAGCAGCGATTCAAGCTCTTCACGCCAGATACTTCTGCCGAATTGATCCCATGCCAAAAGACCTCTTGACATCCTTTCTCTCAGTAGACAAGGACCTGACCGTATTTTCCGTTTTGTACGCTCCATTCCTTCCTCAGTGGTCACAACGGGTGAATTGCTCATGATTTATTAGGGTCGGTCACTCTATATATCATGTGTCGGGGATTCTGAAGGATTGGTCGTTTATCGACGAACTACACAAAATTACTTGCCCAGTGTTGGTCATTAGCTCTCCATATGACGTCGCCCAACCTAAAGCGATTATGCCATGGTTCCAAGAACTTCGTCAGGTTAAGTGGGTGGAGATGCAGAACAGTACACATACGCCGATGTTTGAGGAACCTAAGAGGTGAGGAACATCTATTTCTTATACTTCAGGACTCAACCATCTTAACCAGATACTTCGACGTCCTCATTGCTTTTCTATGTCGTGATGATAACGCTAGTCGCTAGAGACCAAATAGCAGAGAACATTACGATGGTTCTACGCTTACTAGTGAGAAGACAAAAATTACGAAGACTACCAACTTGAAGGCAGAGACACCCAGGGGGATTAAACACCATAAATGATCCTTAGCTGACGGAGAGTTGGCTGACTACCGTCGTCTATGGCCTGGAAATTGCTCCACATCTGTGTGCGAACTGTGTAATCCTGGCTTTCAAAATATTGATGCCAGCGTGATCGCCTTTCATGCCTCCAAAGGCCTCAGGCTGCTCTGGTTTACCCGTTAGTCACACTGGGTTCAACACTCCTATGCCATTAGGGGTGGGATCAGTGACCGTCACGTGTGTTGTGGCTACTTCAACGCGACGCCGCCGCCATGATCAGCACCTCAGCTTCAGTACGCAACCATCAACAGCTCCAGCTCTTTAAGCAAAGGGACATTGAGTACGCACGTCTAAAGCTCTGTGTACTGCACTTTTAGCCCGTAATTTCAATAGCGCTTACGCAACATGGCGCATTGAGAAAAGCCTGCACTCTGCTTCAGTAACCTGCTGAACAAAGAACAAATCGACATGAAAATACAATCGCTCAGACTGCAGGTTGTGCAGATAAACGACGAAATACGCAGCCTCGAGGAATACAAGAACAACTGATATCTTCCAGTGTCCAAGCTTCCTCCTGAAGTCCTGTCCACTATCTTTGAGTTTATCGCTATGACGATTGAGGATGATGTGGAACCATATTCCGACCTGCTTTCAGCTACACAAGTCTGCCGCCTATGGCGCCAAGTAGCTCTTCATTCAGCCAGAATATGGAGTTTCATATATTGCTCAGCGATGCCCCGCCTCGTGGACCTATTTTTGGAACGCTCGAAGTCTGCGCCACTGCATCTACTCTACTCAGACGACAATGTTCCCTAAAACGTGCAGAAGGTCCCGAACCACTTACACCGGCTGAAAGCAATCAACCTCCAGGGCCGTGAAGCCGATTGGTCGAGTCGTATCATATCCCAAGGAGCTCCTCAACTCAAAAGCCTTTCGCTCAGGAATTGTGGGGAAATTGAAAGATTCCAGCCTCCCGCCGACGGTTTTCCAGTGTTACAATATTTGGAGCTGAGTGGCTTCGTCTACACATCCACCGTGGGACCTCTTACCACTCTGCGCTCCCTCACCATCACGGCTGAGGGCAGTCTCGATAAATCACAACTCCCGAGCGGCTTTGAGTTCCTTGCCATATTATCATCTCTCCCCAATCTGTCCGACCTTTCCTTGACAGAAGCCTTAGCCTCACTGGATGGGCCCTCACCTTTGTCGTCAGTGAGACTTACCCACTTGACGAGGTTATGCATCCACAACGCCGATATACGCAATCTAGGAATGGCGGCGTGCATCACGGCACCGCAGCTCAAAGTCATAGATCTCTGTCACTCTGGCAAAGCGAGCGCCGAGACTGCTACACCCATCGTGGCCGCTATCTTCGAAAAGCTTCTTCCGACCTTCCCCGCGTCCTATTCTGAACTCTCACTGTGTGTCGGCAATTTCTCTGGTACGCGCGTCAAACTATGGGACAATTGTGTTGCTACCGGGACCGCAAAGCGTGCACCGTTCCTCAACATGGTGATTCTTGGCACGGGGGATCTTTGTAAGGGGACACTCCTATCTTCTCCTATTCCTCCTGTCCCGCCCCCTTCCTCCTCGTTCCTTTCCCCTTTCCTTCATTCCCTTTCCTTTCCTTTGTCCCCTTACCTTTCCGCTTCCCTTCCGTTCACTCCCTTCGCATCCGAGCCCCATCCGGTGACTCCGAAGTCTTCCCGCGCTTCGGACTCGCCTCGGACTCGCTCGGACACTTCAGACTCGCTCGGACTCGTAGATACACTTCGGGGCTCGTCCGGGCTACCTCTATCCTCCTTTCCCACTTCATTACTCCTTGTCCCCACTTCCCCAGGTCGCTGGCACGACTCCTGTACATTCCCCTTCCACTTCATTATCACATGCCCCCTTGTACCTTGTGATATTCGTTCGTACCTGTGGCTGGTGTACTGTACAGTTACCCTTCATTCCTCCCACGCTACTACAGTATATACTTCGCTTCCTAGCATGGAGAATCCCCATCCTGTTCTCTTTGGATTCTCCCTCTGCTAGGTGAGCAGCTCTCTCATGTATTGTAGTTAGTCTTATTCATTTCTTTGGATTCTCCCTCTGCTAGGCCTACGCTGTCGGCCATCTTGAGGTTGCCCTTACAATCTTAGGACAGAAGAATCAGTCTTAACTCTCTTTCCGCCTATCACACATCCACCGGCCCTTCATTTTTCTTCCGATATCGAAATGGCCAGCGACCATGTTCAATATGCCCCCCTGCAACATGTTCTCCGTCACCTGACGCGTGTAACGGAAGTTTGGACCAGCGGTTTGAAGGCCTTAACTAATCTTCTAGGTGTTACGCATCCTATATCCCTCCCATCCCTCAAGAAGATAGTTCTCGAAGACGATTTCAGCCGCATACAGAAGCCAAGGTTGTTATCCAAGTTTGTGGAGCAGCTGAAGGTATGGAAGGGGCTACACAGCGTTGAAACCGAGACCTTGGAGATTTCTGACATATATTGTCAACTCACATCCGCCGACTTGAAGTTATTTGAAGGTCTCGTTAAGGTTTCGAAACGTAGAACCAAAAGTCGGAACAAACGTGTTTCTTAGTTATATCATATTGGAGTGTTGTCAGATAATATATACCGGAGGAGGAGGGGGGTTAAATTCAATATTTTTTATTTTCCAGCAGCACTTTCCAGTACAGCTACCTTGCTATGACTTTTGAGATGTTACTTAAATGGGTTAACAGATACTAAATATCTTAATATAAGTGTTTTTTAAATGCAAAAATTATTATTTTTTATACTTAAATAAAAATATATAAATAAAAACTACCTTCCTCATCTTTTGGATAAGGGACTAGGAAAAAATTAAATTAATAATTTAAATTTCTAAAATAACAAAATTAAAGAAAGGCAAACTTATATTAAAGTTTTATTTTCGTGGCAGTTTCCCCCAAGTTAAGCTTCTTCCCAGCGACAGACAGTTAGTTCATCACAAATGCTAGCTAGATTTAGATTTAAACAAAGTATAAAAAGATCAGAATAACATTGTCTTGGACTCGCACTCCAGTACGTCCATCCCTCCAAAGTTCCTGTCGCGTGAATGAGCCGTGTATGAAAGAGACAATCCTCCGAAATTTACCCTCCGTAGGATAGACTCCTCGTGGGAATACTCTGCAAGACAACTCCTCATTCTGGCGCTCGTTCTGGTATCATCGACACAATGTTTCGTGCAGCACTGCGCCCGGTAAGTTCTACCCTGACACCTGAATTTATGAAGCTAATGGATGGATTCTAGCGGCGCGTTGCCTTAGCTGCAGCCACTGGTATTGCTATCTCCACGCCTTCGTCGCAGGAGCCAGAAAAGGTGCACAACTGAGTTGTTCATTCACCAAGAAGAGACCGGTACTGAACTTTGTGATTCGTATGCTTTTACCAGCTGCCCATTTATCCTTTGAGAACGCCCGACGTCCTACTTGTCGAAGAATCAACACCCTTGGAGAAGCACATCGGGATAGCTCGGAGGGCGGTCACGCAGACATATCATGACGCCTACTCCCAGGTGCAGGGCTTTGTATCGAAGTGGATTGGGGTCGAACACGCCGTCGAGCGTACGTAGTCAGCTTCACCTCTGCTGGACCCTAATTCACGCAGCACAGACCGCGTAAAATCAATAATCGCACCGGACGAGCCACTAACCCCCGCCCTACTTTACGTCGGCATCTCCACCCTCACGGGCTCCATCCTCGCACGCAACCGCGGGCTCCCGACCCGCATCCTCCTCCCGCCGGTCTTCCTTCTCGCCTCCCTCAACCACTTCCTCCCGAAAACATCCGCAAACCTCTCGGCGTACTTCTCCGCACTAGAGGAGACGTATTTCCCGACGCTGGCAGAGAAGCATGCGATTGCGAACGCGCACTCGCGGATGACGTGGGAACGGGTGAAGGAGGGGACGCAGAGCGGGAGGGAGGGCGTGATCAAAGGTGTGGAAGGGGCGGTGGAGTGGGTGCAAGGCGCGACGGGGTTGAAGGTGAAGGAGACGCTGGGCTGGGGGGAGACGCAGGCGAAGAAGGGTGAGTCGGTGGTGAGTGAGGCGATCCATACGGCCAACAAGAAAGTAGAGGAGGTGAAGGAGGCGGCGAACAGAAAACTTGAGTAGAAAGAGACAGGTATCACTATCACAATTCTGCCCCGATACGGTCTCATACGGAAGTGCCCGCTCAAAATGCCCCATGTGAGTGAGCTACCTAGACAGATTCTCTTTCCGCCTACTACAATATTCATCCTTCGTCCCTGATTGGATGAACAACTCTAACGACTGCAGCGAAGCATACCGCTAAAGGAGCGCCAGCCTGGAGTTAAGCACATCCTACCGCGCCGTGTGTCCCCATCGCCATCCCCATCGGCTTATACTTATATGAACTTCGCGTTTGGGCTATGTCGTGTAACAGGGGATACAAACCAGTCTCGCAGTCCCATCAACCTTGCATCAACCGCAAGAACAAGACGCATCCTTGTTTCCATATCGTTTCATGGCATACCCGTCAAGCACGAGCGCGTGAACGTTAGATTGATCATCGAGAATAGCCTACAAATCAAAGTAGAATACAACCCGGCGTTGCGCAGTAAGAATTACAGAGATGAACAGTTCGCCAAGAGTCCCGTGTATGCGTATAGTAAGAGCGCGAGGCGGGGGGAGCTATACGCCGTCGCTGCTCCGTGACCCAGAATCCTGGTGGTGGTCCGACACACTCCCTATACTGCGTTTCGCTCCCCTCGCCTCGCTCGATGTACGATCTATCATCTCCTCGTCATCGTCCTCTCCCAGGATACTGACTTGCGCGACCCCGACTTCGATAGGCGGGAGCTCCTCCTCTTCATCGTCGTGATGTGTACTTGAATTCGGGAGAGATGATGATGGTGGAGGCGTCGCTGCTAATGGCGTCGACACTAGAGGATCAAGTGTTTGCGGCGGCGCCTGTGTAGACCCTGTCGACGACGCACCCGATATCGGCAGCGGGGGTATCGACTGGGGCGAGGGTGTATTATAATAACTGGAATGCGAAGCATTGGGCATGGCGATCAGGACTGCAACCTGCACCTTGCTCTTCCGTCCGTCTACCTGCGCGACTGGTTGTTTCTCATTACCATGGCTGCCGCTCGAGCCGCTATTGCCGGCGGCGTTACCAACACCCGCAGTATTGGTCGTAGCATCGCCTGCCGGGCTTGCGGGGGATGCTCCAGACGGCGACGCCGCAGGCGCAACAGGCCGCCTGAACAGGCTGAGCGGCGAGAATCGTGATGATAGTAGTCGTGAACGGGCGGGCGCGCCTGTCCTAGCGTCGGCGTTTGATGTGGGGGGCGTAATATTATTGGTGCTGTTGTTGTTGATGGAAGTGGAAGCCTGCGGAGTGCCAGCAGCCGGTTTATTTGAGAGTGTGTACAAGACGGAGAAGGGCTGGAAATAGATGGAAGAGCGGATGATTTGTTAGTCAGTCAAGTGGAGAGGTTATTTATGGAGGAGAGCTGGTTGGTTGGTAAGCAGATCGCCAGGAGCGGGACTACGCGGCGAGCGCATGCAAGCAGTCTCATTGGCGGGGTAGAAGTGGAAGGACGCCGAATCTGAATCCGAAGGCACTCACCATGATGCCCTCCCAGTCGGGGTGCTCGACCGCCCGGTTGTCCTGGATGTTCCCATGCGAGATCCACGCTTCGTACATCTTCGGCTTTTTGGATAGGTCCACTCGACGAGAGGACGCCGCTGCGGGGGGGACCCATGTGCCGTTGCGAATGGCCTCCTCTATCATCCGGCGGTGCCGTCTGCGGAGTACGAGCGATCGCACGACGATGGCCGAGGACACGCCGAGGAGCAGGACAAGGGTGGCTATCACGATCGCCCGATATTGAATATTGAATATTGAGCGGCTCGTCAGGGATTACGGGAGACGACGAGACTCACCGAGGAATGTGTAGAGGTACAAGGACGCTGAGGTGGCGATTCCGGGCGTCGGGTTGTTGTTGTTGTTGTTAGGGGGCCCGAAGGTCGGCGACGGCGTAGGGTCTGGGGGGAAGGTTGAGGCAGGGGGCGGCGAGAATGAGGACGAGAACGATCCCGTCGTCGTCGTCGTCCCCGTCGCTATGGGCGACGAGCTCGAGCTGCTGCCGGGGGTGGGCTCGCCGGACGACATGGTGGTGGTTCCAGAGTGAGAACGGCTGGCGGCGTATCAATTAAATCGTGATGTCGTGAAGCGGACGCCTGCCAGATGGTGGGAGAGAACACGAATACCGTCGTGCTGCGTATCGCCTGCCGAGCGTTACCGGAAGTATAAGATTCAAGTTATTATAATCTCCTGCTATTATTGGCTGGCATGCGTGATCAGATCTGTCAGGAAACCACGGTCGGATGGAGCACACCTTGTATAGGCCGAGAGTGATATGAAAACGAAGTAGAAATACAGAGAAGGCGGCGAAACGGAAGCTCTACACGCGCGTGCTAGTGGTTGGTACGAGGAGAGGGATGTGAGTGGCGGTGCAGGTGTGCCATGTGCCACCAAGCATCTGATACTTATCATACACCAACTTCGTATCAGATAGTGAAGTGATGATCATTCTACAAGAAAGATTGCATTTGCGGTATGTAAGGTACATCGTTCATTCAGCATGAAGATGGATTTCATCCGACTCTCCTTCATCAGTGATAGCGTAGTACTTCGACCCAAGGCACTTCACCCCCATCGACGCTTCACCCCCAAACGCGAGCTTCTCAGCAAGGATATACAACGTCTGCTTATCGTCCTCGCCTAGCGGCACGTTCGGGTCCACCGCGAACTCGCTCCACGTCATGATAATCTGCGCCGTTACGCCCGAGAAAAGCAGGAGCCCTAGAGGGAGGTTCCACCAGACAACAGACCCAAGGAAGACGAAGAACGACAAGACGTGGGTGGGAGCGTACTCAGACCAGTGGGCGAAGCGATGGATGGGCGTTAAGGGAGACGAGGTGTAGCCTGTGCAGAAGGTGACTTGTTCTAGATATTCGGGGGCGAGGAGGATCGTGCCGCCGACCAGAGCGCACCAGGGCAAGAAGAAGAGGACTTTGATGATGCAGGATGCGACGTATTCTACGCCAGACGCTGGGTCAGACGAAGAGAAAAGCTCATTAACAACGGACGAGAACAGGTCCGAAGGGATAGCGCTAGTAGCAGACGTAGACTCTTGATTCGGCCTCGCTAACCGTTCCGACGGCGACCTTGACTCGGATGGCGGCTCATATATGGTGTCCTCGTTTCTAGACTCCACTGCCGTTGCAGCAGCCTAACAAACGTTGTATCAGCATCACCGTGACCCAATCATAGAACAAATGCAAGGAACCTGTTCCTTCACCAGCCCGTCCTTATCTTCAGCTTCGACGTGCGCAAAATCAGATGATTGGATCCTCAAGATGCCGCCTAGGTTTTGGAACTTCTCATCGATGGGCGTATTGAGTTGAGAACCAAATGGCGAGTCCAATGTCGAGGAAGTGGTGCCGCGTTCCATGCTCCGGGGTCCAGTGCCACGATCACCGTTCGGTTTGAATCTCTCGCTATCCAGTATTAAGCGTGGCGGGCGCGGTTTTATATCTTCCATTGTCGCTATCGTGTGATACAGTTGAATGACTCGGAGCAGCGACTCAGTACTCAACTCGCGAAGTCTGCCTACATTCCCACGAGGGGCTCATTCAGTACTTACCCTCTCAGTGACAGTATGGAGCGCAGAGGGCGTGTAGACGGAGTCAAGCAGCTCCCAATGTTGTAATACAAAAAATGCATTGTCGGAGGAGTGGAATCTATCAGGTTTTCCACAAGTGCTGAGTGAAAGGCTTTCGAGTTGGAGGGCTCCTCGGGATATGATACTTGTTCTTTGTTCAGCAAAGTACTGAAACATAAGAGCGCGCGTTGGTCTCGACGCTCCATGGTGCGTATTCTCTGCAAAATTGACCTTCAAGAGTGCAATGCACCAAACTTTGTAGATACGCACTCTATGAGATTCTTGTTTGCAGAGCTGGATGCGCCCAGACTAGCAAGCAATAAGGACTATACATATTTCAGGCTGTAGCTTACACCGTACCTTCCTTTCATCCGAATATTGCGACCTGCAAGACCTTTGTAGTATATGTCAATGGTGTCTCCTGAGAGATACTCCCACGACAGCTTGATTAGCTACCACACAATGGTGTCTCGTCTCCCCCTCGAAATCATCCACGAAATCATTCGCTACATCGACGATCGGCGAACTCTCGCTTCCCTCCTCCTTGTCTCACGCACCGTCCACCCGCAAGCAGAGCTTCGTTTCTACGCAAAGGCCAGCTTCCTCAACCACGGAGGCGAATCCCTGCTGCGGCGCCTGAAGACCTTCTGCGAGCAGATCTCCGCATCCGACGGCAGACTCGCGCTCTGCCTCACCTCCTTCGCCGTGCAAGCCGCGCCCGGGCAATGGACGCTCCCCGCAGACGTGTTCCTGCTGATCAACTCGATCCTGCAGCAGTGCCACAAGCTGACCGAGGTCGTCTTCGACTTCGGGAGCCGCATGGGGACCGACTGGGGCATGTTCGACGGCGCTCGGGATATGCGGCTGGCGCTGAGGCATCTGAGCTACACCACCGGCACGTACTACGTGCGCCCCTTGATTGCGCTGCTCGAAGCGCAGCCATCGCTCGAGCGGCTCGAGCTCCCGATGGTCCACGAACTCCCGTTGTCCGCCAAGGCACTCCCCGCCCTATCCGCCCTCCACGCCTCCCAGCGCGTGGCAAGCCAGCTCCTCCCCGGACGCCCCGTCACGCACCTCAGGATCACGAAGCTCTACGCGATCGCCGAGGAGTTCGCCCGCGAGAGCCTCCGCAGAATCCGCGTCTTCTCCTCCTCCGGGAAGTTCGAAACCATCCTCGGCCTCGCCTCCCACATGCCCGCGCTCCTCTGCCTCGACGTGGGCTCCGCAGACTCCGTAAGTCGCAGTGACGTCGTCTCCCGCATCAGCTCATGGCTGCCTCTTACTGCACAGTCGCCCCTGGACTCTACGCCGTTCATCCCGCTGTTCAAAGACACGCAGCTACGGTACATCCGCTTCAGCGGCACCTGCTTCGCCCACGACACCGGCTCGTCGTCCCACGTCGCGATGCTCTGCTTCCGGCAGATCCCCTCGCTGCGCTGCATAGACTGCGAGGCACCACAGGGCAACTACAGCCGCTGGCACCGCGGCGCAATATGGTGGCCAATCACCTTCCGCCCAACGTCCCTGGACTGGCGATGCGTCGCAGAAGAGAGCAGAGATGGCGAACACGATAGCAGGGATATATCCACCGGAGATTCAGGTTGATAGCCAAGGTATATCATGACAAGGTCCGCGCAGATGCACCGTCAGCCGGGTTACTTGCCTAAGCTCGTTGAGCCCAATGCTTGCTCGATGGCGAATTTCATCGTCTCGGGGTCCCATAGTTTCACTTCGCGCAGCATGGACTCTCTGGCTGAACGAGTGTTTTTAAGTGAGAGTTATTAGCACACCTCTCCCAACCTGGAGAAGGATATGCAAGCTACTGGTCTGGATTAAAACACGATTAGTGAGGGACCCTAGTAACTATATCGGTTCAGCATCAGCATATATCTCAATTTCAAAATCCACATTTGCTATCTTGCTGAATAGAGCCACATAGTCGAGGGCATATCTGTCTCAATTCACGGTGACTGAAGGAAGGGAGAATAGGTCGGTCAAGTTTACCTCCCTCACGTCAGTATTCTCCCGTCTTCAGCTTTGTCAGGTGTATTGTTAATTTGTATTCTCTGCACGACTTACACCCCAAATGGATCTATTCAATACACACTACGAGGCCTGCTAGTTCTCTATGCTAATTGGTATCAATCTGTACGCCCAGGTAATTCAGAAACTGGCATCGATGTTGTAAGGCAGTCGCTTCCGATGCCAAAGCCGGAAGCCCTATCAGTGCGGAGCACCGAGCTGCATCCTCGCCTAGTTTGACAATAAAATCAAATATGCTGAAAGGGTGGTATCCTCTGGACGTACCGGACAAGCGTATTGCCTGTTCTTTGGTGCGGGGAAGAAATGGCCGAGCTCCCTCTGGGACATGGGGAGGGTATATGAGGTCGGCCGTAACGGATGCAGTTGCATTGAACATCCTGACAGGATGTAACTGCAAGCTGTGCTACATCAAGACATCTTCGGACATATATACTTAGGAAAAGGACGTACTCAGCTTGCATGGCAGTTATATTTGCTTGCATGGCAGCTTGAGTGTCCATGATTTGTTGGAACCTGGAGATCTGACAGTTGAGCTGCATGCTGAGTTTCGCTGCAACACGACTTGCATTGCGGGAATACCGCCAGCGCCGGCATTCCAATTAGGAAGGAACTGAATTTCTTGGCAGAATTGGGCGAGCCCGTGATGCATTCGAACAAAATCGGGTTGGGGGGCGGGTTGAGCGGGTTGAGCGGGTTGAGCCATGTTGCGAACGATTCAAATATTCAACAAAGTAAAAGGAGGGAGGGAAGAACACAATGATTCGCAATTTCAGACCTCTGCTTCTATATATGAATCCAGGATGAGGTCACATGATCTATAAACATTGGAACTTGTTAACTATGACATCATGATGCCGTCGCGGAACAAGCAACGTCTATTCGAGCAGGGCGGGCACCGTAGCCATCCGCCGAACGTTTGCGACCCAAATAATACCAGCAACAGATTTAGAGTGAGACCGAGAACAAAATTGGTCAAGTTAGTTTAGGCTCGCAGGCCACTCGTGTGGGTGATTCCCTTAGCGGCGCGATAGATGGCTCACGGGTTCACCGCAGTTGCGTTCCATCACATATTCTCTTGGAGCTAGTATGACCTTCGCATGGTTGTGCCACCTTGTCGTACACTGGCCTCTTCTGCTCTATGGTTGTCTTGATGTTCGTTCATTATCCTGGAAGGATTGCAGACCCTGGACCAGACTACCAAGGGCTCGTATCGAGGGGAATCGGTGGCCGGCCATCTGGGGGTGGCAATCGCGACGCCGTAATGCACAGGCGTCAGCGACGAACACCCGTCTATCCATTAAAATTCGGACTGCCCGGTTGTTCAAGAATAGAATCAGCACGATTCTCAGCCCAATATACAAGGACACATAACGCACCACCCTCATCCGAATCGCTCACATCCGCGAGTCGAGCTTTGCACATTCTGGAACGTACATTCGTGGAGCGGCGACAGCGGCGACGATCAGTGTCACAGATGGAGATTTTGCGTGCGCGAACTCATCCTGACTCGAGTTGAAATGAATTGCGGCGCGTAGGTCTGCAAAGGAAGGTGCGAATGCGAGTCGTTCGCGAGCATCGCGCCGTGGAGACTTCTTGTTCTATAGTGGATCTAGTGTCGAGCGGTACATGTCGTTGCGCTGTACATCAACCCTCGTCGTGTCTAGCCTACGACGGCGCGCATAGCACCTCGTCAACCACGACGTTTGCACTCTGGAAAGCAACACGGCCACACCGGCGTGGTCGCGCCACCCATGAACCTCCCAGCCATATCCCGGGATCAGGAAGCACACAAATCCCAAAATAAATCAATAAAACGTTGTGAACGCGAGCACGAGAGGGAATGCACAACCGCGACGATCTGCAGCATCCCCTTTTGCCCCGCGTATATACGCATTTGTACTTGCGTCCCGGTGGTGATCCCGTAATCGCAACCACCAATCGCTTAACCACTTAATCACCCAACCCCTTGCAAGTCTCGCCCCGTTCTTCTCAGTTCGCCCCGTTTGTTACTGGAGTGGGACGGCGCAAATTTGCGTGACTTCAAAGTCGACTCCTCAGACTCGGTATGTAATAGTGGTTCGCCACAATCGCGGTCTTAGCTCACAGTACCTCTTAATTCATGAATCCAGTCACCTTTGGGCTCTACGGCGTTCATCCCGCTATCCGAAGACACGCAGCTATGATACATCCGTTTCAGCGGCACCGGCTCGTCGTCCCACGTCGCAATGCTCGTTTCCCCTCGCTGCGCTGCATAGAGTGCGAGGCCCCATAGGGAACCACAGCCACAGGCACCGCGGCGCAATATGGTGGCCAATCACCTTCAACCCAACGTCCTTGGACTGGCGATACGTCGTGCAAGAGAATAGAGATGCCGCGAATATATCCACAGAAAATTCAGATTGACAACCAATTCCTATACAGCGCCTCCGCTAACGGAGTAGCGCCGGTAAGCATATATATCATAGCGAGGTTGTAGGCGGCCTCCTTGGAGACCCCCAAATCCTGGATGCACGTTAGCGTTCTAGGATTATTTTAGTGGCCAGGACTCACGTTGGGTGGATGCTGCCTTGCCATCTTGAGTACATTATCATAGTGTTTAACTGCAAAGGAATAAAGCCCTTTGGACGGACAACGGAAAAGGACTTAGTATCATTGATACATAACAATGTGTTGACTTACCAAGCTGATGGAATGCTCGACCAAAGTTGAACTCGACCTCCTCAAGTTCTTCGACAGACGGAGCGGACGTGCTCCTGAGTTTACGGTACCGTGTGAGGAACGCCATTCCCTAAACGGGGGATATGAATACCGAACTGACTGCAGTGCAAGGGGGGAATACGGACCTGGGCAATGAGATGATGCCGATTATCTGCTTGTCGTTGCATAGCGCGGCCAAACGACGCAATTGCTAGACATAAGCATATCACAGGATCATCGGGGAAGTGATCATACGCAAGCAGTAAATAGACTACATGGCCCCACTCGTCAGCAGCAGAAAATAAATCCAAACGTACGGCAACCCACATATTGCGCTTTGATAACTCTTCGCACATATACAGAGCTGCCCATAGATCGTTGGAAGGAGGGGGTTGTGCGTCGTGGGCAGCTTCGGCGCGCTACTTGACGTAGACGCACTTTCAGCCAGGTTACTCTGCAGCGTGTCGCCGGCATCATCACCCTCCTCGTCAGCTCCGGCGTCATCGCCACTTTTGCCCAAGCTCGTTGACGCCCAACGCTTGCTCGATGCAACGAATTTCATCGTCTCGGGGTGGGTGGTAGCGGAGTCCCATAATTTCACTTCACGCAGCATGGCCTTCTGGAGCGTGGACGTTATGAATGCGTCTGTGGGTCGCAATCCGCTTGCCAAAGACGCCAATAACAACCGGAACGGCTCGTTGTTGAACTGGTACACAGTGATCAGCTTCCTGCATTGTTCGACAACGATATCATAGCGCCTGCTTGCAATAGCGCAAGCTACGGTGAGCACAGGTCAGAGGTAAGCGCATATAGAGGTCGCACGAAGACTCACTGATCAAGGATAGCCGAATTGTGTTTTGGGCGCTACGGTCTTGGTAAGGGCTGGACAGGAGAATGTGCCGTAGCACCTCATCCGCAATTTCGTGTTGTCCATGTCTCGTGAGCAAGAACGCATACTATCGAAGGAACTCAGTGTTTGACAAGCAATAGTCGGTAAAGCAACCGCTCACCTGCATGAACACATTCATCCAATCGTCGAAGGATACACCTCGGAACATGCGAAGATCTCCTTTTGCTTCACTACTCTTGCCCAATTTCTTCATCATGCTGTCGCGCTCTGTCATACATGAGGACAGAAGCTGGAGGTAAATTGGCTTGACGCACCCAAGTCTAGATGCAATCTAGACGCCATACTATCTTCGTCCGCTTCTGTAGTGAACCCAGCCTTAGCCCGAGGGAACATGCCCCTCCATTGCTAGTAACCTCATTAATCAAAGCACAAAGCGAGATGGATAATCAGAGACATACCCGAGATGCGGCAAACAGGTTTCTTGTCTCTCGATACGTCTCCACCAGCTTCTCCGCCTCCTCCATCCAAGCCCTCTCCGCATCGCCCTCATCTTGCATCATGGCGGGCCACAACTCAGTCAAGCGCCGATACCCCCTCACGACCTGCGCCTCCTTCTTTGCCTCGAGCTCTTTGAGCTGTGCTAGCGTGAGCTTCCTCTGCTGCCCGCTTTTCGTAGCTTTCTTCTTCTCTTCGAAAAGAGAAGCTCCGCCCTGTGCACTGGGCGTACTGGAACTGTGCTCATTTCCATCGTTAGATTGGCCCTCAGCGCGACGACGTTTCCGTGCGTCGATGACTAGATAAATGAGGCGGAAATCTTTGGGATGGACTTGAAGTGTTAACGTACCTTCGTATACCAACGCCAACGCCTTCCGAGGTTCGTCTAGAAGTTCATACAGCGAGGCCAACTTCATTTTAACGTCGTTATTCGATGGATCTGTCTCTCTTACTGGACAAGAGTCGTCGGCCAATGAGATGGGAGACGGTAAGGTACGGACATACTGTGTTCATATACCTCTGCTGCATCTTGTAATTCTCCTAGCATACGGAGGCAAGCGGCTGTCTGGAGAAGGATATACAAGCTACTGGTCTGATTAAAACACGGTCAGTTTGATACGAGTGCAGCGAGGGAAATCCGCACCGCTGCACCAGATCCTAGTAACTCATATATTGGTTTGGCGTCGGCATACATCTCACGTTCAAAATATACGTCTGCGATCTCGCTGAAGAGAGGCGCATAATCGAGAACATCCTCCGCTAAGACAATATTGGCGTGCATCTGTCTCGATTCATGGTGAACAAAGGAAGGGAGACTAGGTAAGTTGGGTTTACCTTGCCCTCATCGGTATCTCCCATCTTCAGCCTCGAAACGGCGAGTCGATGGCGAGCATTGACATCTAGTGGATAGCATCCAGGGCGAGGTTCGCCATTCCGCCGTTGAATTGAACTGCGTCCGTCTTCGTCAGGTATATCGTATTCCCTGTCATCGGCGCAAACGTCCCAGTACTTCTGCTCAGAGCGTCCCTGCAGCCACCTGCAGCCTCTCCTGATCACATTGGCAGATCTTTCGTACTCTTCAAGGGTATTGTACAAGTCGGCGAGGACGAGAATCTCCATCAAACCAAATCCACCACCAGCCACATCCCCGCCCGTCAGGGGGTCGCTTCCTCTGCCAGAAGGGTGCAGCGTCACGAAATGATCGAAAGCTTGTTGGAAAAGCGATGCGCAGAGCGTAAACTCGGACAACTCAATCAGGATCGTACGCAGTTCGTTCAAGACGTTGAGGTCGTGGGGGAAACGTTTCAGGATGGCGAGAAATGCATTGCGCGAGAGCTTGAAGTCCCCGAGCTCCTTCGCCAGCGTCGCTAGATCCCAGAATGCATGGATGTTGGATGGGTCGAGTTTGTTTACCTTGCGATAGCAGTACAGCGCTTGTTGGTGGTACCCCAGGTCGCTGTCGCAATAAAGTTACATCATGAGATGAAATAAAGAGAGAGAGCGTACCGTGATTGCTTTGCTAGGCGATCCCATTCATCTGCGTCGTGTCGTAGATGGGCAGCCATTATTCGAAGTTGAAGGGCCTTTTGGCTTTCTTTAAGGTCTTCGTAACATTGAGCGAGCACTGTCCAAGCAGAATGCGCTCGAGGCTCTATTCGAATGACTTCTTGCATCATTTTGATGGCTTCGGAGGTGTTGCAATCCACATATGCCTGGTTGCCCTCACCGATCAATGCCCGGACCTCGGGGGACAGAGCTGGTCCTTCGTGCCTGCCTTTCTAGGGATGCACCAATGTAAATAAAAACATTCCGGGGTGGCAAGTCGACGTACTTTTCGACGGGACCGACCTATTCCAGATGCAGCCCTGAGGTCATCCTTGAACTCGGCATCCTGGTCTTCAATGGCAAAGTCCCATTCTTTCGACAAGCCGACGCTCTGTGAGCGTTCGTTGGATCGCACGTTCTGCACCAGTCGGCTGGGGGCCGTCAGAGTGAGTCTCGGGCAATAAGGACGAGCATGGGTCTGACTCAAAGTCATTCTCGATAGCCATTTGAGCTGCCACGTCTTCATTAGATATGGGTGCCTCCTCTTCGTCCTCCTCCTCCGAGCTATCGTCTCCTTCCGAGCTTGTGGGTTCTACGCCAGAGCTCTCGTCATCGTCGTGAACGTCGTGAACTTCGTTCAATGAGGAAAATACAGAAAACTAACAGCAAGAAAGAGATTTACCATAGGTTCTATCTCTGATGGCCTGTTTGCTGCTACTTGCTACTGATTGAGCCTCAATTGACATCGCATACAGGTGTTCGGGATCGTGGTCAAGTCCGAAAACACGTCCGCCGCTCCGTCCCTCCATCCATTGGGACTCCGCTAGGAAGTGCCGTATCCTCTCCACGGCCATCGTCCAGCCTCGACGCCGTGCACAATAATATCGTTGGTATTTCTCATGGCAAGGGACAAAGCCCTTAGACCACCCGCGTTGAATTGATCTATCTACACCCCTTCTCAGTTCCAACTATTGCGTTAAACTCGCCATCTAATGCCCGCCGCACACCAATCCAACAAGTTCCAATTGTAACGGTGAGCGAATGCTTACGGCTTTCATCCTTGAATTCTTGGTTGCGCAGGGCACAAATTTTTCAAAACGGAGAATTCCAAGGTATGCCGCGGCGCTCGTTCTTTCGAGTGTCGAATAGCGTCCAGAACCGTCAAAGAATTACAAGAACTCGGATCTACTGGAACACCGGAACATTTCCCCCGTGTGGATGCCATAGGTCGCATGACTAGACGCGATGCCTAGGGCGACACTACGTACAGTCGCCAAGGGACTGAAGTATTGATCACCCAAAGGCCACCGATCCAAATCGAAGCATGCCATGTTACCCAAATTGACCGATGGGTCCCAGGGATTCGCAGCGTTGGCCGTACAACGCATCGAGCGCTCGAACCTGCATTACACACCGTCCTCCTACTGGCTCGACTAAACGGTCGCCTTTCGCAAATCAACGGAATCGAAGTCTGTCAAACCCGGTGGTCATTTTTCTCCGTGACTAACAAGAACATCCCGCAGAATCTTCGCCACATGTTACTGCCCGTTTCTGACACTAGTTTGACACGATTCAGATATCTATAGTTCTACAGTTTTACCCAATTTTATCAAGGATGGTGGCTATCGCGATGTGTATAAAGGCCTTGAAGTAGGATCCATTGGCTGACTACGATTACCCTCACAGCCAGCGATTTGAACCATGACAGCAGAGAAAACAGGATATGCCCCATTCCGAGTTGGAACGGAGACGTACCAGACTTGGTACAAAATCGTGGGCGAGATCGGAGTAGGAGGTAGACCCCTTGTGTGTCTACACGGCGGCGGAGGAATGTCACATCACTATATGTTGTCTGTATCAAGTCCTCTCGCTGTATTCCTCAGCTCATACCCTCCCGTTCGATAGGCCCCACGCTGTGCTGAACTCGCGTCTCGAGTAAGAGTTGTGAATCTGCGGAGATTCGTTGTCGTATCTAATCATCATTTCAGCATCCCCGTTATTTTTTACGACCAGTTGGGGAATGGAGAGTCAACCCACCTTCCAGACGCGCCGAAGGACTTCTGGAAGCCCGAGTTATGGGTGGACGAGCTTAACAATCTGCTCGCGCACCTGGGGATCGCTGATGACTTTGATCTCATAGGAAACTCATGGGGAGGCAAGTAATTGTATCTCACCTCTTCGAAAAACACCATTTGATGTTAATCGATCCCTGGACAGGTATGCTTGCGGCGTACTTCACAGCAACTCAGGCGCCGCCCGGACTGAAGAACCTGATAGTATCCAACTCGCCGGCATCACTTCCTCTAATGAAAATATCCACCGAAGCGATACTGGACCTGAATCCGGATGTCGGTGCCATCGCGCGCAAGCATGCTGAGGCGGGGACTTTTTCCTCCCCAGAATACCAGGCATCGATCAAGGCCCTTCACGCTAGGCATTTCTGTCGAGTAGATCCCATACCGCAAGATCTCTTGACGTCCATCCTTGCGGTGGAAAAAGATCCGACAGTATTTTCCAATATGTATGTTTTCTGTTGATAGTACCGAGTACATCACTCATTTCATACCAGGTGTGGCCCTTCGATATATCATATATCTGGATTTGTGAAGGACTGGTCGCTCATCCCCGAACTACACAAAATAACTTGCCCGATGCTGTTGATCAGCTCTCCGCACGATGTCATGCAGCCCAACACGATAATCCCATGGTTCCAAGGGGTTTCAAAGGTGAAGTGGGTGGAACTGCAGAACAGTACGCATATGCCGATGTTCGAAGAACCTGAGAGGTAAGTGTGCAAGATTCTCGGTGTCTGCACAACGTGATGACCGGGCATAGGTATTTTGATGTCCTCGTGGAGTTCTTGAGTCGCGATAAAATCTAAGCTTGAGGGAGAATAATTGTAGGGGCATCTACTTGTAGCACCCGCCGAGATATACTTATGGGCTTTATTGACATTGGTATGGACCTATCGCTTCTACATAGTTCCCCTGTATTGAATATCAAGGGGTGGGACTATTACTGACCTACTTGGAATGAAAATATAAGCTGGTACTCAATGTCCGGGTCACATGATCGATATTCTTCCGCTTGAGTCTGACCGTAGCGTAAGTACATACTACGGATGTGTGCTTACTTTCCTCCTCGTCCGCCCGTTTACTGATACCATCGCTCCCGTAGACGTTTACGTTTTACCATGGGTCTCGTAACCATTATCGCGACGGCCAGACCAGTGACTGTGACCACCAGTTGCCCCTTATTGAAGTTCTCATTGAGGACATCGAACGTGTTCGACGGAGCGACGCGCGTGAAGAAAAGGTCCAATCCGTAGGCAAATACGAGTGACGTCGATTCGAGCAGAGCGGGCGCGGTAACTATCCGCCGAACGTTCGCGACCTAAATAATACCAATAACAGAGTGAGACCGAGATGCCGTAGAAGAACGACTCTGTTCACGCACCTCGTAGTTGTGAGATAATGTCCGTCGGGGGTCGTCGGGGATGAGGGGATCGTAATGGATTAATTGTTCCTCCTGTTCTTCTGCCGTGACCTTTCGGTTAGGGCGTCTTGGGTTGAGCACCCGACGAGGTATGGATAAGATTTTATGGTTCTTCGTGGCAACTGACCATGGCGACGACATTCAAAAGATGCGCAAGAGGTCGACAACTGCAAACGTACCTATGAGATCTTTCGTGCTGATCCCGAACTTGGTTGATGTTGTTGCCAACGCCGTCACGCCGTGCGGGAAAATATACGCCTGCTCAAAGGTAGACACATCCAGCAGCTTGTCGGAAAACGCAGATAGTTCTGAGCTAGAGAGCAAAACATACTTAAGTTAACAGCCGGACCGACAGAAAGGAAGAATACCAACCTTTTAGTCTTCTCGTCTACCTGACTCCCCTCGTAAAGCTCGACGGTGACCATCCGATGTCCCTTGCTTTGCCCGACGCCAGTGAACTCCGGATCATAGTAATAGTACGAGAACCAGTTCTCCACGAGCGACATCTGCACATCGCACACGCCCCCACTAGCGGGGACAGACGTGCGGTGGAGCACGCTCCCTTTGGCACTGTCCACTAGATAGATAGTACACGATGCCGGCTGGGCCTTCGGCGCAGTCAACAACGCGAACATCCTTGGGTTGAGGTATTTGTACAGCGTCGTGCGGTTGCCTAGGACTTTCCCGAAGGACGCGATGGGCTCGTGCGAGGCGGGCAATAGCGTCTGGATATCTTCAGAAGGAGGAAGGGATAGCGTCCAAGTGGGGTGAGCGACGAAGCGGTCGCTGAGTTCCGTATTGAGGCTGACTTGCTGGCCGACGAGTCGTCGCTGACCGTCAACGTTGACACGAAGGGGGAAGTGAAGGGATGGCGCCAATTTGGTAAAGGACGCTGTGGCTTCCTTGGTATCGGGGTATAGGTAGACCTGCAGTATGTTAGGGAAAGCTGGAAAACTTGAAGAAGAGAGAACTCACTTGAAGAAACTCGTCTAACATCACGACCGTTTTATGATCGGGTAAGATGAAGGATTCGACTAGCGGGCCCGATATGATATCAACGCCCTCAAGAACATCCTTATCGACGACTCCCGGCGCTACGTTCTCTCCGCTCGATGCGTCTAGGTGATAAACGACTGTATCTATAAGGGTCTTTAGCGACGCAGGTGAGTCATATGTCGGAGCTGAAAGAAATCGAGCATACATTTTCTGCTCTGCGTTGAGCAACAAGAACGACCTGGGGCGAATCTCCATCGTGCACCGTCTGCGTGACATAAAGCTTCACAGGCCGAATGCTTCCCCCGGTCTCCGCTGCCCACCCGAGGCCAAACATCCTGCTCCAGAGAATCTCGCCGTTGCTTGAGTCGATACCGAACACCTTGCTGTACGGAGTAGCGACGACGATGACCTGCCTGAAACCAAAGGCGTCGCGGTATGGTTTACCAGCGGAATCGGGGGCCACGGCTGCTGATGATGCGGAGGCATAGGATCCCGTCGCGAAGCGCTTGACGAATTTCAGGGCATATTGAGGGAAATCCTTGACGTGTACGTTAAGAACGATTGACCAGACAGAATAGCGTAACTCACTTGGGCCTCCATTATCTGCCTTTGCAAACGCTGACCGAAGGTTTCGCGCTCCTTAGGTATGTGCGAAATATCCACTTTCTCCTGCAGCTCGACGAATTCAGCGACGGCAATGGTAGAGAGCGACTCTTCCCGCGTCCACTGGTGCTGACTTTGTTGCCAGAGTTGCATAGCGCCGGTAGACGTAGTAATGGCCAATCGCGAGACGACGGTCATTTCGCTGGGGTTGACGCAATCGAGGGTCGCCTGTGTGACGAGAGTTAGGGAAGGGGACTTCAAGGGTAGTTAGATGGGAACCTACATGAGTAATGATGCCATGGCTCTGAGTGTCGAAAGGGAAGGTGTAGGCTGTCATGACGCCTTTGCCCAAATGGCCTGTATATACGTCGACCGCGGCTTGCTGCTCAAGTCAACAGTGAGCGCAAAGAGACGAATAGCTTGGCCAAGACGCACATTGAGAGCATGCGACCACCGCACTTGAGCAATGTACGGGTTGCCCTTTTTGTCCCGACCGCCAGAGAATATAGGATCAGCGTGCTTATTACCCTAGAAAGCAGGGTTATCTTTACGGTAGACACGGACGTTTCAGAACAGCTCACAGATGCGGAGAATTCCCAGATAGATTTGAGAGCCGACCCATCTAGCTTGAAGATGCGACTAGAGCCATCATCTTTCACAGCAAGGAATTGGCCGTATTCGCTGAGGCCAACGTCAACGATGCGCTTGAATGCAGACCCTTTAACGGCGGTCGGGGACGATTGTAGGTTGGGGGAAAGGGTCAGATATTTTAAGGATCCCTGTTCAAGCCATACGACAAGAACTTCGTCCGCTCGCCTCACAACCATAAGGTCATTTAGTCCAGCGGTGATAGATGATGGGATGTCCGACGACTGGGTGAGTTCACCGGTACCTGCTGATAGAACGGCGACATGTAATTTGTATGAGGAGGGCGTCTTGGAGAGGCCGATCGCGTAGACGTGGGTCGTCGTTGTCACCACCTTTGAGAATATGACAAGGGCGCTGGGGAGATTTCATTTCGACTGCCCTGGGAGAGGTTGGGCGACAGTACGCACCTCGGATCTGAAGAACTCCAACTCCATTTCACAGTTCCCAGATTGTCCAACCATTGCACGAGCCCCCCATTGCTCAGAACAACCAAGTCGGAGCCCTCTGCAGCATAGGCCACAGAGGTCCCGAGGTAACTTGGCTCATATAAATGCCCATGAGACGGTTCATGTATCCGTTGTTCCAGCAGAAGGTGGCCGTTCAGAATGTCGAATGTGCGTAATGTCGCTCCTCCGGGCCCAGACAACGAAGCGACGACTTCTGTGGTGTCAGAGGGGGACCAATAAAGCAAGACAGGGAGCTCACCGTTTTTGTGGATATAGAAGCTCGCTATGTTGTCCCCCGACTCATGAATATATCTCCAAGCTACATCAAGCTTTAGCAAGGTCCCAAACAGCAAGTCAAAGCACCCCCTCACCTACAGTGCCATTCTCTGGAAATATGGCAGCTAAAACATTACTTGCGGTAGCGGTCAAGATGACGCTGTGCGTTGTCTCTTCCCCGACACGATGAAAGACTGGCGCGGTGGTGGACGAGGATGTCAATGGAACACCGACGAGCTTCTTGTGCCAATCGACGACACCGACATCGGACTCGTGCAATGCGAATGCGACAGGAAAGACGAGGGCCAGCGACGAGGCAAGACGACCCAACCGCATTTAATTTTGACGACGTTGACGCTGCATTCGCGTCCATGTCAGTCGCCGAGGGATCACGTGTCTCACAGTTTCAGGAGTCAGGGCAGCTCCTCATAAATTGAGCGCGAGCGTTCTACGTGTGTCTTTCGAGTACGTGAGTACGATAGCTTCATTCGTGTTCCTCGAGACGATAAGACTGGCTAGCTAGGCCAAAGTCTTCCTGTCCAGGTTTGTTTGCAATTACACCCAAGATCCTTCAAAGTTTCCAGTCGTACTCTACCGCACGCCGATCGCGCGATGCCGTAAGCTCCTTGACAATTGCGAGTTACGCTCGCTCACATTGCCGAGGTGTCTCTCGTCTTGAAGGATCTTTATTATTGAAATGAACCGGAGGTGACTTTCGAAAACATATACACGCTCTACTCATAAACCCATGCCATAGCACTTCGAAGCGAGCGTACCCAGCGCGTACCACCGGCGACCCTTGTGGATCCACATTCGACGAAGCTTGCGTTGACCGGCTCAGGCGTATCTGACGCGCTTTGGATTCGGCTTTGCAGTTCAGTGCGCCGCTCCATGTTACAACCTTAAAATGCCCCATTTCTCGTCAATTTCTTGCATCTCATACCCCTGCACTCCTTTGCAACTGGACGTATGGCCTGTACAGACTCCTGCACCTCTCGTGCCGAACCGAGGCATAAGGAGAGTTAGTGGGAGGCTTCAGTCTTTACTATGCTCATCCGCTTCATTCCTGACGACTTCGGCGACTGCCAGTGGGCAACACCACAGATCCTGGTGTAGACATGCCCCCAGCTATCTATCATGCAGTGCCTACAAACGGCTGAATACTAGAGACTGAGTATCTCTTCTGTCGTACCTCTCATATACTGTTGCCTGTGACGGTTGCCCAAATAAGCCAAGGATTGATGGTGCGGCAGGAAGTTTGTGAATGAAGGTTCTGATTACCTCCTGTCCCCCTCGCATTATTCCCTCGGGCACTGATCATGCGGACCTGCCTCTTGACTTGCCATTCGTCACCGGGAAGGGGATAACGAGACTCGAGTGCTGTGGTATTACGAGTACGATGCGTGCGGGTATATGGCGGTTGATAATGGAACAGGTTGCTCTTCCTCTACGCACACTGAGGATCGAATGCAACTTGTACCCACTGGACGCTATGACCGTTGACGATAAGGCAAGGCCCAACCGTGAAGTTTCCATTCGCCTTCTCCCCCTTTGCCACATCTTCCAGATCGCGTTAGACATGGGTCCATGGCCAATAGAACGGAATGATTGTGCTTGATAGCCGCGTATGGGACGTGAATCTGATGCACAAGACTTCTTAATCAAGTGAGAAACTACCTTCTTGGTATCAATTAACTGTTCTCCGACTCTGCCCGCAACAGCACCAACATCGAACGTTGCTCGTGTATTTTAGACGGAGAAACCACGGTCGTAGTGATTTATCCAGAAATACACGTAAAGATCAGAGACGATGATCCCAAACGGAACTTTCTGGTCCTTGGGCGCCTACCGGTTATATCGTGACGTCGATGTACCACTTCCCCCAATTCCCTCTCTACCTTCTACCACCACCATCTCCCCCACTTGTAACTTTATAATATATTCTGTATAGTTTGTATTCGACAATGAGCTCCTTCCGCAACCACCGAATCGTTATTGCATCCCTCTTCCTGCCGACCACCGCTGTTCTGGGCGAGTCGGGCCCACCGACGCCAGAGAAGCAGCTCCGCGATCCCCCTTCGCTCGCAATCCCACCCTCCGCATTCCGGAACCTCGACAAGCCCAAGTCGACGTCGTCGCGAACAGGGGGGACGGTGCCGCGCACCCGATCAAGTAGTGTAACCAATGCACTCGCCGCTAGCATCCCGGGACCATTGAAGAGCATCGTTGAAGATCTTCAGGGAAAGGTGAGTGATCGCATCATCAATTGACCGTTGTTTCCGAGTTGATTGACTGTATACTTAGTCCAGAAACATCACTCCGGCTACCCTCTCCCCGGCACAAGAGATCGCGAATCCATTCTTCAAGGCTGTTCGAATTCTCACCAGAGACCTAGGTGAAGACCAGAGACAACATGAATCTCCCACCAGCAACCCGACATCTCCCCCGGCTTCCCGAAAGCACCAAACGACACACACAGACCATGGCAACACCCCAGCTCGTATACAGCGCAAGGGCTCCCGATCATCGTCTCGCCGACCTCCAGCCGACAATGATATCAAGTTGACTAACGGACGGACAGTTGGCTGCTGGAACCTCGAAGCAAACACCCATTGCAATGGCGGCCTGAAGAACGCGGTACAGAGCGTCGGGCCGAGGCTGCGCAAGAAGTTGTGGGTGGGAACGCTCGGGACGGCTACGGACACGTTCAGCGAGCCTCTGAGGCAGGAAATTGATCGAAAGATGGTCGTAGAATGCAATAGTCAACCCGTCTGGATCCCAGACGCAGAGTTCGAGAGCTGTTATGACGAGTTCTGTCACCAGGTGCGTCGCAGAAGCTTCGTGTTATACATTTCTAGCCTTATCGTATCCATAAGGTCTTGTGGCCTTGCCTTCACTATGCGGTTCCAGACGCGCCCAAGACGAAGCTGTTCTACGAATCCGCTGCGTACAAGCAATACGAAGCCGTCAACCAACGGTTCGCGGACACGATTATAGAAAACTACCAAGATGGCGACATAAGTAAGTCGCAATCGCGCTCTGTACATTGTTTGTTATCTGAACCTTCATAGTCTGGGTGAACGACTACCATCTCATGCTCTTGCCGGCCATGCTGCGCGCATCAAATAAGATTCCAGCCACGACGCCCATCGGCTTCTTCATGCACGTCGCGTTCCCGTCTTCAGAGATCTTCCGGTGTCTATCCGTGAGACAGAAGCTGCTGAAGGGTCTTCTTGGTGCCGACCTGGTAGGATTTCAAACCGCGTCATATGCTCGTCATTTCAGGCAGACGGTGAGCCGGATTATGTCGTATGAGGCGCTGCCAAAAGGCATCGAGATCAAAGACGGGGAGGAAGGCGCTGGGAGGGGACGGTTCGTGGACGTTGGCGTTTTCCCGATGGGGATTGATGTGTATCAGCTGAGGGAGAAGATGTGAGTCTGATTATGGAGGGCCTGCGTCGTGAAGCTTACATCTGGTCTAGGCGTGATCCTGAAGTCAGTGAATGGATTGCGGTTCTAAAACAGCGTTACGCTGGGTTAAAGCTCGTCGTAGGGCGGGATAAACTTGATGAAGTCCAGGTATGCCTTCCTCGCACCCTTTTCTTGGTCGCACCGTGACGTGTCTGTGAAGGGCGTGCGGCACAAAATACAGGCGTTTGAGATGTTCCTCGAAAAACATCCCGAATTTCAACAGAAGGTGCGCACTTTTCGTAGAACTTGACTGCAAAACTAATCACCGTTGTGACATTCACAAGGTGGTTCTCATCCAAGTGGCCCTACAAACCACAGAAACCAACGAGTTTGCAGGCGGCGTTGCGGATGCTGTTTCTCACATCAATTCTCGATTCTCTACTCTTACGTGGCAGCCTGTGGTCTTCCTACATACCCAAGACTTGACGTTCACTCAATATTTGGCTTTATTGAGCGTCGCGGATGCGTTCTTGGTCACAAGTTTGCGCGAAGGAATGGCTTTGAGGCAGGCGTACTCTTTGTGCCATACAACAACTTCAAGCTAACTCGTGTGCATTTAGGACACACGAATATGTCGAATGCCAGGAGGAACGACACAGGCCACTTATTCTCAGCGAGGTAAGCGTCCGAACGTCATCCAAATTTGTCTTTCATTCGAATTTGCCTCTTCAGTTCACTGGGTCGTATAGTTACAGTGGTTTTCGGTCTTGCATTGCTATCAATCCATGGGATAGCCGCAGTACTGCCAATGCCATTCATCAGGTAGGGGCGAGTTTGTAGATTCCTGAACGTCTCTTTATCTCGTTTACAGGCTTTAATCATGGGTGACGAAGAGGCCAAGGCTCGTTGGGAGGTACGTTTCAATATCATTTCTGCAGTCTGCGCATCTTAACTTGTATGTAATTGTAGGATCTTCACAACCACGTTATAACGCAAACGGCTCAGGCCTTCGTCACGTCGTTCCTCACACGCTGCCTCCGCGCAAACACCGAGCATGTTCAAGGCGATTTAATCGATGTCCCTTCGTTTGACGTTGCTCGCGTTCTCCCGCGGTACAGGCACTCCCATAAACGCTTCTTGCTTATCGACCTCGAAGGGACGCTCTGGCACCGAGATATCTCCAGGGGGAGCCTTCAGCGCGGAGCTTTCAACCCACCTGCCGAGATATTCGAGTTGCTAGAGAAGCTTGCCGATGATAAGCGCAACGAAGTGTGGCTATTGAGCGGACTGCCTGTCAAAAACGTGCTTGATCAGATTGCCCAAAAGGTGCCCAAGATCGGGATTGTGTGCGTGATAAACTCTCCGTGACAGTTTGTGTCGATCAACTGATCGTTGTTTTCCCTGCAGAGCTGAAAACGGGTGCTTCATCAAGACACGGCCCAGTCGAGGGCAGCCACCAGCCTGGGTTAACATGGTCGCAAACTTCAATTTGACATGGAAAAGCTCTTGTCTAGAGATTCTTGACTACGTACGCGATCTTTCTACGGGGCTCTCTCACGAGGTTGACCGATTCGAATAGTTCACCGAGCGCACGCCGGGCGCGTTCGTTGAGGAGAGAGAAGCTTCAATCGTATGGCGATTTTGGACAGGGCCAGAGACTGATAGCCCAGATCGACAATGGGCTCGTCGTCAAGCGGCTGAAGCACAGAACCATATCTTTGACAGGTGAGCCTTGAGGAAGAAAACATACGTTATTGTCGTTAACCCTCTGCATCGGCGTAGTCTCGGCGAACGCTATGGCTTGCGCATCATTCCCGGAAACAACAGTTTCCTCGTTCTTCCCAACAACATCTCGCGATCAACGGCTGTGGGTGCGATATTGCACCCTGGCGGACCGTCGCATTCTCCGCTCGCAGCCCAAGCGGTGTGGATGTCGCCAGACACCATGGATGACAATGCCGGCCTGGATCTGGATTGTATCTTGGCGGTCAGCAGCGATGAAAAATTGTTGAGGAGGCTGAACGAGTTCGACAATTCCGAGACAGTCTCCACGAGCGGCAAGAACACCGACGCTAAATGGCAGCTCGATGCAAAGATTGCGACGAAGGCTTTGTGGCAGTTGGCTAATGTTGTATCGGCTTGAGGGAGAGTTCTTTGCCTGGCCAAAAGACATTCTTTCACATTGTATGTAGGGACCATTGTAGAACCATATATTCACCACTCAGCGCATACTTAACACACGAAATATAGAAAGCGCTGAATGGTACTGGGCGCTTGGATCATGTGACTGACGCGAACCAGCCGGCCCTGAACGGCGGAAAACCACTTTAGTCGCGTCCTTCTGTCTCAGACCTTTTTCACCACTCACTTTTCATCAGACCAAATTACCCGCCATGTTGAGCGTCGACGACGTATCTGATGACGAACTGAGTTGCATTCTCGCGCCGCTTTCTTCACGGGGGTTCTACGAGACGAACGCTCAACGCAACGAGAACACGCGCCCTCTTCGTCGATCAGCGAGACCCAGCAAAGCGAAGCCAGTACCCAAAGATGAAGCCCCGAAGCAGTACAGGAAACGTACCTTATCCATGTCGGCAGCCCAAAACGACGCCAAGGGCACTGAAGTGACGGTGAAGAAGGCGAAACTGGAAGGACAGAAGGCTGTAAGCAACTACTACTCCGTGCTCATATCTATCCTGACTGATAGCTATGGCAAAGGCTACTGCAGCGTCTCACATGAAACGCGATGCTTGCGAATCTGCGCGGAAAATTTGGCTGCATCACCACCAACACCTTTTCATACCATTGCTGCCCTCATCATCGTCATTCAACACTCACTTTGGGCCAAGTGTGGACAAGCATGCGTCATTCACTCCCTTGCATGAATTTGATCAGCAGCCTAGCCTAATCCGAGGAGGTGTCATGAAGGACTACCAAGTACGTTGTTCCTAACTCCGTTCACATTTTCAGATGGCGATGGCTAAAGCAGAATAGCTCCTGGGGCTTTCGTTTCTTGCCTACATGTATCACAATGGTATGTGTCCAGGCTACAAGCTTATCTTCGTTGCTTATCCCCTATCGCAGGAATGAACTGTATTCTTGGGGACGAGTTGAGTGCTCGTCACTTCCCTCATGCCATTATCTAATGCGATTTCGCAGAATGGGTCTCGGAAAGACTCTTCAAACACTCGCACTGTTCGCTTACATCCGGGAATCTTCGACAACGTCGCTTGATCCACACTTAGTTATCTGCCCCCTTTCCGTCCTCTCGTCTTGGGAGGCAGAAGCAGCTAGATGGCTCCCTTCCATGCGTACTCTGCGACTCCACGGCGCCGTTCCCGAACGCACGAGAATCAAGGACTTGGTGAAAAACAATCTAGAGAACTTCGACATCTTGTTGACAACGTATGAGACATACGTAGCTGAGGATAGTTGGTTCAAGATGCGACGCTGGACATACTGCGTTCTGGATGAAGGACATAAAATCAAGAACACAGACACAAATGTAGCGCATAAGCTTCAGGGTCTTGGAAGCATGTATCGTCTGCGTATGTTCCTTCTCAGATCCTTCCCTCTCCTGTCTTGACCTAAATATCATAGTGATCACGGGTACTCCCCTCCAGAACAATCTTGCTGAGCTTTGGGCTCTACTCCATTGGTTATATCCCCTCATATTTACCCCAGCATCCGAACGACTCTTCCGGGACTCCTTCAATCTCACGAAAGGCAGTTATTCCATGGACACCCTCAACGCTGCGAAGGCATTGCTTGGAACTATCATGCTGCGCCGTACAAAGGCCACAGTGGAGATGAGCGTCCCTCCTCGCGAAGAGCTTACCGTGTTCGTTCCGATGACGGAGGCCCAACGATTTTGGACGTATAGACTCCTCACAAGAATGGATGCTCCAGACTTCAAGCAAGTATTCGGTGGCGAGTATGCGGAAGCTGTGAAACCGGAGGTGAAGGCGGAGGCGGACTCGATCAGTGCGCATAATCACGGACGGAACGAAGTCATTCAGCTACTCGTGAATCAAAGTGCATCCAAGCAGGGGGGTAATAACAGTAAGCACCTGGGCATCATTCATTGTCACGAGATTCTAAAGAGACTTCACTTGCGATTGTAGAATGGACTAAGCTCATGAACCTCCTCATGCAGTTGCGCAAAGTCTGCGACCAGTAAGCTCAACTCAACTATCTGTGTGATATGCCTATCAACTGCTCTATAGTCCGTATCTACTACCTGGAGCAGAACCGGAGCCTTATTACCTCGGAGAGCACCTCATAGCATCGTCGTCGAAACTTATGGTTATTGACAAACTCCTTGCCGATATTCTACCAAAGGGTGATCGTGTTCTTATCTTTTCGGTAGGGCCTCGTGTTTCCTCGCAAATACAATAAGCTGATGGTCCTATAGCAATGGACGGGGTGAGGGCATTTGCTTCCCATATCAAGCACCTTTTCTGACGGTACCAGGATGCTCGATTGCGTTGAGGATTTCATGGCCTTCCGAAAGATTCCGTACGCGCGACTTGATGGCTCAACTGCGAGGCCCCGCCGAACCCTAGACATTAGATTGGTCCGTAGTGGTTACTCCATGTCTCGATTCCTTCTAACTAATTATTTCTGTACACAGTTCCAGCAAGAGGTTTCTCGTAAGTGAATTTCGGGTGACTTGATTCTATTCTTAAAATCACTTCTTTCCTGTTAGCTTACAAAGTATTCCTCGTTTCGACAAAAGCTGGCGGCCTTGGTGCGTAAACATTCCACGTTGTAGAGTTTAGGTTGACGACAAACAGGTATTAATTTGACGAAGGCTACTCATGTAATCATGTGTGACTCGGATTGGAATCCCCAGGTATGACACCTATTTGCTAGTGCTGTTCGCCCACCGTACGACCTGATTGTGCAGAATGACCTCCAAGCAATCGCTCGTGCACATAGGATAGGGCAAACGAAGACCGTCAAAGTAAGCGTGTCTCCCCATGTGGAGCTATACAAGCATTAATACGATGGCGTTTAGGTCTACCGTCTCATCTGTCGGGGCAGTGTTGAGGATCAAATGCTTGATCGCCTACGCCGAAAATTATTTCTGTCTGTGAAAGTTATGGGCTCTGACAACCCTTCTTCCTCATCCTCCGGGCCCAGCCTTGGTTCATCCGAGCTGATTGATATTCTCCGCAAAGGGTCTAGTGTCCTTGCATCTTCTTCTGGGGAAGAGGGCATGGATCTTGCCCGGTTCACAGCGGCTGATATTAACACCATCCTCGAGTCATCTCGATCTTCGGAACAGCTGAGAGTGGTGAAGATGAAGCATGAGTTATGTGAAGAAGCAGTGGAGGGCGACAGCGTGAAGAAGGAAGAGGAAGTGGATGAAGATCAGTTGCTAAAGAATGCAGAAGAAGAGGAGCGTAGACTTCTAAGCGGTGTGGCTCAGGTCTCTGCTCGGTTATTCGACGGTCGTGTCGTTCAGCGTCACGATAACAAGGGTATTGCGAATGAGTGGCAGCAACTGCAGAAGCGGGCTCGGAATGACAAATCGGTGTGGATTGGTGGCATCCCATTCCTCGTGCAACCAGCGGAAGAACAATCGGTCAGTTACTGATTACCTCCAAACACGACTTGGCTTACATCTAGCACTCTAGGTATTTGCTCCTCCGGTGGTTAAGAAGCATAAGAAGAAGAAGCATGAATCAGAGGATTATTGCATTCACTGCCATGACGGCGGTGACCTTGTGTGTTGCTCCGCTTGTCCTCGAGGTATTGAGCTCCCCGGTCTCAGCTAACCGTTCTGCTGACGAACTTCCGACAGTATTTCATAGCGCATGTGCAGGCCTTCGACCAAAAGACGTGATAGGAGCAATGCAATGTGCTCAGCACGAATGCGCGCATTGCCATCGTAAGGCGTCGATGGCGGGCGGGATGCTGTTTAGGCAAGTTGACGATCCATGCGCGGGTGATTGCAGGCTAACGGCGCGGTTGAATTAGATGCCGCACTTGCGCTGATGCGTATTGCGAAGATTGCCTCCCGGAGGACGAGATCCTCGCCATTGGGGACACCTTGCCCGAGTTGTATGTGTTGTTCTATCGAGCGACTACCGAAGCTAACGGTGTGCTACTGCCCACAGTGAAATGCTGAACTGCTCATCTTCAACTACCGCCTACTTCATCCAGTGCCCCGATTGTCAGACGTTCTTCAAGGAGAAGCCCGAAGAGTGGACTTGGTGGCAAGAGCATTTTGCCAAAGCCGAACGGGAGCTCAAATTACGCGAATAGTTCCTCGAGGCCTCTCCTATCTGTGTATCGATGATACCCTATGCAGCAATACTCTCTCGTGCTACCCACCATTCATCGGAAATCCCAAATCGCTATCTCGCATGCCACCTTTGTATATTTATGTCAACAACGTACAGTACTTTAGACACCATGAACTCTATCAATACTACAACTTGCCCGAGGAACAACGGAAGAGATAATTATAAGAGTTCGTCAAACGAAATAAGGCATCGTGTTCTGAATGACCGACGAACATCAGTAATTAGCAAAAGCAGCAATACCACCCAGACTCACCATTCTTCTTGTCTGCATACCCTTGTCTCGCTCGTTTTCCTCCGCCGCGCCGTATACCTTGAACGTCTTCTCGCCGTTTTCGTGTATCGTCAGTATAGACGCCATATTTCCGCATCTATAGCAGTAATTTGGCGCGGACCACACGGTGACGAGCTGCTCGTCGAACATGTATTTGTAGCCCTCTTGGACGAGTTGGTGAGCCCGCGCGATCAGCCGCAGGGAATTGACGTGGTTGAACTCTTGCGTAACGCCTCCGCCAAACAGCCAGCCGGCCCCGCGGGGGCTGACGGCCCAACTCTCTATGTCGTCGGGATCGGACCACATCAAGTCTGACGACTGGTGAGACAGAAAGCAGGCAAGGCGTGAAGGGAGCGTACCACAAAATGCCCCCTCGTGGGGTATTTCCTGAGCCCGAGAAAGTACTCTGATTTGATCCAGAGTCCGGATCTCGGGCGACAGGCCTCCGTGCACGCATAATGACTCGCCGTCTATTGTCTAAGCTCTGCGTCAAGAACCACGCTATGCATTGGCGACGGCGGGCTCACGGCAGCGATGTTGAGGAAATCAAACACGTTACAACATGCCTTCCAGACCGTGGCTGTCCCATATTTCTGCTGGCATTCATCTGTCAGAAGCTGAGTAAACCCTCCCGGGTCACGAATCGCGAACATCTCATCGACGGGAAGGATACGAGAGGCTGAGGTCATGCAAGGCCCACTCACCATAGAAACCGTATACTTGCGTTATTTGTCTGCTTTCGTGGTTTCCGCGCAATAGAGTGACCTTGTCCGGGTATCTGACTATCGTAGGCATTCGAGCGGATGAATCCAAGCTATAACGACTCACCTGGCCTTGAGCACGAAAAGCAGCGACACGGTTTCCAAGCTGTAATGACCTCGGTCGACGAAATCGCCCTGCTCCAAGGCTTAAGCACTCTGCGTCTCCCCGAGTTCCTTTGAGATACGTGCCATGAATATATAGCTCGTGTCGGGTGGCTTGCCCCCTTTCCGCAGGAGCTCGAGTAGATCCCAGAATTGGCCGTGAATATCGCCGCATATTGTGACCGGGCTGGAGACGGGTTGGATATTCGATTCTTCGATGAGGATGGTGCGCACGATTTCGCAGAGGGTTTTCATGTCATTCTCAGGGAGATGCTGGCAGTTCATCAGTTGTTCTATCCATCTGTCGAGTGTTCCAAAAGACATATTTCGTCGTCCGTTATAGTGGGAAGTACTAGCGGGAGATGATCAAGAAGCCAGCCATCGCCCCTCAAACCAAACAACATCAAAGAACTGGTCGCAGTCACGAGCATACAGGCGCCAGAATGACATACATTCTCGACCATTCTAAACGGGACGGCGCCTGTCTAGATAAGGATATTAGCGCTGAGCGGCGGTATCACGTGAGCGCTTATATAATGATAAAGTCAGTGAAAGCGCTGATTGGACCACTCACTTCGCTCCTCGATGGACAACCTAGACACCCTGGCTACTTCGCTGCCTACAGCCTACCAGAATGCAGAAAAAGAGCTTCTTAGCGACTTCAAAGGTATGCCCGTTGATTCACGTAGAGTTTGATGTGATGTTTAACTGTTTGTGTTTGCACAGCTGCTGCACTGAGCATCACGACTTTGTACCGTTCGTCGCGAACAGCGTCGAAGCGGGCGTACAATGCAGGATACTCAGCGGCCTATAAGGATCTGCTGATGATGATCCAGCAGGGTGTTTCCGCTGGTGGCATCACCACGTCGGAGTCACAAGGAGGGATGGATGATGGGATGACGATTGGGAGAGTAATGGATTGGATAGAGGCAAGGCTTGAGGCCATCAGATCTCGAGAAGAGGAAGAAGACGAGGATGAGGAGAGGGAGAAAGAAAGGGATCACGCGCGGCCGTCGAAAGCGCCGCCAGCGCCCCCAATGCCGAGGACCACAACCACACCAACAACTCAAGCCACTCAATCGCGGCCCCCAGTGAGTCTTTCCCCCGTTATTAGATTCACAATGATTTACCGTCCTTTAGACCTTGTCCCCTGCTCCTGACAATTCGGATGCCTCGACCGTAGTGTCATCGCCCACCACTACATTGCGGACGATACCACACCCTCAGCCCCCCTCCAAGGGCTCCAGGAATCGTGCCAAAGAATCCGCTGACCCTCCAACTTCTGAGCGCAATCCATCCCCCGCACTTCCGGGCATCAATCACATCTTTCCCGATCAAATTCCAACGGCCGGCTCGAAGCGTCGGCATGCTGTCATGGTCATGCTCGATTCTGCACCTTCAGTAGCCAACTCTGCCTCGACGCTGGCACCCCCAGGCGGGAACCACTCATCAATCGCTACGCGGCGGCGAACGCGGAGCGCGAGGAACCTCACTATCCATCACAATCAGAACATCATGCAACCGCCGGAAGCAATGGACGTAGAAGAAGATGGTCGAGAGCGAAAGCGGGTTACTAGGCGGTGATTGTGACATCCCTTTCAGAGTTTCCATTCCATCGCACAAACACTCTTTTCATACTTTTGTTTTCATCATTCCCTTTGACCACTTCAATTCATCATGCCTTTCAATTGTAGTCCTGATAGCATATCTCTCTTATCATTAAGTAGTACAAGCATAGGTAGTTTAACAGTCTTTTATGATTCCGCCCATACACTTTCGTCATCAACCTCCATGCGTCCTTTATGGCAAGATGCCGCCAGTAATTGTCGCATCAATCACCTTAGTTGTAGTAGATAGTATCAATTGTATTCTTATCGTAGGACCTTCCGGTCGACAGCAAATAGATAGTACAACAGCAAGAGAGATCAAGCACGGATGATTCCATAAAGTGGAATATATAAGATGTAAATTAGGCATGCTCCGCCTTCGCTTTCGCGGCAGCCTCTAATTCGGCAAACGTCCCGCTCTGGAGACACATGTTCCTGAAAATACCACTCTCCTTCTGGATCAGATTGAGGGGTGTGTCAAACTCGGCGATCTGTAATGGAAGTTGAATGATTATCTTTTGCTAATATTTAGACAGTAATGGTAGCCTTACCTTTCCTTTGTCGAGGATGATAAGTCGATCGTAATCAATGACCGTACGAAGACGGTGAGCGACTAGGAGGAAATTATCAAACCTTTGTCATCGATCTCTGCGTGGAAACGCTTACTTGTTAACAGTAGAGAGTCATTGAACTCTTCGCGGATCGTTGTCTGAATCTTCGCATCCGTAGCGAAGTCGATACTGCTCGTGGCCTCATCGAGGACAATAATCGAGCTCCGACGCAGAAGAGCGCGAGCCATTGCTATTAACTGGCGTTGACCTTGAGAGAAATTGTTTCCTCCAGCAGAGACTTGAGTATCAAGGGAGATAGTCGTTTTTGAATCAGTATCAGTCATAGTCGTAGATACGGATGGAGATCGCTCTTCTTGCTGCAATTGATCGGTACCGTGGATGGATGGGGCCCTAGATCCTTCGCGAGATGTTCGGCGAGAAGTGTAAGTACTTCGGTTGAGTAAATGTACTCTGAAGAGAACGTCAAGGCATTCGCTGTCCGTATGCTCCTCTGTTTTACGATCGGGTCAGACCTAATTTTCGAGAGAGAAATAACCACAGCTGCTGACCGAAGGGATCAAGGTTCTCGCGCAGTGTACCGGAAAACAGTGTTGCATCCTGAAACAGCTCAGGGAACAGATAATGACGAGACGAAAAATAGGGTACCTGAGGAATGAACGTCTAAGGACAAAAGGTATGAGCTAAAGTTCTTAGTCTCCAAAATGTTACACACCAATCGCGAGCGCAGGTCATAGAGGCCAATCTTCGAAATATCGATGCCGTCAATGAGAATACGTCCACTGGCAGGGTCGGCCTACAAACTATTAGACAAGGAGTAGATGGACAAGGGGTTACTCACAAAGCGAAGAATACTCATTGCCAATGTCGACTTCCCACTACCTATAAGCGTGTTGAAGTTAAATTTGATAGGCCCTAATGGGTGAGGTATGCATACCGGTGCGCCCGAGCAGCCCGATCCGCTCCCGCGGCTTGAGACTGAAGGAAACATCTTGGAGTACAGGGGGCAACTCCGGGGAGTACTTTACTACTAGATTCTCGACTTCAATAAGAGATCCGGTAGTGTTGCTCGACGGCCAATATGCAGGGGGACGTCGATCTTCGATAATGGCGGGTGGCTCCTGCGGAAGGTCCAAGTATTCTGCAATACGTTCGACAGAGCTGCAAAGGGTTAGATGTGGATGTCTATCTGGGAATAAATATGACAACGTACTTAAGATCGAGTTCCAGAGCTGTATACATACGACAAACCCAGTATATGCTCATCGTGAATGTCATGGCCGACTAGGAAGGGGTGAGAACTGATTACAGCGCACATACCAAGGTGGTTCGTACCGTTATACACAAACCGGCCAAGCCCGCATCAGATATTGAGAGGGCGAACAAGGTAGTGATGAGAACGATGCTGTATCCGAGGGCATCAAAATTCAAGAGTAACCATCGGTTGGTCATCCAGAAAGAGTACCACATCTAAATTACTGGGTAAGTAATGCTTCACTTGACACAAGAAGGCTCCATACCTTGGTCGTCACATCGATTCTGCGGAGCAGATTATCGAGGAACCTTGTTTCCGCAGAAAATGCCCGTACGGTGACGATCCCCTCCAACAGTTCACCGAAGTCGGAAAATATGGGAGACCTGGAGTTAGATTCCATTCTCCTGAGATCACGCCCTGTGTTAAGATAACCAACGGCAAGCTGGTAGTAAACAACACCGATTACGAAGGCGGGGATAAGGAATAATGGAAATACGACGCTGTCAAAAGGAATGGGTGAGCGTTGAGGGCATTAGTATCCAGTGAACTTTGCACTCACCCGACGGTGAGGATTGAAGCTATTAGGGTGGCCATAGAGGAGTTGACTGATTGGAGAGACCCTGCGAGTGACATGTCAATTGTTTCAATATCCTAAGAACGATTCAGTAATTTCTACAATCAGCGCGGCGCATCTTTACCTTCCCGAAACGATTCAGCATGCGTCCTTGCGGAGTAGTGTCTACAGCAAAACTTAAGAACGAAAGGTTCGTAAATGCAACGTGACCTACCATGGAAACGGAAGGTAGCCCGAACTACTGTCTCTAGCAATCTCTTGAACAGTATGCGCGAAGCCCAAAGTGCGCCCGTATACTGTGCTATGACTGACAATACACTGGCTAGGGCGTTGGCGATACCGATGGCAGCGTAAATGCCGACGTAGAACATAGGGTGTTCACTCGCCGACGGGAAAGCATATGTTGATGTCCATTGGGGAGAGCCTTTTGGATTGGAATAATACGTGTGAAGTGGGACCTGGCCATCCGTCGGAAGCTCGTGATGTGGTGCGTAAAACGATTTGTACAGGAAAGCGGAGGGTGCCAATTTAGGGTATGCAGCACCCCATATCTTTGAAAGGTTTAGGACATACAATACTCAAGAAGGCCAGAAGGTCTTACCGATATCCAGATTTTCTCTGAGACGCCTAGTGCTTCATGTACCAGTAGCAGCAGCGCGAGACATGCCCATATCCAATACGATCTGTGAGGTGAAATCAGTGTCGCCCTTCTCGAGCGTATGTGGTATTCTACTTACGATGCCTTCAGGTAGCTATGGTAAACGGACCACCGCACACCACCAGTTTCCCTGTGCTCGTCTTGTATCAGTTTACGTGGCTTTTTGGTATCCCCTGCTGCTTCGTTTCCAGGTGCCTCGGTAGAGGATGAGACTTCTTTAGCCACAGCTTCTTCCTCTTGATGTGCTTCAACAGCGGAGTCATGGGCAATATCATCAAGTACGCCTTGAGCTCGAAGTTCCTTGACTGTGCCCTGAGTATCGATTCGGCCATCGAGCATACGAACTAAGTAGTCAGCTCCAGGTAGAACAAGCTCTACATGGTGAGTAACGAGAATCTATGCCAACAATGTTTAGCGGGGCCTGTAATTACTCTCTGCGTTGCGTCTGCTTACCACTGTGCGATGAGCTAGAAGAGGCCCTTGGAAGAGCTTTTCAAACAGGAACCTGGCTGTGTGGCTGTCCTAAAGAAGAGCGTTAGACAGACAGCGACGGGGATTACGAGATTGTGCTTATACTTACCACGGCGCTGAGGGGATCGTCAAGCAGGACATACTTTGTTCGGGCGTACACGGCGCGGGCCAACGCAACTCTGAGAATGCATTCAGCATTAGTAGATGCGCGAGAGGGCTAACATTCACCTTGCTTTCTGCCCCCCTGATAAACTGACCCCCCTATACAGAGAGTAAGCTTCACAAAGTCGAAATTATGACGGTACAGTTCACATACCGAGCACCAATTTCCGTTGCATCACCGTCTTCGAAGATGTCAAGGTCCGGCTTCAAAGCGCAGCACTCGATGACCTGATTATACCGTTCTTCGTCGTAGGGATATCCAAAGAGAATGTTATCCTTGATGGATTGATGGCGCAGCCAAGGCATTTGGGCGGCATAAGATATGCCATTTGCGAGCCCGTGCTCATCAACTTTGGAGAGATTCTTCGACATCACAATCTTCCCTTTCAGAACGGTCATTTCTCCCAACAACGTCATCTACACGAGAAATACGACTATTAGCGGCGTTCACAGGGTGGTTCGCATAAACTCACGAGGAGCGCAGTCTTGCCGCTAGCTGTGGGACCAGTCACTACGGTCAAGTGTCCTTCGGGGAACATTACTGTCACGTCTCTCAATTCGAAATGGTGGTCGAGTTGCTCTTCATCAGGCCCACCCGCACTGGCAGTATCGCCGACGATTGTTGCAATCTCATCGGCTGGAGTAGATGATCCGTTACCATTGGCGATGTTCTTCGCATCCTTGCCTTTACCCTTCTCCTTCTCCTCCACCTCGTTCCATTTAGATGTAACATTGGCGAGGCCCAATCCCTCGTCGTCGTCGCCTGGTAGGTAGGGATCGGAACGATCTTTCTTGAGGGAAGACACCTGTTCGCTGACTTCGTCTTCATCGAGGTACGTAGCAATTCGTTGGAGAGCCACCATCGTCTAAGTTAAGTCTTGGTATCAGTGATCTGCCATCGCATTTGTATCATGCATACCTGAAGGATCTGAATTATCCAAGTAGGGATGACGTTTAGAGGTTGACGAATGAGGTTGAAAAGAGCAATAGACTTAGGGAAGCATTTTCAGGACGCAACAACAATGCAGTTTGGTGGTGTTAGCTCACCGTGAATGCCACACTAATCGTCAACTCCTTGCCCTGAGCGACGTATACCAAGAAGGAGATAATGGAAATGAGGATCGGCGAGCAGTTCCATAAGAGATAGAAGAATATTGTATTAATACGCGCTATTCATGACGCGTTAACCTTCAGGAAGATATTGGGGCTCGAAGTGATACACACCTTTGACCAGCCATTTCATCTCGACGCTCCTTGCTTCAAGAGCTCGTCCAATCCACCGATCTTCCCATGCAAAGAACTTGATGAATTTAATCTATGCACCGCCAGAGCCGTGTTAGCGTGTTGGTATGATGAATGATGAAACTACGACTTGCCGCCCCAATAAGCTCGTTGATAACACCCATCCGCTTATCTTTGGCGGCGAGGAATCCCTTTTGTATGCGAATGCTACGTTTAGCGACCCAGCTGTTGAGCGGCCACCCCGCTAGCAAGACGATGAACCCAGCGAAGGCGGACCAACCGAGCATCCTGCAATACATATGTAAGCGAAGCACACTAACGACGAAGGATCGGGCTCACTGATATAAGAAGACGGATCCAATTATAATTTCAAATGGAGCTAGTGTAATGTAAGCGCGGCCTCAAGAGCGAAATGATAAGCCGGGACAGTACCTCCATAGATGAAATACACGGCAGACACGGTCATGGATACCTTTATTATTGACGTCAAACCCGCGATACACGATGTAACGCACAGTGCACCTACCCTGTTGGCATCGCTTGCCATGAGATTGACAATCTTCCCAACGTCGGCACCGGCTCTAGGCTCGTCGCCTTTATCGGCCTTCTGCTTCAATTTATCTTGAATGATGTTTATTGTTACATCACCGGTCTATGAAGAAAGAGCAGCAGCGCTCACCTGGCGAGATTCCGGCCTTTGCGTCCGCAGCATCTTTTGCCTTGTCCTTGTCAATAATTCCAGAGAAATCCTTCCTTTTTAATGCCTTGTCATATATAGCAGCCATCAACTCCGTACGAATGCGTGTACATGCGCGCCGGCCAAACCACAGATGTTGCAAATCTGTTTGAGATTTGAGGAGCGCGCAGAAAAACGCAAGGAAGGCATAAATATACGCGTTGGCGCGAACTTCCGGCGACTGGTCGTCTGAATCGATCGCTTCCAAAATGCGCTTCATGAAGAATGGCGCAGCATAGGTGAGTATCGCGCTTAGAACGGTGAGCACAAAATCGACACTGCTCGCAGGTTAGTATGGTCAAGGCAAAGCAAAGTAGACACCTGCATGAGGTCAAGCGAATTCGCATTGAAGAGCTTGCGCAGCAGTGTGGAACCCCTATTTATATAAGTACGTCTCATGCCAATGATAAGGGAAATGCGTACCGGACAGTGCTGTACTTCGTAAAGATTGGCCGAGCTTGAATGGTCGGGCTCAGATTCCAGACATCAGTTTCGTTCAGAGTTTCATTACGGCCCTGCCGAGGGCATGAGAGAGCGAACGAAATGTAGTATATGGGCGACGTACCTTCCGAACCAGTGGGTAGATCCAATAGAAAGTTATCCAGCCCCCGAGGGTTGTATAGTCTTCCCAAGAAACGGTGACACCAATATCCTCCTTCTTGACGCGCTTGCTTGGTACTCCCACCGGCATACTGCACACAACGCCCAACAGCATCAATATGGAGGCTAAATTCGCACCCATTCCGACGAGAACCCAAGTGGAGGGCCATGGAATCCCCAGAACGGCATGGTCATAGATCACTCCGCCAGTAGTCAAGCAACCCATCACAAAGTGCATGAAATAGAGCGCGAAGAGGTCGTATGGGGCCGTCCTCGAAGGGTGGGAGACTGGTCGAACTGTCGCGTATAGCCAAGTTGATGCCCGAAGTAGCGCAGAAATGCCTCCCCATGGTTTTTGAATGTCCCCAACGATGAGAAATGAGCCTTCGCCCATCCAGAATAACGACTGCACGAGTCCAATAAAAACCATGAATATCGTTTGTCGCATCGGAGGTCCGGTATCTCCCTCGATGCCGTTCCCCCCATCCAGCTCCTGTTCCAAGCCCTTCTCCTGGCTCATATTGTCATTCGTGAGGGCTTCTGCTTCCTCCAAGGTGATAAAGGTCTTGAATGGTTTCGAAATGGTTGCAAAGAGCCTTCGTATCGGCCCCGGTTTTGGTATCGAACTGACGCATATCGCAAGTACGAATGCAGCTGGAATGAGGGAACTCCATGAGTTCCGAACGCATGTACTCTTCAGGTCAAACGGGCCCGCGTCGTCGCAAAGCCGCATTTTAGAAGAGTTCCGAGATGGAAGTCGTGTCCAAGAGCGTTACGAAGTCGAACAGAGTAAACCCTAATATATAATCCGAAAATAGATTACGACACACGCTCACTCATACCGCATGGAACCGAAAACCAGTGCAAAATCCATATGTTTGACACAACAAAATAGACACGAAGGGCTTGGAGACCCATTAGTACAAATACGGCTTATCTACTCTGCATCAAAGACCAATGCCCTAACTTCAATCGACTGCCTCTTAGGTGCCGTTGCGGGGCTAGTTGTGTCCACGAAGGCAGAATGCGGGGTTAACCTGGCTCTATCCTCGCTCGAATCAAAGCACTTGATAAGCGTCACCTCCTCCGGGGTCTGGTCTGACAAATAGTACCAGCGATGACCCGGGTTATACTTCACAGCGAAGGTCGCTCCCTCACGGTCGGGGTAGATGTGGCGCGTCGAGACCAAGTCGTGGTCGACGTTGAGCGAGAAGTAATCAGCGACTGCAAGCGGATTGTGGGCGACAGGGTGCCCGATAGGACGCCAAACATTGATGAGGCGAACCCGCGACTTGAGCAGGCGGTCAGCCTCGTCGGGGAGGTGGTAGCGCACACGGTTCACACTAGCTGCAAACGTCTGGTCGATATGCACTCGTTGCTGTCGAGGTAGTGAGCCTTTGTCCCCAGAGGAGTACGCATAACCTACCACTGGGCCACGGATGTCAGGATCAGCCCCAGGAGTGGTGTCGTAGTTGCGCCTTGGTGTCGTATCAGCAAGCGCGCCAAATTGACGAGCACTACTGCACATACCTGATCGTATGGTCGAAGATGAATACCCTCTTCGCCCCTGTCTCCCTCTTCAGAAGCTCTTCCACCTCCTTGTAGTAGTGCGTCTCGATCGCTTTATCGTCTAAGAAATCCTTCTCTTGACTGACATGCTTGACGAACTGGAACCCCGTCTTGTCGAGGGAGACCGTGTCCTCCTGGCCACGGACATCATGGATGACAACTTCGCGGGGATCGGTAGTAATGTTCGTGCGGGGTACTTCAGGGGGTACCTTGTAGACGATGTTGAAAGGTGGCTCTCCGTCAAGGGTCTCCTTGCCCAAGTAGTTGAGCGTGGTTTGGACGTCGTGAGGAGCGATAACTGCTGCTGTGGCCATTGGATTTCGGTCGCTTGCTGTGCTTATTGTGCTTGGTGTGTCTCACCCTTCCACGCTCCTGGACTTATATGCATCGTTCCAACGGTCGCTTAGTCAGGTGAGCGAAGATGTCATATTCTGCGGAAATGGCGAGTGAACCTCTCATAGGCACATCTTTAGAACAACTTGAACATCTAAGACCTAGTGATCACTAAACTTGAGATACGGTTAGTCAGACGCCAGAGCGTGTAAGCAGCGCCGATTGTGAGGGGCTACTCGCGCTTACGGTACGTCGGTAGTTGGGGTTACTCACTTACTCATGATGCAAACACCGATGGCCGGGTATTGGTGAGCAGACAACGTACAATCGTTATGGCGTATACATTCAGTTCAATTCGATGAATTCTGGAACACTTTCTTGGTGATCACTGATCAGAAGGTGCTTCGGCGGCTGTAAGTCGATTACTCACGTAGTAAAGTGAGACTGTTCTCGAGTGATCTCCACGCCAGATGAATGAGCAAAAGACAATGCACTGGGCTTCTGTGCGCGTACAGTTGCCGCTTGAATATTCACAGAGGTCACGCATGCGAGGCGTACTGTCTCAAGCACGAACTTCTCCAATGTCAAGTATTCCGTCGCCTCCATTCGCTAAACAAACGGTCAGATAATTTTAAAATGAAGAGATACTCAACGGACCTTTTGAATCGCGTCTACGATCTGCGCATAATCGACCCAGCCAGCTCCAACCTTCTCGACAAAGGAAATATTCACGATCACCCGCTGCTTGGACTCTCTCTCCGGTGCATTGACGCCGATGATGACGAATAATACCAGATCTTTTACCGATACTATCTTCCTTCTCGTTGGAAGCGTCACATCCACCTCGAATCCACCCGCCAGCAATATGAGCTTCGGCAAGTCCACCACCACACGCACCTCTACCGCCGATCCGCCTGCCAGCTCAAACGCCTGCACGGCAACGCGATCTATAAGATCATCGACAGAAAAAAAGGCGGCACCATCAGCCTGAACGAGCTGGGTAATGGATTTAGTGAGATGGCCGTAGTGCACTGAGTGCTCGACATCGTCTGATATACCGGCGCGTTCCAGGAATAGGGGAGAGAGATGAAGGTATATCGATAAGGAGATTTGCTGTGACCGTGGTCGCCCCCAACAATCCGAACCGACTTGTGCAGCAAGTTGGAGGGTATCCACGAACACCTTATCCATGTTCATGCTGAAATTGTGGCGTTATTAGCAGGTCGCCGATCGGCCGATATGATTCCAAGACACGAATCAGCCTGCCCTAAACCGTTAGGGGATACTAAGAAGCCTTAACCTCAAATTTCGACGTTTCGAACGGTTATTGGGACACTTTACATGCGTGCTAACAAACACCAACACAATGCTGAAAACTCCCAACGAAGCGCTATCCAGCGCTGCTATCTAGAAAGAGCCACATTCATACGGGGCGTCATTGCACAGCACGAACTGGGAAACCTACATCATCCACGATTCGTGCTAGACGCAAGTCCTGCCAATGCAGAACCATTCGTCTCCGATCTTCTTGCAGCTACATTGTCTGGCAACAAGCCTCGCGACGGGGACTGATGGACATGAACTGCCGGTACAGATCCATTCACCACCGATCTTGTGGCATGAGCAGCCTCGCGCCTGGAGATCTGCCATGGTGGCGGGGGCTGGAGAAGGAGCCGCTTGGGCAAAAGCCGTGAGGGCGAGGATGATAGAGATGATAGATAGTCTGTAGTTCATGTCTCTAGATTGGGGGATTCTGGAGGTGACTGGTTGGACTGGAGCAATGAGCAAACGCTTAAATACGTTATGGAATAGCTTGACCCGTTCTCCAATGCCGATGGACCGACAGAATCCATCATGCGCACCTTTGGAGAAAACAAGACAATGTGGAGGCTAGGGACAATGAATACATAGGCTTACTTAGTTCGCCGGGTGAAGTATGCTGGCCTTCTACGTATGTTTCCATGCGGTAAAGGTGATAGGTTACAGGACGGGGGCATGCTCTCATCTCCTTGGAGCCCGTTGGTGGGCAAAGGCACATGGTACCGACATAGCATAGATTCGAGAGGCCATGCTGTGGGAAGGGTTTAGACGGCCTAGCTGCAGAGCGACCTCTACGGTAGGACGATGCCGTCGTGGCTTTCGGAGTTAATTCCACGACCTAAATGGAAGAAGCGTCCGCTCTGCTGAACGGGGGAAACCTATCAGGTATTTGAATCAATCAAGGTTCCAGCGCGACGAGACCACTCATTGTTGCCGTAATTTTGTCCTATCTACCGAGGATGGGAGAACCATATGGCCAATATGATGGGAACTACCCTGAGGGGCAGGATCGTGCGCCCAACGTTATCTGGTCGGTCAAGAAGCGCGCCGCGACGAGAGGCATCTCCAAAACGACAGGATCGGGCTCACGGTTTCACACCCGCGCTTGGTCTTTCCGTGCGCATGCACAAGTCTGTTACGGCCATATCCGACATGCGACAGTCACACCTGACCATTGAATTCAATCAAAACGATGGATATGTCCCGAAGGTATGATCGAATAAACAATGCATTATCGCAACAGCACGCGGTGAGCGTGCCTGGCCGTGTAGTAGATTATGGTGGTACTCCGCAGCAGCGACAATGCGACGAAGAAGTAAAGGCCCAGCAAGTCCGGATATGTCCTCCTGGAAGTCATAGCGTCAGAACTCTCCCTGGGACAACCCCATCACACGAGCAGGAGTACATACCCCTCATTTTTTCGGCGTTGTTTTACTCGAAGGTGTGTTGGGAGGTGAAGCAGACGGTGCAGCTGCGGCGGGTTCTTCGAAACCTTCCATCCAATTGACTTCTTCGCCTGAACCACCCATCCCAACGAAACGCCTGTTGAATCTACCCAGACGTCCGGTCGTCGCGCCCTCTTCTTCAATACTCTGCTCATCCATCCATACACCAGTGTTCCACATCGGGTTACTCGTCGTGTCGCGCGTCAAGCGAAGCAGTGACCGGGGAGAAGTGGTCCAATGAATGAATGACGAGCCGTCCGACCGTATCACTTGTTGGGGGAATTTGGGGACCATTGGGTTTGGTAGGACAGGGGGACGACGTTTCCAGACATGTGTGCGCCCATACGGCGACGACGAAACAGAGCGAGATTGGAGATGTCCCGCAGTAGAGGAAATGCGAGTGACAGTCCGACAAAACATAGCGAATTCGGGAGAAAAGCGCAATGGCGTTTGACGCTCGACCTCCACTTGAGATCACGTGGACAAGAAGCTCCTGAGGAGTCAGGGATCTAGCTTGAATTTATAATTTGGGAGATAGCATCTAGTCCAGGCGAAGAAGATATTCGAAGTATACACGTCTAATTCCCTCGTATCTTATGATTTATGTTACTCGGATATCGTGATTACTCGCTCCCAGCAAACGGGTAGTCAATATATCCTTTACCACTGGCATCACCAGGAATATAAAATGTAGACGTATCCCACGCGTTTTGTGTCAAGTTCTTCTTCCAGCGTTGTACCAAGTCAGGCTGCCGATACGAGATTATGGTTAGTACATCAAGCTCTACACGACTTGAGACGGGCGACGCACATTAGAAAGGAATAGTTTCCCTGAAGCAATGATGTCCCCCTTCTCTTCTGCCACCTTCAAGGCGAGCTCCCTGGTGTAGCCTCCTGCACTAATGAATGGTCGAGGTGCCCATATCTTCCGAAGAAAGTCGTTCTCCTCATACTCGGGAACCTCTGATTCTGCCTTCACAGTGCCATCGGCTATCCGAGGCTCGACGGCGTGGATGTATGCCAAACCCGGAAAGCGTTGGCGAATTTGGGTGACCAGATGCGAGAATGTAGGCTTGGGGTCTTCCATGCGCATGTTCTGGAATTTGCCCCACGGGCTGATCCTTATCGCAGTCCTATCCGGACCCACTTCCTTCGTAACGGCCTCCAATATCTCCAAGGCAAATCTCGTCCTCCCCTCCACCCCTCCGCCGTATTCGTCGGTTCGCTTGTTCGTAACATCTTGAAGGAACTGGTCAACTAAGTAGCCGTTTGCACCATGGACTTCAACGCCGTCGAAGCCAGCCCTGTTGACGGCGTTTGAAGCGGCTTTGGTAAACTTTTCTACGTACGACTTGATCTCCGGAACGCTCAGAGGGCGAGGAACAACCGATTTCAGTGGGATGTCAGATGCAGAGACGTATGGAAGGCCTTCCGCCGCCAAGATATCTGGGTTGCCCGCTCGACCAAGCGCCCACAGTTGAAGATAGATATACGATCCTTGGGCGTGAACAGCGTCTGTGATCTAAGTATGTGTCGATGAGGAAGTCTATCGCTCGATGAAACTAGGACGCACCTGCTTCCATGCTTCAATCTGCTCGTCGGACCAGATGCCTGGGACATTATCGTACCCTCCCGCTTCTGGCGATATGAAGGTTCCCTCAGTGATAAGAAGTGTACCTCCTGCGCTGCCCCGTTGTCTGTAATATTCGCGAACGACAGGGACGATCGGCGTATGTGCTTTCGTCGCTCGATATCGGGTCAGCGGGCAGAGGGCGATGCGATGCTGGAGGTTCACGCGTCCCACTTGGATGGGGCTAAAGAGGGCTGGGGTCGAAGCTGACATACGGGGGGCAAAGAGGTATGCTAGAAGGCAGATTGCGAACGGGAGCAAGTATCTGAGTAGCCAACATCGCTCGGTCATCCTCGCTTTTATACCGGCATTACCGAAAGTCTTCTATGACAGGTGAGATATTCAATGATGAATCATTCTGGATTCTGGTAAAGGTCTCTCTATAAAGGAACTTTGACCGAGGGCAGTGTGAGTCTGCACCATTTTACCGGTGTGCCACCGTGTGATGGTCGAAATAAACAGTCAGCAAACAGTCAGCAACCTTGGGATTGCGCCATGACGCCTGTATAGTCGCGGGGATTAAAATCTGGAAAGTTATCGACATCCATGGAGACAACACAGAGTACAGAGGTACAGAGTGCTGAGGATTTGGTCAACCCGATGGAGGATGGATTCCTGCCTGGAAAATTATGACATTGCCACAAAGTCTGTGTGACCTATTTTTCAAGTACTTGGATGGTATGTTTACCGCCAGATAACTGGATATGGTCTCCGTTGAAGGGGGTTTCTTTGCCATCGACAAGCAGTGCACCGCCGATAATTGGTGAGCGAAACGCCCCGCTTGTTCCCAATGGTGTCTCCAAGTCAATTTCGAAGACCTTGCCCCCCTCGTTCACTGTCCTCCAACTCGCCGAATAAGCCCCGAGAGGTGTCTCGAACTGGCCTTCAGCTGCGTTTAACCCACTAAGATGAGGCGCGACCTCCCATGTTGCTCCTTGAGGCGAAGTGACTGTCAATCCCAGAACATAGAATGTTAACGCTGACGTAGGCCCTGCAGACCACCCATGGGCATGTGAGACATAGGCTGGGTCGCTGTTGTAGCCCCGATCGCCCCGATACCTACATAAACCGAAATAAGCAACCCGTACGTCGAGGTGATGGACGATGAATACCCTATGCTACCGTCGGAATTATATCCCTCAAGAAGAGTTGACTGCACGCTCAGATTTGTGTAGAGCATGTACCCCCACTCCCTTCGAAGTAGATCCATAGCGAGATCGTCATTACCAGCGATGAAGTGCGCTTGCAACTAACTCAACGATGGGTATGGGTCTGCAATAACCGAACCTATATTGGAGGCTCACCTCGAATCCGCCAATAAACGGGGAGATTGTATTTGGGAGTTCCGGGGCAATCGAACCAATACTGTTCCAATTCTTGGTCAGACCTTGACTGATGCTCTTGTCTTGCTCTGGCGTGTTAGTCACGTTGAATATCACAGCAAGCGAGTTGGCGTCTTGTGGACAAAGTGTCGTTGTCTGATTGTCTTTGTACATCCCAGCAGTTGGGAGCCAGAAGACATCGTTGAATCTCGTCTTGATACTTGTCGCGTTCGCGGCGTAGGCAGTAGACAGGCTTCTGTCGTTCAGGTGTGATGCGAGTTCCGATGCCGTCACAAGGACCTATACTGAATGTTAGCTTGAACAGGTGCAGAAAGGGAAGGACTTACTCTATATAAAAGGGCATTTCCAGCAGCATTGATGCCTCCACCTCCGAGTCTTGCCCAATCTCGAAGTCCAGTAACATTCATCAGCCCAATCCTCCGATCAACCTTCCCTTCCAAGAACGCGACGGCCTTTGTATAATTTGACCAGATAGTTCGTAGCCATTCCACATCACCCGAATATAAGAAGTAATTATCTGTGCTAGAATTCATTCCATTGATCGGGCTTCTGAGGAGTCGTACTCACGTGTACCAATGAGTGTCCACGCATGGTATGTATCGGAGCCTTGTTGGCTTAATGGCGGTCCGGATTCGGGAAGTGCACCGGTAGTCGGGTTGATCGCGGCGAACATAGTCGACAGCGCGTTGCGGGTGGGAATGAGGTCGTTGGTGGAGACAAATTGGCTGGGTACAGCAATTCCCATATCACCTATAGTGGGTTAGTGTCAGTTCGGGAATCCATTGCGATAGTTTTACCTGGCCAGACCGCTCTGACAACGAAATTTGTTTATCAGTAAAGGCACATAGATGAACTTCGCGAAGCGACTTACCGATCGCGTTTCGCACCGTCAACGATGATCGGCCCGCTGACACCCAGAGTGGCATTATTGAACCATGCTATGCGAGGAGTAAGGTAAGTCCCAATGGAGGACACAGGATGAGACTAACTTCCAGCGGGGGCAAAGGGAACTTTCCGCCCAGTATTCAATGGGACAGTATTCGTTTGGATAGTATAAGCCCCGGCATACCAAACTATCGAAAGTGAGTGGACTGAAATTCGGGCGACGTTCGAGACGAACCTTTGGTCAAGAAATCCTTGTCCTTAAAGACAGGGTCGGTAGCAAAGAAGTAGCCCGAATAACTTCGGAGATTCGCAACATGAGGCATGAATGAAATAGCGCAAGTGACATTAGATATCGTCAGGTCGTCATCGTCATTGTTGACAATTGTCAGATATCGAAATCCACCTCGAAGACTCGCGGCGGGTTGCTGCCAGAGCCCTCTTCTAGGCGAAGTGACCCGGAGTACACCATCAAACGTTGTATTCGCAGAAGGAAAGGATGAGTCGTCTGAAGCGTTGCGACGAATGAACAATGGGGATTCAGTGAAGGAGAGGGCAACCGAAGATGAAGACGAGATCTGCTCGAAGTTAATGGAGATTAAGCCGCCGACCTGCGAAGGTGTAGCCACGCATTAACAAGGCCCATTGCATCGAGGTAGTTGAAACAAGAACGCACCTCGACGCCAAAATCAAGGGTGAGCGCACTTGACCCCATGAGCGTTGCACTACCACTACCACCGACTATACGACCTGCATTCTTAACATTGCCGTCCACTTCATGTATCGCAAAAGGGAATACCACTTTCGAGGTTGGGGCGAAGTTGAATTTATCCCATGGTCCTGCTGGGGCCAATGCAACGACTGAAAGAGGCAAAAGTACGACCATCGACGCCAAGGCCCGCAACATTGAAAATACAATGAGACAAAGTCATACTGCTACCAGCTCCTTCATATATGGCGAGTGTCCGCGTCAAAGAAGCAGCGACATCAGACATTCAAACCGGGCCGGCTGGAACGGTCTGCTGAGCGCTGAGCTGGCCTCAACGCACCTCATGACATATGTGGCGAGTGATTCGGTGGTCTCGAAAGTAGCCACGATGGTGTCGGCGGTCCTGCTGAAGGCGGTGGTGGTGGCGGCGATACAAACTGCTGCATGCACACGGAAGCCCCCCGCTCCACTGATCCTCGGGAACAAAGCGTACCACTTTATACAAGACCGAGCAAGACCGTCGACCTAATGTTACAAGACTCTTGCTGTATTGGACGTCCATCTAGACCACATCCGTACCGAGGAAGACTACGATGGAAGGTTGAACAAAGTGGCGTACGCCAGCAGGAGAATGACTTAAGCTCTCGAGCAAGGGGATTCGTCGCTCGCCCGAGTACTGGTCGTTTTTCTTGTGCCAATTTTCAAACTTCCGATGAACATGATTGCTGTCCTTGCTCGAATTTCTCTGGCTGGAAGACATGCCGGGAGACGTTCGGGGTTTTTTGTACGTCAAGCCTCATAGCTTTCAGGTGCCTGCTAAAATATGTTCTGCAGTTATCTTCCTCCTCTTCGCTTACCAGCCGATTGAGGATCTGCCGAGAGCGTTGGAGCGCCTTTACGCCTTGGAGTCCACAGAATTTCATTCATTCTATGCCGGACCGCCTGGTGTCGCCGTGTAAGCACTGAGATATGTAGGCGTAATGGTCCCTCGTGGCATATGAGGAACGATCCTGATGGATATTTCTGAGAGGTAAGATGCGCTTTTGGGGAATTTGTTTATCACGTATCATTCGAAGTAGAAACATGTCCCACATTAGTAGCTGCACGGAAGTAATATGTGCCTACACCATAAGGACATACCTAGACCTTCACTCTACCAGAGAGACGTGAAGCGGCATCTGAGTTCCTTCACTTCGTCGCCCTTTAACCACGGGCAGCATGAATAAGGCTGGAAGTCTTAGTATCTCCACTCCCTCGGGCAACGAAACTTGGAACTTCTCGATCATCTCTACTAAGAGAACTTGCAGCTCTATGAGGCTGAGGGGAAATACGGGCAGCTCGCATCAGAGTTAGATCGCCCGTGGAAGAGGACGTGACCCACGCGAATTGCCATCCAATGCATCCTCGAACGCCGCCAGCTATCATTGTAACGAGTCGATGGCGAGATGAAATGAGTATGTTGAGTGGAACGATGATCTGAGTTCGCTTACAGAACGTCATCCTATCACGACTCGTCGGTGAGACACTAGGAGATGTAAATAGGGGAAGGGGAACGTACAAATTCGCGTAAACTCCAACCGAAGTTTGTTTCTCCTTAGACATCTCGAGAAACCTTTGAGGGTTCCATACCCCTGCATCATCCCCCCAGACGGATGAAACTCTATTGTACCCGCTCACAGATATCACGAAGTCCTGCCCCCTTTTCACAGACAGTTCCTTGACGATTCGTCCGTCAGCGGCAACTACGGGTAAGGCCAAAGGGATTGTATCATCTCGCTCTGCCGTGCGATTCAAAGTAGGAAGAATGGGGTGCAGACGCATGGCCTCCTGAAGACAATGAATGGCGTGAATCGCTTCGGCGTTAGTCGTAAAATATAGAGCACCTTAATCACGGCATTTGTGAATGGCAGAGATTCTAGGTCCGCAGTGGTGAAGGTTGTATTGGCTGGAATCTGTGTTCTGAGTGCCCGAATTTCATCCCTCAATCTCTTTTGGTCATCCGGATGTTTTGCGAGCTCGTATAGCATCCAGCTGAGCGTAAAGGCGACGGTATCGTGCCCAGCCAAGATAATCGTCCTGATCAAGCGATAACAAGGTCAACTTGCAATGAAAGTACGCATCAACCAAGACGAGCTCACCCCATCTGCGACAAGACTTCATCTTCGTCAAGTTGACGTTTAGGGTCTTCGGAGGCGTTGGCCCGAACTGATACCCAACACGAATGAAAACAGCATAGATAATTCGTTGCGAACAACGCACCCAAAACATTCATCAAATCACGTTTAGGTTTAACCTCCGGGAAAGTATCCATCTTCGAGGCATTATGTGTGATCAATTGCTTGGCGACGCTCCGGCACACGTTCCTGAATTGTCGGAAGCGACGATACTCTTTTGTTGGCATATACTCAACGAGCTGGAGGATGGGTAGCGGGATGTAGCGCCACAAAGCCTTGAACAGGATGTCCCAGTTCGGGCGAGAGGGGAGGGTATCGCAACTGCATTGAGGGTAGTGGAGAGACCATCAGAACATTGAAGCCACATAGAGGGAATATTGGACGTACAAGAGGTTGTCCAGACACATGCGTAGCTCGTTCTGTGCATTGTCTAAAGCACCGAATTGGTAATTAAACGCCGCTGGGTGGAGGCTTCATGTATATCTCAGTTTGAAGGGGGACATTAGACGTACCGCCCCCAATGGCATCTAGAGCGGTCCGAGCCAACCAAGGAGTCACATTGATCTTGTTGTCGCCACTCTGGATCTGATCTTTCCATGCGCTAGTCATCTAGAAAGCGTTAGCAATAATCACTCCGCAACTAAATAAACAAGGACTTACGCGTGAAGCAACACCTTGGAATAGTGGGAGAAAGCCTCGCAACTCTAGAGTTCTGAATGCAGGATTCATAACTTTCCGGTGACGTTTGTGCACGTCGCCTGATTGTATTTGGTTCGAGTGGTTAGTCCAATGATTGTGGCAAAGTCGTACCTGAAGCCCAAACAATACCTCTTCCCATCACATTCCGGGTTGATTGTGTGTGGTCGACACGTTTCCCGTAACGATAGCCTGAGGTGTGAACAATATGTTGGACGACCCGAGGGTCTGCTGTGAAGAAGCTTTGTCGCTGCGAGACCATCAATCTCCCGACTATCGGCGATCAGAGTCCCGCACACACCCCATAGCAAGAACTGATGCGGAATGTGGCCCCGTATTCACATATCCAGGCATACTCCAGGTCCCCGACCTGCTCTTGCCTAAGCAGGAGATGTTCGTTCCCTGCGAATCGAGCGGTCCGTCAAATTGCGAAGGAAGGAGGCTGAGCTAAAGTTTTACCAAGTAGCCACGACAGTGTCGGCGGTCCTTTCAGGCGTCTCATGAACAGATTTCTACGGCGGTTCACGAGGACGGCTGTGATACAGAGTGTCGCAGCGACGAACGGATAGAGAAGGAATCCCATTCCTTCCTTTGACTCTCCGAAAGCCTGCCACATTATATACAGAGGCTCACGCCAAGATTAAATCAACTGAACCGAGTTGAGTGTGCCCACCTATTATTACTGTAACACCCTTGCCGTAGTAGACGGTATTATTGGCGTCAATCAGCGCGGCGCAGATGGAATGGTCAAATAAGGTGCATTTGTCAGACCAGGTGGGCTGTTTAAGCTTCTGAGACATCAGCTTCTCACTTGCTGCTCGCTCGTTGCTGGCGTCCGAGCATATATCAGTGTTCGAATTACGTCTCAGTCCGAAGGGGGCTGATCAGGAGCTTTCAGGAGCTTTTAGGAGTTAGTCAGGAGGATGGACAGGGTGGACTCTTCGGCGGTACTCACTCGATTTCCAAATATTAGGTTCCTTCTAGGAGTCCCATGGAACTCCGTGTATTCGAGACGTGTGCAGCCGTAGTTTACTTCACTTCCTTCGCCGAACGAGTCAGGATCTGCTGAGAGCGTTGGTGATATCGGAGCCGTCGGTTTTAGGTGAAGGCACGGCTGAACCTAGTGTTATTGTTGGACATTCCATGCGACCAACCAATTATCAGGCAAGGCTCTGAAATCTTCAAGCTCACCATGTCTATGCACTCTCACGCAAGCAAATTTGACGGCTTCCCGTCGATACGGCCCTAATCCCTAGCTTCCTTACGCCTTGGAATCCACAGAACTTCATCTACTTGATGCCAAAGAAGGCTTCGACGCACCGGTGTCCTTCTTTGCGGGCTGATCCGAAGGTCAATGTAATATATTGTCTGCAGCATCTGGGGTACAGCGCGTTTGCGGACCGCGTTCCACGCGTTTATGGGACCAAATTGGAGATGCGAGCAGCAGAACATGAATTTGTTCCAGAAAGGTCAGTCCAAAATTCGTCCCATATCACCGATCTAACTTCCTAGAACATCAGGGATGAGGACCTCCACGAACGAGACACTCACGCGTTCAGTAACTTGAACGAAACTGTACAAGTAGAGTACGGGGAAATGTCTGGGCGTTTGGGGCCCGAGACTGATAAGATCAGATAAAGAAGGGAAAAATGACGCATATATTCGGTCAGTTACGGTTGTGGAGGTCGAGGTCGGGCAGGATGGGACGAATTGATCTGCCAGAGTTTCGCCACCCCTGGGAGAGTGTTGCCCTGTGAAATCTGCTGACCGATTGTAAGGCTTCCTTCAGCCGTATTTAAACCCCCAGACTGAGGGCCCTGCTCTCTGCCATCGACCACCATGACCTCTGTCATCGATCCCAAGACCATAGGAAAGCCAGTGCGGCAGCGGCGACATATCAGAACCCTGACCGGTGTGTTTCGGCCATTGATTGGGTACCTCTACGATGCTGACGATGTCGCGATTTAGGATATACACCCGAGACTGATGCATCTGGAAAGGAGAAATGGCCAAGGGGCGACGAGACGGTCTGGAAGACCAACATGAGAGGCGTCGATGCAGGTACGTCGTTGTCGTCGTTGATCAGGGGCGGAGAAGGGGCTCCGCGTTGAGCGCCCAATGCCGCCATGCGCGCCCATTCACGCTAAATCTTATCTATAGACGTTGGCGACATCACCAAGTCTGTCGTGAACCATGTTCAGACTTCTCTTGCACGTCAAGCATACAATCTCGGTCTGTAGACAACGTCTATCGCGTTGAGGCTTGTACCTGACTGTCAAGGCCTTTAGACAACCTCGGTGCATACCAGGCCGCTGCTCTGTCCGTTCGGGACAACATGCTTGTCAACTGGAACGAAACCCAGCTCCACTATACGCGCAAGGCTCCCAAGAGGGCGTATTATTTATCTCTGGAATTCCTCATGGGCAGAACCCTTGACAATGCTGTACGTATCCTGCCCTGAAATCACGACTACTAAAGCTGATAATTGTCTGCAGCTACTCAATCTCGACTTGAAGAGTCAATACAAAGATGGTATCAATCAACTGGGATTCTCCTTGGAGGACCTCCTCGAGGAAGAACGTGATGCCGCTCTTGGTAATGGTGGTCTTGGCCGATTGGCGGCTTGCTACCTTGATTCTTCCGCATCCCAAGATTTGCCCGTTTGGGGATACGGTATGGCGATCGCTTCTGCGAGTGTCAAACTGCTGCTTATGTCTCTGTCGGTTAGGTTTACGATACAAATATGGTATCTTCCAGCAGTTGATCTCGCCTGAGGGCAACCAACTCGAAGCGCCTGACCCATGGTTGGACAACCAAAACCCCTGGGAGGTATGTTTCCATGTGTTGAGTGGAAACAACGCGCATATATCTGAACGTTTTACGCGTTTAGTTGCCTCGAATTGATGTCAACTACGAAGTTCGTTTCTACGGCCAGTCCGAACGACTTTCAGAAGGCCATGGGCGTGCGTTGTGGACGGGAGGCCAGGAAGTGTTGGCTGTCGCATACGACGTCATGATTCCTGGCTGCAACACCAGGAACACCAACAACTTGAGGCTATGGGAGAGTAAGCCCAAGCGAGGATTCGATCTGAACTCCTTCAATGGTATGTTGGTAGATATAGGCATGTCTTTGAATACTAATGAGGATATGTTGTTTAGCTGGAAATTACGAGGGCGCAGTCGAATCTTCAAACAGTGCTGCAGCCATCACCTCCGTCTTGTATCCGAACGATCATACTACATGTACGCGTTGCTTGAAGCCTGATTTGCCGATTTGCTCACACTGAACATAGTCGGAAAAGAGCTTCGTCTCAAGCAGCAATACTTCTGGACTGCTGCTTCTCTTGCCGACATCATTCGTCGCTTTAAGAACCTTGGCAAGTCGATCAACGAGTTCCCCGACTGTGCGTAATCTTGAGATTCCCTCTGACCTTCCCCCTGACGTGTACAATAGATGTGGCCATCCAACTGAATGACGTGTGTTGTCCTGCTAATTTGAAACATTGAAGATATTGATGTCAAGGAATGCTCAGACGCACCCAACCCTTGCTATTCCCGAGCTCATGCGTATCCTCATTGACGAAGAGGACCTCGACTGGAATTTCGCTTGGCAAATTGTCACTAACGTATTCTTCTTCACTAACCATACCGTGTTGCCGGTGGGTCACTCGCGCTTGAATGCCAGAAGCAATCTTGATAAAACGTCCTTTGTTATAGGAAGCGTTAGAGAAATGGCCGGTTCCGTTGATGGAGCACATTCTACCCAGGTGAGGACGTTTCATCTTTCGGGCATATTGTATATATTAACGAAATCTTCTGCAACCAAGGCACATGCAAATCATCTATGATATTGTAAGTTCTGAATCATCCTGAATCATTGGCTTGATGACCGACCATATCTTTCACGTAGAACATGTAAGTGATATGTTGATCCTGCCTTAGAAAGCAGTGTCTAACACCAACACCTTCGCCGCTAGGATCTTCCTGCAAGGTTGGTTATATCGGCAGAAATCCCTAACGCTTTGACCAATCTTTCATTCAGCCGTCGAGAAGAAGTTCCCCGGCGACCGCGAAAGACTTGCTAGAATGTCTTTGATAGAAGGTAAAGCTACCTCGCATTCGATCCTACGCTTTTAACAATCTTTCATCAGAGGGTTTCCCTAAGCAGGTCCGCATGGCTAACTTAGCTTGCATCGGTTCGTAACACTTTCGGTCACCAGTATTTGCGTTAGCCTGACATCTCGATTATAGGTAGCAGAAGAATCAATGGTGTTGCGGAGGTAATTATATTCGTTATTTCTCCGTTGCTCCGTATTAACTGGTGTACACCCAAGCTTCACAGTAAGCTTGTGCAAACTACGATTCTCAAGGACTTCGTAGAGTTCTTCGGTGTCAGCAAGTGCGTCCTGCTTTGTTTGCTTTGTTGAAGTATGCGGGCTGACATGTTTTCTAGGTTCGGCAATGTGACCAACGGAAGTACGTATATGTTCGCCTCATCATATCACAGATATTGAGCATCCTTCATAGTCACCCCGAGACGTTGGCTCGACCAGGTCAGCAGCATTCGTGTATCTCTATAACTGCCCGCTAACATGGTTGTAGTGTAACCCAGAATTGAGCAAGCTCATTTCGTCGACCCTCAAGATCGACAAGAGTGTCTGGCTCAAGGATTTGTACAAACTCAAGGATCTCGTTAAATATGCTGCAGACAAAGGCTTCCGAGCGGAATGGGCCGCAATCAAGCAGCGCAACAAGGAGAGATTGGCTCACCACATCGAGACGACTCTTGGCTTCACAGTTAACACCAATGCCATGTTCGATGTACAAATCAAGGTATGTCGGTTAGATTCCAACCCTACTTACAATGCTTGACAATTGTTGGCTACTAGCGTCTCCATGAATACAAGGTGGGCGACGGGCAGTGTTATTTTCCCTGTAGCTACGAGGCTGATGCCTTTCATAGCGTCAAACATTGAACATCCTCGGTGTTATTCACGTAAATTTCCCCCGCCTCGTCCATCCTATGGATCCTGATGTCTGCCGTTCAGAGATACCTCGAGCTGAAGGCCTTGACCCCTGCACTAAGGAAGAAGGTCAACCCCAAGGTCGTATTCTTCGCTGGAAAAGCTGCGCCTGCTTGTGAGTAGCGGCTTTGTGTAGTACCTTTCGTTACTGACTTGGATTCTATCATATCAGACTACATCGCGAAACTGGTATGGTCCATTCATAAGTTTACCTCCACTCGAACTCATAGTTTTCAAGACAATTCGCCTCATCGTTAACGTTGCTCGCGTTATCAATGCTGACCCAGAGACCAAAGGTAGTGCAAGCCGTGTCCCGGGATGCGTTTCCCCTATTAACTCCAACTCCTATCAGATTACTTGTCTCTTTACTTCTTGCCCGATTATTCCGTATCGCTGGCTGAAGTACTCATCCCGGCGTCTGATATCAGCCAGCATATTTCTACAGCTGGTACTGAGGCCTCTGGAACATCCAACATGAAGTTCTGTCTCAACGGCGGTTTGCTTGTGGGTACCGTCGGTACGTTTGTTCCTTTGTTTGTTGCGATTACCTACTTATACTGGTCCCAAGACGGTGCAAACATCGAAATCGCTGAAGAGGTACATATTCTGGCATTTCGCAGATGTATTACTCACTTTCTAAATGTTGTAGGTTGGAGAGGAAAATGTTTGTGAGTAACTTAGTTGCTTCACGGTGGTCTTTTAGTTTGACATCACGATATGTAGTCTTCTTTGGCCATCTTACTCCTGCCGTCGAAGACCTTCGCTACCAGCATATGTACCATCCTGTCCCTGTTGATGAGGCCTGCCCACCCCTTGCCAACGTTCTCAACCAGATTTCTGGCGGCCTCTTTGGAGACGGTGGTGTGTATGAACCGTAAGTCCATTTCCCCGACCCACGTTCCTTCTTCATCTTGACCTCCTTCACATTTAGCCTTGTCAACACCATCAGGCAAGGTGATTACTACCTCGTAACAGACGACTTCGACTCCTGTGAGCTTCATTACGCTCGAACCAATGAAAAGACCACTAATCGTTATCGTCTATAGACATTCGAGCTCTTGCCATGGTTGACGAGGCTTACTTGGATCGCGATGAATGGGTTAAAAAGTCTATCTGCACAACTGCCAATGTACGTGCCGTTTCAACACGTTGAGCTTCGTTTCCTGACTTGTTCGATAGATGGGCAAGTTCAGTTCCGACAGAGCCATCATGGATTACGCCCAAGAGTATTGGAACCTGGAGCCAATTCCCGTTGGAAAGGATTAACCTCTTCGACATGCACATAAGTAAACTCTCGCAAAATATAACTGTACATGTAGTATATCGTGTTGTAGAGCAACTTCCGAATAGCAAGCGAGAATTATATGCGACATATCCTTGGGAGTTGATATGTGTGTGCATTATATAGGCCGCCGATACATGTGCATAGAGTAAAGCGAAGCGTTTTATCCGAAGGAGAAAGGAAGCGTATGGGACATGTATATGTTAATGATGAAGCACGGGTTGCATATGATGGCAAAGCACGCCGCGTAAAGGCCGTTTGGAACAGCGTACGAAAATAGAGAGTGTGAACGAAAAGCCGAATGCATAACTAAAGCGTCAGCTGAAACCAATGTCATATCCAACTAGATGATAACGGGTATATCAACACCACCAATCAGATCCACCAACTCCTCAAACCTATATCACTACTGCTCTGTCTATGATGGAGCAGCTTGCACGGGGCTGACCTCCGCTGTTCGCTCTGGAAGATACGCCAAGTTCAGCCGCCACGTAAATAACAGAACGGCGGTGAAGTTACCTTCCGAGTTAACATCAGCACGTTCCTCGTCCAATGCCTCAGCCACAAGGGGCACATCAGTCTCTGGCACATCAGCCATCACCTCCTTGACGGAGACTTGTGTAACATCTGATAGGTACGAGGATTAGGATGGAATGAACAGAGGACTATTTGGATGATCTACCTTCTGTATCGGCGCCATCATCTTCACCATCGACCGGCTCCTCCGGCGCGGCAGGCGCAGCTCCATTACCATTTGGGTGTGTCTCAGTGCTCTTGTCCTCTGTCTCATCCGTTGCCTCGGTGACCTCCTGAGATTCTGACGGTTCGCTTTCAACCTTCGAGTGTGCCACTTCGGAGAGTGTTGCCGCTTCGCTGGAGCTGAGGGCGATCTGCGGTCCGGGAGTCTCGCCGGCAAGCACTACTGCTTCAGGAGCTGGGGGTAGGCTGCTCGAGGCATCGACTTCCTCCTCAGCAGGCAGTTCGTGTATCGAACGTTCGCTAGCCTTATCAGTTTGGGTGTGTATAGGCTCGAGTGATGCCCTCCCATCTTCAACGTTCGAGTCGGCTTCAACGATGGGTACGTCTGGTAAGTCGGTCGAGGAAGATGAAATTTCTGGCTCTGAGGGAGAAACCGCGGACGAATCGATAGGTACAGCCTCGGGAGTGATTGCCTCAGAACTTGAGACATCTTCTGTCCGAGGTAATTCAGGAGTGGTTTCTTCAGTTGGTACCGACGCCTCAGGTTCTTGGGCGAGCTCTGCTGGCGCAAGTTCAACGAAGGGCTCAGGCTGCGGCGTGGCAGGTGCAAGATCGACTACAGGCTCTGGAATACCAACAACCTCAGGCTCCTTTGCCGAGGTCTCTGTCTGCTGGACTGATGCCACCTCTTCTGGCTCTTCTGTAGACTCAGCCTCGATGATTGGCTCTGCAACCGAGGCCACAGGCGCCGCGGCAACATGTTCAGATGACGCCTCACGGGGAAGTTCCTCCACAGGTTCGTCTTCGACAATTGGTTCCTCGACCTTGGTGGGTTCAGCGATCGTCGGCTCTGGGGTGTCCACCGACTGGGAGATGGCTTCAATGGGGGCTTCGGTGAGTTCGATAGTTGCAGGGACGAGGGGTTCAGGAGCAACGACGGCTTGTGAGTCTTCCTTGGTAGGTACAGGCTCGATGGTCTCAGACGGCACAGGAACTTCGACGGGGGCAGGGGCATCCGCGGTGGCTTCCGCTACGACTAGAATCTCACTAGCGGGAATTGGATCAGCATCCACAGAGAGTACGGGCTCAGGAGCCGGGGTGGCAGCCTCAGGAACCTCATCAGGTTTGGCTGGCTCGCCCGCTGCAGCCACAGCTGCGGCTCCGGATGCTAGAGCAGCAGCAGCGACCAACGAAGCGCCCGCCGCAACACCTTTGCCACCATCAAGCGATTTCCGCGAGTCTAAGGACTTCTTAGGCTTAGGCGAAGGTACTCTAATCTTCGGGGCTTCGGCAACCTTCTTCGCTTCAACCTTCTCGATAGTCTTGATCTTCTCGGTCTCCTCGGGTTCCTCAGCCAATATCTCGCCCATCTCGCCGACTTGCGGGCTCTTCGCGGACTTCTTGCCCCGGCTACTCTTAGCCTTCGTGGGGGACGACACGCTGTCTATACTTTGACGGGAGTTCGATCGGCTGGACGTGAAGATGCTGAATCGTTTACGTGTAGCGGAGAAAGTACCGGAGAAATCCGACTTGAATGAAGGTCGGGGAGACGAAGCACGAGGCTTAGCAGACTCGGTAACTTCAGGTTGAGTTGGTATAGCCGGTGCGGGAGGTTTCACAAACGCCTGCTCCAAAACGAGCCACTCGACCCGTTTATCGTTAGCAACCAAGCCTGGAACTGACGCTTTTAGTTTGCAAAGAACGAAAGTAGGCCAATCAGAGGAAATAGGGTCTAGCAACGCGTCGCTCCAGAAGTCAACGAACGCTTCGTCGACCTGGATAATCGACGCGGCCTTCGAGCGTGAGACCACCTTCACCTCCGCCGATTGAGGAGTAGGTCGGATTTCAAGAGATCTTCGGCCACGGCCGGGGTTTGGACTAATTCTCGATTTCTTGCTTGCCTTCTTAGGAGTGGTGACTTCGACGTCCTTGTCCAAAAACGCCAAAGAAAGAGGTGCAATGTCAGTCGACAACTGGAACCCAGCGGAAGAGAATTCTGCCCAATCAGGAACTTTGGACGGGGATGTAGGCTCATCTGTGACGGCACGATTGTGTACGTTGGGAGGGTTGGGGGCAGTCTTGGTCTGCTGGTTCCTTTCGGCGGCACCAAGAGAGATAGAGCGCTTGCGGGATCCAGGGAGGAGAGAATCAACCAAGGGTACATAGTCCTTATCGACTGGGATGAGGGACAACAATCGAATGGTGTCCTCAGCGAAGATCTGGTTTAGTTGAGGCGCCGTCACGCTTTCCGTCATCGCTGCCTTCTTGAGTATCTCCCAAAGACTTTGCTGTTCTCCAGGGGCATCCGCATCGGCATCCGCCTTGAAAGCTTCAACAAGCAAGACGAGTGGGTGGAATGAGGATCTCGCGATATCGGGCGTAGGCGTCTGGGTTTCGATGCGAACGAACAGTGAGTTGAAGCTGCGAGTGGAGAAACGAGGGCGGGGGAGTAGGTCACCGTCAGCGGGTGTCTTGCTAAAGGGGTATCGCTCAACAAGTTCGGTAAGACGCGTTGGCATACGAAGGCTGCGGTTTTCATCCCTATACGAATCTCAATATATATATCACCCGGAAAGAATGGTCAACTATACCTGATGTACGCCAAGAAGAGATGCTCTAGGATGCGGCCTGACCGTTCCCAACGGGCATAGAATGATGCCCAGTCATCAGTAGCCTCCACTCTCGGTATGCTAACCAACCACAGGCCAAACAGCTTCGAAAGTTTGCTTCCGGAGGTGCTGTTCGCCTCGGTGTGCGCAGCCAGAGATGTCATTATTTCGAGTGTGGATTTCAGGGCATCTAAGTGGGCCTTTGGTAGCAAAGGTACGAGTTGATCAGAGAACGCGCCGGGAGGGTACTTGGATGCCCGTTCAGCTTGCAAGAAGTCCTTGTACCAGGCTTCATTCTTGCCGAAGGCTTGTCCTTCAAGCTTCAGGTGGCGCAACCCCCAGCGCAGTACGGCCGCAACGTCGTGCGGGGAACGGGTAAATTGAATTTCGGACTCGAACGCGGATTGAGGAGACGATGAGGTTGAAAGGAGCGTGTTTTTGGAGGCATTGGGAGATAAAGAATGTATGAAGAGGGATATGAGTCTCCGTTGAACGTCAGGCGAAGCCGAATACCAATGCGGATGCATGATTCCAAGGGTTTCGAGGCCTGTAATCAGCCAAAACAATAAGGAGGTGAGAATATAGATTCTTCTGGCATGACCGACGTACCCCGAGCAGTAATTGCTTGACTAGAAGCGCGAACTAAAGTAATGCTTTCCTGGGGGGTCAACCTTCGTTCCCCAATAACGCTCTCTGAGAGCAAAATCTGAGCATCGGGGTCCGCGTCGAAAACCGAGCCCATAGGACGGGAGTTAGACTCGTCCTTGGGTGTAGAAGATAGATTCAGGGACAGCTGGAGAAAGTCGCCATGTTTCTGAGCAGAAGGCGAAGTGGGAGAAGTAACTGTTGGGGTGTTGGACTTTGCCTTGAAAAGACTGAACCCGAGGTCTCTCTCCTTTTCCTTCTCTTTGCCATGGCCGTTTTCAGAGAATATGGCGGCCGTCGGTGACACATTCGGCGACACAGCCTCAAACTTCCCCTCCAGCAACGACGACTCGGAAGCGCGACCGTTGGACTCCTCCTTCTCGTCCTTCTTGCGACCAAAAACCTTGGACAAGAAAGAGGGCATCGCGATTTCGAGAAGATGGTGGTTTGGCGTCAACTATTAAACTTGAATTTCGTCAATAGTCTTTCCAAGGAACGGCGCCCTGGAACTCACAAGCCAAAGTCTATGATATGGAGGACTTGAACGAATTTGAAGTGGATGTGACAGGTTCAACCATACCGTGTGGGAAAATTCGCCAAGCACAGAGCAATCATACTATGGGGTCGTGAGAAAATTCCGTGCAGTCTCGTCGTACCACTAAATCCACCTGAACTGCTGCCTCCGTTGTGGCTTCCAGTGCGCGAATCAATCGGTTTCCATTGAAAGCTAGGCTGACATTCACTCACCAGATAAGGCACGGCAGCTAAACTTAACATTTCATTAATGTCGATGTCCAGACTTAGGCCTCACGTAACTAAGCCACGAACTTCATATTGTCGTTGAGCCTGGTTCTGCACTTCTGTGTGCGCAACATGGACGTTATCCCGTCAAAATCTCTGTAGCTCACTGCTCTGATAATGCGCAACGACGACGACGACGACGACAGACGATATCCGGTCATCCTCCGGGTCATCCGTGTACATTGCAAGTTAGTCTCTCAGTACTATCTAAGTGCCATCAAGTATGGCCAATACTTATACCGTGGGTCCACCCGTTGACGTATTTTTCCCATGGGAAGTGCTCGATTCTTTGCGCAATGGGTGCGAATGTTTGCGTGGATGACCACACAGAAATCCTTCCATGACACCTGGCAAGCCTCGAGTGTCGGTGCACTTCTACCATTTCATGGACTCTAGCTTCTCTCATTGCAGAAGACTTCAGCTAGCGTTACGATCGCACTTCAATCGAAGGGGTTGAAGGCGACCCGCAAGTGTCCGCTCGGAATCCGTTATTTTGAAGACACTACAAGCATGAGACGATGCTTACATTGGCCCCAACACAAACCAGCCCCCGCTTCGGCCTCCTGGTACTCCCCTGAGGGTCCTGTCCCACTAGAAGGAATGCCCACCTTGGAAATGCCTACCTTGGAAGCTTAACCCCTTGTACTTTGTGGATCCAGTGCGCTCGTTCGCCTCCCCCATCATAACCTTGATAGCGGCGTTGCAGCATGACCGTGCTTACTCAGACATTCGAACGCCCGTATAAAATGGGGAGCCTTGCTATTCGAAAGGCTATGAATCGAGCAATGAGCTTCCTTCTCTACTCCTTTGCAGCCGCAGTCTTTTGTACCCTTGCGGCCCTCTTCAACCGCCGCAAAAATACCTTTCTCAAGCGTTTGAAAGGCCCACCGATAACGTCATGGTTACTTGGTAGGATACTTGACATCTGCTGTGAACCGAAGTACTGATTAACTGGCAGGAAACGAACACCGTTTACTTGGACAGAGCCAGGTTGGTGACTCGGAATTTGCCTGGTTACGTGAATACGGTACCACATTTCGCATCAGCTCTTGCTACGGGGTAAGTTTCTGCACTTGAGCACCACAGCGCAGATAACAGACGATCTAGTAGCGATCAACCTTCTTCACAGCGGACCCTCGCGCGATTCAGCATATTATTCATACCTCGGGCTACCGTTACAAGAAACGTGCCGATGTCACTCAAATGAACCGCAATATGTTCGGGAGAGGTATCCTTTGGGCATCGGGTATGGATCGATCAGCTACATTGATTTGATATTCAACCTCTTTCATCTTGTAGGGAATGTGCACAAGCGCCACAGGAAAGTTGTGAATCCAGCGTTCGCAGCTCAACAGTTGCGAGGCTTCCTTCCGATATTCCAAACTGTAGGTTCCCGTGTAAGTGCATGTTTGTTCGGTCATTGTCTAAGTATAATGATGATAAGCCTCCCAGATGACCAGGAAGTGGAAAGATCAGATTCAGTGTGGGGAAGGTAGATTCAATATATCCTCTTGGATGGCCCGGTGCACTTTAGACGCTATTGGAGAAGGCATGTTAAGCATCCCTCCATGTTAGACGTGCTCACTTACCCTTACCCAGCGGCGTTTCATTACCACTTCGGGGCTTTGGACGACGCGCAGAACGAATTATCTAAGTCTATGGATAACCTCTTGTACGTTCAATGTTCTCACTGTGTATGATCGACATCTTCCAACGGCCCTTTGGATGATCTCATCCCCACTCGCATCTCAGTGCCACTGCCCGCGCCTGCCCCCCGAAATGGAACGTCCTTTTCAAAGCCTTATGGCGCTACATACCCACACCCATTCTCAGATTCGTTGAGTATATACCAACGAAGGAGTTTCTCCGATTCCGACATTTCAAGACTGTGTCCCGGAGAGTCGCTAAGGAACTGGTTACTCAGAAGATATCAAGTATGGAAATTACCCCAGAGAATGAACCCCGACGGGATTTCATGAGTGTATTATGTGAGTTATCCACGATGTACTATATATTTCCTTGCTTATCTATTATTTAGTCCGGGCTAACGCCTCGGAAGACCCTCAGTACCGACTGGACGAAGACGAAGTATTGTCACAAATGGGGTGAGTTGGTTGTGATCGATATACGCTTTACTTCTAAGACACTCGTACCACCCAAACAGGACAATTATCTTAGCCGGACACGATACTGTGGCGTCTTCGCTGAGCTGGATGTTATACGAGCTCGCTAAACATCCGGACGACCAGAAGAGGATAAGGGAAGAGATTCGAGCACTGCGAGCTCAGCTCCCAGCTGAAGCAGCCTTCACCATCGCCGACCTAGATTCCTTGTCATACACCAATGCCACCATCAAGGTATGGTTGGGTTTCCGACACATTCTGTCTCTGAGTATGGGCTCAAAGACATTTACCCAATTGACTCTCTACAGGAAACCCTGCGTTTTCACCCTATTCTTCCTGCAATATCCCGCACGGCAGAGGAAGATGATATAGTTCCTTTGGCTGTGCCTGTAGTCACTAGTGACGGGCAAACCATCAAGGAACTCCATGTAAGTAAGGGCCAGGACTTCTCAATATCTATCTGTGGATACAACAGACTGCGGTCTGTCTGGGGGGACGACGCAGAATCCTGGAACCCTCAAAGGTTTCTCGAGATGTCGAAGGAGAAACAGACTACGGTTGGAGTCTATGCGAACTTGTGTGTCCCCTTTCCCCTTGAAATCCTCTACCTCGCTAAAATGGTTTCAACAGGATGACCTTCTGTATGTGAACCCAAATTATCATCCATCTGCCCAACCTGCTCATGTCGTTTCTCCCTTGCAATCATAGCTAGCGGCGTTCGCGGATGTATTGGGTGGCGTTTCGCGTGAGTGCCCTTCTCCCGTATGCTTACTTCTGACATCAGTGACATCCATTCTATCGCAGCGTCATAGAGCTACAAGCTCTCTTGGTAGAAATAATGGAAAAGTTCGAATTCTCGGTGCCCGAGGGCGTGGAAATATTACGGCTTCCAGCCGGATTCATGGTCCCTGTGGTCAAAGGGAAAATGAGCGAAGGAACTCAGATGCCGCTTCTCGTTTCTTTGGTAGAGTGAAGGTCAAGAGTTGTTATTTTCATACCAATGTACGATGTTTGATCCAGAATGAGCAACTTGAATGCCTGGCCGCGACGTGACAAACAGCGAGAACGCTGCAGCGCTCGGTGCGTTCGTCCAGATTTAGAAGTCCAGGCGGGAATCCGGCTGTCATAGTGACCGCTTTTCAGTGCAGTCACCAAACCGCTTACTGCGAACTTCGTCGAGCAAACATCTTGAAAACATGGCGATGGTAACACACGCTGTTTGGGTGTCCGAAACCCATGTAAGCGGCTCTCTTTGCCGTACGACCAAGACTTATAACGTAACAAGTTTCAGGCCCGTGACTTCGTCACGCATGGGACTCAGGCTTCCATGATAGATATTCATTTTGACCGTAGGTTCATGGCCTGTTACGCATCACAGCACATGTTCACCCAAGAAGAGGTTCACAAACCCGTGTAACACATTACACTGTAAGGTTGAGGTTCATGTTCACTGGGATTTTGGGGTTAGTCAGGGTGTTTATGGCCACTTTAGACTACTGTTATGATGTTCAATGAAAACTGAAGTTATATGAGACACTTTAGAGCCCTCAAATTTGCCTGAGATAATTTATTCGATTTTTAGCCATTTTCCGGAAATATGTTACTAAGCCCCTAAGAGGTTCACTCGCCAGTGTTACCTGTTACGAACACCCACCGAGGTTCAGTTCACACGTGACCGTTATGTGTTACTGAACCTACAGTCGAAATGATACAGTAATGCAGAAAACTCAAATCAGAGACTGTGGCTTTGGGATACATATATGAATCCCATTCATTGAATACATCTTAAAATCTTGTTGATGTCCTGTGTCTTCAGTGCATGACAATCCCTTCCACCCTCCACTATTCCCCTGTTCTAGTGCTCCCATTGAATTAGGGGTGGTGTTCACTTCATTTATCACACAATTTCCCTCAGATTTATAGTTAAGAATAACATAAAAGGACATGGAATAAAACTCTGCTCTGCTTAAATTGGATGTATTTTGAGCGGTAAGTGTGTCTCATAGAAAAAAGGGGTTGGGAGTCATTGGGGCAGAGTTTGTAGGTACATATTATTTTTCATAATCCCTCATCTTTACTATACATCTAATCTGCTAACCACTCACTTTGCCTGGAAATATTACATGAAAGCTTGAGCTAACATACATATCTACCCCCCCTAAATTGCTCTAAGGGATATCAGTCATTGTTATCAACAATGGTCAGAGTGTTCCCCAATATTATTCCAAACCACTGTGACAGCTTTTGCTATGCAGCCCCTGGCAACTGACCATGGCCTGTTACAACTAAGCTACCCTAAGGGCTGATACATGCTATACAGTCCTGATGTTTACCTGTTCTATTTGCTCAGTAACACTTTCATGGAACTTGGAGATTTGGAGATTTGGGAACTCAAGAAAAGAGTCCAACATACTTGCATCCTCTCAAAATTGCACAGCTTCATAATAGGGGATGTCAGAGTTGGTGTAACAGTCAAAACAAAATGGTCAAAACATTATGATTCCACCAATATGAAGGATTCAGCTCTGACACCCCAATAATGCAACCGTGTTATAGGCGCATCCAGGAGGCCCCTTAGGGGCTACTAACAGGCGTTCCGGCTACAGACTCAGGCTGCACATACATGCGGCTACACAGACATGTCACAGACTTTGGACTTGTACATATTCAAGCACACTGTACTTATTCCTACCGGACTCATTGCTGTTTTGTGAACGCACAGACGGCACATGTTCCCCAGTATATATTTCCTGTACCGTACATGCAGTTACCTTTAGTTCGAATATTAGTTCCTTTCCGTACTCGCACCTCCGCCTCTACTGAGGTCTCTCCTTCGCATCCCTCGCCTCCGCCCATACCCTCGGTACCTGTGTAGGACCTCCTCTGGAAATACAGGGCATGCAAGAGTGTGGGAGGCGCAGCCAGTAGCTGAAGCCAAGCCTGTACGTCCTTGCTCCCTTGTTTCCCCCCGCGCCTCTACGTGGAACTGCACACCCATGGTCCATGCATCCCCGAGTCCCTCTGCAAGTGTGGCTCTTAACAAACTGAAACAAAAGAATAAGCACTAATTCCAGCTTAGGGGCAGGCTTGTTAGTCCATAGCATACCATACGGTGTAATTCAAAAGTAAATAGCTTTATGTAAGCTGTGGCTGAAAGCAATAACAATGTGACATCCACGGTGGTGTAGATTGGTGACTCAGTGAGTATGTATACAGGCCAGATGTGATATACAGTGAAAACAAATGGAACAACAAAGACCTGCTTGCCACAGTGCATTCTTCAAAAGTTTGTTCTCTGCAGTAACAGTTTCAGGTGGCAAACAGCTTGGGGAACTCAGCATATCTGGTGTAGTGTTTTGACTGTTTTGTTTCAACCATTATGTACACTAACTCTGACAACCTCTAATTATGCAATTGTTACATTGTAAAACCTCCCAATTGTACTACCACAAAATCATAGTTAAGTTGTAAGTCACTCTGAGAGGTTTACTGTATAGATGTGTAAATGGGTACTGAATACTCTCATCTAACTTCCAACTTCCTCCCCTCTCCTCCATACTCCCTTTCTCTCCTCTATCTCTCCTCTCCTCTTCTACTCATACTCCCTGATCTCCTTCTACACTTGAATACTATACTCCTATCCCACCCCACTACCATCAAAATCCAAGTTATTTGATCATGATCATCTTTTGCTTTCACCACCCCTGCCACCCCTGTTTTCTGACTATCTTAAAGATGTTCTACTACATAAGCAGCTTACTTATCATGAGTCTTGAGATTCAATGGGAAGAGTTAATTCTGATCCCTTAACTTGACTGATAGTTGAAATATTCTACGCAAAAACTCTGAAGTACTAATGTCTTTATTGCATACTTACAATAAGTTGTGGTCATTTACAGTTGAGTAGTTCCTCCCCTATTTCCTATTTGATTCATATTCAATGCATTAGTAGACTTTTCACCCTGATTTACATTGAGAGGTGTTGGTTGTCATTGTTAATGCTTGTCAGAGCACTCCCCATGGTTATCTACAGCCACTGTGTCCCAGAACCCTCATTTAGTAAGGACCCCTACCAACACTCTGTATTCAATACAGTAAATCTGCCATGAAACTTGCATGCATGCAAGGACATTTCTCAGGTATGCTAATCCCTTCTTATTAGTCATATCTCTTACTTGTAGTCTTGTATAGCTTAGTTTGCTACTCCCATAGGTACAGATTTTGGGTTAAAAAATAGTAACCAAGATACCTCAAAGTTCAATCTCAGACATTACAGCTGTAGATAAATGATCAAAGCTCCAATTGAATGCTAACTGCATAACCCTACAGTCTACATTTTGTTGATATCCTGCTTCAATGTTTTGATGAATTGCTCAATCTGAGTACTTGAAGCTTATTTGTTAAAGTATGTTATGCAGAGGGAGAGAAGACATGATGCCTTTACGTCTACCCTTATCATAATCTGGTAGCATTGACAGTCCAGAGTTTCAGTCTGGTAGTCCTTGTTCCCTATTCCCTATTCATCCCCTGTCCCCCTGTGTGGCTCTGAGGTGAGCGCTCTTTTTTGATTATGTAACATTAAATTTGATTACATAACATTATGGACCATTGTGTTTTAATAATATACAAGTTTCAGGCCCGTGACTTCGTCACGCATGAGACTCAGGCTATGATAGATATAATGTAGACAACTCAAATCAGGGACTGTGGCTTTGGGATACCATTCATTGAATACATCTTAAAATCTTGTTGATGTCCCGTGTGAGGGTCAGGCCCTTTGTGGTCATGGCTGTTCTAGCTATTCATGGACATTCTACTTAGTTCACGGCCTTTCGTAGATTACTATGCACTCACCTGTATCTCTTATGCCCTATGCTTGTAGTTGTTACCACTACGGACTCCTGTCAGTGTTTCCCGCATATCGTACTTGTACTCCACCACTCGACTCCTGTACCTTCATCTCGTCAACACTGGTTCAGGTTGACTCACCGTCTCTCAGCTCTCTTCTCTGTCTCGTGGACCTCGGAAGTCGCCCGTTGCATCCCGCACCTTTGGCGTGTAACAATCCCTTCCACCCTCCCCTGTTTTCATGCTCCCATTGAATCAGGGATGGTATTCACTTCATTTATCACACAGTTTTCCTCAGATTTATAGAAAAAAAGGGGTTGGGAGTCATTGGGGCAGAGTTTATATGTAAATATGATTTTTCATAATCCCTCATCTTTACTATACATCTAATCTGCTAACCACTCACTTTGCCTGGAAATATTACATGAAAGCTTCAGCTAACATACATATCTACCCTTCATGCCCCTAAATTGCTCTAAGGGATATCAGTCATTGTTATCAACAATGATCAGAGTGTTCCCCAGTATTATTCCAAACCACTGTGACAGCTTTTGCTATGCAGCCCCTGGCAACTGACCATGGCCCGTTACAACTAAGCTACCCTAAGGGCTGATACATGCTATACAGTCCTGATGTTTACCTGTTCTATTTGCTCAGTAACACTTTCATGGAACTTGGAGATTTGGAGATTTGGGAACTCAAGAAAAGAGTCCAACATACTTGCATCCTCTCAAAATTGCACAGCTTCATAATAGGGGATGTCAGAGTTGGTGTAACAGTCAAAACAAAATGGTCAAAACATTATGATTCCACCAATATGAAGGATTCAGCTCCGACACCCCAATAATGCAACTGTGTTATAGGCACATCCAGGAGGCCCCTTAGGGGCTACTAACAGGTGTTCCGGCTACGGACTCAGGCTGCGCATACACATGGCTACACAGACATGTTACAGACTTTGGACTTGTACATATTCGAGCATGCTGTACTTACTCCTACCGGACTCATTGCTGTTTCGTGAACGCACGGACGCCGCGTGTTCTTCAGTAGATATATCCTGTGCCGTACATGCAGTTACCTTTAGTTCAAATATTAGTTCCTTTCCGTACTCAGACCTCCACCTCTACTGAGGTCTCTCCTTCCCATCCCTCACCTTCACCCATACCCTCGGTACCCGCATAGGACCTCCTCTGGAAATACAGGGCATGCAAGAGTGTGGGAGGCGCAGCCAGTAGCTGAAGCCAAGCCCGTACGTCCTTGCTCCCTCATTTCCCCCTGCGCCTCTATGTGGAACCGCACACCCGCAGTCCATGTATCCTGAGTCCCTCTGCAAGTGTGGCTCTTAACAAACCAAAACAAAAGAATAAGCACTAATTCCAGCTTAGGGGCAGGCTTGTTAGTCCATAGCATACCATACAGTATAATTCAAAAGTAAATAGCTTTATGTAAGCTGTGGCTGAAAGCAATAACAATGTGACATCCACGGTGGTGTAGATTAGTGACTCAGTGAGTATGTATACAGGCCAGATGTGATATACGGTGAAAACAAATGGAACAACAAAGACCTGCTTGCCACAGTGCATTCTTCAAAAGTTCATTCTCTGCAGTAACAGTTTCAGGTGGCAAACAGCTTGGGGAACTCAGCATATCTGGTGTAGTGTTTTGACCGTTTTGTTTCAACCATTACACTAACTCTGACATCCTCTAATCATGCAATTGTTACATTGTAAAACCTCCCAATTGTACTACCACAAAATCATAGTTAAGTTGTAAGTCACTCTGATAGGTTTACTGTACAGATGTGTAAATGGGTACTGAATATTCTCATCTAACTTCCAACTTCCTCCCCTCTCCTCCATACTCCCTTTCTCTTTCTTCCACAGCCTTCTGGTGTACCCTTACTAATCCTGGCCACTGTTCTGATCTTGATAACATATATCTATCTAAAAGATTCATATTCAATAGATTAGTAGACTTTTCACCCTGATTTACATTGAGAGGCATTGGTTGTCATTGTTAATGCTTGTCAGAGCACTCCCCATGGTTATCTACAGCCACTGTGTCCCAGAACCCTCATTTAGTAAGCACCCCTACCAACACTCTGTATTCAATACAGTAAATCTGCCATGAAACTTGCATGCATGCAAGGACATTTCTCAGGTATGCTAATCCCTTCTTATTAGTCATATCTCTTACTTGTAGTCCTGTATAGCTTAGTTTGCTACTCCCATAGGTACAGATTTTGGGCTAAAAAATAGTAACCAAGATACCTCAAAGTTCAATCTCAGACATTAATTACAGCTGTAGATAAATGATCAAAGCTCCAATTGAATGCTAACTGCATAACCCTACAATCTACATTTTGTTGATATCCTGCTTCAATGTTTTGATGAATTGCTTAATCTGAGTACTTGAAGCTTATTTGTTAAAGTATGTTATGCAGAGGGAGTGAAGACATGATGCCTTTATGGCTACCCTTATCATGATCTGGTAGCATTAACAGTCCAGAGTTCAGTCTGGTCCTTGTTCCCTATTCCCTATCCATCCCCTGTCCCCCTGTGAGGCTCTGTGAAGCAATGAGGTGAGCGCTCTTTTTTGATTATGTAACATTAAATTTGATTACATAACATTATGGACCGTTGTGTTTTAATAATATAGATAGATAGATAGACTCTTTCGTCTGACAGGTCGTTCCCCCATGAATCCAGCGTGGTCTTTCGTTGAGGGAAGACACGCCTGTGGGATACATTTGCGCGTATGACCGAGCAGAAGGACTTCTATGTCGCTCGACAGCAAGTGCTTCGTACTGAATAGCCATGGGGAGCTTCGGATGTCGGTGCACTTCGGGCATTGGCCTCTCTTCATCGCAGCGCAATCGCCTCAATATGTGTGACCGGGGGGATTCAGGGCGACCAAGAAGCAACATTTGGCTTCGTTGTCGACTAGGAAACGAAGAGGGATAGTGCATGTACTCCACTGGAGTTGGATGATACTCCTTGAAGTGAAATAACCTCATGGCACTGAGCTGGGTAAGTACACGATCTATCAATAACCCAATGGAACATATTGATACCTTGACGAGCAGCTGATGAGACACGGTGTGTTTCGACCACATGCATGTCAATACACTTGGTGCCTGGATAGCCGCTCTCAAGAAATCGTGAGCCGACCCTCCTGCCCGGTTTCACGCCGCACACACTGATCTCCCACCAGATCCGCTCCATGGGAGCTTTGTGCCATATAGTCGCCCAGGCCCGGGAAGCACCAAAGTCTCTTTGTCCTTCAAAGTCAGCTATTACGACCCCCACTCCTCCGTGCAACAGCGGGCTTCACCTTCCATCCATCATAGCAATGGGGCGCTCTATCAGTCACAGTAGACGTCAGAATTTGCTCCATGCATCTATCAAGGTCCTGTAAGTACCATCAATTGACCATCACTTTGATATCGACATCTATATTAGGTTCTGACGAGCCCCGTATGCCACCCGACCCGTGGCACCTTCAACTATGTAATTGGACAACTCCTTGAATAGGGTATTACAGCTCTTTCTTTTCCCCATCGACCACTAGTCGGGAGACTCCCCTTCTTTATGGCTCGCAGAGTAGGCCTTGTAGCCGTAGTCTCGATCGCGCACCTGTTCCCTCTCGTAGCATGTGAGGCCTTCCATGAAGTGAGTCCCAACGCCGCACAGTCACCAATCAATTGACCAATTTCCTGAATCTCAACAGATTCACGTAGGAGCCTCGGGAAGCTTCTATGACCCGGCGACCATCCTGGCCAACCAGAACGACGTTGTCACCTTCATTTTCGATGGCCCGTGAGTGAGACCGCCCGCATACGCACAACGATAGCCGACGAAGGAATATCTTTAGCTTCCACGACGTCACTCAGTCGACATTCGCCAAACCGTGCCAACCACTAGCGGGTGGATTCAGTAGCGGGATAGCAGGCAAAGGCACCAACACTTCTGCGCCCTCTCCGTCTTGGAGCCTCCGCATCACGAATGCATCTGTTCGTGAGTATTGTCTCGCTTTATTACCTGTTTGTTGTGTTGATTATCCCCCAGCCATTTGGTTTTATTGTGGTGCAACAATCCCTCTACCTCATTGCACTAGTGGCATGGTCGGGTATGTGCTTAAGTTAACGCAATTTCCCGCCGATCCCCACTGATGCCATCCATGGATCGTAGTGCCATCAATCCCCCATCCATAGATGCTTATAATCAGTTTTTGTTGGCTGCAAAGAACGTCTCTTTGAATATACCCGTAGTAGGTTTCCTCTTCCTTTCCGGTGCCGCGGCGGTGCTCAGTCGATTTTAGCAAGCACCGTCGATAATTCTCTCCGGTCAAGGCGCTTTTGCGACTGCGACACCCCAAGTAACGTCGGGGACGCCTGCCAGCTCTGGTGCACTAACTTCAGGTTCAGCGTCAGCATCAAGCACCTCTAGTTCCAGTAGTACCGCGGCGGCGACGGAGACCGCCGAGCCCGCAGCTTCAACATCATCCGCTATCTCTACAGGTTCGATTGTCGGCGCTGCAGTTGGAGGCGGCGTGGGTTTCATCATTATCTGTTTCCTCGCAATCCTTGTGTATCGGGCCCTCAGAAGGGACAGACACACTGCGGCCATTTCTCCCTATACGGATCCGGGGACTCGTCGCGGCGATGATGCCAACAATCGCTCTATGTCCCAGGTAAAAATAAATCGATCGCCTTCAGACCCGACCTTATCAAGGACAGGGCAGCTCTCTCCCCTGCCCTCGACGACGGCGTCTCCTCCGCCTACGATGGCGTATACCCCTCCGAGTACCTCGCATGGACTGCTAGGTCCTGGTACACCGGACCCCCCTCGTCGTGTCAGGCCCCTCCCTCCCAGTCCACAGCCTAACAATACCACATTCTCTCATAGCGAACAGCCCTCTTCCCCCGGTGTGCACGGCCCCCAAAGTGTCACAAGCGATCAACAGTCAGGTCCTCCCGTAAATATCAACGAACTGGCGCGCGAAGTGGCAGCGCTTCTTAATACTCAGACTAGTAAATCAAACCTGGGCAGTGGGTTCTCACAGTTGGACGAGGAGGAGCGCAGAGGGCGGCATTCTGCAGACTTTTCTGTGGTATCCTCCCCTCCCCATTACTATCAAGATTGAACGACTTTTCATGGTTCCCCATTTTTATGCCGCTCTATCTTAATCGGGTTCGTTTACGTTGACGAATATGTATTTTGTATGTTCTTGTGCTGATATACAGGCACTGGACACTATCATCGCAATGTGGTGGCATTTCTCGCCGCAGAGCAGCGCAGAGTGCTTTGACGGCGGAGTTCCTGGAAAGTACATAATATAGCAGGACAAATACTTAGCACTACGTCCGTAATCAAGGTATGAAAGCGAAAGATACAAACGTGAATGAAATAATCATACGTCGAGTCATATCAAGGTATCTACGCCCAAAACTTCAGGAGATGCGGGAGCCACTGCGTTCCCCAAAGCTGCAAGACTGCCCCCTGTACCGGAAGCAGGAGGATTGGGATTGGCAGGAGGAGCAGCACCAGTGTTTCCTGCGTTTGTCGTGTCGGCGCCGGTGTCTGCTGTGGTGGGGTTCTGCTGTGGAGTGGGCCCTGCTGCTGGCGTAGTCGAGGTGGTCGTGGCGGCAGGTGCGGCCCCGGGCTGCTCTTGCGAACCCGTATCACCAGTCTCAAGAGATCCGCTGTTGTTGCTGCTCTTATTTTTACCAACTGTTCCACCAACTGCACCACCAACCACTGCGCCAATGACAACTACGACCGCGACCGCGATGATGATTATGCCTTTCGTTGTCCGCCAGAAAGGTACTTTTGTTGGAACCGGCGTCGGTTGGGTGCCCAAGTATTCCTTCGAAGCATGAGCGCTCTCAATATCTCTGCTGGGCGGCGGCTGCGTGCTCTCATTGAGCAGATCCGGATTGTAGCCCTCCTGTTTGATCTTTGTTCAATATCCAGGTTGCAGGTGGGGATCATCAATTTTACCTGAAGTTGTGATTGTGTAGCTTTGGGCGCTGCAGCTAGCAGGCTCTGGTCATAGTGGCCGTTCGTTGAGGCCATGCTGATTCTTTGGAAATCGCACCAGTGCGAGCGGTCTGGTAGAGGTCGGAAACAACGGGGACGACTGAGCGCTCGTCGATGTCAAAAGACGACAAGGGAACAGCCTCGCATGGTCGTGCGGGTCAGCGCCAAACTCATCAGGGTCTTCCATCAAGGAACGGGTTTCAGCTTTAGTACTTCTTTCAGGGGCTACTCAGGAGCTGTGGTGGACTTGCTCTTGTTTCGCTTTGCCCCCCGTTGAAAGGCTTTTATTCAATATCTATCGAATAAGTCCTGTTACTATTATGAATTACACGATCTGTCAGTCGCTTGTACTTATATAAATGATATCGTGTCAAACGGATAGGTCAGAGGCCGTATGCGTGATCATAGTACCACTACGTGCCGAGAAATGCGTAGTCTGAGACTAGATAGCGACTCCAAATCATTCAATGTGAGCTAAAAGCCTCGCACCCATGATGTTTGGGTGGACTAGAAGGTGAACTGCAATACTAGTCGTTAAAAGCACAGGGCACAGGGTCGAGAGGTTGTGTATATTGCTCAGTAATATAGCTACAGAAGTAAGAGAAGGACTGGGAACACCGCGTATGAGATGCAGTAATCGAGCCCTCGACTACTTGCAGACTTGAAAGCTATTGCCAGGCACCCCATTGTGTGTCATACATCCTGCAGTTCGGGTCCTTAGAAGGGGTCTACTGGGGTTAGGAAAGGCCACGCACCACAGAACCTTCCCTTCCTGTCCCATACAACTCGGTCTGTCTCCGGGGCTCGACTTGCTCCTCCTTTCTTGAGTATCACGAACTCCGACAGATCTCCTTTGCATGAGTTCGGGAATATCAAGTTCTTGGATGTTCAATTAGTGCTTAGCAACTTTCATGTTTATTACTTACTTCCCTATTCCCAAAGGGGTGAGGGTAGGCATTACCACTGCAGAAAGAGGGCCGTCATCAACACGAAATAGAGTACCTCATGAGAAGTGATATCACCCGAGGGTCTGGCCTTTCTTCTCCAAGTCTTGCCCACGCTTCAAAGCCGTATCCACCTGACCGGCATTGTATGTGTTGCCGATCTTCTTCCCGTTGACTAGCTGGATAAATGTCAGCTCAAAATAAATATTCTTCATTGTGCAGCAACTCACAACTTTGCAGTCGCAGTCCCTCGTAGCGTCGATATTCAACTTGGCACCACGAGCCAGGGTGACTAGGACGGTGAGCAAGAGTAGCAGAGCCGTGCCTCGGAAGCTCATCTGTGGGGAGTGAGATGACACGTCTTTGGATCCTTACACCCGGCTTTTAATCCTACACCATCTCCCGTATGATACAAGTCAGACTAGCAGTACGGCAGTATGGAAGCTCTCGCGGCAGCGTTAGCTGATGCGAGCACCGTGTATGAGAAAATCGAGTCTATCGACGCGCATGCCCCGAACAAAGCCGCTGAAAGGTGAAATGCAGTCCTAGTCACCAATGGAAGACGACGCTGGAGCGAGTAGACGCGCGGACCTACCTACTATAGAACTCCATTGGGCAGGTAAGCAACCTGCATGAAGTGTTCGCCCACCGATTTCCTTTCTGGGCTATCGCGACTGGGTGCCAGCTGGCATTCCGACTCGACAAGTATCAAAGGTGTATCTTTGAATCGCGCCGCTTCGTTGGTGATACATGCGCACAAATAGCTACTTGCAAACCAGGAAACCGTTTCCCACTGCACCATTGTGCGTTATGCATCCTGCAATTGGCACCTTAGCACCACGAATTTCTTGCTGCTGGGGATTACGTACCACAAAATTTACCCTTGCTGTCCCAGACGACCCGCTCCTGCTCTGCGTCGCGACTCGCCCCGCCCTTTGGGAGTATTACGTATTCCGACATCCCTCCCGCTTTGCACGAGTTTGGGAATTTTAAGCCCTTTGTAGCCAACTTTCAGCATCGTGCTTGCGGTACTAGGACGAACACCTACTTCGCCGTTTCGGAAGGGGTGAGGAAATTTGCCCGCTCTATATTTCGACCATTTTCATAACATATCAGGTCTCGCCGAGGAAATAACAATTACCCAATTGTCTGGCCTCTCTTTTCCAAGTCTTGCCCCCGCTTGATTACTTCTGCCACCTCGCGGTCATTATAGGTGTTTCCGAGTGTCGTGTTTCCTACTTTCTTCAACACGAACGCTCATCAGTGTAAATCTGGGTATGCCAATACACGGATACTGACAACTTTGCAGTCACAATCTGTTGTTGCGTCGACATTCAGCTTCATGCCGTCAGCTAGCGTCACGAAGGCGAGGAAGAACGCAAAGAACGCCACAGTCGCGACTTTGAGGCGCATCCACATAGCCTTTTCCTGGGGGATGAATGGGGTGCAGCTCCTCTTGGCGGTAGTACAACTGCCTTTATGCGAGTCTAGGAGTACTAGAGCAAGGTGGTAAGCACTAGCAGGATAAAGCGACATGAGACATGCACCGGTGCTGGTTTTCTCCCTCGCTTAACATGGGGACGGTACACTAGGACATCAAATGGGCTATATTGGCGTACTGCTCAAGTAGCATGGGATGAATTGCGGAGTGTGTTGAAGCGTCTTGAAAGCTGAAATGCAACCGTGAAGCATCAAGCGAGTGTCTGAATCTTTCTAAACTTGAGCACCGTCGAACCCTGGGGTGAATTCTCAGGGCTACCGACGACCGACCGCTGACAGGAGTGCATGTATTCTGAGCATGGAAAAGCGATAAGCATAGCGGCACCAATACTATAGATACGCTCCGCCTGCTTTGACTATCACGAATTCCGACAGATCTCTTTTGCTTGTATTCAGGAATGCTAATCCCTTTCAGGGCCACCCAGTTAGTACTATAAAGGGCTAGGATGTAGGGCCTCAAAGAATGCTACTTACCTCCTTGTTAGAAAGACATGGAGAAAGCCCTTCTTAATTTGCACAATGGTTCGGGCTATCAGTGTCACAAGGAATCGGCTTCAATATTTCCGACTGTTTCGCTCCCGACTTTCTGTGTTATGACTTTCTGTGTTATGGACATCGTGGTTCGGTGCTTTCAAAGTGGGGGGCTCACTGCTGCAGTCGCAGTCTGCAGAAGCCTCCATTTGTGCCTTCCATGGTAGGCTTCGTGTGCATTTTCCGGTAGAGTAGAACACGAGATGATGATGATCGCCCCGTGACGGGACAGGCGCAAAGCGCTTGATACCTTACTTATTTGGAAGTAAGCGAGATTCCCATATATAGCGATGGTAAACATGTACAAATCTTGGTAACCGGATTTCAGACTGTCGCGAGGATTCTTGACTTTCGATCAGTATCTACAGAGATGGCCCTCCGTCGGTACACGCGGTCTGTCGATGGCACAATTCCCGTCCAGGCTTTGCTCTACGACGACGAAGAGCTCGTCGCTGTTCAGGATAGCGTCGGTATCTATGATGGGTACGCATGTGTCGGATTCCACCCCATCGCACGCCAAATAACCACATAGATGGACGAATCGCTCACATTCAGCTCTCAGAAATCTCCAGAGCACCAATCCGGGACTATACATCTCTCCACGCACCGTCTCTTCTATATCGACTCGCAGCAGGAAGCGACGCAGTCGTTTGCGCTGGATTTGGCCTACGTGACCCAGACAGATCATTATGGAGGGCTGTTCAGTTCCTCTCCCAAGGCTACGCTATATTTAACGGCACCCAGCTCCTCTGATAATCTTGGATTAGGCACCATTACCACGGCCGTGCCTGCTTTTGAAAGCTGGGAATGTGAGGTTTGTGCGTATCGCAATCCTCCCGGTCTCAGTCCATCCGCAGCGAGAATATGTTCGCTTTGCGGCGTCCCACGTAGCGCGGTGCCTGCCCCTGAGCCGCGAGCTACTTCGCTGCCTTCTTCACCACCAGTTTCCGGGACCACAACGCCAGTTTCCCATGATCCAACGATGTCTATTGCATGTCCTGCGTGTACTTTTCTCAATCATCCCTCCCTATCAGTCTGCGAAATTTGTTCCACGCCGCTTCCCAGAGTAAAACACTCCTCGGAACGGAGCTTCTCCGCCAAGTCAGCTCCAGCATCCCGGCCAAGGTCTCCCGATGATGAAACAGTCCCTCGTATGATTAAGATAAGTTTTCGCAAGGGTGGAGACAAAGCCTTCTATTCGGCTCTAAAACGGAGCTTGAAAGGTAAAGCCTGGGAGGTATGTCGTTTGTTGTGTTGATGTTTCTTGTGGGTGTCATGACTGGAATAGAATAACGAACGCGGTACTCCGTCTGAACGTCATGCCACAACTCGATCAGGGATTAGTATGTTGTCCCTTGACCTTGGTGTTCTATTACTCATCGACGACGTTATGACATGTATCAGATGGTATCCTGCGAGTTGTGGAGAGCTCTGCTCAGAATAGAGAGAACGATCTACAGGACTCGCTTCAGGATCTTGAAGCATTGATGAACAAAGCCAAAGAAATGGTTCGCTTGGCTGCCGATCTCAACGAGAAGCTCACTGCGTCTGCATCGTCTGGACCTTCTGCCTCCCCTCTGAACACTTCCATCAATTCCGACTCTTCGGCGCTGGTACCAGTCACGGAACCGGAAGAGGCTACTTTCATTCGATCGTCTCTAGCTCAACTTGGGCTACAGATGGCCAATACGCCAGTGACATTAGATATGATGAAGGATGACAGGAAATGGTTTGATGAGCTCGCTCGCGAATTGGCTGGAATACTGCAAGGCTCGTCTCGTTCAGGGAATGGTTCCACCGGTACCGGATTACTGGGGGAACGTGGCATCCTTCCTCTTGACGAAGTATGGGGTGGTTGGAATCGTGCGCGAGGTGTTGGTCAGTATCCACCCTGCTTGCGTCCTGTCGATTCGATCGGGTCCATTAACCGTTCGCAAAAATCCTTCTAGCTCTTATACCACCGTCAACATTTCTTCAAGTCATCCCCCTTCTCTCCTCCTACACCGACCCTCCTATACGCCGTCGAACCTTCGCTTCTGGTCTAAGCGTCCTGCATACTCCTCCCTTCACTGACGCTGCCTTCGCTGCAAGGCTTTCTGGTCTTCTGGCGCTGTCTGGCCCAAAGACGACCATTGAAGTGGCCCAAGAGGAGAAAATGGCCGTCGGGCTGGCTACGGAAATGATCGATGCTGTAGAACAAGGAGGTTATATATGTCGCGACGATGCCCAGGCCAAAATTTCGGGAAGTAGTGGAGGAGGGGCAGAGCTCCGTTGGTGGGCGAATATTTTTGAAGGTTATAGTTGGGACGGTCAAAGTGATATCAGTCAAGCGTGAACATGTTGATCACACTATTTACGACGGGTGTATCGACCCAGTAGAAGAATGTCACCGCCAACATCCCCTCCATACGGCGCAAGGACCGCTGTATGTGCTTTCCTTCTCTCTCTTGATCTGTTCGAAGGTCCGTTTTTCGTTCACCAGTGTGCCTTGCACGGATGCTTCCTGCGTTACTATCACACAGCTCATGTTGGCACTGATGATGCAGCAGGTCTTTTCATTCTAGCGTATCGGCGGTGGTATATACTAGTGGTTTGGTATAATTATGTTAAGGTCTAAATGGGTGCCGTAGACAGCGGGGAATACCAGTTGAACGGGCCATCATTGAAGTGTGAGGGGAAACTGACGGATGCGGCAGAGAATGGGCGGCCTGAACGTCGGCATCCCGTGCAATGCTTCGTGGCGTTGGCCCCGTTCCAGCGAGTCTCTCGTAAAGTTCAATCGCCGAGCTTTTCTACTCCTGGCTTTGTCAAATGATTGAGTATGATCATCGTTGTGGTGAGCAAATAAGGTTACCCGCCGGCCTCATTTACACCCACCGGATGCTGCTGGCCCGGATTCCGCGAAGAAGGATTGGAGGGGGTCGTCCCCTACTTCCAGGAAGCGTGCCCAAGTAGCCCGACGTTCCACGCTAAAGGGATCATCCTATGTGAGTGGTTGAATAAGCGAGACAAGAGGCTCTTCGGGGCGGGCTGGGAGGATGTGAAATGTTCGAAGAGACCGCAACATGCGTTCATATCATTTCCACGATCGGGTTTAGATACACTCTATGGATATGTCCTGTGAGTCCTTGGCGCGCTGTTCTTGAGCTCCCCCATATCAGATCGGAGCCAAAACGTCAAACAGATGGGCCACCACCCGCCCGTAGTGCGCGGTTTGATGATAAGTTCCAGTACGTACGGCTTCTCCTCTGAAACGAGCTTTGTATATTAGAAGATTGATAGATTACTAGAGGTTACATATAGACCTTATGAGCGTCCACGCTCGAGGGAAGCAAGGCCGTTCCTGGGGTGCCTTTTTTTGAGAAATTGAGCACATTTAAGTATCTTGAACCTGACTATGGACGCAAGGAGGAGCTGGGGATGAGAAAGTCACCGCCGTCAATCAGAAATGAGGAGCCCAAGACGACGGTACGAGCCACTGGGCGGTACAGGCGTGAGGGACCTATGGAGTTAGAACTGACTGCGCCGCGCGATAGCCCAAGAGAAGGGTAACTGGTAAAAGGACTGTATATTTAGATGATTTCGCAAGGATGAATGTCAAAGATGGATATCATAGACTCGAGTCAAAAATGCCAGGAGGCTTCTCCGTAGGAAAGAGAGAGCACTATGTAGTCTCCTCGTCGAAAGCAGTTAGTTTCAGCGGCGGTCGGGACGTCTGGAAAAAGAGAGTATTGGCGTGGAGCGGCGACCTGGTGGATGAGAGGATGAGTGACCGGTTGAGTAGTAGCCGTGAGAAAAAAGAGCCAGGATCAGGCCGGGAACTGAGAGGGAAAGTTGAACCGGTGGATTCATTGGTTTGACCCCGAGGCTTCTGCGATGTATTGGGACCGGAAAATCTGCACCATGGCGCGTGGGGAACAGCCAAGCTTGGGACAGGCGTGGCTTGTCCAATGATCATTAGGCTTGCAGTCCCTTTAAGCCTCTCACGCCGATTGGAGTGCTTGAGTTGTCCCTCTACCTGCTCGTCGTTTAGATCCTGCAGTGGCTTTCTAGCTCTGGATCTCTGCTGCTATGAGGTGCGTTGATCGCAACGGATTGTAGCAGTCGCCTGGCGCTCATACAGAATCTCCGTAGAAATTCCCGACCTGGATGCTTTGCGTTTCTCATTCTCCTCTACAATTGGTGGAATGAGAGTTTGATTGCGCACGCCTCAGAGGTCAATGTTACAGTGGACGATGCAGACCCGTCCATTCTATATGTGCCCTCTGGTTCATGGCACTCGAATTTAGTGCCCTGCTCATTTTGCCTGGAGCCTGATTCCAGCCTCGCCTACCAGAAAACGTTCCACGATGGGACACACATAATACCTACCGTCGACGGGGACGACTTGCCAAGCTTGTCAAGTTCGCAAGCACCACGTTCCACCAGCACGGGGAACGCAGCGACGAGCTCTGCCAGCTCACGCATACCAACTTCTACCTCCCGGGCTCCTTCTCAAGCACCACGACCAACCACGCAGACGACCACGCAGGATAATGACCACGATGACGATGACGACGACGATGACCACGGAAACGATGGACCCTCGCATACACGTCGGCAGGAACAGGAGTTCAATCCTTTTGCAACGTCCAAGTTCGACGCTGATGATCCAGAGTTTGTGGATCAGCCTGTCTTTGTTCAATATAATTTCACTGGTACTCATTTTCTTTGGCCCCACGTTAGCATTTACTGATGACCTCGTTCATCGGACATAGGTACTGCGATATACATATACTGCCTTCTTCCCGAGGCAGCGGCGCCTCCAAATACGATGCCAACAACAGTGAACCTAACCTTCACTCTCGACGACCAGACGTTCGATCCGTACCACCATACGGGGGATAGTTCGGAATCAGGCTTTCTATCCAACGTCAATGTCTTCTTCGCTGATGGCCTTGCCAACGCCCCGCACACCGTACGTGTGGACATCGGCCCCAACTCCGTCTTCCTCTTTGACTATCTGGTCTACACGCAAGTCCGATCAACGGGAGATGCGGAATTGAGTAACTCTGATGAGTACGTGCAAAGTCTTCTTGGTTTAAACCCTTCATCCGCTGTCCGATCTTCGTATCTTTCGATACTTTCCCAACCTATATCTACCATCCGCCATTTTACCGTCCTCCCTGCTTCACATCTACCTTTCTCCGCATTGACTAATCCTATTCTCACTTTCAAGCAGCGCCGAGAAACACCACAACATTGCAACATTCGCCGGAGCGGTTGGTGGAAGTGTCGGCGTCCTCGCCGTCTTCGCTGCAGGGCTTGCTATCAGTATCTACTATCGTCGTGTCCGGTCGGCCAGACGACTACGTAGAGAAAGAGATAATGAGTCTCTTCACACCGAAGGATCCGAGGATTCACCCCGTATGCACGGACCTGCGCCTTTTGTGCCCCGGTATTTCCCCGGAACAGTACCGACTGCACCACCACCATATATCCCGAGCACGTCGAGATCGTCCTTATCTTCCCCTGATTCGTCACCGGTATCTCCCTATTCACCCTTAATGTCCAGCGCCTCGTCTATACCAGTGACAATGCCCTATGCGGACCCCCCTCCCGCTTTGCCGCTTGGGTTAGAAGATGTTCTACTCGCCGACGACGTTCCATCAGTTCCTCCGCCGTCATTTGGTGAAGCAATCGCTTCTCCATTGAGGATCCCTCTTGCTTTGCCGCCCCCACCTGGAATACCATCCCCTGTCCTTTCGTCCATATCAAACAGATCGATAACGCCGGGGACTTCTGAAGGGGTATCAAACGGCGAGCCTCCTTCGTCTTCTCCGCCGCCGTTTACTCCTTCAGAATCTCATTCAAATCCTCCGGCGTTTTCTGAGGACTCGAGTAGAACACCGGAGTCGAGACCTCCCTCAAGGGGTTCTATAACGGATCCGGATCATGAGGTGGGCATAGCTAGATAGGTTTTGGGCTCTATTCGATTGGTATAGGTGTAAGTTTAATCGGATTGTACTTCTAGTGACATGTTACATGTTATTACATATATAACGCATAGTAGACATTTTGTGCACAACTCAAGACAAGCATTACTACCGCAGAACAAGGGACTCAGAGATAACTAGCGTCACGCGAACAATTGTAGAAGTGAGAATACATGCATCAGCCTTCCTCAGGCTCCCCGAGGAGGAGCTGCGCATCAGGAACGTCTACAGGTAGACCGGCCTCTTTCCAAGCCTTGTAGCCGCCTATGATATCTGTTGCGTTCAATAGCCCAAGTTCATGCAGCGCGTATGCAGCCAAACTGGACGTATATCCCTCCTGACAGAAGACAATCACCCTCAAATCGTAGCGATCTGCTATTGACAGTCGGGCATCGCTCCGTGGATCCAACCTCCATTCAAGGACGTTGCGTTCAATAATCAACGAGCCATGAATGCCCCCCTCAGCCTCGCGCTGAGCTGCAGGGCGAATGTCTACCAGGAATGTTGGAGCATGTATTTCCCAGCGGCGCAATTCCTCGTAGGCCTCGCTTGGTGTGATGCGCTCAAGTTGCGCACGAGCGTCCTGAAGGACTTGGTCGATACTCCTCGAGCCTGGTGGAGGCAGAAGTGGGTTTATTGTCCTCCGGGATGACTTCTTGACTACATCCCACAGGGCTAGGCCGTCGAACGAGGAGCCTATGTCTCGTACTGCTGCAACCCAAATTTTGCCATGATTGAAGACAACTTCGACACGGCCCAGAAATTTGGAGCTAGCAAGCAGAACAGCGCGCTGCACGTAGTCCTCGGAGGAGCTGCAGATGATGAGGGAATTACTGGATCCCACCACAGGCTTGCCTGTCGTAGCGATGGCGAAGAGGTAATCCATGCCAAGAAGTCTGCGAGCGATGCAGGCTTCCACTATTCGTAAGAACTGTTCATCTTCACGCATCGTAAACGTAAATTGAACACCGATGCGAACACCTACAAAGAAGTAATGTCGGCGAAATTTCATTCAATAGAGTAAGGAGATAAAATACCGTCTATTTGTTCCGCGTTGGTGATGGCACGATGGGCTACCTCCTCCGCCACTTGGGTGCGAACATCCTCTAAAGTCCTCTGGGGAGGTGGAGGTTCTACCACGTATCCATCTTGTCGTGGTTCGGTGCCAACTGGGCTGGAACTTGAAGAGGGCGAGGCCAACATTGGTCAGATTAGCGCCCGAAAGCCTTCGTGCACAAAGATCAAGCGGCGGCCCCAAGCGCTTGTCACTTCGATAACTCTGACCACCATGTTCTCCGGTTTCAAACGAGTTTTGGTGAGCTCTCTCTGCTGTTATCACAAATATCTTACTGATTTCTGTAGCCTGAAATTTCAATTTTGTGAGTGCTTTTCCAATCCCAAGTTTAAGACTCTGACTTGAAATCTTAGTCATAATCCTGCTTCGCCGCCTTCCACTAAGGCATTAACACTTCTACGTGCCTCTTTATCCAGTCCTTATCCCGCTGGAAAGGCCGATGTACCTCCTTTGCACTTCAATCTTGAAGTAATAGAGTCTCCGCCGACATCAGACCAACTACGGACCATCACGTCCTTCTTGCCGAAGAGTTCTCCGTCATTATTTTTATCAGCGCACCCTTCGACCGCATCCGAAACTCCTAACATCTCGGAAATAGTTGGATTAGCGAAAAAGAATCCTAACACGTTCAAGTGGCCCGTAGTGGTCGATTGGGCTGCAGGAAAGGCCAGCGTAGGGGACGTTGAGGGGGTGAAAGAAATTTTGGAGAATCTGCGGAAGCAAAGGGACGGCGAAGCGAAAGGAGAGGAAGTGGACCAACCCAAAGGATGGTTTAGCTAAGTGAGTGCTGTGTTTGGTCGATAGCATCTCATCAATGCACAGGGGAACGAGCTATGTATGTGCGTGTGTCGTGTAATGTAGTAACAACCAAAAAGTGGAAGCTATTTGCGCAAAGCAAAGTGGTGTAACGAGTAAACCCTCGGTGTACCCATCATGCCCTTACATTGGCCCTAGCGAGACGTGAAGAGCCAACTCACGCGCTAGGGTGATCTCCGGCGAAAGCGGTATGACCATGACTGCCCCAGAGCTGCGTACTCACAGGCTATTGGCTTTCTCTTAGGTCTTTCGATCGATCTCTGCATGAACTATTTCGCGTGATTTAAGCCACGCAGAGATGCTCTGGCTGGGTACCCAATGCTTCGTTCCCCCTCCCACGCATGACCTGCTGAATTCATCGTATCTCCTGAACGAGAAGAATTCTGCAGCCCGCGAGATGAATTCCAAGAATTGACGGTTCTTGTCCAAGTGGTGCAACTCCATGATATTCTATGCGTCTGGCCGCGGCGCCTTGGGCTTGCAGAACCATCTGGCTGCGAACGACGGTCGATATACCAACTTCTTGGGCTGTGAACGGGCGAAGCAATATTCTTAGACTAGGTCCGCCACCCATTTCCAGCGGGTTCTGACATACTTATAAGATATGTGAGCGACCGTGGCTCCACTTACACGCGGACAGAAGACGTGGAGCACATTCGGAGCCGGCAATGGATAATGCAAGTCAGTGTAGTAAAAAAGGACCAACACGCGTGCATTGATGCTAAATAGGGCACAGAAGAAGTAGAACGGGAGGCTTATGGGCGTCGACAGAGCTCTGATTGAATTTTTTAGATAAAGGCAAAGACGAGCCTAAGCACGAGAGGTTACGACTCCTTACACGGTGCCGAGCCAGGCGAAAGAGCTTGTGATTCATCCAAGAGAGGGGAAAGCGTCCGGACTCATATTTACTTGACAGTGGACGATGATAGGATCTCAAGAATGCCTTTGAAAAGTTTTCAGAAAGAAATGCAATATGTATTGCCAACCTCTTCTCTGGCAATGGTCTCATCGAGCCCACTATACCGAATGCGAACGACGATAACGAAGGAGGCGAGTTGTAGACATGTGGTAAAGTAATGTCAAATGTCATACATAGTACAAGAAACAGCATATTCGCTAAGCGTCTTCAACAAAAAGGCTCTCATCCTCTTCATTGCATAAGAAAGGATCCTTGGTGGTTATTTAAGACAGGCCATCATAGAGGGATATAACAGCATGCATACCTTTATCCGGGCAGCTTGAACATAGACATCCCCCGAAATCGCCTCAGGAATGTTGCCTGGAAAGTTCCAAGCAAAGGTCTGGCTCTCAGAGGGAGAGGGAACCACGAGACGGTAGATGAAAGAGACGGAAAAGCGGGGTGTTCCATCTGTTTGGACATCCAGACGCATCAAGTGGGTCCTCAATCGTCCTAAGAATGCGTAGCCTTTGGCAGAGCCATCATGTTTCAAAGAGATAGTCACTTGCAGGACGACTACTGTGACCTGTCTCTTTTGACCATCCACCTGCAAAAAGAAGGCGTCGAGAAGGGGAAAATTGGGCTGAGATGGGACAAATAGTTTCGTATCGTCTAAAGTAACATTGTCGAGCGATTTCTGAAAAGTGACACGCGTAAGGCCAGACGGATGGACAGCTCGTCTATTGACAAACATTCAGTGAATGAGACGTCGTAGATTCAGGAACTTACGAAGTCGAAGTCGACTCCGAAGCGAGCTGCAAGGGGTCGATCTGCAACGACCATGTTGTGCCCGACGCAGGAGCCGGGCGTGGGGGAAAGAGATCGCCCTCATTTCCGGGGCTACATAAGACGTCGAACACGAGGTTCTCAAAGGCCCAGCCAGCCAGTGAAGAACTTTCTCTGTACGGTTGACAAAGTCTGATGAGCTGAAGTGCTTCTTCTCGGTGAACGCCACCAAGTTTGGATTGCACGCGATATCGGATATACACCGACTTGAAGTCGACAACAGGCTTTCCGGCGACAGAATGGTACAGAGAAATAATGGGATGCGAGAATTCGTCGCTTGTGTCGCTTGTGGTGGTCCGTTCGAATAGTTCGAGGAGCTGACTGGATGTCTTCAAATGTTTGAGAGCCTCAGTAAGGGCGTTTTCAAGTTGTTCCTCATCCTCGATCGCCGCTGCTATGTCGCGAGGGGCCCAACCCCACTTCGCAATCATTTTGTCGGCAGAAGCTTCAAGTTCGTCCAAAGGTCTTTGGGGCAACACGCGGACGAGGGTAAGTCTATAGCTGGCTTTAATAATGGCAAACTTTAGAGAATGAGCAAACTCACGCTTGTACGATTTCTTCTTTAGTCCAGCGCCGCATGTACCATATCAGCCCTCTCTTCTGTTTGACCCAAGCCTTATATCGCGAGCGGGAAGGCAATGTAGACTGAATGATGAAGATACCGAACGCTGCAAGTAAGGGGCTAGGAAGGGGCTGAAGGTGTATGTCGCTATTCACAAGAGCCCAGGTACAATTTTCATCGTCGTTGATTTCGTCTAAGCAAGTCTCGTCAACTAGTGAGCTATACTGGACACCATCCGAAGAAAAGTAGTGGGCGCCGGTGTTGACTGGAAGGAAAAGGATGGGTTCGCGTTTGATTAACTTCTGGAGCAGCAGATACAGAAGGCTGTAGCTTTTTCCTGATCCTGGCTGACCGGATATCACCACACCTCCGTGGCGGTGTGTGTCCACTTGCTGAAGACTTGTGAGAAGTGAAGTGTGATACTCCCGGACGACGAACTGTCCCTTAGTGGGTTCAGCGAAGTTCACGGTCGAGGACTTGAAGTCGATGACTTTCCCAGCGACCAGCTCAGCTTCATTCTCTGATTTTCCCCACCATTCCTGCCAGACTTTGTAAAGGGGCCCAGTGTGGTGCTCCCACGCAGGATGAGAGAGAGACATGAGAGTGGAGACGAAGGATGATGCCTTGGATGGGCATTCGTTGCATGACAAGTTTGCCGTAAGGGAGCAAGAAGATGAGGAAGACTCGGCCAAAGGTAGTTCTGTGGGCACTACGACCAAGATCGTTATGAAGAGCGTTCCGTTTGAAACCACGAAGAAAGATATCCGAGCTCGGCTCAGGTACGTCCTGTCTCTTCACTGACGAGCGCTCATTTCTTTTGCGTGATAGTGCCCACAGACGATTGACAATGAAGATCTGTGAGCGTGCCTAAACGATTTGGTGCTCGCAGGTAGGCTCGTAAACCAGCGTTCTATTCGAGATTATGATAAGTCGAGTAATCTGAGAAGCTTGCAGGGGTGGTTTCACATTTTTGGACATCGTATCTCGCCACGAGGCAGAGAACGCCTACAGTGCTTTGCAGCATACACATTCACTTGGGAGGCAGCTAGTCTTGCAGTGGGCTGAGGAAGGAGAGGGTCTGGAGTTGATGAGACAAAAGGCTGGCACAGGCTTTGGAGGGGGCGCAGGGATGCTAGGACGAAAGAGGAAGAGGAGGACTCGGTAAATACTAAAGACACAGTCAATGTCGATGGTCTGGACGAGTAGGATTTACACACTTCTTCGAAGGAAGAACTCGTTGGTTATGATCATATAAAAGTACCAGAACATATACCTCTGATAGTTCTGTGAATTTCCACGTCCTTGCAAAACAACCTTGGACACAGCAGACGATGAAGGGAAGTGAGTACCTGCACCGGAGCATATTGGCTGCATTGCACATGAGCAGGTTTACTTCCAGGGGAGAACATTGAAATGCATCAAAAATCACGCTTGAAACTAAATCCATGAAGACAAATCAATGTTGAAGATGCGACACCGAAAAGACATCAAATCAGTCCGAGTATCATATACACGTTCCTTCAAATAATATACACAAATGTGGTTGAGATATAGCGGATATTTCGTTGCTACTACCTGTCCTTTACTCTGTGGCTTCTTGTGTCTTAATCCAAAGTCCACCCTAGAGCCAACGGTCAATAAACAATGTACAGCGAGAGCGAGAGGAATACTGTTACTCACATGAGCGTACAACGTGAGGCCGACCTTGGGGAAGAACTTCTCCATCCCCTTCCTTGTCCCGACGTCATGCTTCCAGGCGGGGTTGGGCTTGGTGTGTGGGGGCTGGGCGTCTTCGTCAAGAGCGAACGAATCAAACGCTTGGAGAAGGCGGATGACCATGAACGACATTTCATTATACGCGAACTAGTAAACATGAGCTTCACCGAGGAAATCTTAGTAACTAGAGGTCACATACCTGCTGGCCTAGGCAAATCCTTGGCCCGGCGTTAAATGGGAGGAATGCAAAGCTGTTGGGTATGAGGTACTTGTTGAGACGAGCGTCCAGGAAGCGATCGGGGTCGAACTCTTCCGCTATGTATGCGAAGGCGCAGATCATCGTTGGCAGAATACATCAGCACCAAATACAGAAGACGTCGACGAAGGATCAGCGAAGGGACCAGGAAGTAAATAAATGAACATGAAGTAAGAAGTCGAGTGAAATGATTGCTGGAAGCAACTTGTCCCACGTACCGTCCGGACCCCACAAATCCTTCCTCCGATGCATCAACATAACTGAGTACGACAGCTTCGTCTTAGCGGGTATATATAGTGGCTTCTCAGTAGGATCGGGAGAAGTCCAGACGGTTGGCTGGATGGATGTGCGGACGTTGAAGGGACTGCAACATGGTCAACATCGCGAAGAAGACACCTAGATTGAGGGTTGGACTTACACGATAGGGTACAATCTCAGTGTCTCGTTGATCACCGCTCGAAGGAATTTCATTTCCCTGATATTCTCAAACGTGGGCCTCCTGCTTGTCCCGACCTTCTCAATTACTTCGTTGCGAAGGCGAGCGAAGACGGCTGGATGTGTGGAGAGGAAGTACAAAATCACGGTAAGCGTCGCAGCAGTCTATGATCGCAGAAATCAGTGGGTCGATAAATAAAGAAAAGTCGGCAATATGCATACAGTGTCTCTGCCTGCTATCATGATATTCAACACCTCATCCCTCAGGACGACCGGGTCCGACGTGAATTTGACTAAATGGTCCAGCAGCGTCTCATCATCAGCAACTTCGTCGTTCTGCTGCTTCGCAACGCCGATGGTTCCTTTCTCCTCATCAGCCAACCTCTTCTTCTTGACAGCATCCTTAACGATGGGTGCAATGAACGCGTCGACGACTTTCATGTGCTCTTTCGTCTTATCGCCCCAAATTTCTGTCAGTGGCCACACCCAACCCAACTGTTCGCGGCTAGATATGATCCGTTGCGCCTCCAGGAAAGCGTGGGCGAATTTCTCTGCGACTTCCTCGCTTGGATGTGAATCAGAATAGTGGAGCAGTTGCTTGTCGTACGGATAAGGCAGACGGCCATTAAGAGAGTACACGCAGGATCCGAACAGGAACTCGGTGGCGGAGTCGAGTGTGAAGCGGCCCATCAAGTCTTGGAAGTCGATGGCCAAACCCTCACGAGAACGCTCTCTCATCTTCTGGACCACGATTTCTGCATGTCGGTCGAATAGATCAAAGTGGGAGATACGATCACGAGAGAAGAAGGGCCGTGTCATGGAACGGTGGAATTTCCACATGTCGCCGTCAGAGTTGAATACGCCGGTTCCAAGGACAGAATTCATGTTGGTGCGGAAATCCTGACCTTGGGGAAGATATTCAATTTCAGTGAAGCTACGTAGGACAGACGAAGGGGACGAAAGTCGCGCACCTTTCTCGAAATTGTTGAAGTCCTTCGCCAGCATGGCTTTAATGTGCTCAGGACAGACAGTCACGACGGCATAATCCCACAAGATGTGTAGATCGACAATGGGGCCATATTCCTTGATGAAACTGGCAGAGCCGTCACCTGGACGGGGCCGTCAGCTGAGTGTCTACTAGGGGGCACAGCAATGCACACCAGGATAACCGTTCTCAGAGTTTCGCATAAGCTTGCGCAGTACATCCAAATTCCCCACCGACGCGCCCTTGACTCTAGGTATAAGCCTGACACCGAGCCTCCTCGCTTCGCGCCTCGTCTTCCACTCGGATGTGTACACCCTCACGAACGCATACGCTGGTGTCGCAAAAAGGCCAATAAGCACGAGAGCGACTGTCGGAATTGGGATGCCGTTTGAATACGAAACATGGTTGAGAACAATGGCGAAGACGACGCTTGGAAAAATGTAAGAGAAACCCCCGCGCAGGAGGAAGTCTATACCGGGGGTGATCACCGTCATGTTTGACGAGGCTCTGGATAAGTACGAGACACAATCGTCTCCAGCCTATTCATCGCTTGCAAATAGACTGGTAATTTATTAGCCGTTACTCAGCACTTGGACCCTGAAGCTACAGTGACAGCCGCGGAAGAACGGAACCCTCCTGTATCATCTCTACATCTCCCCTATTATCCCTAAATTGGATCGTGTATTGATAGCGAATAGACGGCCTACTAATACACTATCTAGCTACACGATAGTCATTCGCTTGCAAATGGGTAGTCGACGTAGCCTTTTTCGCTGGCATCCCCATGTGCGTAGAACGTTGATCTGTCATATGCATTAAGAGGTAGGTCCTTCCTCCATCGTAGAACCAAATCGGGCTATAGAAGGAGGCTATGCGATTAGTTTTGAACATCATCGTTATGTCGAAGCTCAACCACCTACATTGGAAAGGAATAGTCTCCCCGAAGCGATAATATCCCCCTTTTCGGCCCCTTTCAAGGCAAGCTCCCTCGTATAACCTCCAGCAACGATGAACGGCCTAGGTGCCCATATTTTCCGAAGAAAGTCGTTCTCCTCATCCTCGGATAGGTCCGAATCTTTTCGTATGTTCATATCAGCCACGCGGGGCTCGACGACGTGGACGTACGACAAATTTGGGAAGCGTTCACGGATCTGTGTAACCAGATATGAGAATGTCGGTTTGGGATCCTCCATGCGCATGTCGTTAAATTTACTCCAGGGGCTGATACGTATCGCCGTCCTGTCTTGTCCCACTTCCCTCGTTACGGCCTCCAGTACCTCCAAGGCAAACCTCGTCCTTCCCTCCACACTTCCTCCATATTCGTCTTTTCTCTTGTTCGAAGTATCTTGTAAGAATTGATCCATTAAATAGCCGCTAGCGCCGTGTACTTCAACGCCATCGAACCCTGCCTTATTGATGGCATTCGACGCGGCTCTCCCGAAGCTCTGGGCGAGTTCCTCTATTTCTGCGACGGTAAGAGGACGTGGGATGGCCGAAGGGGATGCCCTCAGTGGAATATCAGAGGCAGACACGTAAGGGGTGTTTTGGGCATTGAGGATGCTCGGGTTCGCGCATCGACCGAGTGCCCACAGTTGCATATAGATATGTGAGCCCTGGGCATGCACGGCATCGGTGATCTAGAGACATGTTATTCACAAAGTCGATTCGTTCAACGCACGTCACCAAATACCTGCTTCCACGCCCCAATCTGCTCGTCGGACCAGATGCCTGGGACATTGTCTAGTCCACCTGCTTCTGGAGCTATGATGGTCCCCTCAGTGATAAGGAGAGTGCCTGGTGCACTCGCGCGTTGCGCGTAATAATCACGAACAATTGGGAGGATCGGCATCTGTTCGGATTTAGTCGCTCGGCATCGGGTAAGTGGGCAAAGGACAACGCGGTGTTGAAGGGTAAGGCGTCCCACTTTGATTGGGTGAAAGAGGGACGGGATGGATTGTGCTGGTGTCATTCTTTGGTTATAATATGCAACTAGTACTAGCTATGTAGTATGTAGATTATGAGTAGACCAACATACTTCAGCCGCCGCTGTATTTATACTGGCCAGTGCACCACCCGCTAATTCAATGGTTGAGTCACTCCATGACTTATAAACCGACGGCTGTGAGGCATCAAGTACTTGCAGGCGACCGAATTGCCGTTCCGTGTATCCGTAGAAGAGAGTAAGCAAGGAGTCAGCGCATCAGCACAGACGACGCTCACTTATCAAGCAGCTGTCCCCGGAGAGACGATGGTGATGAGCATCATCTTTGATGGTCTGCAGATGGATGTCAAGTCATGGGCGCTGGATATTTTGATACTAAAAGCAAGCCAGTCCTCAAACTACATTCGAGTGATTAGAGGCAATCTCACAGCTTCTTCCTGTGTGGAGTCACGAGAAGATCGACACTTCTCTTTATTCGAAGCAAAATACATTACTCGAAAGACAAACACGACTAGGGGCCTGACCCGATTGGGCCATCTATTGCCTTTTACGTCACGGAATTGAGACGCCGACCGCTCTCACTCATCGACTGGACCTCTTTACAAACTTCGGCACGAATAGGGGGGGGAGAGACCAGAAAATGCCAAGCTGGGCGCCGGGGATGTAAGGGCATTAATGTGTTCTTCGTGGGCTCGGGCAGAGTATATAGATAATATTAATAGATAAATATACAAACACACAATATCGCAAGCCTGAATAGTAACCAGATATTAACAGATGGCGAGAGACCGCGTTTTTAGGACTCCTTCGCTTCATGCGCCTTAACCCACAACCCACCCTGTCAAAATTCGTCATCGGTATGGTTAAAGAGGGCAGGGCGTGAACTGAGACTCACATAAGCGTACAAAGTCAAAGTCACCTTGGGATAGAACTTTTCTATAGCCCTCCTCCCGCTTGGCCCATCCTTCCAGTATGCGCGAGGCCGTGTCTCGGGCGGCTGTGCGTCTTCGTCCAGCGAGAAGGACTCGAAGTTTTGAAGCAGTCTGATGACCATGAAGGAAATCTCGTTGTAGGCGAACTGAGCAGACGGATGTGAGATAGGAGTTGGGAGAGTTAGGGCAGGAGAGTACCTGTTGGCCCAGACAAATGCGCGGCCCAGCGTTGAAAGGTAAGAATGCGAAACTATTCGAGATTAAGTACTTCTTCAGGCGGTCGTCGAGGAAGCGGTCCGGGTCAAATTCCTCAGCTATGCGGTCCCTCAACAACTATCTGGTTAGTTGAAAAAGGCGACGTACCATCTGGACCCCATAAATCCTTTCGCCGCTGCATAAGAAATACAGAGTACATCGTTTTTGTGCCACCAGGAATGTACAACGGCTTCTCATTCGGGTCCGGAGAAGGCCAGGTTGTGTCGTTAATCGACTGGCGAACATTGAACGGTCTAAAGGAGATGTGATGATTCAACGAAACTTAAGGGGCAAAAATTCGGGGAGCCTACACCACAGGGTACAGCCTCAGAACCTCATTAATTACCGCTCGCAGGTACTTCATATCTCGAATCTCTGCGTACGTTGGTCTTTCGGAGGAGCCGACCTTGGAGAGGACCTCGGTACGGAGGCGCTTGAGGACTTCCGGGTACATTGCGAGGAAGTAAACCAAAACGGTCAAAGTAGCGGCAGTCTACGAGTAAATCGAGGTTCAGTGCAGTATTCATGGTTGAAAGCCAAACCATGGGACGAACGGTGTCTCTACCCGCCAACATAATGTTCAACGTCTCGTCCTTGAGCACGACAGGATCTACGATCGATCCAAGAGTTAGCTACATCATAATAGCAGTGGACGGGTGAAAGCACCTGAGGTGAATTTGACTAAGTGATCCAACAACGTTACATCATCCTCTACCTCTGCGCTATTTGCGTCCTCTTCCGGTTTAATAGTTTGACCCCCGAGGATTCCCGTCTCCGTGTCTTTCGTTCTTTTCTTGCGCAACGCCTCCTGTATGATGGGGTCGATGAATGCATTGACGACTCTCATAGGCTCCTTCGTTGCATCGCCAAACATCTCCCACAACGGCCAGATCGGGCCCAGCCTTTCACGCTGAGATATTGCCTCCTGTGCCTGCAGGAATGCTCTAGGAAACTTCTCATCTGCAACTTGGTGATTATCCAAGGGCGCAAGATAGGCGGGATCCAGATGATGCGGGTATGGCAGCTTTCCGTTTAGAGAGTGTACACACGATCCGAACAAGAACTCCGTGGCCGAGTCCAAGGTGAACCTTCCCATCAAATCCTGTACATCGATACCCATCCCTATGCTACTTCGCTCCTTCATCCTGTAGATGAGGACTTCCGCATGCCGGTCGAAAAGGTCAAAGTGAGAGATACGATCCCGCGAAAAGAAGGGGCGTGTCATGGACCGGTGGAATTTCCACATTGAACCATCAGAGTTGAACACACCTGTCCCAAGGACGGGAGACATTGTCTCGATGAATCGGGGACCTATGGGGTGACAATGGTAAGCTGAGACAATAAGCGTGCGAGTGATGTACCTTTCTCGTAGTTATTGAAATCGGTGGCTAGTATGAGTTTTATGTGCTCGGGGCAGACAGTAAAGACGCCCTCGCCCCATAGAACATGGAAGTTGAACGCGTTCCCGTATTCCTCGAGGATTTGAGTTAAGCCGTCGCCTGACGGGAGTCAGGACTAAGTGGAAGGATCTACGACTGTAAGCCAACTTACCAAGGTAGCCATTGCTGAAGTGCCAATTCATTTCCTTTAGAATATCCAGGTTGGCAAACCACCGTCCCCTGAGCCTCGGGATTAGCCTAGCTCCTAACTTGGCAGCTTCTCGTTTCATTCTAAGATCCGACCAAAGGATGCGCGCCGAAGCATAGCACGGTATTGCCAGAAGTCCAGCCAGAAGCCCCACGTTGAAACCGGCGAATCGTTGCGTCAAGACAGCAAGGAGGACACTGGGAGCAAGGTACTTGGTCGCGCCGCGGAGGGCATAGTCGACGCCTGGCGTGAATCTGAGCATCGGATTGATTAGAGACTTTCACCAGGATCAGTTGTGACGGTCGCTGGTTGAACTGCGCGATTCGCAGCCTTGCTGTACGACTAGCATAATGGTCCTTCTTCCATCATGTTCCCATGATCAATGTATTTATGTAGGTTACCACGTGGAGAACGGCATAGCAAGGTAGCGCCTAGCGCCCAAAAGCGCCTAGCAAAAATTTGCCAATATGATGCTATATATATCCCCCAGACCGGGATCGAACCAGTGGCCTTGAGATAATTCATCCAATTACAGTCTCACGCTCTTCCAGCTGAGCTACCGGGGGTGGGGGATCGCCTTCCTCGTTTGGGAGTGCGCTAGGGGTCGCCTGATCACTTCCAAGGCCAGAGCACGGCTCGTCTGTACTAGAACAGAATTGCCGTCAGGTCTCGTCCCAGCATCCGCCTAGAATACATCGGTTTCGCATGAGACTTGTCTGGAATATGCACCCCTAAACATGCACCGCCCGCTATAAATGCGGACATACCCATCGGTCACACATCGAACAAACCGCCTACCGTTCACTACCCTCGACCTGCGCACTGAAATGAACACCGCCCGACTCGGACTGAGAGCGCTGCGCTCGCAACCAATGCCGAAGTTCACTTCGACCCCCATCGGCCAAGTTGCTAGGCGGTACGCAAGCACCAGTGGACATGGGGTCTGTAGCAGCCCCCTTCTTGTTGTCGAGTCGATTTGCTCATCGCCAGACAGCACCTACCATTCTCTTATGCGAACCGCCGCACCTTTGCCTTGAAATATTTCACCTTCGTAGCGACTGGCTTCTCTATCCCCTTCATTGCTATTTGGTGGACATGGTAAGTCGCTCGCCATCGCTACCATCACCACGGACTGATCAAGGATCAGGAACAAACCAGGAGGAATCCATAATCCTTAAAGACGGGTCCTTCGCAAAGCATTCAGACGGTGCCGGTCTATATATATCAGAGGCCGAGATGCACGTCAGACAAATAGTAACACTGTACAACAATAATTCAACAACTCATGGTTTCACAATGATCACAATGACCAGCGGTCCATCTACACGGTCGCTAAGATTGCATTGGCCCTCAGCGTCGGAAGGAAGGCCTGAAAGTCGTTCCATAAGTCGGGGGCGTTCCTGAACAATACCTCAACTTCGAGCGTCATCTCATCCTACTCACATTTGAATCAGCTCGCAGCTAAGGCCGACTAGATAACTTGTTACTGACCAAAGTGATTTCACCCTTTTGCTGTTTTTGCATAAGGTCCAGGAAAGACCGGTACAAAGAATTGTCTTCCCTCCCGTACCGCGCTCTGACCTTGTCCAGGAAGGTGATGGCGTCCATGAACTCAGGTCCTTGTTGCTGGGCGGCTTGATGGGAGACAATGGATGGCTGTCCTCGCAATGCCGTCGCTAGCCGTGCCGTTTCTTCGTCTGAAAGAGCAATTGGGAGTGTTTCCAGGGTGCCGCCTGGGTTACGGGTGTTCAAATTGATGACGGGGTGGTCGGGATCGGCGCTAGAAATCTCTAACTGGAGGGCAGGCGGGAGGAAAGCGCTGAATCTCTCGATATGGTAAGGGGATTCGAGGAAGAGGCGAGAAATGCGCCGTACGACATCCAAACGGTCTACCCTAACGAATGACGCGTCAATAAGGTGTTTCGACTAGAACAGAGCATGCATGAATTCCGGACCTTCCTTGTTTGTATTCCTTCATAATTTCCAAGAACTCGTCATACACTGCTGCTCTGTCTCTGTATTGGTCGCGAACGGAATCGAGGTATGCAAGCGCGCCAGAGACATCCATAGACGATGCATCTACGGCGCTGCCGGGAGCCGCAGGCCCTCCAGTATTGACTGAGTCGTTGGGAGGTTGAGAGCCTGGGATTGTAGGCACCTGCGCTGGTGCGTTAGTCGCGTCTTGAGTGGAAGGCGAGGTCATTTGGAAAACGTGGGTGATGGTAGTTGGATACGAAGCCCTAACGCTGTTCTCCGTGGCTTATATCGCCTCTACATAGTCATGGGGCTGTGGTGTATGAGATCTTTCAGAAGTTATCTTATCTATATTGGCCCCGCACTGAGTCGAAACCCGACTTCATCGCAAGGTTACAGCCTTGGAACAGGTGATGATACGACGCGAAGCGCATAGGACGATACATCCCTGATTGAATTCATGGACTGTATCAGCATAATAGCGCAGGAGTGAAACGCCACTTAGCAACGTTGCTTTTGGTATGTATGTCTCCCCGATGAAAAATACATTTAATGGGGGGGAGTTGATTTTCATTTTCACACGGTCAATGAGGATTTCTCACAGTCATTACACAACAAGGCTTCACCTCAAGAAGTTGTTTTTTGAATAATTTCATTCTGTAGAGTTTGGAAGTACTACCATCTTCTGCAGCTCGAGGCTCGCACATCCCGTTCTCTGGTGTTGGACGGTTTGAAAGGGCCGACCACAAACTGAAATTGACAGGGCCTCCGGAAACGGTCTGATGGTCCTTTGAATGCCATCGGGCTTTCCGAGCTAATTCTCTCAGACTGAAAACGGATCGAAGAATCACTTACTTTCTTGTGGCAGAAATATGCCTGCCAAAGTATCAAGTTGAGGGTGCGTACTGTACGTAAACTCTCCTTTTCGATGCCTAATTAAACCTCTTTAAAGAGATCGAACGACGGAGAGCCAGTAACGGCCAAGCACTGAGTGCCATTCGCCATGCGATCACTGCCAACCAAGTCCATCACATGGTGCTGCGCCCCCGCAATTGGAACGACCTCGTGGACTTCCCCATGTCAGCAGTATTAGACGCGACCGGCTAGTCAATCACCTGTCCCTTATTTAAAAGGACGAATGTCTCTGTTGTAGATCTTCTGCTTTGACACTGACATGACTGTCATCACCCCGGGCATCGACTTCCTCCTGCGCGGGGCTTTCTCCTACCTCGCTCCAAGCGTCCTCTTCGCCGTCTCTCTCAATCATATCTTCCATTTGAACGACATTCAAGTACCAACTGTCGTTGTCGTGCTTATCGGGGCTCTTGCGTCACCAATATATACTGCCTTCAAAATATGTGCATCAGACTGGAAAGCGAGACGCGAAGCAAACAAACTTGGTGCACGCCTCATACCCAGAGTCAAAGGGAGATTCCCAGGGAATTTGGACGTACTCCGGCAACTGATGCAGGACTTTGAGACCGGTTATATTGGTGCGTATTTAGTCGCACCACGGCCGTGATGTTTTGCTGAGCGACCAATTGAATACAAGGTGACGGCGTTGCGCAATTGATCAAGGAACACGGTCCCATTGTCGATATGCATATCTTATGGGACTGTGCTGTTGTTACCACCTGTCCCGAGCACATCAAAGCTATGTTAGCCAAAGACTTTACCAATTTCGAGAAGGGTGCGCACCCCGCGTTCTGCGTAGCCTTGCTGTTGCTCACTAATTAATCCAAGGCCCGGAGTTCCACGCGAACATGCATTCTGTTCTTGGAACCGGGGTATTCAACTCTGACGGCGACATGTGGAAATTCCACCGTTCCATGACACGGCCCTTCTTCTCCCGTGATCGTATCTCCCACTTTGATTTATTCGATCGACATGCAGAAATCGTGATTCAGAAGATGAGAGAGCGTTCCCGCCAAGGCTCGGCCATCGACTTCCAAGACTTGATGGGCCGCTTCACACTCGACTCTGCCACTGAATTTCTTTTTGGGTCCTGCGTGCACTCTCTCAACGGGCGTCTGCCTTATCCATACGACAAGCAACTGCTTCACTATTCCGACACCCATCAAAGCGAGGAAGTCGCAGAGAAATTCGCCCATGCTTTCCTACAGGCGCAGCAGATCATCGCTGGACGCGAACGGATGGGTTGGACTTGGCCGCTGACGGAACTTTGGGGTGACAAGACCAACGAACACATGAGAGTCGTCGACGCGTTCATCGCACCCATCGTTAAGGACGCTGTCAAGAAGAAGAGGTCGGCCGACGAGGAGAAAGGTATTGCTGGTTCTGCAACGCTGGACATGGAGAAGAAGGACGATGTTAGTGATGATGAGACGCTGCTCGATCATTTAGTCAAATTCACATCAGACCCGATTGTACTGAAGGATGAGGTGTTGAACATCATGATAGCTGGTAGAGATACTGTACGCACATTCCTTCCCTTCTTTCCTCGCTGGCCTATAATCTGATGATCCTTTGCAATCGCAGACCGCCGCAACGCTGACCATTATTCTGTACTTCCTCTCCACACATCCTGCTGTTTTTGCCCGCCTTCGCACCGAGGTTGTCGACAAGGTCGGCGCAAACAAGAGGCCCACGTTCGAAGATATCAGGGAAATGAAGTACCTTCGAGCAGTTATCAACGAGACTCTGAGATTATACCCTATCGTGTAAGTTCCCTCCTTCTTTGGTGTTTACTTTCCTCCGTGATATTGATATTTATGCAGGCCCTTTAACGTGCGCACATCGATCGAGCCGACCGTCTGGCCCTCTCCCGATCCCAACGAGAAACCTATATACATACCCGCGAAGACAAAGATGTCGTACTCCGTAATGTTGATGCACAGGAGGAAAGACCTGTGGGGTCCCGACGGTATGCATCATTCCTACTCGCAGTCTTCACTCCACTCAAGTGCTTATTTTTCTGGTTTACTTCCTGGTTCCTACGTTGATATTTTTACCGTGCTCTCCATTTGGCGTTGATCGATTGTGGCGATGATCGACGTTGGGTAACTGGCAATATATATAGCCGAAGAGTTTGACCCAGATCGCTTCCTGGATGCTCGCCTCAAGAAGTACCTCATATCCAACAGCTTCGCGTTCCTCCCCTTCAACGCCGGGCCACGAATATGTCTGGGCCAGCAGGTTAGTGCCTTTCATTGTCTCTCTTGTATTGTATGAGTCCTTACTCGCGCCGGCCTCGTGCTTTAGTTCGCGTACAACGAAATGTCGTTCATGGTCATCCGTCTTCTGCAAGCCTTCGATTCGTTCACCCTCGACGAGGACGCTCAACCCCCCGAGACTAAGCCTCTCCCCGAGTGGAGGAACGAAGTAGGAACTAGGAAGGGGATGGAGAAGTTCTTCCCCAAGGTTGGCCTTACCTTGTACGCCCATGTGAGTAACAGTCTTCCTCCTCTGTACATTGTTATTAATCATTGGCTCCAGGGAGGACTTTGGATCAAGGCAAAGGAAGCCCAAGAGTAGAGAACAAGTACTGACTTCGAAATACCCGCTTTTCAACTACATTAGTGTATATTATCTGTTGGATTATGTATATATCGTGCTCTAAGGGTTCCCGATTTTGTCCCTTTCCCTTTGGCGTCGCATCTGCCACATTCATGGATTTCTTCGCGCTAGTTTTCAAGCATTGTTCGTCCTTGCAAGGCTTTCTCCTGGAAGTGATGCTAATCGGAAACAAGATGTTCCAGCGTAGTTACCTACTTCCCATTCACCTTGCGCCGGGTTCAAGGATGTGGAACATCACAGAACTATACTATCACAGGTGTATGTACTTATACTTTTATATGATACATGGTCATAAAAACGAGTTCTTCTCCTCAAGAAGAGTGTGAATATTACTCGTCGAGACCATCAACATCGATTGCGTCTTTATCCCCTCCCAAATTCAATTTTCTCTTCCGCCCTGGCATCTCTGCGCCCCCTCCAAAGCCAGCACCAGCCTTCTGTCTCATCATCTCCAAATCCTCGCCCTCCTCAGCCCACTGCAAGACGAGATGACGCCCGAGCAAATGGGTATGCTTCAGAGCATTGTAAGCATTCTCGGCCTCGTGGCGAGATACGAAGTCCAAGAAAGCGAAACCGCGGCTGCGAGCATCGAACCGTTTGGGCACCCGCACAGATTTCAGTTGTCCGTGTGCACTGTAGGGCAGGAGAGACGAGTGTTTGTCAATGACAAAAAGGACGGAAGCAAAGGGACAGGCCGTACCTGAACAAAGCCCGGACATCTTTCTTTGTGGCTTCGAACGGTACGTTTTTCACGATGATCTTGGTCGTAGTGCCCTTCGAAACTGAACCACCTTTGACTGCGTCTTCCGCCTCTTCTTGCCCCCTTCCGGCAAACTTGACATGCAGCGCATGCCCGTCCAAGACGTAATCCTGCATACTCTTCAACGCCTTCTGCGCCCCTTCGACATCCTTGAACCCAACAAACCCATATCCCATGCTCAATCTCGGCGCGTCCTTCCCTGGTTTCTTAGGATCAGGCTTCGTCTGGACGCGAGCAAAGGAGAACGAAGGAAGGTGGCGGAAGACTTGCGTGAGACGTTCGCTCGTAGTGGAGAACGCGAGATTTTTGACAAAGAGGGTAGTGCCAGCGGCAAGAGACGGCGCGTCTTCCTGCGGGGCTTCTTGTTCCTGCTCTATGATGCGGATGGCGGCGGATGTTGGAGGATGGCCACCGTCGGATGCTTTGATTTCCGACGTGGGGAGGAACATCCCTTGTGGACCTTTCTCAAGGTATATTATACTATTCCCCAGTCGCCGATACGCAATCGCTTTGAAAGCCTTCTGAGCTTCGTCTGGATGCTCAAAGTCCACCACAGCCATCGTTCCTGCAGGAGGGACCAACACCCTCGCCAGCGACCCATGCTGCTCAAACATTTCTCTAATTTGTTCGACCGTCGTACCGAAAGGAATATTCTTGACCAATATCGTGGTGTCGGAACGAGCGCGTGCCGCAAAAGATTCGAGGATGACACCCTGGGACTCGAGGTATGTCTTCGTTTCGCTGATGATATGGGTCTCTGCTAAGGCAAGCTTGACAGCAGCGTTATCGGACTCGGGGTTCAGGATCTCCGACTTAGATATATTCATACGCGAGGCGACGGACGAGGCCACCGCATCACTCTGTGCATCACAACAATCAGATCTTGGTGTTGATAGTAGTACAAGGCGTTCAAAGAATGACGAACATTCATGTACAGCATACTCCAATTAAACTCTTTTCCCGCCGCTGACTTGCGGCTCTGGTTGCGCTCGTCTTTCACCGTCTTCTTCCTACCACTCCCTTCCTCTATCTGAATGTTCCCCTTCCTGTCGACAGCCGGGAGAATGTGCAGCAGCCGTCCTTGGAAGGACTTCCGATCGAGAGCTTCAAAGGCAGCTAACGCACAGCTGCTTTGTCGGAAGGTGACGTAGGCCAGTCCTTTCGACTGCTTGGTGAGAGAATCCAGCGGGATATGTACCTAGCGCAAATGTTAACTTCGGATTCATGAAATACGAAAATGTTGTAGTTCAGAAGGAACAATTGTAAAATTGTAAGTTCAGCATTCCCGTAGGTCAGCTTATATCCCTGTAAAGTCTCATCCCGCGCAATGAAGTAGATGGGTATTCACCTAGGGAAAAGTACGAGTTAGCATATAATCGGAAACGAGTGAAAGGAAGCACGAAAAGATCAGAATATAAAAATTTCTACTACTGAATATTTCCCAGGAAATCAACATCCCACTTGAGCGGTCTGATGTCCCTATGCTTTTTTTCATCTGGAGGGGGGAGAGTATGGAAAAGGGAGCTGAGTTACTAACCTGAAAAAAGAAGTTGTTAGCATACTCGTTACGTCCGAAACGATGCAAGATATGGCAAAGAGGGTTCAGATATTATTTCTACTATCGGATTTCCCAAAGGAATCATCATCCTCATACGAGTAAGATGTCCCTATGCAAGTTTATCATCCCACCAAAGCGACGGAAGGCAACCAAACAAATGGAGGCAAGAGAGAACTGATGGATTTTAAAGCTTACCTGAGCAATGTCACCATACGGTTTAAATAGCGTTTCGACTTCTTCCTGCGTGCACGAAAATGTCAGATTGCGAACGAAGAGTCTTCCTGTTTGTAGTATTGTATCCCGTGCGACGTCATGGGGAGAAGCCGGCGAAGGTGGTACCTGTATCTAGGTCAGATAAAGCGAACATCAGTCGGAAGTGACTCACAGCTGGCGTTGGCTCGTTCAATGATTTCTCTGTAACTTCATCATCCTGCTCGAAGGCCCTATGCGCGACATCCACTTTAGACGACATACGCCGCCGCATCCACTCTAAGTCAGACAAAGGTTCATCTTTCCCGGCCTCGCCCTCTCTCGGAGGAGATTGAGCTATTGGTTCAGGTAACGGGGGCTCCACGCTGGCAATCGGTCCACCTGGTCTGGGTTTACCCTCGTCATTGGCCCAAAGAGGCCCTTTCGCCGTCCGAGGTCGCATCACATCCAGAAATTCTTCGAGTTTGTCGTCCGTAGCAGAATCGGCGTGCTCCCTCACTTTGATGTGCTTACTAGGGGTATCATCGTCGGGGGACGGGTCCAAACGAGGACGTTTATTTGGTCTAGGCCTAGGTGCATCTTTCGCTCTCTGTTAACATTGGGCTTAAGGTCGTACAAAAATTCATAAAGAACTCACGTCCACAACCATGACATTGATCCTCGTAGAATCAATGAATGTGCGATCAAAGTAGGTCTTCGCAGCCTCAGCTTCCAGATCTGATTTGAAGCCAACAAAGCCGAATCGCCTTGACGTGCCATCCGACTTGGACGAGACTTTGACATCGGTGATGATTCCTCCTGGGGCACCCTTTTGCTCAAAATGTTTCCTGAGTTGCGCGGGGGTTACATACGTTGGCAGGTTCTTGACGATGAGCCGTGACATGGAGGAGGAGAAGGTGGGTGGATGAGAGATGAAAAAAATTGGTCACATATCCAATCCTGGGAACTTATCTCGGCATCAGCCGAGGATACACTTGCTCTCAGAATTCAGAATTCTGACGCGCCCAAGCTTCAAGCACAGATGTCGTCTGGATCAGTGCTTTTGACAGAAGAAAGAAACCCTCGAGGTATCCCAAAAGCTCCCTTCATCGTGAGTTGTGTCGATTACACTCGCTAGACACTGACAGACCAATATTACCATGCCAGGCCGATGTCGAACAATATTTAGGCGGTCCTGAAGGAGAAGTCGAAATCCCGTTGCGAAACTTCCAAGATGCTATTGCGTACGTGATACTTGGGTCCTATCGCGTCGCTAGCTAAGATGTATTCACCTTGGAAAGGGCAGGAAGTACCGATACATGGAGAACAACCTAGCTCAGCGGAGAAGAGGGCTTGAAGACAAAATACCTGATATCAGGAAGACCCTGAACATGGTCGAATATCTTCAATCGCGACGCGTAGGGGAGCTTCTTCTATACGAGAAAAGAACTGATGTCTCCTTGATCAGGAAGCGAAAAATAAGACCAGAGAGGAAGACGATTTAGAAGATGACCTTGACGGAGACGACGCGCAGAAACCATTACAAACCACATTTGAGCTCAACGATACGCTTTTCGCTGAGGCTGAACTTGAAGATACGGACACCGTGTTTTTATGGCTGGGGGTGAGTTTACGTGCCTTGTCTTTGACGTCCATTCATTGTGTCCTCATAGGCTAACGTGATGCTCTCGTACAAACTTCCTGCGGCGGTATCACTCTTGAGATCGAAACTCGACGCAGCGAGCACAAGTCTGGAAAACACGATCGAGGACTTGGAGTTCCTGCGTGAACAACTGACTGTCATGGAAGTGAACACCGCGCGCGTGTACAACTGGGATGTCAAACGAAGACGGGAGAAACGGATGAAAGAAGAGGCGCAAACGAAGCAATTAGCTGAGAAGACAGACAGTTAGTAAGATGCCAGCAAATTCTGTATTATATTGTCACCCTGCTCGATCTTCTCGTCGCTTCCTAAATCGCGATACGTAGGCTTGCTGCTATGATCAAGCCTGGGATCAATTGTCAAGAAATTGGCCGACCCATTCTAGTGCCTTCCCACTCGACGGATCTCCCCCTCTCCCTGGAACCAATCAAACCGCGAAAACATGAGAGCCACTTCCCATTGACTGAGACCGTAGATAACGCACTTGCATCCAGCTCTTCATCATTGGCTTTCGGTGATGGTGCCCACAGTGGCCTATCATCGGCTACCAACTCGTTTCCTATTCGCTACTAAGTAAACACGGCAGGTGGTCTGTCTATTTCTGGTGTGTCAATTACTCGTTTGCACCTAATTTACACACGGGTCCATGGTGCATCGTAAGCGGCAACCGCGGTTACCGGACATAATGCTGGTACGGCGAGGGCCTATAAGACGGAGGTAACTTTGGTCTGTGATTTCCAGCAGTTTCCAGCTCGGTCCCCGTTCGTCCCCGTGAAGTCTGAGTCTTTATAGCAAGTTCCCCGGACATCATTGTTCAGACCGATGGACACCATGAAGGAGTCTACAAGTATCTCCTCTGCTCCAGCTGAAAGGACGCCGTCGTTGTTCGACTCCGCGACGGGTTTGAAGCAGCGGGCAATGATCGATATCTACGCTGACGACGAAGATGCCATCGATCCAGTCTATCAGGCAAAGGCCAGACTATTGAACGACGCTATCCAAGAGATTGGGATGGGGAGATATCAGGCAAGCTACTCGCCCCAACGTCCAAAGCTACTATATTGACCTTCTATATACTGCAGTGGTCACTATTCCTCGTTGCAGGGTTTGGCTGGTTCGCGTGCGTACCTTAGAACTTTACATTTGTAGCTATGTAAATGATCTGGTTTCATATCATATCATACAGAGATAGCGTCTGGCCGGTGAGTAATCCTGTTCAGTAATGAGGCGCCCTATTTTGATCGCATTGTGTTCATCAGCTTCTCAGCGGTCTCATTCTAGCACCTGTACTCTCCGAGTTCAGTTTCAATGGTCCATTTCTGTCATTAGCTGCCAATATTGGCCTGCTCGTCGGCGCAGTGGTCTGGGGAGTAGGTTGCGATATATGGGGCAGGAGGTACGACATTAATATTCATCATCATGCGTTGAGATGCACCTAATTTTCCCTATTGTACAGATGGTCGTTCAACTTGACCCTCTTGATCACTGGTATTTTTGGCTTATTGGCGGGTGGAGCAGCCAATTTCGTATCGTTGGCCTCGCTCATCGCTGTGGTTGGTGTGGGCGTTGGAGGTCAGCAGCGACAGCGATCTCTTTAACATTCGGCGTTCTACTCACTTTGGTTTCGTAGGGAACATGCCTGTTGACTCTGCTGTATTTCTGGACATGGTGCCCGGCACACATCAATACCTCCTAACTGTTATGTCCATTTGGTGGGCGTTCGGTCAGTTGTTCGTAAGCCTTGTAAGCCTTTTCCTATTACACTCCGCTCTATGCCGCTTTCTTATTTCCAAACCGGTAGATCGCCTGGCCGTTTATAGCCAATTTCTCGTGTGACCCCTCATCAGTGACCTGTGCAAGAAAAGACAACATGGGATGGCGCTATCTCCTCTTCACCCTTGGCGCCTTGACATTATTCATGTGGGGCTTGCGATTCTTCGTCTTTACCCTCCTAGAAAGTCCGCGCTATCTCATTGGGTTGAATAAAGACGAGGAAGCGGTCGAGGTCATACACAAGCTGGCCGAGCGGAATGGGACGAAGACAACTCTAACCGTAACCCATCTTCGGGAGGCGCAAGCTCTCGTAACGGAGAAATATTCTCGTGAAACAGACTCAGCTGGAAGCGTCTACGGCGTTGGCCAGCTCGAGACTACGAACAGGCACGCTATATTGAGCAAAAGCTCTGTTTACGGAGTCGGCCATATCAAGGCGCTGTTCAGGACCCGCAAGTTGGCGTGGTCGACTACGCTTCTCACTGCCCTCTGGGGTAAGCGACATGTGTACTACATATCTGCTGAAAACCTAAATCCGACCTGTCTGTTAACAGGGATTATCGGGCTCGCATCCACCCTATACAACAACTTCCTACCATTCATGTAAGAAACTATGACATGTCTATTTGAACTTCTTCGCTAACATGTATCGGTATAGCTTAAACAGTAGAGGTAGGGACTTCGGGGATGGTTCTTTAAACACCACATATCGCAACGTAAGAGTTTACTCTGATCCTCGACGGGCTCGTGAAATCACTCATGCCATGTCTCCCCTTCCCATAGCAAGTTATCCTATCCGTCCTTGGAATTCCCGGCGCTCTCCTCGCCGGTTGGGCTGTGGAATCGCCATGGGTCGGTCGCAGAGGCACACTCGCGATTTCCTCCGGCGAGTAACCTGTTTCCCTCACCGCGTGTGCATTATTCAACGACCCCTCGCGAAATGTAGGGCTCACAGGTGCCTTTCTCCTCGCGACTACCACCGCACGGAGCTCCAATGCTCTGTTGGGGTGGAACTGCGCATATGCGTTCAATAGCAACGTAAGCAATATCTTTTGTTTGTACTCTTCTAGATTATACTTACATGTGGAATAGATAATGTATGGTGTTCTGTATGCACTTTCTCCTGAAGTCTTTCCAGCCAAAGATAGGGGTACTGGTAACGGTCTTGTCTCCACTGCAACTCGCGTATTTGGTGTGATAGTGAGTGTTTAATTCGCTTTTCACCGTCTCGGTCCTTGGACAATGGCCTGCTTACATAGCACGTTACCCTCTCCAGGCACCGGTGATTGCGCTCTATGCTGACTTGAAGACGGCGGTGCCAGTGTACATCGCTGGGGCGTTGATCATGGTGGCGGGCGGCTTGTCGCTTTTGCTACCGTATGAACCTCGAGGGAAGGCTTCTATCTAAACGTATAGGTACTGTACTCTGTTTATTTGTCTGATTACTAGAATGCTTCACCAGGCTTCTTGGCCTGGTTCAAGCCCGAATCTAAATCGATTTTCTTATCCACTTGCCCGATATGATTTCATATCTGGATGTCGTGTCTAACGGTGATATATCTAAGACACATAGTGTTCAGCAAGCTCTACTTGAGCGTGAAATGGAGCTATGTCAAGGGAGTGCCCCTGTCCCCTGATTAAGTTGAAAAGCAGCGACGAAACACCTACACTTACCCTTCAGTCTACGACTCCTTCAGGTTTGATTTGGGGGCAATTGCTGGAACTCTAATATTGTCGAAGAGTGTGGTATATGTACATATGATCCGTACATGGGCTTATAACTGACATACTGTAAATACGGAACCCATTAAACTTAACTCATAACCTCGAGCTTAGCGTATTCGGGACGGGCCAGCTACGGCATTGACCTGTGGTGGCAGTCTTCTCCTACTCCGGGTGGTGGCTCCCGTTGAAGATTCCGCCTCAGTAGCACTGAATGCTTGACGCGATTCTACCATCTGAGCGTCGCCATCTTGGTCGACTAGATACTCCACATCTTCGTACATGTGAGGAAACAGTACCGCCAACATGTCGTCAACCCTGAGAGAAGCGCTAAGTCGAGGCCAATCCTGTAATATTAAGATAATACGTACTTTCCAATGAAGTCGCCTTTGATAGTTTCTTTCTTCGCTTTCGCTTCGGCAGGCCTTGCATTTTGCGGAGTAACGCCGAACTTGGCGGTATTCAATGTACCAGCTGCGTTATCTTTGGTGTACAAAGACAAGCCCTGGCGAGCTGCGAGGTCGAGGATATTCCTCTCCACGGTGTCTAGCAAAGTGTAAGATTGGAATTTATAAGACGCGCCGCAATGTGAGTTTAATACCTTCTGCATAATAACAGAACACTAGACAAATTATATCAGTGGGATGAATATTGAGTGCAACTGAGGGACAGACCTTCGGTGGAACGAGTTTGGCCCATCCGATCAATACGAGCGATTGCTTCAAAAAGGGCCGGTTCACTTAGTTGGCGACCTCTGGAAAACAAATGCAGAAGCGGACACACCTTGAATTTCAAACCCATGATGAACGACACTCTCTAGAAGGAAAACTCTGGATGCGCAAGTTACATTTAGGCCAGCATTTTCACGTTCCCTGCGGCAATATCCATGAGCACAGTTCGGATTATGTTTAATTGTTGTCATACCCATGGAGCAGAAGTACGAGAATGTCTGGATCGGTTCTGAATCGCTTCGCTGCACTATTGTGGCCCTTCTTCTGGTCGATACGAATGGAAGGAATGTCTGGCACAGCCCTAATAAGTAGATGATCATGGGCGTTGGTAGGGGGATGTAAACGAACCGTTATCATTCAGTGCACGTTGCAAGACTGTCTCATGGCTTGTCAGCCATGGGATGACAATGGGAACGAGCGTCACGTACTGTGCAGTGAATCTGGCCAGGAGGAGAAACATATACTCTTCGTCCCCGGCTCGGTTTGTTGGAGGTATAGCAGATGTTTCACAAGTGTTTGGATCTTGCTACCAAAGTCCCCGTACGAAGACACAGATTGTATTTTCTCGAAGAGCGAGGCATCTGCACACACAGTTCGGAGGAAATTTTAACGAAAGACAAGAAGGCTCATACCGATAGCATTATACTCGATGACGCGACGAGATTTCGGGACCACAACATCGCTCTGGATAGGGTTCCGCTCAGGGGCTTTGTCGGCTTCATCGACTGTGAACCGCTGCATCTGGTCAGCGGCAACGGGTACGCTTTCACGATGTCAGGATGATAGCATAGTTCAATCCGGGAAGAGCCATACCGACAGACGGGGCACGTTTTGCCTTCCTTTCTAGCTAACCAAGCTTGAAGACACGGCTACAATTCCAGCAATTATTAGCGTGTTATCAGATGAGTATGGAAAGTCGGGCGACGGACTTCGCAGAAGATATGCGCGCTGCCGAAGTACATCAATTGCACTGAAAGACCTGAGAGTTGCGGGGTTCGTACCATGGTGTGATGAAACCTCGAATGAAGTCGTGTCGGCAAAGAATACATGCTCGATCGTCGTCGTCGTCTTCTGGCTGCACATTACCGGCCTGAGCAAGATGGGCAAGATATCTGTGCCGCGCTTTACTAGTGTTGATCTTCGCGTCCAGTTCCTGAAGCTCTACTTGGATCGCATTGATCGTATCTGGTAAGGTTGTCTCAATCGTAGGTTGTGCAACAGAATCCGAGATTTCTTGGAGCTGGGCGAAATAAATAACCCGAAGGTTGAAGACCTTGCGGAAGGAGCTCAAGTCGACTTCTAGTTTTTCTAGTAAGGGGGCTAGGAAGATAAAAGTCAGGAGATATTTTCGGGTGTTAGTAGAGGGAAGGCAAACCCCTTTCATTGAGTAGAACATGGATGTTTGCAATCGCGTCCCTCAACAATATCTTTTCCGGGTCCTTCTCACTTCTGATCTTGGTCATACGCGCCTTGAGATCAGAGAGGATCTATGGGTGCCAATCGTCAATAGGCGAGGGGTGTCCGATGGGAAATGGATTACACTCTTGATTGCTCTTCCATCCAATTGCTCCACAAGATCCTTGCGTTGGTACGAGAGTTCGACGTATAACGCTTGATTCTCGTCGTCGAGATCTCTGATTTCGGGTGCAACTGTCTCAGCTGCGTTCATGGCGGCCCGAGTATGCCTCTTGCGTTTCTCCTTCGCATCATGAGCTGCGAGGATGGTACGCTCCTTGATCAATGCCTCCCGGTGATCGGCAATCAAGATGGAGTATGCCTGCATGTAGCTTTCGGCGGCTCCTTGGTCGTCGAGGCTGCGTTGATATTCCTGTCCATCAGCTTCATCCTCACCACTGCCTTGAGGCGCAATCTTTCGCGTCAATAGTTCCGTGAGTCGAGTACGCCATTCCCACATTAGATTGGCCTGTTGATTTAGGACCTCGCTGGCGATGAAGTTGGCTTGCTCAATCTATGAGTAGTTAGTTCAGTACTTGGTACGTTGCAACGACCATTGCCTTACCAAAGCAGACATTGGGACAGGCTTCTTCTTTTTCTTCTTCGGCTTCACCTCTGGGTTGGAGGCATCACTGTCTGACCCATCGACGTCGGTTCCCTCTTCATTCTCGTCTTCCGACTCGGATAAAGGCGCCAGACCCCTAGCAACTCTATTCTCATTGCGCCTCGCCTTCCGCTTGTCCTCGATGGCTCGCATTTCCGCACCCTGATGGAGAAAGGGGGTCTCGACAAGCAAAGCATCCTCAGTAATTCCTTGCAACGCAGCATCCTTTGCTAATTGTGCCATGGCGTTTTGCGCATCCTTCTCTGCGTCTATAAAGATAAACATCAATGAGCTACAACCGATTCGGAAGCGCATTTGTAACTCACTAGCAAGAATACTCTTCCTCAGATCTTCTGCTTGTGCATACGCGGCATCCTCTTCTTCTTTGCGCCCCAGGACATGATACACATCTCCCATCACGAAGTACGCACGATGAAGGGCAATGATCACCTCCCTGAGCCGGTTTCGCAAGGTACCCTTCTGCACAGCGGAGCCGCCATTAGCGTCATCACTCCCGGCGTTGCTTTCATCATCTTCAGGATCTTCATCTGCGTTAGAAGACTGGCCCTTCGCCGTGACCGCGGAAAGGGCGGCGTTGATTTCGTCTCTCAACAGCTTTCCCTCTTTCTCCGCGTTCTTCAAGATGGGGAGCACACGCTGGTATCGATTCAAGCCTTGTTCCATCTGTAGTAGTTGTGCTTGGGTGACTAGGGCGTTGACCTAGGGGTACACCTGGTTAGCGTCGCCTTGGAGCGATTGGCAATACCTACCTTGTACCTCCAATCTTCCACAATCGAACTCCAGGTACTATCTTTCATGCCCTAGTACACGCGAAGATCAATACCAAACCCATGATTTATAGTGACTGAACGACTCGCCTTCAGTACTTCATTCATTGTCTTCAGCGCCTTCTTGCTGTTCCCGCCTGTAGCATTCAATTGGAGCTCACCAACCTAGAAGACTTCCTGAGTCCCGACTAAATAGACGGAATCAAAGAAACTTACCTGCGGATGCGTACAGATACCACGAAGGTGCCTGACGCGAACCCTCAACAGGGCGCCGTCGATGTCCCAGCCTTCTGACGCTGCAACCCCTCGAGCATCAAGACCAAGATGGAGTAGAGCCTCCTCGAGGGCCTGATCATACACCTAGAGCACAGCTTAGCCAAATCTCTATCATCAAAGGGAGGATATCACGCACATGTCTCTCAACGCGTCCGAGGCTTATAGGTACAAGGTACCGTGTCTGTGTCGGGATCTTTAATTCATCCTTCACGAGGGCCTTCGTTGTTCTAAGTGAGATCCAGCGCTGGTTAGCGGACGCCTTTTATGATATCATGATAGGGGCGGGAAAGGGGCACATACCTGATCCCGTAGTACTCGAAGAAGGCAGCGAACTCGCGCGCGAGGCTAGGCTGTAGCAGGGTACTCCAATTCTTCGGCGAACCGATAACATTCTCGAGACGAAGGAACCTATACCCCGAGTCATGTAGCTCAGGATCACCTTCTCACCTTCCAACGCACCAAACACACCTTATAACGTGGAGCAAATCCGATACCTGTCCTTTAGCAGGCGTACCAGACACCGCGAGCGACGATAGCCGCGGGATCATCCCTACCATATCCCTAAATGCAAGGTGGGGAATATGCATATGCCAGTAGGCTAGGAAGTGAAAGTGAATCACGTACTCGGTCTTTCCGCCGCCAGCCATCTGCACCTCGTCCATGACCACCCTCAGCCACTCGACGCTCACCAAAGGACTCCGCGGCCGCTCCGCATTCGCATAGACAACGTCGCCGCGGCGCGGGCGCACGGGCGCCGCGCGCGCAACATTGACCTCGACCCGCAGCGTCGCATACGTCGTGATCACCACGTCGAACGTGTTGGCGTAGTGCGCCCAGTCCATGATATCCGCGGGATCGGTGACCTGCTTACCAGCGAACTCCACCGCCGCGCTTTTCTGCGCGCGGGCGTCCGTGCGTCTGGTGGGGCGACTCTGCTTCTTCTTCAGCTCGTCCCGGAGCTTCGTCGCAGCGCCGTCGGTGAGTGGCACGCCGAGCTTGCTCCACCCGTCATAGAGCAGCACCTTCAGCGTCGGCGCGTGCTTCGCCAACTCGTCGGCCCACTGACTAGCCAGTGTCATCGGTGTAACGATCAGCGTCGTCTACATACATATCCCGGGATCCGGGAGTAAGCAAACGGGGATCGACCAAATATAAATATAGAACTACGAAGTACGCACCTTGACCTGCTTCACGTCGAGGGCGGCAATGGGGTCCCAGCGCGTGACCGACGGGTTTCTATGCGGCGCGGGATGCAGGAGGATGAGCGAAATCGTCTCGAGCGTTTTCCCGAGGCCCGGCTCCTCTGCGAGGATCCCCCCAAAGACGTCCTCTACACGAGGTGGGGCTTCAGCGATCTCCCCGGAGAGGCAGTTGAAATACCAAGTCTCGTTCCCCTCGACGACCTTCTTCCAGAAGAACAGCATGGGGTTCTGTGCGTCGCCCTCTGCGGCGCTGAATGACACCGGGAGCGGCACGATTTCGCCCTGGGGGTTCAGCGTCACCCCTTCACGCGCGAGGAGCCAAGCCACACTCCGCCGCTGGAACGGCAGCAGCTTGGGCACGAGCGCCCGTGGCTGCACCCGTTCCTCCACATCCGTGAATGGGGCAGGTTTGAGGCTTGCGTAGAAAAAGGGGATGTCGACGGTCCCCAGGTGAGCTTCAGGCGTGTAGAGGTAGTTGTGCACGCGCCGCACTGCCTCGCGCACATGAGCAGCAGCGGTCTTGCCCTTGTGTCGGTTCGCGGGGTCTTCCAGGATAGCTGGATACAGAAACTTGCAGCTCGTCTCCACCTGGATGGAAAACGGGAGCTCGCCATCCGCGGACATCCCCTGCGGGTAAACGGTGATACTGAGCTTCGCCGATGTATTCACCTGCCCCTCCTTCTCTGCAATAAGGAAGCTGCACAGGATATCCTCGCATTCTGCGACATTGTCCGATTCTAGGGGGAGTAGCAACAACCACTCGTCCGCCTTCGATGCAACATACACCCGTCCTTCAAAGGCGTGCAGCTTGACGAACCCGAGTCCAATAGCGCGTGGCTCTGAGCATCCACGACTGAACGCCTCCATCACATTCCGCAGATTGGCCTCCTCTTCGACCCAGTGCGGCGGCCTATGGAGTGCTCCGGCTGTCGCGGTATCAACGGTATATCGAATGGTATCGATCCGCACATACGCAAGAGCAGAACGCTGATAGCCGCTGTGCCTGTGTTTCGAAGCAGCTGAGGAGGTGGAGGGATAGGCATGCACCACTTCAGGCCACGAGTCTAAACATTCGTTCAGCAACACCGCCAGAGACGAGGTCGCGCTGGGCTCCGCCACTGGATCAGCTTCAGGAGTATCTGTATCCACAATTTTCGCGCGTTTCGGAGAGGGCTGGTTTACCGACGGACTTGGCGCGCGCTTCTTCCCATCCTTTAAATGTGTATCTTGATCTCTATCTTCTTGGGTGCTCGCGTATGGCCGCAGAAGGTGCAGAATTTCGCGGATGTTGAGAGTGGGCCGGAATATGGGACGTCCTGGCTTTGTTTTCCAGAACATGTTGGGCAAAGAGCTGAGGCCATGGGAGGCCTGCGTATTGATGGTGCGCATCGTGGTTAGGAGCAAGAAGCGCGTACGCGAATAATCTATATTACTTACGCGGTCACGTGGGTCTCGGTACCGAGATGACTCGACAACTGTCATTTCTTTTCATTCTCCCTCATCGTCCCTGGTCCCTGCTGGTGTGTCTCTGCTTTACGTAGTTTTGGCTACGACTCTTTGACTCTGGCCTGGAGCCTCTCGCACGAGGCAAACCGTCACTTGTTATGTTTCCGATTCATCCGAATCCCCGGCCCAGACGGTAACAGTGGTCTATGAGCATCCTCAGGTTGTTACTCCTGGGACATGCATACCGTACCTATGTCTTGAGATATGCAGGTTCACGGCGGCTGAGGATGGTACGCCGCCACTCCTAGTTGATTCAGCAATTACGACTCTGACAATACAAAATCAACATGCTATGGTGACCTCAATAGACAATCTCCAGCACCTTGTATCGCAGATCCTACAAAGTCTGCACCCACTCCAGCGACTGTCGCCACTTGGTTATGCCGCCACTCTATGGTGCATGGACCGTGCGTTATCGTAGTGGAATTCGTGAGACGGAGACGGAGAATGGGCGCTAGATGGATTGACGCCCATTTAAGCTATGACATCACGACGGATTCGTCGTCATACTCGTCATCTCCCGCTCCCTCAGCAGTACATAAAGGGTCACCGAGCAAAATGGGCTCCCCACTTTTCTTATTCCAACCCCAATGTCTGCACCTAAAGCACCACAAATGAACATGGTCCCCACCATCGACGCCGCCGCTCTCCCCGACACTCCAGCGCACGAATGGGCGGAAGGCACATCCTCTGCTCTGCAGTCCAAGTTGGACGACCAGTCGCCGCAGCCAATCCACTCTCTGAATACAGACGCGACGATGAGCTCGTCTCCAATCGGCGTCGGCGGCGCTAGAGTCAGCGCGCCGCCGCTCACCTCTAAGGCATCTACATCATCGACTCCGGGAAACGAGTTCCCTGGGGCTTATCCACGGGATAACTCGACGACACCCGGGATGGCTACCTCTGCTGCTTCAACGGCCAAAGATACCGCGTATCAGATTTACGAATCCGCAAAACAATACATTCCCGCCCAAGAGGATATACAGCAAACGCTAGAGAATGCAAGCACGACAGCTAAGCAGTACTTGCCTGCGTCCGTCGGGGCTTATCTACGTGAGTGGTGTGCCGCGCGACTCGCGGGTCTATAGCTAATTTCCATTAGCCGACGGAAAACAAGCGATCTCATTACCTTCTCAAGAGGTGTATGGCAATATGGGCACGTCGTCCGACGGCGTAGGCGCGCTGCCTGGTACTCTTTCTGAAGTAAGCGTTGCAAAACTCCCTGAAGAGCGTCGATTGGAAGGATTGGAGAATGCCAGTGTGTATCATCCGCCCATATTCAGTTCACAGATATTCGCTGAGCAAAGCCTATAGAGAGCTTCGGAAGTTCCTATGCCCGTGAGCAAGCGTGGTCACAAACAGTAAGTCTTTCCATTGTGCCCAAAATTTTTCCTAAAGATATCGCAGTCATCGGGTGGTGTAGGTGATCTGCCTGGTCCGAAGTCTGAAACAGGCGTGGCAATCCTGCCTGATGAGCGGATCACAAGAGGAATGTCTGGTGGTACAGGTGGATCTAGCCCCAAAACCGATTCGGACGTCATTAGGTCGCCCGAGGAGAAGACTGTAAATGGCGGTTTCAAAGGTCTTACTAGCAGTAAGTTTCACCTCCTGCCCTTGGTGCTGTATTCATTGTATACTTCAGAACCCGTTGTAACAACTACAAATCAGCACTCTACTACATCCCCGGTAAACCACCTTAGTGCTGGTTCAAATGCGCAAGCAGACTCTAATGCGTCGAATGTCGCGCTCCCACCGACTCCTGGTTCGGGTGGCTACTCTACCAACAACGCAGTATTGCCCCCGGCGATCCCCTCGACAGGCAACGAGTTCGGCGGTGCCTCAGCTGGCGGAGTGGTCAACTCTGGCGGCTTCGGCACGCCCGCGCAGAATGCAGTGGCTACCACTGACGCTCACGACGCTGCCACCCTTGACGCTGCCAAAGCAGCCGGCGTTGAACCCAAGGACACAGACGCTCCCGCGGTCCCTCCGAAAACCTCCGGTGTCCCTAGGCGCGTCGCAGACGATAAACCAATCGCTCGCAAAGGTGAGCTCATTGCAAGGCAACACATTTTGGAGGAAACTGAGAAGATGAACGATGTTATTCGCAAAGATATCTCAGAAGTGGCCACGACAGGTCACGGTTCCCATCACGGACGAACAGCTAGCCAGACGGAGTCGCGTCGTAAAAGCCATGACTTTGCGGCGTCGCACTTGGACACGAGGGCTGCTAGCGATCACCCGAAGGATCGGAGTGGATCTATGTCTTCCAGCAGCAGTAAACCCAGCTTCATGGACAAGGTGAAAGGCGAAGTGAAGGTTATATCCGGTAAGTTGGGCAAGAATGAGGAGAAGGTGGAAGAAGGAAGGCGCATGATGGGCAAGGAGTAAAACTTTTATATTAGGATCGTGTACAACAACAATGTAAGATAGCAAAGAGGCACTGTATGCTAGTCACATCTGGGTTCATGTGAAGTTCTGGGCATGTTGTAGCGGCATAGTGTCGATAAGCGAGACTATTGAGTATCGTCGTACTTAGTCTGGCGCACGTGGCTAATTACACACCACGGTCATGAGATATTGTCAGGGGCTACATACGAAGCGCAAACCTTGTCCATTTACCCTCTTTACGACTCATCTATGTTGCCTTACCGGGAACCTTCTCTAATTTCTTTATCATGAGTCCGAAGTACCCAAAGGTTGTAGGTGCGGCTTACCATACCCACGACGACCATATCTTGACTCCGAACAAAGGCTACGAACTCATCCAACAGATAGGTGGTGGTGGCTTCTCAACGTACATGCCGTCTCTTCCAAACCCTATAATGGAGCTTGATATTAAACTATAGAGTCTTCCGCGCCGTGAACATCAAGGAGCACCGTGTGGCTGCATGTAAGGTCATCGCGCTGACGGAGCAGTCCACGGAGAAGGAGCGCAAAACGATCGACAAGGAGATGCGCGTGCACGCCGCTTTGAAGCATCAGCACGTCCTCGAGTTCATCAATGCTGTCGTTGTCGAGCCGAAGCACAAACACCAATACGTGCCGGGGATATACATGTTGCTAGAACTCGCTGCGGGAGGGGATCTATTTGATAAGATTGGTGAGTGGATAGACCTTCTTCAACGGCGCAGGAGTTTGAGGGTGTGTCGATGGATAGCCCCCGACGAAGGTGTTGGCGACCAAGTGGCACATTACTATTTCCTTCAGCTGATCGCCGGTATGGTGAGTATATCGAGGACCCTTTGGCGAAGACTGACTGACGACAGGCAGGAATACATACACTCGGAGGGAGTCTGCCATCGCGATCTGAAGCCCGAGAACCTCCTCCTCGACGCCGCCGGCACGCTCAAGATCTCTGACTTTGGACTGTCGGCCGTATTCCGCCTCAAACAGTCGGGAAAGACGCGGACGCTTACCGAACGTTGCGGGAGCTTGCCGTACGTCGCGCCTGAGGTACGAGTCACACCCGATCGCCCACCATTGCCATTCTCAGCTGCTCATAGTTGAACTCGGATGACCCGTACGATGCTGAGCCGGTGGATGTGTGGGGTGTGGGGGTGATCCTGTTCACGATGCTTGCGGGCAGTGCGTTCCCCTTTGTTATACACCTCGCGTTGTTCTCGTTTAACCGCGATATAGATACGCCTTGGGACGAGCCAACGCTGCACAGTCCCGAATATGTCAGGTACATGTCGGGCAAAATCTTCGCCGAAGACCCGTGGAATCGGCTGGGCGACAGCGCGCTCTGTAAGTTCCCCTCCTCGTCCGTTTCTCTCCCGACAGGGAACTCACTATACTCAGCTCTGATTCGCGGGATGCTCACGGTCAATCCCGCGACGCGTTTCACCCTGCGAGATGCCCAGCAACACCCATGGGTAATGAAGTAAGGGTTTCATTCCTATCTACCCCCACTTCAACTGAGACGCGTTCTAACTTCTTTGTGCAATAGACCGAGTCAACTAGCGAATCGCGGTGTGAGCGAATTGGCGGATAAACTAACAGAGGGGCTGCGGATTAACGGAGACATGGGATACGCTGCGCCGAACTTGGACGCTGAGAATCGCATGGACGAGGACGGCGATATGATCATGCTCTCCGCCGCGAATCGCTCTCAATTCACGCAGACCCTCATGCTCTTCGTGTGTCTCTTCACTTCCCCATCACCTAACGTATTCATCCCCTATTTGTCTCTAGTCGCAAACGCAAACAGGACAGCGCTACACGCCCCACCTGACGCGCTTCTACGCGTCGCTCGGCCCCCCGCTGCTGCTTGCGCTGATCAAGGAAAGCCTCGAGGGCCTCAATGTCAAGTGCAAAGACCAGCCGCCGCGCCCCATATACGATGCCGGCGACGGCGGAGGGCTGCAGCACCGTCTCCGCATTGGGGGCTTCGATAAGAGGAAGGTGATGTTCAAGGGCTGGGTCGAGGTGGAGCCCTTTGAGTACCGCGGGTCGGACGGCAGCTTTTGTGTGATGCAGCGCGATGAGGTGCGTGCCTTCTCTTGCTCTCGATGCGCGAGGTTGTTGATGCTTGATGGCTTGGTACAGGGCAGCCCGATTTCGTGGCGGCAGCTGTGGAAGGCGTTGATCATATCGCCTGCAGTTGAACCACACGTTCTCCGCAAGTGATCTTTCTGATGTATATTGATATCTAGCCGCCATGCCATGTAAGTTGTATATAATTGTCCAGTCAATCGAGGAATATTATTTTATCGATACAAAGTTGCTATATGCCAGGCCTCACAGCGCCTTCTCTCACTGTCAACCAACTGCCGACTGCGTCAATCCCTCCCGAATCTGACATCGACCATTGCCCTGGGGGAGTCAACAAGGGGACCTAGTGATTAGGCCTATCTTTACCGGACGAGGTTAGGCCAGAACAATTGTCCGTTAAGGTCAGTACTTACTATTGGTTGCTCACTGGAGTGATGACCAGGCGGAAAAGACGCGTCAACATTTCCTTCGCAGTTGTTGCTTCCACTGCGATTACCGCAGCTATTAGTGAAGCCAAACTCCAAGCTAGCCCCTGTCTTACATACTCAAGCACGGGCGCTAGCGCCACATGGCTCAATGGCGCCATGGTCGTTCTCTTGGTTGTCATGGTCCCGTTTCTTTGCTTCGAACTTCGAAGCTCCGTTCAGGATAAACGATTAACAAACGCCACTTACCTCCGTGTCGTTCAAGTAAAGCCGACTTCTCATTCCTGCTTTCCTGGAAGCCTGAGTTCATCGACGATGCCACCAACTGAACCTCGGGGGTCACTGACTCGAAGCACCGAGCTCGAGCCTTCTAACCTCCCATGTTGACGTCTACTAGGGCCATGGTGTTGCCTTCGAGCTTAATTCTAGGACCAGCGGATGTTCAGAAATGCCTCAAAATTCGGCTCGTGGAGCATTGCGGGGAATCTGACCTGGCTTCGGCAGCCTTGCCGTAGTCATGAGCCTTAAACTACTCAAAGACTAATATCGCGTCATGATCGGCTGGACGACCTATCCCCCACCTCATCCTGCTTCCCAATCGCGGAATATTCTGGATAAGCGACGACATAGGATAAAACAAGAAACTTCGGAATTAAAATGCCTCGCATTAGCGAGGCGTTCACATGGTCCTCGCCCGATTATTTTCCATATCCATCGGCATTGGGTATGTTGGTTTCCATCGTTGCCCGTCATGGCCTCACCCTCGATAATATTTCGCGAATGTGGAGCAAGAACTAGCGAGTAATGTAGCCGGCGGCCATAATTAACGACCATTGCAATAGATATTATCCTCAGGCGCGATACCCAGCGGTATTTAAGGAGTGCAACGTATCGTGAGTTGTCCTCAACAAGTCCTGCTTTCATACGCGCTCCTTGTCCCTCTCTAAATCTCTCAGTTTGCACACAATGAAGGGCTTCGCTACTGCCGCTACCCTCGCCGTTCTCGCGAACTCCGTGTCTGCGCATTGTAACTGTCTTCCTCGCCTATGTGTATAAACCAAAGGACTGACGGTGATTCCACAGACATCTGGCACCAGGTTATTGCTGGATCCACGACATCCAGCGCTGCCGTTCGTCAGCCTGTCAACAACTCTCCAGTCCAAGACGTCACTTCCCCCGATATCACCTGCAATGCCAACCCCTCCCCGGCCTCTGAGACCGTCAGCGTTGCCGCAGGAAGCACCCTCGGCTTCAACCTCGACAACACGCTCTACCACCAAGGCCCTGCAGCTATCTACCTAGGCAAAGTCCCTGCCGGCCAAACAGCTGCGTCTTGGGACGGATCCGGGGCCAACTGGTTCAAGGTAATTGACTAAACAAAGTGAACTAGTAGTATAGTATTGATAATTCGGATTTGTAGATCGCTGAATGGGGAGCCACTTTCAACCCTTTCAAATTCACCGATGAGGGCTTGGGCTCATTGTCCACCACCATCCCTGCCAGTGTTCCCGCCGGCGAGGTTAGTCACGTTTTTTATCCAGTAATCGGTACTCAGCGCATTATGTTCTATAGTACCTCGCCCGCATCGAGCAAATCGGCCTTCACGTCGCAGGTGCCCCTCAGTGGTACATCTCTTGCGCCCAGATCAACATCACTGGCGGCGGAAGCGCGAACCCCAGCAAGGTTTCCATCCCCGGATACGTCTCGCCTTCTGGTACGGCGGAATTCCCTCGTCCTCGGCTATTTACGCTCCACTCACATTGATCCGTTTCCAGACCCAGGTCTCACCGTAAACATCTACAACCCGGTCCCCACCTCCTACGTTGTAAGCACCTCCCCCCTCTCTTTCCGTGTAGTGCGTCGGCTGAAGGTTGGATTCGTAGGTTCCCGGCCCCGCTCCCTTCACCGGATAAAAGGACTTTGGCTAGCATAGCGCCCTCGTCAATGTACACTATGTATCTTCGTATCGCCTCGGAAATGTGACTTATGTCCCGATCTTATCAATCCTGAATGACATCAAGGACCGATTCACGCAGAATAATCATTTCACGAAAGACAAACAGCTTCTAAAGTGCAGCCAAGACAAGTGATAATCCGTCGAAGCGTTCGATGTGCCCGAAATAGCTCCGCGCCCCACAAGGCTATCGCCGATACGCGAGTTTGGTCATATGTTCTGCTTGAAGTGTAAGCTCTGTGTGGTTGAAGTGCGTTACGAACGTTTGCACGGCTAAATGAACGGAGGGAGATTAATCGCATGACAATGGCGGAGGGCGGTATCATATGCGCGTGAGTGGTTCAGCACCCAATGAGGCATAATCTGAAGTGGACTTACGAGGCTTGAGCCTCTCGCGTTGATACCAGGTGATCTTCGGGTGCTATGATGCTCAATGTACATCCCCATTCAAATCCTGACTGACATTGTAGGTCTTCTGACAAATGTCTATGTTTCCCCGGACGTTTGCCAAGTACGGGTACAATCGAAGTCCAATGTACACGCGAGTGCGAACGTATAAAAGGACAGCTCCTGGGCTACTTGCATTGATTCAAGCTCTCTCGTTCTTTTACACTTACTCGAAGCAAAATCGATTGAAGGATGAAATTCTTCTCCGCCTTACCCCTCCTCGTGGTAGCGATAGCCCATAGCGCGTCTGCCCACTGTACGTACCCCATTACAGGTTCCCATTTCGACTCTAATAAAAAATCCCGCGAAATTAGACATCTGGCACACGCTCATCGCAGGAGACACCCAATCCAGCGCAGCTGTCCGCCAGCCCATCAACAACTCCCCCGTTGAGGACGTCACCTCCCCCAACATCCGCTGCAACATCAACACCCCAGCCACACAGACCGTCAGCGTCGCGGCCGGCAGCACCATCGGCTTCATCCTAGACAACACGTTGTACCATTCCGGGCCAGCTGCCATCTACCTCGGCAAAGCCCCAGGGTCCGTCGCTAGCTGGGATGGGAGCGGGGCTAACTGGTTCAAGGTATGTCAGACTCGCAATGGTTACTAGATATGGGGCGTAGCTGAGTTGACCTGCCACCAAGATCGCAGAATGGGGAGCTACATTCGATCCCTTCAAGTTTACCGCTGAGGGACTCAGTACACTGACGACTACGATCCCTTCGAGCGTTCAAGCCGGCGAAGTATCCCACCTACCTTTACATCCTCATGCGCTCCATACTGACAATTATCCAGTATCTAGTCCGTATCGAGCAAATTGGGTTACACGTAGCTGGTGCTCCGCAATGGTACATATCCTGCGCTCAGATCAGCATCACCGGCGGTGGGAATGCCAATCCCGCCAAGGTCTCCTTCCCGGGATACGCACAGGCTAGCGGTGGGTGTCTCTGCTCTGCCATGCTGTGAATATGATCCGTGAACTTAATAACATCGTTGCAGACCCTGGACTCACCGTCAACATCTACTACCCAGTCCCTACTTCATACACGGTATGCCATTCCGCCATAATCCATCCAGAGGTTCGTACGCTGACCCGACACATAGGTTCCCGGCCCAAGACCCTTCCGCGGATAAGTAAAGTTATTAAGTTGTACACTAGCTGGTTGTGTTTCAAAATAAAACGTCGCCCGAGCACATCTAGGAAGTAAGTTGCTTCGAGCGCCACTCCAAGGTACACATCGCATGACATCATCGACTGGGTTCGGGAGGTTGCTGTCGTCGAATTAGCCTTTCTCCCTTACCACCACGCTCGGCATCGACAATGAGCGCACAGGACACACGCCCTAACGACAAACAAAAGGACTCACCAAGTCCGAGCAGCGCACGTCGTCACACCCAATCAGAGTCCAACTCTGAGTCCGATCATGCGGCAGCAGAGCCACAGCACGTGAGTAAGGAACAGTCACTATACGCCAAGAAGCATCCCGTTCAACGATGTGCTATCTAGCATTCAGGACAGCCAGTCGTCAATCCCAAGGCGCGCACCCATCCGCTAGGCGGTGCCAAGGCGAAATGGAAGGGCGTTCCTTTGAACGAGTCGTACCAAGAGGGGCTTGACAACAATCAGGACAGGCAATTGGGGCTAGGCGACAAGACCGAGGGGCAAATGGGTCAGGTCATGAGGGAAGCGCAGCCCAAGGCGCAGGTGCCGTCAGCGGGAAAGCGAATCAAACGTCGTATCAGAGGAGTGGGCAAGATGGTGGCGGGAGGGTTGAGATTTAATGCAAAGAAGATTGGGAAAGGGAAGAGGATGGCGCAGGGAGAGGACCCAGAATCGGATTGAAAGGCTATGAAGCGACTATATATAAGTTTGGGCGGCGCGCCCAAACAAACCAATTTCTGCCATGTCCCTCAATAGCGTCGCGCAGTGCGTACGGACGCCAGAAGCAATGTACTGTAGGCGATTTAGTCGGTGTATGACTCATTGGTCCACGAACCCAATCAACTCTGGATTTATCATGACCGATGACCGTAGGCAAGATGGGAGAGATGATTGTACGATCAAGTCTCCTGCGTTTCTTCAATGGTTTCTACGTGAAAAGATTATCTTCTCGAGTCGCCAATAGATGAAACGATTGAGCACCATCCGCACCATTCAGAGCTGATTTCAAAAGTGTAAATGATGTCCGGGCATTATATTGCCGGGATTAGACATCACGTGTACGCAAGAACAGAGTCGGTCACTGACCTCGACGTCGGCCTCGACGTCGTTCATCGTCGGGGGCGCCGCGGCGGAAGCAGATCCAAATTATCCTGGTACCCACAACAAAACTGGGGTTTGGAGCATATTTGACATTTTGGCTGCGCTGGGCGGCAATCTCTGATCGGACATCCAGCTGACTGACCCCGCACCCCAGAAGTTTTCGTCGACGCCGCTAGGGACGTCCAGCTGGATGCAAAACGTCCGCCTTTGCCGACGGTTTGCGCAGTGTCTGGGGGTGGCTGAGGCCTCAAGGCCTCATGGAACATGCTCATCAACGTTTGGAGCGGTATCAAGGCAACAGAAAAATATCACGATGAGAATTGGCAAAAAGATACAGCAAATTGGCGCACGCCAAGCTCACGGAGGTGGTGCATCACTCACGTAAGCTGAACTTTCTCAGCATACGCGCGGAGTCTTAAATTGTTCCTGCACAGAGTACAAGTCGATTCCTCCTTTCCATCCAATCTTTTCCAATTCTCTCCCCTCCCTCATTCAACTGCAGGAGGTTCCTCATCGTCCCACCCGTTCCCCACGTCGTCTATTCAACCAGAGTACGACCATGCCCGGAGTCTGGCAGCGCCACCCTCGTTACACTCTCTTCGTATTTCTCGTAATATGCGGCACATTCTACATGCTCAGCCCATATAATCTGGACCTGCCCCAGCAATACTCCCCGGTCAGAACGAGCACCATTTACACTGACAATGGCCTCCCGAAGCGGGTAGAGAGAAGCGATCGTATTTATAACAAGGTATTACGGGACCGACAGGCAATGATCAAGAAGTTCGGCCCAACAGCAGACGACGTCGATATGTGCGTTTGCCGTTCTTTTTTCTGAGTAAGACACTTACGAGTGTGCTCTTTGTAGGTTCCCACCTGACAAGGACCCCTGGCCCGCGTATACGGTTTGTAAGTGCCTCTTTGCCACGTCGGATTTGAAAGCAGCTGAATTTCACTCAGGGGATTTCTTCCCTGCCGCGTACAACTGTCCTCATGAGGTCGAGCGTATTGGTGCCATGGGAGACGGAGGAAAGTGGGTCTGCGGGCTGTCACGCGTACAGAAGAAAGCGGATTGTGTCGTTTACTCAGTTGGTGAGTAAATGAATTACCGCATGTTCAATGATCGGGCCCGCCTTGCATTTCATGCTGTAAAGCTGCAAAGATCCTTACGAAACATAATTGATTAGGCATCAACTACGAATCGTCATTCGAGGCTGAGCTGCTCACCAATACGGACAACTGTCAAGTTTGGGGTTACGATTTCTCCGTCAAATCCTTTGGGCCACAAATCCCCAGTCGCCTCAGCCACCGAACTCATTTCAAACCTTACGCTCTGGGTGGTGAGGATAAGCACGACGACGAGAAGATGCCCCTCTGGACGCTAAGCAGTTTGATGAAAGCGAATGGTATGCACATGCTTCGTAGCAATGGACCCTCCCTTACTTACCGCCCACGATTCCCAGGCCATACCCATATTGATATTTTGAAAATTGATATCGAGGGCTGGGAATTCGACACGCTTACAACTTTGATCAAACCTTACGTCGACGCTGGCTTGCCCCTGCCCTTCGGCCAACTCCAACTGGAGATTCACGCCTGGAACAAGAAGTTCCCTGAGTTCCTCAAGTGGTGGGAAATGTTGGAGGACGCTGGACTCAGGCCGTTCATGACGGAGCCTAACTTGGTCTATCAGAACTACAACCGACATGGGTCGGCGGATTTGGCTGAGGTCCGTGTTGCCGCCATTCTTCGTGCCCGAACCTTCTGACCGGATTTCCAATAGTACTCTTTCATTAACGTCAAGGGCCAGAACATCTTCATGCACGATCCTCCTTCGGAACCATGAACCAGTTCTTCAACCCGTCGTTTCCTTCGTTCCACCACCCGCTAGCCCCGAACCTCCACACCGTCTGCCGTATTTATCTGCACCCTTACTGTCGTTAACCTTACACCAAAAGTGTCCGCTCACGTTGATACGTCCTTGTTCCTCGACAGCCCCGGCCTTATCTCGTAACATATAATCATATTCGCGGGAGGAGAAATTGGATTTTCTAATTTTCTGGGAACATATACCGTATCAACGTACTTGTCATACTTGACATACCCGATTAATTTCATGGATGGATACCCACAACTGCGCTGCGCTGCCTTTCCGATGGACCAGCATTGGATGTATTGTGCTTGGATTGACGACTGGTAAGAATATTGGACCACCCCTATCTCTCCTAAGAGAGCAGTGTGGCGCAAGATTGTGGTGGCAACGGAGCTGGAGTATGTGGTCGGATAAATGAATCAATAAACGAGGCGTCGCAACACGCCTGGTGCGTGCTGGTCCTTTTTGCTTCTCCCCATCACATCCTCGTTCTCTCCTCGCATTTCATTTCATTTCACTGCCACATTTATATAAATCGATTCGACTGTGCCCACTCTCGCTTACTGATTTCTGCTTGCCACACTGCGACACACCGCTCCGTTCCCTCAGCATCCACGTTTCACTCGATAATCCCTGTCTGCTTGACAACCACCGACCCAGCGTTCAACCCCCCTGCGTGTCAGACTACCCACTATGGCCTTCGATCTGCCGCCTCTGCGGATTGCTCTGTATTTTACTTTGGTGAGTTGTAGCCAGGCGCCACACTCCGATGGTGGCGCTGCCGAACAGCAACTGGGAAGGAGACTGATTGCGGACTCCGGGAATGTAGGGCTTATTTTCGTTCATACTCTTCTGTCTCAGCGCAGCGAGGATACACTACACAACCCATCTCCCTGCGGGCGATCCTCTGAATGGGGGGCACAATTTCTATGGTGAGTGATATATTTCTCAGCAAGATTTCCCGAGCCCATGACTACCGTAAATACGACCGTGCTGATTTCCGATATTTGCTTCCGTAGACCCTGTCATCGCCGAGCTGATATTCACGACCTTGATAACAATGGGTTGGTGTATATACATGTGCGTTCATTCCCCACCATCGCAGCGCGCAGCCGCAGTCCAAACACGAGGCAGACATGGGTGCTAACGCATTGTTCTGCTGTGCAGCATCTTCGTTATCCACAAACGGATCGACGACCGGCCCGTGACACTCTTCCGGGATGAGATGATTGGACTGGGAGTCCTTTGGCTGTTCTGGCTCATAGGTTCCGCCGTTGCATCGGTAAGTCTCCATCACCTTCTTCCCCCAATACCCCCGCCATTCTAACCGCACCGCAACGCACAGTCCATCTGGGGGAACCTAGGATTCTGCCAACAATTCGGCGCGTGCCGTCTCCTCTCCGCCCTCCTCGCATTTGCGTGGCTGGGATGGATCATCCTTTCTGTGTTACTAGTCCTGAGTATCCTGTTCTCATTTGCGAATGGGGCTCTTATGGAGCCGCTGCATGGACGGTGGGACCCAAGGGCGAGCAGATACAGGGACAGTCATGCAACGTTCCCAGGCAGGCCCATGTCTACTGCTTGAATACCTACCTCGATACCCTCACGCCCACACCCACACTGGCTCATCAGACATTCCCGACGTTATTTGATATAGCGCGCAGGGATCGTTTCGGTGGCCCCGTCGTTCAGCCATCAGATTGTTATGCATGCCCGATACCATTGCTAGACCCTTGTATGAGTACTTGTATCTGTATTACCTTGTCTGAGCCTGTATCTGCCTACAGAATGAACACCTCGCGTCCATTTCAACGCAGCAGGAAGGGGGGGATTGCGAGGACTTTACATCCATCCATCCATCCCCTTAACACCGCTGTTCAAGTGTTCATCTTCAACATTCCGACCAAACGACGAGGTATTAATTCTTCACTAATAATTTCCCCTACTAGTAGTAGCTCGTGTTTGCTCGTGCGGCGTTGTTCCTCCTAGGTAATCATGTTCACTTTGTCGTGTTCGTTTCTCGGATACGTGAAAGTGGTAGGTGGCTGCGATATAAATATGGAGCGCCAGACACGGGAGTCTTGGCTCTCTTGACTCTTGCTTGACTCGTCAAAGGCACACACTACCTCTCGTTCACCGTTGGACAAGCGAGATTTGCTTGTTATACCTATCATCCCTTTCTGGTGCTGTAGTGATGCCGCGGCGTGCAGACGCTACTGATCATTTTCCCGTGCAAAACGAAATTATAACGTGTAAGTCTTTACTAACCTATTTCTTTTCCTGCCAACTTTCCCTCTCAAGTGTCCCAGCGTCCTCCATAACCCCTTTTCACTGCCTTTCCATCTTTCCCCAATGGACGAGGAGAGTCGTGAGCTAAAAAGAGGCCAGGATACCGTCAACCAGTTCAACCCAAAACCTCGTCACTGACTTTGGGGCTGGGTGGGAGAGATGGAGAACCGATTCGAGGTGTGTTAGTAAATCGCTTGAGAGTTGCTGCTAACCCAACGTCAGGAGACAAATCTTGCTGCAGGGTGGACGGATAAACATACTAGGGTCGGCGACCATTTGGAAGCAGCGTCTTTTCTTCCTTAACTGGGGACCTGGTATCGACTCCAACTCAAGAAATCCGCGCACGAAGGTATCTAGAAACCTCGGTACCCATGCCTTGGTATTTTCCCCCTTGTCGGCGTGGGGAATGTGGAATGAACTTGCGGTGGCTCAATGACTTCCGACAATCGCCTTTAACTGGAGTTATTGCGATATCTGCGAGACCTCACAAGTCGTTGTTGGGACTATTTCGGCATTGAATGCACTGTGACGCATGAGGAGGCTGGCTCGACAACCAAACACGGTATCATCGACAATCATACTCTTTCACTGGGCGCACGCTGATCGACACGGTTCGGCTCGAGTTTCTCAATGTTCAACTCATTTTTGCTATCAAACTATTCAAGTATTCGGAGTGGTTCTCTCGCCCAATCATAGCGTTCATCAAGGCATAGTAGATGACCCTCAGGCCCCGATGTCCTCTCCGCTGTGTCCAATGAATCCTTGCCGTCGGACTCACCCGAAGGGGATCCCTCCCTTGCGTCGAAACCTCCGCCGAAATTATTCTTCCTCTGCCTACACTACACGGGCCCTTCAAGGCCCTTCGCGCCCCTACTTACAAGAAATAAATGGTATGGACTAGGCTAGGGAGCGGGAACCACTCCGTCGGCCAACTAGAATCGTTGAACGGTTGATCAGTGTTAGATGAGTGTCATGGTGTGGTCGGCGAGCCTTAGCCTGTGTCAGTAACCGAGGGATATAACGGAGGCGACTCTTTACCGAGGTACGGCGAGTGTCGTACGCTCCAGAGCAGTCATCTTCTGTGGTATAGATGCATTCTTGTGCTTCCCCTCTAGCCGTATGGCACTTCGGATAGGCCGCCGCACCTTTAGTTCGACCTCTCGCTCGGTTTACTCTGCCGAACCATGCAAATCGTCGCTGTAAGCAAGAATGAACTGATGGTCCGCCAGTATCGCAGAAAAATACACTCGCTTTCACCCACTCAGCCATCAGTACTGCCCCCCAAACAAACAATTCATCATCGACCATTCAAGTATTCCTGAGGCGAAGACAGATTCTCTCTGTTGAACCAGGCAACGCGTATTGTATTCAAGGCAGATAAGCATAGCATACAGGCAGGATCCCGAATATTAGCCAACATTATGGTATATCTGCCAGCACCATCTAAATCAGAAAAACGCACATTCTACGTGAGTCTATTATCTGGGAATTTTGCCGACTCACCCACCACCGCCGGGTGGGCGATAACCAGGCATCACCATCGTGGTACCGCCGCCCAAAGCGCAGCACATGTATCAGATTGATATGATGGATGACAGGTAGGTCACAAGGATGTGCCGTTGCATGTCGCAGGGAATTGTGCCGCCAAAATCTTCACAGCATGAAGACCCCAAATCCACAATGATTGAGACTCGATAGAACATCAGAAGCTCTTTAGGTTGCCTCTCAAGCTTTTACAATCCACAGGACGCGGAGGACCGAATTTCGCGTACCAAAGTACCATTTTTGAAGAGGTACTGACCACACGACGTGGTATTCCGTGGTACCGCATCTTTGTCACAACAACTCAACTGAGTTGATTTACGAGCATAGAGACTTCGTGATTCGCGGGCAGCTCCAGAGAAGACGGCGAGCCTTGAGGAAGGCCGTGGTTAACGGCGAGTAGTACTGTTCCACTCTCAGAAATAGTTTAGAAACACTTACATTGGCCGACTCTCACACCCAGTCCGACGAACTCGAACTCACGACTCTCAGAACAAGGTCATAAATAAGCTTTATCCAGATTGATTCAGCTGACGGCTTCCCTTCTCCACGTAAGGTCTGATGTTTCCTCTCATATCTTCACAGCTAGAACTACGGACATTGATGTAGGGCCCTGATACAATGATGCGCCCGATTTTCGCACCGTTCCATTCTCGTCTGATGTGTACAGCTGACGACACGATCCATGCCTACATAAAGTCCACGAGAGAGGTGTACTCATCAGCGTGCTACATTCATCATGGAACCAATAAGCACTCCGTTCACAGAGAAACTCAGTTGGGTGATTTTTCTTGCCTCGCATAGCACGACTGACAAGAGAAATATACACATCCAGACATCCCCAGTCCAATTGTACTGACGCCTATGGCTTTTGGTGCCCATCCAAGCATGGCTGCCATAGTCAGTGGTGCTGGTGGATTTGGCTTCGTCCCCGTAGGTGAGATAGTCACCTTTGGTCGCTATCCTTTGCGATAACTGTGCCACAGGTTTGGACACCGTGGATAAAGTCCGAGAAAACTTGCGGGATGCGCGCAAAGCCCTTGCTGTCCCTGATGGGGCCCCGATCCCTGTCGGGATCGGTTTTGTCGGCTGGATACTCGACATTACTGAGGCTTCCGACACGCCCCTCATTCCTGTGGCGTTGGCCGAGAAACCAAAAGCTATCCTGTTTGCTTTCGGCGCCGACCTAGGGAAACACATCGCTACTGTACGGAAATACGATGCCCAGCGGTCAGATCGCCTTCAGACACTGATTTTCGTTACGATCAACTCTGTTGATGCCGCACTCACTGCCGCAAACGAGTGGAAGGTTGACGTTATCGTGGCCCAAGGTATCTGTCTTGTATATCCTTGCTCACTATGACGCTCATTTGATTTCTAGGTATCGAAGCTGGAGGGCATGGCGGCTCGTTTGCCCCGCCACTTTTCTCTCTTGTTCCAGCGATCCTCAGCGCACTTCCACCAGGCCACCCGCCGGTACTTGGTTCCGGGGGCGTCTCTACGGGTGCGCAAGTTGCGGCCTTGCTTGCCTTGGGAGCAGCGGGTGCCGTAGTTGGTACCCGGTTCCTCTTCACCCCCGAATCTGTGTACACCGACGAAATGAAGGCCGAGCTGATCAAAGCTGATTTCGGATCAACCACTAGAGGAATGATGTTCGACGAGGTTATGGACAAGATGGGATGGCCCCCCAATCACGACGGGCGTGCTATTGTCAACGATATAGTCAACGATAGCTTGAAGGGCTTGAGCCTCGAGGAGAGGCAGAGGCTCTTCGCGGAGGCCACCGAGAAGAAAGAAACCAACAGATCCATCATGTGGGCTGGTGTCGGCGTGGGTATGACAAAGGAAATCAAACCTACCAAGGTAAGCGGCTATGCTCGATGTCTTACCAATCGCTAATTTCCTTCGTAGGATGTTCTTTTGGAGCTGCATTCAGATGCAGTTAAAGTACTCAAGGGTATCCCGAAGTTGTTGAAGCAGTGAAATTAACACGCGGGCGCCGCAAGCACACCTAGTCAGGATATCGAGATGTCTCCCTTGTACACGAAACAATATGTATTCAATGAATAACATGCTTTTTTTGTACTTTGAGTCGAAAACGCTCCTTGTGCTTGCCCGCCTAAGTCTTCTTGTATAACCATGATGCCCTGACAAACGATGCCCAAGCGATCAAGTCGAATGTCGGTTGTATTCGAGGCATATCATGCAACACCACTAGCTGGTCCAGTTGTGAATTTGTGATCGTACTCTGTCGACCGTAGTATTCAAGTTTCTGTGTCGGACAGTCATCTATGACAACAAAAGACACGTCGACATAGAGTAGTTGAAAGTTGGGAGGCACTGGCGCCAATGACCGTGTGTACTTTTACACCAACACCCGACCGCAGACTCTCTCTGTTACTCCCACCACCAGTGAATTGCTCGGTCGCCACCGTTTTAGCAACTGCGGCGGATTGAAGCACTGAAGCTTGAAGCACTGGCTAGCGACCGTCCGCGCTTCAATCTCATGGACTAGGACACGGCTCTCAAGCTTGCGAGTCGTTCGTGAATCAGTCCAAAGGTCAGTTGCTTATTTGGGTGTTCTCCTACTTGTTCTCATGGTAGTCATGCTTGTGGTGTTCACGTTAGATCCCCAAATCGCGGGTCGCAGCAATGTGGGATGGAGTGGGGAATTTGGTGCACATGTCGGCGTTGACTGGCACGGTATGGGATTCGTTTTCTATTATCCTGTCTCTCGATCCCTCCTTCGTGTTGTTTTGTTTCCCCTTCCCCTTCACTTTTCCTTTGCTATTCATTGTCTGTCCATGGGACTTCGTGCGGTGGTGCCGTCTCTACCCCTCGCCTGGAATCCAAAGGGCTTTCCCGGCGAGGCGAGTAAGACGGTAACCACGACCTCCCGGAAAGCTTTTCTTGGTTCGTTCCCTTCCAACACCCTCACGGATGGACCACCACTTCTCTTGGTCAGACACTTCGTACGCAGCTTTCGGGTCGTGTCTGGCATGCTTCTACGCCAGACAGTCGCATCGTTTCAATTAGACCTTGTCAAATGCAGACAACCGAACCCATACCCATATAGTTTGGAGTATCAAATCTGACGAACTCGAAGTCCTCCTTGTTGACTCGGGCGATGATGCTGAGACCCTTTCTTTGCACTCAAACCCTGGACGCACACTCAGAGGAGGAAAATCGAAGACTCGCCGCCAAGAAATAACACTCTTTATCATTCAATATTCAGCCGTCACGATTGAACAAGCAATAGCCCTGCATGACTGACCGATGTTGGATTATATCCCCCATATCGACACGACTAGAATACAATTGTGTCCTCGCGTGAGCTATAATAGAACCTCATTGATACCCACTACCCGCTTAGTATGAACGAACTAAGTCCAGGATAGTAGCCTAAGCTTCTCCCAATGCTATGATATATGGATGCGCACAAGTACCTTAAACCATCTTTATTACACTCACCTATACTTTTTTGCTTCGCGGTGCTTTGTCTACCCCCCAGGCAAGTGCTTATTGTGCTTACTGCCGATTAGCAGTCGTGGTCGCTCGTACATTGGATAGTGCCGTCTAAATCCGAGTCCATACTGCGCACGAAGCCATTCAATCCCACCAAAAACGAGTAACAGTAACAGGCAATTGTCGGGCGCGGTAAATTCTGTGAGTAGAGAACTAGGTAGATTCTGATGTAACCACAAGCAAGGTCTTTGGATCGCCCCTTGGGCGATCCTTAATTGAAACTAGTAACCATAATTGCGTCGCCTCCCACTATGCAACTCCTATCTCCTTCTTCATCCCCAGCCGGCCTTTCTCCAGAATCAGCGTGTACCCATTGACAGACTCCGAATTCAATCCTGATGAACCCATCTCTGTGCTGAGCACTTTACGTGCATTGATTTTCTGAAGGACAGCCTTCGCGTCGCTGTCGTCGTCATCGAGAACCTTCGCAAGGTCATCAGGTCCCATGACTGGACCGTTGATCGGCATGAAATGTCCGAGTCGTTCGCTAACAGCTGCATGCTGGTCTTGGGAAATTGGCAGGAAGAAATTGCGGGTGAAGTCGATCATTCGTTCGAGCTCTTCGTTGGTCAATTTATTCTCTACATCATGTTGCCCTTGATAAACTGATAGAAGGAGTGAGCCTGGAAAATACATCAAGCTGAGCAGATTGGCGCACCTGGTCGGAAGAGCTCAAAGGCACGCCCAAAATCTTGGGGATTGAAATCGCCTAACACTGTGTAGTTTCCTTGGTGTTGCATTTGTCTGTATGCGCTGAGAACGACCAGCAAGAACCTTCATCTCAAATATTCAGTCCATCTGATGTGAGGTAAGAGCGAGGACAAGGTATACCTGATCTGTGATATGCCTATCTTTGCATCGTGCCAAGCGCATGCTCCCACTTCGGTAATTTGTTCTTTCATAGAGCCAAGGATAGTGCACGCAGCGGACAAAGCACCCGTCATCCCAATGTGCACTCCCGATGAGAAAAGTGGATCAACGAACGCTGTCCTGACGTGAGACACGTGAGACAGTAAGAGGGTATAGAGCCGTACCTGCTGCATCACCAATGATGCGGTAGTGGTCGCCGGAATACGATTTCGCATGGTAGCTGAAATCAGCAGTGCTTCTTACGCTCCCGGTGATGTAGGACGCGCCGTGCCCCAGGCGTTCGAGAACACCTGGTGCTAGTTTGACCTGGTCTAGATAGTGAGCTTCAAGTCCCTTGGGTCCAACAGCCTTCTTCTGATTAGACGTCTCTTGATGCATGACAACGCCAATTGAGGTCTTGCCGTTGTGCAGAGGTATGTGCCATGCCCAGCCTCGTTTATCTAGAATGAAATAAATATGAGTACGTATGAGCAGTGATTGGCAAAATGACAGCAACCAGTGAGGCACTCAATCCAAGTTGCATTCTGGCGAGGATTGCCCTCCTCGACTGGGGCAGCCGCATGTTCCCAGTACCCGTACGCGGCGACATTTCTCAGGCCTTCACGGTAGATACGATTCTTGAGGTATTTCGTAGACATAAGGCCTTGGCGACCGGAGGCATCTATCAGCCAGTCGAATGAGAGAGCACCGGTCTCCCCAAGTTTGGACTTCCAGTTGGCCGCGATGGGACGCGAAGTCGTAGGGTCACTGCCTGCGAATTCAATTGAGTCGACACGGACTTCCTCGAAGACTTTAACGCCTTGTTGAGCTGCATGACGAAGCATGAGCTCATCAGCTTCTGCTCTAAACTATACAACCTTCATATGAGTTTCTACTATCAGAGCAAGGCGGGTACTGTACTCACGACATGCCAGGTGTTCTTGTCCCGTCCGAGAATATCGAAGTCAGCATCTAAAGGCACGGTAGATCAGTGAACCTTGTCAATGAGTGGCCAAATCCCGGTCACTGGACACTTACAGCATGCTGGTGCACCATGGATAAACTTGAAAAAGGCGCCTGGCTAAACAACTCCCTTCAGTTGATATCTCTTGATCGGGTCGGAAGTATCATAGCCACCTTGTGAAGAAAACCTCTGATATCGTACTCGTTTTCCAAATCAATAAAGCGAAGGTATTGTCGCATTGAAGGGAGCATGCTCTCTCCGACATGTTCCCTGTGCAATACGGGCATGTTAGCCAACTGGTCCGCTTGCAGTACAATCCTGAATACCTGGGATGCTTGAGCGCTTCAAGCAGGACTACATCTAGTCCCTCTCGAGCCAGAAGGGTGGATGCATAGCTTCCCGCCGGTCCTCCGCCAATGACAAGGACGGTGGTACGTTGTGGCTAAGGTAGCACTGTCAGTAGACTGCTAACGGAAACAATGCCAAGTCATACAATTCTGGGTAAGGACATTTCGAGTTAAGACTTGGAGCTTGGATGCTGAGCGCTGAGTCCTGAGGCTACTCACATCTACCTTTTTATATCTGCCCACAATCAGAGAGTACTCGGTGGGATGTCTATGTATATTCAGCACCACAACATTATGAGGCGGTATTGCCGTGAGACGTGCACTGTTCCATCTGGATCGGAGCAAGGGATAAAATCAAAAGTTAGGCCCCTTTCGATATCAGGGGCCTTCCTTCCGGCCGCACATGTAAGCCCTGTACCTCTCCATCTCACTCATCAAATGATTTAGAAGTCCATGGCACACTATTACGATAACTGGTAGTATTCCAAAAAATCTCCAATCTTCGGCGGAACGACCGAGCTGTACAAGTAGAGATCTATTTGCAGCATAACACGAAAGTAGAAGAAACTGGGCGCGCAGTGTGTTTCATCATTTATGATGCAGGGATCGACGATTAGAGTTCCGACCGCTAAAAAAATCTGATTTACTCACAGAGCGATGAATTGAGAGGTAAAAAATAAACTATGTTGTGGGGAAAGATCTCATCAGATGCCTACTGCAACACCAGCCAAAATAGCTGCTTGATTCATTCACTTTCCAGATGTGGCTTCGTTGTAGAGCCTCCGCCTCTCCTCTAACGGAAGTCGCTACCCGTAACAATGTCGTTAATGAGTGCCGACATCCTCAGGCCAAGCCGAATCAAACATCACACCTCGCATGACCGCTTCAGAACAAGAATTGTGTCCCAATTGCTACTCCCGACGCCTTGGTGCGTGATCAGAATCAGGACGAAGTAGGTGTATGATCAAGCTTTAATCTGTCCATGATGATATATCATGGTAACTACACTCGGACTACACCACATGCTTAACCACCTCCTTCTTCTCTATCACTATATCGCGAACGTTCTCGTGCCTTGGCTTTAGGACTACCTTGAAAGGGAACGGTGTTCGACCGGATAAACCTTCATATTCATCCAGGCAAATGGTTTCTCCAGGCACTTCATGGAAGGTAAAGGACCACAGCAACCGTGCCAATGCTAGAAATAGCTCGTTATCGGCCATTTCCATCCCAGGGCAGATGCGCCGACTGACGAGGGTGAAACAGTTCAGAACCAACGGTCAGATAATTCGGATTTGAATTTCACTTACCCAGCGCCGAACGCCCAGTGGTCCCTTTCGAGAGCATTTGGCTGCTTCGCAGATTCAGTGGCACTAAGAGTGTCCCCCAAGTATCGGTCTGGGTTGAAGGTCCAACTAACAGGTTGTCAGTAAAGGAATAAGGGTACCCCGCACCGTGACGCACCAGTCTGGGTATCGCTCTTCGTTGTGATGAAGAGCGTATACATTGAGTATCATGACCGAGTTTTTGGGAATGTAATACCCTTTGTACACGAAGTCTTCGTCAGAACAGTGTGGCGTCCCCATCCAGAAAGGGGAATGCATGCGCAAGACCTAAGGCATACGTCAAAGCCTTTCAATCGGTATTTTTGTGGTGGAGACTCACTTCTTTGACAATTGCCCGAATGTAAGGGAGCTTCGTTTCGTCGTCCGCTTTTGGCCAACCAAGGGTTCCGACGATTGAATCCAATTCCTTGTGTGCCTTCGCTTGTACGGAGGGGTTCGACGGCATAAGCGCAATAAACCATTCTATAACACCGGACGTCTTGATAGATTTCAGTTTAGCGAAACAAATACGTGACTGATTCCTCACCGAATGTACACCCCCGATAGTGAACGCACCGACTATGAAGCACATATCCTCCCAGCTGAGCTGTTCGGTCTCTTGGCATTCTATGAGTGTTTTGGCCAGACAGTCTGGAACATCATCTCCTGCGTCCATGCGAGCCTTGGTACGGAGCATCATCGCGCCGTATATAGCGATGACGTCGAAGTGAAGCTTGCGTGCTCTATAGCGAGTAGTAGTTGGTAGCCACTGCAATATTTTGACGAAGTCGATCATATTTGTCCAAGGGCCTGACATCTATCGTAAGAAAGCTACCGCGTAAGTAATTCATGTAGGCCATACCTGTCAAGCGCATAAACTCGATGTTTATACGAAGGGCTTCAAGGACTAGAGGGTCGGATGCAGTGACCGTTCTACTGCCAAACGTAAGGCTGAGCATGGTACTACAGATTGGGTCAGGTATCGTCCATATACAGATACGAAAGAGGGAAGCTTGCTTCAACGCGAAACGACCAGCGTGGGGGGCCGGGTCGATGGCAACTTGCCCTCCCTTCGAAGATTCGTAGAGCGCCCGCGCAAGAATGTGAGTTTCGTAGTCGATCATCTCCGCATAGCTGCGTACGGCCTTCGAGTTGAGTAGCCACATCCCGATCCTACGGTGCTTTCGCCTGTAAGTGAGGACCGCGGTTAGGGGTTGTGACGTTCGGTGTAAGACGAAGCTAACCATGTGTCGTTGTACCTAGTAGCGGTGATTCCCCCACCGTTCAATATGGTTTGGTTCTTGACGAAGTATGACCACCTGCTTGAGAAGTTCGCACCGTTGGTTACGAGTAAGTCGCGAGCCATCTGGGCGTCGTTGATGACAACAAAAATCTGGGTCCCCATCCAAACGGAATATATGGGGCCGTATTGCTTGGCCCATCGAAACAAGGGCCTTTCGGGATATCTACGAAGGAATGGGAAGCGTATAGGTGGGCCTGGAGGGGTCGGATTCCCTTCCTTGTCGACGAGGTTGGGCCTCTGAATAAGGAGCCAAAGGAGCCCTATAGCAACAATAGCGGCAACAAATGGCGTAGAATAAATCTGCGGAAGATAGATGGTATGAGATGTAGTAAGAAGGGAGAGAAATTGCCTCACCAAGAGGCTGTCTCGAATGAAGGGCCCAATATTGTGTAAGATCAATTCAGACATTTTGTCGCACCTTCAAGGTTCGTTCTGTCTTTTATATATGGTAAAACAGTTATTCACAAGCAAGAAGCTGGTTGTCTTGCAAGTGCGGTACCCCCACCCTTCGACCTGCGGCCATGATGGCGCCGCGTCTGAGTACCAGCCGCGGATTGATATCGATACGTCTGGAGGTTGGCGGGAACATCAGAATCAGAGTATGAAGAATCAGAAAGCACTTACTGTCAAGTCCCTCGCCTTATTGACTTGATTTGAGCAGATGTCATCAAACCAATATCAAACAGACCGCCTTGAATAGATTCATACGAGCTGTAAATGGAAACATTCCCACGTATCGAAAATAGCGCCCGGGACTATCGGAGATGCAGTGAGGGCACCTACTACTAATAATAATCCATGAGAGACTTTAGAGCCTCAGCGCCGTGTGCGCTTTAACTTCTTCGAACTTCATCTTCAACACTGAAGCTCCGATGCATATGGTGTGGGCCCCGCCGGCGGCGCCTCTCTCCCTTCAGATCTGTAAACAGCGACCGCAAACTTGAATAGTTTGGTCGGACAACCTAACATCATGCCCTTGTCGGTCAAGAATCTTCTATTGTAAGGGGAGTCCGCCTGGTACTCTTAATCCGATCAAGATGGGTACCTATAGGTACTCATAACTCATGAGGTACGTTGTTCGATACAACAATCAGTATCCATGCTCGTCGGACACTGTGTTCGTGTGTCCAGGCCACGCATCATTGATATACCTGAGTAAGACATTTACTTCTTAGATTAAAATACCGATGTGGTTGCTTTAACGGTCTGTTCTCAGTCCTCACTTCGCTTTTAAGAGCATCCGGAATTCTGAAGTTAATGGCACCCAACTTCGCCCCACCGAAATGCCAGACGTCAAATTACTGTATGGTCCCGTCTACTGCTAGTACGATGGACAGTTAATCCATGATTCTACGACTAGGTTTGGGCCGATGCTCATTGGGACCTTTCTCAACAACATTCTCTATGGGGTTGGCGAAATGATCTCCTCTTGGCAAATGTATACTGATTTCGCTTCCCACTTGCTAGATGTTAGTTGTCCAAGTACGCAGGGGGATTCCTTTCAAATATTGAGAGGGTACTAATCACCGGACAGAGTTTCATATACTACCAAACCTATAAGAAGTAAGCTCTGCGTGCTCAGTTTATCACCATCGATCTGACCAATCTTCAGCGACAAGAAATGGATCCGCTATCTGGTATGTTGATTTGGCCTTATGTTGCCGATATGCCTCCGACCCCAGTGCTCTGTGCGACCCAGATTCTCTATCTATTTCTTGTGGAGACTCTGAATAGCGCTTTGGCAATGTTCACCATGTATGAGCCCCTTGTTCTTCGTTACGGTCTGCATTTCTTCTAAAGGGTGTATGCTCACACCGCTAACAACGATATTACAGGCACGGAGGAGGGAATAACCAACATTCCTATAAGTAAGTCCTGCACCTAGCTTCGACCTACATCTCTAATTTTATTTCCATTTGGAAAGTGCTGTTGGCAGGTATGCCCACCGAACTACATTTCCTACATATCCGACGCTTACTCAATACATGTGCCAGACCCATTTGTGACGGTTCGTCCCTTCATTATGACCTCGCATCCGTCTTCTACGAGACTTATTTCTTGCAGGTTTTTATTTCCACACCGATCCAGCTGTTCCTCGCTTGGCGAATCAAGATCATCAGTCAGTCCAAAGTACTGACTGGCATAATCTCCTTTTTTGCCATGTCATCGTTCAGTAAGTGTATTCCAGCAGATCACCTCTTTCTGTTGACTAAGAACTTGCATTAGTTGGCGGAATTGCTGCACCCATCGCTACCAAAGTTACGGACAGTATGACTTATGATCGCCTCCCACGGATGGCCCCTGGTATCATTACATGGCTGACATCCGCTGCCACAACGGACATCATCATCACAGTCAGCCTTGTATACCACTTGGTGCGCCTTGCAGCCTTATGCGACCGCCCCTGGTGTTGACCGTTCGTCCTCCAGTATCGTAGGAAGACCGGTGTTCGGAGCACGGATGACTTGGTGAATAGGATCATGCGGCGTAAGTTCAGCCTATTGACTAGCCACACTTCGCTCATGCGCCTGTAGTCACCATCCAGACAGGTATGATCACTGCTCTCTTCGCTACTTTAGACGTGATTTGTTTCAACGCCTTTCATGTGAGTATCGAGTCGCCCAAACGACTCTCATTCTTACTCATATATCTTGTGTCCGATAGCAAACGTCAATGTGAGCCTCTTGGCAGTCGCAATTGCCTGGGTTCGTTATTAACATTTAATTTCCCAAGGAACTTCGCATGGGACTTCCCTCTCTGCAAATTATACACCAACTCGCTGTTGTCTACCCTGAACGCCCGGGCTGGATGGAACAACCTTGTTATAAACGACGAGTCAAATGTCTTGTTCGGTGGTGACAATAACCAAAGCATGATGCGGCGGACTGACAGAACAGTATGTCGCCTCCTAAGCTCAAGGTACTCTAGCGCTGATCTCGTCTTCCCATTTAGACTACAAGGTCTAAGACGGACCATCGGAAGGTACCTCTGTTGCGCTGTGTATCTGGTTATATTTCTCACATGCGTCTAGATTGTCACAGGTGTATACGAGCTCGGGACAGCTTCTACGTCGACACGTCTTGGAAAAGATATTGATTTGGAGGCTGATCAGAGTGCCGCTGTACATGTTACAAAGGTGATTGAACACTCCGTAGACCCGTCGCAAGAAAACACGGTTCGACCGCAGTATACGCAGTGAAGCAAACTCCAATGATCTTCCCTTGACCACACTAGAAGTCATCACCCAAGTTATTTCTTATAATGATCGCGCACCTGTTGAAACCGCTTGTTCGACTCATTTCTTATGAAAACCATGTACCTCTTGCTTTATTCTGGTTCCACCCCTGTTCTTTTCGTCCCTTTTGTATCTTGTTCCGGCCCAACATCCTGTGTATATGATTGTGGGTGTCGAAATATATCTTGTGTGTACGCCCTGCCTCAAAGACCGAACAATACAATCTAATACTAAATTGATACCATACCTATCTTCCTACTGGAATGATTGGGTCATCATCGGATATAGAAAGCGACAGCATTTCGTGTATACAACCCTCAGGTAGGCCGTGATCCAAGGTCGACAGAACGCCCGAGTTGCCCTCAATCTCTACATCTTCGTCGACTGTCCGATGTCATCGCGAGTATCGCGGTTAGAATAGAATAGAAGATATGAATTCATCTTCATGATTCATCAAACAACGATGAACGAACAGTCTCTGATTGATTTCTTGGGATAATTGAAACCAACGAAAACCTACAAAAGCCGAGAGAGCAAGGCGTAGGGAGACCCCACATCTTCAGGTATTCTTGTCGCCTCTGCCATGGAACGAATCATCACGCCTTTCACGGAGAAACTCGGTACGTTAGCAAGCATCACTCCGGTGAGTGTTGCACTAACTAGGTCGACATGCAGGTATTTCGAGCCCTATTGCCTTGGCACCCATGGCGTTCGGTTCTTGTGCTGCGTTGGCTGCCGCAGTCAGCGGGGCAGGTGGTTTTGGCTTCATTCCGGCAGGCAAGTGCCAAGCCTAGATTAGGGACTCGGAAATCCATTAACACAGAGTCCGTGACGATACCAGGCTTAGACGATGCAGAAAAAATCAGAGAAAACCTGCGCAGCGTCCGGAAGTCCCTCTCCATTCCGGACGGCGAAGTGATTCCAGTTGGTGTTGGGTTTATCAACTGGATCCTGGATATTACAGAGGCGTTAGATGAGCCTCTGATTCATGTTGCACTGGCCGAGAAGCCTAAGGCGCTATGGTTTGCATTCGGTCCTAATATGGGAAGACATATCCAGTCTGTACGAGACTATGATGCGAAGCGTAGCGATGGACATAAGACGCTGGTCTTCGCGATTGTCAGCAGCGTAGAGATGGCCCTGAAGGCCGCAAACGAGTGGGGTGTCGATGTATTGGTGGCCCAAGGTAACCCATAGAGTGCAGTATTCGTCGTCTGATTGCTGAGGATATGCCCCATAGGTATCGAAGCTGGAGGACATGGCGCTACATACGCGCCACCTCTGTTCTCGCTTCTCCCGGCGATCCTTGCGGCCTTTCCACCGGGTCAAGGTCCACTAGTGATCGGCGCCGGAGGTGTGTCGACCGGGGCACAAGTAGCAGCTCTCCTCACTCTTGGAGCCTCGGGAGCAGCAGTCGGGACACGATTCTTGTTTACTCCGGAGTCTATCTATACTGACGACATGAAAGCCGAGTTGGTGAAAGCTGATTTCGGGGCGACGGCGAGAGGCATGATGTTCGACGAGGTCATGGCTGTACCGGGGTGCAATTGGCCTGAGAACCACGACGGAAGAGCTCTGTCCAACGAAATCGTCACTGACAGCCAGAAAGGGTTGAGCCTGGATGAGAGGCAGAGACTCTTCAACGAAGCAACCACCAAGGGAGAGGTGGGCCGCACAGTCATGTGGGCTGGCGTCGGCGTCGGCCTCACGAAAGAGATTAAACCTGCAGCGGTGAGTAATAGACCTTGGACAACAAGTCAAGTCCTGACATCCATGATTAGGAGGTTGTCATGGAATTGCATACAGACACTATCAAATCCCTGATGGCCACTCCCAAGATATCAAGCTAATGAAGAGACCTGATCTGATGGTTTACGGGGAAAGCTGGTTATAAGATCCAAGATCTGCTTACTATCCATGTCAATTCACGTTTTCCTGCCTACGAGTAATTCGAAAGACGGACCTTTTACGGGTCCGAAATGTAATGTAGGATCCGTTTTTACACTGGTTTTGTGGCGAGAGACAACCGGTAAGGGAAGTGTCGCGTCACACGAGGTCGCACAGGGGAATGACAGGGGTAAGTCGTCCTGATTGTGCAACACTGCCCTACAATGTACATAGGGCTCGTAACTATATAGTAGACTACCATTGACTCTGTCAGAGTATATAGGCTAAATAAAGGAGTGACTAAGGTTAGACTAATGATAGTAAATATACTAAGGAGTGTAGCTATAAAGGAGTGTGACTAACCAGCGCTAGACGTGGCTTTACCGTATCGGGTATATTTCTGTTACATACGCCCTCCTGGATCTGTAGAACAGATTCACTTGGCGCTCTCGGCAATAGCGGAGCCCTGGGAGATGGAAAGGTCCGCAAGTTCCACAGTGGGAACCTTGGAGAGAGTGTAAGGGCAACCTCAAGATGGCCGACAGCGCAGGCCTAGCAGAGGGAGAATCCAAAGAAATGAATAAGACTAACTACAATACATGAGAGAGCTGCTCACCTAGCAGAGGGAGAATCCAAAGAGAACAGGATGGGGATTCTCCATGCTAGGAAGCGAAGTATATACTGTAGTAGCGTGGGAGGAATGAAGGGTAACTGTACAGTACACCAGCCACAGGTACGAACGAATATCACAAGGTACGAGGGGGCATGTGATAATGAAGTGGAAGGGGAATGTACAGGAGTCGTGCCAGCGACCTGGGGAAGTGGGGACAAGGAGTAATGAAGTGGGAAAGGAGGATAGAGGTAGCCCGGACGAGCCCCGAAGTGTATCTACGAGTCCGAGCGAGTCCGAAGCGTCCGAGCGAGTCCGAGGCGAGTCCGAAGTGCGGGAAGACTTCGGAGTCACCGGACGGGGCTCGGATGCGAAGGGAGTGAACGGAAGGGAAGCGGAAAGGTAAGGGGACAAAAGGAAAGGAAAGGGAATGAAGGAAAGGGGAAAGGAACGAGGAGGAAGGGGGTGGGACAGGAGGAATAGGAGAAAATAGGAGTGTCCCCTTACAGAGAGGGGAATCACTGGCTTTGTCATTCTCAATGTTCATGTCAACATCTTCGCTGATGGTCGTAAGCTCAGATGAGACCGAAGCTGGTGTATTGACGAGCTCGATATCAGAACCGGATGGCGAGGGACAAGTGTCGATAGGAACAGTTTCACATGGCTTGTCCGTGTTGGGAATGTCATCTGATGTTGGAAGATCCGAGATCTTCTGATCGATTGGGGATGAACTGGCGCTGCGACTTGGCTTGGTAGGAATAATGGTGGGACGAATTTTCTTAGTGCGAGTGTACGGAGTGGGTCTGTGATGCTTCTCATGTTTCTGCGTAGCTGGGCGAAGGGAAGCACCGCCGCGACGGACGGCAGAAGATTCGCGCACAGGGAGGGAAGGAGCGGCGGGAACACCACTACTCATTACCATATCGAGCAGGAGGTTGGTTACGACATCGTGCCTTTCTGCTGTTAACACGAATTCTCCGGCCTCCGACCGTCGAGGTCCGCCAGAACTCTGGCCCACCATAGGTCTAGACTGGCCCAAACGATTAGGCGGGACCGCCGCACGCCGATTATACGGGGTCTGGGATTGGTAACGGTCCCTGGGATTTCTATGTGGTATAGTGGGTCTCGCCACAACAAGTCCCAGAAATCTGAGTCCGGGCCCCGCGATGCGAGTCGGGAAGGCATGCCCATGGGGTACGTTAAACTTGGTTCTGACGTGGAACTGTTTATTGTACAGGGTCGCAAACACAATGTAGCGAGGAGGGAGAGACAGGGGGTCGGTGAGATCTCCTTGAATAATGCGACGGTTAGCGGAGACAAAGCTGATAAGCTCGTCACTGTAAGGGGACACTCCTATTTTCTCTCTCTCCTTTCCTTCATCCCATGGACTCTTACCTACATTCTCTTTGTTCCCCTTCGTTCCTTTTCGCTCCCTTTCCTTTCCATTTCCTTTCCACCCACTCCTTTCGCATCCGAGCCATGTCCGGTGACTCCGGAGTCTTCCCGCACTTCGGACACTTCGGACTCGCTCGGACTCATCTATACTCTTTGGGACTTGTCCGGGCTACCTCTATCCTTTTCCCCCACTTCATTACTCTTCGCCCTTACTCCCCCAAGTCGCTGGCACGACTCCTGTGCATTTACCCTCCACTTCATTATCACATGTTCCCTTGTACCTTGTGATATTTGCTCGGACTTGTGGCTGGTGTACTGTACAGTTATCCTGCATTCCTCTCACGCTACTACAGTATATACTTCACTTCCTAGCATGGAGAATCCTTATCCTGTTCTCTTTGGATTCTCCCTCTGCTAGGTGAGCAGCCCTCTCATGTATTGTAGTTAGTCTTATTCATTATCTTTGGATTCTCCCTCTGCTAGGCCTGCGCTGTTGGCCATCTTGAGGTTGCCCTTACAGCAGAACAGGATCTCCCATCCTGGCACCAGAGCCCTACGGAAAACGTCCTGCGCCACTCCGGACTCGTTCTCGACGTCTCTCCGGTTTTGCGGACATTCCGGACGCTCTCCTGCTACTCCCACCCACCTCTGAGGACCCAAGGAACTCCATCCCTCGCTCCCCTGACGACTCCGAAATGCCGGGCGCCTCCAGCCAGATCCCGCCATCCGAGCCAGTCGCTTCAGGACCGGACTCCGAGACTTTGCAGACCTTGTGGGCTCAGACGTACGAACACCAAACCCAAATCAGCTCCATCCAGGATACACTCGCCCAAATTGAAGGACTCCTCTTAACACCCCGTCCGACTACTCCGAAAACAACTCCAGACTCCGAGCTGAGGGGCACCAAAGCCTCCTAGCACGCCCCGAGTCGATCCGAAAACACCCCGCGTTCCCGCTTGAAGCCCGCCTCTCCCCCGATCTTCGACGGAAACCGCAAGGATGGTCGCGCGTTCTACAACGCATGCTCCATCTACTTCCAGCTCTGTCCGGACCACTTTCCGACCGAGCAGGCCAAAATCCTCTGGTGTCTCTTCTTTTTCCAGAAGGATCGAGCTAAGGAGTACGCGGACATGGTGCTCCGGAGTCCGAAGGATCCGTACTTCGCATCCTGGGCCGCCTTCGCAACCGAGTTCCGGACTCGCTTCCTTCCGGATCGGGAACGCGAAGCTGCCATGCTAAAACTGGAGTCCACCCGGTACCACCAAGGCCGCCGGACTTTCCAGGAGTACCTCGACGAGTTCCGGGACCTTGTAGACCAGTCTGGATACACTGAGGGCTCCAACATGACGATGAAGTTCCGTCGTGGATTGGACTCCATCATCCAGAGCCGCATTGCCGAGTCCGCAGACTGTCCGGACGAGGATGACTTCGAGGAATGGTACAAGGCAGCACAGCGGGTTGCTGACAACCGTGCTGCTAACCAATCCTTCCACTTTGGCGTGCACTCCGGAAACTCTGGATCCCTTGTCCGACCAGCAGCCGGCTCCGGAGTCGCTCGGACTCCTGCGGGTGTGCTCCCCACGCCTCGGACTCAGCTCCCACCTTTGCAACCCCGTTTCCAACCTCCGCCTCCTCCAAAGGCTCTCTCACCCGGTGTCCCAATGGATGTCGACCACACCCGCTCCCGACCTGCCACCTCACAGCTCTGCTACCGATGCGGCAAGCCCGGTCACATGTCTCGCGAGTGCCCACTCCGGTACGACGTCCGGTTCATGACCACCGAGGAGCAGATGTCCGCCATTGAAGATCTCTTGACCGCGGCCAATGTTGTAGAAAGTACGGGGACTTCAGAAGGAATAGACGATGAGGGAATGGCCCCGGTTGAGGAATCGGACACGGCGGATTTTGTCCGGACCAACGAGTGATCAGTGCGACCTCGTTGGTAAATAACCGATTTGCTTGTCTTAGCGTAGACGAAATAGACGATTCCAATCACTTCGATGATTCGTCCGACGTTAAGCAAGCAACTCCGGTTACAATCCGCACACTCCGAAGGTTTCGCCCGCAGTGGGAACAGCGGCTACCCAGTAGCTATAAGATCTCTGCGCTGCCCGGCAAGCTTTCGCTAGATATACCCGTTGAAGTGCAGAGCACGGATACACAACACAGATGCACCCTGCAGGCCCTGGTGGACTGCGGAGCCACCGGAGTCTTCATGCATCCGCGCTTTGCTGATGCCCATGGTTTCACCCGACGCAAGCTGTCCGCTCCGATTCCGGTCTTCAACGTTGACGGATCACCAAATGAGAACGGATCTATCTCCGAAGTCGTGGACCTTGTACTCCGGTTCAAGGATCACACGGAACGGATGCTTTTCGCAGTCACTAACATCGGACGGCAGGACATCATCCTCGGATACACCTGGCTTCGGAAGCACAACCCCGAGATTGACTGGCAGACAAAGGAGGTGACCATGAGCCGCTGTCCGTCCGGATGCGATACCTGTTGGAAGGAGTTCCGCCATGACAAGCTGACCCGACGCAAGGAGTCCGTACGACTCCGGGAGTGTTGTACGGGTCCGATGCCAATGGTCGAGGAACTGCACTCGGACGATCTCCCGCAGCTTCAGGACTGCGAGGTCGACGACGAGGACAATGAGGCCACAACTCCGGATGACTCCGGACTTGAGAAGGGCGACCGTATCTTCGCAGCCATTCCTCCTCCGACTCTGGAGTACCTTTGGAGTCTTCGGGAAGAACACGTCCGAGCTTCGGAGACGGTCTCGCAGCGCCTCGCATTGGCTTTCCAGCGCAACAAGCCCCATGATCCTCGGAACAGTGCAGTCCCGGACTTCCTCCGAGAATTCGAGGACGTCTTTGCCAAGGAGTCCTTTGATGAACTGCCCATGCCGCGTCCGTGGGATCACGCCATTGAGCTAATGGACGGAGCGGAACCGACCTCTACCAAATGCTACCCACTGTCCCCCGTGGAGCAGAAACAGCTGGACGAGTTTCTGGAAGAAAATCTCCGGACTGGTCGGATCCGCCCCAGCAAGTCGCCCATGGCTGCCCCGGTGTTCTTTGTTAAGAAGAAGGACGGATCGCTCCGCTTGGTCCAGGACTACCGGAAGCTCAACAGCATGACGGTCAAGAATCGGTACCCACTTCCACTCATCTCGGACTTGGTGGATAAACTCCGGAACGCTCGCTACTTCTCCAAGCTCGACGTCCGGTGGGGTTTCAACAACGTCCGGATCAAGGAGGGTGACGAGAGGAAGGCCGCGTTCCGGACTACGCGCGGACTCTTCGAACCGTTGGTAATGTTCTTCGGACTAACGAATAGCCCGTCCACCTTCCAGACCATGATGAACGACTTGTTCCGGGAGCTCATTACGGAAGGTGTGGTTATTATCTATCTGGACGACATCCTGATCTACACCAAGACGCGCGAAGAGCATCGCCGGGTTCTCAAGTGAGTCCTAGAGATCCTCCAGCGGAACAAGCTCTTCCTCCGAGCGGACAAGTGCGACTTCGAGCAGACCAAGGTGGAGTATCTCGGAGTTGTCATCTCTGAGGGTAAGATCGAGATGGATCCCGTGAAGGTTTCCGGAGTCGCGGACTGGCCGACCCCCCGGACTCGGACTGAACTCCAATCCTTCCTCGGGTTCGTCAACTTCTACCACCGCTTCATCAAGGACTACTTGCATATCGCCCGGCCTCTCTTCGACCTCACTTGCGCAAAGGAATGGCAGTGGAACGACTCCGCTCAATCCGCATTTCTTCGGATCAAGGAGCTGATCACTTCGGAGCCCGTTCTGGTCTTTCCAAAGGAGGATCAGCCATACCGGGTTGAAGCGGACTCGTCGGATTACGCTACGGGTGCGGTCTTGTCGCAGCTGGATCCAGATGATGGTAAATGGCATCCTGTCGCATTCTACTCTAAAAGTCTACAGGCTGCGGAGCGGAACTACGAAATACACGACAAGGAGATGCTTTCAATCATCCGGGCACTCGAAGAATGGCGACACTACTTGGAAGGCGCAGAGACTCCGTTCGAGATCTGGACGGACCACAAGAACCTGGAGTACTTCATCAAGGCCCAGAAACTCAATCGTCGTCAAGCCCGCTGGTCGCTATACCTCTCCCGCTTCGACTTCACTCTCCAGCACCGTCTGGGTCGGACAATGGGTAAGCCGGATGCTCTCTCGCGCCGCTCAGATCACTCGGATGGTAAGGATGATAACAAGGATGTGGTTTTACTTAAGCCGTCCTACTTTGCCGTCCGTGCCACGGGTGTCACTCTTGAAGGGGAGGAGAAGGATATCCTCACGGCTATCCGGACTGGAGTGCGGAATGCGAAGTTTGAAGATGCAGTGGCAAAGGCGGCAGAGGAGCTGAAGAAGACCCAGGGCAGTCGCAAGACAGTCCGGAGCGTGGAATGGTCTCAATCGGACGGACTCCTGATGTTCCGGGGTAAGATCTACGTTCCGGACTCACCGGACTTGCGTCGGACCATTGTAGCCCAGCACCATGACACTAAGGTCGCAGGACACGCTGGCAGATGGAAGACTCTAGAGCTCGTTTCACGCAGCTACTGGTGGCCCAACATGTCCCGGTACGTCGGATCCTACACCCGCCATTGCGACCTCTGTCTCCGGACGAAGGCCCAAAGGCATCCGCCCATAGGTGAACTCCATCCGCTTCCCATTCCGGATGAACGCTGGGATCGCCTGAGTGTTGACTTCATCGTCGAGCTTCCGGAGTCCGATGGGTTTGATGCTGTCATGAACGTGGTCGACTCCGTAAGCAAACGCGCCCACTTCATTCCGACTCACACCACAGTGTCTGCCCTCAGATCCGCAAACTTGTACCTGCAGAACGTCTGGAAGCTGCACGGACTCCCTCGGTCTGTTGTGTCCGACCGGGGTCCGCAATTTGTCACAGAGTTCACCCGAGAAGTCTACCGGATGCTCGGAATCAAGCTGGCTGCCTCCACTGCGTACCACCCTCAGTCCAACGGACAGACGGAACGGACCAACCAGGAACTCGAGTCCTATCTCCGGATCTTCGTTGGAGAGCGTCAGGACGACTGGGCTCGCCTCCTACCTATGGCGGAGTTTGCGTACAACAACCGGGTCCATGCGTCCACTCAGCAGTCACCCTTCCTCCTGGATACCGGCCGTCATCCTCGTCTCGGGTTCGAACCTCATCAGCCACCGTCTCGGATGGAGTCCGCAAACGAGTTTGTAGACCGGATGAAATCCGCAGTCGACGAGGCTCAGTCCGCATTGATCAAGGCTCAGGACGACATGAAGCGCTACTACGATCAGCGTCGGACTCCCGCTCCGGAGTACCAACCAGGTGACAAGGTCTGGCTGGACTCGTCGGACATCAACCTTGCCCGACCCTCCCGGAAACTCGGACACGCACGACTTGGTCCTTACAAGGTCGTCCGGAAGGTTGGCAAGGCAGCGTACCGGCTCCAGCTCCCTCCGGGCTTATCCCGTCTCCATCCCGTCTTCCCCGTGGTCAAACTCTCTCCCTTCATTCTGGACCCCATCCCGGGTAGACGCCCTGTCGCTCCGCCACCTCCGCAGCTCGTTGACAGAGAAGAGGAGCATGAGGTAGAAGAGGTCCGAAATAGCAGACGGTTCGGTCGGGTCCTGAAGTATCTGGTGCGCTGGCGAGGCTATGGTATCGAGCACGACTCCTGGGAGCCTGCGAGCAACCTCCAGCATGCCGCCCGGAAGGTCAAGGACTTCCATGATCGTCACCCGGATGCAGTACGCGTACTCCGGACGAGTCCGATGAATCCGACGACTGCTCTACCTCTCCGGATGACTCCTGCAGCACTGGACCAGTCCTGGGAGCGTTGGCGCAGTCAGAAGGCTCCGGGCTCCGCGCAGTCGTACTTCGACATCTTCTCGCAGCAATCCGGAGTTTCGGGGTTGGTGAATTCATGGCGAGGCAGGCAGGAATCTTCGCGTCGGGTCGCCGCAACCTTGAAGGGGGGGTGATGTAAGGGGACACTCCTATTTTCTCCTGTTCCCCTGTCCCTCTCCCTTCCTCCTTCGTTTCCTTTCTCCCTTCCTTCATCCCATGGACTATCATCTACATTCCCTTCATTCCCTTTCCTTCCCTCTCGCCCCCTTACCTTTCCGCTTCCCTTCCACCCACTCCTTTCGCATCCGAGCCGCGTCCGGTGACTCCGGAGTCTTCCCGCACTTCGGACACTTCGGACTCGCTCGGACTCGTCTCGGACACTTTGGACTCGCTCGGACTCGTCTCGGACACTTCGGACTCGCTCGGACTCGTCTATACTCTTCGGGGCTCGTCCGGGTTACCTCTATCCTTTTCCCCCACTTCATTACTCTTCGCCCTTACTTCCCCAAGTCGCTGGCACGACTCCTGTGCATTTACCCTCCACTTCATTATCACATGTTTCCTTATACCTTGTGATATTCGTTCGGACTTGTGGCTGGTGTACTGTACAGTTATCCTGCATTCCTCTCACGCTACTACAGTATATACTTCGCTTCCTAGCATGGAGATGTAAGGGCAACCTCAAGATGGCCGACAGCGCAGGTCTAGCAGAGGGAGAATCCAAAGAGATGAATAAGACTAACTGCAATACATGAGAGAGCTGCTCACCTAGCAGAGGGAGAATCCAAAGAGAACAGGATAAGGATTCTCCATGCTAGGAAGCGAAGTATATACTGTAGTAGCGTGGGAGGAATGAAGGGTAACTGTACAGTACACCAGCCACAGGTACAAACGAATATCACAAGGTACAAGGAAACATGTGATAATGAAGTGGAGGGTAAATGCACAGGAGTCGTGCCAGCGACTTGGGGAAGTAAGGGCGAAGAGTAATGAAGTGGGGGAAAAGGATAGAGGTAACCCGGACGAGCCCCGAAGAGTATAGACGAGTCCGAGCGAGTCCGAAGTGTCCGAGACGAGTCCGAGCGAGTCCGAAGTGTCCGAAGTGCGGGAAGACTCCGGAGTCACCGGACGCGGCTCGGATGCAAAAGGAGTGGGTGGAAAGGAAGTGGAAAGGAAAGGGAGCGAAAAGGAACGAAGGGGAATGAAGGGAATGTAGGTAAGAGTCCATGGAATGAAGGAAAGGAGAGAAAATAGGAGTGTCCCCTTACAGGAACGGTAGAGGGAACACGCCCATGGAGGCGCCCTATCCTTCGGTATGAGTCGCGGAATTCTTTGCCATGCTCATGGACAAGGTGGCACTCATCTACAAAGACGAGGCTAAGTTTGGCTAACTCTGGGTCGTCCCCGGCCTGTTCACGAAAGAAGCTTTCTAATTCCTTCATGTGCAAGAGCTCGGGTACAAGGACGAATAAATCCCATTTTCCGGTGAAGATTTCCTTAAAGAGATCGCGGCCCTTGGAAGATGCCTCCCGAAGCGAGTCGCTGTGAAGAGCAACAGCGTTTAACCCTCGCTCGTTTGCCGCGCGTGCCTATAATGGAATCGTGAGCTAACAAAGTGGTGAATCCCACAGGCACTCACTTGATCGTCACAAAGAGATTTAGTTGGCGCGATTGACATCCCCAAAGTTGGTTTCTCCGCCATTTTGCTTGCCATTAACGGTATGTGCAGCATCCCCGACTTTCCTGACCCCGTTCCAGCTACACAAACGACATCGTTTCCCTTGAAAACGTCGCTGGCCAGCTTGACCTGCCAATCCCGGAGTTGTGAATATCCTAATGCTGGCGCAAGTATTTGTTGGAACCAGTCTGGAGAGCCGACCTCAGGTTTGGGAGGCTCAGGGACTCGCCCCGGGGTAGTTTGTGTGGTAAAATCCAGTTTATTCAGACTCTATGATGATTATGAAGGTTTAATGTATAGGGGATGAGCTGTTTGGGAAGTCGCGCCGCACGACCGGTTCAGCATTCATACCCCGCGCCCCATGGGCCACGCGTTACACCAGGCTCCTAGAACCAACCACTCGTACGATTTTTTCAAGCACGTGACGCGCGCTAAAGCGCGATGTAAACAAGTACATCGTCAAGCGAGCTTGAAACTCTCGACAGAGAGGCTGGCAAAATATGTCGCCGAGACCTCCGAATTCATTCCCATGCCCTTTGCCGAGAGCTTTGAGTCACTGTGACAGCTATGCTTCGGCAGGCTACGGCAGACAACTTATGTCCTAATTGGGATAGATCATGCTTTGCTACCATATGCCTCCTAAGTCTGATTAGGGTATCTTAGCCGCCGAACTACAATAGATTTGCAATATAGATAGGCATTGTAGCAGTACAATAAGTGAAACGGAAGATGACCTTGACTACTCCCCAACTAAACACAGTGTTAACCATGTTAACAAGCCTTCATACGACACCAGGGGAATTGCTATTGTCACTTCTGAACAGTGCCGTACACCAGCAGGCACTCGACGATATGATCGATCGTTTTCCGTCAATCCTCCAGGCGATGGAACAGCATCCAAGGCTGTCGGCAGCATATTCGCAAGATGCGAACGAGTGGGTATTGCGTCAGTGCAAGAGAGAAGTGGTCGAACTGTCATCAAAAACAAATGAGTTTCATTTCACCGCAAGATCAATGACAGAGGAGCAACTGCATGCCTATCAAGTAGAGGAGGCCGTTAAGAAGACCGAGAAGCTGGCGCCCACTCTGTGGGGAATATTGTCATCGTTACTCTCTGCGGATGATGAGATCAATGTTCGACGATTGAACTTGATGCGACGACGGCATGAGAAGCAAAAGGCGAATAAGGTTAACGTTGATAACACCGATCGTGATGCCGATATGGATATCGAAGACGAGGATGAAATGGACGATGTGGACGAGGACACCTTTCCTGATGATAGCGACGATGAGCCTGAGGACGGGGTTGATCAGGCCATGGAACGACGGCAAAAACTAATGAATATAGTAAGTTGTTGCGGCTGCTGACAGTGTAACTAGTAGTTCTCACCTCTGGACTGTAGCGAGGCTTGCTCTGCGCTAGTGTGCTTATGAAAAGCTCGAACCAGCATTGTAATGCATTCCAGAGTGTTGTAGGGATGTTTCTTCATGCAACGAACACCCCCGAGACAGTCCGAGAGTTCCTTTCATCACTTGGCATCTCGATTACAACGACAACAATAAATCTAGCGGTCAAAAGCTTAGCAAAGAACTCACGAACGAAAATGAAAGAGCTGGGAAAGTCACTGCGAGTATTATTTGCGTACGACAATCTGGACCTGGAGATGAAGCCATTAGTCCCGACTATGGAGACAGAGAAAGACCACCTCATCCATTTCACTACGGGAACAATGCTACCGCTTCACCCGAGCACTGCTCTCGCCGACCTTGATTGCTCCGACATGCTATGGGAACGGTGCCCGCCAGGCCAGGCACCTGATGTACCAATAGCCAAGTTGCTACAGCTTCACCTGAAGCCACGCGATGCGAATGGATTGAACGGCCGTGCTCGTTTCAACCGCTGGCAGTTCCTATTTGATCTGGTGCATCATGGGCCAGAGTACTTTCGACGGTTCAAACGAGATCTCGGCGAGGCTGAGGCGTACAAGATTATCACACCTACTCACCAGACATTCCAAGTGCCAAATCAGACACTGGACGTGGCACCGAGTACGCCTGCATCTAACGCTCGGGCAATCGAAGAGCTTCTTGCGCAAGCTGGTATCACGGACCCTAGCAAGAATGAAGGCAACAGCGTCGACATTGGAAATCAGGTTCTATTAATATCTGGGGACTTACTCACTGGTGAACGGATATGTAGCTTGCTGTCTTCAAGGCTCGAAGAACAGACACCGTGGCGGCGGATGCAATATGTCGTCTATGTGATGGGGTTGTTCCATCTCAAGATGGCTGCTGCAGAGGCGATCTGGAGGATATTTATTCGGGATAAGAGCGCTCGAGAGGACCCTACAAGTCTGATGGAACTTTTGAGTCAAATCCGCCCACAAGAAACAGGGAAATTGGGTAGCAAACCGGGATTTCGAAGAATGCATGAAGCCATTCAACATGTCGGAATCGTTCTTCGCCTCGATTGTTGGCGTATCCTAGCCAACGAACTATTTCCATCATGTAGTTCACTGGAAGTCTTCGCTCAAAGGACGCCGACCTGGGAGGAGGTTGTTGATATGGCAACTAGGTTATGCAAAAGTCAGGTCGCGGCATCTGATATCGACTCGACTACACGCATTGCCAAAGAAAGTACACGGGACGCACAGCATGAGAACAGTCTAATCCGTCAGCAATGCTTTCTGTTATATGAAGAACTTTCGTACGCGATGAACCATGGCGATATTGACCGCACGGAAGCATGCTTCATACCTTGGATGTCTATCTTCTCAGCTTGCGGTAAGCATAAATATGCCGCTGAGCTGAAACGCTACCTCGAAGATGTTCACTTTCGGTACCCTGAGGGCCTTAAGTGAGTATATGTAACTCCATCAATGTTCGACGAAGATCTAACTTACAATACCATCAGAAACACCGTTCGCGCGAATATTCTCTGTAATCCAACGGGGCAAGAGGGGAAGTTTCGGGGGATAGATTGGATTGTTGAACATAATAATCTCTACATTAAGGTCAGTTAGAATTCTTATCATGTTCATGAGAACATACCTGACTACATTGCCAGAGAATATATGGCGGAAAGTACTCGAATCATTCTAAATCACACATCATCAGTCAGTCGCAACTCATCGAGGTCTTTAAAGACACTCGAATCCAATTTGAGAAGATGTTCTGTTTGGATCACAAGACGACACGCCACTCGCCGCCGAAGATGGTGAGAACTTTCAAGGTATTAGCAAAGTATATGGAGAGAGAAAAGGTAAACGAGAAGGTTCCCGGGCGAAAGACTAAGTATCGGATCCCAAACGTTGTGGGGGAGGGCCTAGCTATAGTGTATCGAAGGCATGTGCAGGGGTCGCAAGCTGGCATAGATAATGGTGACGAAGAGGAACTTATCGAGCTTCAAGACGATGGCGGTATAGATGTGTAAGGACTAGTAGATGGGTTCGTGGTATTATGAAGGGATGTTGAAGTAGAATAATATGCGTAATAGTCTTGCGGTCGTAGATACAGATGGCGGTAAGGGTTATCGTGGCCGATGGGCTGTGGCGTATACTGTGGCGTGAATGCGTGGGCTGGAATTTGACTTGGCTGCGCCTGCATGGGCGGTTTGTATCCGTAGGATTCGTTTGCTGTTGCGGAAGATGGCATAGCTCGGTAGTATGACATCGGTTGAACTGGCGGGGCAATGGGTTCGCAGGAGGAAGTTGGTTCGGATGGAGCAAGGTTCTCCTTGTTCGTCGATGCCGCCTCACCAGCCGATTCCATGAACCGCTCTTGTCGGTACATGGGACACTTCCGATTGGTTTCTAGAGCATTCGCATTAGTATATACTTGTCGTTATAGTTTGGCACGTACTCATATGCCCTGAACCCCCACATCGGCTGCAATGAAGCCCTCGACGTTTCGACAATGGTTGGGCAAGGTCTGGCTGAGTGAGGGTAGGCGGAAGAAGTGACGATGCCGGCTCGCTAGGTAGAGTGGGTTCCAGAGAAGCCTCTGCGAGACGAGCTGGTGGGGGGAAGTAATCGTGGACCAGTCTGAGGAGATCGGGCTTATAACGAGCTGCCCAATCAATATCCCACCCAATCTCCCTCTCAAGGAGCTCGAGGGTCTTCAGTTTCCCCATAGCTGCGCAAGCAACAACCCGTAACACGATGTCGTCCGTCATGAATGAGTTCGCGCCGTATTCGTCGACAACATCCTCGTTTAACTCCCTCACAGCTTGCACACTGCGCCACTGAAGTAAACCTGCGCGGAATGCCGCTGCCTCGTCTGACATCTTGAATTTTCTAATCGACGACTTCTGTGGGGCTCGTTTGGGTTTGGCGTATGCAACGGTATACTGGGTGAAGGCGTCAGGTGTACAGATGGAACAGCAGCTGCCTTTAGGACGAGGCGCGCAACGCTCACAGCCAGTAACACGTTCAGGGTTGCATGTGAGGTGAGTGTTACTACCTTTTTAAGAACAAAGTTACTTCCTTATTGGCTCGGCAATTGTATCAAGTGACTTACTTCTGTCATCATTGCCGAAGAATGTGGATGGAATGATACGCTGGCAAGCAAGGCCCCTTACGTGGGAGTTGATGAAATCATCCATTGGTGTGCCCACGTCGTTGGTTCTTCCCTTTCCCCTCCCTCTTTGCGTCTCTCCGTTCCTCGCCTGTCTCTGATATCGTTTTGCGCACTCAGTAGGATCCATCGATACAGGACTTGCCCCATTAACGCCAGTGCCATCGACGATTACTTGGGCCTCCTCCACGCCGACATCTTCATTCGCCTGTTGGGGGACGGGGACTGCATTGCGAACGCTGCCACTGCCGGTAAGTACAACCTGTTTACGAGGCAAATCGTTCTCAGCCTCTGTCGCCTTCCGCTTGGACCCTCGATGGCTGCGTGTCTCATCCATATCCTTTCTATCAACAAGCAAGATTGCTACCGCTGTCCTTCCTCTTTCTCGCACGGCACGGCCAAACCGTTGAAAGAGTGTATTTAATCCACAGGTGGGGCGCCATTGGACAACTACCTGGATATCAGGTAAGTCCATTCCCTAGTATATCAGACATATCAATAACGTTCCCTTACAGATGTTACGAAAATGTGCTCACCATACCAAAGGCATCGGTTGAGCATATTCCCCATACCTCACCTCGTCGAAAGCGCTCGTATTCCTCTTGACGATACTCTTGAGTCATTGTTGAGTGGAAGTGCTTCACACGTTTCTTATTGGCGGTACTGAGTCGTTTTCGTAGGACGTCTCTCGCTGCCTCTGCTTCCTTCGTATTATCGAAGAAGATGATAAACTTGTCTGGCGGATTGTCGCAATACTGTTTGCCTGGCAACAGAAATTCAAGATCCTTGTAGCCGTTGGCAGGATAAACCAACATTCGCACTAGAAGAGCCACCTCCGGACGATCGTTCGACTGCAGAATGTACCGTGTTCGCTCGTCTCTTAGCTGGAGCGTATTCGCGATGCTGACGAGAATCGATTCCGGCAGTGTAGCAGATGCAACGTAGAGCGGGATCCTTTCAATCGATTGGATTGTGTGACGCAGGGCACCCAGGCGAGTGTAATCCTTCCGGAATTTCCCCCACTCGCTGATACAATGGCCTTCATCAAAGACAATATGTAGGATTGATGACGCAAACTTCTCGTCTTCGAGAAGAGCCGTTGCCTCGCTGCTACTCATCAAGATCTCCGGATTAATGATAAGGACATCGAAGCGGTGGTTCTTCACGTCCTATTCACTGCCGTTTTGTCTCAGTCCATGAACTGGTAAGTAAAGTCTCGCACCTTCCATAAGGATACTGAATTGTTCTCGCTATTGATTGCTATAGCTCGAATACAAACCGATGCCAAGTCGTCAACATTCTGCTGGCCTAGCAAATTCAACGGCGTCACCACGATCATCAATTTCTTTAATCCGTCCGCTTGCGCCATGATCAGAGGAATCCAGAACGACAAAGTCTTTCCAGACCCCGTTGGTGCGCAGGCAACAACATCCTTCTGGTCACAATAGATGGCCATTGCTACCTGGATTTGAAACAGACATGGCCGTTTGCCGAAGTGCTTCAACGTGAGCTCGCGTATGGCTTCGATACTCCAGACGCGTCGCGAGTCGGACATGTACCAGATAATTTGATTAATTTCGATCTCATCAAATTACTACATTCGGTTTTATTGAGTGTGAGAACTACAATTAAATAAGCAAATAAGCAACAACTCGGGTCACTCTCGGCAAAGGGCATGGGAATGAATTCGGAGGTCTCGGCAACATATTTTGCCAGCCTCTCTGTCGAGAGTTTCAAGCTCGCTTGACGATGTACTTGTTTACATCGCGCTTTAGCGCGCGTCACGTGCTTGAAAAAATCGTACGAGTGGTTGGTTCTAGGAGCCTGGCGTTACACCCTCTTTCAAACACCGAAGCACACCCTCCAGCCAAAACACCCCGGGTCCGTCCCAGCCTACTTCGTCACGATCTAGTTGATTTTTCACGACCTGGCGGTCGATCAAGTTTGTTTGCTTAGTCAATATACAACACGATACTAACCGAATATACACATGAAACAACACTCCATGCAAAATTGACGTATGGATGTATCTGAATAGAAGACAGGTCAGGAAATGAATAGGAAAAGGCGAGATATCCCTCACTCGGGCCAGCGTGTCTGCTACCCCCATAAGCTCGGCAAGAGAAATGACGATTCCACCAAGAAGGGCGTAGGCAGATACGTTGGTTTCGGTTGCACCTGGAGCGTTAGCTAATCATAACCGAAAGCACGGCCCCATTAGGAAAGGTGATATCTATAAGTCGGGCCGTCATTGGTACTGGAGTAGTTCATGAGTGCAACATACCTAGTTTAGGACTGCCAGCCAGTAAATCACGAACCGTCTTTTCAACAATGCCATACGAATGTAGGCGCACACAACCCTTGTCGAACATCTCAAATGAGATCGTCGAGTCTATTGATTGAGGAGACCTACAACAGATGTCTCAGTGGGCGAAGAGTACCGAGCTATATCACCCTCACAATTTGACAATCTCTTTCCATTCGGGAGATGCTGTTCTTTTGATGACTTCGGTCCTATGCGTTGAGGGTAGCGAATCTGACACCCAGCTTATGGTAACAAATCCGTTCGGCCTCCTCTGGAACGTCAACTTCCGTTTGCTTGTTAGACCAGTAGCCTTCAAACCTAGACATCACAGAAATATCAACACTAAAGTGCGCAAACGGATGATGAGCAGCATACCAACAATGATCAAGCTGTACGAAGAAAATGAATCGATGCGCTAGGGGCAGCATTTTAAGGTTAATGCTCACTGTATGTCTCCCATTTGCTCCTTGCGCGCTGAATCACATACACTTCGAGAACGTAAGTAGGGTGTTCATTGGTATAGCACGGTATTTGCGGGTGTCGACTTGGGAGCCTGTTGCTGGGCCTGTGAGGTAAAGGCGTGTTAGGTGCGTGGTGTGCTTCATGCCAGAATCCAATATAAAATCGATGGCATGTATCTATTTATGAAGTGCATTCGTTGTTTCCTCGTTCCCTCATATAGCGATGGGTCGTCCATCAGGGACAATACACTCGGGCCGAAAAGAACGCCATGGAGTATGGTGACTCGGAGTAAAATATATTTTGTCGCTGCTACCGTCAAGGAGAAAATTGCTTTACCCTCGAGGATGAGGCCGAATGCACGCCTCCACGTCTGTCGAGGATTGAAAGTGTGATTGCTATTTATATTTCGGGGAGAGAACAGGCCCTAATAGGACATTTGATTGGTTAACTGATATTTTCCTCCTGTAAGGTGACGCACCTTTGATCTGTTGCGGTACTTAGGCTCCTTGAAGCTTGCGATGAACGGAAGCTCTTTCATGGGCGCGGACTGAGGACAAAAAAGGTAGCAAACTCTCAATTTCATCCCATTCTTTCATCCCATCCTTCCCAGTACGCCCCTCCCCCATCCAGGAATCACCCCGTACAAAATCGGCGAGCCACGGGCAAAGGAAGCTAAGGAAGAAAGCGACAGAACGAGGATTGCTGACGGACGAGAAGCCAGTACACAATGTACGTAGGTTGTTGAACTTGACTTGTGGATTCTGGTCTGAAGCTGGTATATCTTCATCGCGCAAACCAAGGTATAGTCCGAGGTGTTCAAGTTTTGGGCAATTGGCAGCTAGAGAGATCAGAGCGGGGAAGCTGAGTGTGTTTTGTAGTGATTTGCTGGCCGGGCTACAATTTAGAACTAGTGTCTCGATGTGTGGGAGAGAGATTGCAATCTCCTCTACATCGACATAAAGGAGGCGGAATGGATGATAGTGCGCAAGTTCCAGAGAACGAAGCATGGCACATTTCAGTATTGGGCGGATGGTGCGTATGTCAACAGTTTCATTGATATCCGGAGGGGCGGAAGAGGTAAGGCAAGAGATATGGAGTTGACGAAGGCGGGGGTAGCTGGCGGCGATGGCATCCAGTAACTGGGTCATGTGCGCTGGCGATTCGGCTCTCGGAGACTCGATACGAATGCGAACGAGTGCAGGAGGATGGTTGGGATGGTTGAAGAGCTGAGTTGACGCAGCAAATGATATTACAAGAGAAATCGCGGATAGTGAAGAAAATGCTCCGTCGCTTAGTGGTAAGTTATTATCGGAGTTGCTTCTACTTGTCATGGACAAAGCTTCCAGCTTGGGCAAATTAGAAAGTATATTCATCAAGCCATCAACAAGTCCGCAAGGCAGTGTCAACTGCCTTAGCTGGGCGAGTTTCTCGATAGTCGTACCGAGAGCCTGCTGGGCATTAGGATTGCTGCTGGAGGTCAGATTTTTTAGCTCGAGGGATTGTAGGTTTGGAAGGCGGGCGTAGAAATATTGAGAGAAGCTGAGATATTGAGACGAGAAGTTTTCAGGAACTGTGAAGACAAGTTTCTTCACGTCGGGATGCATAAACGTGAGGCACTGCACCAATGAGCCATTCCAATGCAAAGATTGGAGATTGGGTAAAATGGCATATCTTGGCCGCGTTCACGCGAGCTGATCCTCAGTGTTTTGCCTAAGTCAGCGGAAGTCGAAAATTAACGACTATAGCGGACTTTGTCGTACTTAGTCCCACTTTTTGACTGGAAATTGACTTGATTATGATTTTGTGGCTCCGCCCGGGTATAAAAACAAAACGGTCGTATTCAGTCCTTTGGAGTCTAAGTCGAGTCATGGGAAGTCACGATAAGTCAAAACAATCACACGCAGTGTTTCACTCTGTAAGAGTCAGCTTAGGTCAAATGACTGTCTCTCGAGGTCAATAGTGCATCAAAGTGCGTCATTGAAGGTCAATCATCCGAGTCAAATATCAGTCACGATCAGTTATATCAAGTCACCCAAAGTCAGTTTTGAGGTCATATCATAGTCAGTTCAAGTCCGCGCAAAGTGACTTTGCTTCATGATCAAGTCGACAAGGGTCGAAAAGAGTCAGAGAGTGGATTTCGAAGCGAATTATCCCACAGTCAGTAAAAGTCAGTGCCATGTATATGGAAGTCATTTTAGGTCAGTAAAAGTCGGTTGCCGTGTATATGGCAGTCATCTTAGGTCAATAAAAGTCATTGCACCGTCAATTTCTGACCCTTGTTAATGTCTTCGGCCAGGACAACTGAGTCATTTGAAGTCAAAAAAAGTCCTGTTCAGTGTTTTACTACATAAAAAGTAAGATTTTCGGTCAGTATAAGTCAGGTCAGAATAAATCCGGGGCTTTTTGCAATCAGTGAAAGTCAAGAAAAGTCGGTTTAGAGTCTGCCTATATTAATGCAACTCTCATTATCAGTCAGTTGCAGTCAATATCAATTATTAAGAAGTCTAGAAAAGTCCGTAAATGTCGTATAAAAGTCGTCGCAGGTCATAAAGTGTCAAGATAAAATGTACAAACGGTCCAGGAAAGTCGTGAAATGGTAATTCTAGGTACAGAAAAGTTGCGAGAAGGCACTGATCAACGGCCGGTTTGGAAACGGGAAAGGAAACGTAGGGAACAGGGTACGGATCAGGGATGGAGGTCGGTGGCTTTGGCAATGAGACGAGGTGCTGACGCCGTTTTGTCGGGATCTTCTGGCGCACCACCAGTGTCATTGGCGTCGATTGGAGAATGGTTGGCGTGGGTAGGCTTGACCGATTTGGCCGATTTGGGTACCTTGGCCTTCTTGACGCGCTATTGAGGGTATATTAATTTGTCTCATTCATAAACCAAAGATATAACACATACCTTTGCAATCATTGCATCGAGCTCATCGGTGCTAGGGCGGCTGCATGGAGGGAGATTGAACAAGGCGGACACACCTAGGTTTGCAAAGTATTTAGCATTCAATCGTTACGGAAAGGGGGGGACTTACATGTTGCCTTATTCATGGAACGAGCATTGGATATCTGCTTTTTAGCTGCCAGGGTCTTGAGATCGGGCAGATGAACCTCCTGTGAATATATAATCAATAACGGGACAGGGTACAGGGCGGCCAGCCTACCTCAAGTTTCTTTCGAAAAGTGGTGTCTTCAGCGCGCATTGGCGCACTCTGTGGATCGTCGTTCGCGGTCGGGTGTCCCTCACTTTCGGCCAAAGCATCGACTTCGTTAAGGTCGCCGCCGCCTCCACCGGAAGCTGAGGTATCCAATCCCTCAGGAGCTGCAGGCTCCGAAACTACTGCCTGAGCTTTACCTTTGTTGAGGGGCTATGGAGGAAGAAGATTAGGAACAAATTTACTTGAAAATGGAAAGAATATTACCCCTCCTGACCGCTTCCAAGCATCAGAGAGTGTGGAGACTATTCGGTCCAAGTAAATATCACTGAGGTAGCTCTGGGGTTTCCGACTCATGCCTATGCATAGATACCGAGCAGCCTTGCAGGTTGTCAATGCAGCAGCAATGAGTTGTCGAGCCGTCTCTGTATTGCCCACCGATTTCCACGAAGTGATGGCTCCAGCGATGGTGAGGGACCCCGCTGTCCATTGCCAATGACCCCAGCTGTCCTGTAAATCTTCTTCGTTTTCCATGCAGGCAGGGTCTGCTGTCTGGACCCGAACCAAGAGTGTGCTTACATCCGTCGTTGGGAAACTGTACCCGCCGTGCCTAGGTGATTGCTCCATAGCAGCCAAAAGGTCCACCGCGAGATTGATTAATGCTTCAGGAAATTGAAATTGCGAGCTTTGAATGGTACCTTTTGGACCACGTTAGCTAGGATGCAGCGGCATAGGACTTGGCCTACGTTGGAGGTTCTCATCTACGAGCAAGTCCATATGCGTAAGTGAAGATACTACGTAGAAGGAGATGGGACTTACAGCCGTCATCAGTCTTGATCATGGACAGGGCGTTATGACCGGGGAATGCCAGCGAGGGAGGGGCACTGCTAACGGAAGAAGAAGGTGGCGGGGGTGGTGGCTGCAGCATTGACGAGCTTGGCGCAAACGATGACGGGGTGAATACGCTCGGCGTAGACAGTGTGGGCGAAAGCACATCTACACTCGGAATGGGCTCGTTCGTAGGCGCGGGGGAGGGGGGGCGATCGACCTGCGCTGTGGCATTGGACACGGCCTCGTCTGGTAACTTGGCAGGGTGACCATGAAGCGGCTTGGGCAGAGCCCTTGGCTTCTCCCCTGGCAAAGCGGGTCAGTACGACGACGTGATGTATATTGCCCACTTACCGACTCGAGGGCGTTTAGAGGGGGGGGCCGATGGTAATGGGGTGGTGGCCCTGGCCGGTCGTTTCTTGAGTGTGCCGTGTACGGATCCTTCGTCGTCATCACTATCAGCCTCGCCAGTTTGTGCTTTTTTTGCCGCCTTCCTGGCATTCGTGATTGACTGTCCAATCAGATGATCTGCCTTCCAGTGTGCAGAACATAAGGCTACCTCCTTGTGTCGTGTCTCCAGCACCGTGATGGAACCATACCAGAGGTCGGGCCGTTTGCTTCGGTAGTACTCCCGAATTTGCTTGACGTCGACCTGGACCTGATCTAACGGATGGATTGCAAGTATTCGATCAGCGAGAGAGGAGGCAGTCCTCTTGATGAGCTTAACTACGGCTGGATCCAACAGTTTGCCTTTGGAATCCCGAAGGGCCTTATGGAACGAGGGCCTGTAGTGGTTTTTCGCACTCAAGCCTGCGAGAGCGCCGATGTCTTGCGCCGATTTGAAGGTCCAGAGCACAGTATCGGGGATCGCGGAGGGCTTCTCAAGAGCGTCCGGCCGTCTCAAGTAGGCTTGATATGCAGCAAGGAGCTCCTCCTCGCCGTCATCTATGTCAACGTGCGAGATGTTGCCTGTATGCGAAACGGAGTCGCTGGGACCCAGGGAAGGAGTCGACGCATGTGGTCTAAGAAGAGCCATCAGCGGGTGAACGAGCGTTGAGATGTTATCGACTCACCGTGAAGGTATGTTGAAACAGGTCTGTTTCAATTCAAGTACTAGCTCTTCTAAGCGTGCAACCTTGTCTTCAAGCTTGTGTACAATCCGTCGCACGACAACGAATTCCTGCCAAGCATACGCCGGATCAGTCACTGGGCTGGCTTCTTCATAGTGCCTAGTGGGAGCGGGGGGCGCGGGAGGATAGTGGGAGACAACGGCGTGCTCGTTTTGGTATAAAAAGGGAACGGCAGCGGTATAAGAGCGGTCAGTTTCAGGGTGGGCGGCGCGATAGTCCCCGTGGGTCTGCCTTGGTGCTCTAAAAGGTTGGTCAACACGGTGCGGGGGAGGGCGAAATACCCGCTCCGCCTGGGCACCAGCGCGCAACTTGTCCCGAGCAGTAGGGAAGGCTTGAGGGTTTGGAATAGCGGGCTCTGCCCAGTCGTTATACACGGGGGGGCCTCGGGCTAGGGCTCCAACCGTAGATCCTCCTTGGAACTCACTGGGGGAGGGTGTAGCTCGATGCGACCGCTGGGAGCAAGCGTCGAAGCCGTCGAAGAGGTAGTCGGACATGGTAGAAAGGTCAGACACTGAGTTCCGGTAAGAAAAGGTGGTCACGTGTTCAGGGATGAAAAGGGGTGCTGTAAACAATGTGGGATGGTAGTGCTAGAGTTATCCAAGTTGTAGTATATGACCTGCGGCCAGAAAAATCGATGGCAGACCTCCTAAGGCGCCATATCAAACATACCCAGTCCCTGCTCCCATCACCCGTTGTCATCTTGCTCAGGCTCCTTCCTGGGAGGACGGCGATCTCTATTTTTGCAGAATCCGTTCTCCACCCAGCGAAATAGGCCTCCCGCTGAGTACTGGGTCAACGAAAACCGTTGCTCCCCACTTTGAATTGGGGCGTTGGAGTGCCTAAGCAGGGCGGACGGGATGAGGATCGTTGCCCCAGGAGGGAACTCAATAATCAACTTGAGATTCCAAAGAATTAGATGGCTGCCGATGTTGGAATCAAAACTGCCAAGGGAAGTAATTGCACACAAACCCGTCGCGAGGTTTGCAAAGTCGGTGTGATCAATAGTAATCGTATTTGGCCCAAAGTTGGCTGTCATACAGGCGAAGTCGCTATTTCGAAAATTTCGTGCGAGCCCTGAATTGGACGCAACAAGGGCGTCCAGAGTATCTCTGTAGTATGCACCTAGCCTAGGAACAATCGTATGAAGTAGTTTGGACTGAAGACCGGTGATGCGTCGGATTGAAGGGCTACCCATCAAAAGCCCCATAGCCGCAGCATTTTCAGGAGAGCTCCTCAAAGTCATCGGCTGAGTCTGGCCACCCCCATAGGATATCCCAGTGGCCATCGCAGGAAAACATCCTCGCCTATGCTGCTTCTGCTTATCGGAGAACCGAGCAATGTTGCGTGCCTGCTTCACGGCATTAGAGGCATCCAATGCAACTTGGGCCCATGTCGGGTCTCTGGGGGAGGCACCGCCGCCAATGATGTGGCCCTGCAAGTCGATGAGTGTAAACCCATCCCTTAAGCTCGTTGAGTGCGCATGTTTAGCCCAGATCAGTGGGCCTCGTACCTTTGATTCCATGGTAGAAGTGTGAATCCCTCCGCCTGGAGGTTGAGGATATGCCTGTGAGGCTCGCTGATAGGATTGTGCAGTCCAATGTAGCCGGTGGATGCATGGCCGCTTGAACCTACATCAATGTTTACGGCCACCTTCTGGGATTTCAGTCTACGCATAGTCGCAACCTTCTTCACAGAATTCCCAGCCAATGCCAGCACTTTCTCGCGTTTATCTCGCCGTGCACATCGCTTTTTCTTTGTATACCTTCGCCGTGAATTCCCGCTGCTTTGCTCGGCGATGGAAGGCTGCGTGGGAGGCGTTGGTGGGTTGTCCGCGCCGTGCATTTCCATAGGCAGTGTCAAACAATTGACGCCGGCCCCCTGAATAGAGATTGCGCTGTCCTGGCCTTGACTTGCCGAGGGAAGTAAATCAATCTGGTCCTCTAAGCGCTGGTTGACAGGGAGTGGGCCTGGCTGCTGTGGCGTGTCATCTTCAGGCCTCTCAAGGTCGCCTCTAGAAATCGCCGTACGGAGAAGGTCGCGGATGCTGTTATAGGCGCGTCCAAGGAACCCCTTAGGGGCTACTAGGGGCGCGCCCACGTGCGTTTCCCGACTATGGGCTCGGGCCGCGCTGACACGCGGCCACGCGGACTTCCCGGATTACGGACTAAGTACATACTCGAGCACATTGTAGTTACTACGACCGAACTCGTTACTGTTTTGTGAACACGCGGACACCGCGTGTTCCTTAGTATATAGTCCTGTACCGTACATACAGCTACCTTAGTTCGAATATTAGTTCCTTCTCCGCACTCGCACTCTCGCCCCTCTAATGGGTTCTCCCCCCGTCACACCCCTTCGCCTCCGCCCGTACCCTCGGTACCCGCGTAGGACTCCTCCCGGAAATACAGGGCACGCAAGAGTGTGGGAGGCGCAGCCAGTAGCTGAAGCCAAGCCCGTATGTCCTCGTTTCCCCTGTTTCCCCCGCGCGTCTACGTGGAACCGCGCACCCGTGTGTCCGCGTATCCCGAGCCCCCTGCGAGTGTGGCTCTTAACAGATGCGGGCTTGGCTTCAGCTACTGGCTGCGCCTCCCACACTCTTGCGTGCCCTGTACTTCCAGAGGGGATCCTACGTGGGTACCAAGGGTATGTGACGGAGAGACCTCAATAGAGAGGCAAGGGTGCGAGTGCGGAAAAGGAACTAATATTTGAACTAAGGTAACTGTGTGTACGGTACAGGAATATATACTGGAGAACACATGGTGTCCGCACATTCACAAAACAGCAATGAGTCCAGTTGTAATAAGTATGGTGTGCTTGAGTATGTATTTAGTCCGTAATTCGAGAGGTCCGAGTGGCCACGTGTATACGCGGCCCGAGCCCATAGCCGGGAACACTGTGAATGCGCCCCAAGTTGCCCCTAAGGGGCCTCCTGGATGCACCTATAACAAGATTCTATGATAGCTGGGTGTTACCTAGCCATTCTGCACCCAGTCATTCAAGCAAACTAGTTCATGCATTATATATATGCATATATTGTTAGAATTTGAGTCTCGCCTTCAATTAGAATAATATGTTCCAATACTTGATGTTACTGCACCACCTGTAGCTTGATAATATCATCTGTCGTTGTCTCATTACCACCACTTTTAATATATACACATTGATAACTACAAGGCCCCATCATATGCTGTCATTGCTGAATGCTTTCGGTATATGTAAACCCGATTCTCCTTTCCATAGGATATACCAATGAGATTGACAATTGAATCCACCTTCCGCACCTCTAATCTGCTACTTGCCTTTCCCCATGTGACAACATCCCAGTGAACCTCTATGTCAATGAAGGGATGGTATACAACCAGCATTGAATCATGAGTTGTATCCTCATAGAAAGCCAGTGCCTCTCCAAATGCCATTGTCTTGTCTTCATTAATTGCCTATGTAGACAGTTTTAGTATTCTGTATCTCAGGAAATGAGTCAATCATCTACCTCAAAATAGCTTGCTGATCTTGTAACCCCTTGCCCTTGTCTACTTCGTGATTCATTAAGGCGGCTCCGTAGATAAACACCACTGGGCAAAGGGACTTTCCCAAGCCTGACAAGCCAGGTTGCCTCTGGATCAATGTTGAATGACACATTCAACCATTTGCATATTGCTTGCAAATGCTGGTTGTAGATTGAGTTCTTCTCCTTTTTCTCCCTCTTCAGAATAGGCACCTTCCCTATTGCTACTCGGGGTCTTGGTTCCTCATCAGGTACAGCAAGGGATGGATAATAATGAAGCAGATTTTTCACTAGTTGACCTTCATATATCTTATTGGCTAAATTGACAAATGGCTCCTTTCTTGATTTGATTCTTCGCTCTAAGACACCAATATGCCTTTCCAGTGTACCCTGTGAGCCAATGCGGTAAGATCCATTCCATCGAATGTGATCAGGTATGTACAGCAGATGAAACATAGAAAGGCGCATTCTTGATGCCTTTGTTTCGTCTGGCACATATAATTCCTGAAACTCATTTAAGAAAGTGACAATTTCCTTGCGGATCATTGTTAGATCATTTTCTGTTCTCCCTGTGATTTCCATTGCAAAGGTAACAATTTTGACAAACCGCGCAAAATTGCGGACAACTGCCATTGGCATTTCAAGCTCCAAGAGGATGGGAATCGTTAGCCAGTGGGCCAAAGCCTTCCATTCAAACATCTTGTACTGAGTGTTTCTCTTTGTGTGTGGATCACGGACTGGCCCTGTAAATGCAGCTGGAATTGTTTCCATGGATTTGGCCACTTCTTTCCCAAAGAATGCTGCTTGTTCAACAGAAAGATGTGTGATTTCATCAGGCCCAGTGATTGTAGTCCATAAATCCCAAAAGTTGGCCATGTTGTTTTCATACAACAAATGGAATGGGTCAGAGAAAAAGAATTTTGGCCAAGAGTATGTTTCGAATGCTGCCAACATTGGAAGTCTGACAATTCCATATTTGCTCACAATGTGTTTCCGGGACTTCTCATCAGTTGCCCCCTCCAGCTCTTGAATGGCATTCCAGTAGTCTTTCTCTGTAAACTCTGGTAAATTATCGAGATCATAATCAGGTCTGCCAGGGTTGAACTTTTTTGCCCCCTCTGGTACTGTAACACACCAGTAGATCCTTTTACAGCCCTTAACACTTGATCTCATGCCAATCAACTTCAGATTGAAGAAGTTTCCATGAAGAGAGTTGATGCCAAGATGGCCATTGTCTTTATTCTGGCCAGGCTGATCGGCACTTTGGCCTACAACACTAGCATGGTGCATAATATATGCAGAGTCGAATGCATCCCAGATCCAAATACCTTGGCCCATTTGCAATAGCTCCTGTACGACAGGATACATATATGTACTAAGATCCCCAGGTGGCTCTGGGCCTGGGGTTGAAAACACAGTAATGACATTTTCTGCCAAATATCTTATATCTGGCGGCAAGTTGAGAATGATCAAAATGAGAAACCATGAATCAGACTGTTTTTTAAGAGTAAGCATAGCACCATCAATGGACATGATGTAGATCATATCACATTCATGCTCAAAAAGACCCTGGTTCATGAGATGTTCCATGTGTGCTTTACCATTGGCGTAATCAGAGTATTTGACTTCAGCACCTTTCATAAATAACTCAATAGCAGCTTTAACAAGTCTGTCCCTATACCGCAAAAGGTATGATTTCTCATAGTTTGCAAACATAGCTCGAATGATAGGCACCAATGGTAGCACCATAAACTGGGCAGCTGGCTTTGTAGTGCCAGGCCGGTTTCGATCTCTGCCACAGACAAGAGGTGGCCCTTTCTTTTGTTTGCGAAGAAAGTCACATACTGTCTTGTCTTTATGATCTCCTGTGAATGCTATGCATTTTCCTGGACATATAGGAATATATTTTGGCATAAAGTCAGTGATTTTCTGAGCCAATCGACGACATCGATCAATGCTCATTATCGGTTGTCCAAGTGCCTTTGAGAGCAATTTAGCATAAGCCTCATGAGCTCGCCTAGTGGTGTTTGTGAGCTGAAAAACAGTCCAGTGACTGAGGCTATAAATTTGCATTTTTGTTAATGCAATTGGCTTAAGCCCGAAGCGTGGTGGCACTGGCTCTGCTTTATAGCCATCCAGCATCTTTTCTATGAGGGCTTTCCTAGACGCAGGAAATGAGAACTGGGTCTCAGCCTCATAATCGGCCTCCAATTCTGAGTCACTGTCATCATCATCAACACTGCCAGTGTTGTTGTCTGAGGATGAACTCTCGGCCTCTGACTTTGTCTCAGAATCCTCCTCCTCCTCTTCCTCCTCCTCCTCATCGCTTTCCATGCCATCATCAGACTCAGAGTCAGAAGCACTTGGGCGCACATCAAATCCACTGGGATTCACATAATACGGATCTTCGCTTGATGGAAGTTCCTCAATATTCACCTAAAAAGACAGCAATTTCAATGTTCTACATCCTCCCTTCAGAACCTCAACACTCACCTGATCAAGATAAATAACCTCAGTATCCCGAACAGCAATGCCATGCAAGAGCTCTGGCTCTTGTTCCTCGTTTTCTGATATTGAATGTCAGCATCAGCGCGTATCCTACGTGCTATGCCCACTTACCTTCAATCTCCTCCCCTGATTGACCGTTATCGTTATTGTCTAATAGTAATGAAAAGATGTCAGTATTCCGCATGATAAATTCCAATAGCGACACTAATGATTTCCCGATTTCACCGAGCCAGAATGTGTATTACAGCCAACCAACTTGATATACTTCAGTCGGTGTGATATTCATTCCTGACGGATTGCATTGTGTGGGCATAATATCAATACAAACCGGCAGGAATGAATATCACATTGAATGAAAGATATCTGCCGCAATAAGCACCAAGCAGAAGGGGAGCGGCAAGAAGCAGGGGGACATGGGATGTAACTAGCACTTACGTGCCGGATCTATTCAGCGGTCAGTTATATCGTAGGGATATTGATATGATTGACATACCGAGGACGGACATCGGGCCGCCACTATCATCTACATCCATCGCTGCAGTAGTATTGAGTTTACCACAGCTAGTGATAAGTTAATGCCGTCAGATATGCTTACCGTCAGGATCGGCACGCTGCGAGTCTAAAGAGAGCTCAGTTTCTGCTCTCACAAATAATGACTGGTGGCATTGCGTACTGGATCGTTTCGACTGCTCAAGCAGCTCCACATTCTGCTTGATGCAATCCTGAAGAAACTGAAGGACGACGGGGTCGTGTTCATGGTTCAAAACCAGGTCTCGATCTTGCTTGAGGTGACTTTGTATGGTCTTTCTGGCCCGTAGCCTCTTGCTGACGCCAAAGCAGTTGGAGCAGCAGCAGTTCATAATTGTTGCGATTAGGAGCAAACGAGCGCCGACTGGCCTTATCGCTTTCCCAGTGCACTTTCCCACTATGTACTCTCTGAGCTTTCCCCACCAGTCAGCGCTTTCCCACTAACATTCGACGTCAACGGCATCGAAAGCTGCATGTCGAGAGCCACTACAATGGATGACACACCGAATGGTAGGTAGTACTTAGTAGCGGTTCGGTGACCTCTCTAACGACTACGATCGCGATCAGCCACACATTCCACTCAGTGATTAACCACAAAATCACCATCCTACGCCTCAAGCCACCGTTCGACGCCTCCCCCATCATTCGACGCCTCTGTCATTCCGTTATCAGCCTGAAACCCGCCGTTCGACGCCTCTCTCGTTCAAACCTGCCATTCGACGCCTCCCATTCCTTTATCAGCCTCAAGCCACCGTTCGACGCCTCCCCCATCGTTCGATGCCTCTCTCATTCCGTTATCAGCCTGAAACTACCGTTTGACGCCTACCCCCATCATTCGACGCCTCTGTCATTCCGTTATCAGCCTGAAACCCGCCGTTCGACGCCTCTCTCGTTCAAACCTGCCATTCGACGCCTCCCATTCCTTTATCAGCCTGAAACCAACGTTCGACGCCTACCCCCATCATTCGACGCCTCTCACATTCAAACCCGCCATTCGACACCTCCCATTCCGTTATCAGCCTGAAAGCGCCGTTCGACGCCTTTCTCATTCCGTTATCAGCCTGAAACTACCCATTCGACGCCTCTTTCATTCAAACCCGCCGACCTACGCCTCCCAACCTCAAACCCTCGTTCGCCACCTTCCCCCCCCCCCTGTTGCCCGCTCAAACTCGTGTCCTCCACGCTTCCTTACCGATTCCTTACTACGTAAGCTCACCCCCTTCAAAACACTGTGTCCTTTCAACTTCCGATGCAGCCCTTACCATCTACCGTCCCCCTCCGTCAAGCACTACGTCTGAGAAAATTCATCATCTAACTCGTGCCGCTCACCATTCATGTTAGCAGCAGCCGGTGGTGCCACGCAATCTGCAAGACACTGGTTTGTTGAAGTGATTTCTGAAGCACACATGGGCAACGGTGTCCTCCCACCGAATAAGTCCAAATCCGTCCCCCGGTACGTTATCGACTTCTAGTTCGTATCCTGAGACCCTCGCTTATGCCGGTCTATTTAGATAACTGAACCCCAGATGACTCGCCTCACTTGATCGCCTCGCTTGATCGCCTCGCTTGAATTCACGCTCAACTGACATGCTTGAAGTGTCGTGCAAGTTACGTCGATCCACGGGTACAATTCTCGCCTGTGTACCACATTCCTCCCTCAAGGCCTCGTCTCCGCCTTGCCTACGCCCGCGCCGTACGGTTCAAATCTTCGCAGAGTCGTCAGTGCTTTATGCACGTGTCGACCCCTTCCTGCCTTATAAGAGGACCTGTCTCTCACTGTCGCACTCACCCACAGATGCGGGAGCCACGTCAAGAATTCCGCCTTTTTCTTGCGACCCCGAACGAATCCAATGTTCGTGGGCGTCCCGACCGCGGGTCCCCTTGGATCGGCGTCCCCTCCCGACTTGAAGCAAGTTCAAACATGTTCGTCAAGAAGGAACATAATGAGCCCTTCTCTGTGTCAATCATGCACAAAGATGAGGTGCGGCCCCTTGCACACACCAACAATATACAGAACTAACACAGTTTTATCTCAGGAATACGACTGGATTGAGAATGTCGTCAAAGTATTTCTCCGGGCCGACCGCGGGATGACCTCTGTTGGATACTATCACTCCTACTTTGACCTCCACGGAGAGACGTCAGAAGACGTCGTTGTCATCTCACAAGACGGAACGAGGCGGGTCTGGGAAGGTACGAATATCAGACTGTCTTGTCGTTACACTAAGCATTAAGTACTTCATCAGCTAAGAAAGGTCAAGTCAACGCCTTCGACTTCCGGATGATCCAAGTACATTTGACTCCCAAGCCTGTGCAGAACGATATAGTGGTGGGTTTATCACCGTGTTGTCTTCCGCCGGTACCCTGCAAATTCAATTCTCCGCAGATATACAAGAAAGGCATTATTGAATACCTCGCCGTGATGATGCACCCGAGCACTTCACCGCACGAACATCAGCTGGCCAGTGATTCGATAGACATTCTATTACCCTTGTTTCGCTCGCATACCGCTCAGTTAGCGCTGTTGTAGGATTTCTACCCGTCATTACCTAATCTGTTTTTTTCTCTGGCGCCAAGTGCATGGCCGTTAAGTCAGTCGCTAAGTCAAGCAGATTCTCCTACAGTCGCAAAAAGGACGACTGACTATGACTTGAATATGATCAAATTTTTGGGATTACAATGTGCACTAAACTATAAAAGGAAGGTGACCAGTTTTTTACATTGAATGTGCAGGCCTCGACTGTAAGTTGACTTATAGGTCACTCTGACGGACCTATTTCGGGACTTTGGCTGACTTCGGCAAAATACTGAGGCTGATCGACCAGCTGACCACAGTTGACTGCTTTTTGGTGAAGCGTTCGGATGCGACTGGCGTATATCGAGTCGAACCGATCCCAGTCTGATTGCTCCAGCTCCCGAGTAAATCTCCAAATCTTTCAAAATGAATGAATGTCATTTACCACACGTTCCCTACACGTACTGCATTTTGATCTCTCACAACAGGGGCCAAACCGCGGCAAAGGGCCACCACCGAGTGTACTTCTCGCCAAAGTACATCCAGGGATACGTCCGACCACTGTCGGCTGACCGTGATTGTCTTTCTCAAGTCGTCGGGCGGCAGTGACTTCAGCATGCCCTCGAGAAGTTCAGTAGTGTCCACGAAGCGAGACAGCGCAGAGGGCATGTCTTTGACTTTCATTGAAGTCATGGTGGCTTGCATACCTGGCGGTCAACTTCAAGCGCTCGCCGTGAGTGTGGCTTTTACTCCGACCCCGACATGCACCACGATAATTGGACCAAGCAGAGGTGCCGTCTAGTCTCGTCTAGTTGTCCGACAATAAGCCATCTCTAATCTCAGCATGTCTTCCCATCTAGAAAAGCACCATTTGATTTGAGCATGTCGTTCTCCGAGGGCGGTGGCTTTTCTGTCTGACCCGAGCGGGACAGGCAGGACTATGTATAATCGTGCGCGGCGCACGTCCATCACGACCAGGACCCGGAAAGAATTAGAGTCGTTGATTTTCGCAGCTTAACGACTCCCTCACCGCCACCACGTCAAGATTGGCACTTGCGATCGAGGATCTTGAGCTCGCGCCGCAGCCCGACAAGCGTGCCAGGTACGGTGCCAACCCCGTACGTTGGAGACTCTCAGGATAGCTACCAAGTTAAAGTTGTAGATCGCGTTCTTACTGGTTCGATTGGGACTCAACAAAATATCGACCGACTGTTCAAGGCAGAATTCTATATATAATACTCAAGATTTGTGAATGCGCCATAACCAACGCATAACCACATGCCTCCTACTTTGATGGGAGTCGAGGATAACCAGTCAAGGAACGTCAAGATGATACACCGAGTCATCGAAAACACGGTGAACATGACCTCGGATTGCGCGAAACCGGATGACCTCCAAGGTTCGAGCTGTGACCTCCATTCCCAATCCACCGTCGTCGGGTTTCATCCCGAGTTTTGTTCCTGCCGGGCTCACCGTCTCTACATATAAGGGGGATGCTGGCAACAACTGCTCCCCATTAACGCCTTTCTCTTCCTTCTTTATCTTTCCTCTCTCGCTCCCAAGAGGAGACTTGTTTCCGGGTCGTTTCCCTCTCATTCGTTTTGCCTTTGGCTACCCTCGTTCATTTTTAAGGAAACACCCACCCACTTGAATTTCATCATGAAGCTCTCAGTCGTATTCATTGCCTCCGTTTACCTTGCTATTCAGGTGGCTTCGGTCCCTGTCTCTAAGCGAACATACGAGGTCAGTTCGCAATCGCTTAACCCATACCGCCTCTGCTCACCCTGAATAGACCACGCCTGCCTGTACTTGCGGCGGCTCTGACGTCGCTCTATCTTCGTCATCTTCGGCCAACTCCTCATCTTCGTCTTCATCCTCCGCTAGCTCGCAGTCCAACAATTCAGGTTCAACTTCTTCTAGCTCCACATCTTCAACTACGGATCATGGTTCAAGTGGAAGTGGAAGTGGGTCATCCACGACAACTTCGTCTGAGGAGTCTTCATCCTCCAATAACTCCTCGTCTTCCGCTGCGTCAAGCGATAAGTCTGCTTCGTCTTCCAGCACGTCGTCATCGACTATCGGCGGTGGATGCAAGGGCAAGGTCACCACGACTACATCCGAGTCCTCATCTTCTAACGCATCCTCCTCTGAGTCCGCTTCCGCGGCAGCTTCTTCTTCATCTGCTGGTTCCTCGTCATCGAGCACGTCCCATGGAGCAGACGGGAAGTCCACTACCACTTCGTCGAATGTAAGCTCAGTGAACGAGTCCTCCTCTGCATCGTCCTCTGCAGAAGATTCGTCAGCATCCTCGAGCGCATCATCGTCTTCCAACACCTCTTATAGCGGGGATGGAAAGTCTGCTACTTCTTCGTCGGTATCGGGCTCCTCGTCGAGTGAGTCATCTTCTGCTTCTTCATCTGCAGAGGAATCATCCGCCTCGTCAACCACTTCGTCTACTACCACTTCCCACGACAACAATGGCGGCAATTCTTCATCCAGTTCCTCGTCCTCATCCTCGTCAAATGAGTCTTCATCTTCATCGTCGTCCTCCGAAGAATCATCATCTTCGTCCTTCTCTTCCGGCGCGTTTGAGATCGCCGTTCCATCCTCATCCCCGCTCTCCTCTCCCTCCTGTACCACCTTACCCGTGCAGGTCACTTCCTCAGCCCCTTCGTCGTCCGCAGCCCCCGTCCATACCCCCGCAACAACTTCCATTCATACCCAACAGGTGTCCACGACAAAGCCCGCCACAACCAAGGCCGCTGTGACGACCGCGAAACCCAAGACGACCGCAGCAAAGACTACCGTGGCGAAACCCAAAGCCACCGCATCCACTTGCGCCGATCCCTCCAAGGCAGTCTTCCTCCAACGCGCATACAAGACCTCTGATCACTTCTACACCACGAACACTGCGGAGATGACGAACGCCGTGACTAAGCTCCATTTCAGGAAGGAAGGGCACCAGGGCCGCGTCTTCACCTACTCCGTCAAGGACACCGTTCCACTCTTCCGTCTGTACAGCCATGGGGCCGATGATCACTTCTACACGACTTCGGCGCCTGAGCGCGATAATGCGGCGGGACGGCTTGGGTATAAGAACGAGGGAGTGGCGGGACATCTGTACGCTAAGCAGATCTGCGGCAGCGTCCCGTTGTATCGGCTGTATAGCCCCCACGCGAAGGACCACTTCTACACAACCTCGCTGCACGAAGCGAACGCCTCCGGGTATCAGATGGAAAGTATTGTTGGCTACGTTCTCCCCAACTAAGACGAATCTTCTTGGACTATAACATGCATAGCAATCCCCGTTATGCCACGAACTTTTTTGATGTATATTTTCACTCTTTTTCTTTGTTTCGGGGCTTCAGGCGACTTCGATTTTATGTCTACCCCGTCAATAACTCCTTCAACATCCACACCATCATTCGACTTCTTGTAGATACCCAGACCTTACATCTAATTATAACAGAGTCTTTCACGCATTGTTTCACGTCGCGAAAGGAACTATCCGCATGAGTTCTCGCACAAATACTGAGCCCATCCGAAAATCATAAAAATAAGGCGATTGCTCAGCAGGAAGGCAAATCAGCCGATGGGACAAAAACTGCGCATTAGCTAACATATATATTCTGCAGGGTCTTCTGGAGTCGTTACTGCGAGTCTCCCCAACCATGACCCACAAGACGCTGACAACCCCGGGGATCGACCTTCTCCTCAAATGCGCTGTCCTCTACCTTTTGCCCACGATCATCTTCATCCTCGGTTTCCAGCGCCTCATTGACTATCTCGACGTTCTACAAGCTCTGCAACTAAACGCATATCTCGCCCATGGACTCCCGATCCTTCTAGGAGTCTCAGTGTTCCCCGGTTACGCAACCACACGCATATTTTGGCGGGAGTTCAAGAACAGGAGAGAGGCTGCTAGGTTGGGCGCAAGGACAATCCCGAAGCTCAGAGGGAAATGGATCGCGAATGTAGACTTTCTGCAAGCTATGAGCAAGCGCGTCGAGTCTGGCTACCCAGGTAAGCGGATTCCTCGCACTTCAACGAGAGCGAGGAGAATGAAGAACATCGTGCGCAGATGACAGCCTGACCGACCTGGTTGCGAAATATGGCCACGTCGCCGATTTCTACGTCCTCTGGAGGCACCTCATGTTCACCACAAGCCCAGAGTACATCAAGATCGTTCTGGCCACAGATTTTGCCAACTACGAGAAAGGTACGCATCCTTGCCCAACGCGCGCTAGCTCTAACCACCGCGCTTCCACAGGGGAAGAGTTCAACACTGTAGTAGCCAGTCTGCTGGGAAATGGTGTATTCAGCTCAGATGGTGATATGTGGAAATTCCACCGCTCAATGACGCGTCCCTTCTTCTCTCGCGACCGTATCTCGCATTTCGACCTCTTCGACCGCCACGCCGACGCTGTCGTCGCGAAGATCAAGGAACGCGCACGCGCAGGGATCCCTATGGACTTCCAGGATCTTATGGGTCGCTTTACGCTGGACTCGGCGACCGAGTTCTTGTTCGGAGCGTGTGTGCACTCACTCCAAGGCGAGACGCCGTTCCCGTATAATCATCTTTCGCAGGCTTTCAACAGGGAGGCTCGAGTCCATCCTGCGGACGTGTTTGCTAAGGCGTTCCATGAAGCGCAGACCATTGTCGCGCGACGTGAACAGATGGGCGGGTTGTGGCCTCTTTTTGAACTTAGGGGCGACAAGATGAAGGGTCCTATGAAGATAGTGGACGCATTCATCAATCCGATCATCGAAGAGGCCATCCGGAAAAAGGACGCCAAACATAGTACCGATATGGAGAAAGAAGCCAATCCAGCAGATGTAGACGAGGGTGAGACCTTGCTTGACCATTTGGTGAAGTTCACGTCCGGTAAGTCAGTACTCAAATTGTATGGTGCAATTCGCTATAGCTTATTCCTCCCGGACGTCTTTTCACTTCTTAGACCCTGTTCTCCTCAAGGACGAAACTCTCAACATCATGTTGGCAGGTCGGGATACCGTACGCTCTTTTCTCAACTTCCGTTTATTCGCCTACCTTAAAAACCAAAATACTGATGGCAATAATAATACAACAGACTGCGGGCACATTAACTATCATCTGCTACTTCCTCTCCGTATATCCAGCAGTCGCAAAGCGCCTTCGGGAGGAGATACTCTCGCATGTGGGCCCTAACAAGCGGCCGACGTACGAGGATATCAGGGAACTCAAGTACCTTCGCGCCGTCATCAACGAGACATTACGACTCTATCCGATTGTGTGAGTCCCTTTCTACTGCGCTAGACAACCCTCTCCGCGTTTCCTGGGTATACTATACTGATATTATTTCTGAATACGGATAGACCGTTCAATGTCAGATCCACGATCAATCCCGCCGTGTGGCCTTCCCTTAACCCTCACGAGAAACCGCTGTATATCCCCGCCCAGACCCAGATCTGTTATTCTGTCTTCATGATGCACAGGCGCAAGGATCTATGGGGTCCAGATGGTGCGCACTTTATCCACAAATCACATCTGCGCGGAGCGGTGTCGACGTCATTTCATTCTCAAATGGAGTGAACTAACGCCTTGGTGAAATTTGGCAGCCGAGGAATTCGATCCGGATAGATTCTTGGACGACCGACTCAAGAAGTACCTCATCTCTAACAGCTTCGCGTTCCTCCCCTTCAACGCCGGCCCACGGATCTGTCTCGGGCAGCAGGTATTTTCCCTTTCTTCCCTTTCTTTCCCCTGCCCCTTTCTTTCCCCTGCCCCCCTTTCCCCTGCCCCTTTCTTACCCCTCGCTCATTCCTAATCCCATGCATACTGCGATAACTAACTCACCCGTTAGTTTGCCTACAACGAAATGTCCTTCATGATCATTCGACTTCTCCAGAACTTCGAATCCTTCACACTCGCCGAAGACGCCCAGCCTCCCTCGACCCAACCCCCTGCACACTGGAAGGAAGCATACGGCACGAGGAAGGCGATCGAGAAGTTCTATCCAAAGGTTAATCTGACGATGTACGCTAATGTGAGCCAAACGTTTACATATCCAGTTCTTGCTTTCTTTCTCGGTTTGTTCTGTTCTATACGAGGCGCTGACATTGGCGTTATTGATGCTTTAGGGAGGCCTTTGGGTACGCGCACACGAAGAGTAGAAGGTAAACAATCCTTCAAATGACTGTATAGTATGCAGATTGATGTTAGAAAGAGTATTTGAGAAGAATGTAGTAACTGTGCTATGTGTTTTGCGTTGATGCTTTTGTGATGCTTTAGGCTTCGGCCCTTAGTGCTACGTTTACAGGTTCAAGAACATACTTCAACAACTTCGCCGAGAGACATGTGCTTAAGTCTGAACGTCGAACGCTTGGTCGCTTTGCGTAAGACGCGACTTTCTCTCTGGAGACCACCATGGACTCGGATATTCAAAAACTACAGGCTGAAGGTCATGAACTCTGTACTGCACTTCGCAAGCAGCTTCTTGAAAGCGTATTCGAGCTGCTGGCCATTCTACCAAATCCTCAATATTTGCTTCAAGTTTGGGCCAGTGAGCCGACGCAACGTATTGTCCTTTCGCACGCAGCAGCGCCGATATCAGGAAACTTGTCCTCTCGCCTTGCTCTCACCGTTCTCCAAGCTTCTCACCTGATGATCTCGGCACATCAATACACTGGGCTTCCTGGCAAGGGTCCCAGGATATGGATCGCTAAACACTCGACCGAAGTTTGACTACGTTGCTCCCATTCCAACATAGATCTGTCCGCGTCCTCGATCAAGTCGTCAGTTGTGTTTGACAACGGGACTACTCTCGAGTGCAATACAGCCACTACGACACTCTGTGCGAGACAATGGTGGTAAAAGTAAAAACACCCACTCAGGCCTAGTGGTCAAATACTTGCGACACTGGAATATATAGATCCCTTGAATGTGGACCACCATGCAAGCAACAACTAACACCTTTCCTTTCTACTAATCTCGCGGGGACAAACGACAAGGGAGATGGTTATGGTTATATACTCGCGAGAAACGTGGGTCGCCCTAATGACTTGGCTCCGCCTGTAGAGCTCGACATCCGCTACTTACCCTTCAATGTGGACGCACCTTATGCAGCAGCCGCTAGTGCATCCGGGTGCTGCATGTACATCACTGACGAAGATACATGAAGGTACGTTACCTAAAACCTTCCATCCCTCGATTTCCGTTGCAACAGAATGATCAAATACAGGCCGTTTCTCTCGTGTCTTTCTTCTCAAGACGGATGACAACAGGGATTTCATCGCAAGGATTCCATTCCCCGTCTTTGGACCTCCAGACCTCACGATTGCAAGCGAGGTTGCAACGATGGACTTCATCCGGACGGAAGCTCGATAAGTTAATACTCCTACTGTTCTTGCTTGGAGTTCAAGTAAACCTAACGGCGTCGGTGTACCGTATCTCATGTATGAAAAAGTACGAGGCACACCGCTGTCTGCTCTTTGGGATAAGGAGGACTTCACGGACCAAGACCTCGCAGATATTGTGGTGCACTGCATGAAGCAGCAAGCTCAAACAAGCGGGAGGGTGTTCTCTCAAATCGGCAGTATCTTCTATAAGGACGACGTCTCCGCTGACTTACAGATTCGCCCTCTTTAATTGGCAGGGTGCTTCAATCCTCCCATATTTTGTCGTCTTCGACGTGCCCCCTACGTTCGAATGCTCGACTACTAGTCCTTTCGTGAGATACGACACCAGCAAGCCCGCCAAAAGGGGGTCTACGCCGAGGAGGTACCACAGCGACTCCATGGCCGTCGACGACAAGGCCTTTGCTCGGAAGGCCTATAAGGAGGCCTACAGACACTGACTTCGATGATTGGAGCAGGAGGGGTCGTGGGTGTCGAGTTGTTGAATTGCATAGACGAGACTGGTCGCGCTGGAGAGATTCAGCCGCACGCATATATCACACTTACTCTACTTGAACGAGTAAGCTTGAGATATGGATGGGAATAAGGTTGCTTTGTCGAAGCCAGAGGTGGAATCGGCGCCGTGAGTAGGAATGTCTCCCTGGAATCGCAGGAAAAAAAGTTTACCATACATTGGCATTCAAATCATTCTCAAAGCAACAACACCCCATCTCGTTGCTGCACACCCCGTCCGGTCAAAGAAAGGATGGTAGCTAGGACTTCATCGGAGTAGGCTCGTCCGCGCCATCATCAATCTGCGAGGTAGCGCGTGAATCTGAGTATCGCCAACTTGTCACGACGACGTATCGATCCAACTTGATTGATGCGCTGGGTGATCCTCTGGGTTCGTCTGGGCTGTAGTATGCATCACGATTGACGCGAGGCTGGGACACGATAGCTTGATCCCGCTTCACGACGGCCTGAGCGATGCTAGTGAGCGGTGAGCACCTCTACAACAGCGCTGGTGCCGCCGAGGCCCTCCATGGGATGGCTAAAACTAGAATGATGTCAAGAAGGAATGAAGCTAAAGGATGCCCATGGATTTTTTACGAAAAGATGGACAACGAGCTCACCAAAGCTCATGCACTCGCAAGCCTCTGAAGTTTGGGAACGCGAGTATACGAGATGGCTGATATGTGAGCCAAGCTAAAGCCCTGGTCCCCCGAACAACGTAAAAACCCATTGTGGGCGCCATGGCATCGAGTAGACTCCGAGAGAAGTTCGAGTACATCGTAACAGGGGTGGAGACGGGTCTGTCTGAGGTACCACATAGTCAGAGGGGGGCAGTCTGCGTCGCAGAAGATAGTTCCCATCACGGCGCTCAAGCCGTTCGACGATTCTAGGTTGGCCGCGAAGTGGTTCTCGCTCCGCACTGGGTCCATAATGTAGCGATTGCAACCCCCGTTGCTTGATTTTGGTTCTATCTTTATCCACGTTATACTAGCGTCTGACTTGCGATTTGATACCGGGGTCGTGGAGACTAAAATCAGTGGTTGATTTATCGTTTACGAAGGTGCCTACCCATCAAGGTGATCCTAGAAGGAGTATGATTGTCGGCAATGCGTATTCCACCGTGAGTCGTGCGTCCGGAGGAAGTGAGCCAGACCTCATGGCCGGACAACTTAATATAATACAAGGTCGTAAACACGACCGTCGACACCGCAACGCTTCCAGAAGGCATTCAATGGCGGAGACTTATGTTATAGCACGCAGCGCCCACGACGACGAGGGCTTGAAGCGGAATGTAACTAACCAAGCGTTGATGGCATGATAGAGCGTTTGTGCCAGATGGATAGTCTTTCCTTGGAGGCTTGTGTGGATTTTTCGTGTCGCCGTCGGTCCAATGCCCTTTGATGGGGTTGATGCGACGACGTGATGGTGGTAGGAAGTACAGATGCTGCTCCTCAAAAGTGTCCCGAACTTGGACGGTCACGGTGCCCCTGACATTGTGGCGGCGACCCCTGCTTTATCTCCTCCGAAAAGTCCACCCCGCAAACCAGCCACAAACCGGGGATGGAATCAAATCCCGCTCCTTAGTCCTTATGCATTATGTTTTAGATCGCCCTCCACTTGAGGAGCCGACATAGAAGTTACGCGTTTCAGGCGATTGCAGGAGGGGGTAGGAGTCCAAGGACATTCGATCATGTTTCGAAAACCTAGTCTGCGACAAATGATCAATTCACGATCATTTACTTCTCGTAGGGACGCGAAGGGCCTTGAAGGGCCCGTATGGTGTGGGCGGATTCAAAAGCCACTGACATCGGAGGAAGAATAATCCCAAGTTCGGCGGAGGTTGTGAGGCAAGGAAGGATCCCCTTCGAGCAGTCTCTAGTTCGACAGCAAGTATCCATTGGATACAGTGGAGAGGACGTCGATCTATGAGTCAGGCATGAGCACGATGCTCCGCAGATGCATTGTCAGATGTTGTGTATATTGCTGCAAGCTGAATGAGATCAAAGAATCGGGACATCGAGAGTGTGCAGAGGTCAGAGAGCAAATAATGATATTATGTGTGGTACGATATCATGATAGTTAGGAAACTTTGGATGAGTACGTTGAGAAATGGAAAATAATAATATAAACACAACATCAATAATCTCGTCAGATCGTCAATCGTCAATCCCAAAGCCCCAGATTGCAATCATAAGCATAAAGCGTAATGCAGGAGGAGAGAGAAAGATATCAAAGTAGCGCAGCTATACTTACGATGGAGATGATAATGTATGTAGTCGAGCTTGAGGGTCGAGAGAACTATTACTTACAGGAGTGATTCAGATGAATAAATAAATAGATGCGAAGAGAGGTAAGAAAAGTATTGGTAGGGGCTGGTGGATTGCAGTCGTCACGGTCGGGGAACATAAATTGCTCGCGTTCAAAACAGTAGGAAGGGAGAGGGGAGAGGGGAGGGATGGCCATGGTGGTAGACCGTTCATTTCGTTATGATAATGTCGACGCGCGCGTCTTTAATTCGTCGTTCATTGCGGTTGTTCATTTTGACTCAACGGTGGTCATAGATGTTCACTATTCACGAGAAGTACCCTTCTCTCGCCTGCGCATGAGGATCGTACTGCCCATCAATCGGCACAAAGTGTTGGTCGCCGTACTGTCCAGGGAGCTCTCCCCCAACGAACGGTGCCGGACTCGCCGTAACGCTGTGGCTTCCTTGCAGCGGTCCTGGGCTGTCCGTTCGGTACATATCGCTCCCAAACACACCACCACTCCCAGCCTGCTGCTGAGCACCGTTCAGGTCCATATTCATCATCGCCCGCATCTGCTCATGCAACGCCCCGCCACTTCCTCCCCCTCCCCCTCCTCCACTCGCACTCGCATTCGACGCCCTGGAGTCGCTGCGACGCATCGGCTGGACGCCATAGTCCGGCCCAAGAGCAAGCGGGTAGGTCATCGGGCTGTTTTGCGCAGAGTTACTCCGGGAGGCTGAAGCCGAGTACGCAGCGTATGGATGGTACCCTCGACTGGTACCGTTTCCAGCGGCGACACCAGAGAGTGACGATGTTGATCCAGGAGAGCCGTTGTTCACACTCCCCGTGCCAGGAAGTCCAGCGGAGAAATCCCCACTAGTAGACGTCAACGGCCGTCGAATCTGCTCTCCATGTCTCACTACGGACGGTGTCATGCTCCTATGCCTTCTCACCGGCCCTCCAGCACTGCTCGGTGGCACACCACCCATCCCGTTGTCCAGATGTCCATACAACGCGGTCTGGTCGAACACTTGCTTATGCGATGGCGCGCTCAGTGACGCGTAGTCGTCAGGGAATGCCGATCCACCGGGCAATGGTTGATTGAGGAAACTTCCTGGAGAATTCGTCGCCTGGTTGTTGTTCATCAACTGCATCGACGATCCAAGGGGTGGCGACGAATCGCTGAATGCCGGGCTGGCGCGGGGGTTCCGGACGGCCCATTGTTCGCCGTTCGCATCCTCCGCCATAGGGATATCGCCGCTCCCCGTTCGGCTCGCCACCTGGACCCCCGTCACACCAGCAGCCATACCCATACCCATCCCCATCCCTGCCGCGCCGCCAAACATACCCAAGTTCATCTCGATCCCCGTCGATCCCTGCAGTCCGTTCATACCGGGGTCCATGGCCAGGCTCAGCGCACTCATGTCGGCGGGGAAGTCGCCGCCGAGGGAGCTGCTCTCAGGATCGTCGAGCTCGGACTCGCCGCCTCCGCTGATGCTGCTGTTGTCCTGATAACACGATAAGACGTCAGTTAGCCGCTCAGCAATCGCCGACAAGGCGGGAAATACCCACCTCTTCGCCACTGTACCACTGCAGTCCGTCCCCTAACCCGAGCCCTCCCATTGCCCCCAGCGCTCCCATACCGGCATCCCCGACACCGCCCTCCGCCCTCAGATGCGTTCGTACGTGCTGGTTCAGATTATCGCTCCTCGAGAACCTCTTCGTGCATCGCGGACACGCATATGGCCTCTCCATGGTATGCGTCCGCACATGACGCTTCAGATGCTCCATTCTCTTGAACATCTTCCCACACGAGAATAGCGGGCACGGATACGCCTTTGCTGCCCCCACACCCCCTACGCCGCCAGCCAAAGCGTGTTGTTGCTGCCCTGGATGGCCGAACGCCGGCGCGCCAGGACCAAGGCCCAGCGCATTCGGATCGCCGCCGTTTGGTAGGCCCATTGCGCCGCCCATGGGATCTTGCGCTTGCTGACTCGCGAAGGACTGATCGACATACCCCGCCGACATACTGCCTCCCATGCTCACACCAACACCGTTGACATCCATACCTCCATTTCCAAATCCTCCACCCATCATCCCCATCCCCAAATTCCCGCCCCCAACACCGGGGAACGCAGCGCTCACATTAAGCATAGAAACATCATCGACGCCTCGCGCAGCCGCGTAGTCACCGTATTCACCGTTCCCGCCTCCTCCAGTATAGTCGCTGTTGTATCCGTTGTTGTTGTAGTATCCTCCCATTCCACCATTCACGCCGTGCATTGAGGGATCGAGTTGATGGGGATAATAGCCATCGCCGACGGCGTGGAAGGAGTGCCTGTTAACGTGGCCCCGCGTGGTTGTGTCCCGTCGCCGTCTTGTTCCGCCTGGGAGCTCCCCGCGAGCCTGTCGCATGAACATCTCGGCCGCGCTGACCCCAGGGACCTCGCCCTCGCTGTAATCACCGCCCAAACTCCTCGATCGCTCTGCTGCCCCCGGCCCATTGATCGGTGCGCCCGAGAGTGCAGACTTATTGGCTACAAAACAACAAAAGGAGGTTAGCCCCGTCATCCAGATACCAATTATAAAGTCGGCGCAAACACGATGCCGAACGTACCTGTATTCTTCTTACGCCTCTGCTTGTACGTAGGACTCCCCTCGAAAAGGCTGAACATCGAAAAGAACGGTGTGCGGTTGCTGGTGACCGCAGCGGGCAAGGAGCCTCGCGAGTCCTTCTTTCTCCGTTTGCTCCTCTTCTCCTTCACCTCGCTTCCGTCCACGCTGCTCTCTCGTGAGACCGAGCTTCCTGTAGCATCGCTCATCCCAGCCTCGTCATCGGCATCCTCGCCTGAGAACCCCAATGCAGACTTCCTCCGCCTTGACGAACGACCGCGATCTTCGCCGTCGTTTCCAGATCCTTCCTCGCCTTCGCTGCCGCTATCGGAACCGCTTGCTTCACCGTCTGAAGTGACACCTTCTTCGCCCTCCCCGCTGTAGCCATCGTCACCATTGTTGGGTCTACCCCGCTTCTTACGGGATGACGTGTTCTTGCCTGTATCGAGAGCGATAAGACCGTTGTATTATAAATTATATGTAATTGGCACATACCATCCTTGCGAACACTAGCAATGAACTGTTCATAGAGGCCCCTCCTCTCATCATAAGTAAAGCTCAGGGCTGGCTCGCCAACAACCTTAGTTGTCGGCTCCTGGCCCATCTTCTCCCGCTTGAGATCCCTTTCCAAGGCATCCAGGAACAGCCGATCGTGAGGCACCGAGAACCAATAGAATACTTTCTGCTTTTTCTGCGTCCTGATGCATTGGTATTTGAAAAGGAGGTCGAGGAAGGGCGATTTGGGCTCCTCGAGTGAGGCGTCGACGCCCGGCTTGAGGTTTCGCAGATCGGAGAATACGCCCTCTTCGAATTTCTTCATGTTGCGTACTGGCCGGCCAAATGCATCAAAACTAAATGGAGAGACAGGGGGGATGAGAGTGAGTAACGGAAATTTGGGTAAACGAGATGGGGGAAAGGGCCGAGCGAAATCGCGCACTTACCGGAATACAAGCGCCCTAACGATATCGGTCCCTGTTATGTGGAAGAGCCCGTTCCAGAGCACACAAGTAACAAACTCGTTGGAGGGAAGGAGAAAGCGATTGAGAAAGGGGTGCGCTGTCGGTAGAGCATGCATCGATGGGGGCAGCGATGCCAGGGGTTGGCCTGAACCAGCATTAGTAGCTGTCAGGACCTACGATAACGTCCCATGAGCACGCACCTTGATTCATTCCGTCCGCAGGGACCACAGCCGACGAGATTCCTTCGCCCCCGGGTACGCCGTGTGCATCCCAGTGGCTGGGTGCGGTCGCAAGGAAAAACTTGAGCCTATCAAGCTGTGCTAAGCGCTCCTGCTCCTGGGATGTCAGCGGGCGAGAGAGGCCATTTGCAAGGCCTGGGGTGGGATCCGTGTCTGCTGTCGGCGGATTTGAAGACGGTAGAGGCAACTGCTCTGGCGGAGTCGTCGCTGTGGGTGTTGCTCCGAGAAGGTCGTGGCTTTGAGGTGGAAGCGATTGGGCGTGAAAGAGGGTGTGTCGGTGGGCATTTGCGGGGCGGGCGGTGTGCTCGTCGTGGTCGTGGGCGGGCGGGAGGGCGGTGGAAACATGGAGCTGCTGCTGGTGAGACGAGGGCCCTGCGTAGGTCGCGCTCTTGACGGGGACGCGGGGGTGGTAGGGGAAGTAGTCCTGCTGGGTGAGCTGGTGGGGGAACTGCTGGGGCGATGAGTGGAGTGATGGGTGCGAGTGGGAATCTGAATAGGAACGGTGCATGGCGAGTTGGTGAGATTCGGAAAGAGAGAGCAGAGGATGAGCAGAGTTCAAGTATTGCCTTCTCGATTTGTCATCTGATATCAGATCTGGAATCACACACGCACACAGAGACAACTAATGTACTGCCTCTGATCCGGCACTCCTCCGTGCCCTGGATACCACAACCCCATCACTCCGACCAACGCCGTGCTCCTCCTCCCAGAAAATTATCACAGTTGCCAACGACGGTGGAGATGCCGCAGTGCTACTCGCAGGTCGTAGTAATGCCCGCATCCAGTACAACAGACTCCGCATCGACGCTCTGAGATTCAGATTTCGATGCAATTTCAATTCCCCCTCGAGAAAAGAACCACGCGCTGCTGAGACACGATCGACCCAAGACGTAGCCGTATGCTTCGTCTCCGCGAATCCCCCTTCGAAACGGTAAGCCTCCTTGTATATACCTGTGCCGCCCAGAGTACTGCCACAGCCCCTTCTTTCATCATCCACCCATCATTAAATGCCTTTTTAATCCTTCACCGCTTCTTCATCCCCGCGTGCTCGCCATCAGCCCCCCCATCAAAGTTCAACGTTTAACCCACCCTCGGCGCGACGCACGGATCCAGGCTCCAAGGCATCAAGTCTCCAAAACGAAAGGGATTGGGGGCATGAAGCCATTTGGAATTGCTGCCACATACTTACGCCCAAGGCACCGCCGTCGCTCGCGCTGCGGACACACAAAACCCGACAGTAGAGTCGGAGCCAGCATTTTGCAATGTCCATTTCCATTCCAAACGATCGATATGATATTTCCTGGTTTTGCAAGAGACTTGGGTTCACCTTTGCCTTATCCCCGCTGTTACACTGGAATTAGCTGGAATTACACCTAGACTTCAAACGTGCAAACAATTGCGCAAACGTCTCAACGTCCTTCAACATCGCGGTGGAGTCGGTAGCACGGCTATCAAACCTCAATCCGTCCACCGACACCTTCGATGACGCTGAAGTCGCACTCTGTCAGTGATCCCGTCAATATCGCGGGATCGGGCCAAGGTGGGTTATCGCCGCAAGTTGGTGCGCGCCGTTCAGTGCTTCAGCTGCCAACCTAGAACGAGGAGACAGGGGGCCTGCTCGCACACATACACATATATCTACATGTACACGACGGCACCTGCGCCTACGCTGACGCCGACGCGTCTTGTTCGATCCCCATAGGAGTAGCTGTATCCAATCGCTGTCGCGCGAACCCTTTCCTAACTTATCGCTGACTATCCACAAGTACATAGGCGTGATCTTTTTCGACGCCGTGTCTTACTTACTACGGAACAACGGAGCGCGCATCCGATGTCCAGCGGCACGGGCATACGGAATCAAGCTCAAGTAACACTCCGTCCCTCCGTCCGCGTCTTCATGGAGAACACCGTGCGGCGTGCGGCACCCTGCAATTGTCCCAAACTGTACCGAAATCATAGCGGATCGTGGTGATCGATGGGGTAAACCGCAAATCAACCGTTCGAGCGCGACCAAGCTAGGCAATCTCCCGACTTGCGAGTGATTATAATATAGTCAGGGCCGCGTATGAAGTTCGGGTGCGGCGGGCGAATGCGATGCTACGAGCCCCTCGAGACTCCTGATCAACGACTCTCAAACCTCAATCTCAGGCCTCAGGCCTCGAATTCAACCCCCAGGCTCCTCGAGGGTACTCGCTGGGCAAAGAGTATAGACTGCACCTGATAACAGAGGCCACGTATGCACGTAATAATTGAGGAGTTGGAGGATTTGGGGGACACTGCGTCGTCAGCTCGCGGGTAACCTTGGCGTGTGTTGTTGCTTATACCTGATGCGTAGTTGTTCTGTAGACCGTTGTCTCCGTTGGAGACTTGTCGTGCAGAAGCGCTTAGGAGTCTCCTTTATGACAGGGGTGGTGCTTAACCTTTGACAGAATGACTCTGCTCTCAGTTACCTGCAAGTTACCTACGCTGCGTCTCAAGTACTGCACTTAGCGGCACATGCCTGATATACCGACGTCCTTGAATTGAAAGCTCTTGCTTTGTTTCGGGATCATGGCTAGCCGAGAGTCTGTCGCAAATTCATCGCTGCTACGGCTCCCAGTTGACTCCAGGAGGAAAGAATGGAAAGGCCCAAAATACCACTGATCGCGCCTCCCACGGAACTCGTAACATGGACGCGTATCCCGTCTCTAGCCCGCACAAGGGAAATCGTTGAGCCGCCGTCGACATCCTAGAGCTGATGGCACTCGATAATCCGAACCGACAACACGTTCTAGAGCCTGGCGCTTTGGCACTCTGGGCTTCGGACTCTGGCGATCATGTTGCGCATGTTGCGATGTGCGAGGCGCACTCGATGGTCGCCATGCACCTCATCGTGCCCACGCTCGTCCGCCTTCCCATCAAGTCGTTGAAACTCGAGCTGGAGAATCAGGATCTCCTTGGAAATTCGGCTCGGCGGGTACGTGCTATGATAGACGACATGTCGCTGGAGTTGTGCTGAGCCGTCGCTGAGTGCTCGGCAAAGAAATCCCCAATCAGATAAAGATAATTGATAGAGGCTGGCCGACGACCGTCCAAATATATAGTGAGTCTCGCGTTAACCAATGGTCGTCGAAGTTCACGTCTAGGTCACCCCCGACGCAGTTCTCGCCACGCACAGCTCAACCCCCATCACTTTAGGTTGATTGTAACTTAATAACTCAGATCACTCACTAATTATCCTACTGTTTAAGTTGTATGTTTTATTTAGCCCGCAGTTTGATACGGGGAGGGCGAGAGAGTTACGGAGGTACATCACCGACGCGTCTCCTTGTCATTCCCTCGCATCCGTGCATCCGATGTCTGCAGGAACCTCGCCGCCTGATGCGGAGCGGCTGTGCGACGCATTGTTCTTGCGAAATAGGTACTAGGTACTCTCGTCGTTCACAGACCGCCCGGCGTTCAGCACAACGGGAGTCCTGGAACGATGAGTCCGGTTTCGGCACATCGAGCCACTTATTAATACTGCATTCCGATCCCGCTGCGTTTCAATCCTGTTACACGCAGCAACTTACAAAGTTGAAATATGTGGTATGTGATCATATGCCATGGCAGTGGAGTGCGTCGGTTTCAACCTTGTTTGAGCAAGTCCCAAAGCCGAGTTATCGACGACGTTGATGTTGCTATTTGCGAAATTGGAAAGCGAGGTAAATGGAGTTGTGGATGCAAATTAGCAAGCATGGGGTATGATATATGAAGTTCCTCTATCTTTGAGTTGCGGGAATAGCTAGGGAACAACTGTAACCCCCTGAGTGATCACAATCTCTTTTAAGCGAGACCATGTGACCGACGCGGTTTACTTCTGCCGCCACCTGCCGACTGCGGATGGCGACATATTCTCTTCCCCTTCACTCTTGCAGAAGGTATTTCCTTACGCCATTGCCTTGCGCTTCTACTAATGAACTTATTTTCTTATTTCTAGCATTCTTCTAGCCCCCCATGTGGCTCGCACTACGGCCTGATAGACTCGCAGCTGGTTTACGGTTTGAAGGATCACCTCTCTTCGTGATTGGCGCGCGTTCTACGGGCGATGGCTAGGGAAATTGCGCAACTATCTGGTTACTGTAAAGCGTGGCATTGTATGCCGGCAGGTAGTGCCGCGTGGATCTCTCCTATGGCGCGTATACGAGCCGTAGATAACGTTCACTGTTAACTAGATCTCAGGCCAATCAAGTTGGAACCTTCTTTGGCTATTACTGACGCCGGAGACGGCTTCTATGTCAAACTTCACTACACCAGGCCTTTGCGTAGTACTTCTGTCGTTGTCACTTAACACGGGTTGTGCTGCGCCCATTCACTGTCCTTCACACTTGCGACGCATCGTGACATTGGGCACCATTTCCGGGTAAGCATGCTGGGTGGAAGCTTCGTGGTGTTGCTGCGCTAGGCGCTTAAGTTAATCGATGCCGGAAGGGTGGTCCTCGACTTTCTGCCTTATCTTTGATTTCGTCTAACATCATTCCATAGATAGACAAAGGAGGCGCGCCGAACCATGTCGAACCCCAAAACGTTCTTTGATGGAAGTGGGAAAGGGACAAGCTCTACTGCGGTGCAAAGCAGTTATGTATCGTCTCGTTCTGCCGCTTGAATCTGCATCCTTTGGATACCCCTACGTTGTTCCCCAGAATGACTGAACGCGAAATCAAGCTCCGGAAATTCCTCAATACCACACTGGCGGGCCAGAAACCGCTGGCACCCTCGCAGAAAGACCTCTTCATCGAAGCGTTCTGTTCGCAAGCAGACGTGATCGCCTGCCTGAACCAGGTTCGGAATAGCAAGCAAGGCTTGCAAGTTATCCAGAGCGTAATGCGATTCGACCTCTCCGAAAACTTCTTCAACTCGGGCGCGGTGAAGGTCCTCACGTATCTACAAGGCCCAGATGTCGTGAATATCGATTCCGGGAAATTCGTCTTCCAATATCTGCACGCGATCATTGAGCCACCCATCTTCTGGACGCCCTTTTGCGAGGCATTCAAAGCGCAGAGACTTGGTGGCGAGGCCCAGTGAGTTCGGCGATTCGGAATCCAGAATGATACGAATACTCACGTAATGTGAAGGAAATGCTTCGCATGGGTATTACTTCAACTCATCTTGCTCTCCGACAACGACGGTGCAGGCTATCGCGGTCTCGCCGAAGACCAGCAAATCATTGATACCCTCCTAAATTCGCCTGACCTCGAACTTCGGACCTACGGTCAGAAGCTGAAGAATTCGGTAGCGACAGCAGACGTGAAGGGCGACTACCGTCCTGGGGGTCGGCACGACAACGATTTCGAGGATTACCGCGAAATCTCAATCCTACCCACCGGTGACGAAGTTTTGTCAAGCGAGTTCCCATTCTTACGCCGCCGCGTCGATATAGACGATCCAGAGACACTAGAGTCGCGCGCAGCGACTTACCTCGATAACCAATTTCGCTTGTTGCGCGAAGACATGTTGGGTGAAATACGGGAGGAGATACAGATTGCGCGAGAACCGAAGAAAGGAAAGCGGCGGGGATTTTCAGCTGAGGGATTGCAACTCATCGATGTTCATTGCACACCCGACGTCAACCGTGATAGATGGGGCATCCTGCTACGCCTAAGTGACGAATTTCCCCAATTCCGCCAACTAAATGCGAAACAACGCGTCGACTATCTGAAGCATCAATCGAAGTTCCTGGCTCACCAGAGTCTGACCTGCCTATTTGGCGACGGGCATATCATCGGTTTCGCATCGATTCAACGCGACGAGGGTCTCCTCTCGGGAAGTCCTCCCGTTCTACTGCTTCTTCCTCACGGCTCGAAGACCACGATAGAGAACCTTTTAACGAAGTTACAAAGCAGCAACGTACTATCAATCATGCAGATCAATACTGCCATCTTCGCCTACGAACCTGTTCTGAAGGCTATTCAGTCGATGAAGGTTGTGCCGCTTGAGAAAGAGATTCTATTTTGGCACGACGGATACACCCCGATTTCGCTGCAAAGCATGGCAAGGTCTATCGTCAGTGCAATCCAGGCGAGCCCGCGAAGTGATCTACAGAATATACTGCACACACCCAAGTCGATCAAGTTGGACAAGTCGCAGTCTCAATCCCTCTTGGCTGGATTATCGCAGCGCTTAACATTGATACAAGGCCCTCCCGGTATGAAATCCTTCACCCGACCCGGGGAAGTAACTGACACTGTGACCTAAAGGAACCGGGAAGAGTTTTATTGGCGCTCTGTTAGCGAAGGTTATTCACGACCATACCTCTCAAAGCATACTCGTCGTTTGCTATACCAATCACGCCTTGGATCAATTCTTGGAGGATCTACTTGACATTGGCATACCCATCGAGAGTATGGTTCGTTTAGGCGGCAAGTTCACCTCCCGGACCGAAAAAGCACTCCTACGAAAGCAAACTCTCGACCACAGATTTGGGAGGACTGCCTACACGTCCATAGGCGAGCTGAAACAGCAACTCCAAAATACAGCCACCGATCTGCAGCGCGCTTTCGATGAGTACAAGGTAGCCAAAATCCGTCCGGGCGATATCCTCGCCTATCTTGAATTCGAAGAGCCCGATTTCTTTGAAGCTTTCAGCGTGCCCCAGTCAACTAACGGCGAAGTGCTTGTCGGAAAGAAAGGACGCAAGCTTCTCCCTACGTACCTTATAGAACAATGGATGCGAGGGCAAGACGCCGGGGTCTTGAAGGGCCATAGCCATATCAAATCCTCCGAGGCTATTTGGACAACACCGAACGTAGCTCGCCATCAACGGCTATCCCAGTGGCAAGCCGCCATTGTACAGGAGAGGGTTTCAGAGGTCGTACGGTACGCGAAGTTGTACAACGACACGCAAGACCAACTAGAAGCTATATTCGCGCAGAAGGACATCGCAATTCTGAAAAGCAAACGGATTGTGGGCTGCACAACCACAGCCGCCGCAAAATATACACAAGTGTTGCAATCAGCTGCTCCAGAAGTCTTGTTGGTGGAGGAAGCGGGAGAAATCCTTGAAAGTCATGTCTTGACCGCATTGGGCGGGAGAAAGGAGCAATTGATTCTGATCGGTGATCACAAGTATGCTTTTTTCAGTTCGGTGTCTTCCGTTGGTTGGCACTAACAAGCCTAATAGGCAGCTCCGCCCAAAGGTCAACAACTATACGTTAACTGTGAGTATCCCTCATATCTCCCATCGTCCTATTCCTCAGCAAGTCCTTCAGGTCGAAAAAGGCGAGGGGTACGATCTGAACGTGTCATTATTCGAAAGGTTGGTCATTAAGGGATATCCTCACGAAACTCTCAACGCGCAACATCGAATGAGACCCGAGATATCAAGGCTTGTACGTGAACTGACATACCCGGGGTTGGTCGATGCACCAAGCACTCAAGGTCGACCAGACACTCGTGGCCTGCGCGACAATGTCATATTCATCGACCACAGTCATCCAGAGGACAACAATTCAGAAATTGTGGACCGTTTCGCGACGTCCTCGAAACAGAACAGCTACGAAGTGGCTATCGTTATTAAGATCATACGATATCTCGCCCAACAAGGCTACGGCACTGACTCCATGGTGGTTTTGACTCCGTACTTAGGGCAACTCAACAACCTTTTCAACGAGCTCAAAAGGGACACGGATCCGATTCTCAACGATCTTGACTCGTTTGACCTTGTGCGAGCAGGCCTGGTCACTCAAGCATCTGCGAAGCTCACGAAGAAGCCCATAAGGTTAGCCACAATCGGTGAGTAGCATTCAGTTCAACCGATGTCAAAAGGAGTTAGATTGACAGTCCTATAAGATAACTACCAGGGCGAAGAAAGTGATATCGTCATCATTTCGTTGACACGATCTAACCCCAACAATGATATCGGGTTCATGTTCTCTCCCGAGCGGTTGAATGTGTTATTATCCCGGGCTCGTAACGGGCTCATTATGGTGGGGAATGCGACAACATATACACACTCAAAGAAGGGCGGAGAACTCTGGAGCAAACTGATCGACCTTCTCAGAAGTGGTGGGCATCTGTATGAAGGACTGCCAGTCAAGTGTGAACGGCATCCGAGCCGAATCGCAACCCTCGTAAGATCCCTCAGTTACGTCCCTTGTCACTGAGATGTTTACCGTCCGTCTTGCAGGTCAACGCCGAGGATTTCGACATGTTATGCCCAGATGGTGGTTGTGCAGAACCATGGTGCGTATACATAGTCTTATCAACCCTTGTGTCGCAATTGATATGTCTCCCTTCAGTGGTAGTAAGCTCAGCTGTGGGCTCCATACCTGTCCTTCGAAGTGCCATCAACTCGTCGATCATTCCAAAATGGAATGCCTACAAATCATGATGACACAATGTCCTAATGGCAAGCACACTACTCAATATAAATGCCATCAAGGATCGCCCCCGAACTGCCGGAAATGCGAGCAAGATGTCAAGCGGCGAGAACAAAAGGCGCAGCAAGATTTCGACCTCAAGCAGAAGCAGGAAGCGGAGCAGCTTGCACATGTCAATAAAATGGCGGAAATCCAAGCTGAGATCGAGCGAGAACGACAGAAACTGAGAGATGCCCAGCTTGTAAAGGAGCGGGAGGATGCCATTCGCCAGAGGAAGAAGGAGCTCGCGGAGACAATCCATATGGCCACTGCGGGAAGTATTCAGGAAAGTACTTCTGACGATGACGATCCAACTGAGGCAAAAAGATCACACTCTCCTCCTATCACAATCCCAGCACTTCCGCCACTCTCTACAAACAAACCTGCGCCAATGATGCCGACGCCGACGCCGACGCCAACTCTTCCCCTCAAGGCTACCTCCACACCTAACGAAGTTGGCAAGGCTCAAGAGTCAGCACCAGAGACTGAATGGAAAAGGCAAAAGTCGCTGGAGGGTGCCGCAAACGATGCAATTGACACGCTGATGGAGATGACGGGACTAGAAGAGGTCAAAAGCCAACTCCTACGCATCAAAGACAAGGTCGACATCGCTCGTCGGCAGAACACCTCATTGAAGAACGAAAGGTTTCATGCTGTCTTGCAAGGGAACCCTGGAACCGGTACGTCGAGATAGCCTACAGTGCTGACCTGATACTAAGTCACCTCCAGGTAAAACCACGGTAGCCAGGATCTACGCTAAGTTCCTGACTTCTGTAGATGCACTGCCGGGGAACAAATTCATCGAGACGACAGGAGCGCGCCTCTCCAACGATGGAGTCCCGGAGGCAAAGAAGTTACTTGAGGGGTTGATCAATGACGGCGGCGGTGCTCTATTTATCGACGAAGCATATCAATTGACCTCAGGTCATAACTTTCAAGGTCGCCAAGTCCTAGACTTTCTGCTCGCCGAAATGGAGAATAGTGTCGGCAAAATCGTGTTCCTTTTCGCTGGATATCGCAAGGAGATGGAGAAGTTCTTCGAGCACAACCCAGGTTTGCCTAGCCGTGTTCCATACAGCATGCTGTTCGAGGACTACACCGATGCCGAACTGCTGGGTATGTTGGAAAAGATGATAAAGAAACACTGGGAAGGGCGGATGAAGGTGGAAGATGGAACACAGGGTCTTTTCTGTCGTATCGCTGTCCGTCGTCTCGGTTGTGGTCGTGGCAAAGAAGGATTCGGCAACGCACGAGCCCTCGCGAACATGTTCGACAGGATTAGGGAACGGCAAGCTGCCCGCGTTCAGAAGGCAAGACGGAGTGGACAACCAAACAGTGATTTCGAGTTGCTGGGGGTGGATATCATCGGCCCCGACCCAGCTGCGGTCCTTCGCGAAAGTACGGCTTATACCAAGCTAAAACAGTTGACTGGGCTCAACTCGGTCAAGCAATCCGTCGACAGTTTGTTCTCGTTAATCGCGACCAATTACGAGAGGGAACTTCACGAGAAGAAGCCTGTTGAAGTGTCGCTCAACAGAGTGTTCATTGGGTCCCCAGGTACTGGGAAAACGACGGTAGCGAAACTTTACGGAGAAATTTTGGCCAACATGGGTGTGCTATCAAACGGCGAAGGTAAGCATCGAGTTTATGCTCGTCTTTAGCATACCTCTGACTCCACTCTTAGTTGTTGTCAAGAATCCCGCAGACTTTGTTGGCAGTGTACTAGGTCAATCGGAAGCCAACACGAAAGCTATTTTAGCTAGCACCGTCGGGAAGGTCTTGGTTATAGACGAGGTAAACTTCTTGTGGAATCATGGAGTGATTGCATAGCTGATTTTCATTGTAGGCTTACATGCTTTACAGCAAGCAAGGTGGAACGGCTGATCCTTACAAAACTGCAGTAATCGATACGATCGTCGCGGAAGTCCAAAGTGTGCCCGGAGAAGATCGATGCGTTCTGTTGCTAGGGTACAAAGAACAGATGGAGGAAATGTTTCAAGTAAGTGAAAAGGAGTCGTATCGCAGCCAAACCTCACCTATGCCTTGGAGAACGTTAATCCTGGACTGGCGCGTCGTTTTGCGATAGAGAATGCATTCAAGTTTGAGGACTTCACCGACCCTGAGCTGCTTGAGATCATGAACCTGAAGCTCAAGCAACAGGATCTTGCCGCCACGGATGATGCGAAGAAGGTCGCTATCGCGGTGCTCGCCCGAGCTCGCAACAGACCCAACTTTGGAAACGGTGGGGAAGTCGAGAACCTGCTCTCTCAAGCCAAAGCGCGATATCAGGCCCGGGCCTCAAAGAACGCTGTCGACATTGTCTTCGAGCCTCAAGATTTCGACCCAGACCACGACCGCAATTCCAGGGCAGCGACCAACCTCCAAGAACTTTTCAAGGACATCATTGGCTGCGAGAATGTCATCACTCGGCTGGGCGACTACCAGCGCATCGCTGAAACCATGAAGGCGAAGAACATGGATGCCCGAACGTTGATCCCGACTTCGTTTGTCTTCAAAGGTCCCCCCGGTGAGTTGTCTGAAGTGGTCTACAATGGTCACCAAATTCATGAGTATGTCAAGGTACTGGAAAGACCACCGTAGCTCGGAAAATGGGACAAGTCTACTACGATATGGGCTTCCTATCATCAACAGAAGTCGTTGAGTGCTCCGCAAGCGACCTAGTAGGCGAGTACGTAGGCCAAACAGGTCCCAAGACGAAGAAGCTGTTTGAGAAAGCTTTGGGACGCGTTCTATTCATCGACGAAGCCTATCGACTTGGCGAAGGTCACTTCGCCCAAGAGGCCATGGACGAACTCGTCGGCATCCTGACCCAAGAGCGCTACATGGGCAAGATCGTCGTCATCCTTGCAGGCTACGATACGGAGATGGATCGCCTTCTAGGCGTGAACCCCGGGCTCGCCAGTCGCTTCCCAGACTCTATCATCTTTGAAGATGTGAAACCAGCGCACGCTTTGAAGCTCCTTGCCGCCGACTTGACGAAGAACAGTGTACGCTTGGCGGAGCTCGAGGACACGTCCTCAGATGGCTACGACTCCCTGACGAAACTGATCGAAGACTTGTCTATTCTGCCATCGTGGGGCAATGCGAGGGATATCAAGACGCTTGCGAAGAAGATGATACAATGGACCTTTGCGAACCAGGATCCCTCTGCAGCCTCTGCGTCTACTGCGGAGACGATATTGCCTCTCGACACGGCCGTTTCGATCATCCGCCAAATGCTGGACGAGCGTCAGAAGCAGGAAGACAACAAGAACTCTAGAAGCAATAAACACCCGTCGTTCCCCGTGCAGACGATGAATGCGGGTCCACCACCGCGACACACTGTCAAGACGGTCCAAAATACCAAGACGAAGGCGCCACGTCCCCAGAAGAAGGCAGAGACGCCCCCTCCAGGGGTATCGTCCAGCGAACGCGATCCCGATGTCTCAGACGAGGTTTGGGCGCAAGTAGAGCGGGCCAAGGCGGAGCAATTGCGAGTCGAAAAGGAGGCCAAGGCTGCGATCCAGAAAGCAGAGAAGGCCCGTGCGGAGGCTAAGAGGAAGGAAGAGAAGTTGAAGCGCCAGATACAAGAGATGGAGCAGGCTGAGCGGAACGCCCAAGAAGACGCGGCGAAACGGGAGCTGCAGAAGAAATTGGAAGAGGAGAGGTTGAAGGCGCTGCGAGCTAGGGAGGAGAGGGTTAGGCAGGAGAAAATACTGCAGGCGAAGAGGGAGGAGGAGCGGCGGCGGAAGCAGGAAGAACAGAAGGCTCAACAGAAATTGCGCGCGATGGGTGTTTGTTCTGCAGGTTATAGATGGATACCGTGTGGCGATGGTTGGCGTTGCGCTGGTGGATCGCACTATGTTAGTCGCGCTGAACTTGGTATGTGAGCTTCGCCGTGCAATGGCTTCTGGGGGAAGCTGTTTTGTACCACAAATTTCCCTTCCGCCTTCGTAGACTTGAGTTGTTTCACGTCATTCCTACAGGTTGTTTCTTATCTACAGTTGTCGTGTAATTTGCAATGTGATCATTCATGCGCTACCATCTCCTGCTCGTACAGTTGATTAGCTCAAAAGCAAACTAAAAAAGACCACCATATCTGAACCCACTCGAAAGGTGTGACCCAAGCCCCAGTCATACAATCGCAAGGCAAAGGTGCTTGCAGCAAAGGTAGACCATGCTACAACGGCAACAAGCTTTGACGGACATGGAGCAATCCCTCCGAGTCGGTGGGTGCGTGTTAACTGAGACTAGCAATCCTAGCACCGCAATACGGCGGGCCGATGCTTGTCGCCGTTTTAGTAAGTACCAACGATCGACGAACCGATGGCCCTCATCGCGTCTGATCGCGTCTGACACGATCACGTGCATTTCGATGAACACACCCGCTCATTCTTGATGGAACAGAAAAGAACGGACTTCGGCGACATTTCCGGTGGGATTCAAGCTCGCTCGCCGCCATCATTATTGCTTCTCACCCCCCGGCCCTCGAGCAGTATCTACCGTCCCAGGTTTGCATCGTGGGCCACAACGACCTCGTATTGCGAAGCATGCAGGCTGCGAGATTTGGGTAGAAGTTGAACGACGAAGGAACTCAAAGCGAATGCAAGGCCTCCAAAGCCTCCAAACTAAAATGCTTCGTAGAACCCGACGGTTGACCCTAGTCACACTTCCTCCTCATCTTTCTTGGGATAGCTTCGTGCTTATTTGCCTTCGGACTTTGTTGACTCGACCAGAAGCATGTTACCAATGGGTCAGTTACGTGCAAATTAGCACCGATACACCGTGTGCTGTACTTGTACACCTTTGACACCTGTTGAACTTGCTTTTGCAACGTGTGGTGAGTCAGTGATTTCGAAGCCAGCGCAGCCTCAACGTACCCCTGCATAGCAGTGCATAGCCGGCTGCATTATTTGCTGCGCCTACAAAGGTCCACAACGTTGAAGTCTTCAACAAACAGCTCCCCAAACAACTTCTCGCCTCATTTGCTCGAACAGTACCCTACCAGGATCGACAAGGAAGACAGATGCCAAAGATAAAGTGAGCCACTGTGCACTACCATCTAGTCCTGCACTCGTCGAACTGACATCCTGTGCCGCTGTTCAGTTTGAATATCAAAGGTACAACATCGCAATATCGTCGTCCTACTGATCGCGTGAACCTCGTTTCCTTCTTCAGTACTCCAGGCCACTGGGCTAGAATGCAAAAGCAAACTCGGTCGTCTTCCTAATACATTTGTCAAGATATCCCACATTGGCTTCGCAGGGTCGGAGGACTCTCAAGGATGTCGTACGAAGGTGGTCAAAGGGACAACGTCGCCGACATGGGACGAGACTTTCCCATTGTGAGTTCAATGCGAGGGTGCCACCATGTCTTGCCTAATTTATTGCAGGTCTTTTGATTCGGGGGACTCACCCCTTGCCTTCGAGATATTCGACGATGGCCTTGGGGCTCCTATTTCGTATGGAACTGTGGAAAAGGCCGTTAGTGATGTACTGGCCAGTAACAGATTGGGTGTGTACCATTCAGTGCAGTATCTACTTTATGTCTATGCTGACCACATAGATGTTCATTGTCAGAAATTATCTTCCCTTCCTGCGGCGCAACCTTGTTCATTCAAGTAGAGAGACCTGGGCCGAGCCCCTCTCAGACCCTGACTGAGGTTGTGAAAGCATTAGACAAGTTGACGGAGATCCCAGAGTCAACCCAGGTGTGTAACACGAACGATTCTGCAGCTCTCACATTCACTTCCTGACACATTCACTAGCTGCATCCATACATCGCAGTTGTATCGGAGGCTGTATCGCTGGTATCTGGGGTTAGTATTTCATGGTTGCATCTAATTCTGTTGATGGCGCTGACCTTTCAACTGTCACACATGCAGATTGTCGAAGGTCTGCTAGATGTTGATCAAGAGATGGGCAGACTCTGTGAAGCTATGTCTTCGCTTTATGGGTTCGCGGATCCTCTGGATGCCATGTGCAAGAATCACCAGGAATTAGACAGTACCCTCGTTGAAGTCGTCAAACAGGTTCTGCATCAGACGATTGAATGCGCGCTATTCATTCGAGAGCACATTGGTAAGGGCTTCGCTAGTACATGGCACTATCTTATATACATTATCGTGATCTAACGCTTTTTGCAGGCCAAGATGCATCTCCCTTCACAAAATCCAAGGTCAATGAGTTCCGAGACGCATTTACCAGCCTCGGTGATTCCCTCGATATGGGCTTGGGTGTGCAAACTTCCTTGGCCTCCATACACGTATCCCCTTGTATACCCGATGTACAAGAGCTGGGTACGTGTACACCGCATTCATACCTGCCATAATTTTCATCCTGACGTCAACGTAGCCCTCAAAGATACATTAAATCCGGTGGTGATGGATTGGTCTGACCGACCCACTTGTCATCCTCGCACACGACTTGAAGTCCATCGCATGATCACAAAATGGATCATCGAGCCTCCTACCGAATCTCAGTCCAAGGTTCTCTGGATCACCGGCCTGGCCGGCGCCGGGAAAAGCACACTTGCCACAACCGTGGCGAACATGTACGCTGAGATAGGCCGTCTTGGCGCTTTCGTCTTTTTCGACCGCGACGTAACAGAACGGAGTAATCCTCTGCTTTTCGTCCGCACACTTGCATATGAGCTCAGCAAGTTCGATGGGAGGATATCGGCAGCAGTAGAAGGAGCTATTACACTGAATCCACGTATCGCGCAAATGCAGTTGGACTCTCAGTTTAGGGATCTGGTCAGGTTGCCTTTACAGAGTGCTGCATCAAATACTCCTGGGGGAAAATCACTCGCCGACGAAGGACCGGTTGTGATAGTCATTGACTCTTTAGACGAATGCGGCAACGAATCCACTCGAAAGCAACTCCTGAACGTGCTTGCGAAGGAGACATCACAATTACCACCAGTATTTCGCGTCATCATCACCAGCAGATCCGAGCCAGACATATATCGTGCCTTTCAAAACGAGCCGCATATCAAGCACTACGAGCTTGAAGTTTCGCCTGACGACCAAGACGTTCGTATGTACATGGAGTCGCGGATCAGGGAGATCGCGGAGGCGAATTCCTTAGACGAGACTTGGCCAGGCGACGACATGCTCAGAAGTTTTGTTTCCGGTGCGGGCGGATTGTTCATCTGGGCATCGACGGCATGCAAGTACATCGACTCCTATGACCCAGACTCGGCGCTTGAAGACTTGCTACAAGGAGACGGGTTCCACGCAGGGCTGGACGTCCTTTACAAGAGGGCATTGCAAGGTGCTTGGGATTGGGAGGCCTCCAATTTCAAGGATCACTTCCAGGCTGTCGTTGGCTTCGTCTTGGTCGCTAAAAATCCCCTTCGCTCAAGCACCATTGAACAACTCTTCGAGGTTCCGGTGCAACAAGTGTTGGGGCGGTTGAGCAGCGTGATCCGACACAACGATAGCGACCCAGTCCGTATCCTCCATACATCCTTCAGCGAGTTCATCTCTACGTCGGATAGATGTGGGGATTCCATGTGGCTAATCAATATCCCCCACCACGAGTACCAGGCAGCCGCCAAATGCATCCGTCAAATTGAAAAAAGCTTCGAAGCACCTCGTCACTTCGCATTGGGGCTTGCCTACGAGAGGGACTACGATGAAGCAGTGACGTACGCATGCGAACACTGGATCCACCATGTCCTCGCGGTCGTAGACGACGTAGAACGGATGGAGATAGCGGCAGCGGTTTATGGCTTTATGAAGGTGCACACCATGCATTGGTTGGAAGCTATGAGCATCCTTGGGATGTCACGTTCTACGCCCAGCGCTCTTGAACGACTATATAAATGGGCAAGGGTACGTTCACTAGAATCCCTCATAATTCGACGGCCTCATTTTCCGTTAGGATGTTGGTGTGGACGACACGAGAGTTCTAGCATATGACGCATATCGATTTGCAACATTTTTCGCCGAAACCATTGCCGAGCACCCTGCCATGGTCACGCAGGTTGCGCTTCCCTTTGCTCCTTTGGAGAGCACAATTTATCAACTATTCCACGATCATCACGAGCTCCCGACGGTTATGGGTGGTTATGAACAGAAGTGGTCTCCTTCGTTGCGCGCCTTCCCAATACTTGACACCAGTGTTATATGCGCGTCATTTTCGCCTGATATGACAAAGGTCATGTCCACTGGTGCTCGTTTCGACGACGACACACCCATAGAAGGTACCGAAAATAATTGTGTACGCTGTTGGGACGTGGCCACTGGCACGGAGGCAATGCCCAGTGTCGAGCTAGGGTACACTTCCATCGCCCAATTCTCCCCCGATGGAGCCCAGATTTGGGTTGCCACCGGGCAAGGCTACGTCCATGTTCTTGATGCCAGCACCGGCGACCAGCTATCCAAATTAACAATGGTTATGTGGGCCAACAAGCCCAACGATCCTACTGCTTCCGGTACTACGGAATCGCAACTTCAGACACCTACGATTGAGGGCGGCTTCACTCGGGCGGCATTCTCCGGCGATGGCAGATGGGTGGTCTTCGGCGATGACTCCGGCGAACTCTATGTCATTGATCGCGAGGCCGGGAAACAGGCGTACGATATATTGGACGACTGCTCCAGGCTTGAATGGAGGGACCTTGTCCGAATGTTCAACTCGATTGCGTTCTCGCCGGATGGCAAGGTGTTTGCGGCTGGGTCGGGTGATGGGAATTTATATATCTGGCGAACGGAAACGGGGGAGAAGCTCTTTGCGCCCCTAGAAGGCCATAATGCCGAAGTCATACTTGTCGCTTTCAGCCCGGAAGGCAACAAGCTGTACTCGGCGTCCGAAGACGGTAATGTGAGAGTATGGGATTGCACCACCGGATTCGGGATCAATTCTACCAATATCAACATCGCCGAAATTAGCGGCTTCCAACCAATAGCTTTCTCTCCAGATGGACGTATGGCCTCGACATCCACCAACGGTACGATCCAGATCTGGGATGTGAGTACTGGCAAGGAGATAGGACCCGTCTTGCAAGGTCACTTCAACGCCGTGTCTGCCATGACCTTCTCTCAGGACGGGAGCAGGTTGGTCTCAGGGGCGTTTAAGGACAACATCCAAACATGGGATGTCTCGGAGTCTAGGACGGGCGACCTTGTCAGATTTTCTCGACACGATCGCCCCCCTCACACAGTAGCGTTCTCTCCTAGTGGTTTGATAGTACGCTCGTCGAGACCGGACGAAACCAAATTCTGGAGTGCCATAACGGGGCGCGAGCTGAAGATGGTTCAATACGACAAGTCTGCTAACTTCGTGGCGCTACTTGATGATTACGATGGAGACGACGAGGAAATAAAACGGAAATTCAAGGAGAGCAGGGCGAAGTCCAACGAGGCACCAGATACGCTCGTGACATCGTCCGGAGACACGGTCACTCTCATAGATTCGCTGCCAGACGCACAACTATCAGAATTGGAAATAGAATGGGAGGCAGTGATCAAACACTCGAGTCTAGCCGTCTCACTCTCGTCTTGGAGTGTCTTGCATTCGTGCGTCTTCTACCACCCCCAGGGCGCTGGCGAAATAGACGGTGTCGTCAAGAACGATGAATCTCAGAAATTTTGGAGGCTTCCCCGAGAACTCCGCCATCGGAGCAATGATGTGCGACCCAACTTCATAACCTTTGGGATCTGGAATGGTAGAGTTTTCGTGGTCCATATACCCCAGAAACTGGTACATAGTAACATACCCCAGTGATATAGTCCTGTCCCCCGGAATGGAGTGTACTATAGTATAGTGTACTATGTGCTGTTTCTTCCGTCTTTGCACTAACAATCCCTCTCAATTGCGTATCCAATGTATTCGCCGAACCCCGAGTACGTTAGTCCTTACGATCTCGTTTGTTTGATCTTTGTTGTGAGGACCAGTTCAATGTTGCATACTAGTAACCGTAATCACAATATCATTACTCAATACGCGTTCAGCAAATGACAGCAATCGTGATCGTATAAATATTCCAATGGACGCACACTCATACGAGTGGTAGAGTAGTCTGTGCATTGATCTAGAATCACTCTGGCAACGAAGTGCTCGCCGCCAGCATTGAGGCCACAGTTTACTTTTTCTTCTTCGGTTTCTTTTTCTTCACGCCGCCTGAAGTAGATGCTCCAGGAACCGGCGACGGTGCGGGGGGTGTAGCTGCACCAGAAGCATCGTGCAACACGCTTGCCTTCTTCTCTGTAGGCTGAGGTGTGGGCTCTGGCGTAGGTTGCCTGTTTTGCATCTTCCGCATGAGTGTAAGGTTGAGGACTTCAAATCGATTCAAGAAGATGGATGAATTGGTCTTGAATTTAATGCACTAAAGCCCAGTAAAGACCGCATTCGATGAATTCTTTAATGCAGTATACTCAACGCACTGTCGTGTTATCAGTGATCTTCAACACCAGCTTTCCCTCCGATGATTTCCATTTGACGCAATATCTGGCCTAGGGGACATTTTGCACCGTCAAACACGAGCACAATGTGGGTTAAGAAATCGCACATTATCCGGAGACTTGGTATAGAGAGCCTCGGCAGCTTCTTGAAAATCCTGCCACACTGAGATGTACACCATCGTGGTGCATGGATGGCGGTGGCAAGCTGAGGGCGCCTAAATGTATGATCAATTTCTCCGTAATGGGCGCCTAAATATCCGCGCCTTCGCGAATCGCCGCAGTGCGCACAAGCTCGGAGCGGGTCTTGCGGCTGAATCACGCTCATTCACGAACCATATATTATCCTCCATTGCGGGGAAATCACTCTCCAGAATTCCCTCCACTCCCCTGCACAATGTCGTCCGACGCCAAACCACCCCCAAAGCGTATGCAATTTCTGCGTCTTTGGTCGTCTCTCTCACGTTGACGGTGACATTGGTATAGCATTACCGTTCATTGCCAATTTCGCAGCGGGTGCCATAGCAGGCATCTCTGAGATCCTGGTGTTCTACCCCCTCGATGTGGTGCGTACGCCGCTTTACTGGCGTGATACCGGAATGAAATCATATTATATGCGGTCAGGTCAAAACCCGTATGCAACTCGATACCGGAAAAACGACCCAAGGTTTGGTTGGGACGTTCAAGTCCATTGTGAAGGAAGAAGGGTATGTCGCGACGATCGTTAGTCACACGACTAAGTCAGCTAACAACATTCAAGTGCGGGGCGATTGTACCGAGGTGAGTGCTGGAAATTAAGTTCACGGCTACGGTAGGCTGAACGACCTCAAAAGGCCTTGTACCGCCCTTGTTGCTGGAAGCACCCAAGCGTGCAGTTAAATTGCAAGTCTCATGATTACCTTTCTTGCTTTACAATTGAGCTTATTCGACCCTGACAGCGCCGCGAATGACTTCTGGGGAAAGACTTACCTCCAACTCTCCGGCAAGGCGAAGATAGATCAGCAATTGTCCATCTTAACGGGTTGCACTGCTGGTGCTACTGGTGCGTGCCTCCATGTCTGTGGGCATTCCCGCCTCTCACATGCACGCACTTCGCAGAATCTTTCGTTGTTGTTCCATTCGAACTAGTCAAAATTAGGTCCGTCTCCTCGTACCAAGTACCTAGTGCTTAAACCTGAATTCCTGAACACGATTATAGACTGCAAGACAAGACCAGTACTTACAAAGGTCCCATGGATGTCGTAAAACAAGTTGTCGCGAAAGATGGTCTACTCGGGCTCTACGCTGGGATGGAAGCTACATTCTGGAGGTGCGTGTGTCGCGGAGAGAACTTGTCGTTTGGATGATCAACGTCTTGACAGGCACGTCTGGTGGAATGGAGGCTACTTCGGATCTATTTTCCAGGTCCGAGCATTGTTACCTAAAGCTGAGGTGGGTTCCGCATCGCATTTCTGGCGATGTGACATCCTTAAAGAACCTTGTATAGACCCAGCAAGCTCAGTTAACGAACAACTTGATATCTGGAACGATTGGAGGGTTCATGGGAACAGTAATAAACACACCGTGAGTCTTCCTTAAGGCTTCGCCACCGAAAGTGCTATTGACCTCATTGCTATAGATTTGACGTAAGCCACTGTATTAACTGGCTGATTATACGTCCTGACGCGTGTTTCAGGTTGTAAAATCCCGTATTCAAGGAACCCCCAAAACTCCCGGTGTCGTCCCCAAGTACAACTGGACTTATCCTGCGTCAGTGACCTACTTCTTTTGGCCATGCCCTCCCTGACTTTTGTGTCCAGGTTGGTGACCATCTTCCGTGAGGAAGGTCCTGCCGCGCTTTACAAAGGGTTCGTTCCCAAAGTCCTACGACTCGCTCCGGGAGGTGGTGTCCTCCTCCTCGTTGTCGAATTCACTCTCGGTGTCTTTAGACAAGGTGAGTAGCATAACGTACTCTGCGTAAACACTGTTTGACCTTTGTCCATAGCACTCGGCCCTCCGTATATCTAAATTATATCCAACTGTATAGATCATTAGAACGTGGATAAGGTTGTCCTGCATTAGTAGCAGATCAATTGTTCAGCTTCGCCAGACTAAGCCGCAAAGCTTCAAAGCTTCACTCTACTTTTGCCCGTTCAGGTGAGAGTACGTCCGACATCAAATATTCTCCTGCCGCACAAATCCCTGCCGACCAAAGCAGCAGGAGTGACGTTATACAGAAGAAGCTGATGGATTGTCCGATCTCCAACCATGATCCTAGCAATAAAAGAGAGTCAATCCCAGAATCTCCGCACCCAAGTGGCGAGAAGTTATTACCTGTGTCGGATACCTTATAGAAGAATGTCAAGGTCATCCCTGTTACCGACATCAGCAGCATTCGAGCGGGAAGAGAGCGGGGTTACATACCATCTGTCAAAGTCAATGCAACTAGGAAGAGTGAGAAAGGTGGTAAATGAAGTCGCGCGTTCAGAGTGGAGAATGATATAGATAGGATCACATAAGGAGCGACGATTTTGAAAATCTGAGGCATGCATGTTAGCTGAGGCTGAACCTAGCCAGTTGCATGAAATGACTGACGAGAAGTGCAGCCATTAGAAATGGGCTGAATATTGGCACCAGTCGGTACACCGGTTCAAGATAGAACGATCTGAAGGGAAATAAATATGGTGAAATGCCCTCCTTTAGGATGAACTCACGATATGGATGCGACACTGCCCAACACCGTCAGTCTCCGGGGAACAAGAGCGACATAAATGACTTACTTTCCGGTCCCGAAGAAGGCGATTTGGACGAAGAATAAGAAGAAAAGTGCTATTCTTAGATCATCTGGTCGGAACTCATATGACTTGCTCTTGCTCCTAGTCCGGGTTTCAGGTTCCTGCTCGCCGCCGTGACGCAACGCGGCCTCGACTTCAATCCAGATTTGTAGCGTCGCTGTATACGCGAGATAGAACAGTCCTTCTATGCTGATGGAGAGGATGATGAAGCATGCGCCAAAGGCGATAACATAAATTGTCGTCTTTGTGGCTGCGTTAGGAAGTTGAACGCGGTGGATGAACGGAAGGATAGACGAAGTCACTGGGGGTTTATTTAGATATGATTAGGTTGGTTTGAATGAGAAAAGGAAAGGGCAAGGACCTAGGATCATCCATCCTAAATATTGATTCAGCACGGGAAGACCCGTCTTTGCTTGAAGGGATAGCACAGAACCATACGTCACCCACATAGCCAGCGCTATCAACATTAACTGAAACACAATTAGTTAGCCAAGGACATTAAAGGAAACTGCCCACCTGCGACGTCAACAAAGTCGATAAACGTTTGCTCCCAGTCCCTTGCGCAAAGCAAGACCACGAGACCAAACCAAACGCAATCATCAACACACCGCCCGACATTCTGTCATCCACCACAGTTAGTACGAGACACAAACAGCTTGTGCATAGAAACTCACATTGCGAAGAGATTCTCGCTCTTATCCACCGGCAGCATGGGAAAGACAGCAGTGATCAAACACGAGACCATCCAAGCTAAGTAAAGGCCCAGCCGATCTTTCAGAACGTCCCAAGACCAGGATGTGAGAGGCCACACAACGCCTATAAGCACCAAACCAAAACTCCATATCTCCCTATGGGTGTACGCTAACTGAAAACAGGGTGAGCCCCGGGTTCGCAGATAAAGACAAGACACCCACCGTCATACACTGGAGCACGCCAACAACCAATACCACGCTGATGACACGGCGTGCGAGGCCGGAACCCTGCAGAAGCGGAAGCTGGCTTCGGGTAGCTTGAGCAAGAAACTGGTGCCAAAAGTAACACGGAAACGCGACATATAGGTAGAAGGTCCAAGGAGAGCGCTGAAGAGCAAACACAGTCCAAAAAGAGAGCAAAACAGCAAGAGAGAGAGCGGTGTTAATGGGCGATGATGGAATTCGTGAGGACCCCGGCTTCAGTTGTTCGAGAGGCCGGAATATGTACAATGAAGAATACGCGGCCCATCCAACATACGCAACGGTGACAATAGCACGAATGAGGAAGCGGTCGTACCTATGGACAGCAACGTCAGATCGTTGGCAGGTATCCAGCAAGAGGGGGGGATGAATACATACGTCTGAAGGTAACGAAGACCCTCAAGCGCGGTTTCGATAAGAATGACAGACTCCTTGCGAGCACTTGTCCAATCTTGTGCATCTATTGCCGCTTGAATAGCTTGGATCATTGAAACCTTGGGAGGAACAGCCATCCCCGCGCTTCCCTCAAGGGCCTTGAATGGACGGTAAAACAGAGTCCGTTCTCGTTTCATTTCTACACGTAACTTCACTTCAACATCTGTATTTGTGGTCATGAGGGTTTCCTTACCATGTTTCACGCGGTAATGTTCCATTAAAGCCTGGTCGACCGAATAAGCATCCCAACCACGGGCCAACAATATCTTTACCCACCTTGGCATTGACAAAGGAAGCTTGGGCAATAGCCTCATCTCCTTTGCGTGGAGCAAGATATCCAGGTCGACTAGAATCCGTGTCAGGTAGGACGCCGACTGAATTGACGGGCCATTGGGTTCCGAGCAATGAAGTCATCAATGCAGCAATGTCCGCCTGCTCAATATCTCTTCGCAGTAGATTGTTTAACTCCCAAGGCTGAGAGTATTCATCGTGAGATGAAGGCGATGAATCTGGTAATGGCCCACGGATTCCGGCGCCCCATGCAATGAGAGGCGTTCGTGTATTATCTGGGTCTATAAATCGTAAGGTAGGAAACCATGAGCATTTTGGAATGCGGGTAGCAATGGTTGAGGACCTACGTCCGTCTCCGTGGTTGCCAATCACCGACATACCGTGGTCGGCAGTGAATATGAAGCTGGTTTGATCGTCGCGAAAGTAGTCGGAGAATAACCTCTCAGTTTGTTCCACGATCTCATCAACCACCTGGATGTTCTGCATGTATTCCTGGGTATGCGCTTGAATAATGATGTTCATTTGATCCATGTAGGGATATTCTCACTTTAGAATGAGGGCGATAAGAGTGCCCAGTGGTATCCAAGCCCAACAGGTGCAAGAAGAAAACCGTTCCGTCTGCTTTGAGTTGATTAGCTAGGATGGGATCAGATGATGCGTTGCGGAACAAGGTCTGCAGCTGCTCTAGAACCCAGACGTCTAGCGCCCTAGCATCTAATCATAACGGATTGAGTATACTAGGGAAAATCAGTAAGTACAAAAGACATACCCTTCGTAAAGTCTTCATCCTCCTCATCATAGCACCAAGTACGTACTCTCCCGGGGACAGCCCCTCGGGCGAACATAGGAAGTATATCGGGTGAACCAAAGGAGAATGTCGTGCTAGACTGGTTGAACACAGAGTCGAAGTCGACCTGTACGCGAGGAATGAACGGCTTAGCATCCCGGCCATCAATTGTCCATAGTCAACTTTACCGGATTGGATTTCCATCCCTACTGTGGCAGACTTGTTAGAAGGAGTGATTAGTGAGTTGAAATTGACACCTGCCTTCGTGACTGCTGAGACGTCCTCATACATCCCAGCTACACGCGCCCGCGTCAGATCACTCCAAGCCGCCAGCATATATGCACCCACCGATGATGGCAACATGTCCCGGGCGGCTCTCTGTTGGTACCCGAGTATGCGATATTCCAAACGCACCCCGGCTCTCCACGACCTCGCGTAGATACGGCGCGACCACTTTCGGTGCCTCGGGGATACCCTCGAAGGGATTCAAAGAGAAGAGCAAATCTGCTCGTAGCCCGTCACCTGGTCATGATGCGTGTCAACTTTAATCAGAGAGGAATGGGATGGTCTGTAGTACCAACTATTAGGACCAGCCTCTTCGCTTCGCTGTGTGGTACGGCAACGGGCGTCATGCCTTTTACCACTGGACTGGTAAAGTAACAGTCAAAGACTGAGCCGATGTAGACCTATAGATACATTTCGTTAGCAATATGAAGAAAGCTGGATGGCTTTTGTACTCGCCAGGTGGAAGACCAAACCAATAAATAAAAGTTGGCCGACATTGTATCGCGAAGCTGGTGGAGATTTCATGCGTCGCGCGCGAGGAAGAGACTGCACAGCGGAAGTTGTGATCGAAATTGTCTGACCGTGGGAATAACCCTGACATTATTGTTCTGCCTCATTGCCGCTCCTCTTTTTGTCTGGCCGTGATGGTTCCCAGAATGCACCGAGTCACTTACTGCCCTAGCAATGTTCTCGTGGGGACTCTAATTGTCCTCGAATTTTCGAGCTGCTTCGCAAGTGCAACCAGTGACAGCTGCGTCTTTTGTCTGCGAGGCTGACTCGACCGACGATCACAATGGAGCTGGAATCGTATATATTCCAAGCGGTAAACTCATTTGCTTCCGTTTCCCTCCTCAAAGCCCGCCTACAATGTTCAGTGCCCTCCTCCAGCGCAGGTCGCCATCGGTGCGTACAAATCATCCAATAGATGTTCAAGGTCACTGAAAGTAGCGTGTAGCCTCGTAGAAGTGGATTTGTCCCGGCTCTGGCATCCCCCCTCGAGATTGCACCAAGGGAAGGCCCATCAACGACTTCTGTTCGACCTCCATTTCCTCCTCGGCGACCCCTTCGGCACCAGCGGCGCCAGGCAATGGCAATACAGATCCCACCTCCCGTCATGACTTCCCCACCAACATCACCGTTGTACAATCATGGCCCACTGAGTCCCCTTCCCAAAACCCCCATCAACACGTATTCATTACCATCGTCGCCGCCAGGAGCGCCCCTACGATGCCGAATAGACTATCCTTCACGCCTGACCGACGACGGGGAGTCGTCCTCGACTTGCGTACCTGATAAGATCGACCTCCTGCTCTCCGAGTCCACTGTTGGGGGCGGTTCGGATGCGGGAGGGTCGACCACGAGTTCGATCGGGTCACTGCTTGATGCAGCGTTCAGACGCTCAACCGACCGGATGCACGCCGAATTCTTGAACTTGCGCACCCTGTGCACGAAGATCTTGTTGACCGGCAAGCAAGTTCCACGCGAACAGATGGACGGTATCAACCTAGACCTGCTGGTACCAGGAGGGATGTTTGACGATCTTGACGACGACGACGACGAACCGCCTCATGACGCGCCCATGGATTTCGAAGACTGTAATTCCGCTTCGCCGGCTACCACCTATTATTCTCTGTCACCCTCTTCCTCCCCCATACGTTATGATATAGACCTCCCTGTAGAACCTGCAGCAGCTTCGCGCCCTTCTCCCCTGCCCTTGTCATCACATCCCCGCCCTGGATCTTCCTCTTCTCCACCCGTACTACTCTTAAACCTTCCCGACCCCTTCCCGAACGGCAACACTTTCGAGCCGCTTCGAACCAAAAAGCGCAAACAGACTGATTCCTCCGTTCCGCGAGAATCTACCATCGCTAAGCGCCAACGACTCAGAACAACAAGAACATTTCTGTCAGCTGAGGACGCTGAGGATGCTGCGGAGGAGGCCGAGGTCGAGGCCGAGCTTCTGGAGCTTCAGCCACCGGAAGATGCAGATTTCGACGTCACGTACAATCGGACTCGAGGACGCTTGCACAGAGCTCCGGTCGAGTGGTTGCTTCACCAGAGTCGTTTAGTCCATCCTCCTCCGATCCGAGTGGTTGATAGTGTTTTCTTGGATTGAATTCGGCGCACTGTTGCTATGTCCGTACTACTATGATTCCACTTATGCTTTATGCCATCTACCATGAATTACGCACATATGCACTCGAAGATTCCTGCAACTCATACTGTACTTTTACCATATACTTACTTACATATATCTTATCAAGTTGACTATTGCCCAAACCTTTGATACAAGGATGTATATTTGATACACACATACGATAAACACAATAACAGGAATCCAATCGTGTATGAATTAGTACCACGACACTTTACAAGGCAATGAACATCCACATATAGTCAGCGACCTCCGGCTTCAAGCCACACGACTAGCTCCTTCACCAATCTTTTGGCCGCGATTTCGAGTTTCTCATCCCGACTCCGGGGTACCTCCACAATCGTTCGCCTGGAACGGCTGGCAGTGCTGATGACCAAGCCGACTTTCCTGGGAGAGAACGAGACTGACAGCGAGCTGAATGGGATCTTAGGGAGTTGCTTCGATGATGCATACTTAGATCCCCTCGACGTAGGGAATCCTGATGCTCTCGTGGGGGTAGCAATCGTCGGCGATGTCGAAGCCGACGCCGTCGACGGAACGGAGATCACGCCCTCCCTAAGCCCATACACCCTCACCAGATCCTCAAGCCGGCTTCGGGGTTGATTGAGATCAAAGATATCTTTGAACGACTCCTCTCTTTCCAAGTGAAGCTCCGAATCGTCCATCCATACGTCTTCTCGGACTTTGACCGCTATGAATAGGTCGAGAACGGCTGTTTCACGCTGGAGGGTATGGATGGATTCGGGTTGGGAGAAGGAAGAAGAGTACGAAGGTGCCTGTGATGTCGGGGAAGGCAGTGGGAACGGGTCGGAGGAATATGGGGGTTTGATCAGCGTTTCGTACGCCGGCAGGTATGTCGATCGTAGGACATGCATGCACGCTGAGCGCAGATCAAAGCAATGATAAGCTTAGCATTTACTTCCCGGTATGCCAGAGCTTGTTTGGGAGCACTCACCAATGTACAAAGAGCGGTTCACCAGCCTGAGACACATCGACAGCCAGTATAGCGTCTTCCTTTGTCTCTCTAAACGCCCCTGGTCGACGCCAGGCGTCTGCGGGAACGACATGTACACGATCTGCAGCAGGATATGCGAGGGTAATGCATCAAGCGACGGCTTTCCCAGCCCAAGTCGGTGTTGCGGGAGTGGCGGAGGGATGGCCGGGCGTATGGTAGTACGAACAGTGGGCCTGTCCCCTGGGACATAGGGGGGAGGTTGCTGGGACATGGACTTTTCATCGATGATCATGGTGAGAGGGAATTATAAGTAGTCAGTCAGTGGGTTGTTCTGCCTCCTTCTGTGATATTTGGGGAAGTCGGCCAATGGCGAATGGGGCGAGGACTGCGGCCACGGACTGCGGGTCAGCTACACGATAAGCTGTTATGGCTGAAATACAGCGAGTTAGTGCAAAAGCACAGCGCTCGCAGAAACAAGCGTCGAGGTGGTTGGTGGCGAGGCTGCAGTACCGGCTTTTGACGATGAAAGAGAATTATAAAGGTGCAGCAGGGATGGGAACCAACTTTCTGGGCCGAGACGACGTCAGTTCACAGCCTCTGGATTCTCCTTACGGCGCTTCCAGCCTAGAAGGTAATCTATGATCTTTATATTATACAACTAATACACTGGAGGCCGCCCGAGAAAGCCGCCTAGCTGTAAGCTTATAATAAATATGTATAGGGTGTAATATGAATACAGAGCGATTTGCGAGCGAATGGAAATGGGTGTAAATGGACAAGGATGTTGCGAAGATGATAGAATGTAGTGTATGCACAATGTTCGTATGAGAGGTCGTCAGGAGTCGTAGCAGTGCTTGTTGATGCGTAGAAAGTTCCAAAGAAATAATGCTTGAGGAAATAAACAGTCCGTGTGATGCGGAGAGCGTGTAGCAGGCGATTAGGCTTCACTGGTCCACCAGGGACTCGTGGTGCACGCTGTGTGCTGTCATTATATCTTCAACTCCCTAAACCCTCGAACGTCCACTCTGCCTGTGCCATTACTCTTCCATTCCGCCTCTTCGTCGTCATCAGCGTCCTCGCCATCGTCGTGGTCCTCGTTCTTCACTCGCACCGTCTTCTTTGATGCGGGTCCCTTGAAGCGCCCTCCGGGAATGACTATTTTGCCAGCACCCCTAGTAGAGTTGCCGAGCGCTGCTCGAGGCTTTGGGAGACCGAGGGCCTTGCGCTGGCGTCGAGTCAACGGCCGCGAGATTACAGGCTCCTCAGGAAGGACGGCAGTTTGAGGATCATGAGTGGGCGGCGGAGAGGATGCAGAGGACGAAGCAACGGAGTCGGGCGGTGAAGAGGATGATGATGATCCAGGTGCAGATAAATCTGGCGTATCTACATCTTCTGGATCATCGGTATTCATTTGGTCGGTGGTGGAACTGGGAAGAGAATAACTGACGGCTGCTAAGCGAGATCGGGTTCGTCGAGCAACGCCCTCAGAACTAGATCCAGAACCGGCGGATGATTCATCAAACGAGCGCTTCGGAGATCGGTGCACTCGGAGCGAGTCGTGAGAAAGAGAAGTTGGGAGTGAAGGAGGGGGTGTGGGCGAACGAGAAGGGGACCCGGAGCACGAGCGGGAAATTGGGAGGGGTACCTGTTCTGGCACAGCCATATTGGGCGGTGTCGGAGGATGGACATCAATTGTCATCGATGAGGCAGATTTAGAAACCTTAAGTTTGACTTTGGGGACGTGTTTGCCGTTGGACGAAGGTGGAGCGGGAGGTGCGGCCTTCTGATGTGATGTTGACGGGGACCCATCAGCCGGTAGCTCCTGGATGTACGGTAGTCCGGCATGAGGGCCTCTCAGGTTTCGAATCGATGAGAAGTGCTCCCAATCGTGATACCTGATCAGATATGAGTAAATAGAAGCTCAACGGGAAATCGATAGCGGCTCGAGAACGTACGCAACGTAAACTGTGGTTGGGAAGTCGACCTCCTCGTCGGAATTGTTGTCCCCGAGAGGAGTCTTTCCCCGCTTCTTATCACTGCGCAATCGCCGCCTATCCCCAGCCTCGTCGTCCTCTGGGTCCCAGCCGGCGGACCATTCAATGACGTAGACCAAGCCAGGCTGGATGACTTTGACGTTCCGTCTTGTCATATGTGCAAAGGCAGAAAGTTCAAGATGCCCGCCATATGTGGCTATTCCAGCAATGGGAAATGCGTGGATAGATCAGCAATGCTGGTAACAAGATGGAGAGCGACCGCGTGCGGCCCACACACACCATTTTGGCGCATGCACTGCAGATGCACGTCCAAACCCCGCTCGTCGTCGACGAACGGTTCATAGCGGGTCTTGTGCCCCTCTATCCAGTCACAGATATCCTGGCGTAACTGGGCATGGCGTGAGGGCGAGCCATACAGTTGATCTGAGAGGGCTCGAAACAAGCAGTTTCCGTCGCCCAATGTGGGGGCAGCATAAAGCCCAAGGGAGCGAAGTTGCTCCGTGAGAAGTTGCGTGTTTTCGGCGGGATCAGACAAGAGCTGTAATGTGCATAAGCCGATACGCCGCACAACAAAGCAAATTCGGCTGCTCACCCTGCCCTTCGACCTCGTATTTCGTGGCCGCACTGGTTCGTGGCGTGATGATGAGCACAAGCAGTCGATCAGACGCTCAAACTTACTCTGAGTTTGCGGTTTCCCCGCTTTTCTCTGAGTGTGGGCTCTCTTTCCTGACCCCATCGACGGTGCGTCTCGTGAACGGAAGAAGAAAGTGAGCTGTCTCTTGAACTTTCTGCAAAAGCGGGGTTAGATGGTTTTGGTTGATGGTCAACTGCCAGAACGGGTGCCTCGGGGGCCCGGACACGAGGAGGGACCCCTGACACTAGAAACGCAAATACGAACAAAGACTTTGACACCATCACGGGTCCATGGACCGTGAGTCACGATCGTCCACAGAATGTGACGCCGCGCCCAAGTGATCGCTATCACGCACTCGCTCGTCCTTTCCTTCGATAGTCGTCGGCGTCGGTGAGCGTTCGTTTCATCGATGGAAACAATTGCAATCATGTTCATCAGTTGCCCTGTTCTGTCAGTGATTAATGATTCTTTGATCTTGGTCACACGGCTCGACGCGATCGCTACATCGCCAAAGTTTAGACACATCACTGATTACCAGAACATTCATGATACAAAATTATCCGAAACACGAAGCAATATACAAGATCTATACTACAGAGTCCATTTGCGCATATCGCTGGTCCGTCGTCCGGAATGAAGATCATTGGGTTGCTACCCGGTCGATCACAATGGTCGGAGGAGCCGGTAGCTTCATGATCTCCTTCAGCTGCTTGACCATACCCCGGGTCTGCATCAGCCCGACCGTCTTCAAAGGACGCGACCATCCTTCCGGAAGCCTCTCCTCCCCAAACCACTGCTCGATGCTCTTTCGAGGAACCTCCCCATTGCTATCCTTCATAATGAGCCAAGTCATCACTGGTTCCGCGCATGCGATCTCTTCGTGAGGACCGCTGAGAGGCCTCTTTAATAGCGCTTCGCGATCGTGGCGCGCTCTAGCAAAGTCGCTGAGCGCTAGACCGGAGCCAGGGGCGCCGTACGCGCTGAGCCTATGGACAAGACTCTGATCGACGCCAATTGGGGCTGCCTTGTCGCCAATCATGGCATCCGTGTGTACTAAGGATGCGTCGTGTTCAATCTTGTTGTGGGCTGCGAGCGCGTCTAGGTCAACCACCATCTGAAATCCTTTCCAATGACCACAAAGGAGTAGGCCAGCGAACGCGAGAAGAGATGCCAGAGGTATCGACAGATTGTATACCTCACGCATCGCGTTCACGAGCTGCACGAAACCGAGATCCCGTCCATGTCGGGGTCTGAGGAAGGATCTTGTCAGTCAGGGGGTCCATATAAAAGTACTCGGCAATGGGCACTAACATGAAGCCATGGTTGGCCATTGCGTTGAGGCCAGGGCACGGCGACCTCTTTTCCCCCTCTTTCGGGGGTGCGTACGGGTGCGGGGCGTTGGGGGGCATGTTGCTCGTAGAGGAGGGCATTGTGAATGAGCGGGAGCAGGGCAGGAGTATGTGGAATGGATGGTACTTAACTTTTGCGCTTGCCTTTATACGTACGTCTTTAACAGGTTCCGTTGCTTCCCAAGAACGCTCACTTGCGCAGGGGTAGATCACCTCTGGGTTGGAGATCAAGTGATAGGAAAGGAGTTAAGCTTCGGAGTTGCGAAACGTTTCCTTACAGTGTCAGTCAGTCGGGCCCGGTGGTAAGCAGTTCGGGCTGGACAGCGATTTCCCAGTGTTGTCATCCACCTTCCTGACAGAGTGATACCTCCCGGTGCCTTCCATTGCGCTCAAGTGATCACAGTATGTTTTCCAGGACGTACGAGGCGACACTGTAATCTGTTGCTATAACGTTATCGCTAGGCACTTCCACATCAAACCTCCATTGCGTCCCGATCAGCCCAGCCGCGACCCTAGTCAAGATAGGATATGTAAGGCACTTCTCCCTTGAATTCCTTGAGTGGTCACAGGCGGTGGAGCGGCAGTTGTGTGTGTCGACAGGAACGGTGCGGGATGTACATACTTTCGAATGACTCAAGCCGCAGCGGCTGACTCTATGAATCTAGCTCATTGCGCTAATACTTCCACTTCTCTAGTAATTGTAATTGACACGAAGCGGTGGATAACCCATTGGTCATTGCTTTGCATACAAAAGTACAAGAAGGGTGCAGCGCCGAACGGTTGCATGAAAGCAGGGTCGCGTGCATGGGCGCATGGATTTTCGGGCGGGAAGTTGTTTCAGGTCCTTGCGCCGAGATGGACTTCCAAACTGTTGCGCCTTGGCTGACCCAATACCTACAGCTCACGCTCTTCCATACTTCGATATGCGCAGCTGAACAAGTAAATGTACGGGACTTGGATATACATACGGTCATAATCACAGCATATTGTAGATTGGTTGATCCGTCTGCATCTACATATAGCCAGATTCCGAGTTCAAGAAATACCAGGCATACCATCCTGCATTCCGCGAAGATGTAAGTAGTCCCATGGGTGACTCAATAGGATAGCATTGCGGGTCATAGTGCTACGTATGTCCTTGTAAGTGGAGGCTTGGTATACATTTGCGGTTGAATATTGGGCTTCGGGAACCCCACGGATTCGGAGCAAGCGTGATATACTCTGGGACCAACAAGTATCCGCCACCAGCTGCTCAGTAAAAGCATATCAATGCGCGTGATGTGGCGTAGGGGGGCACTGCGCGATGCTATTCTCACTATCACTTCGTACGCATTAGATGGACGTATTGAAACTCGCTATTCGGGACCTTGACGACCGGATGATGATGCACCGGCTGCAGCGTCAATATGCAAGGGGGAACAGTCAAACTTGACCATCGACATAACCAAGATCACTGATGTAAAGCGCGTAGAATGGGACATAAGTTCTGTCGTCAAGAGGAGACAATTGGCGGTAGCGATTTTTCTGAGAGGCAAGGCGTAAGTTAATTTCACAGCAAGGACTCCAAGCGAATCCACCGCATATTCAATACCGCCCAGTACAGCACTTGACCTTATGCACTCATCCGAGTCGTTGGAGACTCTACCTCACCTCCTGTCACCACAACTGCGACGAGCCAAAAATGGATGCGTCCACGTGATCTCATATTTTTGGCCTACCCGCGCCAGAGCACGAACAGGCCGACATTCTCCTCTTTTTCCTCGACGCCGACATGTTACTCCCCATTTTCCAGTCAACCGCCAGAAACTTTTCGAGGTCGGCCAGCCGGTCTCTGGTTGCCTGCAGCAGGATTGCCGCAGTGCAATCAGCGGTTGCATTTGCGCCCGCACGCCAGGCGCAAATTTTGGGGGTACGAAACATTTCCGCGACGGCTTCGGCTCTGGAAGAGTACGAGCGACGACGTTCGTCAGAACACCGTTCGTCTCGACCCCCTCGCTATGAACGTCGTGAGCCCCGTGAGCCCCGCGAAGCACCCACCGTGCCCAGCAAAGCTCTTTTCGTCGGCAACATTCCGTTCATTGCCGAGGAAGACGATATACGGTTAGCCTTCGAAGAGTTCGGGGACATAGAAAGTGTCCGAATATGTCCGTTTTCCTCTACTGTTTCGCTTTCGGTTCTCAATGTCGTCCTTTTCTATCTCAACAGTCACGGGTCCCGATGGTCGCAGCAAGGGCTCTGCGAGAGTCACCTTCCTCTCGCAAGAAGGTGCGACAAAAGTGGTAGAACGTTCCCTTGAGGAACCTATCTCCATTTTCGACAGAACTACGAGAGTAGAATACTCTTTCTCCTCAACGCCAAGGAATGCACGGCCCGAGCCTAACGAAAGGCTCTTCCTCGTTAACTGGCCAGGTAGCGAATCCGAGTTGAAAGACGCGTTCGGTCGCTTCTCGAGGAGTATCACTGATATTTACTTTCGTGCGTACTTCCTTCAGCATTTTTTTAACTTGCCGACTCCGTTTTACTTCGTTACTGAATGTTGGCTTTTACAGCCAAAGTCTACGAAACTGGAGAGAGGAACGGCAATGTTTTCATGAGCTTCAACAGTACGGAAGAAGCAACTGAAGCACTGGAAGCAATGCTGGGAGCCGAGGGACCTGACGGGCAACCTATCAGCATCTTTTATGCCCGTCCAAAAAATAATAACCACAACAACGACAGAGGACGAAGGGATTACACCAAGAGGGGCCGATTTGGGGTATAATTGATCCATTTATTATATTATAGTCAGCACACCCTACTACTCCTAGTCACTATTAGCTGCTAGATAGCTCTGGATGCAATGTATTCAGTTGATGCATTTCCGTATTACAGCAGGAAAACGCTCACCTCTCTTTCTTCCAGAAACTCGAGATATGTAAGAGCAACGGCGATCCAGAAGCTAGTGTCAATGCCCAAAAGACGCTCTTCCTCGATGTCAATCTCGAGAAGGCCCGTGATCGAACGGACAGTGAGAACGGGTGTATGGTCGTGAAACGTCAGTAAGGGTAGATTGTCCGGCATGGGTGGGGTTCCAATTGGCGCAGCGGGGGTATATGGAGGAGGAGCGCCTCCGGCAGACATCCGTGTCAACGTAAAGGAGTTGGAATGGTGTGGCGCATGGGTTTTGAGGAATGAAAACGCTCTCGAGAGGAGGGAAGGGGCTTCCGGCTGCACAGTGCCTGTATAAGGTGCTAGTATAAAATCGGTGATCTGGGTGGGAGGGGGAGGAGGTTTCTTAACAGCTGCTGCGGGTTTCATGGACTCGACTACGGCATCGAGATTGACCTCCGAGACGTCAGTGTCCGTTGGTGACGGAGGTTCGACGACCACGACTACTGGGGGCGAGGTTGGCGGGTACGAGTGAGCACTCGCAGGTGTACGCGAAGGAGCAAGTGCATTCGTTCGCGAGCTGAATGTGAGTGCCGCGTCGACATGGTGCATTGACGCTGGAGGCACAGGCATCAGGGGTATGAACATCCCAGGCGGGAAGCTGGGTGCTCGGATGCGCATGTACCAGCCGCGCTTCGGTCGATGGATTGTCCAACATATCGTCGATGTGGGATTATGCTGCAATTGTTGGCCGTCAGAATGGTTTTGACTAGAAGGCGAGCAGCTCACCACAACGTTCTCAATGATTTCGTCGTCACTTAGGAACCTTTCCTTCAATCAGTTTCAATGCCGATTCGTGCATGCCTGGTATGGCAGAGTGACGGCTACCTTGTACCAAAGAATCTGTTCGTGGCCTTCGACTGAGACATTGACTCTCATGTCCTGGAGAACATCAGAACTAAGGATCGTAGTATCAGTACGAGCAAGGCACCAAGCCATCCACTGACCTCTGCACCTTGAATTTAGAATACGCTCGCCCTTGTGTGTGGATTGTGGGGAGCCCGCCGTTGCTGCCTTGCATAGTGGCTAAATGGCTCTAGATCTATATGGTCGTGGAGGAAGGAGTGCGCCCCTGAGCGCTTCCCGACCTCAGCTAGCGACGCCGACGAACGACGTTCCCTGACCGGATTCATGCCGCCGGGACCAGTCTTCAATGCTGTTTGTGTCGCGTCTGCATTATCCAATATCCTCTCCAACGCGCTCCGCATTCGTGCCAGTCAATTAGCCTCGCAAACTGCCTCGCGGGCGACAGCGACACCTCGGAAACACAAACGCGACGTATCGGAGGCGGTACCAGAAGACGCAATCCAAAGGCATGGCCACCTCCCAGGCGACACGTTCAAGGTAGTCCAAATTGCAGTAGAAGATGCGATGTCTTCTGTGCCACCCCAAACGAGCAACGTCGCACAGGAAGTGGAAAATAGCGTACGCATATACTTCAGTTTCGAATCAAATACATGCGGATAGTTTCTAGGTAGCGCAGCAGCCTCAGACAAACGGGGACCACATTTCTGGCGTTGTGGTGGATAGTGAAAGCACTACAGCAGAGCAGACGCCAGTCGTTTCCGAACCAGTTGCAGTAATTCAGCCTCAGACCTTGCCCCCCGTCCTTGACGAGGTACGAGATTGAAATATTGAATTTACCTTTCGTGACACAACACTCGGACTGGCAGAAAGACTTCAGTGTCGACGGCACATTGCAGGGCAAGTCGTTGTCGGGGAATGAGTCAAATCAGAGTGCGGTGGTCGACGCCCACCCTGTTGACGAGGTGAGCATAGTGCAAGGTCCCATTCTTCCGTCTCAAGACAGTCTCCAGACCACCTCAGAGATAGCAACCGAGACCGTGATCCCGACGCGTAAATTACGCGCGTCAACGGTCCCTTCATCGCGTATCGGACGGCTGTTTCACTACGGAGGCAAGTCGATCATCTCTCCACGTCTTTGACATGCGTACTCACTGTGCGACGCGTATATCAGGTTTAGCCGCATCGCTCGGGTACGGAGCTGCCTCAGAGATTCTCCAGCGCAGCACCGGCATGTCCTCGCAGTCGTCATCCCCGGTTATGATGACGGAGGCCAACATCCATCGATTGGTGTCTAAACTCCTGAAAATGCGTGGCGCAGCACTCAAATTGGGCCAGTTCATGAGCATTCAAGGTCAGAACGTCGTTCGTATCTCCGGCTTATCCGCTCAGTATTCGTTAAATAGACACGCATGTCCTGCCACCTGCTGTCGATAGGATCTTCAGGATGGTTCAAGACAGCGCCCACTATATGCCTGACTGGCAGATGGAGGTTTGTTTCCTGTATCAGTATCTTTGTTACGCATCTGAACGGCCTCAACTTAGAAAGTCCTTTCAACATCTCTGGGAGCAGACTGGCCCTCATACTTCGATTCATTTGACCGCATCCCCTTTGCTGCCGCTTCTATCGGACAGGTCCACCGAGCAGTCCTCTCCGCATCCCACTCACCCACAGGCCGCGCGGAAGACGTCGCGGTCAAAATTCAATTCCCTAAAATTGTTGACTCTATAGAAAGTGATCTGGGGTACATCAAGATGCTCTTGACTGCGAGCAGTCTGCTGCCCAAGGGCCTATTTCTCGATAGAACTATTGACGTGATGAAGGGAGAGCTCGCGGATGAGTGTAGTTACATCCGTGAAGCGTCTTTCCTTCGCAAGTTTGGATCTCCTGACTTCCTGGGAAATGATCCCCGGTTCAAAGTCCCTTGGGTGTGGGAGGGGAGCACGGACGAGGTCCTTGTGATGGAGAGGGTTCGCGGTGTGAATATTGGTGAGATCACCCATCAGAACGCAACCAAAAAGCTCAGTCAAGAGGAAAGGAACGACGTGAGTCAGCGGCCGACATGTGCTCGGTCCTTTCTGACACTGTTCAACCAGATTGCCAGCAGCATCCTTCAGCTCTGTCTTCGTGAGCTCTTTGACTTCAGATTGATGCAGACGGACCCAAACTGGACGAATTTCCTCTGGAATGCGCAGACGCGACAGGTGCGTTCGAGTATTCCACGTTAATTTCCCCACTCTGACTTCGGGGTACGTAGATCGAGTTGGTTGATTTCGGTGCAACTCGTGAATACACGAAAGAGTTCATGGACAACTGGCTCCGTCTCCTCCAATCAGCTATATCCGAGGACCGAACTAGTTGTATAGAATGGAGTATCAAGCTGGGATACCTGACCGGGCAAGAAACCGACGTACGCACCCTCTCCATTCGTATCATCATTTGATGACATTGACGAGTACGCGTAAAAATAGATAATGTTTGATGCACATGTCGCATCCATGACACTGCTTGCCACGCCTTTCCGACCGACCACAACACAGCCATTTGCCTTTGGACCAGGGTCGGCCTGGGCGGACATAACCGCCAAAACCAGAGAACAGATACCCATCATGCTCAATCACAGATTGACACCTCCGCCGAGGGAGACGTACAGCTTGAATCGGTAAGCAGAGGCAGTGTTGTCCAAGAGAACGTTGACGAGCGTATAACCATAGTAAATTGAGCGGATCATTCCTCCTTGCGTCGAGGCTGGGGGCGAGATTTGATACTAGGACGCTGTGGGACACCATCGTCGGCCGGTATCAGTTCTCGACATAAATTCCAATCATAATCCGAGTACGATATATTAGCTACTACTTGCTAAGTTAGGCATGAAGTGAGACCTAGCCTCTAATTCTAATTCAGAACTCCACTCTAGATGCATTGTCATGAGTAACTAAAATTGTCATGTCCTGAAGATCGTGAGGCATGAAAGGCGTCAGTCCTTCTTCTCCGCCCTCTTTTCTTCCCTCTTAGCGTAGATCATGTCCGTGAAGGGCCTTGAGAGGAGATTCAGCTTGGTAAAGAGTAGAAACACGTCAATGCGAAGGCACGTACCCTTCAAAGCGAAGAGCGATGATATACCCGATGTACACATACAGAGTAATGAGTAGACCAGCAGGTCGTTCATACCTAAATGTATGTCAGTGGATGTTACCGAGGGAACGCCTGTTCAACTGACCAAAGAGCACCGGCAGCGAAGCTAAGAGTGCTCCCGACGTACATTGGGTCCCTTAGGACGTTGAAAGGGAACCTAGATAACGGGGGATCAATCATTTATCATCATAAGAAATATGTGAGAGAGAACACGCGTACCCTTCAACGCGATGGTCCATTAAAATACCAAAGTAATCACCCAAGAAAGTCCCAGTAACACCCAAGGCCCAAGTCGAAGTCACCACAAATATTTGGCCCATAACGAACATAACCGCCGGCACCAAAGTCGCGTACGGTTCAGGAAGCATGGCCACCTTGGGTTGTTCCTCTAATGCTTTATGGTACCTTCATGGATTCAACGCAAGTTACGGCTCAAAACGCTTATAGACCCTGGGGTTGTCTACTCACAATGAATCCCGAAGGATACCGAACGTGAATATCATGAATGCGAGGAAGTAACATCCCTTGTAGGGGTCGCCACCGAAGATTCGCGTGATTGTCTTGTTCCTGTACTCTGAGGAGAATAGCACAAGTTAGCATCCGCAATTTCAGACTGACATATACCGCAAGGAGTTCGCGACATCACAATAGGCTTACCGTGTCGGGCGACTATGTTCCATACTGTAGGATTGAACGCGATCGCAAACAATGACAAGTACAACGAAGGCTTCGAGGTGTCTAGGATATTGGATATCGAGTCCATGGCTCCAGTCCGTCAAGGAGAAAGGTCGTCGCAATAGGTTCTAAGAAAAAGTTGAAGCAAGGCCTTGCGGCCGCAACGTGACCGTGGCAATCATAGACAGGAGGAGCTGTCTCACCAGGGAAGTCCTACTTAGTCCCAGAACTTGTTTTTGTATTTTTATAGGTACATACCATACTAATACAATGTCGCATACTATGCATCTGTCCATTTTTGTTTGGAAGGATGTGTGTCTTGATTAGTAGGTTCTCGGTTGTAATGTGAAATACACTAAGAGTTATTGATCGTTCGGCATTCTGTGGGCGCCACAATCGTGATGGACTGCGATCGCGAATGCCTGAGTTTGACATATGCGCAGGCGCCCAACTTCGATAAATAAGGAAAGTTGCGTGGATGATTGGTGTTCCGGCCGCCTCGGGGTGTATTCAGGCAAACAAGACCAAAGAGAGTCACGCAAGATCTGAGATCTGCATTGGTTGGAACATTACTATAAATGCAGATAGCAGTGTTGTCAGAAATTCTCAACTTGAACATGGACTCCCTCGCCATCCCAAAGGCCCCGTCGAATGAGCTCAAACGCCAGAGTTTCCGTACTCTTTCCCTGCTCCAATCCATCCCAGAGTTGGCCAGCTGGCTTGAGGATGCGTGTGCTTGCCAACAGGCCGTCTCCAAGCGGGATACTTCTCTGTACGCATACAGCGTCGTTTGGCGGCTCGTTTCTTGGGCTGCCCCCCTCGGCGTACTTCTAGATATACTGGGCTCGCTGCCCTCCGGAAGCCACCACCCACTGGGTGCTGGCCCTCTCGCACTATTCGAAGACTTCATACAACGGGTACGACTCTTTGAACTCGAGGGCAAGCTGCCGTTCGGTGAGGTCCTGCGGCTAGAGGACCTTCTCGGATGCTCTTGCGCTGGCTTTTCCAGAATACTGCGTACCGTGGATCGCGTCTTGTTGGCGCTCCAAGCTTCGTTTCCTGGGTTGTATGTGTTGCAGAAGTCACAACCAAGGCACCGTCTACTTCAAGAGCTTCTAGCAAGCGAGCGCGTGCACTTGAGCATTGTAGAGTCAACCATAGTGCGTCATTAATTAACGGATTTCATATAGACTCGTTTACAGCTTCTTGACTAGGAGGGGAAGCCGTTGCCATGGAATCAACAAATAGAATGGACGGCCTCTTTCGAATGCCTTCTCGTCAACCTTTCACGATTTTCTGTGTACCATCACCATGTGACAAACAAGGTCGAGGAAACTGTATCTCAGGGGACTGGTCCTCAGCAATGGGACGAAATCTTTGCTATCAACGTGCGTGTTTATTCTTTCATAATTTAGTCAAATTGCGCTCACGTACACTTCTCAGACCCCACTGTACACCAAAGTAGCAGCAGCATACCGTTCGTGTTGCTCTGATTATCTCAATCTATATGAGCAACTGGAAGGCAGAACCGCCGGACGAGATGCGAGTCCCCCCCCAGTTCTTTTCGTATACAACTCGTGACATTAACCCATCGTTCGTAGTTTACTCATATATTTGCAATCCAAGATGCACTTTCTATCATTCTTTCTCGCATCTCAAGCTACGTGATTGTTCTTCAAGTAAGTAGCTGATTAATTCCTGCCGCTCCCGCAATCACCCTAACTCAACTGCCAACAGGACATCCTATTCACCACCAACCCTTCAGAGTCCTCCGCGCAATTCGACTCGCTGTGCTCAACCATATTTCAGTTCGTACTTCTCTCCGATGACCTGTACGAGCTAGGCACCTCCGCACGAACGTCTTTCGCTTCTTCCAAACTCAGAAAACGCGCGTTCAAGTGGAACAAGATTGATCCAGGGGACCTTGGTATTCTTCTCCTCGATGACCACCTCTGTACAGGGTCTTCAGGAGAGCAGCTGTCTGTATTCCTATTCGAGAAGATGCTCCTGTGTTGTAGCCAGATTTCAAACGAACAGGAGAGTTCTCAGGTGGCACTCATGGCGTTTGACTCCTACCCAATCGCCGACTGGGAGATCGGGCCCGCCCTCAGGAGCAATACTTTGCTGAACCTGATCCACGCCATACCCATCGATCACATTTTGGCTCTTCGGTGTTTCGAACATGGTATGTCCCCGAATCCACAATCCACCCGATAAATAAATTGATCTCAGCGATCTGGACTTGTAGATTCGTTCGAACTGGATTGGCACGATGGCCAAGGCGGTCGCACGAAAGGGTTGATTTTCTGTCGGCTGAGTCAGGAGCAGTGCGACCAGTGGTGCGAAACCCTTCGACCATTTACGACCCAGTATTACCGCTCTCCCGACCTCGACTCAGGGCGCGGCCACTGTATTCCACTCAGCTCCCCGTTACCAGTGCATCATCAAAGCCAAAGTGCGTTGTACCTCTGTCGCGTTTTCTTTAGGCGTCCTATAGCCAATCCTAAGCTGACTTACTACGATGTAGTTGTTGTGGGGAGATCGGCTAGGCCGCGTTCGTGGAGTGTCATAGGGAGGAAGGGGCCTCGCTCCGATACCTCTTCGTTCCAGCAAGAGAAGACAGAGTACCTCTTGAGCCCAAATTTACTACCGAGACTCTTCAGCACTTCATCAGATGGTTTGTTGAGCCCAAGATCGAACAAATCTTCGAGCAAGAGCGACCGGTATGTCCACAGGGTGCTGGTACAGGATATTAGGACTATGACAACAGAAGGTAGGACATGTCCTGCTGAGGCAATGATACATGGCGATGCTAAACGACATCTTCGCCCGTTAGACAAGCGTGAATCTGCCGGTTCGAATTCTCCTCCGGATCTGACAGGTCAGATCGAGAAGGAGGCGGCATATCCCTCTGCTGGAGGCGGGTTCGCTGATGTATGGAAGGGTACTTGGAATGTCGGCAATGGTTCACAGGATAAAATGAAGGCAAGCCCTTTCGAACTATCGATGTCTCTTCCAAACTGATGACATGTACATCGTAGGTTGCCGTGAAAGTCTTGAGGTCACGCATCGAAGACGTTGACCGCGAGGAGCGAATGAAACGGGTAAGCATCGGCTCTAGGCTACCAACCATTTCGCTGAACCTGCGTCTTTGCCATAGCTATTTCATCGGGAACTTGATCTGTGGAAGAGGCTTGATCATAAGAACATCATCCCGTTGCTGGGCACGGCATCAGATTTCGGGTATTACAGCGCCATGGTATGCCCGTGGTATGAATACGGGAGTGTAAGCAAGTACTTGGAGAAGTACGGCGATATCTTGTCAATGACTGACCGCATTCGATTGGTGAGTCAGACATGCCCCACATAGTCGATGAGATGATTCAACATTGCTGTGTCACAGTTGTGCCAAGTAGCATCAGGATTGTCGTATCGTAAGTTCTACCCCCCACAGGTACATACCGCCCAAAAAATCTAAACCTGCGCATAGTACATTCGTTCGGGATCGTACATGGCGATCTCACAGGAGTAAGCATCTTCAGCTCTTCCACAGTCGTATACCTGGACTCACTCTACGAAGTCAAACATTCTAATCAACGACGAAGGCGACGCATGCCTCTGTGACTTCGGACTATCCAGCATAGCCTCTGAGTTCCAAGACTCCCCAACCACCTTGGGCGTCGCAGGCTCCGTTCGGTGGGCAGATGCCAGGCTCACCCTCGCGGCCTTTTCCGACGGCGAGACGCCGACTGTGACGACCTGTAATGACATTTACTCTTTCGGCAGTGTCATGCTGGAGGTGAGCAATCATCCTTGGCGTTATTTCGATCGTGCACCCTAAGCACCCTGTGGTAGATCCTCTCCGGCCGCATACCCTACCATTACATTCGCGCGGACGCACAAGTTGTCATCGAATTGCACAAAGGCAACAAACCTCGAAGACCGTCAGATTCCTTCGTCACTAGTGCTCAATGGCAATTCATCCAGCGCTGCTGGGGCGATGAACTGGAAGAAAGGCCCCGCATTGAAGAGGTCTGCGTGGCAATGAAGGAGTTCCACCGGCATTGTCTGGAACATCGTCGTTATACCACATGAACGGGAGAGCCGCGAAGTTGCAGACCTACATGCACGGCCAAGGACGCTCCTTGCGAGTAGCAGCAGATTGCTGCCTACCGGCTGCAAGTCGAACATCGCCGTTAGAAGACAAACGCGCGGACACGACTTCAAGCACGCTTAGTCCTCCACCCTGGACAATACATTACTCTCCACGTAATTGCAACGAACGACATCGAAGGTCGCTGCGGATCCAAACGATATAATTATACGAACAATGGGGACGCTATAGTCACAAATATCAATCATACATGCCACACCAAATACAAAGGGGCCCTAGGGGTCCTATCCAAGTCATCATCGTGCTCACAACCTCTTGAGAGCCTTTTTGCGCTTCTCCGCACCGGTGGCAGCAGAAGATGCAGCAGCCCGCTTGACAGCTTTAGTGTGTGAGGGAAGAGCAGCTTCACCGGGGGTAGCCGAAGAAGATTTTACAGCCGCTGCGGCTCCACCAACTACGTTCGCGTCTGCTGTGCTCAGTGGCGAGGGTGATACATGTCGCTCCTTGTCCTTCGAGCCATCCTTATCGGGGCCTAGGGATTTACGAGCATTTTGCGACTCGTTATGTGTCGGCGGTGCCGGTGAAGACTTGCGAGCAATCGGTGCCACTGCGAGGGGGAGCGAGAATATAGGGCCTGTGGGAAGCGGGGTAATGACAGATGTAGGCAGTGTTGACGAAGACGCGACAGGATTCGCGGATGTATCTTTGCTTGACGCATCGTTGAACTCAACAGGCTTCGCTCGTGCATGAACACTTGTAATCAGCTTAGCACGATTACAGTAGCTCTTGTAGTCTTCTAGTAGGAGCTTGCCTGCTTCTTCGTCCAAGGCTGATTCAGGGTTGGGATATATAAGTAGACATTTCACGGTCAGCAAAATGTGACCAATGCCGTATTCAGATTTCCAGTCCTTCTTGAGCGTGTTAACACAGATCTCCCCGGCGGTGGAGACGTTAGGGTGGAATATCTTGGTGGCGAACCAACCTTAACACGCGTGTAAGCTCAGCCACGACACCGCGTAGAGAGAAAGGACGTACATTTTGGCGGCGCAGCAGGGAATTCCTCGGTGAACTGAAACTTGACTTTGAAGTAGCCGTCAGCGTACGGCGTACCCTCTGAACATTACGCCGGGAACATCGGTCAGCCACTGGTGCTACGGAAGTGTGACGGGCGACCTCACCTGGTCCTTCTATAATTCCGGTCACATCTAACATATTATCTTCGCTTGTTTGCACACGAATTCCTTCGGGGGGAGATTTCTTGAGCTCGGTGAGCTCACGCATCAGTCGGCGCATCACCATTGGTTGAACGGACTGCGGAAACCGCGTTAGCAATGACTCTCGGAAATGCTCGCATGTAAGGGTCGTACCATGGTCGTAAAATTGAAGAATGGCGGCGGGGTAGATGGATGGCGTTTGAGGTCAAGTTGAAGATGAGAAATGTTCGAGGAGGCGACATTTAACCCCCGCTGTCGTGTGTGCAAACATCACGTGATCATCGGCCTCGCACTCATCGGCCCTGCTTCAACTTGGCCACAACCTTCTTTTGGCGAACAATGAGAGGGGAGCCAGGGGGTCTGCTCAGGCAGAGGCCCGTAGGAAATGCGACACAATAGGACGAAGATTCGGAGGACTCGGAGACTTGACCTGCATCTCATCATACGCCACCCACGTGTGTCTCACATGGATCCACAGTGAGAAACTCTCACAACTTTGCAGTGCACCAAGGCCAACTGATGGATCTTGGATTAAAGGATGTGCATATCCTGGTCACCGGCAGGTCTATTCACCATTCATGCACAATGCTGAATGTCTAAATGGTGGATTGCTTCTAGGTGCCAGTGGTGGAATAGGTATGTCGTCCGACATTTCTACTGGTGTACTTCAATGCTAAGGAGTTTGCTGAATGAAGGCCTCCAGACCGTTCGCACATATGCTGGTACCGGATGGTTCACGAATAACTGTTTACCCAAGTTCATGCTATCTCATAGAACATGGAGCCAAAGTTACAGCGCATTACAATACCAACATTTCCCCACTTCATGACTTGGTTGAAGCTTTCGGATCCGCCAGCGTGCGTGCCATCCAAGCAGACCTTACGAACGAGAGCAGTGTATTCCACATGTTCTCCCAGCATGAGGGCCAGCCCGATTTCGGACCCGTTCAGATCGTCGTCATAAATCATGGCATCTGGCCCACCGCTGATGAACCCATCGCCGTGATGTCTTTGGATCGATGGAATCATATAATCAGTACCAATCTGACGTCGTCATTTTTGGTGGCCAGAGAGTACCTGAAGCAGTTGTCTCTGGCTCCCGAAGAGCTCAGGGCGAAGGCGAACATAGTGTTTATCGGGAGCACTGCGGGGAAGTACGGCGAGGCTGGCCATGCCGATTATGCTGCTACGAAAAGCGGTGAGTCATATGTTCGTTTAACCCTTGACGAGTTGGCTGAGTGGAGCTTGCGTGACTGAAGCTATGATGTACGGCCTGACTTTGTCACTCAAGAACGAGATCGTGAAGATCGCACCGAAAGGAAGGGTAAATTGTATAGCCCCTGGTTGGGTAAAGACGCCTATGGCCGAAGAAACCCTTCGAGATACGGCTTTTGTCCAACGTGCACTCGCTACGTACACAATCGTGCATCTCGTTTGCCATTCGCCTTCACTGACTTGGTGCGTACTCAGAACGCCTTTGAAGAAAGTAGCCGAAGCGAGAGATATCGCCAATCAAATCGCGCTCATCTCGTCACCTACTCTCTCAGGTCATGTCTCCGGCCAGGTCCTCATGGTGGACGGTGGGATGGAAGGCAGATTACTCAATGTACCATCAGACTTCTAGTATGGGTAATGTATTTTCTTCTCCTGTCCTCATCACAATAGCTCCTTACGCCAGCTGGTTTATAAACAAATTGATCAGGCGGGAGAAGTATCCCTCCTTACAGCCCATCCGTGTCAGTGAATATCATCGGCCTTCCGAACCCGTTCTGTTTCCCCCGCCAGACACGCTTGACCACGCTGGTTTTGATCGCCTGACGCCTTCTTCGCCGTCCTTCTCTCACACGCGCTGTTGCTAAAGTAAGCTCTTCCATATGCTCCGGGCCTCTGGTCGTCGAACATACGAGTCTACGCCTGTCACGTGTGGTAAATACGAACCGTCGCTCTCGCGCACACAAATGTTCTGATGCTGATGGAAGCCGTGTGTCGTAAGAAATGTGGGATAAATACCCCTCATAGATGCCCAACGGTGCTTTCAGTTGATTAGCCACGCCCATTGGTATACCTCTTCACATACACTGTTGCGTCTTAAATGATGGTGCCATATTTTGGGGAAGTTTGTAACTGAAATAGCGTTGATGGGACGCCGACTTTCTGATGATTTTATGGTGTAACGTAAGCGTCATTAAACACTGTTGCGTAGGCGTGCTGCTGGCAGACAGGCGTATTGCTACATGCATGGTCAGGTAGCGGAAGATCCATGCGCCATCCCCAGTGGCAGAATCAGCAGGCAATTGTGGCTAGATATTGTGGCTGGAAGTTAGAATACGGGGAGGTACTCTGGGGCAGGGTCGACTGAGTGATCGGCTTCGGAAGTATGTAGATTTCCACGTGACATGGACATAGAAGCGAGAGAAGCATCGGCCTAGTCGCTTACAAGTAGTTCCAAATCCATGCCTTCTCCAATTCTCGACCTTGCTCTGCACCACCATCTTCAACCATGGCCCTCCGCGCGAACTTTCGCGCACTGCTGGCGCTCGTTCTCGCAGTCGGTGCAGCGGCTCAGGATGCGCCAGCGTCGGCCTCCGCGTCCATCGTGGACTTCAGCTCCAGCGCAGTTCTGTCGACCACGAGCTCGGTCGGAATTTCCATCTCTGTGCCAGCCAGCAGCACTTCTTCTTTCCCTGGCAGCATAACGTCGAGTGCACCTGTCCCTTCAAGTACCAGTGCCCCAACTTTGTCTAGTAGCTCCCCCGCTTCTAGCGCCTCGAGCATCTCCAGTGTCTCGAGTGTTTTGAGTTCCGGGTCTACTGCGTCGTCATCCTTGGTGACTTCGCTCCCTAGAACTTCCTCAACGTCCAGCGTCGGAGTGTTCTCCCCATTCCCAACGCCGTCCCAAGCCCCAGTGCGGGGCGTCTTCGAGGTCACGGACCCGAGCCGACCACCACCTGTGGATTCGCCCATAATCCCTGATTTCAATCCAGCATGGGCGGAGGCATATGCGAAAGCGCGAACTCTCGTGAGTAGCTTTCGCTTATTTTGACACCGTTCCACATGCTAAACCCCCATCAAGATCGCAAACTTCTCAATCGAAGAGAAGGTCAACGTTACCACGGGCGTCGGCTGGATGAACGGTCTTTGTGTAGGGAATATCCCGCCGGTGCAGAATTGGCCGGGCTTGTGTTTAGAGGACTCGCCTCTGGGAGTTCGGTTTGGTGATTTCTCAACCGCATTCCCGACGGCGATCAATGCCGCTGCAACATGGAATCGGCGCCTCATCCGTCTCAGAGGTTTGTTCATGGGGCAAGAACATGTTGGGAAGGGTGTCAACGTTGCGTTGGGCCCAATGATGAACATGGGTAGAGTGGCTAATGGTGGAAGGAACTGGGAGGGCTTTGGTGCCGACCCTTTCTTGGCTGGCGAGGCTGCGTACGAAACTATCCTTGGTATGCAGGAAGCTGGTGTACAAGCTTGTGCGAAACATTTCATCAACAAGTGAGTTCAAAGTTCAAAACGCGTCAAGTGTGGAATACGACAATGATGCGGCCCTCTAGTGAGCAAGAGCACAAACGTACGGAATCAACATCTGACGTCGACGACCGCACGCAACATGAAATCTACGCGCATCCGTTCTTGAAGAGCGTCATGGCTGGCGTTGCCAGCGTGATGTGTTCCTACAGTAAGTCGGCCGAAACTTGACATCGCTCTCGTTGATGGCTTTTATCTCGTAGATCAAATCAACGGAACGTTTGCGTGCGAGAATGACAAGATGTTGAACGACGTACTGAAACGCGAGTTTGGATTCCAAGGCTGTAGGTAGCGTCTGGTTGGACCATTTCGGGGTAACATATCTTGGGACAGATGTCATGTCGGACTGGCAAGCTACACACTCTACCCACTCAGCTAACGATGGCCTTGATGTGCGCACTTTCGGTCCCCTTGACTTAGCTCAACGCTGACCACTTACATCTAGATGACCATGCCTGGCGACATCACATTTAACTCAGGGGACTCTTGGTTTGGTGGAAATCTCACCACATCCGTCAGGGATAATCAAACCCCTGAAGCTCGCCTTGATGACATGGTCAGCTTCTTCTCGGTCTACAATCATCGATACTCATTGGTTGTAGGCTACTCGCATTATCGCAGCCTGGTACCTCCTCAAGCAGCAAAGATCTGACTTCCCCACGCCAAACTTTGATGCATTCCGTCCCGACAACGAGCAGACGAACTTCCACATCGACGTGCAAGACGACCATGGTGACCTGGTAAGGGAGATGGGCGCCGCGAGCACCGTGTTGTTGAAGAATGTGAGGGGGGCCTTGCCCTTGAGGAAGCCGAGAAGTCTTGTACTGGTTGGTAGCGATGCTGGTCCTGGTGTGATCGGGCCGAATCACTTCTCTGATCAAGTGCGTCATATTTCATGTTGTGTTGCATCAAATCTGTGGCTCATTTGGACTCAGGGTGGCGTTGACGGCGTGTTGGCTATGGGTTGGGGATCTGGGTGAGCACGGATTTTTACTGGAGTCTGTTTGTATTGCTTAACAATGGTACCTTCCCAGTACTGCGAATTTCACATACCTCGTTTCGGTGCGTATGGTACTCATCGTCGCTTGCCTGGCATGTAAATGACGTCGCGAACTAGCCCTACGAAGCAATCTCAGCTCGCGCACGCAAGGACCATACAACGCTCTCATGGATATTCGACGACTTTAACCTCGCTCGCGCTGGGAACATGGCCATCGGAAGGAGTGCTGCCCTTGTTTTCCTTAACTCAGACTCTGGCGAAGGATACATCACTGTTGACGGCAACGAGGGCGATAGACGCAACTTAACGGCCTGGCACGGCGGAGACAACCTCGTCAACGCAGTGGCGGCTCAGAATAACAACACCATCGTAGTGGTGCACAGTGTAGGGCCGCTGATTCTGGAGCCATGGATCGAACACCCTAACGTCACTGCAGTACGTGGCCTCTCGGACGCGACTTCGTATTCCGTATTGATTTGTAATTCGAATCCAGGTTGTTTGGGCTGGCGTGTCTGGCACTGAAACCGGTAATGCATTGGTAGACATTCTCTACGGAGCGTGGAATCCTTCCGGCCGCCTACCGTACACCATCGCAAAACGACCAGAAGACTACCCTGCGCAGCTAGTCCTTGGTGGCGGAGGAGCAGAGAACATCATACCTATACCTTATACGGAGGGCTTGGAAATTGATTACAGGCACTTCGATGCGGTATGTAATCATGCTAAATTCCTCCTAGCTAGGCTGACCGATACCTCGGGCTAGAAAAACATCACCCCGCGTTTCGAATTCGGCTTCGGTCTGAGTTATACCACTTTTGAGTACAGCAACTTGAAGGTGTCGAAGATCGACAGCCCCGACCACGTTCAAAGTGATCTCGAACGCGCTTGGGCGGCTGGGAAAGCGAGTCCGCACGGACAAGGCTCGTCAACGGCGTTGTACTTGCACCGGCCTGCGTTCCGGGTTACTTTCGACGTGAAGAACACCGGAAAGCTTTTCGGAGGCGACGTGCGTTGATTCGTTTCTTTGAACAATCATTGTATATTGATGTCGCCTCCTAGATTCCTCAACTCTACGTCAATATGCCTGCGTCCTCGGGTGAACCACCTTCCATACTCAAGGGCTTCACTAACATTGAGCTGTCGCCAAACGAGAGGCGGACGGTCACGATCAACTTGTCGAGATACGATCTATCTATATGGGACACTGCTGCCCAAGGATGGGCGAAACCAGCCGGTAGAATTTCGATTACCGTTGGAGCAAGCAGTAGAGATGCGAGGTTGCACGGTCGGATACCCCTTTGATTGGCGAGAACACCATGATGCTTTTGGTGGACTTTTTTGAACTGGACTCTTTGCTTTGCTGCTTGCTGCTTGTAGATCCAACCACGAAAAGGTTGGATTGTGTTGTCTTTCAGTACTATCTGTATCTATGAACATTTGAACCTTTGAAAGCCTTTGAGCACATTGGAGAAACAGGGGAAGCCCCTGAATTCAGGATCAAGATATTAACCTTTTGTTAAGTCGCGTCGCGTGGCGCGTGACAGTCTTTCATCGACGTTCACTGAGACAGTTCCCCTCAGTCGTCGATCATCATGCGCTCCAGCATCCTCGACGCGCTTGATAGATCCATGGCTCTGCCTTCGGCAGTCGTCATCCCCTCAGACGACGACGACGAAGGGCCCAACGATGCTGCGATGGACGCGACGAGCCCAGGTTCACCAGGTACGTTTAGACTTTTCGGCAAAATCCAGCTCTTGGGAATCACGTCGGTTATTCAGCGCCAACGACGTTCTCATTGTCTCAGGTTCTCACTGGCACGTCTTCTCCATCGAAGTCGCCTGCGGCCCTATTGCGTACCGGTGGAATTGCTGGGGGCTTTCACCTCAATTATGACCAAGAAACCCCGCTGAGAAGTGTCGATGTCGGAGGGGAAGACCAACAACAGAAGTACGAGGTATTCGGCTCCGTCGTATCCTATCATTTACATATCCTGGCGCCCTAGGCTAGCCGAGTTTGTGACGAATGCGATAGACAATCTCAGCCATGGAATCACTGTTCGAGATGCTATGAAAGATCTCGGTCTACGAGAGTGAGTTTCACTACCAATATGATGATACCTCATTCTTGATCTTTGTTTCTCCAGTAAGACTGATTTCCTCCCTGGCCTCGATGTACGGCTTCTGCCTCATCAAGTCATTGGTGTCAGTTGGTAGGGTCCGATATGATGGCCGTTAATATCACATACTCACAGGCAAGTAGGATGGTCGCTCAAGAATCAAGCACCCGTAGAGGAGGCATATTAGCGTCGGTTGATTCGATGGTGGACATCTACTTGAACTGATTTCGTGTTACAGAGACGACATGGGGCTTGGGAAAACAGTCCAAATGATTGCCACGATGGTCATAAATCAGCCAGAACCAGACGCTGATTGCCGCGTGACCTTAGTCGTCGTACCCGCTGCACTCCTACAACAGGTTAGCAAATACACGCACACACTATATTTTAGCTAAACCTCACCTAGTGGAAAGACGAGATTGATACGAAAACTAACGGAATCTTCGAAACGCATGTACACCACGGAAAAGATAAGATAAAGAAGCTTTCCGAGCTTCAGTCGAAGGATGTTAGTGACTAGCTATGTTTCCGATCGTTATAATTAATCTGAAGCCCGTTGTCCACAGGTGATAATTACTTCCTATCCGACTTTATGTCAAGACTTTTGGCTTCCGAAAGATCTGGAACCAGGAGAAGAGGCTGAATACCTAGCCAAAGAAGGGTGATAATCTTTGTCTTCCCATGCCCCACCCGTATTTACCTTGCAATTTGTAGGGGCATACTTGCGAGAGCGAAATTCTTCCGCGTTGTAGCGGACGAAGCCCAGTTCATTCGCAACCGGTGGGAAAGAATTGATACAATACAACGCCTTGTCTAGCTGACTGATAAAATCTTTAGATCTACACGTGCAAGCACAAGTTTGGCCTATATTCGTTCGATTTATAGATGGATGTTGACTGGAACGCCAGTCACCAACACCCTGTGAGCACCCTCTGCGTATTATCCAGTGCCTTGTGTTCACCTCTATGTGTACAGCGCAGATATTTATGGTTTACTACGATTCGGGCGATTCCGACCATGGAATGATTGGAACGACTTCAATGCGTATGTCGCGAAAGTTCAATACGAAGACGCCCCTCTGGCAGGTCGGTGAGAAGTAGCAGAATTGATTGCGCCATGTCTCACTCCATCAATCCGTTAGGCCAACGTGCCCAAGCCATACTCGAACCTCTAATACTACGTCGCACGAAGAACTCGACTTTAGTAAGTGTCTTTTACACGTCTTCCTCCAACTTATTGAGTCTTGCGTGTCACAGGAAGGCGAGCCCATCCTTCAGCTACCACCAAAGGACATAGAACTATGCATGCTTGAATTCTCAGAGGAAGAACGAGATGTACGTTATTGCGTGACTTTAGTTGTTCGCTCATAATCATCGCGGCTTTCGCAGTTATATGACTCCTTCGAGAAACGTTCGAAGATTAGATTGAGTAAGTTCATAAAGGAGCGCACGCTAGTCAAGAAGTACGTAGTCTACCATCTCAGGGTGGATCACTGGTTCATAATTAACCTTGTTAGCCACGCTGTAGTTTTAGTTATGATCCTCCGCCTTAGACAGTTGTGCTGCCATCCCAACCTCATACTGGTGAGCCCGTTACATTTGCTTACTACACACATTAGGTTCATTTACGATACCGCAGCGGGATACAGATGACTTCGAAGATCCGACTTTGCTAATGGCGGGCGACGGTGAAAAGGAATTAAGCAGAGCCATCAAATTTATGGGTAAATCTTGGGTCAATGACGTGAGTTAGGGGCTTTTCTACGTGCGTTCTCCAGCTGATCAGGTCTACTTGCTCAGGTCAAGAAACAGTGGGCATCAGCTGGCTCGTTTTGGGTGGAACCCTGAGTGACGTTGTAACAGGTTCTTGGAGCGCTCTGCTGCGAGCGAGCTGATCGATTTCGCGGACTTGATCGCGGAAGGGAACGACACTTGCCCAGTTTGTCATGATCGTATGTTGTTTCAATTACTCGTCTTGTACGATGTTGACGGTTTACAGTATACGCGAATGGTAGCGGACGCATTATCGAGTGCGGCCACGAGCTATGCTTTGGTATGATTCCTTTATTCATCAATGTATTGGTTTGTTCAAGAACGATAGATTGCTTGCTGGAACTGAGTAATGCGGCCGTTGCACATGACGGAATCTTGTAAGCTACTCTATTCTACTCATCGATAGCTACATTCTCATATGGCGTGTAGCGGCTACGGTTCCGAAAAGCAGAACATGGAGGTGGAACGAGCGTATGAAGAGGCCGCAACGAAGGGCCTCCGACCCTGTGAGCTGACCTAATAATACCTTACTTCATTGTCACTGAGATGCTGTAGGCCCAACTTGCAAGAAGATGTGTGACTTCAATGCCACAAACAAAGTATTCAAATCAATCGCTTTTGAGCCCTCCGACGAGGAATTAACGGCATATGCTAATGCCCATCGCCGAGGGTCGAGACGGCATCAGGTCAAATACGAGATTAAGGATGAAGATGACGAAGACAACATGGATGTTGACGTCGACATCAGCGAGTCATCGCCGACGCCGAATAAGATCGAGGAACTATCGGAGGATGAGTTGCCTGACGCCTCCTCCATCTTTGCCCCTAAGGCAAAACGCGCCAAAATAAGTGATGTAAGTCCAATTGACATACGTTTGTAGCAGTGTCATTGACGATAGGTACAGGATGGCGACAGTTTGAATCTATCCATGGATCGTATACGGAAAGCCCCTGCAAGAAGGATGACAGGCAGTCGGCGGTCCTCTGGTGTGGGGCCTTCACTCGAGACCAAGGTCAAACCCAAACGTAAATTTGATGACGGTCCGTCGGACGAAGTCATTGCGACGTGGCGTAAAGGCGACGACAACTTAGAAGCTAGTACGAAAATGCTGGCGCTGGTCGATCTGCTTAAGAAGAGTGGCGACGATAAGACTATATGTTACTCTCAATGTAAGTCGGCCCTCTTCTCTTCATCTAAAGCAGGGGTTGACCACATTACCTAGGGACTACCATGCTTGATTTGATTGATAAATTATTCTCGCGACATGGCATACAGTGTCTTCGATACGACGGCCGGATGGATCGACCTTCCCGAGAGGCTGCGCTTACTAACTTTAAACGACCTGGAGGTCCCAAGGTCATTCTGGTCAGGTAAGGTGACGGCGTGCTGAATAGATGGTGATTTTGACTCACCATGTCTTCATCTTAGTACAAGATGTGGTGGTGTTGGGTACGAGAATGTTGGCCTCCCTGCGTGTTCCATATTAACCCATTCTTCCAGGCTTAATCTTGTGGTTGCCAATCGTGTCATCAAGTAAGTTAGTCTGCCCGAACGTTTGGATATTGGGCCTGATCCTCTGCAGCATGGATTTATCATGGAATTATGCTGCTGAATCGCAGGCGTACGATCGCGTGCACCGTCTGGGGCAGGAGAAGGATGTTTTCGTGAAGCGACTTGTTGTGAGGGATACAATTGAAGAACGGTAAGCACTTTGCCCGATCCCCTCTATCGGCGGCTAAGAGATCCTTAGGATGCTTAAGCTGCAAGACGTTAAGACTGGTAAGCTCTTAATGTATATTACTGTTTGAGTGATTGCATTCTGATGGGGCTCGTACATAGGTCTCGCTGAAGCCGCACTTGGCGAAGGCTCTGGAGGCAAATTACACAGGCTGAGTGTGAAGGATATCAAACATGTAGGTGCAGATCTTTGAGAGCATAGGCCTGGTACTCACAGACAGGCGAACAGCTCTTCGGCATGACTACTAGTAGTGCCACTCCTGCAGAAGACGAGCAACAGCAGAGGCTAGCTAACACAGCAGGACGAATGAGTTTGGAATAACTCTGTGTATAATACGATATACCTACAATATGGATCCGCGGGACGCGCCGGCGGTAGCTCGCTTCGAAGTGCTAGCCATGTATTCGATGTATATTCACATATTCACAAGGCACCTAGAGTATTATTTGCAGGATATCTACGAGCCTTGTCATCTAACCGGTATTGTAAATGTTTACCGCCTAGTTTAGCAACTCGTGAGTAATCGACACCCTCTGTGAGCATAATCCCATCAAGTTCTTTTACGCGTGATAAGGCAACAAATGTAAGGCCACATGAGAACTCCTTCTTCCCCAGACCGAGCTTAATGCGCGGTGAAGTAAGACCTTGAGATTTGTGAACGGTAACAGCCCAGGCAAGTCGAAGGGGTAATTGAGTACGCGAGCATTTCTTGCCTTGAAGTTCGAAGGTTGTCTTCAATGGGGTTATGGGCACAATTGGTACACCATCGGGGAAACCAGGGCGTGGTTCAGTGTGCCAGAGAGTCGGTCCAGTGTAGGCAGGGCAAGAGACAAGGGCAGCCAGGGGTAGGTCGGAGCGAGAAGAACCAGGTGCCCAGATGATGTCCTCGAGAATCCCAGTTGTAGCATTGACAAGCCCTAAGATTACCAGACATGAGTCCCGGATATAGGTAAAAGATAGGTGTTTGCATGAACCGTGAGCTTGCCAGATGTTTCTTGATACCATTACCTTTGCACCTTGAGCCAGTACGACTGAGGGTTCCAGACCACCAGCTTCATCAGATAGAGCTTTTGCTGCAGTAGGACCACCATCGTGGCGAGCAAGAATTCGAGCACAGGGTTTGTTCAATGCAACCAGTTCTGCCAAATTAAGATCCTGGACGTCGTTCCTAGTAGTATAAAGGCAAACTGCGTCTTTGAAAGTTTGCTTCGCCGCCAGATTAAGGTTATTTGCAGCCTGAGTATTGAGTAGTTGCCAGTCGTCCTGAGTTAAGCCACCAAGCGAAGCATGCTTGAGGAGATCCCGGAAACGCTGTTGAATGTTGGAGTTGCCTTGCTGCCGGTGGATAATCTGAAGCCTAAAGCTTTGAGTGAAGAGACAATACAGGGCGTGTCCATCACGGCTAAGGGAGCCATTGTCGGTTTCAGCAACAGATGGAGGGGAGTAGAGAGGGGTATCTCCGACTGGAGGTAATTGTGCAAAATCCCCCATGATTGCTACATTGAGGCCGCCAAAGGCAGTTGTTCCATTGGCGTGCAGTTGGCGAAGACAAGAGTCGACTTGAGCTAGTGTCCGAAGGCCAACCATGGATTTTTCGTCGATGATAACAAAATGTACACCCTTCCATTGAACCTGAAGGGTCGCAAGCCGTGAGCCAGTAAGGGGGGAGAATCCTTGGAGTGGGAGTGACAAAGATGAATGTAGAGTTCGCCCGTTGATGTTTAGCGCAGCAACTCCAGATGGAGCAAGTACACGAATAGGGTCTGCCTGGTTATGTTGACTCGCCATCGCTCGTAATTCTTGACAAATAGCCCTAATGAGGTAAGTTTTCCCGCAGCCTGCTGTACCATCTATATTCAACAAAACCTGCCCAACCGCCTCCCCAGCAAGAATCCGTGAGTAAGAGGCAATATATCCATCAAAGATTGCACGCTGCTCATCTTCTAACGTTGAGACGTCAATCAGTTCTTCATCGCCCATTTCGTTGTCGCCCATAGGTGTATCTCGTTTCTTCTCATCAATCCACGATGAAACTGATTCAATATCATTCCATCTTTGCCGGGAATTTTGAAGGTCCCATCCATCATCGATTGGCCGCCGTCCCAAATCAGAAACATCGAATTGGGGAATTGGCACATTTGGATGAAGATGCGCCCATGTCTGCCAGTCCTCCTCGGTCATGTCGGCAAGATCAGGATTGGGGACATCCTCGTCCTCCTCTTCATCCTCAATGTCACGGTTTTCTTCATCCCAGCACCGGAGAGTATCAGTAGGATGTAGGTGATTATGAGCTTGACACTCTGCAAATATTTCGGCCCATGTTTTCTCCTCTCCGTTTACAACCCTGATGTCATCTAGAGAGCGAAAAGGATGATGCAAGATGGCTTTTGTCCTACAATAATCTTCATAGCGGTCGTCTTCTGGATTTGGCGAATATCGTGGATAGGCGCGGACAACTACATGCGTTGAAATCTTTCGGCGACGCCATTCCGACTTCTGCCAAGTAAACTTCTGACAAACTTCATGAAGAGACATTGTGTCCATTGATGGTGGTCTTTCCATATACCTATACATAGTACGTGTGAGTGTCCATTGCGGGTGCCTCAAATCTGGTGCCACTAACCATTGAAAGAAAGATTTTCCCGTCACGGCCCTATCATGTCCAATAGCTTTGCCATTGTCAACTATGTCTTCTTCCCCCAGCTCGCGCATACTGCCCTCTGTACCAATGTACACCGGCTGAAATGCCGAAGACGTACGAACAAGCGGAGTACTCAGCATTAGATGGGCAGTCTCTTGCGCCGAGTAAGTTCGTTCTCCGAGCATCTTATTGAGCATCTTGTGACAAGCCGATTGCGCTGTTGCCTCGGGGTCTACTGTATTGACAATCCCAGACAGAAGTTCTGTAAATTCAGGTGCATCCTGTTCGGCCTTTGTTGCGTACTTAGCAATGTAGCTAAGGAAGGTAAGAGCATAAGTCGTTGCAAAGGACAAGCAGACTTACTTGATAGCAGCAGACTTGCTCAACACTGGTTTCAGGTCAATGTTAGCTCGCCACGCCAATATCATAGCTGGATTATGGAGATTAAGCAATGGGTCATTGCGGCGTGCCTCAAACCGAACCCGGCTTTTGGAATCCAAGCCCACACCTGCATCATGTCGGCAGGGTAATGGAAAGTCGAAGCGGCAGAAGATTTGAGGGTCAGGAGAGCCCTGCACCTTACGCTGCACCTGACAATACCCAGGCATGCATTTTGTATGTCGTTCAACCCAGTTCAGAAGGTTGGCCAAGTCTTCCTTCGTGTTCGAAGCCTCTTCGCGGCTCAGATTTGAGGGATGGCGACCAATCAGTGGAGTGTTTTCGTCTTCACGAGGGAAGGGGTTAGTTGCTGAGATGATGTCGCCCCAGAATGTTGTAAAGGTGCACATCTTCTCCTCTTGTTCGGGGGGTATCACGGTATCTGGCATCTTCAGGACATCCCAGTCGATCTCGTCTGCATTTGGAGCATCTTTCAACCACAAGAAACCATGAATATGGCCACTCCCCCGCTCTTGCCACTCGTATCGGTACCAGAAGTGCGCCACGCCAAGGAGAGGGATTAGGAAATGTTTCATGAATAGCTGTAGTCGTTTATCAAGGTATGCCGCTGCTACATATATGAGGGTTGTTGTTCAATGCAAGCGTGCGTTGGCGTCGTCCTGCCCGATCATCCCCAGCTGGCACTGGAATCTCCTCCGGCATGTGCCTGTGAAGGTCTGGCCACTGAAGGTCGGCTGCGCTCAAAGTGAAGAAGACGCTCGGACTACCCAGCACTTGAATCTTATCCATTAACTCCCGGCGTCGCGCAAGCCAGAAAGCTCGTGTACCCCGGAGTTTAGCACCATAGCGCAGCATCGTGTTGACAACTTGCTGATCCCCCTCATTAAGCAGGTCACGAATATCAGATGCCTTAAGCTGCGCGGCATCGTGCTGCTGTCTGACAAAGACTCTTGCCTGGCTGCGCGCTCGATGGCGCTGCAACGTGTTGAACGCAAACCAAGGAAACCGGCGATGGCGTGCAAAACGACCCCCTCGAAGGCGGAGTAAATGGGTGAAGTACTCTCCCAAATCAATCTTGCGCAGGTGTGGTTCATAAAAGTCACCTTCACCGTTGGGAAATAGGGTTGGAAATGCAAGTGTCATGTATCCGGCAGTTGTCTCGTTGATTGGCTCTGGGTTTATCCCTGGCGCATTGATCTGTGGTATAGAGGGTAAGTCAAGTCGACTAGAAATAAGTCGTGAAAGAAACCAACGATGTTTTGAGTGTACCGAGGGCCAGGTTCAATAACAGCATTTGCAATGTTCCGAATGGCATCGACCTCAATCTCCAGAGTATCACCCACGTTAAGAACTCCACCCACACCAACATCTCCATGTGTATCTCCTTCATCCTCCTGTACAACATCTGCTGCGGCATGTGGACCAACTCGAACGATGGAACTGGGATCTTGGCGGCCTTCCCGGCAGGTGGGAATACGGTGTGCAACGGAACCGTTTTCAGGCAAACTCGACAAGGCATCATTGTCAATTTCCAAGTCGGCGTACCCAGGATCATTCGCAACCTTGTATCGCAATGCTTCTGGGACTTTCTGGCGGCGAACGGTGAAGTCGATGTGCTGGGACATGTCAACATCCTCTCGTCGAATGATAACAAGATCAGTGTCTTCCGGCAACCGAGGCAATTTTGTCGCGATCTCTGTAATGTCCTGAGGAAAGTTGATGATGTGATCCTGGTAACACAGCTGGCGGCCTTTCGTATATCGGACTTGCATGTAAGTCTTCACCCTTGAAATCAACATATCCTCCATATCGGTGAGTCCTTTCAGGCATGCGGGGACATCATGGGCTAAATGAAATGAGAAATAGATGAGGTATCATAGGATTATTCGAACTGACATGGATGAACACGATTAGCAGCCGACCACTTCTTGACAGGTTCGCCTTTATCGTTGCGGCAAGACGAACAGGAGCCGTCAACGACGTGTAAGTCAAATCCTTCTTCCCAACAATTATCGCACGCCTCATACTGTACTGCGGCCAGTTTCTCGTTGAGGTCTTGGAGGAGTTTCGCCTCACGGGCATCCAGTGCACTGTCCGTTGGGAGGTCAATATCCATGAGGTCGGAACCGTCACCGAATACATCATCAAATTCATCGCCTGCAGCTGTTTCTATGCCATCGTCTTCCTCAACATTCAATACGCCGTCATCAATATCACCTTGAGCGTCAGCATCTCTTCGCTGCTGGGCTTGCAAACGGCGTCGTGTCAGACAATCCTGACAATTTGCACGGAGGATCCCTTCTGCACTCAGACACGCGTCAAGTGTAACACGGTGTTGCCCTATGACACACCAACGTTCACCTAGCGCTCTCACATCAGCTACGTCTAAATAAGATCAAAGAAAGATCACACCGAGCACGTCGGCATCCATCCGTTGACGGACATTCCGGGCAGCCTCTGCTTGGCGGCAAGTGATACACGTCTTGAAGAAGGAATCAAGGCTACGAGGCTTCGCGAAAAGGCGCCTCTTCTTGATACCGCGGCAACGAGTGCAGCGTTCCCTCTTGCGACAACGACGGCAACGCGCATATAAGATGTCGCCTGAGCTATTCAAGAACTCACTCCTCGGGAAACGATCTGTACATAGTTCACACGACTTCAGAAACGGGGGGACACGAATGGTCAAACGTTGGCGCTCATGTCGGCGCGTTTCGAGCAAAGACCTCTCCCCCGAACACGGGATACACATGTCGCGAGTCGAATCCCAGTGATTCCGAGTGCGGGGGAACACCTGGGAGCACGCATTGCAGATACCAGTAAGTCTCGGACGGCATGAAGGGAAGAAGTAAGATGTATTGAAAACACAACTACATGCACAGTAGGTAGCATATAGAGCTGCGACCTGTCTACGATGCGTCAATACACCAAAAGTCGTCCTCAAACCAAAGAAAAGGACGCACAACGTCAAAAATCCACCAAACGCGCCCGTTTTTTCGCGCAAATCAACGACGGCAAGCAAAATCTACACTTCCCATGATTCAGAATTGTGGAAAAGAGGCCAGTTCAGCCAGAAAAAAACACGACCGAGCCTCCAAAGTACGCAGAATTTGTTTGGCCTTGTTTGCACGGGCCTTGAACCCTTTAGAGCATGATTGCTCGCTACGCTCGCAATAATTTATACGGTAGAGACTCTTATACCTTCCGTGTCAGCCGCTAGGCTGTACCCATTCTGTAGTGTTCTTTTATCATACCACTCGTACTGTATTTTTCTATCAAAGTAGCCTGTCCAAACAACCGTAAACTCTTGTTGTCACGTTGTTGACCAATCTCACAATCGACCACAACGACAAGGCCTTGCAGTACCTCCCATCTGACCCAGTTATCGCAACTAGTGACGCGATGAACCTATGATGAAGCACAGTGGATACTTGTCGATGGAGGCGCTTGTAACCAGGGTCAAATATTCGCCTCGTGTGAGTCGTGGCTGAATCATGAGACCTCTTCAGCGCTTCAGCGTTGATTTCCAGATTAAAGATTTCCAGATCTTCGGGGTTCGGGAAGGTCAATGGAACCGAAATGGTTACAAAACACGAAGACCGTATGCCAGGAGGTCTTCTCCAGTCGAAATTGAAGTAGGACGTAAATAAGATTTCTCTTCGCTTGGATTCGCGCGAAGAACTTGATTGCAACACCACATCATAGACGCTGGAGGTGACATGCAACATCGATTGTTCGACGAATATTAACTGGATCTGGAATTTGTGGTCATTCAGTGTTTCTGATGGCCGCATGGAACCATGGAACGCGCGCCTACCTATCACTGCTTTTGAGTCGACGACGACAAGAGCCCCATCCTCCGCCTACACCGTGCTGCAGCATTGTAAAGCTCTGCTCGCTGCCTCCAGGTATATAGCGACCCTGCGTGCAAAGAACAAGGGATGGGGGACATACAGTGAGCGCATTGATTACAGGCGTTGGGAGTGATCTTAGAGCACTGATCGGATCCCCCATACAGTTTGATTCTTGTTGGTACGTCGTTCACCATCCGACCGCTCTCCTCGGAACTGATGGTTTCCTGATATCTAGTACAAAAGGCTACTGGTTTAGGATGCAAGAGCACGCTGCGGAGTAAACCGAACGGATATGTTACTATCAACTGGGTGTTGGGATCGCGACCTCAAGAACATCGGACTCAAGTCGTTAAAAGCACAACGTCTCCCTTATGGGAAGAGAGTTTTCGATTGTGAGGGTGATGAGCTACAAACCATTCGCCCTGTATGACATGTGTTGCAGGTTTTCTCAATCGATGGACTCGACGATCACATTCGAGATGTTCGACAAGGGCTTTGGATCCTCACATTCGTATGGGACCGTTCAGAAGACGGTCAGTGAGATGTTGGCTGGCACCAGACTAGGAATGTTGCATTCGGTCAATCACTTGCCGACCAGTGCCAATGACACCTCGACTTATAGACATCAGCTTTCCTCTTGGCGATGCAATTCTTTCCATCAGGGTGGAGAAGGAAGACACGGACTCGGCCTTATCAGACACTCTGGCCGATGCTCAACGAGCGACCCGTGACTTTGCGAAGGCGCCAAATCAAACTAAGGTCACTACATCGGCGTACACCTCTCTTGGCGGAGTTGTCGATTCTCTGAGCAAGTTGATGGAGATAGCGGATTCCGCCGCCCAAGTGAGAGATACAATGCTTTATCTCGTGCACCACCTCATCGGCCTTAACTCAGATACATCCATACATCAACGTTGCCTGGAAGACCGTATCGTCAGTATATAAGGTAGATATTAGATTTACGTATAGTTTGCTGAGCCAAACTGATCAACCACCAGGTTGTCAAAAATCAACTAGACCGCGATGAAGCAATATGTGATCTCTTAGAAACTATGGCCATACTGTACGGATTCACTGTCCCTCTCGAGGTTATGCGTAGGGACCACACGGAGCTAGACAGTACTCTGGTGGACGTTATCAAGCAGATCTTACAGCAAACCATCGAGTGCTCTCTGTTCGTGCAAGAATACAGTGGCAAGGGCTTCGCTGGTACGCTATGGCTCACGACACTATCATCGTCATCTAACGATTTTCATAGGCCGATCTATCAAACATACCTTCTCCACCACTGATGAGAGGGTCAGGACTTTCAAAGCAGCCTTTATTTCCTTGGGAAATTCCCTAGATATGGGTTTAAGTGTTCAGAATGCCTTGGTATCTATACGCATAGCCTCCGACGTACAAGACCTCGGTGCGTCTTTAGTGCGCTACCATCGCGGCTCACTTGTTGACTGTGATACAGCCCTTAGAAGCAAATTGAACCCTGCTGAAATGGAGTGGACCGGTCGACCCACCTGCCATCCTCGCACAAGACTAGACATGCTCCGCACCATTACGGAATGGATTATTGATCCAAAGGCCAAGTCCAGGGTTCTCTGGATCACCGGTCTCGCGGGCGCAGGAAAGAGCACGCTCGCTACTACCGTCGCCAACATGTACGCGGAGAATGGGCGACTGGGCGCCTTCGTGTTTTTCGACCGCGACGTAAAGGAACGAAGCGATCCTACAAATTTCCTCCGAACGCTTGCTTACGAGCTAAGCCGGTGTGACGTCCGCATAGCTAAGGGGATAAAGGGTGCCGTCGACATGAACTCTCGCATAGCACAGATGCAGCTAGACGCACAATTCAAGGATTTGGTTCGGATGCCTTTATTTCAAGCTGCATCGGATACCGCTGAAGGCCAATCACTCGCAGACGAAGGGCCAGTTGTCATCGTCATCGACTCTTTGGACGAATGTGGCAACGAATCCACCCGAAAGCAGCTACTGAAAATTCTTGCGAAAGAAACAGCAAAATTGCCCAAAATCGTTCGTGTTATCATCACCAGCAGATCCGAGCCAGATATCGTCGGGGCGTTCAGCAAAGAATCACACATCAAACACCACGAGCTTGAAGTCCTACCTCACGATGGCGACATATCTGTGTACATTCAATCGCAATTCAAGGAAATCGAGGAGAAGAACTATTTTGACGAAGGCTGGCCGGCGCCTGATAAGCTCAGACGTCTGGTTTCACGTGCTGGTGGCTTGTTCATTTGGGCTTCGACAGCGTGTAGGTATATCGATTGTTACGACCCAGATGCTGCCCTCGAGGACCTCCTGCAAGGCGAAGGATTCCACGAAGGGTTGGACGACCTTTACAGCAAGGCTCTAAGAGGTGCTGGGGATTGGAAATCACCTAAATTCAAAGACGAATTCCAATCCATCGTGGGGACCATCTCGGTCGCCAAAAACCCTATAACTACGGAAACCATTGACAAGTTCCTCAAAACGAAAGTTCCATCCAAGCGGTTGCTTTCTCGATTTGCCAGCGTTATCCATCAAGCGGATAATGAACCGGTTCGCATTCTCCATAAATCATTCAGCGAGTTCATCTCTAGCCTCGCGAGATGCGTGGAACCTATGTATTTCATCAACGTCTCAGATCACGAGCATCGCGCGGCAGTCAACTGCATCGCGCAAATGGAGGTGATGTTCAAAAGGCCTCGTCTGTTCACACCGGGAGCGATCCTCAAACTAGACTATGATGAAGCCGTTACCTACTCCTGCTCATATTGGATACACCATGTTATCGCGGTTGAAGACGGTTCAGATCGTACGAAGCTGGCATTGACGGTTTACGACTTCATGAAGGTGCATACTTTGCACTGGTTGGAGGCTACGAGTATTCTCAAGACGTCGCGTTCCACACCGAGCATCCTCGAGCAACTCTATCAATGGGCAATGGTACGTCAACTTGGATATATGCTATATGACCATGCAAATCACTCATGATCGCTAAATAGGATGTGGGAATGGATGACATGACATCTCTGGCCTACGATGCATATCGATTCGCGACATTTTTCGCAGAAACCATCGCTGAGCACCCCGCCTTGATCACGCAGGTTGCGCTCCCTTTCGTTCCTTTAGAGAGCAAATTATATCAACTATTCCACGATCATCGCGAGCTCCCGACGGTCATGGGTGGTTATCAACAAAAGTGGTCACCATCCTTGCGCGTATTCCCTATACTTGACACCAGTGTCATATGTGTCTCATTCTCGCCTGATATGACCAAGGTCGTATCCACCGGTGCCCGCTTCGATGACGATGCGCCAATAAATGGCGACGAGAATAACTGTGTTCGGTGCTGGGACGTCGCTACTGGCACGGAGGCTATGCCAAGCGTCGAGCTAGAGTACACTTCCATCGCTCAGTTTTCCTCTGATGGAGCTCAAGTTTGGGTCGCCACTGGGCAAGGCAGTGTCTACGTCCTCGATGCCGGCACTGGTGATCGATTATCTACATTAATCTGGAATCAATGGCTCAAGAAACCGGAACACTCCCCTGATGTATCCAGGTCGCCTTCTCCATCCCTTCGGAGTTGGAGGTCCTCAGACGCTGGTTCAAATCTTGGCTCGGCTCCAAGAAGTAGAGCTCCCAGCAGACCACCAAGCTCCATGCACCATACTATGTCACTGGACACCGGTATTCCTCAGTCGCACGGTCTTGAGCAGTCGGAAGCAAATGCTGAAACGAGTGACAGTGATTCTGCCCAAAGTTCTCCACGAGCAACATCCTTACCCATGGATCCAACTGACCCTGGAGACGTTGCTTCAGACCTCAATGTTGAGGGTGGCTTTACCAGGGCCGCGTTTTCCAACGATGGCAAATGGGTTATCTTTGGCGATGATTCCGGCGAGCTCTATGTTATCGATCGCGAGGCTAGGAAGCAAACATATGACACATTAGATGATTGCTCCAGACTCGAGTGGAGGGAAGTTGTTCGAATGTTCCCCTCCATCGTGTTTTCGCCGGACAACGAGGTATTTGCTGCTGGCGCTGGCGACGGAAAAATCCACATCTGGCGAACGGAATCGGGCGAGAAATTCCTCGAGCTAGAGGGTCACACCAAGGAAATTATCCTTCTTGCTTTTAGCCCAGAAGGTGATAAATTGTACTCAGCGTCGGAGGACGGAAACGTGAGGACATGGGATCCTGTTTACGGAGACGCCGTCGGTTCTGTGACCATCGACATCAGAGGGATCACGAAATTCCAACCGATGGCTTTCTCTCCTGATGGACGTATGGCGTCGACATCGACGGACGGCACGATCCAAATCTGGGACGCGAGTACTGGCGAAGAAGTAGGGCCTGTTTTGCAAGGCCACTTCAACGCTGTCTCTTCCATGACCTTCTCTCAAGACGGAAGCAAGCTAGTCTCGGGGGCGTTTAAGAACAACATTCAAACATGGGATGTATCTGGGAAAGACGAACTTACCAGATTTTCTCGGCATGATCGACCTCCTCATAAAGTGATCTTTTCTCCCAGTGGCCTAATCGTACGCTCATCAAGACCAAACGAAACCAAATTTTGGAGTTCGGTGACCGGACGTGAGCTCAAGATGGATCCATACGACATGTCTGCGACATTTATAAAAGATATAGCCGAGGACGATGAAAACGACGAGGAGTTAGCGAGCAAAATCAAAGAGTACAAAGAAAAATATAGCGATGCGCCGGACACACTCGTAACATCATCTGGAGATATAGTCACCCTCGTGGATTCATTGCCTGATTCGGAACTATCAGGCCTAGAGAAGGAATGGCAGGCTGCCATCGAAGGGTCCAATCCGAGGGACCTGACTTGGAAATATACAGATTCGCGTATCGTCTACCACCACCCCAAGACCATCATTGACGACGACGACGACGGTGTGGTCAAGTACGAGACAGATGGCCAGGAGATTTGGCGGTTGCCATTGGAATTCCGTCATCGTAGCAATGATATACGACCGAACTTCATAACCTTCGGAATTTGGAATGGACGAGTTTTCGTCATGCACTTACCTCAGAAACTTGTAACTCGTAACGCTACTGTGTAGCGGTATCGTGGCCTTTCCCCTGCTTTCCATGTACTGTTTTCTTCATGATCGTGCTTTGTGTTGATAATTAAACGTTGATAGTCGGTTAGTCGTTTACCTTCAACATCGATGGGATACGGTTTTGCACTAATTCATTCCACTCCATTGATGATTTCAGGAGAATAACATTCCATAGGACCCACACAGATAGTATAGAAGTCCTCATCGGATACCACGAGAACGCCTAGATTAGTATCCTTGGTGAGACAAATGCCCCCCGCATCCTGAACAACCGCTCCCAGGAGATGCGGATCGCTGCACTAAGGTCGGTGATGTTGCGTACTGCGACATAATTGACTTGCGTCGCCCGTCATATGCTAATGGAATGCTGCTTAACGGGGTGGCTGGCTCCTTAGAGCGAGGACTCATGGATTTGGGACCAGGAAGATACGGTAGGTAAGGTAGGCGTTTACTGTAGGAAATAGCGCCCTTTGAAGGGCTGCTGTGTCGACGGAGCCACAGGTAGAATACCCCGATGATGAAGATGAGGGCAAATCCTCCAGCGACACTGCCGACAATCAATGCAGTAGGGGGATTTGATGGCGGTGAATAAGATGTTGCACCACCAGGGGCCACAGTCTCTGAGGCTTGTACAGATGTTGTACTGGTCTGTGTAGGACGTGGTCTGTAGTTTTGGGGGAGATCGATGGGTGTCTCGACCACAAAATAGTCGAGGAACACCTGCCCGGAATCTTTACTTCCGCAGATACCGACGAGAGTGTGGTCTGTAAGTGAAAGAAATGGGCTAGAGTAAAATAACTGCTGGTATCGAGGCCCCGAAGTAAGCTTGTCAGGCTTGGGGGGCTCGGGGGGCTCGGGCTTTCCGCCGTCCAGGACGTAGTGTGCGACGACATTCGTAATATTGGAATGCCCTTGGTGGCCCGCTGGTCCCAATGTACCGAATACCTTCATAGATGTACCTTCAAGGAAGGGTCAGTACCAGGTTTCACGGGTGCCAAGTCGTCAACATACCAAAGAATTTGAACGAGAATTCTGCGCCCTCTTTGGAGCAGTAGGTAGTAGTGCCATTGTATTCGTTTGTTGCGCCACCAGCAACCCAGCCAGGTGAGTACCGTATGCGAGTATCTCTATCGTCTAAGATGTCGTTGACTACCACAGACATCTGTGAAATTGTCCGATTGGCGGTGATAGGAAAGAAATGTTGTTGAACTCAAAATCGGTCACCTTGGTTCTGACTTAATAGGAATCCGCAAGGGTCAGGATACTAGTACGTACGTGAGCTGAAAGGTCATGACCGGCCATGACTCGGGTGGATCGCGGTATGGCGCATAGTCCATCCCTCTCGGACAGTGTCTAACCCCATGTTACGACATAGACGAAGCACAGCGACACACAGAGAGTGCAAGGTGTATGCTACCTCGAGTGCAAATGGAGTGCAAGATGGAACGCGTGTTCTGGCTCAGAGTTGAGTCAGCGGCGTAGCCTACAGTTGCCTACTGATTCGAACTGTGTCCTCGGGTCGCATTGGAGCTCGACCGGCTTCTCAGCTCGCCCAGCCCTCCTACCCAGTCTCAGTAGGTGACACCACCTGAAGAAACTTGCTCGCTCACTGTCAAGACAACGTCGCCGGGAGTGGTTGGTACCAACCTCCGTATCGGAGAGCCAACCAATCGACGCCAAGCTGAACACGGTAACGTGACCAGGCGGTGAGTTGGCAGGCTTTGCAAATTGCCAGGACGTTGTCTCAGCCTTGTCTTGGATTTCAAAAATGTATATGGTAAATATAAGGTCTCGCGCCCTTGGGCTTCGTCGGTACATTTGGTCGAGCCGCTGCTTGGAAGCCGTTTTCCATCACCTAATGTCGCAACTGGAATTAAGCAAGAAGACCTCCAAGCTTCACGTACTCGCTGCCTCGGGCGAGTCCTTTGTCTATACTAGCCAGTGTGCAGAGAACTGAGAATTGACTACAAATGGGTCTACAGAGGCGGTGTGGTCCATGTGGATGCCAGTGATTGTGAGGTAGCGAGGCGCCGACATGATGTACAAGGGTATGTAGTAGATAGATGGCTTAATGACACTTGTCTGATTCATGGAGATTGACAGGTCATTTATGTCTTGACTATATTGCCATCGAGCTTTCCGCCGACTCAATTTCGTCAGTGAATTCTAATTCGAACCGCACTCTGCGAATAAGTATCTACTTGCAGCTACATATGCTAAATAACTACGTTGGAACGGTCAAATTCCGGTGTTCAACCAGAGACGGGGGCGATCCTTGTAGTTGTGCCACTGGGTGAAACCGATTGTCCATAAGTGACGCTAGGAAAGGAATGGGCTACGTGCGTGCGTACCTGCGGTTCGGTTTGTCCTGGTTCAAGGCGGAACAAAAGGACGTCTTGACTACTTTGACTGCTTGAGGAGTTTCTCGTATTGATAGCTGACAGCGCTGCCGTTGAAGTTCGTGGACTTCTGTTTGGGGTGAATATCGGGGGTCTCGAATTGGCGGCATGAAGTGGAGGTTTATATGTGGTATTCGATTTGGTACTGACGTCCATTAGCTTCGGGTTGCGACCACGGTGCCAAAGATAGGACGCAAATATTGTCGCCAATAGTGTGAAACTTCCAAGAACGCTACCAACGATGATAGTGGTAGGTGGGGCTGGTTTCGAATCACATATCGAAGGTGTCGAGCTGGTGTTTGTCGTGAAATCGAGGGGAGTCTTGATCACGAAGTAATCCAGAACTACTTCGCCGCCCTCGTTCTCGTTCTCGCAGGTTCCAACGAGGGTATGCTCCATGAATGGCAAAGCGGGACTGGAGTAAAATACTTGTTGATATCGTATCGATGTGCTACGCTGAGCGAAGAAGGGGAATAGATCTCCCCCGTCTAGCGTGTACGTCGAGTTGGGAGGCGTCCCTGCGGCCACTGTTCCGTAAACTGCAACCGAGGTGCCTACAGATCAAGTCAACATTAATGTACAAGTGTTGACTCAGAAGGGCTTACCCACGAACTTGATTGTGAAGGATTCGCCTTTTCTCGCGGTATTGCTGGTTGTGCCCTTGTACTCGTTGGGTGAACCATTTACTTGCCAACTAGAGGAGTACTGTATTTGAGTGTCTGCATTGTCAATGATCACGCTCCTGGCGTTCATACTGTCTTGGGGAATAGAAGGAACGAGGGAAACACCTAAGTTTGCTGCACAGAAATAGAAGCCCCCGAGGCTGTGATAGTCCTGTTGTGCGGTGCCACCATCGTGGACATGAGAACGTTGATCAGTTCGTGAAATAGCGCGCTTCAGGGCGTATATACGATGGAAACTCAGTGGAGATCCTAAAGCATATTCGAGTCCGATGCCAACTCAAGTTCCGCTGCGCAGAGCGCCGGAAACCTCCGGGACAGGACACCATAGACGCAACCTCAAGCGAGCCCAACTACGTGCCGTTGCCAACTGGAACACCGTCGAAGGGCCTTTTTACAGAGTCATACAGGGGCTTTATAAGGGGTCGACATCGCAGGGCTCCCAGCATGGAAGAAGAGACAAAGTGAGCGTGAACCAACAAACGGAACAAATAGAAGCATAGAGTGCACTAGACACTAGGCAACACACTGATTCTGTGAATTTCGCAACAAATAAAGTCCCGCCCAAAGTGAAGCAATAAATTGTGGCAATTCTACATATTGTGTGAGTGGTATAGCCTTGCCTGGTGATGCTGCAACGAAGATAATCAGGTACCGCGATTGTCAACTTTGTACGTGCTTACCGGCGGGAGAGATGGCTTGTGAACTGCGACGTCCACCAAAACATCACGATGGATAGATGCTCCGGCGCCATCATGATCGTGTCCTTCACTATGCTGGTTGATAGAAAAGGTCCCATCATCACTAACTGTGCGTGTTTGTTGTATTTCTGTTCTAGTGCTCATGAAGGATGCTCTTGAGCTGCCTCTAAAATGATGATGGTAGTACAGGTATAACGTCAGAATGGTCAATATGAGCAGCAACCCCCCAAGAACCCCACCGACAATCGCGGCTGTCGGTGGTGTCGGTTTTGAGTTGTGTATTGTAGGAGTAGCCAAAGGAGGGGTTAGCGAACTGCTATTAGTCGGCGACTCGAGTGGTATCTCGACCACTAGGTAATCGAGGATCACATGAGCGCCTTCATCCGCGCAGGATCCTATGAGCGTATGTTCCCCGTACGGAAGAGGCGGGCTGGCGTAAAATATTTGTTGGTATTGGACTTGCAGTTGTGGTTGCCCGAAAAAGGGGAAGGGTGTCCCTCCGTCCACGACATAGGTAGTGTTCGGGAGTGTGACGACATCCAACGTGCCATAAACCGCAACAGAGGTTCCTGTACCATAGGTAAATCAACAGTACATGAATCAATTGCACATCGAGAGACGTGCCAACGAATGTGAACATGAAGAACGCTCCTCGTGTCTCCGTGTTGCTGGTTGTACGTTTGTACTCGTTGTTTGAGCCGTCTGCATGCCAACCGGGAGAGTATCGGATTTGAGGGCCCGCGTTATCGATTATCAAGGTTCCGGAGCTCATGTTGACTAAGAACACTGGGTGCTCGGGAGATATAGAGAGGTCAGCGATAGTTTCTTCTCCAGCATAGGAAGTAGGAAACCATTAAAACCACCCTGATGCTGTTATGGGTGTGTGATGCACTGTCCTTGGTGCTCGACACTGATCACCGTCAGGAGATGCGCTGGGACGAACATGTCGCATGTTGGGCGATCAGGCTTTGATGTATATCTCTGTACTGCCGTATCTAGCAATATACATACACCTAATTTGAGTGCATGGAGAGATATAAAGGCACTGGAGATTTATTAGTATTCCCCAATGAACTTGGCTTCCAGGAACCAGATCTTAGAGCTATCGTGTTTGAGCACAGGTAATAAAAGCCGCAGGGGGCAGCGTATGCTGACCTGTGTGAGGTTGAATCATAGACATGTTCCATAATGTACGCGGTTGTCCAACTGACACTGTACACCTGGACTTAGCCTCATACGCGCTCCAGTCGATAAGCGGAAAACACGAAAATAAAAACCCATGCCCAAGAGAATTGGTGCGGGTTGACTACAACCAACGCAACTTTAATGATACAATTAGGGGTAGATGGGTACCCAGGGTAAGAAATACAGGCCTAAATTATACAGCGCACTAGACAACACTCCAATTCAGGGAGAAAATAGACACACGTAGATCCCAAAAGAAAGTACCGATGCGTCGAGTGTACTCTCACGGTTCTCGGACCATATATACCACCACCCAGTCATCACCCAAGCTGCGACAGAATCGCAGACATGCTACATGGCGTATGAGGGTGGGGGTACCGGTTGGTGCCACTGCAATGCAATAAAGATAAGTGATTATAACCATTTTCACCTTTGTGCGTGCTTACTAGTGGGAGAGGGGGCTTGTGGACCGCAACGGCCACCACGACATCATGATGGGGTGTTTCGACATCATCCTCATCATGATCGTCTCCCCCACGATGTTGATGGACAGGATATACAGACGAGCCCCCATCAGCACTGAGGAAGCGGGGTTTCATCCCTTTCTCAGCGCTCATGAAGGATGTTCTTGATCTCCGGCCTTGAAACTGACGGTACCACAGGTACAACGCCAGGATGGTCATCAAGAGCAATAACCCTCCAAGAACACCACCGACAATTGCGATGGTTAAGGATGTCGGTTGCGGGTTTGCAGGAACTGCTGTAGTTGGTGTTGGTGTTGGCGAACTAGCATTTGTTGCCGAATTGAGTGGCATCTCGACCACCAGGTAATCCAGAATAACATTAGCGCCTTCGTCCGTGCAAGTCCCAACAAGTGTGTGTTCGCCATATGGTAGAACGGGACTGGAGTAGAATATTTGTTGGTATTGGACTAGTGGTGCGGGTTGGCCGAAGAAGGGGTAAGGATTGCCGCCATCCAAGACGTAGGTGGTGTTAGGGAATGTTATGTCGTTCAATGTGCCGTAAACTGCAACAGAGGTGCCTATAGAAAGAGCACCGACATCAGGACCAACCAACACAGGCATACATTGGTGGTGACATACCAACAAAATTGAAAGTAAAGGACGCTCCTTGCGTCTCAGTGTTGCTGGTTGTGTGCTTGTACTCGTTAGGTGAACCATTTGCTTTCCAACCGGGAGAGTAATGGACTTGAGTGTCTGCGTTGTCGATGATCAAGCTTCCGGAGCTCATCCTACCTGAGGCTGTTGGGGACTCGGGAGATACAAAGATTGGAGATAGTTCCTTGCGCAACATAGGAAATAGGACACTATTGAAACTGCGCTGATGCTTCCATGGATATGACATGATAGCCTTAGGACTTATCATTGATCGCCGTCAAGCTATATCAAGAAGTTGGTGTAGATTTGCGTCCGACTACATGTGCGGTGACATGTCACATCACCTACGGTCGACACGCGAAGCCAGGTTTTGCCTTGATTCGGGGGAAAGACTGTCAAGTCAGCAAGTAGGCACAGCAAATTACTTAGTAACTATCCCAGAGGCCAATATACGAGTTCGTGCCCCTAGCACATAAAGGAGCTTTAGGGGCATAAATACTTTTCATTCGACTAATCTTACCATCGTTGGATCGCGACCAAAAACCAGTGTCAATAAGTACAAGATCCATGGTGCGAAGATCAAACACGTACCTGTAATACACGGAAGTTTATGATACATGTGCAAGCCCCATCATTCCGCATGTTTCGGCTCCCAGGACTCAAATCCCACTGGATATCATTTAGCCCGGTCCAACTTTACGTCGTATAGGATGGAGGTTGTGATGGTGGAAGCCGATGCCACTGTCGCTGAGTTCATGAGTAACGCAAGCTAAGCTGTAACGTCCCCATACACTGACCTGCGGGAGAGGCGACTTATGACTCTCGACGGAGACAGAAACATTGTGGAGGGTATTAGATGATGACGAAGGCATATCGGACGCCTCAAATGGATGGATTTGTGTGTTTAATTCGGTGGCACTCGGCAATTTCGTGCGAACGCCTCTGGTCTGTTGGTACCACAGGTAGAGGGCCAAGGTAGTCATCACGAGGAGCAGTCCTCCGAGGACTGCACCAGTTATGATGGTTGGTTTTGAATTTGTGACGCACGGCAACGACTGACTGCACGGCGACGACGGACTCGGGGGCACACCCTGAGGAATTTCGACTACAAAGTAGTCAAGAATCACCCGACCGCCCTCATCTGCACAAGATCCAACGAGCGTATGCCCCCTATACGGAAGAGGCGGGCTAGCATAGAATACTTGCTGATATTGGATAGCTGATTTCGGTATCCCAAAGAAGGGAAAGGGATCCCCGCCGTCCAGGACATAGGTAGTGTTAGGAAATGTCGTAACATCCAATGTACCGTAGACCGTGACGGATGTCCCTTTACAATTGTGTTAGCACCAGCGAACAGAGATTTCAATACCGCGCAACACACCAGTGAAATTCAGTGTGAAGGATGCGCCTTGCATCGAAGTGAAGCTGGTCGTACGCTTATATTCGTTTGGTGAACCCGTTGGTCGCCAACCAGGGGAGTATTGAATCTGGGTGTCCTCGTCGTCCACGATCAAGGTTCTAGTGCTCATATCGCTCTACGATGTTAGATATAGTTAGAAATGATTGTCTCTCCTGACAATCATATTTAATCTGAGCGTCATGAGATCGCCCGCTCGGGGAAGACTCAGCTATCGTCCGTTTGATTGAGCCGAAACGCTTGATGGTAGTCTTCCGCAGACTTGCTTACATGGGAGGCTCGACCAGTGCTAGTCAGCGCGCAGGAACTCAAACAAACAGAGGATACTCACAAGGAAATAACCCTATCACAGCAGCAAACTGGATTCAGATCGAAACTAAGATAAATGTCGGTTATATAGTGGGTCGTGCTTGATGGATTGATTTATTGCTGAAGGGGTGATCTTCCAAGCGCGAATGAGTTTCCGCTGAGCAATGAGAAACTGTACAAAGAGAACAGGATCCAGTGAAACTGTGATACCACGAAAGCGTGTTACATTCATCCACCGGCGGGTCTACAACTTGGGTATAATCAGTATCACGTGTCCATAAGACCGGATACTTCGAAGTGAAAGGAGGGGGGTAGAAAGGAGTGTGAATTACAAGCTTAAGCTGAGCGCAACACTCTGACGGACTTGAGAAACGAAACGAATACGCAGGTTGAGGAAGAGGCACGTATACGCCAACCATGGTCCACAGATTCCCAAAGTTCTGATTCCGCCGCCTGCCATCCAGTGGCAGCGTGGGATTCTACATAGAGTATGAGGGGGGCTGCTGTGATGGCGACTGGTTCCACTGCAACGACTTAGGGGAAATCAGTGACGATCATTACCAAGTTAGTGGGAGCTTACCACATGGGGGGACTTGTGTCTTTCGATGGTCGATATAACGTCATTTTGATGGGAGGCTTCGGAATTATGATAAGGTGTTTCATGCTGCGTAGTAATATACGAAGAGGAAGCCATAGCAGGCGCGTTCAATGGCCGGAGTTGTGCGTCTGGTTCAGCGTTCATGAAAGATGGCTTCGTATCGGTACTTCTACCGTTACCCCGGGATTGGCGATACCACAGGTATGAGGCCAAGATGGTCATCAAAAGCAGCAACCCCCCAAGAACGCCACCGACAATTGCAGTAGTCGGTGGTGTTGGTTTCGAGTCGAGAGTTGTGGGAACAGTCGAAGTTGTGGTTGGCATACTGGTGTTGGTTGGTTTTTCGAGAGGTATCTCAACCACAAAATAGTCCAGAATCACTCGACCGCCCCCGTTGGCGCACGATCCAACGAGAGTATGTTCCGCATATGGGAGAGAGGGACTGGTGTAGAATACTTGTTGGTATTGAATTTGCGGTTGGGGTTGACCGAAGAAGGGGAAAGGATTGCCACCATCCAAGACGTAGGTAGTGTTAGGAAGTGAAACGGTATCCAAAGTGCCGTATACCGCTACGGAGGTTCCTATAGATGGAAATCAATACCAACGTATGAAAGTTTGAACATCAACGAACGAACCGACGAATTTGAGCGTGAAAGATGCGCCTTGTGTCTCGGTGTTGCTGGTTGTGCGTTTGTACTCGTTAGGTGAGCCATTTGCTTGCCATCCAGGAGAATACTGGACTTGAGCATCTGCGTTGTCGATGATCACACTTCTGGAGCTCATACCGCTTGGCACTTGGATGGGGGAGAATGGGATTGGAGTGAATGCCTGGGGAATTGCTTTCCCCTACGAAAATCATTGAAGGGGTTATGCGACCCTGTGGGATTTATGTCCTACGGAGTCCAGTGCGTCGAGCGCTCAGAGTTGCAGGATCAATCGATCATGATGTGTGTCTGGCGATTAATGATTGGCAGCGCCTGATGTCGGAGTTCAGCTTTCCTCGCAACATATGAGCACTGGATCAACCTCTGTAAAGTTACGCTACGTAAAGCTCAATTAGTGAGAGTACAAGAGCAACAGTGGGCGATACTAAAACAATGCAATCAGGGTGAAACTTGGGACGACATTTGAACGTGTACTTTGAGCGTCTAAAGCAAGGTGAGTGTTCAATTTACTGCGAACAATTCGGAGTAGAGGCCGGCCCGTTGTCTTCCGAGTCCTGTCCTAGAGTAAGTGTGTATTTAGCACTGACGCGCCCATGTCGTTGATTAGTTCGCAAGTGTTGATATGTGATATACTGTCTTGAAAAGTGTTCGTTCCACCGACCGGTGAGTGTCAAGTATCCCATGATTTAATTTAGACCCCAGGGAGTGCCGGGTATTGCCATTACTCCTTCGATGCGAGTAGACTGCATGTTAAGATATCTCTCTGGTAGGTACACATAAGTTATGGGTTGAGGTTTTGCCTGATGGTGTTCTACACCTAGTCTTTAGACATTGGATCACAAATGAACGTAAGTGAATACACGTATCAAGTGTTGTTTTCGTAATCACGTTGAGTATTGTGCAATCTACCTGGAGCAGAGCCTTGTACGTGTTGCTGGAGCAACATTAGCTAAAATTGGCAACAGAACCCGTGTACTTACCTGAGGAAGAGCGGGCTTGTGGCTTTCAGCGGCGACCAAAACATCATGGTAGGGGGCGGGCGTTGATAGGACGTTGATTTCGAATGGTCGGGATTGTGTATCCGGTTCGCTTTCCGATTTTATACCGGAGCTCCGGAAGCGGCGGTACCACAGGGGGGCGTTGGGGACGGTCAGGACGAGTAGCATCGCGCCAAGAACACTGCCGACAATAGTGGCCACCGGATGGATTGGCTTTGGGTTAGACGTTACATTAATAAGAACAGTTGTAGTCGCTGTTGGCAGGGTAGCATTTGTCAGCAAGTCGAGGGGCATTGTGACCACTAAGTAATCGAGGATAACATGAGCGCCTTCAGTAGCACAAGATCCCACAAGTGTGTGTTCGCCGTAGGGGGACGATAGGACTGGAGTAAAATTCTTGTTGAAATTGGATTCTTGATATAGGCATTCCGAAGAAGGGGATAGAATCGCCGCCGTCCAAGACATACGTAGTGTTAGCGTCTAATGTTCCGTAGGCGGTGACGGAGGGGCCTATAGAAAGAAGTTGATTGGGGGCATGCACGGTGGGTAATAGGCTACGTGCCGACAAATGTGAGCGTAAAGGATGCTCCTTGGGTATCGGTGTAGGAGACCCATTTGCTTGCCATCCAGGAGAATAATGTATCTGAGGGTCCCTGTTGTCAATATTTACGGGTTCATAGTCGGCCACACAACACGGCATTTCAAGTGAATGCAACGCAGTCCTCGAGATATTTGCTCCGCTGCATCTTGCGCGGTTCCAGTTTCAGTCGCGTAGAGAATAAGAGCAGAGCCCATGCTGCCGTTCTCGAAGGGATAAACAACGATCACATGACGCTATTATTGCTTGTTGTCGTCCAAAAGAAGCAATCCATCCAAGTGGTAAGCCTAATGTGGCATCTTGACTTTCCGCCACATTCCCATTGTTCCGTCACTTCGAAATTGGCCACAGTACATCTATGAAGGTCCTTATTGGACAAAAATCAAAACGTATGTCGTTCCCACGATTTCACCGTCGATCACCAACAATCACGGCACCTCACTCAAGACCATCCTGAATCACCGGAACCCTCCATGAACAATCATTATCGTTATTATTCTTCAGCATAGGTAAAGCTTGTCACGTAATATACATAGACTTTAGCTCCACTGTGAATAAACATTAATCTTGGTGATTGCACAAGCTTTTGCAAACATGCCTATATGTCTAAGCATTTGTCTTGAACATTGAGCACATGTATTCATTATTTGAAACATAGATTTACGGTGATTCATTGTTTCCCCTTGATAGGAAAATTTAAAAGGTCATAGGCACATTATGACTATTTGCCCCCACCTCCATGGCCTTGCCTCGACGTGAAGCCTGTGTACGTTGCAGGGCATGTCGCGCCTACTGTACGCGTGGTCCTAATGGGTTACCTTTATATGCAAGTCACTCTTCCAATTATTAATGCATGATCAACCTAATGCCTTAATTAGGACGCGTTATCTGCATCTTCTACTTGTATATGTGGGTGTCAATACATTGAGCATGCTGCGCGTCGTCCACTGCCAGAAGATCCAAATGCGCCTCTCTTCCGCGGAGGAGTTCCTGATACCACCTGTGGTGGATTCTATCCGGTGTGCGCTTTCTCTGTTGTTTGTGCCCAAGATCTGATATCAAACACGCTCAAGAATGGGCCATGGAGCATGGGAGCCAGCTGTCTTTGTGGTCAGCATTGGCAACAGCATGAACACCCAGATACTCCGCCTCGTCCTAAGTACATCTTTGCCTCTAAATACATCATCCATCTGTTGACCCCTTTCAGTAACAGTACCCAAGCTACAGGCGCTCTGGGGCCTCCCCCATTACCTCTTTGCATGCCAACTGTAACATCTCTTACCAACCCTGTGGAGACCTCCAACCCAGCTTCGTCACGGAGCACACAAATGCCACCCCCTATTGCTGCATATACTGGAATACGGGCAGCAGCGACAGGAAGCACCAATGATCGACGGGTTAATGCATACCAGCGACATGGTGAGTGACAATCCTTCGCCCATATAACAGAATCAACCACTAATCCACTTGGCAAGCGGTCGGCACTCGTCGACGTCCCCGCCATGACTATCCACTTGGTTCAGCATCCAGTGCGACTGCAGCTGCATCCCAGTCTTTACCCCAGCTCAATGCTCCCACAAAATTCTCCATTGATATTGGTTTATTGCCTGTTGCGGTTAGCTCTTCATCTCAGCATTTAGCGGTCACTTTGACTTACTGTTGTGCATCACAGCTGCCGCAAGCACCTATGTGGTCTGACGAAATGAACCTAGAGCCACCTCCTACGCTCAATCTTAAAGACCATGAAATCGCCACATTGCAGGAGACACTTCAGGAGCATAACCTAGTTCTGACGGTAGAGGTATCTGCAGATGGTCCCATCCATGTGGCATTCAATCAACAAATCGAAGATTTCTGTATCTCAAACCAATTTACGTTGAAACCTAGGCCTAATCCCAAACAGACTTTATCTTCTACTTCAGTTGCCAACTATAACTGGACTTTTTATGTTCCCCTACGCCGTACAGCCAACCATTCACGGAACTTTGGAGCAAGAATTCTCACTGCAGACACTTTCACACTCGCTACTTTACGTCGTGCGCCGTTTGGAAAAAATGTAGCAAATCACATATCGCCACGGGTGTTTGTATTCATAGGTGAGTGCTGATTGTCGTACATTGTGTCTCAGCTTCACCTTCTTCCCAGCACCCAACTTCGATCATCTTTGGGGTCCTCTACCTGGTGCCGATGGAATACACCGCTGTTTTTACAAGAAGGTCATGGTGTTTCTGCCTCCTTTCCAAGACGACGACGACAAGGCCATTTGCATTCAGGGTTGCCCTGGAGGTCAAATCCCTGGTAGCAATGATGTTGCCTCTACATCGAATCTGGGCTTTGATGTTTATCACTCAGGCTCAGACTCTGAGGTCTGTCACCCGCTCCATCCTCTTATGATCAATTAATTTTAAGTAATATCATAGCCGCCTTTTCCCTCAGAGATATTCTCCTCACGTTCGACTACCCTTCCCACACCCTCAACTAACCTGTCTTCATCAACGTTAGCTACCACGGCATCACCTACAGCAGGTACTTCTTCGACACGGCCATTACTAGTTCATTCAAGGTCTCCATCTCTAGAGGTTAGCACTTCAAGTACGAAACACGAGTTTCAAGTATTTACTTTGAGTGAATGTAGCTTGTTGATGTGATATGCAGACCAGCCAGGCGTCCACGTGTGGGCTCCCCCTCAAATTCTGTGATCGCTGTGCCAGTCTCACAGTCTCAAGTAAGTTGTTATTCTCAAAGCACATTCCATCTCAACTAATCGCACTCTAGAGCATACCCAGTGTGCCAAGTCGTCTTCCTGCACCTGTTCCATTTGATCGTGTTGATGGGATGTTTGTTGAAGCATGGGTTGAACGTGTGCGTGACGCCTTGCCACCAGGAGTCGGTGGACCAGAACTATGCATCTGGGGACCTGATGTGGACACATGCGCCAAGGCATTGGTGTTTCTCATCATGTGGCATTTCCGCGATCCTCCACTTTTACGTTCACAGTGGGATGACATGCTGTCTCAAAATTGTCCTGGAGCGCAGTGCAAACTGGTCCCACTGTCGGCCTTTCTCAGCCACCGACGTTCCTTTGGCGTGTATGCTTCTCTTTCCATGGCATTATTTCATTCACTGAGCATTATATCATTAGTGGTGAAGGCATCGGATCAGGTCCTGAGCGTGCAGTATTGTCCCGTGCCATTGAGATCGCCTCATCAGATGTCGCCTACTGGCAGCGAGGTGTCGGACACAGCTCATTGTACCAGTCGATGCTTCTTTTCCCATCGACTGATGGTATTCAAACAAGGCACACAACATTCTCCACCCATGGATTCCTTTGTTTCATCCACATGTTGAACATTCCTGCCGCTCCCTTTCCTGTACATCCTTTATTGCTTCATCTTGCGATTGACGGACGCATGGCCTTCACCATTGACCTCCCCTTTCTCCAAGAAATCGATGAAGATCTTGTGAAGACTTTGCGCCCTTGGACAACTTGGGACCGCTGTTCAAGCCAGCCTTTGCATGGGCAGTCTACCGAACTCCACGGTCTTTTGTCGGCATGTGAGATACCCGTATGTGTTCTTGACTTCCAGCTCAGTATTTGCGCTCATCATCCGCACTCAGACCAACTGTCTAACAGACAACATGGGTGACTCTGAGCTGGATGGCATTGAGCGCAGCTTGCTTTGCTATCTTCTCTTTGGCTCTAAAGATGTCAGCCACCATCCTGACTACCTCGCTTTCTGTAATGGCTTCAATCTCCAAATTTCTGATGACTTGTCTGTCCTCGATGTAAGTGTCGATCTTCATGGTTCCTATCAACTGCTTAATGTGATGGGAATGCCAGACTTTTGTTTGGTCCTCGAAGGGGCTTTTGGCCTATCTGTATAACCGACGTCTCGACTCACCGGACACACTTTTCAAACACCTTGAACTTGGGCGCCAAACCTGCTTAGGTTCGCATACAACAGCTACCACCAATCAGTGTGACATTGGCAAGAGGTTCATGGATCACCTTCAACGCTATATCTCCGGTGTCGGTCATGTCGAGCATCACTGGACACGACCTTTCCTTGTTGAGACTGATGTTGCGGCTAAGAAACATGATTTACTGCTGCGCAGTCGTCTTTTGCTGGCTACACTCACTGGGTCAAACAAGATCCCAACTGCAGATAATTGGAGTTTGACGGTGAGCCTCAGTCTTGTGTCAATGTTCTTTTACCGTCTCATCTACTGTTTCTAGTTCAACATGTCTTATCAACCATTTGTGGACATTTTGCATATTAAAATGGTGTCGTATCTTCTATGTTCCTCATCTGAGAAAGCCTAACGTTTTCGTGATTCTAGCCTCCCCTTATGAGAATTCACGCTTGCTTCCTTTCAGCAGACGTCATTGTTGATTCGTCTCTTCGCAAGATCCTTCTGGATCCCTTACCATCCAACCCAAGGCAGGCAACAGCGTTTGATGCATGGCTTCATTTGCAGCTCATAGGTCCCGACACTTTCGAACTGGTATAGAAACGGGCTTCAAACCATTCGATTTGGACGGTGTAAGGGCCACCCTTTCCAAAGTTTCCTATGTCCCTTGGACTTCTAATATAGAAAACCTGTGACGTGGCGAGGACTGTAAGGACCGGGTCTCCCACATGTATCTTATGTTCCTTGGACATTCTAACCGTTGATAGTGGTTCTTATGATAACAAGTAACATGTACTTAAGAAAGTTACTTACATGATTAACTAGCGTACTTGTTACTCCCATGATATTGTACCGTACTCGTCGAGAGCCTCTGTGCGTGTCCAAGCATCTATCATCTTCTCCACAGTGGACTTCCTGAGGCCAGCAGTTTGTTTCGTCACATTGTCAAGCCCTGACTCCTGCTTCCATGTTGCAGATATCTCCTCAGTGGCGAACAGGCGTTTTAGAACAGCCAGCTGGTTTTGTTGCTCCGCAGTAAGAGAAGTAGAGGCGACACGAGCTTCTAATGTCTTCCACAAGCAATAGGTTTTCTTCGCAAATGTCCGGCTGTTCTGATGAGTCCCAGCTTGTAAACCCGCCCACTCATAGACACTTTCTTCAGAGACAGTGGTGCCATCGGCCAAGTGGCCTTCATGCCGGGAAGACAGGGACATGCCCAGCTGATCCATGATGGTATCGACAATCCGTACAGTACGTATTTTCGTGTATGCTGTGCCAAAGACTTTGGTGTTGAGACGTAGAAAGCTAGCTCTTTCTGAAGGATACAAGGAATTGAGACGATCCACGATTCCATGGCTTGCATCCTCAAGATGTTCGGTTGCTGGGGTAATGATAGATGATGCAGACTGGACATTTTGCTGAAGTAGATTGGGGAAGAGAGGCATCTGGTCGACGTTTTAGAGAATACATATAAGAGCAATAACAAGTAGACACTTACATACACAGCCCGAAAGTAAATATGCAGAACCACTAGCTTTGATTCTGGGTTCATGACGGTGGAATTGGTGGTATAAAGCGTCAATGTTTCTGGGGCATCCATGGTCGCAAAACGGAGAGGATAGGTGGAGGAGAATGCCTCGGACAAACGGCCCAATGGCTGAACACCTTGTTGAAGTCTCGATGCATCATCACCCACTGGAGGAATCGGTACTTGAGAGGTTGCAAGGTGCAGATTGATGTTAGGTATGTTGTCTTGGAGTTCCTGAAAGATGCCTGGTTGCTCATGACACATCGCCTGGAGGACCAGATCCAGGGAGATGGTGTCGGCAACCGATGTCATGAGGTTTGGACAATAAAATATGTCGAGTCGATTGGGAGGCAACATGACGGTCCAATAGACTGTTATATTGGCGAAGGGCTGAGTTGGAATAGGGATAATTGACTGGCCTTCACCCGCGTGTTCGTCCATGAGGGGCTGCGGCGAGGTAGGCATGGCCAGTGGCGGGGCCTCTTCAGTTGAACTGGAAGAGTCGAGATGTGCTGTATACAAAAGCATGAGCATCAACATATTCCGGAACGATCTTTCCGGCCTACCCATAATGGTTTGCAGAAGTTCCACTAGACCTTCATTAATCTCGGGAGTAACGGTGCCCACATCCACAACACTGGCAGCAGTATCATGAGCTTCAGGGCTTGGGCTAGGGGGCACTGGTTGCATTTGAGCCCGAAGTCCTTGTCGACAGCAAACAGTTGGGACATACCTGAAGACAATGGGGATTCCACTAAGCTGAGAAGAGGGGAGTCCATTGAAGTCGAATCTGTGGCAAGGATGGGGTCCAATACTGAGCGCCCCACGGAGGTGTTGTTCTCTTCAATAACGAGTGTCTGAGGACGATGCTGACGATGCCTGCGGGTGGGTTGTATGACTCCAGCAGCAATGTCTTCTCTTCGCTGAGCCCTATCAAGCAATCTACGCTCTCTGTCACTGGACGACATGCTGGGGGGAGCTTTCAGGGGGGTTGATAACAAACGTCGGGACACGAAGACCCTAAAGGTGTGAATCGGTAACAGCAGCACAGCCTCAGTGCCGATCACGCAGACGAAGCCAGCAGGAATTCGGAATCGAGAGAAAGAAAGCGACCTTGCTCAAGCTGCAATCTGTGCCCAAGGTGAGACAAGTCCCAAGGGCACTCTAGTACGGGCAAACACTTACACAGCATGGAGATGAAAAGATCAAGGTCTCTGTTGCGATCATCCTGAGTTACATAGACTTGTTACTCGAGCTGGGCTACTTGAGTACGGAAGAACATATATTCATGTTCCGTTGATATTATGAGTGAAGTATGTTGGGTCAATACTCCGAGTCCTTGTAAGATATTGGATCCAATGTCGAACACATTGTGGAAGTATGACGGGGAGTGAGGGACTTTGGCAATGGGGAGAGATGAGATGTGAACGTAAGGAGAGGCAAGAATGAAGTTATCCAAGCTTTCCCCCAGTTACGACGGGAGCTCAGACTGTAGAGGCCGAGCGACCGGGGTACTCACAACAGGATGAGGTTTGTTAGTTTCCTGCTTGAGTTATATAGTAGACGATCACCTGATTTTGTTGAAAGACAGGGCTCGTTGCGTCGCGAAGAGTGAGCTGATGCGTGACACAGGCGATGAGCTGGCAATCCAGGGATGCATCAAGCCAACGAAGTCCTTGAGAGTTTTGATTCCGCTTCTGATTCCGGCAGGGTCCTCGAGTTCTGACGCCCAGTACACACTCGGCGCTCTCGTTGTGAACCACCTTCTCCTTTGTCGCTGTCGTTCCGGCGGCTTCCTGGCACACGGCCTGGCTCAAAACTCGTTACTCGACAGGCCCGACTCCTACACCTCCTACGTGATCGGTCAGAGCACGGTCAGAGCACTTAGACCTCTTCAAAATCAGGATAACATGGGAAGAATGCTGCGTTGCGGCTTGGTCCGAAAAGCAAAGCGTCTTACACACGAACCTATACAAACCCCCTCAACCTCGACATTCAGCAAACCCCCAAAATAAAGCTCGTCCATTTCATCCCCTCCGTCCATGCCATCCCCTTCTACGCCGCCGCGACCAAAACCCCCGAGACGATGCGCTTCATCCCCTTCCATTTCACCAAGCTCGATGATTTCCTGGTGAATGTCGTGGGGCCCTTCCAAGCGAGCCCGGACTACCTCCTTCTCACCATCATCGACAAGCTCAAGCTCGAGCAGGGGGCGGAGGAAAAAGATTGCATCGCCGGCGTGATTGGGTACCTCGGGATGTCGACAATGAGGAGATCTGTGGAGCTGGGGCCGGTGATCGTATTGCCTGAGTACCAGCGCACGCATGTGTCGACGCACGCTATCGGGGCAGCGATGCGGTATATCCTGGAGGTCCCTGCGCAAGGCGGGCTGGGCTGGAGGCGCGTGCAGTGGACGGCGAATACGAGCAACGCAGCGTCAGTGCGGAGTGCGGAGAGAATGGGGATGAAGGTCGAGGCGGCGGCGATGCGATGGAGTTTTTGTCTGCAGGAGGAGAAGGAGGGGATCGTCGTCCCGGCTGAGAGGGGCGGCGGGAAGGGGCGGCATAGTACGCTGCTCGCCGTCTGCTGGGATGACTGGGAGAACGGAGTTCGAGATCATGTAACGAAACTCATCGCGCGATGATTCAGTGGCTCTCACACAGGCTGTCGTATGTCTCTTCTCTCTTGACTGGTTCGTGGTATTCTGAAATGAGATGGCCGAAGGAAAGCGCGTCGGAATGGAACTCAATGCTTATAACAGCTCGAGCGCAACGAGGCTCCCAAACCCCACGAATCACATAAACCCGTCGGACGCGGAACGCCTCAACCCATGCTCATGGGATGCCGCATGATGGCGGCGTCGTGGGTACCCCTCAGCACCAGCGACACCCCGGCGTACAGGCGTACCCTCCGTACATCGTCGGTGTGGGGATGTCTCCTGCGGGCCCAAGCCTGATGCGCCAGCAACCACAGCAACAGCAGTACGCTTCTGGCCCGCCCAGGTCGGCGTTCATCCTGGAGTGCCGGGTGTGAATCCGATGTAGCAGCACCCAGGTATGCAATGATCAATCCGTCTGAAGCGTATGGAACTCATAACACAGTGGCCAAGGTATATAGATCTGAAACGCGTGCGGCTTGATGACTCATTTGGTGACTAGATTTGGCAAAAATTCACCAACACATTCTCGGTTGCCAGCGTAAGTGTGCCGTTGCTAGTTCAGATTCGTTGGATTGATGTTGGCTTGTCTAGTGCTTGACACGTTACGCGCCAATATTCCGCGACTACGTCAAAGAGTTCCTCTTGACTTCTATCGCCGACGGTATCTCATATGTTGAACCTCGTATCAACTTCCGTCATAGGTATACTTCTTGCTATACATTGCACCGGTCAATTATTTATGCCCGTGGTCCAGATTCATGGACGATGCCGACGGGAATGATTGTGTTCCTCATCGTGAATGGCTCGTCATGTTTGATGAAGTTCTGAAGGAGGTCAAAGAAGACCTGCAGAAGCAAGGTCGTGAAGATGAATTCATCGGAGCCAAGGTGAGTGTCAGCTTTTGCCGTGATTGTAATGTTGCTCAGATATCGATGTCATGCTAGATCATTAATACAACCCTTCGTTTCATTACGCCCGAGGAGCTGACGAGGTACACCGAAGATTGTATTGCATTGAAGAAGGAATTTCCCCACCTCATTGCAGGTTGGTTTATTCCTCGATACCACGAACACGTTCGATTGCTGATCACCGTTGTAGGATTCGACCTGGTCGGAAATGAGAACGAGTTGAAGCCTCTAATTGATTACCTCGAACCTCTGTTGCAATTCAGAGAGAGGCAGAAGGAAAAGGGCGTTGAAACTCCCTTCCTATTCCATGCCGGCGAAACGTTTGGTGACGGCACTGAAGCTGATATGAATATGTACGACGCCATCCTCCTGGGCACGAAGCGGATTGGCCATGGGTGAGTTCCTCCGCGAGTTTACCGTCTTACAAGTGCCTGACGTTGCGTAGATTTTCTCTAGTAAGGCATCCCAGATTAATGGAAATCTGCCGAGAACGGGGAATTGCTTTGGAAGTGTGTCCAATATCGTACGTGATTTGCACTGTACTCCAGGAGAGCTCACGAACAAGACGATTCCAGCAATGAGATTCTTGTTGGTGATTCTTTTTATCTATCATAACTTCTCACGTACTCTTCTTTACCCTGCACACAGTTATTGATACCGAATGTACTCAGGCCTTTGGATTGATAGTTCGCCGTATCAATGACGAACCATTTGACGTCCCCTCTGTGCCGGGAAGTCGCGCAGTCACCATCAAGTTCATGATCCCCAACTCTCGGATGGGCTCGGTCATTGGCAAGCAGCGGGCAGTGGATTGATTCACAATGGTAAACGTCAGCGCGCACGGCGCCCCGACGTCTGGCATCCCCGTCTTGCTGTCTGCGTGTGCGTCAGTGTTCGCGCTGTGCCATCGTGGATCCATATCCCGTCACATTTACCACGCGCAAGCGCAGACACCTTCGTCTGCATCCCCCCGTCCAGCTTGACGTTCAGCTTGACTAGCCCATCGCACCTATACGCTGCTTCCCGGCGAGACTGTAGACAACTCCTGCCTACGCTCGAATGGCCGCCGCCGGAAGATGAGATGGCGTGCAGCCAACGGACGAACTCTAGCACCGCAGCTTGCTATCACCTCTTGTGGTACGTCTCCCAGCCTCCTTTCCTTTCGTCGAGCATCATACGAGCTGCTCCGAGTTACAGGTCGACTCAACCAGTCCCAAACTCACGCCCCCGTGCCTGACGTTTTCGATCCTCGAGCTTTGAATATCACCACCAGCACGCCTCTCGAACATCGTCATCTCGCGAGCATCAAATAAGCGCCTGTCTGTGCCGCGCCGCCAGCCTCTTCGACAGTGGATTCACGATGATAAACGCCTGAGCGCACGCCCCCCCCCCGCCGTCTGGCATCCCCGTCTTGCTGTCTGTGGGCGCGTCAGTGTTCGCTCGCTGTGCCATCCTGTCCCGCCTTCCTTGTGAATGCCATCACTGCATTCTGAGTGTCCCCCTCAATCGAACGACCGTGAACTAACATCGTTCATCTTGGCATAATCATTCTCGCAAATAACTGCGTGCCTATCAGGCCTGATTGAGCCAACATGAACGCATCGATTGCATCTACGAGGACGTCGTTACCGTGTCCAACCAACCAACCAAAGGTGCGTACCATGTATTGATCGTCCTTGTTCTCCCATCCCTGCATTCTTTTGTGCCGCGCTCCGTTTCGAGCGCTGGTTTCTTCTTTGAATCCCCACTTCGTCTCTCTTGATCGTGCGCTCTAACTCGTTCTCCCTCTAGCTTCACCCTTGTCACGATCAACGCCGTTGCTGCTAACGACGGTTATCTGGAACGACGAGCAACGCAGGTAAGTCCCTCCACACGTACACACAAAGACACGCTTACCTCCCCAACGCAGGACGTTGCTCAGCTCCTCTCGCGGCCTCGATACTTCTCAAATCCCTTCTTTTCGATGGAGCCTATTGTGGACGTCGCCGTGGCTACCCGACCGATGAGCAATGGCTTCTCCGTGTTCCAAGTGATCTTCCCTCCAGCCCACATCCTCCGCGTGAACGGCTCGGGTGGGCAGAATTCTGCGTCGGTTCCGTCTTTGCGCAGATTAGCCTCGGCATTGCGGGGGTGGAAGAAAGCGAGGTGGTGCCCGTAACCTAGTGGTGCACCGTCTTTAGGCTCGGTCCACTGACGCCTTGTACCATCGCGGGTTGGTAAAGTGATGTACAGGTCCGAGACGCGTTCCCGATGAAATGTATTTCGCATAACTAGGTGCTTGGGGGACGCTATCCATTCGTCGAGGGCCGCATCGCTCCAGAATTGTCGGCGCGACGAACGAAGCAGTGGCGAGCACCGAGAAGCTTTGATCGACAACATGACCGGCGTCGAATATGATGTTACTGGAACAGCTGACAGTTTACAGCTGTCAAATTTGGCCTTGTCAAGACATGCGTCGTATGTCTCAATTGTTGTGTTTTGATGAAGGTTTTGCTCATGGATATTATAGGCGAATCTTTCCATCAGTACTCCGTTCAACCATTGACGTTGTGGCTGTTGCTACGCGCCGGTATGTGGATTGAATGGAAGTACTACACAGGTAATTATATACAGGAAGGCAAGCACTTCGCGGTCTAATTCGTGACATTGTCAGATACGTCGCTCTATTCGCATGGACCTTGGTAAACTGGGTCAGCTTCAATCACCTCATTAATAGAAGGCAAGATGGCGAAGTTAGCGATAATTCTCGACGTGCAGTCGACGTAATGGGCAAACTTCTGTTTGCCTTCTTCGTCTGCGCTGCCGTCCTGCTATTCGAAAAATTCTCCATTCAGTGGATTGCTGGTAAATTCCATGAGAGATCCTACGCCGGTCAGTCTTCTTTATACTCCGTTTTCCCGTCCTAACAATAGAGCCCTTTAGAACGCATAGCACCGTCTTCCTTGATTCGAATGGCACTTCGGTCCAAGCGCCTAATGTCGTGCTCAACGGGATGGTAAGAGTCGTAAAGCGCTTTACGCACGGCGCTCACTCGGAAAGAAATATTGATGTTCGTTCGACAGTTTATCCAAAATATCCGCAGAAGTCCTCAGGTACGGACTCCGAGATAGCGCCTATCGGTGGGTGGCGGTTCACAGACAGGAACTCGGTCCTAAGTAAGTTCGCTCCATCTTTATCTATGAGCGTTGTTGACATGGGCTCAGTGGACCTCTCCCTTGTCCTCGCCGTGAGTCCGCCATTCTGTCTGTACATCCCATGTACCACTAACCAAACCCAGATGACAGTCCATATCCAGGCGTACGCACCCCAACAAAGGAGCAATGTGATTCATTCTGCCAGTTATCATCTGAGGAGGATTCTGTGTCACTGAGTATTACAGTAGTTGGCAATTTTGTGAACGACAATCATGATGGAATGGTGTAAGAGATGATTGGCGGAGTTTTGAGTGTCATGAGAGGTAAAGTAAACTGGTAATTCAGAGGCCTGTCCGACTCATCGTCGTCTAGGAAGGGTGGCAGTGCTGTGAGAACCAGGAAGTAGCACTTACCTAAACTGGCAGTTGGTTGAACTCTCACTTCTACCGCCACTTTCAAGGCATTGAACACCTGTAAGAGAGATCTACTCCATCTGTTGCAAAGAACTCATTCAATATAGTAGACCAATGCCCTCTGAACCTCTTTTTGTTGTCACAAATGAGGATCCTGAGCTAGATCTCGCAGATCGCTCATGGATTAGACAAGAACCGCTGTTAAGCTTATTCCGATGGATCCATGAAGTGGATGAGGAAGAGCGGGCCCAAGGTTATGCTGACTGGAAGATCTCCGTAGCTGCCAAGATTTTGAGCAAACATCAGCAGTTGGTGAGTGAGCAATCTTCAGACCGTGTATTTTGAAGCTCAAATAATTCATCCAGGCTGAGCGTATCACAGACTGGCTCTCCTTCTGCCTGAATGGCAGCTCTATGCCGACTGAGCATTCAGTGAATGCTTTCATTGACATTTTTGTCCTTCTGGCCCTGGAGAAAGATACTGAGGCCCGAGGTAGGCTCAATGAAGCACTGAGGGAGTGCATGTCCTTGCCTGTGAGTGTCCTTCTGCCATTTTATAGTTCTGCTTGTTGATGTTCTCTATCAGCTGTCAAAGTCCAATATGCTGGTGGGAGGTGCTAGTGATGATGAAGATGACGAAGAAGGAGACAGTGACGAAGAAGTGGATGGGATGAGGGTTTTGGAGACATTTTGGGAGGCCAAGCTTCCAGTCGAGTGGAAGGCAATGATACGTACAGACCCTAGCCTACAGCTCCAGGTCTGCCAGCTTTGGGCTGAAGCTTTGCAGCACTTCTTTGATACACCTGATGTGAGTGACCACTCTCTGCGAGATATTTAATATACTCACACAAGGACAGAAACTAACTACCAGCATCCGTCGGGGAGCCATTCAGGCTCTTCAACAGATGCGGAAGATTACTGTCACTACATGGAGACAGGAGACCTGGCGGACTGCAGTTAAGGTATGTTATTGGTGTATTCTGATGGGAGTGTTCTCTAAAATAGCACAGGAGTCAGGATTGGCCAAGGCTATGACCACCATCTGTGATAGTGGATACTTATTCAGTGTTGAGTCCCCACATGTTCTCGAGACCTACCGCTACAATGTTTGGCGTGAAACCTTGGGTGAAATCCTGCTTCGCTGGATGCCACCAGCGGCTATTGATGCTGAAGAGGATACCACAGAGAAGGTAAGCACAGTGGCAGAATTATGAGAGGGGGGGACTAACATGACTAGACCCAGGCTGATGAATCCCCTAACAACTTGCCTTGCACTGCTGAAAATGTGCTCAAGGTGATGTGTGAGCATGTGGAGACCATTCCACGGGTATCTCATCCTTGCTCGGTGTTCTTTCTGGTTAGCCAGGAGAACTTTATCCATGCATGGGAAGTCTGGCTGGAGGGTGCTCTCAAGCACCGTGGTATTCAGGTATGTCTAGGAAATAACTCTCAGATATTGTTGTTTGACTGGTGATTCACTGCTAGACCAGCAATGTCAACCTCTCAATGTTGCACCGCCATCTGAGGGGGATGAATCTTAAAGCTTTTGAAAGGACCCATGAGATACCAGAGGTGTTGAGGGTGATTCTCGAGGAAACTCAAGCTCTTGTTTCCAAGAACAAGGACACCGAGTACAGTAACTTCCGGTCGAAGAAACGAAACTTGGAAGAGAAGGCAGTGCCACGGCCAAAGAAGAAGACACCCAAGAGACGTCGAAAGCATCTGGAATTAGATGGTGCAACTTACTTGTCTCCTTTACCCTTGGCTGCCCCTTCCCCTGCTTCATCGGTTGCCCCTTCCCCTTCCCCTTCCCCTTCTCCTACCCCACGTCCAGAAAGCCCAGTGGACCCTAGTGTACCACCACCCAACCTTCAGCCCCATCATATTGTCAACTCTTCCAATATTCCTACTCAGCCACTGGTCGACCTGCCCAATGCTCCATTGTTCGATTCTGAGGAGTTCAGGATGCCTGATGAATTCACCAACAGTTGTGTGAATTGCAATACTCTGACAGAGGATGAGTGGTGCATTCGTAGGTTTGCGGTGGATGAGTTGGAGGGGTATGAGCAGTATGAGGGATGTGTCATCACCACTGCTCCTCCAGAGGATCGTTTGCCCCCCATGGTGAGTCTCCTACATGTGTCATTGATATGCCAAATAACATAAAGATGATCAGCTGGTCAAGGGGAGCAAGAAGAGTGAAGAGCCCCATTACTACCACCCTGATGACCTCAAACTCCGCCAAATCAAGGCTCGCTCAGAGGTGTACAAGCGATGTACCAAAGATGTCACCCTTCTGGTTAATGATGGCCTTCTGGTAAGTGTCATTATATTATGAAGGCCATACTCTGACATCGCTGTAGGTTGGTGCGGTGCAATATCAGGCATTTACTCAAGAAACACTTGATGAAATGTCACAGCATAAGAAGATGACTGATAAGCTCAGCAGTGTCAAACGAGGTGCGGGTTTTCGAGCTTTTGCATGGGGGAGCATGAAGGCCCTCGGATCACGCCTGCCCCAGGGAGGCAATCCTGCCAGTGGATATGGCCCCTACAAGGACATGATGGCCAAGGAGGTAGAGGAGATCCATGCCTTGTTTGGCCACGCAAAGGTAAGAGTCCTTTAAATCTAGATGAATTTGTGTTGATGAATGATGGTAGGTTGCTGACACCTTGGTGACAACAGGGCAGTCTGTTTACTCCCCAGTCACCAAGGCTCTTGGGAAGCACTTTGTTGCTCATGGTGTGGACCCCCTTGGCAGTGCAGGTGGCAACCTGTTCATCTGTCATAACTACTGCAGCCCCATGCATTTGGACCGTGATAAGACAATGTCAACATGCATGCAGCTTGGAAAGCGGTGCAAGGAAGGGGAGTGGAACTTTGTGTTTCTCAGATGGGGAGTTTACCTTGACAATGGGCCCAACACATTGTGGTGAGTTGATTTAAAATTTGTATTTGTAAAAGCTGATTCTCTTCAGGCTTTTCAATGGAAATGACATGCATGGCAGCACCATGCCTAGCAAATCAACCATGGCAGAGGCTCAAGGCCAAAGGAGTGGAGGTAGTACTGGTGGACATAATGTTGTTGCTGGTGGAGCAGCAGGAGACCAAGTCCACTTGGGGAATCATGCTAACGCACCACCTCTTGCCTATCCAGGTGGTCTGATGTGGGTTGTGGTTGGTCCAGGTGAAGCCTCAACTGGGTACCATAACTCAGTGCGAAGCATAGATGTGGCCCGGGCTTCACACTATCAAAGAGTTCGCAGACAACTCCCAGCAGTTCAGAGATACTGGAACTAGCAGTTGTAATAGTACTATTATGTAAACAAGAGAGTGTTAAATTAAAAGCCATCATACATTCTATAACAAGTGGCCAAAGCATCTACCCAAAGAAGTCTGCGAGTGTTCATATTACGTGACATAACATCATGCCGGGAATGAAGCTCCTGGGTGAGTGCTCCAAACTGATGTGGTGAGAGCGGCATCACCGGCGGCTCGCAGTCTACCTTATTCAGATTTGATGGTGTGGTTGCTGGAGCAAAGGGATTGTCGTTGTCCCAGTCCTCTGGATTGTTTTCAAGAAGGTGGGTCATGAGCTGTGTGTCATCAAGGACCTCCCAGTCAACACCATATCCAATGATGTCCTCCGCTGCCAGATCTTCTGCAACAGGTTCCAGAAACCGCTCAATTCCTCGTGCGCCTTCCTGAAGCATTCCAAAGATATACATGTCACGGGGACTGCGGGCACGCTCACCACGGATGCTGATCTTGTGGGAATTCCAAGCCTCGACCCACTCCTGGGCATCCTCGTTAATGGCCTCAAGGAACAGGTAATGGAGAAGCCAAATGTGGCCAGGGCGCTGAGGGTCGAGGCCATGGTTGCACTCAAGATCATGGAAGAAGTCCTTCCACTTGAGGCCAAACCCATGAGTTAGGTCGTACCATAGCCGTTCAATTCGGGTGTTGTGAACACTTCTGAGAATCATCATGAGCTTGAGGCAAAGGAGAAAAGTTAACAACAAACCGTCCCCAGATGTATGATCCCCGTTCTATTCCAAAATACTCCTCCATCCAAGCTGCCACAGCTAGGTTCTCCACACCATGGTCCCCTCAAACACGGCTTGGGTCACCATGCATCTCACGAGCATCATGGAAGAGTTCCAGCACAGTCAATGCACGGTTGTTGTTATGGGCTCGCAAACCGGTGATGAAGCGGGAGAATCCATCAATGAAGCAATGAATGACAATCTTGTAACGTATAAGACCTGAGAGTGTTCAGAAGATTTGTTGAGAAGGAGAATGAAACAGAGCCGACCATGCTGTCCATCATGATGCCACAAAGAGTTAGGGCCGGGAACAGAATAGCGGCGGCGAGCAATATGTCGGTTTCCAAAGATTGCAGGTGTGCCGTGAACACGGAGGTAGGACATGGTGACACGTTCACGTGGGAGACGATGGCCAGAGGCACGGAGATGTCCATCGATCATACGACGTCCAGCATTTGGAAAGCTTTCCAAAATGGAGCGGATATGTTGGTCAAGCTCTTCGTCATTCAGAGTGGAGACAGGAGCCGACGTAGATGTGTACTGGGCGACTTGCTCACCGTCGACCTCAACGATGTTGCGAACGGGCGCAGCAGGTAGGGCAATGCCGAGCTCCAGAGCGCGTCGACGAACAGATCTTGCAGAACAATTGAAGACCTCAGCAAGATGGGTAGTGCCACGAAGCTCTAGAGCAGACTCCAAGAATGTTGGGTCAATGTGTACTCGTGGACGTCCTCTTCCTCCGGTATGAACACGCTGAGCAACGACCAATGTTGGTCCATGGGGCGGATCCAAAGAGCGATGGCAGGCAGCATCAAGGTCGTTAGCCATCACCGTGCAATTGGCTTGCAGTGTTGCATATTCAGCGGCAGAAAATGATTGCAGGTGCTGGACAGAGGCATTGAGAACAGCTTTGGTATATGACACATGACGTACCTGCTCTGCAGCTGAGGAGAGACTGAGAACTTGGTCTCGCACCTCGGACAGCTGTTGGACTGCCCCTACCTGTGTGCGAAGTGCAGTGGTGACACGTTGTTCAAGGACGGCATAACTAGCACGAAATTGGTCAACAGGGGTGGTCATGGTAAGACGACTTTGACTGAACTTTGAGCAATGACTTCAAACCGAACGTTGACAGACAGTGAATCACAGTTTTCCTAGAAAGGCTTATGTTTATGGAATCCTGCTCTGCATAACATAGGCTTAGGCCGTCACCAGTGGTACAGCTTATGCATATGCATAACTACTCACCATTCCGTGATCCATGAGGATTTGTTGTGAATTTGCATGTTTAGGCAAAGTGGTATTTACCGCTGCATATGATTTGACCGTAGTGATTCATCATGATAAACAGTGATTCATTGTGCACAATGCCAGTACATATGTATATCTGTAAAGAAAATCATACCCATTGCGTGAAAAGCAATGATACCTGAGGATAGTTCAGAATCCTTCGTGAACTCGGGTGATTCAGGGTTCAGAGCGCTTATGCATTGCTTTTTGTCCGATAAGGTCCCTCAAATACATCGCATAAAATGGCCTCCAACATGAGTGACACCATATCTTCTAACTCATTACTACACTATGACTACTCAGACGAATATTTGAGTGGTTACGACTCCGACTCCAGTGAGCCTCTTCTAGACGATTCACTTCCTTCACTCATTCGACATGAACTAGGTATGGCGTCTACAAACTCTACTCCCAACAAGCAAGGTACAACTGGCGCTCTGCACCGCACTCGCGACAACATGGACGCTGCCCTGCAGGCGGACCTTCGCAATCGAACGCTCCGTGATGTGTCAGTTGACGACTTCGTGAAGCATGTGTATGGTTTCACGGAAAAAGACACAGAGTATATCACATCAAAGACGTGGACGCTAGATTATCAAGGCTTGGCCGAATACAACTTGGCGCTCAGCAAAGGCCTGCCGGAAACTGCCCTGTATTCGCCGTTCAAGACTATCATGGACGAGTTATTCCAGAAATTCCGCGATGACGAATATGCCCTCGATATCAATCTTGCTTCTCTCGGCAGCGAGCAATCGAAGAGCACGGGCACACCTCGGAAACCTGATGGGCTTTTCATGTTTAAGTCACACAAAGACTCTTACAAGGTGTCTTGGTCGCTCTCCAAGGCCTTTCTTGAATTTCAAATTCGCCCCGGCGAACAAAGGCTTCGGAAGGAAGCGCGCAGGGTGCGTCGCCCCATCGACACAATTCGCGAAGGAACAACGCTTGCGGCTGCTAATGTGGGCGTCATAGCCTCTACGCCAGACTTGGCACCCTCTCCGCCACTCAAGGCGCTGTCTGGTTACAAGCGTCGGAGCGCTGACGTTCTCGGCACTGAAGAACAAGGTCCTTCGAATCGACCCAAGCAAATGACTCGGAAAGAGGCACAGGGCGCTGGGTATGCCCTCGAGATGATGGCAGCCGCGTGTAGGCGTTGGGCTACCGGCTTCGTGATCAAGGATAAAACCGTATGGGTGCACTACTACGACCGCATAGGCGCCATCTTCACTGAGGAGTTCGATTTTTCTAAAGACCCACAAAAGCTGGCGATGGTGGCTTTGGCCCTTGCCAAGTGCGACGTTGTTCAGGCTGGATTCGAACCCCTCATCTCCCCTAGCCCCGACTCCCCGCTTTCCGCTCCCCTCGTTTCGCTGGACGGCGCGTTCCTCCATTTGCCTGTGCGCGATGATGACGCAGGCGCTACGTATGTGAAGGGCTTCGAGAACGATCTCTACTCTCACTTCGAAATCTCCGGTAATCCATTATACACATACCAAGGTCTTAACGGCCGAGGCTCACTAGTCCTTCCCGGCCGTCCCATTCAAGCAGTGAAGGGAAGTGGCACCCAGCCAGAGCAGGTCGCGGCCGATACGCCAGGCGCCAACAACAGCACGAAGGATTCTGGCGGCATGGGAATGGTCCACGGAACCACGACATCTGGGGAATCCCCTCCTCAAGTCCCTATGGTAGTCAAGCTTAGCTGGCCCTTGTCTACGCGACCGAGTCTTGAAGCAGAATTGATTCACGAGCTCCGGCGCGATAAACTGGGGCGCATGAGACCTCACCTTCCCAAGGTCCACTTTGCGATGGTGCTCAAGGGGACATCTATACAGCTTCCGGGGGACCTGTTCCGCTCCATGACCACGGCGCACAATCTCGAGCAGCGTTATTTCACGCTCATGATTGTTGAACAGTACAACCATCTATGGGAGGTCCCGACATGCGACGATTTCCTCGATGTATACCTCGATATTGTAGAATGTATGTCCTCTCCTTCTTCCAGTGTTCGTCTAAGATCTAACTCCACTAAAAGGTCATCACGCTGCGATGAAAACCGGAAACATCCTTCATCGTGACATCAGTGAAAAAAATCTGTTATGGCAACAAAAGTCTCGCTGTGTCGGTGTTCTCAACGATTGGGATCTATCATCCGCCGTTGCTCAGTTGGGGGCTCACACGAAGCACCGCACGTTTTATGGCGCTTGATCTCTTGATTGGTGCTGAACCACCCTCTCATCTCTACCGGCACGATCTCGAATCTCTGTTCTACGTCTTCGTTTGGGCAGCGGTAGACTTCACCCTCGACAAGGAGAAGCCATTTGTCAAAGAGACCAACTCAGCAATACTGAAATGGGCTGGTACATATGCAGACGCCTACGAAGCGAAGTCAAGCTTCTTAACCAAGCCAAGGCCAGTGTTCAGTGGGATACAGCCTGCGTTCGAGCCGCTACGATATTGTCTCGATGGTCTTTGGAGTTTATTCCATAAGGCCTTTGAGAACTCGGTCAAGCTTGAGAATCAACTTGAGAAAGCCAAAACCGCTTCTACTGGGCGAAGGACTCGGAAACGCCGGAATGTAGATATGATCTACGATGAAGAACTCCCTCCCGTTGAACCGAGTCCTCATTCAAGTCCTCATTCCGAAAACTCCGTTGAGGTCAATCCTCCCACTGTCGACGAGGTTACCATTGATTTCGAAACTATGGGAGGGTGTTTGACCTTCGAGAAATTTCTGGCTGCCTTAGGAGAACAACCCCGACAGTATAAGTCCTAATCGCTGTGATGATGCCCTCCATCCAGCCTCTTTGCTGTTCCTCGAAATTGTGCTCTCCATGGCTATACATTCTCTTCCTTTTCTCCCTGTACACATCTCATAATATATATGACATAGCCGTTGACTGGATTGGAATATTATGTGATCACCACCCTCGCTACTTACAAGCGACAACTTCCGAAGCACATAACTACCTGTTGGCTATGCTGTGCTATGTATGCGGTAGAAAATAGTGTGGCAGGATGGGTGAACGACTGCTTGCTAAATCCAGTAATAGCTCGTCTCGTCTCGAAACCAAAATGTCGGGGCTTTATCATCTGCATGTTACAGGCCTGCTAAAACCTGAGTGATTGTTAAACGCCGATGTATGTTGGGTTGGATATATCTATCTATCAGAACGCTACTTACCGTTCGACCCAAACGTTGCACAAATGGCCGCCTTTATCATAACCGTAATCAATCCCTAACCCCTGGCTTGCCCCGTAGGGACCTACATTGGTTTTTATGCACGGGGACGGAAATGGACAGTAGAATACGCCATAGTACTTGGTCTTCTCGTTTTCCAACAAGGAAATACACATAAATGATATGTCAATCTTCCGCAAACTTTTCCCAGTCCCACTCAAATCTGCATGCCATAAGAGGTATGCCCTTGATGGTAGCAGCACGGGGTGCACCTCGACGCCAGCGCTCCCACTGGCAATCCCCATACTGGCTGCGGAAGTCGATGAACTGCAGCGTTGGCATACGCAGAAATACGTGCTCAACCGTGCGCCAATCGTCAAAGGCGTAAGGGACGGAGATGCGGAGCCCTTTCAGTTTTGGCGTCCGCACTTCAAGGAGAGTGTGTAGGATGAGGTATGCGTCTACAGCGAGTAGATAGCGGTCAACACGAGCCGGCGAACGGAGAACAGGAGGCAAAGAGAAAGGCAAACGCACCATCTCGACCATTCTGAAAGTCGAAGTACTCTAGATCAGGCATGTGCTGGAGGAGCGAGAAGGCGGGGATGCGAAGGGAGTATATCGAGAACACCCGCACGCTCCGTATGACCTCCTTCACGCGATCAGATATCGCTATTTCTGCAGGCGACCCGTGTACTTCAGCCTTCCATCTGAGCAGCCTCCTGTCCGGCGGCAGACACCCGGTGAAATCAACCGAGGCCCACAGCGTGTGCAGATTAGGGAGGAGAGTTGCTTCCAAGGGTTGTGCAGAGATGCCGCGCACCTCGAGGTGGGTGATGGATGGGTGAGTGCTGAGAATAGAGTGAAATGTGTCCCAGTCCCTGATCGAGTGATCCCACGTGAACCTCTTCAATGCAAACGGGGGTCTGCTCCAATGCAGCGTCTTGTGCAGCGGGACCTCGCGACTTGAGTACGAGCCCAGGAATACGAACCCTCTCAGGTTGACCAGCCGACTGAGGATCGCGTCGACCAGCTGTCCGGGCTCTGAGGAGCATTCGAGACGGTAGTTCAGGCAGAATGTGAATCTGCGCACGTAAAGTGTGAGGCGATGGTTTCCTTTGTCGGTTACGGTATCGTGGAATCTGCGGAGGGGTTGGATGTTCTGACCACAGCTGAGCGCCGCGCTGCCGAGAGAGACGTCCTCGTACAGAATTCGCTCTGTCTCTGAGCGTATCAATCTCGAAGCGACCAGGAGCGAGTGCAGCGTCGGTCGGTCGTCGACGTGGGCGATGACGGATCCAACGAGCTCTGTAGGAATCTGAGAGATCATACTGCGAGTCAAAGCAGTGCTCAAGAGCGCAACAAGAGCGCCAACACTTTATATTGGGAACGTGGAACGGGTCCGCTGACCTGACAATTGGTGTCGAAATCTCAGGCTGTCCATGTGCCTGAGGGCGTGCATCGCGCGTAGCTAAAACAAAATTGGATCTAGAGAACACCCCAAGGTATACAGATAATGGTAAGAAGAAGAAAGTCGTTTCGGACTCAGCCACTGTTCGAAGTTCGAACATCTCAGCAGTTCATGCTATCTTCTCCAAATCCGACTCAACCACGTTCTGCGCGGACTCTCACTCGCATCGGGCTCAGTACTGTCAGTTTCCCCAGGTCCCTTCGAGGTGGGAATGGGGCTGCTGTTGGCGTAGCGACGTTTGTATTCAGCTGGCGTTTCTCCATTTGTACCGGCCTTCCACATGCCTCGACGAGCCGATCTATGAGGATACCGTAAGTGATGAGCAAATGGCAGACAAACAGAACGCACTTGGCCTCCTCCATCGCACTCATATACTGCTCTTTCCCCCACTGTCCGTATTCAGCGTTGCTCTGCTCGTACACTGTGCCGCAGCCAGCCCTGCAAATTCGCCTTCAGAATTTGTTCGAGACTCAGAGCTTGGACACTGACTTTAGCATTTCTATCGAAAGGTTGGCTCCCCTTCTAATCGCTAGCGAGCCCGGCAGCAGACGCGGGGACACCACGATCGCGACCTAGGTAGGTAACACAGTGAGAAGCCCGACTCCGGAGCCACACCTACGCAACTCACTACGCGGTTATACTGGTCTCTGCGGAGGAGCTGGCAGTAGACAGTGCGCCCTTGTAGGCGGTTCCTCAGCCAGAGCAGGCTTTCCGCGGAATGCGGTTGCGCTGGACGGCCGAAATGAGCGCCCTTGAAAGGTTAGACTTTAGCTTTGCGTGGATTGTAACCGCGTACTTCTGGAGCATCCACTCCGGCGATTCGGATGTGTATGGTCTTGTCTTTGAGTGCTGGAGCACAAATGTTAGTCCACGGTATGTTATACACGCGGGGAACACGGACCTTTGGTAGCGGCCGGTATTCTTCGAAATTTCAGAGGCCAACGCCAGCCCAGCCCGGGAGTGTGGTACAATCTAAAGTTATCTGCGTCCCCCACACTGTGTCCTCAACTGATAAGACGTCCTAGCGGAAGCGGCCACGCCCGTACCATGCACACCGAGCGAGCAGTAATCGAGAAACTCACTTCGTTACGTATCCTTTCACCCACTTTCGCTTTTGAAAGACGTCCGGGGTAATCCATTCCGCATTTCTTATTCTACGAAAGTACCGCCTGTATACAGAGGTTCCAACTACTGTTGAGAGCGAGCCAAGGGCAAACGCGGTGGGGAGAACGACCGCTAGTGGAGTTTGGGAGTTTGTGAGGGAATTGAAGAAGTTTGAGGCAGTCGTCTGGATCACCTCGCGAATTTCGTAGCCTTCTTTACGTTCTTCGGTGGGCATGGCCAGGACGTGGAACAGTGGCACGAAGCTCAGTTTAATTCTAAGTTGATAAATATCCTAGCTTGTTTCACACGGGTAGTGACCAGCAAAACACATAAAGAAGCTACTTTGATAGTTGCGTGAATTCCACGATGTAAAGTTCTTCTGCAATCCTGACTCTCGTGCCCATGGTCTCTGTAACATCATGGATATACCTCTGAAGCTATGACCTCTGAAGCCATGACCCGCATCCGGCGTAACTTGTAGAGCAGCCCGACATGAGCACCTTCGCTTCCGCAATCGTGGAGTGCATTGCTAACAACACCGTAAGAGAGTGTATAGGTTCTGCAAGTCTCTTCCGGATCCTTCCACACTCTTCGAAACCCATGTGTGTTGGGGCAAAAGACGCGAAACCGGGAGCAGAAACGTTCGGCTATCTTCCGGTGGCCCATTCAACCCGTTGTTTGAGGGTACGTGATGCCATTGTTCGCCTCGTGGAGACCGTCCGCTCTCGTGAGGCAGTACCGGCGAGGCAACCTTCAAACACTTGCCTGATCTAGTGTTGGGGATTTATGCCACCCATTATGCAACAAATCGGGAAGCAGTAAACGTGGTTTTCATTCGGTTATCTCTTGTGACCATCCTAACGGTTCGGTGCGGAGATTTAGGGTGCCTACTTACTACCCTAGGCCTTGGGATAAAGGCCTGCCGGTGGGTTGGCCACACCCAGACAATGAGGCTGAAAGGAAGGCCTTTATGTATAAGAGGGAGGGTCAAACAGTAAGAGGCTCATTCAAACATAGTACCATACCGCAACTACGTACCGTGCAATATGCTCGACGCATTCAAGATCAAGCCCTTCGACCTTGAGCCGATATTCGCGTCTTGGACTGACGGTCCCCGCTTTACGGGCAACCCCAAGAAAGACCTACCTGTCGACGAATGGTTGAACCAAATCAAGGAGGGGTGTGTTCAGCGCAAGGTGCCGCAGGAATACTGGCACAAAGTCGGTCGTCATTTCATGGAACCAAAGGCGAAAGCGAGGTAAGTTTGCTCTCTAGACGACATGTTTCTATACTGAAACGATGACGTAGGATGGACGAGTTGAAGAAAGTGATGGCCAAGGTCCATGGTGGCAACTATCGCTGGAACTGGAAGAAATTCAAGATCGCTATGCGCAATATGGGATGTACGTATTATTTGAGACTTTACCTCTCCCCCAGACTAACGCTATTACCAGGGGATATTGATGCGTCCGAAACCGAGGCTATTCGTGTCCAAACGAAACCGTCTGGGATATTTTGGTTCACGAAGAACAAGACCGAGGAACCTGAATCTGTTGAAGAGGTCGTAGAGACCAAGGATGTCAAGGGACACCAACGTCCGACCTTGTCGTCTATGCGCTCGGACTCGCTGTGGCTCATGCGCAAGAATTCGAAGAATGCGAGTGAACAGCCCCAGAGGCCCATACCAGTCAAATCCAAGACAACAGACTCTTCTTTTTGGAATACCAGGAAGGAGAAGGAGTCTTCCAAAGACGAAGTGTCGAAGGAGGTCATCTCCGCAGCGCCTCTTCCCAAGAAAGCTGAGACCGCTGTAGTCCTTCCCTCGAAGCCGGTCGAGTCGAGTCCAGAAGAGAGTAAGGAACCCTTTTAGCATCGTAAGCGGCTTTTGCTCATGTCATCTTAGCGGTTACAACCATCGCTCATGCACCAAAGTGGCTCCTCAACGCCTGTAACGCGCTTGACTTCCTCACCACTGAGCATCCAAAAACCATGACGACGATCAGGTGAGCGTTGCCCATCATCTTAGTAGAAAGTGACATACTGAACTCTCCTCGCAGCGCTGTTCTCATTACCGTTGGTACTCTACCCGCAACTCTGGTAGCTGCAGGCGTTGGAGGACCCGTTGGAGCAGTATTGGCCTCCCACGCCGCGCAAGCCGTCAGCGCGGTGGCCCTCGGTGTCGGTAACTTGTTGAAAGCACAAACGGACGGACAAGTCCAAGCAGCCAATGCCCCCGCCACGTCGACCGTTCGCTGAAGTTCCCGAAGTTGCTACATGCGGGACAGGTAGCAAGACCTGGACCCATTCACGTTGTTTATAAATTTATTTGTTATCATTTTATGCACTTACGACCATTAGCCCTTCACATACTTGTACTACCATTCATGTCTGTTGGCTGTGCGGTCAGAACCATCGACCGTCTAGATCCGATAATAGTGGTCCGTCAATTCGATGACCGTCTACATAGATGCCGCCGCGTGCATATTCTGGATCAATACGAATTGATAAGTCGGAGCAAAGCTTCATAAAATCATTGGGTAGTGGCGATCTTAGGCCAAGTCGGAGGTGCTTGTTTGGACCTGATTTCCTGAATCGCTAAGAAGAGGTTCAAATTCCAAATGGGAGAGGAAAGAAATGAGTACTGACGTCGAATTCGAGGAAGGAAGAGTGTAAAAGGACACGATCCTTGGGGAGACTAATACTCTTCCCGATGGACTTTGAAGAATCTGTGGAGGAATAAAGAGCATCGCCAAGTATTGGTGCTGCACGAGGCGGATTAAGAGAGGGGGATGTCACAGGGCGGGATGTCTCGTACCTCGGAGGCATTGCGCCATGTGTATTCGAAGTTGATGTTTCAAACCAGTGTGTAATTTGAGTTGAATGAGGCTCAAAGGAGCTACAGGCTAAACGATGCAAATGTCAGGCAGTTCCTGCGGCCAAGTCGAAACTGTGACGTACAGATGAAGCGAGAAGCTTCCAGCTCGTCACTGAGTTACTCGCCTTCGTTGATGAGCTCAATGAGCCTCGGCCATCATTGTACTGCAGCGCAGCTTCGACGGTACCTTCTCCTCCAGGGAAGGACGCCTTTCCGCCCCTCACTATGGCTAGATAGTATTTGTCAATGGTTCGTTGACTAAATTGCCGTGAGAGGTCTCGGGCCATGGAAGGCGAGCGGGCCAAGAGAAGAGACCCCGTTGTACACTGTCGACACAGGCATCGTGAGTAAAGTTCCAGGATGCAGGACTCCCTTTAGGGCACCTTATCCAACCGATGGACGGGAAATGGGCCATCCGGTAGGTTCAGACTATTTTTGAGACCTATATCAACGCAGCATCAGGACACTACCCGTACATCCTTACGCCACAGCCATACCTTGGAGAAGGTAGTCAAATTGATTTTCGTCGGTCTGTTTGCTGACTTTCAGTTTGCGTGCAACACGGAAAAGATACCGCTGCTCACCACCGACTCTGGGGACGCGTTCTTAGGAAGCTGCGCCTGGCAAACTAGTCCAGCGGGTTTGTTGAGGAGAATGACGCCTCTGTCGATGTATGCAACATGTCTCAGAGCTCCTGAGGAAGAACGGAACGACATGTACGGGACCAACGGAGTCGGAGAGTACTAGTAACTTCGGAGGTGAACTTCCAGGAGTGAGCGAAGTGACCGTGAGAATAGAAACTCCCATGCTCAGTGCCAATCACTCTTTCTTCTTCATAACCTACCATTACTTTCCACTTAGCGAAACAGCAATGTCGAATGTAGCCGCCAACGCAGACGCTCCAAAATCAGCAAAGTGAGTATATATGTGTGTGTCCTCGATGGGGCCTCCATTAACCTATAGCGTGTTGTTAATACCAGAAAGCGAAAGCTCACCGACAAGTCCATCCCGAATGTTATCCTACAAAACCCAGCGTTCGCGGAGGATTCAGCAATGTATCAGGACCTTCTGGAGATGGAACGCAAACTAGATTGGACTACCACGAGAAAGAAAGCCGAAGTTCAGGATGCGCTGGGGAGAAATCCAACAGTGAGTGGATTAGATACTAGTATTCTTCCGACTTCCCAATATCTCGAAGACGACGCGCACCCTCCGGCTGTTCCTCAGTCACAGCACTTCAGGCCAGGCATGGCAGGCAGGATCTGATGCTGTGGTTCCCAACTTCGATACAGGAGAAGGTGTTCCTGCGTGGACGCTGAAGATTGATGGCAGGTTGTTGGAGGTGCGTCCGTCCTGGACATGCATACTTGTTTCTGAGAAATAGCAGCCCCCGAATGCACGAAGCAGGGACAAGATTCAGCCGCGAAAATTCTCGACTTTGATCAAACGAATGGTAGTGGAGATGGACAGAGACCCAGCAGTGTACCCAGAGTCGAACATCGTCGAAGTGAGTATATTGCTTCCCCCTCAGGTCCAGGCCTTTACACGCTACTGTCAGTGGCCCCGCGCGTCAAGTCACCAGAATCCGGTTCTGGACGGGTTCACTATTCGCAGGACGGGCGATGTGCTCACTAAGATCAGGCTCATATTATTCCTTGACCATATGCCGGAGCAATTCAAGGTCGCTCCTGAACTAGGTCACATCATCTTGCGCCCTACTCTACCATGACGCTGACCATTTCCACAGCCGCTGTGCTTAGCATCAAAGAAGAAAGTCGGGTCGGCGTCATCCAAGCGTTGTGGAACTACGTGAAGGTGCAAGGGCTGCAGGATAAAAGCAATAGGCGGATAGTACGAGCCGATGATGCACTGAAACCCGTTCGTTCACACCCTAATCAGTTATCACGACTGCTAACCGAAGGACTAGATCTTCGGTGCAGAATCTGTGCCTTTCCACAAACTCCCAGACATTGTGAATCGATACCTGACTGCCCCAGACCCCGTAGTCATCCATTATACACTAAATCCAGGAATACCACCACCTGAGAGACCGTCAGCCTGGGATATGGAAGTCAAGATCGAGGACCATACGCTCAAGAATCGAATGACTGTCATGCTCCAGGCTAACAAAGAGAGTGCTGCGACCCTTGCTAAACTAGACGAAGAGGTAATATATAAACATTCTTCGTTGTCGAAATTACTGACCCCTGCATAGATCGCCTTACTCGCTCAATCGTTACACAACTCCCACCTCAAACGGACTTTCTTACAATCGTTTGCAGATGACCCAGCTCAGTTCATCCAGACATGGCTGGAATCTCAGTCGAGGGACCTGGAAAGTATCCTAGGCGGAGCGGGTGAAGGTGCGGCCGTCAGAGCGGAAGAGCTCAAGAGGAGTGAATTTTTCAGGTTGCCGTGGGTAGAAGAGGTAAGCACTTTCATACGGAAAATTCGACGGTTGCTCATGTCCTCTAGGCTGTGGCAATCCACGAAGGTATTCGTCTATCCCAGAAGGGCATTCAGTGAGGGATATATACCATATTCTCTGCCGCTTTGATATGAGTAATATGTGTTTCTGTACACCGAGATGCTAATGCTACATTGTTTTCTGTTGTAAGTGATAACCCTGCGTATGATTTGGCTAGTCCGTCTAATCCTCTCCTGCTCTGACGTTTCTCCCTTTACACGCCTCGGTGGCTGCCTGGGACCGTATCAGGGAAAGAGCGACCTCGTTGTAGCTCGACCCCCGTGATCACTAATGCTATTGCGATGGAGAAGTACATGAAAACCACCGCCTTCTTCAGCCCATCGCTCCGTAGTACACGGTTCACCCACAGGGGGACCCGCGGTATCGAGTGGGCTCTTATTTGTCCTGCTTCGAGGTCAAGATCATTGGTCATGGACCTAAGGCGGCGCTCCCCCAAGGAAGGCATATCTGAAGGGGGGATATAACCTTTGACTGCAACGAAGTGTCAAGGGCCGCTCTCCATCAAGGATAAAGAACGGTGTGTAATTCCCACCTGATGCTCCAGTTAACGAAATATTGATAGCCCTCCCCGAGAAGCGCCTAGGGTCTGCGTTTCTGGTTGCTACTGCCGGTGGTATGGTCACGGATGGCGGAAGCATCACCTTCTCTACAAGAGATGGCTTTGCTGGTGATACTGCCTGTGCCATTGGATTCGAGGGAGGAAGGAATGGACTTTCATTAATGCTGTGGCCGTACCTCTATAAGCGTTCGGCTTTCAGGCCTTCAGTGGTAAATGACTTGTCTTTCGCCTCCGTCAGCTTCTTCCTTTCACACCCTCCCGAGGGCTATGTCGCATCATTCGAAGATCATGCTTCTTCATTGATCAAGATGAGTCTCGTGTGTGGGCGGTGTAACGCAGACTATTACAGAACCCATCAAATGCCGCTCCAGTGAGAATTACATGGACCTACAAATAGAGGCCAATCTCGACGACGTGCATTCGATTAGGCTGGCAGGTCTCAAAAGGTGCGTCTTGTTTCTTTTGCCAACCGCCACCCACACCTGCTAAGGCGCACCTGATCTGGATATCGATTCTTGATGCTGTAGACCTTGCACCATCATCATCAGTCCGAAAAAAAAACGGACTTCTGGGGGGTGGCATCGTTGTTAGGCACGGCGATAGATCAAGTGGCGTACTTTGCGTACTACAGGGGATTTGACGGCTGGTCGTGGCGATGTGCTCGTGGTTAGATCAGCGAGACTACACCTTATAAATCAATGGGACATCGGCGCACCCCGGTTTAGCATCAACATTCTGACCGACGTGACGCCCGTACAAGACATAGCAGCCTTACTGCGACTCTCGCTATGTTTCGCATATGGGCACTGTTGTACTTCTTGGACATGATGTGGAACTCGTGGTCTAGTCGGATCTTTGTCCTTCGACTTAATCATTCCGATTCTCTTCTTCGCGCTCCCCGCCTTCTCGATCATGGCTGGTGGATCTGGGCTATGTCATGGTGTTTTGTATCCGACGAGTCGTGGGGGACGCTATCCCAATGAGGGAGAGTGCGTACTTTAGCGGCTGCATTGCACAGTGATGTTCCCTGGCAAAAAAGAAGGATTGATGATAACCCACAGCTGGGCTGTTAGACTGCTTATTCCGGCTATCGGTTGATCTATATTATCTAGTACCCCCTCCGTGGGGCGGTCCGAATGGGAAGTCATTTCATGTTCACCTCGGAAGCCCATTGACTTTGACACTGTTGTTAAGGGCCAAGCCACTGTCATCTAAGCTGTCCAAATCCCAGAAGGGCAAGGGACCGGTCCCGTATTTCCATCTGAATTAGCACCATGATACCAAGCGACTTGAAGACTTGAAGTAGCAAGTAAATCTTTAACGCTGGAGCGGGCTTTGAATTCAAAGAGAAGTAGCATAACTAACACTGCCATAACACCACAATTCTGCGCTGGACTATCCCACACTTGGCAGGTTTTGAATTTTGTGCACCCTGTATAATGAAAGGCTGGAACCCTACTATCCGCAAGGGTTTGTCTAACGCGTCGATGTGGTTTTCTTACGGGAGGCTAGCGGCACCACAGCTTTGGATGGGGCTATACTTGGTCCTCAGTACACATATCCGAGTACATATGTGGTTTTTTGCCATCACATTGTGTGATACCGCCGACGTTTGTTCCATGTACCCTTCCACCATATTTATGATTTGTAACCCGTGAAGTGAAGTGATTCGTAAGATCATCTTATCAGATAACAAGCGCCTCTGCATCGTGAGTGAGGCGTGAACTACCTGACTTCGCACTCATCCCATACATTGACAGAATGGACACTGCATTCCGCAAGATCGACATCGATATTTATGATGAGGACGTTCTGCAAGAATCAGAACTTTACGAGCCATTTCCTCAGGATGCTGCACAGGCATTAGACGAAGCAAAGCAACGACAATCCGCAGTGCGGAGTGCCCTGGCTAAGTGCGTTCGTGAGCATTTTCTTCGATAGTGGTGCATCGGTTGATCCCTAGTGCAGAGGAGACGTCCCAGGTGCTCTTAGCATCGCGCTGGAGAACGCGCCCTACGGGCCTAATGTCGAAGACGCAAAGGTGTGTCTATCCTCCTTGCACCGTGTCCTTCGCTGCTGATCTTATCGTCATTCACAAGGTTTTGACGCTACAGACAATCCTCACCATACTTAACAGCACCAAGTCCACGGAGGTGTCCTCAGTCATCAAAGCTCTCTCCCAAGACTCGCAGGATGCTCTCATGAAGTACCTTTACAAGGGCATGGCTATGCCAGGCTGGGGTGATATCAGCGGCAGTGTCCTGCTAGGGTGGCACGAGAAGGTGCGCTCATCCCGCCGCTTCTCTGTTTGTCACTCATTTGCTTCCAGTTGACTGAGATCGCTGGCGTCGGGTCCATCGTGCGCACGATGACCGATCGCCGTAGAGTTTGAGGATACAGACACTTCATAGTTTGTATTATCACCGCGATTTGCTAGCAAAGTTCTTCTTTTCCCCAGACCAAATATTTCTTGTCTGAGTGCGTTATGGAGCTGGTTTATGGACCATAGGGGACGGCAAACGCCGAACCGCCGACCTAAGTGGATTGTCTCTGCGCCAGCACTTGAACCAGAACCACTACCATCGACATCGCAGACACCTGTCTGCGCACACGGCCTCCTCTTTGCTTCATTTTTGCAGTTGTATGCTCTATAGAAGAAACAAATCAGCCCAGAAAGAATCGACTTCAGACCTCTATTTACCCAGCAACCATTATATTCCTCAAGATGGATCATCCCACTCAGACGACGCAGTCCCTTCTGGCCTCAGGCTCTTGCTTGATGTCCCAGAGGAATCCCTCCTCCACATTACTTCTTATCTCGAACCGCCGTCCCTCTTGGCCCTCGGACGAGTATGCAAAATCCTGTCTCAACACGTAAAGCTAGACAGCACTTGGCTTCGGGCGTTCGCAACTCAATGCCTAGCAATTTCTCCTGAGAGCGATCTTGAATTGATTGAAAATAAATCCTTAATGCTTAGGAGGTCCCCTCAGCAGCCATGGAGGGACCTATTCATTGCGAGATATAAACTTTTGAGGTACGCCGATGGTATGGGCACCGGAATCCCGCTGATCAGTTCGAGTTTAGACGTTGGGGGTTTTCCGGCAACTCGCTAATGACGCATACACCATTAAACAACGCTACGCCTGGGACAAGCATGCAGCTCGCTTGCACACAGATGCCAAATATCGCACCATGGACCACTCCGATTCCTAACATAATTGTTTTCTCCGCTTCATCTGGTGCTGTTTGTCGTTCTTTGCCCCTTACCGGCAAGGTTGGTAACGTCTACCTGGCCCCGGAGCTCATTGGAGTAGCACACCCGTGCGCCATCTCTGCTCATGATGGTGCAGGAAAAGCCTTATTTGGGTACCCCGACGGAAAAGTTGGCCTCGTTATCGTACAGAAGGCCATTGATCACGCGAGCGTCATGCGCCACGTTGTACCAATCATCAGTCCGATCGACGTTAGTCATACAGGACCAGTGTCAGCCGTTACATGGGAGAAGCTCGACACTAGGAAGGACGGTGGTGTCAGATATGGGGCTAGCGTTGCCCTCGACAACACGGTCAAGGTTTGGGACGCCAACAGGAATTCCCTACACTGTCTCTGGTCTTCACACCCGTCGTACGGCACATCCTCATTCTTCACTGTGGAAGCCAGGATTACAGATTACGGAATCGTCGCATGCGGCCTCGCAGACGGCAGTCTGTTTATTTGGTCTGGTCTTGGGAAACTCTTGCCCACGTCTACGCGATCTCCTACTCTCCAGACTCCAGAAATTAGGGGGTTAGCCATAGAATGTCCAGTCGCTAGATCACCAAACACGTCTCCCCTGACCATTTCGAAGCTCGTCCTCGACGCTGGAGATCCAGAGGCGAACATAATACATCTCCTGGTTGCTTATCAAGACGACGCCGATTTCTATCGTATTTCCGTCGATACCGTTACCCAGCAAACCCGGATCACTTCATTCGGTAACGACCCATCCTTCGGCTCCATTTCCTGCTTGGAGTCCTTCTTTACTCGTGTCCAAAACACGGAAGGTCGCAGTGTTGTCGTAGTTGGCGATTCTTTGGGATGTATAAATGTCTATGACTGGACGGTAGACCTCGGGAGTGACACATTACCAGGGGCTGCGCGAGATCGCCCGGTCCTCCCTATATCCAGGTTCGAAGCCCATACCGAGGGTGGAAAGATCACCGCCATTGCGGGTAACGATGCCGTCCTGATCACTGGATCTTCAACCGGCGAGGTTAAGGTTTGGGACAGTTTGAACTTCGCCTTCATCAGAGAGTTTGGGCCCAGAAAACGTGGTCAACATAGAGCAGAGGCTACCTATGACGAAGAATCCATCGGCCAAATCCTGTTGACGGGGGACAAGCAAGTCCTTGTATTCAACGTTGGCGATAGAGTAGTTGGATGGTGGGCTGGACCAGATCGCAAGGGCTATAGAGGCGGCGTTCGAGGTAGAAATGTGGTGGGAATACCGAAGAAGAAGAAAGACGCGGGGCGGGTGAGCAGAGGTTCAAGTATGATTTTCACTTTTCCGACAATATGTCTAGCTTCTAATTCGTTCTTCAAAGATGCCTACGCACTTCGGGCAGCCATCGATGAATCCAGGGATCTCACCGACGATGTTCCTATGCCTGAAGGTGTCCTCGAGCGGAGGCAAAATGAACGAGAACAAAGGGTTGGGTTAGAGAGTCTGGGATTAAGTGAAGCCGAAGCCGTGGAGTACGTGCTGATGCTAAGCCGGGACAACTATGAGGAAGAATATGATGAACGATATATTGGCGACGTGGAGGAAGGCGTGTTTGACAATGATTTCGAGCTTGATGGAGTGGCGCACGTTATCGCAGCTTCCCACCGCCCAAGTGCTCCGTCGCCTACCCCGTCGATTCCGACTACTTCGCCCCCATCATCTTGGTCTAGTCCTCGACCCTCTCCCCAAGGAAGCCGTGCAGTCTCTTGGATCTCCCGTTCAAACTCCAATTCCAAGATCCAGGTTTCTCCAAGAATGCAGGATGAGCCTAGAGAAGCTGGGTCCACTCGCATCGGGAAACAACCTAGCGGCGGATCGGAGTCCAGCAAACTGGAGGCCATCAACATAGACCAATCCGAGCAACATTTCCCTATGATGGCGAGCAAAAGCTGGACGGGCAGTCCCAGCCAATACGCTGATGGTACCCCGAAGTCGCGCGGCTCCCCTTCTACCTCTAAATCGCCATCCGCTTGGAACAAGCCTCTGGCCATTAGTAAATCGCCCGAGGCTCGCGATATGGAGCAACCCAATAAAGGCAAGGCTAAAGAGACAAAAGCCTTTGATTTAGACGACATAGACGATGATTTGAGATTTGCAATCGAATTGAGCTTGGCGGAGGCAGCCAGTCGGGAATGTCTCTAGATATCTTAGTTCTCAGTAGGCCTTAGACTTACAGTCCCTCCGTTCTTGACCCATTAATAACGAACCCGTTGGCATTCGCGACATTGACAACAAGTGACTCACAAGTCCATTCCTCTCGATTATATACATGTAAATCAATCATCCAGCTCATCCTCTTCCTCCTTAGACTGCGCACCGAGCATATCTTGCTCAACCATACCTACAACCATGTCCATGGCAGCGCGACTCATTCGAGGAACTGCACCTGGCCTCAGGAGGGGATGCTGCGCTGGATCTAATTCCTCGGTATCCATGTCGTCTCCGCCATCGCTACTCTCTGCATCGTCCTCTTGTGGACTTGTGGCAGCGCTCCCGTTTTGATTGTCAGTCTCATCTCCAGAATCCGACCCAGAGCCTTCCGAATCGTCGGAATCAGCTTCGAACGAGACGTCAGAACCGTCCGACTCGTCAAACTGGGCACTGGCGAGGGTGACCTTGCCCGTGTTAACCATGACGTTTGCACGGGCCTTAGATTTTTCAGTGGCTGGTGGATGTTGATTGTTGGGCGGGCCAAATAGGTGACGGTGGTTTCGCACCCAGCCGTTGATAGGGTCTTGTTCCTTCGCGTCGATGACGCCGAATTGGGTTTCTTCACCCTCGTCTGCCTCATCATCGTCACCGTCACCGGCTTCGTCCTTCATCGGCCGTCGAGTTAGGACTACTGAACAAGTTCTTCCAGTGCCACCGATGATTCTCAGACCTTCCGTCCTATTTATGAGGTCCCCGATGGACCAGAATTCACAAGGCTTGCTTTCACCCCAGAGAATGCCCTCCCTCATGAACCACAGACTGCCGGCCTTCGCGCCTCGGTAAGCTTGAATACCAGGAACACCCTGGCCACCTGGTCCAGGGCCTTCCGTAGAACTGCGAAATATATCGACGGAGGGCTCCAGAAGGGGGATAGGAAGATGCGAGAGAAATTCCCGTAGAATTGGGAGGGTTTCCGAGCCTTTTTTATGGGTGACCTCGTTTGTACCGCCCGTAGTGGTTATGGGTGTGGTTGCCTTCGCATCTATGCCAAAGATGACCTGTTGGTTGGAAACGCCCTTTACGGCGGACGGAGCGTCGGCAGTCAAGAGCACAACAGTCCAGTGGGGTTTTGATTTTCCCCGAGTAGGCAGGACAAAGGCCCGGGTTAGGGTCTGCACTGGGATTTCTGTCTCGACAGCATGCGTCGCTGGGTTCTCAAAGGCAACACTGGAAGCATAGATTTTGATGTCAGTCTTCTTTCTGACTGGAGATGTCGCAGATATGGAATGAAGTGTAAAAAGTGGGCTGCCGCGGTCCTGAATGGAGGTTCTGGCGCGTTTAGAGTCTTGCGCGTCCTCCGATGCGCCACCATCCTCTCTAGGTCTCTTGTTTTGGTCTGATGAATAGGGTACGATACCTGCAAGAATGGTGCGAGCTTTGGCTTGCTTATCAGACCACTCGTCCGGCTGAATCGCTTCCAGTGAGCTCGGCGCGCCAACTGCGAAACGGAGAACATTTTCCAAGGTGGCTTTACTGTCATCCGAAGTGCAAAGCTTGGCTACGCGGGACGCCAGCTCAGCTGGAAGGACAGATTCGATAGAGTTCAAGAATGTGGTCGCCATTGCATTTGTTGTTTCGCTAGGCAGAAGCTTGGATCTTCTGGGTGCTGGGCGAATTCACATTATCAAAACACTGTCCGCGTAATAATGAGCGTGAGAGCGCGAACTCTCACGCTCATTCCGTTGCTTCTGGTTTGTATTTCAAAATGTCGCGTGCTGGCTTCGATAAGAGCGCAACCTCCCTTGGAGGAACGCCAATTGGTCGCGTACATGTGCCTCTCGACCATCATCCTCTGACACAGCCCAGTGCCTGTCGAGACGGCGATCAGCCGCTCAAGCTGGATCTTGAAATCGCGTAAGGTGAGAGCGGCGTTTGATCGTGCTCACGGCTTATCAGTTGTATAGAGTACGGCAGCAGTTCCCTCATATGAATACTGGGGTGCTTCCTTCGAACCATCTGGGGATGAGGTAGAATGAAGGAATGATCAATACGGTCCCGTCCAACACATGTGCTGTAATTGCCGGCCGAATCACCACTGGCTCTCTAGGACCACAGGTACGGTCGCAAGTCAGAGCCTATAGGAAGGCCAAGTGTTAACTGTGGTGACCGCTTGACCTCCCACGAGACGACACGAACGGCATGTGCTGTGTGGATAAAAGCTCCATGTCCAGTCCTCTTCCCATCAACTTGTCGCCATGTCTGCATTTCCTGCGAGAGTCGACATCCTCATAGTTGGCGCAGGCCTCAGCGGTCTCTACCAACTCTATCACCTGCGGAAGCTCGGATTCAGCGTAACTATTTTCGAGGCAGGAGGGGGTATCGGCGGCACCTGGTACTGGAACTGTTATCCAGGCTCCCGCGTCGACACCGATGCAACCAATTATCAACTTTCTATCGATGGACTCTGGCAGGACTGGAGCTACGCGACGTTGTTCCCTGATTGGCAGGAACTCCGGAAATACTTTGCGTATATCGACCGCACGCTCGACCTTGGCCGCGACATCTCGCTTAATACGCGCGTGGTTGCCGCTGAGTTCGAAGAAGCTACCGATGAGTGGTTGGTTAGAACGCAGAAAGGCGACATTGTGCGATGTCAATTCTTGAGCTTTTGCACGGGCTTTGCGTCCAAGCCGTACATCCCAGAATTCAAAGGACTGGATACGTTTCGCGGGAGACTGCATCATACTGGAACATGGCCCCAAGAAGGCGTTGATCTACGAAGCAAACGGGTGGCAGTCATTGGTACGGGTGCAAGCGGTGTACAGGTTGTTCAGGAAGCCGCGCCTATTGCTCAACAAGTCACCATCTTCCAACGCACTCCCTGCACCGCCCTGCCTATGGGTCAGCGCAAACTCGATATCGAGGACATAAAGAAGATGAAAGAAGGGCAGCTCAAGGCTTTCACCGATCGGAAGAAATCATACGCAGGGCACAGCTACGATTTCACCGATAGAAATATGGCCGATTGCACGCCGGAGGAACAGGAGGAGCTCTACAAGCAGTTGTACGCGCGCGGGGGGTTCTATCCGCTGTTCGCTGGATTCCGGGAAATTTACACGGACGCCGCCGCGAATGACTGGGTATATGCGATGTGGAGGGACAAGGTCAGAGCGCGTATCAACGACCCCTGGCTGCAAGAAAAGCTTGCGCCCACTATCAAACCATATCCATTTGGCACCAAACGCCTTCCATTGGAGCAGGTTAGACTTCACTTTCAAAAATAGACGTAAGACGCTGAATCTTACCTCCAGAATTATTACGACTTATTCAATCAACCGAACGTCAGCCTCATCGACATCAATGAAAACAGCCTAACGCAGATCACCCCGAAAGGCATACAAACAGCGGACGGGGTTGAGCACGAATTCGATATCATCGTGTTGGCCACTGGCTTCGACGCTATCACTGGCAGCATGACGCAGATCGACATCCGCGGTACTGAAGGCGTGACCATCTTCGACAAATGGACTGCCTTCGCTCGCACATATCTTGGACTGATGACGACAAATTTCCCGAATATGTTCTTTACATACGGGACTCAGGGGCCCACTGCGCTCAGCAATGGCCCCACGGCCGCAGTAAGTGCCCTCGTCTATTCCGCCCTTATCATCGACTGACTAAATGTTCAATGATTCCTCAGGAAGTGCAAGGCGATTGGATCATCCATTGTCTGGAATACATGCGAGCCCACGGGTTCTCCAGGATTCATGCGAAGAAGGAAGCCGAAGAGGCGTATACGAAGCTCGTGGGTGACCTCGGAGATCAAGGCTTGTGGATGAAGGTCAAGTCGTGGTATACCGGGGCCAACATCCCCGGCAAGACGATCCAGCATCTGAACTTTTCGGGGGGCGTGGGCGTGTATGCTGAGATGTGTCGAGAGAATGAGGCGAATGGATATGAAGGGTTCGAATTGACTTCAGGCAGAGTCAGTAGCGGCCCGCCGGCGCGGTCTATGTTGTAGGTGGGTACACCGAAGTAATTCTCAGCACAGCTATCCGCTGACTTTTTTATATGGAGAAAAGTTCGGAGTGTTTAAGGAATGAATGTATGAGTGACGTTTTGCTTTAGCAAGCTGCCCAGCACAAGTGCTCAGTACTCCGTAAGAATCCCCGTCAACACAAAATTCAAACAACGAAATACTCAGAATTCAGTCCATCAGAGTAGTACGACTGTGTTGATCCCATTTTCAGCAGTACCCAATGCGCACTGCCGAGGTAGCTTGTCTAAATGAAATACAAAGACAGAGCTTTGTGCTGTAGGTGCGAAGTCGTATTTGCTGGTGTGAATGCGAGGACTGGGAATGGGTGGTGTTCCCACCAAAAGCGAAGTGAGAAGGAACGAAGTGAAACCGAACACCACGTGGCGAACGGAACGGAGGACGGAAACGCGACCAAGCAGCGCCGCGTGCGACTGCTGGACTCGACTCAAACGCAACGCAACGGAGGGAAGGGGAAACTAACTTCTTGTTTTTCTTCATAGGTGGATGTGGGTACTATATATACTGTAGGTAGATGTAAATAAGCACGCAGAGTGTGCATGTGTAATCTAGTAAGCTAGTACCTAACAATGAATGCGGCCGCAGCTGATGACAGACCGAAACAGGAAGTAAACGAAACGATAGTATACGTACAGTAATTCGTGTATCAAGGCTCGAACAGGGTGCCAACCCTACAGTGCACGCCTTATATATGTCAAAAATGGCCTCGTCGTAGCATTCGTATCAGCAGGGCATCAATATCAGTGAGTTTCAACCCATAGACGTAGATCATAGGTAGAGAAAATCAACAAGTGGCGACCCCTTTGAGCGTGAGATTGTGGACTCTCACTTCATTATTCGCGGCTTTTCCACCTCTATCACCGTCTCCATCAACGTGTTGACTAACGGAGGTGCGGTTATTCTTCCAGGTCTAGTCCTCAACTACCTAAAGCCTCATTCATTCGGCGAAGAAACGGCTGGTGTCTGGCAGCCTAGAGATGCTCTAGAGATCCACGGCCATTCCAATATAGAGCAATATTGCAACCATATCGCTTCATTCAAAAGCGAGTTTCTACGACGTGTCCGTATGACAGTCTATCATGAGGCTAGTCGTAAATTTCACTCGTAATGTCGTGAGTTCTCATAATTCTTACATATCTGTCGGGGACGCGGTGATCAGATCATTGGCTGTCCGAAGTGGACTTTGAAATAACCTCAGGCGAGTACAATGGGGCACAACTATACTTGATAAGTGCTAACCACTTCTCGTGTCAGTTAAGGTAACCGTGACTTCATATGCTGCGTGCTCCTTCCCCGGGTAGGGATGGAAAGGAATGTTCAATGCCGTCTTAAGCAACAATTGTGCTGGATTGCCCCATCGCGAGGATCAGCTGGTGTTGTTCGGTACGTTTGATGCTGCGTAGTTGTGCTCGGGGCGTGTACACTCCCACAGGAAACGGCCCAGGGTCAATCGCCGTGGCTGCTTGGCCTCCCACGAGACGACTTGAATGGCATGTGTTGGCTGAATAAAATGAGCTCTCCCTCAAGTTGTTTCCCATCAAGTCTCTGCCATGTCTACGTTGCCCACTAAAGTCGATATTCTCATCGTTGGTGCAGGTTTCAGTGGTCTCTACCAGCTCCACTACCTTCGGAAGCTTGGATTCAACGTAAAGGTCTTCGAGGCAGGAGGGGGCATTGGGGGCACCTGGTATTGGAACTGTTACCCAGGGGCTCGCGTCGACTCCGATGCAACTAATTATCAGCTTTCCATCGACGGACTCTGGCAGAACTGGAGCTACTCGGAGTACTTCCCTAATTGGAAGGAACTTCGGGAATATTTCGCTTACATAGACCGTACACTCGACCTTGGCCGCGATATCTCTCTGAACACTCGCGTGGTCGCTGCTGAGTTCGACGAGGCTGCCGATGAATGGGTGGTCAAAACTGAGAAAGGCGACACGGTGCGGTGCCAATTCTTAAGCTTTTGCACGGGCTTTGCCTCGAAGCCATACACTCCAAAGATCCAAGGACTGGAGACTTTTTGCGGGATAATCCATCATACAGGACTTTGGCCTCAGGAGGGTGTCGATCTGCGGGACAAACGGGTGGCGGTCATTGGCACAGGGGCAAGCGGCGTACAGGTTGTTCAGGAAGCGGCCTCTCTTTCTCGGCAAGTCACCGTTTTCCAGCGCACGCCGTGTATCGCCCTGCCTATGGGTCAACGAGGGCTTGACGCCGATGCGACAAGGAAACTGAAAGAAGGGCAGCTCGAAGCTTTCGATTATCGGAAAAAGACGTTCGCCGGCCACACTTACAGCTTCACTGACAGGCTCCCATCCGATTTCTCGCCGGATGAACGGAAGAAGTTCTATGAGCAGTTGTACTCGCGTGGCGGGTTCGTCCCACTGTTGTGTGGGTTCCGAGAGGTTTTCGCGGACGACGCCGCGAACGACTGGGTATATGCGTTCTGGAGGGACACAGTCAGAGCGCGTATCAACGACCCGTGGCTGCAAGAAAAACTTGCTCCCGCTGTCAAACCACACCCTTACGCAGCCAAACGTCCGCCACTGGAACAGGTTAGGCTCGACTGTGATATAAAACCCACTCGCTGCAAGCTGAATCTCATTCCCAGAATTACTATGACGTTTTCAACCAGTCGAACGTTAGCCTCATCGACGTCAACGAAAACGACATTACCCGAATTACCCCGAAAGGCGTACAGACGGCGGACGGTGTTGAGCACGAATTCGATATCATCGTGTTGGCCACTGGCTTCGACGCCATCACTGGTGGCATGACTCAGATCAACATTCGTGGTACTGAAGGCGTGACCATCTTCGATAAATGGACTACGTTTGCTAGCACGTATCTCGGGTTGATGACGACGAATTTCCCGAATATGTTCTTCGTCTACGCGACTCATGGCCCCACCGCGCTTAGCAATGGTCCCACAGCTCTGGTAAATACTTCCTGTCCATGCGCGACGAGATTGGCTAAACGATGTATAGGAAATTCAAAGCGACTGGGTCATTCATTGTATACAGTACATGCGAGACCAGGGACTCTCCAGGATTCACCCAAAGAAGGAAGCGGAAGAAAGATACACGAAGCTCGTGAATGACCTGGGGGATAAAGGAATGTGGCTGAAGGCCAAATCGTGGTACACTGGGGCGAATGTCCCGGGCAAGACAATTCAGCACCTGAACTTTTCGGGCGGCGTGGGCATGTATGCAGACATGTGCCGAGAGAACGAGGCGAATGGATATGAAGGATTTGAATTGAGTAAGCAGAAGAAATAACGAAAATTCATGTTAGTAGGTGAGTAGGCTTTGCTTTGATCTTGCCTCAGTTATCTGCTGACTTGGTCAATGTGGGGATAGTATTGTTTTCGTTCTCAAGAAATGAATGTATGAGCGAGGTTTTGCGTTGGCATGCTACTCAGCACGAGCTCCTCCAGAGTTTCCTCATTCGAAGCATAGTTGCCGCGAAACAAGCATTGGAATACCCAGCCTTCTACGACGACTTATTGTGACATGATCCTGCGAGTCCGTAGCGATTGCGTTGATGACACGATGTGATGATTTGTATTCCGAGTCGGGTTTAACAGTATACTTTATCTTGAAGGTGAGCGACTTGTCGCTCGAAGTACAAGGATTGATTGTGCAGCGACAACTCAGCTGCGAGAATGGACTCTACTTGGCTTTCTGTCGTTCAAGGGGAACTTTGAAGCTAAATCAGCATATATGCACGGACATATGGAGCGTGAGATTACAGACTCTCACATTCACTTCTTTTTCAACGACTACATACATCTTTGTTCCGCTCATCGTCTAGAACCCGACGCTTACTTCAACGAAGGTGCAGTGCTCTTCTAATACGAGTCTTCAAGTACAGCTCCCCGGATGTGTCAAGTCAGGATCAGCCTAGGCGTGCGAGTCCATTACTCAGAAGCGAGGTCCTGACGAAGTGTCTGTTTGATGGTCTACCATGGGGATAATCATGGAAATATCGCTCGTAATATCAATTACAGTGAGTTCTCATGCCTCTAAAGTCTTACATATATGTGATCAGATGTTCTAGGTGGACTTTGTGATGACCTAAGGCAAGTGCAATAATTGTACAACAGCGTACGACCAAGTGCTCATGTCATTTCAGGTTACGATATCTGTGTGTTTGTACGCGTGCTTCTTCCCAAACTACTTTGGGATGACGTGAAAGGAATGATCAACGCAGGCATAAGCCACAAATGTGCTGGGGACGCGTAGGAGTTGGTCAGTACGTTTCATCCAGCGTAAGTGTACTCTGGGCATATACACTCTTACCCCAGGGACGACCGCCATGACTTCTTGACCGACCGGAACAACATATGCTAGCTGAATAAAAGGAGCTCCTGCACGTTGCTTCCCATTAAGTCTCTGACATGTCTACGATGCCCACCAAAGTCGATATCCTCATCGTCGGCGCCGGCTTCAGCGGTCTCTACCAACTCTATCACCTGCGGAACCTCGGATTCAACGTAAAGGTCTTCGAGGCAGGAAGGGGCATTGGGGGCACCTGGTATTGGAACTGTTACCCAGGGGCTCGCGTCGACTCCGATGCAAGCAATTATCAGCTTTCCATCGACGGACTCTGGCAGAACTGGAGCTACTCAGAGTACTTCCCTGATTGGAAGGAACTTCGGGAGTATTTCGCATACATCGACCGTACCCTCGACCTTGGCCGCGATATCTCCCTTAACACTCGCGTGGTCGCCGCTGAGTTCGACGAGGCTGCCGACGAATGGGTGGTCAGAACCGAGAAAGGCGATACGGTGCGATGTCGATTCTTGAGCTTCTGCACGGGCTTTGCCTCGAAGCCATACACCCCGAAGATCCCAGGGCTGGATACGTTTCGCGGGATAATGCATCACACTGGGACATGGCCCCAAGATGGCGTTGATCTGCGAGACAAACGGGTGGCGGTCATTGGTACAGGCTCAAGCGGTGTGCAGGTCGTTCAGGAAGCGGCGGCGGTCGCTCGCCAAGTCACCCTTTTCCAGCGCACTCCCTGCATCGCCCTGCCCTTGGTTCAGCGCAAGCTTGACGCCGATGCGGCAAGGAAGCTGAAGGACGGACAGCTCAAGACTTTCGACTTCCGAAAGAAGACGTTCGCGGGTCACTCTTACAGCTTCACCGACATGCGCCCATCCGATTTCTCGCCAGAGGAGCGAAAGGAGTTCTATGAACAGTTATACGCGCGTGGTGGATTCATTCCACTATTGTGTGGATTCCGGGAGGTTTACACGGACGACGACGCGAACGACTGGGTGTATGCGTTCTGGAGGGACACAGTCAGAGCGCGTATTAACGACCCTCGGCTGCAAGAAAAGCTTGCCCCCGCTGTTAAACCGTATCCATTCGCAGCAAAGCGTCCGCTACTAGAGCAGGTGAGAGTCAACTAACATATGACCTGCTCGTGATGAGCTAAATCTGATTTCCAGAATTACTACGACGTGTTCAACCAGTCGAACGTCAGCCTCATCGACGTCAATGAAAACGGAATCACCCGAATTACACCGAAAGGCATACAGACGGCGGACGGTGTCGAACATCAATTCGATATTATCGTTCTGGCCACCGGCTTCGATGCTATGACCGGCAGCATGACTCAGATCGACATTCGAGGTACTGAAGGTGTTACTATCTTCGATAAATGGACCGCATTTGCGAGCACGTACCTGGGAATGATGACGACGAACTTCCCGAACATGTTCTTTGTCTACGCGACTCATGGCCCTACCGCGTTCAGCAACGGCCCCACCGCCCTTGTAAATCACCCCCGTCTGTCCGCGACTAAGTTGACTAAATTAAATTCTTTCTAGGAAATTCAAAGCGACTGGGTCATCCATTGCATACAGTACATGCGAGACCACGGACTCTCCAGGGTTCATCCGAAGAAGGAAGCCGAAGAAGAATATACGAAGCTCGTGAATGACATAGGAAATAAAGGCATGTGGTCGAAGGCCAAATCATGGTACACCGGGGCGAACATCCCGGGCAAGACTATCCAGCATTTGAACTTCACGGGCGGTTTGAACGTGTATGCGGACATGTGCCGAGAGAACGAGGAGAAAGGATTTGAAGGATGCGAATTCAGTACGCTGATCGCGTAACGGGTAATCGCCGAAAGGTCTATGGTAGCTAGTAGGTGAGTAGAGTATGCTTTGGTGATCCAATGCGCCGCGCTGACTACTGACTTCGCAGACGAAATACTTAGAATTTCTGTTTGGATTCTCATAAATCTATGGCTGTGATACTAGCTGCAACGGCGTGAATAATCGGCACCTTTATCTATCTCATTACGGTTCAACTCGCCAGCGTCAACGTCGGACGAGCTTCAGCAGCCTGGGCGTCCCACGAAAGCTTGATCCAGGTTTTCTTAGATTCCGAAGTAAGTATACAACGTCTTGCCTTTACCACCCACCAGTGCTTAACGGCTGTATTGTCTTCTAAGCAAACCAAGTCCGTTGCGACATGCTTCCACAATGCAATGAGAGTATCCCAATTGCGTCAATGACATTACATGATTTACATTAAATTTTCATAAGGTCCTTCAATGCGATTATCCTTGCCCCAAACCACCTAGTCGCGGGGCGCCCTGTACACACCCTCTTTCCCACTTGTTTCCCGCAATTCACCCTTCTCGCGGAGGTCAGCGTTGTTTGTCATTTTGCCTACCATCTGTTCGAACTATTAGAACTGATTAATGACGTACACAGAAGAGACATACCTGCTGGGTCTTCCCGATTACTTTGTCGCCTACACCGGCGTGTCCCTTCGTTTCGCCTGCCGCAATGTCTTTGCCGAAGCCAGCTACAAGACGATTTGAGCCTTCAATTTGAAACGTATACCGCGAAGGAGCTTACCATGTGTTGGATCGTCTTGGCGGGAGAAATTATCTTCGAAGGCATCTGTGCGTCCCCCTGAAGCCTGGTTTGTGTTGCTCCCGAGGTTGCTTCGTTGATTGTTGGACGAGGTGTTGATACCTGCCGAATGTTTATCCCTGCCGAAGCTAGTGTTGTCACCCCCAAGGTTGTTCGTGCGATCGTCAACCGTATCGCGTCCTCCCAGGGCACTAGGAAGACGCTCAGACTCATTGCGACGTTCATTGGTCGACGTGTAGTCTGCAGCTGCGGTATGTTTGTCCCTGGCCCAACTGGTGTTGTCATCTCCAAGATTATCCGGGCTGTAATCAACCGTGTCGCGTGCTCCTCGTGCACCGGGAAGAGGCTCGGATTCGTCGTGGCGGACGTGGTGGGATGGGTTGTTGAAGTCTGTGCCGTGAGCGACGCGGGTGCTGGCAGCGTTCTGTGGGGAAGAGAAGTCCGTGGTATTGGCGGGGTTCTTGCTGGCGGAATATTGTGACGAAGAGTTATCGGTTGCCCGGGTACTGGATCCGTACTGGGGAGAAGTACTGTCGGTCGTGGTGTTACTGGAGGAGTATTGAGGGGAAGAGTAGTCGGTGCCGACGCTGGCGAAGTTATCGTCGCTTCTGGGAAGTCCGGACATTGTTGTTATATGAGTATATGGGTGAGTGTTGTTGGTGTGATGTTTTATGGGATAGATTTCTGAATCCCAATCATTCCCTTTTCCTCGTTCTTATATAGACCATGTAGGCCGAAAGTGTGACGTCACACATGGTGCGTATGATGAGCGTCGAGGCATGCCTGAGGAGTAACGCATCACAGTTTACTGCGCTTCATAGGTTTGAGCCATGGGAATGGGGGCCGGCCTACTGCAATGGTCATTCAGGTTTGCCTTCGTGGGGCTAGCTGGCGCAGGTCCCACCCAAAGTGACGCATTTCCAGGAACAAAATGGCTGTCCAATCTATGTGTTTTGGTGGACTTTGCTGGATGTAGACGACGTTCAAGTACTCATTTGCGCGCTTGCTGCATTCGCCGCCTACGTAGAGCCAGGGCACGACACTAGAGCCTGGGGCATCACTGATAGTCCTCCTGAGCTCCTGAGTCTTGTCACGTGACGACTCCTATTCCACCGCCGACTCGAGCGCCTGCTTGCGAGTCCAACATTCCAACGTCCGACCCACTCGATGTCGTGAATGGTCGCTAACTTATGCGAAGCTGGAGGGCATAGTGCACTTAACCCATGGTTGGTAGCATGCCAAGGATTGGGACGAAGCTTCAAGTAAACACCCGCTTCACGACGGGGTATGATTTACTGAGGACAGCTGAGGACCCACAGTTCAGCGCGCTTGGGACTTCTTGGAAAACACAAAAGGAGTTTTGTTCTGCTTGGTCGACCATCCTGAGTGTCTGCTTCTTATCCACCGTCGACGCAGCGCTATGCCGATTCTCTACCATGTGCAAGAACATACCATCACCCTGAAAGGTCTTACCTACCACGCGGGCTCAGTGTTCGTCGCGCATATGATAACGAGGACTCGCCCTGGCATCTGGCGACGGCGTCATGGAACCAGATCACTCTCTGTAAAACCCCATATTTCGCCATATGCATGCAAAGGTCGAAGCGTTCCAAGCAGGTCCCTCCCATACCACAGCTGCTGTAGTCGGGGAAAGAGTGGCCCCCTGCTCGATGCTTAGCACGTAAACCACTCAGCGAACCCCGTACCTACTTTGCCATGTGGACACCGTTGCCAAGTCCCTGGAAACAGCTGGAAAACCAACGTGCTGCGAGGAGTGGCGTCTAAACAGAGAGATACCCGCATTCTATCGAGGATCAACATGATTTCACGGTACACGATGCCTTTCCTGGTGTACACGGACAAGTAGACTTGGGTGTTTAACCGTTTCGCCGATCGTTGATTGGCTTTTCAGTTTTGAGACGAGGGGAGTCTAAAGGCCGGTGGCTGGAAACGTTAAAAGGCACCCGCTCTGCTTTACGACCACACGCATAATCGCCTCTCATCTTGCCAAACATGAAGTTCGCTGCTGTATTCGCCTCTGTCCTCGTCTTCGGTAAGTGTTCTTCCTATCCCTCCTTCGCGGGAAGGGGCTTCGGATCCGTTCCGTTCTAATGGCAATCGCCCTCTGGATCTCAGTTCTTGTTGCGGTTGCCTCACCCGTAGAAGACGTCAAACCAACCGCAGAGCCAGTTACGAAGGTGAGAGCGAAATGATCTCGCTGATTTTCACAACGCCAGGAAGGATTGCTTTTCACACCATTGCTAGGTTCCCGAACAGCCCACACCTGAAGGACCTCCCGACTGGTGATCACCGTCTCAAGCTACGCCTCGTGCTCGAAGTCAATGTACATTTGCTGTCAATGTTGTTTATGCTTATTCTCCGGGATTCATCGTTTGCGTCGTGTATATCGCTAAGATGTCAGAAGTGGCTTGGGGGATCCGGCACTGACGGATTCATGTTAAGTGGCCCATCCTTCTCTTGCATCTCGTACACACCGCTTCGGCTTCTGGCGAGTTGATGAACACCACGACCAACTCTACTCTACTCCTTCGTTCTACGGCTCTCCTCTCCTGTGCACGACGAGTACCTTCAGAGCCCCGAGGCTAGCCAGATGTGCGATGCATCGGGCCGCATTCTGCGGGAGATGGAGCCTTCTATTGTTATTCAGTATACTATTGCTGACGGAGCACGGTATGTTGGCTATCGTGCCAGAGGTGCGCCCTTCCCAAATATTGATAGTAGACGGAGATATACTTCCAGGTCGCCAGTGTGGTATACAGCGCGGCACTACCTCACCGACCTCATTTCCTGTGGCGACGACCGCGCACGGTGGCATGGCTTTGCACCTCAACCAACACTCTATAAGTCCTGTTCACTGGATCTCATCAAGTAAGTGCCTACCCGAGGGAAGGGGGGCTTATGGCTTTCAGCGCAAACCAGAACGTTGTCCATGCGACTCGATGTTGATAAGACGTCCACGGATATCCTGGAAAATGGGCGTGGTACTGCATCCTTGGGACTTTGTCTGCAGAAAATGCCTCCGACGCGGAGTCGCCGCAGATAGGAGATGAGAGTGATAGACACGAACAACGAAGCCGCAAGGACGCCGCCGACAATAGCGATTACCCGAGCGGAGCTGGGGTTCGACTTCAATGCTGTGGGGATCTCTGTTGCTGACGGTGGCGAAAGCGAGCTTGGATTTGTGGCGGATGCCAAAAAAAGTGGACATCGTTGACGACGAGAAGGACGTAGCTAATGATCGGGGGCGTAGCTCAACAGCTGGATAATTACTAGCGGAGAGTGGCGATAGACTAAAGTTTACCGACAGATCCAAATCAACGGGGAACGACGGAAATGTAGGCTAGAATGACCCGGCCACCTTCATCCTCGCAAGTCCCAATAGGTGTGTGCTTAGTGTTTGCAAGAGGGGGGCTGGCGTAAAACATTTGATAAATTAGGTCGCGTTCAAAGCTGGGTACCCCGAAGAAGGATGTGGGCTGACCGCCGTCTAGGGCATACGTAGTATTAGGAAATGCGCCAAAGTCGGTTGCTGAATTCGCTCTCGATAGTCTACCGTAGACCAACAAACCTGAACGTAAACGGTGCGCCCCGCTTTGTTATAACGCTCGCGGTATTGCGGTACTCGGTGGCAGAGGCTGGCGTATCCCAACCGGGTGAGTACTCACTCTATTTGACTATCCTGGTCGTCTATGAGGAAAGTGTCGGACACCATCAGGTACCTGCGAATGTCGAGGGGACGAGGGCTTACGTTCCTCGGTTATATGGCACTCTCTCACAGGAAATTCATTCAGCGGTTCCGTGTTCGTCTGCCAACGCGCAAGCTGTGCAGCGAATGTATAGCCTGATCATTTGTCGTATTCAATTGCTATTCTTCGTCCACATCTAGATACATAGACTCGATATTGACGGCAAGCTTGCCGGTGAGGCGAGCTGAGACCGAGATACGGCAATAGGGAGAAGGGGGATAACAGGACCTGGGGGTGACAGTTCAAGGAGCGCCATCAGTGTATAAGCGCCCGTAAAATTCCCATCAACGCTCAATCAACGCCAATGAAATTCGGACTAGGACTGTGACGGTTCGCATCTCTAGGTCAGACTGTACTTTCTTCTTCCTTTGGACTAGAAATCTGATTGTGTTTCGAAGTTCGCTTCCTGGTTACGGCCTCTTGAGGGCGTGACTATGATGGCCTGTGAGTTGTGTATCCCCGCGACGTGCGTGTACTGACAGAAACTATGTACAGCTTACGCTATGGGATGGGAAAAGCTGTAGTCCAGCTAACAATCACTGGAACACATCATGCATCACGATCAATTGATCCGATTCTGTAACTTCAGCGCTTCAGCCTTGCTGCAGGAATCTACACCGCTCGACGCTCTGGACGGAGGGCCAGGGTGCCACAGGGTTGCAATGAGCGCTTCGACGTAAAGCAAAACTTAGGGAGAACAAAACTCCCCCCCCCCCAAAACTCAGTTCCCCTCCCGTGTACGGTGTAAGCTCAAAGTGCCAAGCAGTATGAGCTCGAGAAGCGTGATCATTGACAATGCGGACGCCCAAATCCAGTACTCTCCTGGTTGGCGGGCAAGTGGATCCCCCAACGAGTACAAACGCACGACTAGCAACACTGAGACACGTGGAGCATCCTTCACGTTCAAATTCGTCGGTATGTCTCTCAACATTCGATTCGTATCCACACATCAGGGCTGATCTCTTCCTACAGGGACCTCCGTAGCGGTCTATGGCACCTTGGATAGCGTCACACTTCCCAACACTACCTACGTGTTAGACGGCGGCAATCCTTTTTCCTTCTTCGGGAAACCTCAACCACGAATCCAATATCAGCAAGTGTTCTACACAAGCCCCGCCCTGCCGTATGCCGAGCATACGCTTGTTGGATCCTGCGCAGATGAGGGTGGTCGAGTGATTCTGGATTACCTATTGATCGAGATACCGCTCGAATTACCGACAAGCACCAGTTTGCCAACCCCAACTTCGGCAGTGCCTGTAACCGTTGACTCGAAGCCGACACCGCCAACCACTGCGATCGTCGGTGGTGTTCTCGGGGGGCTGCTGCTCTTGATGACTATTCTGGCCTCGTACTTGTGGTACCGCCAGTCCCGGGGCACCAGTGGGAAGACTTCTTCCGTGGACGCCGAATCCGACCCACAGATTCGGCCATTGGCCGCACCTCCTGCCTCCACTTTCTATCCTATGGCCTCCACTTTACACCCTATGGCCTCTACTTCGTATCTTACACATGATGCTGAAAGTTCCTATCAGGATTCCGAAGCACCCCTCCGCAGTGACGTTATGTCGACCACCGAACGACAGAAGTCATCCCAGCATGTAGTAAGCACACAGTTGATGGTCAATCATAGCGACTGATTTCCTCCCAAGTCTTTGCAGTGGAACCAATCGTCGTCACAACAACCGCCCTCCTACTCTATGTAGTATATCTCCGATCCAATCTTGCCACCGGCTGAGTTCTGGAGAAACCATCGGCACGATCGGTGTATATATTTATATTACTCTTTCCGAATCCACATATACATCCTGTTCCTCTTCCACACGTCGAAGTGTTGCGCCCAACTCGATTTTGTACTCTACACTCGTTTATCCCCTTCCTTTCCTTTCACTGTCCCTTCCTTTGAACTACACTTGTCCGGCTCGTGTTGACCGCTATCTACTCGCTGTAGACGCATACCTCATCCTACACGCTCTCCTTGAAGTGCGAACGACAAAACTGAAAGGGCTCCGCATCTCCGTCCCTTACGCCTTTGACGATTGGCGCACGGTTGAGCACGTATTTCGGCGGATGCCAACGCTGCAATTCATCGACTTCCGCAGCCAGTATGGGGATTGCCAGTGGGAGCGCTAGCGTCGAGGTGCACCCCGTGCTGCCACCATCAAGGGCATACCTCTTATGGCATGCAGATTTGAGTGGGACTGGGAAAAGTTTGCGGAAGATTGATTTATGATATATGAGTATTCCAACTAGCGTCCATGTATTACTCTAGTTCGAACGGGGCCGGATAGGGGACATAGTCAGGGGCTGATTAAATCAACCTTCACCAGTATACAGAAGAAACATTTTTGCCTGCATACCATGCAAACACGCAGAGGAAATTTACCGGCGTTTAACAACTCAGAGTGATGACATTCGGATTCGGTTAGCGGTCATGGCATATATTAATATTATGAGGGTATATAGGGAGAAAGATGGGATGCATGGAGAGAACGATTCCGAGACACAACGAAGGAGGGTATCGCAGTCGCATTTCATAAATCAGTATACTGTCGAGGTTCCTCTCCCAATGCAGCTAGGAACTTTTCGAACGTCAAACACCCTCCCATAGTTTCGAAATCGATGTCAACCTCGTTGATGGAGGGAGGATCAACTCCAACGGGGCGTCGCGAATGAGCACTTGGCTCAATCAGAGGCAACTCTTCATCGTTACCCCCCAAGATCAGATCTACATTCCGGCGTTTCCGATTCCTTTGTCCAGTAGAAGCGGCGTTGGCCTTCTGAAGCTGCTTCTTACGCTTGACCGAGTTGTCGAAGCCCTCGTGGAATAGTTCCCAAAGGGCGTCCAGACACCCCCGCAGCGGCTCGAATGCAGGTTGTATTCCTTCGAAAACCGGCTCCGAGTCGCCAAGAAAACTTTTTTTCGCTTCATAGGCGTCGGCATACGTACCAGCCCATGTCAATATGGCTGGATTTGGCTTTCTGACAAATGGTGCATCCTTGTCGAGGGTGTAGTTCGTCGCCGCCCAAACAAAGACGTAGAATAGAGATTCGAGGTCGTGCCGATAGAGGTGAGAGGGGGGGTCAGCGTCTTTCAGGAGATCAAGTGCCATGAATGGACCAGTCCCCGTGCGGTGCTTTGCGTGAGCTCCCAGCTGGGCAGCGACAGATGATAGATCCCAGTCGTTTAGGATGCCGACGCAGCGAGACGTTTGTCGCCATAGCAAGTTCTGTTCACTGATGTCACGATGAAGGATATTCCCGGTTTTCAGCGCAGCGTGATGACCTATTACCACAGATTAGATTGTAAACGGACATAGGAAGGAGGACATACACTCGACAATGTCAAGGTACACATCGAGGAAATCATCGCATGTTGGGACCTCCCATAGATGCTTGTACTGTTCAACAATCATAAGCGTGAAATAACGCTGCTCGAAATTGTGCGCCGTGGTCATGGAGCGGAACAGGTCCCCCGGAAGCTGTATAGATGTCCCCTTGAGCACCATCGCAAAGTGGACCTTGGGAAGGTGAGGTCTCATGCGCCCAATCTTATCGCGGAGCTCCTGAATCAATTCTGCTTCGAGACTCGGTCGCGTAGACAAGGGCCAGCTAAGCTTGACTACCATAGGGACTTGAGGAACGGATTCCCCAGATGTCGTGGTTCCGTGTACGATTTCCATGTCGCCAGAATCCTTCGTGCTGTTGTTGGTGCCTGGTGTGTCGGCCGCGACCTGCTCTGGCTGGGGGGCACTTCCCTTCACTGCTTCAATGGGACGGCCGGGAAGGACTAGTGAGCCTCGGCCGTTAAGACCTTGGTATATGTATAATGGATTACCGGAGATTTCGAAGTGAGAGTACAGATCGTTCTCGAAGCCCTTCACATACGTAGCGCCTGCGTCATCATCGCGCACAGGCAAATGAAGGAACACGCCGTCCAGCGAAACGAGAGGAGCGGAAAGTGGGGAGTCGGGGCTAGGGGAGATGAGGGGTTCGAATCCGGCCTGAACGACGTCGCACTTGGCAAGGGCCAAAGCCACCATCGCCAGCTTTTGTGGGTCTTTAGAGAAATCGAACTCCTCAGTGAAGATGGCGCCTATGCGGTCGTAGTAGTGCACCCATACGGTTTTATCCTTGATCACGAAGCCGGTAGCCCAACGCCTACACGCGGCTGCCATCATCTCGAGGGCATACCCAGCGCCCTGTGTCTCTTTCCGAGTCATTTGCTTGGGTCGCTTCGAAGGACCTTGTTCTTCAGTGCCGAGAACGTCAGTGCTCCGACGCTTGTAACCAGACGGCGCCTTGAGTGGCGGAGAGGGTGCCAAGTCTGGCGTGGAGGCTATGACGCCCACATTAGCAGCCGCAGGCGTTGTTCCTTCGCGAATTGTGTCGATGGGGCGACGTACCCCGCGCGCTTCCTTCCGAAGCCTTTGTTCGCTGGGGCGAATTTGAAATTCAAGAAAGGCCTTGGAGAGCGACCAAGACACCTTGTCAGAGTCTTTGTGTGACTTAAACATGAAAAGCCCATCAGGTTTTTGAGGTGTGCCCGTGCTCTTCAATTGCTCGCTGCCTAGAGAAGCAAGATTGATATCGAGGGCATATCCGTCATCGCGGAATTTCTGGAATAACCCGTCCATGATATTCTTGAACGGCGAATACAGGGCAGTCTCCGGCAAGCCTTTGCTGAGCACCAAGTTGTATTCGGCCAAGCCTTGATAATCTAGCGTCCACGCCTTTGATGTGATATACTCTATGTCTTTTTCCGTGAAACCATACACATGCTTCACGAAGTCTTCAACTGACACATCACGGAGCGTTCGAGTGCGAAGGTCCGCCTGCAGGGCAGCGTCCATGTTGTCGCGAGTGCGGTGCCGAGCGCCAGTTGCACCTTGCTTGTTGGGAGTAGAGTTTGTAGACGCCATACCTAGTTCAAGTCGAATGAGTGAAGGAAGTGAATCATATAGAAGAGGCTCACTGGAGTCGGAGTCGTAACCACTCAAAAATTCGTCTGAGTAGTCATAGTGTAGTAATGAGTTAGAAGATATGGTGTCACTCATGTTGGAGGCCATTTTATGCGATGTACTGTGGCCAATTTCGAAGTGACGGAACAATGGGAATGTGGCAGAAAGTCAAGATGCCACATTAGGCTTACCACTTGGATGGATTGCTTCTTTTGGACGACAACAAGCAATAATAGCGTCATGTGATCGTTGTTTGGAATCTTATCAGATATCATCCCTTCCGGAACGGCAGCATGGGCTCTGCTCTTATTCTCTACGCGACTGAAACTGGAACCGCGCAAGATGCAGCGGAGCGAATATCTCGAAGACTGCGTTGCATTCACTTGAAATGCCGTGTTGTGAACGTGGCCGACTATGAACCCGTAAATCTTCCATCTTGCGCTGTTTAGGCCCACCTCATCTTCAATGTTCAGACCGACCTCATCGCCGAGAACCTTGTTATATTCGTGGCATCGACCACGGGGAGCGGTGTCGAACCGCGTGCAATGACACCAATGTGGTCGATGCTGCTGCGTTCGGGACTTCCAGACGACTTGTTTGAGGATATGCTCTTCGCGGTGTTTGGTTTGGGTGACACTGCGTACGACAAGTTCTGCTGGCCGGCGAAGAAACTGGACCGGAGGCTGGAAAGCTTGGGAGCAGCCCGCATATGTGAACGTGGCGAAGGCGATGAACAGCATCCAATGGGGTGAGTCATGCGCATGTGTGTGCCTGTAAAAGCCTTAACTTGCATCTACAGCATAGACGGGGCGCTGGATCCGTGGTGCGAGAAATTGACCCAGAGTTTGCTGGAGATATATCCTCTACAACCAGGCGTGGAACCACTCTCGCCTAATGCAAAGCCAAATCCTCGAGCTTCTTTTGTCGCGTCCTCTTCTCAATCACTGGGCAAGTCTAGCGATGTCTACTGGATCAGCGACCGGCAAACTACGTATCATCAAGCTACTGTGACAAAAAATCAGCGGATCACGTCTCAGGATTGGTATCAAGATGTTCGCCATTTTGAATTAGACTTTGAGGGCGACCTTAAGTAAGGAGCTCTGTTGTATCTTCCGGTGGTTATTATTGAATATAACAATGGCTAGCTATTTCCCTGGTGATGTAGCCGTTATTCATCCAGAGATTCCAGAGGAGCGTGTTGAGGAGATCCTAGATATACTTGGATGGACGGACGATGCCGACATTGCATATACAGTACGGCCAACAGCTGAAGGTAGGCCCTATCTTTTGCCCTAAAAATAACCACGTTGATATTCTCTCTTCAGATCAGTCTCTCCCAACAGATATCCCTTCGGCAGTGTCTATCCGTGCTCTCTTCAGACGTCATGTCGACTTTCTGGCCGTACCTCGCCGCTCTTTCTTCCAAATGCTCCGGTATTTTACTACTAGTGATGTGGAGGCAGAGCGGTTAGATGAATTTCTCTCTCCTGAAAGTGCAGTGCGTACGATTACTCTCCGTCCGTTGCGACCTATGGTGACAAAAGTCCTTAGGACGAGCTCTACGACTACTGCTTCAAAGTCCGTCGGACGATACTGGAGGTTTTAAGCGAGTTTCGCAATGTTCGTATCCCTAAAGAGTACATCTTCGACGTTTTCCCTCCGCTGCGGCCCCGCCAGTTTTCCATCTCCAGTTCAATTCATGTATGTATTCCGTGAACCTCCAGCACTGAGCTATTCACCGACTCTTTCAATCGAGTCAATAGAGGCACCCGCGCCAAATACATCTTTGCGTCGCCATAGTCGACTACCGTACGAAACTGAAAGTTCCACGACGGGGCGTTTGCACATCGTACCTTTCAGGCTTAGTCGTCGGTAGGTTCCATCTGGGTGTAAGTTTGATCCTTAAATGACATTCACCAGGCGATAGGCTTTCGATAGGCCTACAGAAAGGTCTCCTCCAGCTCCCCAAAGACCCGTCGACTCCTATCATTTGTGTGGGACCAGGAACAGGGATTGCCCCTATGAGGGCCGTCATCGAAGACCGAATTCATAGTGGAATGGTCTCTCCTTGTACGTGTATCTGTCGTTCTTCCGAGCCCCGATGCCAACTTAGCACGCATACAGCTACCCTCTCTCTGTATTTTGGGTGCCGCTCTGCCTCTAAAGACCAGCACTATCATTCCGAGTGGGAGGACTACGCTTCTAAGCAGCTACTCAACTATCGAGTGGCATGCTCGCGTGACGGGCCCGAGGGTGTGAAACGCACATACGTACAGGACGTCATGCGTGAAGATGCCCAGCGTATATGGGAACTAGTGGGGGAACGTGGCGCTTGGGTGCTCATTTCCGGGTGAGCATGTATTCAAGCGTATCAGCACACTAGACCCTAAGTTTCACATCCTTCGCTTCCACGGTTCTAGGTCTTCGAATAAGATGCCTGCTGCAGTCAAAGAAGCGGTGGCTTTCGCTGCAGAAAAATGCGGTGGTATGACTTCGGAGGATGCCCAAGAATACGTCGAAGAAATGGAGAAGGCTGGCCGCCTCATAGAAGAGTGCTGGAGCTAGCTAGCTAGGATTCTCGCCGCATCATGCAACCATCTAGAATGTAGGCAAGGTCTCCATCATTATTTAAGTATATACGACAAGCTCACGCCGGTTGGTCTTCTTCTAGTATCTTGCGTTTCCCCTCCTCCAATACGCGACTGAAGATCGTAGCTAAGCTCGTTCCCCCGCATTCGAATCATGAAACTCCATTCCCCAGATTAATGCCATAAACAAAACGCAACTGTCCGCGGTACAAACCCCATAGAAGTACATCTCCATATCATCATACGTAGTGTATCATTGTCCACAAGAACTCAAGAATACTAGCTTCATCTCTTCCATCCCCAGCCTCCGACTTCGACTTCGACTAAAGCATAATCAAAACGACTGCCCCAGCCACGCCCAGAACCCCCATGCCGTTAACCATGTTCATGCTTTTGGATGCCCCGCTGCTGCTGCTGGGCGCGGAGGCTCCAGCAGAGCTAGCAACCGAGGCGAGAGGACGGGTGCTGCTGCCTCGCACATTGCTATTGAAGCTGCTGACAGTGCTGGCGCTGCTCGCCGCGCTACTAACAGCGCTACTAACGCTGCTCGCGGCAGAGCTCACGACGTCCGACGCGCTTACGCTTGCACTCGCACTCGCGTCGCTAGGCACCGAGGCCGTGGACAATGCCGGCTCGACTGCTGAGGAAGCCGACGCTGAGACCGTTGCCGAAGCTGAGGCGGTAGATGTCAGTGTCGTGTGGGCACTATCAGAAATGAATTGTCAGCTCGCCGTTCGCTGTACAGGGTGTAAATGCACCAACCTCACTCCGCTAGCGAGCAAGAAAAGGGCCACAGAGGCAGTTGAGAATTTCATGCTCGTCGTCAGTGCGTCGTTGAGGTCGTATTGCGCCCACAGCGGTATTGTAATCCCTCTTATATGACCCATTCCTTAAGCTCGTCGGCTTCCAGATGGATAGTGTCGTATATGCTCAAGTTCTTTACTTAGTTTCCATTTCAGGGGAACATTCGACCAATTCTCTGACCCATCAAGAATTACGCAAGATGGCACGACCAAGCCGAACAAATGGGTTGTAGAAGAGAAGAATCGTACGAAGCCTTCGTGCGGTACTTCTTTTCGCCTTTCTTCCTATGGTTCCATTTAGTGCGTTGATGACACGCATATATCAATGTTCAATGATTTCTTGTGATGTCAAATTGTGCTTGACATGATTTTGTTGATGGATTCGGATTTTACTGGGAACTGCTAGACCATTGTTAAGAAATGTTGCAAAAGAGTAGCGTGCATTGAACCCCGTCTACAAAAATGTCCGAAATATGTGGTATAACCGCGTACATAGCTCAAATGACACCATTAATGACAGGTGGAACGAAGGATGAACGAACAATGGTACGAGAACTTCGACAGCTGAAAACCCATGCGTCTACGTAATATGTAAGCTGAGTGTGAGTAGAGAATGAAGGAGATCCCTGACTTTTTACAAGATCATAGCACCTGCGGCAGCGCCAATCATCACTGTGACTCCCAGAGCGATCATATCGACACCCATTTCAATTTTGTTATTCGTAGCAGCGTTGCTGGTGGCACCGGCGGCGACCGAGCTCAAAACAGAGGACGCGGCGCTTACTCGCGAAGTGGCGTCTCCAGCGACCGAGCTCAGGAACGAGGAGGCAGAGCTGACGGCGGCAGAGGCCGCAGAAGAAGCTGCTGAGGCCGAAGCAGACTGCGATGCAAGCGCCGATGAAAGCTCCGACGAGGCAGAAGCTGAGTTAGCGGCTGTTGCACTGATGAGATAGGTCAGTCACGTTGTCGAAGAAAATATCTGACAAAATAATCACCTGGAAAGCTCGCTTTCTATCCTGCTAGATACGGAGGAGATCGGGCTCGTCGCGGTCGTGGATTCGCTTTGGGCGCTGACGCTGACGGCGAGGGCGGCGACGAAGGCGGTGAGGATCGTGAATTGCATTATGAGTAAAGTGGTGATGGGAGAAGGGAAGGAAGAATGTTGGAGGATGTCGCCTTGCTTATATACCCAACGACGGTCGCACGATTGTTCATGACGAGCAACGAGGAAAAGTTTCCATGACGTGCAGATGCCGTAGGTGGAGTGAGTCGATGACGCAATTAACATCGACAAGTAGCCGTCCGTAACATCGGCAAACAGCCTCCAGCATGCGCACGGCCCCGTGTCGGGAAGTGCCCAGCGCTAATACGTCGTCCGCAGGAATGCAACCCCGGATGTGTGGAGTTTCTACCCCACGGGAGGCGTTGAAAGGGATGAACGGCATCAGATTCCGTTAGGGGGAAGAAGGTACGGCCAATCCCCACCAGTGATACGAAGACACGATGACGACGCGGAGCGCCACGCACATGTGCTAGGGCGGAGGCAAGAAAAGGCGACACGCGAGGATTTCCGGGACGAGCGCAACCAAGGATTTTGTGGCCGAATTTGTACCGGGTAGAAGGGGTAATTCTACTTCATCTTGGAATGTGGGGCCGCCTTTGACTCGTTCTTGGAAGTAAACGCGACTAACGGAGCTTGAGGGTGCTTATTGAGGTGGCGCAACCGAGACGGGAAAAAGGTGTCGGTAACTGACACTGCAGTGGATTCGAATATGTCTTGCCAGCGTTCATTTTAGGAGGGTTTCAGTTTCAATGGAGAGGTTCCGGTTTGCCACCTGGACCTATTCCGTTGCCATCGAGATCAACGACTCCAAGGAAAACATTCGAGTATGGAACGTTCGAGTATCCTAAGGCGAGGGACCTGCGCAATATCGTGAAGAGTTGTCGAGGGCAGCTCGGGTTTTACGGATTGCTCGACTCGACGACCAATCCAACAGACGTTGAAGGGTTGCCAGCCTCTCTATGGAGCAAAAAAATCTTCCGCAGGATAACCACGATAGGGTGGCCACCTATCCATCAAAGTATCAAAGCCTTCGAATTCGTGCTGTCGGTCTTGCCTGTCCCCGACAATGCTGCACTCAGATGACTCCACGCAACAGCGACGAGAACAAACGAGGTGGAAGAATAGACTCCCGACACAGCTTAAAACTGCTCCATTTGTTTGGGTCGTCCTGGATGATGGAAAGGCGGTCACCCCACAAGTACAATTCCTCTATTCCGACACAATGCCTCAATCGCATCCTCAATCGTTTTCGGCATTTCGCGGGTATTTTCGCCGCCAATTTGGGGATAGGATGAGAATGTGGATCCTGTGGTAAGGAGGATTGGTTGATCCGGCATCTCTACGATACGCTTTTTGTCAACATCCATCACGCGAAATCCCGATGGTAAAGAAGGATGTGGTGCTTTGCGATCGGGATGATCGTGATCGAGACGATGGTTCACTGGATGTCCAGCTCGTGATGCGTATCCTTCGTTTCCACCAGCGACATCAATTTCTACATCGATCGGAGGTTGATGTAGACAATACCGCGCTCTCTGGCCTGCAACCACCGACGTTAGCATACGCAGACATTCAAAGTATCCGGCCTCCACTGACCAGAATGAAGTTCCGAGACACAGAAGCTGAGTTGATTCGGGTTGAGGGTCCGCATCCCTTGTTTCGAGTCTCGGCGGCAAGTGCGATCAAAGACCGAAGTGGGCAGTATTTATGTGTTTCAACATCATCATCGGGCGCGCAGTAGGGTGCGACAGCCGAATCGAGCCGTCGATAGCGTGCGGAAAGGTGGTGCTTGCGGAGGTCACATGGTGGTCTATCGGCTTCATCTTCATCAGCGAGCTGGCTGCCAGTGTAAATGTGCTGGAGAGTACGTCCGACTTGTCTGTACTTCTCGGTATGTAGGCCAGTCTCGCATCGATTGAGCCGTCGTCGTTATCGTCGGTCAAGAGGTAGAACAAGCTAGGCGAATACATCAAACACATCAGCCCGCCGGTAAATCCTGATCTAACATAGTAGATGAAGAGAACTCACGAGATACACTGCATCTTGGTAGCAAACTTCCGGCGCTGGGTCGGAGCGTTCCGGCACCGACAGAGCTCAGGAAGTGGGTGTAGGCAACATGTGCATCGTCGTGGACATGGTGTTCGACGAAGTGAGATTTTTGAATTTTCGGGGCATATTTGAGTGATTTCGGCGGTTTGGGATGCGGAGAGCGAGGAGCAGTGAAGCTTTGAAGGGTTACCGGTTACCGGTTAGGTTCAAATTTGAAATCCAGCGCCTGTTTTGACTCCCAACACATATTTCAGGGGCACTACGCCTACGTCCGGGTCACCTTGTTGGGATGCGTTGAAGTTGCGAATGCGATTGTTTCTACCACCGTTGTGACCGCCCCGGATTGTTCCATTAAATCGGTCGCCGTCGTATATGGTCGACATCACAAAAATTCACGATGATAGCTACGTGAAGGAGCAGTCAGCCAAAACCAAGTAGCAAGTAAATGCAGTGGGAGGCATCTTTACTCGCACCTACTAATTGGTGTGTTGGCTGAAGTGATGCTTGTTTGCTATTGGAGAATGTCTGCTGAAGACAATCGACGTGGTGAGCTTTTAAGGATCCAATCTTGAAAAAGACACTCATGAGAGCTCACGTCGGGTAGATGCAACAATCACTTCTCTGCTTTGCCTCCCCAGAGTTACTCCTGATGGCAAACGGCCTGGCTTGCACAGTGCAAACACCGATAAGCGAGGATGTAGGTATTATGTGACGGCCCCTTGTTTACATGCTACTTGTCGAAAGTCGAAGGAACTGGTTGGAATGGACCAAATATAGATATAGAAAAACTCACATGTTGACAGACACCAGTGCTGATGAGAAGAAATGGAGACTCAAGCACTCGGCACTCATGTAAGTACGATGGTCCTATGTCGACGGACAATGCAGTATAGTCAGCTGTGGGTTGGTTCTATGTTTTCATGTGAAAAGCGAACAACGCCATACGCCCAGCCGGTGATATCTCAGTGAACTCCCGAGCGAATGGATCTTGATGACCTGCACCCAAGTCGCACGGCAACGGTGGAGTTCCCGAGTTATCACAGGAAGACATGCGGAAGGAGGAAGTGGTCAAGTGTTTGAAAGAATGGCGGTACGTGAGACCAATTTTTTACTTTCAGGAATTGCCTAGCAAGTCAGTGATGGCAATAAAATTAGACACGAATCATGGTACCCTTCGCGGTTGAAAACTGGGAATAAGCTGCCCCTTCTGAACATCCAGTGCTGCGAGGGATCATCAGAGTGTCATTTTGATGCAAGTGGGGCTGGAAGCATTTGAACGGCCTGGACACGACTGTCGGGTAAACCATCAGAAGACAGAGTTGGGGGTCAAGTTGTTGGGGGTTGAATTGGGTTGGCTCAAATGAGTAGACTCGAGACCGGCCGCGGCAGTGATCGTCCAGCCTTCTGGGGGAATCTAGCGCGCGGCTCGCGTTACTGAGCAGAGTTCTGAGTCGTAAACGAAACCTGAAACGAGCTGTATGAGACAACTCACGTTTGCACATCGATAGGAATGAGAAAAGGCTGCGGGTGGGGTGATCGGAGTATTCAATTGGCGCGGCATGCTGTCTGTTTCTCACCTTCGGACTGAATCTGCATTGAAGGTGAGATAAAGCTCCAGTCCAACTGCGTTCGAAGCAACATGGCGTGGCGACGAATTAACTTTGACCCATGGGGTTACCAATAATCTCTCAATGATTTTGTGTTTTTCATTTTGCTTATCTGGATCCATTCCTGCATCTATATGATCTTCGTCAGCAACGAGGACAAACATCGTGGAGTACGACCAAACCTGTTCCATCTTATAGTTCAGGTCACCCTGAAGGACGCAACGGCGATCTGCCTACAGATAGTTGGATGTACGCCTGCATTGCATCCTCAGAAGTCCCCTGGCACCTTGCGAATGATTAAGCCTTATAACTTTTGACTAAAACAAAACCGGATCCGGTGATTAGGAGGAGTGGTGAGCCGGGATTGAGGTTCAAACAAAACACAAGGCAACATATGGACCCAGGGCTTTGGGCATCTTGTACATCTCTAGGATCTCTACGAGAGGTGCCTTTCGTTGATATTCACCACGCGGGAACCCATCGGCAAAGAGGCATATAGTGCGTGGAAGGGGGATCACCGTGATGGCACTGATCACAATGGTGCTTCGGGTGCTTGGTGATGTCCAGCAGACCGAACAAGGAAAACGGCGGGGCTGCAGTCCTTGTCTTGTATTTTAGTAGGATAGCCAAGTTTTTGTTACGAAGCGACCCAGCGAATCACCAATGAGCACTGACGTCTTGCATAACGCAGGTCTTTTGAAGATCGCCTTTAGCTTCATTTATTCGGTTCAGAGCGTAGACAAATGCGTGTATGTGGTTCGGACCGTATTGCAATCATACAGCAGCAATCATACAGCAGCGGCCCTACAGTGGTCATCGGAGTCGGCGTAGCGACCATCAGCACTTCCATTGATATTGAGAGGCGGGATCTGATACATAGTACTTAGTGGGGGTTCACGTTCGGGGTAGAAGTCGCACATCAGTGACGGCAAGTTTCATAACCATACTAGGCGCCCGCCATTCTCCCAAATTAGGACACGCGGTACTTACTATTTTCCTCAGGAGCGACTGCCACCGTGACCATCATCAGCGTCGCCTTCTATCTGTCAAGCTTCGGGGAACTTGCGAGTATTTCGCTTGGAGGAATGGCCCACATAAGTAGTGTTTCTCCGCTTTTGTTTGACTCACGGATGACGGAATGGCTTCCAGGCAATAAGACGGCAAATCTTTCACCAAGCTGACACGACTGTTGACATTGCGTTTGTTGGACGTTTGAACGTTGAACCTCCGAGGTGATATGAGCGGAAAACATTGTATATGTCCCATGTATGGACTGGCAAACCAGTCATGCACAATGCGAAAACAACTCAAACCGTGACTCGAATATTTTCGTTTTCGACCCAATATCTTCGATCTCTTGACAAACCTCCAGGAGGCGAACCGCCGCCATTGCCAGGGGTGCACAAGATCAATGATGGTGTGAAGTCTCATATCTCTCATATCTCAGGCCTCAACGCTCCAGCAGTATTTAATTTTGCGTGTGTTGTGTCTGGGTGAGTATGCCGGTTCCTCCTGGTTCTTCCTGGTTCTTCCTGGTTCCATCCTTCTTCACGTGATCGTCGCCCAGTATCCAGTATGTTTATCCCCAGTGCACAAGAGCCGCGTACTCACATCAATTCCTTTCTTTCTCTTCTGAGTTCTTATCGCCAGCAGGTTTCCGCGCCCCTTTGACCCGCACCCCACCGCATATTCCCCGGGCAGATCCGGTCATTCACATACATTATCATTTCCTTTGTCTGTTTCCTCGATCTGACCCCCGCCTTCAGTTCCACGCCAACAAGGTCCTGCAGTCACCAGGTCCAATCGGGGATCTGTGAGCATGAACCAGCACAAAGGATGTCGTAGCATCCCAGGGGCAGCTTGGAGCTGTTGAAATCTGATGAATCGTTTGCCTTCGGCACCAGGCTGTGTGCCACCAACACTCTACGGAATCTGGCGGGCAAGAAATATGGCCACAAGCGCAAGCCCATCATCGGGGCCGATATCCAAAACCCATCTACATCTGGTGCCGATGATATAGGTTAGCAACCGTTCTGTTTGTCGGATTTCGGTCAAACAACCTCTTCATCAGCAGGTCATTAACACCCAGGATCATGGTCAAATACCTGCCGTTGAACAGCGACATTCGGAACCTTCCGGCCAGCGATTCAAAGCACGTTGATAGCCTCGTTCACCTACAAGAAATCATTCTGGTCCCACACTCTATGTATGCTAGGTCTTTGGGCCTCCGATGGAAAATTCTGAATATCGACTACAAGATTGCCCGTTTCCATGTGTCCCTACCTGCCCTACTCAACGTGCATGGCCTATGGTCCAGTGGTCTTATTGTCAATCTCCCCGTTGCAAAAACGCTACCTCGAGGCGTGGCGCAGCTGGGGTGTTATAAATGCACACCGTTGAGCCTCCTCCATTGCTACGAACTACGGCCGACATAGGACTACAAATCTACCTGAACATCACCAAGGCGGCCATAGCGCAACTCTACGATATGCCTGCAGACACATTAGTCAAATGGCAGTTGAGTATCGCGGTATCGGTCAATGCCAATGTGTGGTATCTTCCCTTCCTATTCGCAATCATCCTCGTCATTTTTTCCATGATCTTGTATGGACTCCCCAGAGTCACAATGCCGGTTTGATTAACAACCCTTCTTTGCGCAGCCCCCGAGAACATATTGCCACCTTCATCAATGTATATTTCTCGGGGGACCACTACAACGGCCCTATCAATGGCGGACAAAACGGGGGTAGAGGGAATACAAGTGAGCAACCCTTTATGTCTCCTCATCGTTCCAACTGATGCCCTGCTCTTAGTTACGAACATCATGTAGCTTGAGAATCGTGACCGCATTCTTCGTGGTCAACAAGCATTTCATGCTGGCAGCCAACAAGCGCCTGCTCATACCCGTTCCTGTGCTTCTATATTTAGTGTCTTGGTGGTGGGCTCATATCATACTTTGCATGTATGTATGTCTTGGGGAGGCTTCGGACTGTTCGCATTCATATATCTCACCTACATTAAATTAAAGTACGCCCGTCGTAGCTATCTGGTATTTGGATGTTCGCAGCTGCGGCCAGGCTGCAGGTGACTATTTTGTCTTTGAACTTGGTGGTAACGCGTGTATTTCATTTCACTATGATTTCACCTGTGCCTCGAGGCGGAGTGGAGTTCTAATATGTCCTTCTGGACCCCAATTAGATGACAATGTGTTACATGCCTACCGAGAAAGATGTAGCGCATGGTACGGCGAACTCCACACAGATGAGTGAGTCCTGAAACGACGCGAGAAAAATGCGAGCATTCAATGTGTCAAAGGTTCTGCGGATGCGAGCACGAATGTAAAAGCAACACACAACAGTACTAGTGTCTAGAGTTGGCTTTACGCCTAATGGTAGTCGCTTCCGAAAAGGAGCAAAAGGAGCGAAACCAAGAATCTTGTGGCCGAAGTTGTACCGAGGTAGCGAATGTAGTTGTCCTTTCACATCAACACAACGTCTTCAAATCTGGGGCTAGCATTGACCCATTCTTGGAGGTAAACTTTACCAATGGAGGTGCGGTACATGCAGCCATTCCTTCTACCAGCGACCATGACGGCGACTGTTAAAGCACTCTCGAGGGACTTGCCGCTGGTATCGAGATGGCGCGACGGGGGCGGAAAATAGATGAAGGAGGTGGTGTCAAACGCAACGGACAATGCAATGAACTCGAATATGTCCTCGCCACGTTCAATTTGGGGGAGAATTTCGGCTTGGACGAGGGGTTCCAATTTGCTGACGGCGCCTATTCTATTGCCACCGAGATCGACAACCCTAAGGGTGGCATGCGAATTCAGTATTCTGAGACGAGCGACCTGCGCATGGCCCCGAAGAGCTCCTGGGAACATCCCTGTTTTCAAAGGATGGGGATTGCTTGATTCGGCGGTCAGAGAAGTAAAGACTTCCACAGCAAAGTCGCGATAAGTTGGCCACCTATCCATCAACACTCTATCCAAGTCTTCAAACCCGATCTGCTCCCATGAAGATCCCTCTGGCACAGGTAACTCGAAACAACCTGACATCCAAGCCACAGCCATCGACACACGCGCGGACACTCGGCGATTGGTCCATGAGTCCGCAATCTTCATCCATGACAAAGGCTGACTCCAAATATTGGCAGGTAGAACGACGACCTTATCATCCTTATCATACGAACAGAGCGACCATGACACTAAGGAACCTTGAAAGTCGTCCTCCTCGAGGTAAATGCCGCCAACTACAGAACTCCACGACCACGAGGGCAACACCAAGCTCTTTGACTCGTTGCGAACAAGGATTTGTGCCCGGGTGACATCGCCAGAGTAAGGCCTGTTCTAGTTCGGGGAGCGGAAGACCGAAATGGAGGTCATTGCGATCATATAGTGCGTTCAGGATGCCGGTAATGGCGTTATACGTGTCTGATGAATAAGACAAATTTCGATCACGATAGGCGAGTAGACGCCTTATATATTCGCCAAAAGGAACATGCCGCCCCCCATATAACCCCATCGTGAACGCAGGAGTTTGGTTTTCCGGGGCTTTCTTATTGAGATTCCCAAACCCGAATGAAAGCCGATCCTCGTGCCAAATCTGATTCTCGCATTCAAACTGGATTTGGGAGGAGGTGAAGTAAAGCTTTCGTTTCGCGAGGATAGCCTCCTGATATGTCCAACTACGGCTGAACCAACCAACCAGACGTGGCAACGGCCTGGAGGTAAATTTCCCCAACGAGGGTAACCAGTAACCCATCGATGATTTCGTATTTTTGGTCCTGCCTATCTTGACCCATACCCGCCAGCCCTGCATTCATATGATCTCCATCGACAGCGACGAGAACGAACGCAGCAGAAGAGTAAACTCCCGACATCGCTTGGATCTGCTCCATCTTGTCATTCGGGTCGTCTTGGATGATGCAAAGGCGATCGGTCCACAGATACCGTTCTTCTAGTCGGATACACACCCGCATCGCGTCCTCGATGGTCCTTGGCATTTTGAGAGCATTCAAGCCCCCGATTTGTTGATACGACGAGAATGTAGATACGGTGGTAAGGAGGAGTGATGGATCGGGATTGGGCCCCCAAACGTAGCTCAGGGCAACGTACCGACAACCCTCGGGCATCTTGACAATACGCCTTTCGTTGACATCCACTACGCGAAACCCCACGGGTAAAGAGGTATGCGGTGCTTTGCAATCGGGGTGATCGTGATCGCATTGATCGAGATGGTGCTTGACTGATGTCCAGTCCGAAATCTGCTTTCTGATAGGGAGCGCAAGAGCCTCCTTCGCTTCCACGGTCGACATCATTTGAAGGTTTGTGATGGACAATACGGCGATCTCTGGCCTGCTCCCAGCAATTATAACATACGCTGCCTACTTCTTATCTCCAGAGTGTTCGCACCACTGACCGGAATGAAGTCCTGGGATGTAGAACGTTAGTCGAATCTGAGTTGAGGGTTCGCAGGCCTTGTCTCGAGTTTTGACGGCAAGTACGATCAAAGAGCACAGCGGGCAGCCTGGGCGCATTTCGATATCCTCGAGCGTGCCGTAGGGTACGACAGCCTGATCGAACCCTCGATAGCATATAGAAAGGTGGCGTAATCTGAGGTGCTTGAAGAAGTCGCATAGTAGTCCACCAACTTAATCCTTGCCAGCGAGCTGGCAGCTATCGCAGCGCCCGTGGAACAGCGCCGGAGAGCATGTGCGCCTTGTCTGTATTTCTCGGCGTATAAGACAGTCCTGCGGGCCATCGTCATTGTCGCTCGTCGTCAAGAGGTGGATTCTCGACAATCTTAATGATACGTCAGAAAATCTGGTTTTGAGATAGACAATGAAGGAGTCGAGCTCACAAATCTCGGTAGCGTATCATTGTGGTTGGAGCATTCCAACATCAAACGGACGGTGTGGGCGAAGTGATGATTCAGGTTCACGCAGGGTTCAAGAACAAGGATGGAAATTTGAAATTCAGCGCTTGTATTGATCCTAATGTACATTGTACAAGAAGTCAGGGGTATGCTCCTGGGTGCACATCAAGTGCTAGAAGTGCTAACAACTGGCCGGGGAACGGTATAAATTATTTCCAATAAGAACTGACTTGGGCAGACGTATCACTCGTGAAGCTTCAGGCCCTGCGGATTGGGTTTGGATAGCCATTGTGATTCAACACAAGTTTTTTCTCGAGTTTTGCTCGCAGCCGTTGATTTCGAGCAGTCATGTCTTCGATTTTCTTAGCGAGTTCCTTTAATTTGCCAAATGCCGTCTTTCCCTCTGTCGAAGACATATTCGGAAGCCGGGCATTGATCGAATCGAGTTCGGCTTCAATGTCCTCTATGATTCACGTCGATTGGTCATTTTCTGGTAGCAAGACGGTAATTTGCGTACCACCGGTCATACGAAAAGTGTCATGGATGTTGTTTTTTCCGCCATTGTTGCCGCCGGATATCTCTGCGAAAGTATCACCAGCGAAGTGGGCAGGGTGTTGATATTCCGGCATTATCGATTATTGATCGCTTTCAGTCTGCATTTGAGCATTACATGGCAAGCTTCGCAGCTAATGGCTAGAACAATCAGCTCACCGTTGTATATATTTCAGGGCTGTTGGCGATAGGCTTCGGGGAGGAATCAGTTGTGCGCTAACCCCATAGCCCTTTCTTGATGCTTTATACGTGTTCAGCCTGCCCCTAGTACCAAACTTCGATGCTTAATCAGTAAACTCGACGATAATCGCTGGATCACTCACATAGACAAAGAAGTCATTGTATTTGAGTCGCGCGGGGCCAAAGCTGAATAGCCCTTCGGGAATAGCGCGGGTTTCGGCCCTGTATGGAATAAGGAAAGGCGGAGCTGCTGTCGATACACGGATGGCTGAATGTACCAGGAGTATTGTTTCAGGGGACAGAAAACAAAGATAGCATATGGTTGAAATAGGTTGCTGCTGGAAGTAAGTGCAAAGTAAGTGCCAAAGCGGACAAGAAATGATGTGCCCACAAGCGCCCACAAGTGGCGTCTGGGCGACGAAACTTGGACGAAACAAAACGAAACTCCCACGTCGTAACAAGGACCCATAGATGGCTTGTTTTTTGGTGCTTGTAAGCTTGCTGCCAGCGCAACATTCCGCGAGGAACAGTAAAGATGCCGAACCAGCGGTAAGGCAATTGGCCTTGGTACTGAACTCTTAAAACGCACACTGCCAACGACCATATATTCCCTATCATAAGACAAACATCAATCCCTCGAGTAAATACATTGTAGGTCCCATGGCCTCCGAGGATACATGGTACACCACTCACCTATTCTTCAGTCTTGACTCGACCAGTCCTTCGTCCAGCCGCTACGTCAACCAGATCACATAATGGACAAATACAACGGCGACCATTTTAGTAAACCAATTACGGGCGGCAACAACGGTGGAAGAAACAACCACACGCGTACCTTTTACGCGGCCAAAGGTATACTAGACAGTGTGCTGCCGTTCTGTTAGCTGATGTTTCATATTCTAGAGGATATGACGAGTACCTTGGAGATGTACGAAGCAATGGTAGACCATGTGGAAGACGGCGTTGCATGGCGAGCTTTGGGGGAGCTGGAGACGATGAATGATAAGCTGCAAAAGGCTAGAAGGGCAAATGAGTACTTGCAAAGGAAGGTAGCAGAGAAATTCGGGTTCCCACACGTGAGTCACTCTGGACACGAATATTGCACTGAACTCACCTAGATAAACAGAGGCCGGATGTTCGCAAGTGACAAGTAAGAGTGTTGGGATATGGGTTCCCTATATCGTACGCCCTGGGGGTTGATTCCGAATCTGATTCCTTACGAACGAACAATGAAATCGGCGATCAGGATCGGTGGGCACAGACCGTAAGAGGCATGTAAACGTCGTCGGCTCGGAGCGGCCTCGTTCCTATGAAGACCGCGAATTTGGCAAAGAATTTGGAACGAAAAGGAAAGATACCCATTCGGCACCGTCCCGCAGGTCTTGTACATCATGCATCCTACAGTGGTAGCGGAGTTTCGGATTCGGTGCCGACTGCGACGAGAGCCTGAGCGAGTCATTCCCACGTTGTTTACTTCTAGGAAATAGCAGGTAGACTGGGTATCAACGCTTCGATGCCGCGAAGTAGATGCGGTATGCCCTACATTTTTATTCATGATTTAATTCGATGGGAGGGTCTACATTCTCCGCTTGCCTCCTGGAGAACAAGAAGGTGTTTGATCGATACGATGGCGCCCAAGCAGGTAACGATCACCTGGGGAGGGCGGACGACGGAGGAGACAACAAGCATGCGATGCAAAGTCATGATTGGGAGCAGGCCGCGGATTGCAGCCGCGATGCGTGAGCTCTGACGTGTAAATGACTATCCTCGTTTATCCTCCGGAGTGGCACAGCCATACGTGGGAGGGTGTGTACTATGATGTGTCTACTACCTACATCGTTATCATCTGAACCACCGCTTCTGCTGCACCGTGGCGGTTTACACCGCGTAATAAGATGAGATAGTCAATAGTGGCGCCCCCATGGCTCAAGTAAATCATAGAGGCGAGATATAAAATGGATCGGGGTGGTTCATATCCCTGTGGCTTTCCCCTCATCACTGCTGAGGCTGGTCACTAGTTCACGTTCGCTGTCCTGGCACAATGCGGCGCCCCGTTCGCTCGACGAATTGTAGCACCGCTGGGTAATGCTTTACATTCCCCAGTATTCTTTCCGCGTTCATCGCTGCTCGTCTTATCCTCCCCCTCATCCCCTCCCTGGCTGCTCGGTGTGCCTCGCACTTTACCAGGTAGTGGCTGACTGTCTCTTCGTACACCCCGCATGCCGAACACGTTGGGGAAGGCACTGCGCCAATTCGACATGCTTGCAAACGCGTTGCGGTGCGCACTTGAGGGCTTCCCCAGCCCTATCGCTTCCCTTCTCTGGAACCTTTCCGACAGGTCCCGCGCTTCCACTGGCGCTTCCGTGATGGAACCTCTGATCCCTGCCCTTTCATCCCTCCCCTCGTTCGCCTTTTGATCCTTCATGTCTCTAAGTTTCTTGCGGATCAGTCTCTAGGTTGTAGGCTGATATAACCATGAGCGAATCTCCATTCTCGATCTATACACCTACACATGATGGGTTAAATGTTCATCGAATCTAACGCAATGACGGACTACTTACCTTAACACCTACGCACCATACACTCGCACGCATCCTCCTTCATCCCATCTCTCTTCTCCCCTCAACTGGGTCCTGCACCCCCCATTTGGCGCCTCGTGCTGCGTCTGGCATGGCCAACTGACAACAGGGTGAGTGACAACCGCGAGGTGAGCGTCTCTCCCATGCCTTGTGCACACCCTCACCCTCACCATCCCCATTTTGTTCCCGCCCTATCTATGCCCCGTTCTTGTTTCCAGTGAGTGTAACCGCCCTACCCATCGACATTATCAGCCAAAGCCGCGGCCATGTCCAGACTATGCACGCGTTGGCGTTGGCACAGCTCTAAGCTCTGAGCTCTGCGCTGTAGAAGGTAGGCCTCCTGCCGGCCAGGTTCTCCATTATCCACGGTGCGTGGGCGATCTCCCCCGATTCGAGAAACGCGAGTCTATCGCGGCTGCATCGTAACTAACTACCACGAAGATACATAGATATAATGAGAGGTTCTCTGTTGATTTTTTGCAGAGGCTGAACTGACCTCTTCTTTGACCCCGTATCCACAGTTTCCATCGACGACGAGGGCATAGCATCGAGTAAGCCGTGCCGACCCCCATCTCGCGCACTCCCTCCTCTTCCTCCTCCTGTTTTTTTATCCTCTCGGTCTCGGTCTCGTTCACGCTTCTTGTTTGACCCATGGCTCGCCCACCTATTCCCGTAGAGATACAGGCGTATACGTTCGATGCTAAGGGGGGGTCTTGGTGCAGCATTCGAGGGAGTTCCATCGTCCACGTTTAGGATTGGGTAGTGTGTCGTGAGTATAGTTGTCGGTGGAGGGAGTAGAATATGGTACCTTGGGATGGCAAAAGTTGGATGTGTGCACATCGACTATGAAACTGAGCCAGCTCGTTTCCTAATTGAATAGGTAAGGTCCCATGGATGTGAGCTTGTCGCTGGTGATTGCTTCGTTTTCATCGTCGTAGCAGTTCGCCAAGTTCCTTGGCTCGCGGTCGGGCAATGAGGGCTTCGAAGATAAGCGCCGAACCAAAATAGTTCCGCTCCTCTACCACGATGCGCGCAGACATCAACTTCCATCCTCAGCGGCCAGTATCGTGCGCCGCGGTGTGAGGGCGCGCTTGCCATGGCTGCCTCTTCTATTGCTTCTGCCGCCCACGCCTCTCAAATAGATCTCGACCTCAATACCCGGGAAGGCACAATCCAACGTTTCTACAGATTCGCAAAGAAAGAAGCCACGTTTTTCCGTGTTCACCTCCTCGCGTTTGCCATTGTCCCCCTCGTCTTCTCTGGTATCTTCTATGCTTGCAACGGACGGTTTCCAGTCAGTTATTTGGACTCTTTGTTCCTATGCTACTCGGCGATGACCGTCACTGGTCTTTCGACGATCAACTTATCTACAACGACCGCAATGCAGCAGGCCCTGCTCTTCTTCTTGATGATGATTGTGAGCAATATTCCTGGCGCTTACACCATGGGATATGAACGAGTTCTTCGCACAGGGTGACATAACGATGGTCTCGTGGGTCATGGTACTCGTCCGAAAGTGAGTACCTTGAATATTCACATTGCCTTTATTTGACGCTGGGATAGGCACTACTTCCGTACCCATTGCGAATACGTTGCTTCTCTGCGTCTGCGCCCTCCGACGCGCCGTGGCGCATTACTATCCCTGCAGCGCATGCGCACGATGCTCCCGAACTCAATATCATCGCCGAAGGTTACCCAGGCTGATGCAGAGAAGGAGATCACCGACTCTCCATTCTCTATCGGCAATCCAACTGGTCTCCCCAACGCCACGGATGTCGTGATCTTAACAGAACCCACACCCCGCCCGACGGGGCTGACTTCCTTCGGGTTCGGCAACGTCAGTTATGAGGGCGAGCGTCACAGCGCGGACATTGACCGAATCATGAGCGATGACGCGCGAACGTTCACGAGCTCGCCGAAAGCAGCCAGCGTCGCCCTCTCCCCTCCTTCCCCTACCTCTCCCACAAGCCCCGATGACCCTGGTTTCCCGCGAACAATTTCATTCTCATCGGCGGTCAGACCTGGTCTACCCCATAGCGGGTCGCGGGACATGCCTCGTAGAGGAATGACGATGCTCACCCCGAATCACCACGTATCCCCGCCTTCGGACGATCCCAGTGGCAAGCATATAGCCAAATACAAAAACCACGGGGGGTTCCCAGGCCCGGTCAACCTCGCGCAGATGGCGTTGCAACGTATGGCTCCGACGGCGTACAGGAAGCTCCAGCGCTCGCTCACATTGCCCTACACGACGACGCTAAACGGCAGCCCTGCGCCCATCGTCTCCAGCCCCATCGTCTCCAGCCCCATCGTCTCCAGCCCTCTCGCCCGGCACTCACCTCTCAATGGTGAATTAATAAGGGAGGACGAGACGCCAATGGAGAAGTTCATAGCGGATATCAACACGAAGCTGGTGACGTGGCTGAGCTTCCCGCTGAAAGTCGGCAGGAACTCGTACTTCCGGGTGGACGAGCTGACGGACGACCAGGTGGAGGAGATCGGGGGCGCTGAGTATAGGGCGCTGAGGGTGCTGAGCTACTTGGTTCCTTGTGTGAGTGTTACTTAGTTGACGGCCGTTCGTGTTGTTTACCATCTCGTCTGACCGCTCGCTCGCTCGCATGCGCATATAGTATTTCGTGCTCACACAGGTGTTCGCGTACATCCTCTTCGTGCCGTGGATCTCCGTGACGCACACCTACGACGGTGTCTTCGAGGCGCAGCCACGAACCATACAGAAGCCTTGGTACGCTTTTATTCAATATTCAAATAAGGCTTTACGCACCGTCTGAGGTTACTTGACGCAGGTTCGGTCTTTTCCAAGTGATGGGCGCATATACCGGCGGCGGTCTTTCGTTGGTGGATATGTGAGTTCATTTTCTATAGTCTTCGCCTACCTCTCATGTCGCTTTTCTCAGGGGCATGGTGCCATTCCAGTCAGCGTATCTCATGATATGTGAGTAGTATTCCATTTATTCTGTTACACAGAGGGATTCGACGACCGTGTCAGTTGCCTTGATGTTCGTTATCCTTGCGGGTAATCACGCATTGGTCAGTGCACCCCTTCCCCACTATCCGTCCAGAGATAACTAATCTTGACCGATGCAGCCGATCTTGTGAGCCCCTCCTTCTCTCCTTCGCTTTCATCGACCACTCGTTTACGAATGAAACGAATCTGTTAATCTGTCTCATGCCAGTTTGCGCTTTGTTATGTATGTGTTCATTTATTATGGCCTGATTTCTTTGTGGATAATGGTCGCTGATCTTGACGATGTCGGAAAGATGGATCGGCTATAAAATCACGCCCATCACATCGGAAACGCACAAGGCTATGGAGTTCCTTATCGACCATCCTCGGAGGTACGCACGCAGATCTCAGTGACCGCGATAAGACTCTAACTAACAGACAAACTGTAGATGCTTTATCTATCTGTACGTCCTTCCATTTTTGCTCGCTTGTTATCGAGCCCCAGACCTCATACGCAACACTCCTCTGTCAGATTCCCTAGTCACCAAACGTGGTTCCTTCTCATCTGTCTCGTGGCTTTCAGGTCCGTCTAACCCGTCTTCGTGCTTAGCTAATTTGAACGGTTCGATTGACTGTTGATCCATATATTCATCAGTGCCGTGGAATGGGCCGCATTCGAAGTTCTGAGTACGCTCCTCCACTTCGACGCAAGTTTCACGACGTGCTTTAATCATTATGTTGTAGACATCGGCCTACCTGCGTTCGAAACGATCTCGCAAGGCCCGCGCGTTCTGGCGGGTCTTTTTCAAGGACTTGCCGCCCGCGCGTCAGGTTTCTCCATTGTGCCGGTTGCAAACTTGGCGCCTGCTATTCAGTAAGTGTTTCTGACCTAGCCTTCAATGAGCTGTCGTCTGAGGACCTAAAACCTTGAAGATTCTTGTATGCAGTGATGATGTATATCGCTGTAAGTGCTTCCTATTACTGGGGTTCTCCTCGTACGCTAACCTCTACCTTTCTTTCCCCAACTCTCTGGCCTCTTGACCTCCCGATCTCAGGTCTACCCAGTAGGATTGTACATTGTGTGGAATTTCGCTCTAACTGAGCTTCTCGGTACAGGTGGCCATGAGCATACACGCTACGAACGTTTACGAGGAGAGGTCCCTAGGCGTGTTCGAAGCCCCGCCGCCGGACGAGGACGAAGAACCAGGCGATCTGGAGAATTTGCCATCTCGCGAGCGCGTGGGCAAGTACCTCGACTGGCACCTGCGCAGGCAGATCTCCAACGGTGCGTGAATCCACCTCCCTGCGTCCGCTCCGTCAATGCTCATCCATGTTTTCGTGGGCGCAGATATATGGTGGCTCGTCTGGGCCGTCTTGGCTATCGCGGTCATCGAGCGGCGCAATCTAATGGATGAGGATAAGAAGTGGTTCGATCTGTTTAGGGTGCTCTTCGAGTTGGTGTCGGCGTTTGGTGGGATTGGGCTGACGTTGGGTGTACCATATGTAAGTGAAAGCATACCCCACCTTTCAGATACGAGCTGACCGACACTCCGTGTGCAGGACAACTTCTCGTTCTGCGGAGCGATGCGGCCGCTGTCGAAGCTTGTTATCATCGTTATCATGTGCGTACTCTTTCCACTCGTTTGCTTCTTTGGCGTTAATACTACATGCTTATAGGGTCCGTGGAAGGCACAGAGGTCTCCCTCTCGCAGTCGACCGCGCCGTGCTTCTGCCGACTGAACTGAATCGCTCGAAACAGGTGCCTAATGGTGATACGAACCACTCACCGGCACCACCGCAGACCGGAGATCAGCCCATACCCACACCCACGGATGCGCCAGCATCAGGCGCGAAGCCACTTGTTGACACTGTCGCGGCTTAACCGTTACTGGTCAACGTTTCAACATTCACACTCGCGTTCATACAGCTTTTGGGACACTGCATATACGCTCAGGCTATCACTCTTTGATTAGATTGTTTTTGATTCGGGATTCATATTGCATACACCTAGAATACATTGTATATAGATACCATGCTTCATATTTGCTATCTGCTTTCGATATGCTTACCTTCCATAAAATTAATATTAATCATGTTCCTTAAAAGTTATGGATCCCTGTGGCCAAGGCTTGCGCAAGACTGTTTCATCATATGTCAGACTCAGAGGAGACTAAGACGATGAAGATGCAGATGAAGATAGCATATCTAGTCAAATAGACGATGCCTAGCACTCCATTCTGCTTTCTAAGCGAGGGAGGCAAACAATATTGACCGACGCCGTCGAGGGCTTCATGGAATCCATGATGCAATATACATATAATGTTACAATTTGTTATTGGTATGTTGGACAGTGCCGTTTCCTCGAAGAGGATTGGCCGTACGCTTAGGGTATAATGAGCCCGGTTGTAGAATAGGAGGTGTAAACCCCTATTATAACTGGGGCCGCGATTGGTTGCCCACAATGAATGCGCCCGTCACTATCAGTCTCAAGTGACGCTCGTATCTATGCACGGGCCCATAAGAGATCACGACGTTGAATGACTGAATAACTACTCACTTTGATTACGAGCGCCGCCGTTATTCCCACCATAGATGGGGCCGTTGAATATATCCCCGTGATACTGGCATGTGGTGAACTCGAACATTTGTATGATGGTACTCCCTCTCTGCAGAATGCTGGAAGTAGAGAATGGTTAGTAACGAAGGCAACGAGATCTGGGAGGTTCTCACCAAATGACAACAAAGATGATCATAGAAATACCAAAGATGATCATAAACAAGAAAAAGACACAACACACATCACTGCACACGGCATCTTGCCATCTCTCAGCAGGCACATCTTCAGGTTGTGACTGGGGCGCCGTGGTGATGACCATGAAGATCGGGATAATCATGGCGGCCGCGGCGTTGGTTGAGGAAGAAATAAGCCGGTGAAAGCGACCGAGGTTCGGTTAATCATCTCTGCCATTGGGTGCGATATATGAGGCTTTGGATCTACAAATGTTTCCTGAAGGGGATCAAGGATGCCGGCGAGACTTGAAGAATAGGGTACTTGCGGTGACAGTACGCTCCGATGACCATGTATCATGATCGAGGTTGATCATGACTTCCTCGAACAACTCGGAGAGCAGATCGCGTCGGGGTGGCCGTGGTGGTCACTGCAAAACGTCCACACAACCTATGCTAATCTGTGCAATCAAAATCGGACGGGGGGTACTCCGGGAGGTCCGACTTAATGACGATGTTGTTGCAAGCCCGCGGTTCCAGATGTACTGAGTCTAAGTATACGAGTCCGGGAAAGTTTTGGTCCATTAACCGATTAAAATGAGTCTAAAGTTGATGGATAGGGAGACTTCTTTGAGGTTTCATTGATGTGGGGAAGGGGTTGTGCGTACGGACCTACTTCTGTCCGATCACTTTCAACCAGATGGAGGTTGGTACGATGCTACGCAGCCTGGCGCCAAAGGCAAATGATTCCTCAGCAGACGAGAAAAAAATCCTATGTCACCGCGTGCTTCTTTTGTTCAAATCAGGTTCGCAGGTCCTTCGTTGGACCTAGCAAGTGTGAGAGCCAATTAACGGGGAACTCACAGACGGAATAGGTAAGGAAACAGAAAACGGACCGGTGACACACGAAAGATAATAATTGACCAGGAACGACCGAACCCAGCTTTGAATGTGGACCGACAAGAATCAGGGTATCGGAGTGGGCCGAGAGCTAGAAGACACCAAGGAGAATGTATGGATATTTGCCGCTCCATCTAACGTACACTGCACAGAGGCGATAGCGAATCGGAGGGGCGAACAGTGAGTACGTGTGTATGATGACTCACTGGTATGATGAACTTACTGGTAAGAAGAATAAGGGGAACGATGCGGGGGAATAGCATACGCCGGCGAAGCAACATCAAGTGCGGCGTTGTAATGAGTACGAACACAACCTCAGGGCCTGTGAGTCGTTTTGCGGGCCAAACGAATGTGAAAATACTTTGAGAACTCAGACATAATACTCGGCCACATCGCCAGCAGCCCGAGATACATTTTCTCCCTTGACGTCGCAGATACTGACACAGTCGCAGTGGCCAGATTCAAATATTCATCCTTCTAGGTCGTGTCACTGCAGAAGTTGGATGGAGTCGCTAGCGGAGTTGAATAGAGAGTTTGCGAAAGCCACCGGGTGGCTTTCGCGGAGCTTGCGGAACTCGGTGGCTTCCCGGTCAAAAAGCCCGAAACTCACCGGCTGGTGGCTTTGGGCGTCTACTTGGAATTCGCTGGTAGCCTCTCCTTCAAGCAGCAGGCTAGCTGACTACAACGCGCGTCGAGCACTGTACCATGCCCACACATCCAGGTTTCCGTAGTGTTGCACCCAATCCGTGTCTTCCGTTGGCCTAGGCTGCGGAGGGGTGGCGATATCAATCAACGGTATGCAAATTCTGGATGCGAATGAGAACCAGGAGGCTTGCGCAAAAGTCAACGCGGACGAGAAAGCAGATGAACCTCGGAGGGGCGTCGCATGGTTGCCATTAGATCAAGATGGAAGCCAAAGCGTTAAAGTCCTGCGAAAAAAGTGCGAAGAGGCGCCAATCCTTTGGCTTGTGAGTTCTCCATCTGCTATCTCAAAACCGGATTGACTGGCTGACTGATGTACTTGATATACCGTCAAGATGTGCTACCTCTTGACGGGCGACAATGATGACGGCCCAACCGACGCAGGACTGTTCTACGTGCCGAGAAGTTCAGACAAGACGAACATATTCTCCAGCGGATTTACACCGGATGTTCCACAAGCGCTGCGAAAGCTGCCAGCTCGCTGATGAGGATGAAGTTGGTGGGCCATTGTGTAGCTTCTGCAAGCACCTTAGGTTACGCCACCTTTCCTTGTGCTATCGACGCCTCGATCAGGCTGTCGTACCTTACGGTGCACTTGAGGATGTTGAAACGCGCCAACACTGTCCACTCTGCTCTTTAATCGTGCTCGCCGTCAAAGCTCGAGACAAGGGATGTAAACCCTCAACTCAAATCCAACTCAGCTTCTACGTCCCAGGACTTCACTCTGGTCAGTGGACTGAGTACTCGGGAGATAAGCAGGGAGCGTACGCTATGATTGCTGGGAGCAGGCCAGAGGTTGCGGTACTGTCTATTCTGAATCTCACATTGATATCGCCGGTGGAAACGAAGGAGGCTCTGCCGCTCCCTATCAGGAAGCACATCTCCGACTGGACCACAGTAAAAGGTCGTCTCCATCAATGCGACCTCGATCATCCCGATTGCAAAGCACAACACACCTCTTTGCCAACGGGTTTTCGTGTAGTGGATGTTAAGGAAAGGCGTATCGTAGAAATACCCGAAGGTTGTCGGTACGTTGCCCTGAGCTACGTTTGGGGGCCCAATCCCGATCCATCACTCCTCCTTACCACCGTATCTACATTCTCGTCGTATCAAAAAATCGGGGGGTTAGATGCTCTCAAAATGCCAAGGACCATCGAGGATGCGATGCAGGCATGTATCCAACTAGAGGAACGATACCTGTGGACAGACCGCCTTTGCATCATCCAGGACGATCCCAACGACAAGATGGAACAGATTCAAGCAATGTCGGGAGTTTACTCTTCTGCGGCGTTCGTTCTCGTTGCTGTCGAGGGAGACCATATGAATGCAGGGCTGGCGGGTATGGGTCAAGATAGGCAAGACCAAAAGTGCGAAATCATCGAAGGGTTGATGGTTACCCTTGTTGGCCAAAGCTATCACCATGCCGTCGCCACGTCCAGTTGGTTTAGTCGCAGTTGGACGTACCAGGAAGCTATCCTCGCGAAGCGAAAGCTTTACTTCACCTCCTCGCAGATCCAGTTTGAATGCGAGAATCAGATTTGGCACGAGGATCGGCTTTCATTCGGATATGGCAATCTCAACAAGAAAGCCCCGGAATACCGGACTCCGGCCTTCACGATGGGCTTATACGGAGGACGGCATGTTCCTTTTGGCGAATATATAAGGCATCTACTAGCCTATCGTGACCGACGCTTGTCTTATTCATTGGACACATATAACGCTATTGCCGGCATCCTAAACGCCCTATATGATCCCAACGATGTCTATTTTGGTCTTCCGCTCCCTGAATTTGACCAAGCATTGCTCTGGCGATGTCACCCGGGCACAAGTCCCACGACAACCCTACGCACAAAGGTGCATGTCCTAAACGACTCGAAGAGCTTGGTGTTGCCTTCGTGGTCCTGGAGTTCTGTCATTGGCGGCATATACCTCGAGGCGGACGACTTCCAAGGGTCTTTAGTGTCATGGTCGCTCTATTCGTACAACAACCCGAAGGAGAATAAGGTCGTCGTTCTCGCTGCCAATCTTTGGAGCCCGCCTTTGTCATGGATGAAGACTGAAGACTCATGGGTCAACCGCCGAGTGTCTGCTCGGGTGTCTATGGCTTGGGCTTGGATGTCAGGTTGCTTTGAGTTACCTGTGCTGGAGGGATCTTCTTGGGGGCAAACCAGCTTCGAAGAACTTGATAGAATGCTGACAGATAGGTGGCCCACTTATCGCGACTTCGCTGCAGAAGTTTTTGCTTCCCAGGCAGAGGATGACAACCCCTCGCCGTTCGATGGACTAGGCGCTAAGTCGTACTATCCACATCGTTGGAAAACCGAAATGCCCCCAGGAGCTCTATATGGCCGTGCGCAGGTCGCTCGTCTCAGGGTAGTCAACAAGTTAGACTCGAATGTCACCCTTAGAGTCCTTGATCTTGATGGCAATGGTATAGGTGTCGTCAGCAGATTAGAACCTCTCATCCGTACTGAAGTTATCCCTCAAATTGAAGGCGGCAACGACATATTCGAATTCATTGGACTGTCAGTTACATTCAACACCAACACCTTCATCCCTTTTCCTCCTCGGTTGCGTCATCTCGATATCGGTGGCAAGTCTCTTGAGAGTCCTTTAGCAGTCGCCGTCTTGATCGTTGGTAGAAGGAATGGCTACATGTATCGTGTCTCCATCGGTCGAGTTTACCTCCAAGAATGGGTCAATGCGGGGCCCACGTTTGAAGACGTTGTATTGATTTAGTATCATCTTTTCTGCCCGGTACATTCGAAGAAAACCCTTGATCTTGATATTGCTTGTCCCGGAGATCCTCATGTGTCGCCTGCTACTTGGGTGCCATTGCATTGATCAGACAAATTCTACTTCCTCTGGAGGCAATCTACTTCGGAGCCCTGAATTGTCGATACATTGAATCCCCTTGCCATTTCCTAGAAGTAAGCAATGTGGGAATCATTCCGTCGGGTTGTCTGGGATGCGGCATGCTCGGCACGTAAGCCGAAAACCCGACAGCAAGTTATTGCTGCTGCTTCTGTCCCCCATAATGTATCAAGTTCGTCCCAGTTCTGGACCCCCGAACATAGTCTTTGACGCGTAAGCCGAGTTGACTGTGTTCAATCGCTTTTGCTTCGTGCACTGATGGTGGGTTATTTCCTGACGGGGCTCAATATCGGGTGTATGAGAGTGTTGTCCGTTTATTATTTCGGCCGCTTAAATGATAGCTGGACTGGTGCTAACATTCAAGACCGTGAAGTACCCCGGTCTTCTGCCCACATAACACTGAATTACTGCTATGGCGCACTTGTTGTGGACCTCACAGCTGCGGTACAGCGAATGGAAGAGCAGCTTCCTCTAACTATTTCGCAGCTTTTCGCTACCCCTGTTTATTTTACTGCAGGGCACGGTCCCACTTCCCTGGAGCGCCCTCAGCGAAATCAAGTAAGCATTTTTGTTCGACGGCAATAAGTGTCTCAAATTTACCTTGGCTACTCTACATCCTGTCGATTGGCTTGTCTACGGTCGGGTGCATCGTGACAACACTCACCCTGAATATTGGGCTCGTTATCGGCCTCAGATGTCTTCAAGGTGCTGGGTATGATCATTCTCCCTATCTTGTACATCGTAACGTGAGGGTAACAATATTCGTGATATGATTCAGTGCCAGCCACAAATAGGCACGTAGGTCATAGAAAACACTCTAGTATACGACTCATTGAGAGCGTCGTTTCCACGATATATTCATAGGACAAGAGTCATCCCATTTCCTAGACGTAAATGTAGCATTGCTTCCGTCGGCGGTGGCTCGGAGTCGACACGGCGTAGAAGCCGATAAAACCGACGGCAAAGCTGGTGAGCCGGGTTCAAGCCGGGCTGCTTCTGTGCGGCCATGTGGATTGAGTGATGGACATGAATAATAAGTATTTGAGGATATATCAGTGCGATATCGGCCCCCCTCGCGGTCTCTTCCTTGAGCCGATACTCTCATGCAAAACCAGGTCAATATCGAATTCGTCCCAGTTCTGGACGACCCCCGAACCTGGTCTCCGACGCGGAAGGTGAGTCGGCGTGTTCAATTGATTCGACCTCAGGAGATGAACTGATTGAAACTTTACTTCCCAATACACTTGACGTGGTCCATCAGAATGTCGTGTTGTTCATCATCTCTGCTGCCGCAATGATAGCTGGACTGGGGGCTAACATTCAAAACCGTAGAGTACCCTGGTCTATAGCCTTCTGGCTGCACGACATCTACTCATTGTGTTGCATTCGTCGACTTCATAGCTGCTATACAGCAAATGGAAGAGCAGCTTCCAGCTACTAGCTCGCAAATAAGCTTGTCGCTGTCCCTTTTCATCTTGCTGCAGGGCACAGTCCCGCTTCTCTGGAGCGCCCTTAGCGAAATCAAGGGCAGAAAGGTAAGCGTTTTCTATTTTGTGGCAGCATTCGCCTCACACTTGACCCCAGCTCGTCTACATCCTGTCTGTTGGATTGTCCACGGTTGGGTGTATCGTAACGGCACTCGCCCCGAACATTGGGCTCGTTATCGGCTTTAGATGTCTTCAAGGTGCTGGGTATGAACATTCTCGTTATCTCACTCACTATTACTCGACTGAGGCAAGTGATATTTGTGATACGAACAGCTCTGCGTCTGTTATATCGATTGGCGGGGCTACACTGGCTGATCTCTACCCCCCGTCTATCAGAGGCACGAAGATGGGAATATACTATGCGGCACCACTGCTTGGTCCTTCCCTTGGCCCTATCCTTGGTGGCGCGCTGACGGCGGGGTTCTCCTGGCGTGCATGTTTCTGGTTCATGGCGATCTTCTCAGGCCTCAGCTTCCTATCGTTTCTATTCTTCTTCAAGGACACGTGGAGGAAAGAGCGAAGTCTGACCTACCAGAACGTATTGCGAGCGAGATTGCGGGAGTTAGAGGCCAGTGAGAACAAGCGGGACAGCGTTAGTGCGAAGAACCTGGGAGCCGAAACCCCATTGCCGGACCACGCTTCCTGTGTTACAGAAATAACTGCTGCTCCGACGGAAAAGTCGGCTCACACGGCGGATCCATTGATAGATATCCTAAAGAACACCGTCGTCGAATCCAAAGGCCTCCCTCCTGCGCTTGAACTTCCCGAAATCAAACTTTCTCTCAAAGATGTAAATCCTGTCAGGCCTCTTTTGCTCGTATTACGAAGGCCCAACAATTGTATCATTCTCTTGGCTTCTGGTTTGTGCTACATATTACAACAACCAGCCACACTCTAAATTTGATTCTTGATCAAGGTTCTTTCTTTGCTTTCGGGTTCCTCATTTCCTACACGACGGCTAGAACTCTAGGAAACATGTACCACTACAATGCGTTGAAGGTAGGACTTGTTCTTCTATCTTTCGGCATAGGTACGTAGATCCTCCCAGTTGACGTCTTGATACAGTTCGTCTGATTGGTGGCATAGGTAGCCTGGGTGGAAGTTTGTTGGGGGGACGTTATTCCGACTACACATATAGAAAACTCAAAGAAGGAAACGGAGGCAAAAGTTCACCTGAGGTACTTGAATTCTGCATCACATTATCGAGTCCTTACCACTCCAATCATACTATCAACTTGTAGATGCGTTTGAAGAGCACTCTTCTCGGGCTTGTCCTTCTTCCCCCCTCCATCATCGGCTTTGGTTGGGTAAGCCATCAGCATCTCCATATATCCGCAATATGCGTTATGCTGTTCTTGAACGGTTTCTTCTCCATGTACGTAGTATCTTCATTGGTAGCCTGACATGGATTGACGTCCGTAACAGCTGGATATATGCCAGCACACTTGCTTATATCGTAGACGCCAATAACGGCCGTTCTTCTACTGCTATGGCATCAAATAGCGCCTTCCGCGGCATCTCTGCTTTCGCTGCGACCGAGATTGCTGTACCGCTTCAGGTAGCTACTCGTTTCCAAAGTTTCCATATTTATCCATGGTACACTTGCTCACTCCACTAATGCAGGACGCGGTAGGAGATGGTGAATAATGATCTCCAATGTATTGAGGCATACGCTGACTAGATCCTGTTCAGGCTGGATGTACACAATATGGGGCCTAATCATGGTAGTTACCGAGCTCCTCATATTGCTCGTCATCTGGAAAGGCGGAAAATGGAGAGAGCGGGCCGAGGAACGTGAAGCGCGGTCTCGCTTGAAGCAGTGAGTATGAGGAAGTGCCGTATCTAGAGTCGTCGAGACATAGACATAGACTCGACGGCGTCGGCTGATTCTTGGTTGTAGAGCTACATATGCATTGTCCCCATCTAATGATAAAACGAAGATAGCACGCTATTATTCCTTCTTCGGTTTTGCGACTTCCTTCGCCTTAGCTCCACCCACGGTGAACAAGGAGCTACCCAGGAACACCATTCCAGCACCGGCACCTAACTGCCAGTTCCACCCGTTTCCAAACCACCACACGCTCAAGCAAAGGCTCGTGGCCTTGCGAGCTGTGAGGACAATATTCGTAGACACAGATGATACTTGCTATGGCAATAGTCAGATATGTGATAGCGATGAACAACTTTAGACACACCGAAGATAGACGATTAACAGCAGAGACACATATAAGTTGCGACACCAGATTTGTGGCGAGTATAATGTATGGTGAAACGGAGAGCGCGGCATCAGTGCCCGTTCGAGGCGAAGATAAGCCTCCGAAACCTCTCTTGACGTCTGACGCGAGGAAAAGGAATATCGGAAGCGACAGGAAATGCTACTCATACTCACTAATCAGTACAGCGGTAAAGCTTATTGCAACAAAGAGATTCACCGTGTAAAAGACGCCCTCTTGCCAACACGGACCATACTTCTTATACGTGCGCTCCTGGAGGAGGCCAAGGAAACCTGTAAGGAATAAAGAAGCGAATAACATAGTGATGCCTATGGTGTATTGGCGTATATCATGGCTGCTTTCTGTCTTGCTACCGGAAGGCCGGGATAGTGTGGCCAGTATTACGCCGACAGACACCATGAATACTGACGTCTATATTGCACGTCGGTGAGCTGACGAGCGCCATCAACGCTGACACATTCATACCACTTGTAGAAATGAATACCGCCGCTGCAACACAAACCGGCCGATCAGCATGGACACGGGGAGTCCTGATATAAATCACAATCAAGGCACGCTCTGCACATGTGCGAAAATGCTCACCAGCTGATCTGAAGACAATTTGCACGGTCAGAGGAACGTTGAACGCAAAGACCCAATTGTTCATCAGCGATCCAGAAATCAATGCTGCCACCTGTATGGCCCAATTGTACAACGGCACTTGTCGAGGTTTTAGTCGAGGTATTATAGAGTGCGGCTTCCAAACTAGGAAAGATGGTAGCGAAGTCGTGGTTATGAACAACATCTGCGAGAACGTTAAAGCCGAGCCTACGCCCCGTCTCCTGGTCAGTGTAGCCATTGCCAAGCAGGTCAAATCCACTCACCAATACGAGGATTCGTCTTCAGCAACTGCTCATAGGCCATTACATTCCTGTAGGTGGGAATTCAGCCTGTTCCTTCAATCCGATCCCATACCACGTACGCACAGCATCCACCGAGCAGCATTGAGACGACCTGCCCAAGTCAGCATGCCTCTTCCTCCACGGTTCATAAGACATACCCAGTAGATATCTAGTATAGCAGGCGCAGCCTGCGATAAATTGATTCCTGGGTCGCCACCGGCATCCTTGTAGGTGCCATTCAAGGACGTTTGTCCGCTCCCGGTGTCCTTCCCTGACTTCCGTTTCGATGGCTGAGCTTGACCAGCGCTATGAGAGACCATTGGGGAGATATACGCAAGGGACAAAATATCGCGTGAACTCAAGTGGGGCCCTGAGAAGAAAAGAATGACTAGAAGCGAGAGAAAGACAATTTCTTTGGCATGACCGGTATCCTGGTCATTGTGGCAGACCCACCGAACTTGCATGGGTGTTGCTCACGTGATATTTACTCACCCCTGCTGCGATATAGGAGACAAGAGAACAGAAGCTCTGTATCATATGATACAAAACCCTAGCAATCACGTAGCCGCAGATTTTACTCCAGGTGCTACTCCAGTACCGTGAGGTATAAAGGAGTGCTGAAGGTAGTGGCTTGAGAATCGCAGAATAGCATAAGTAAACGATCGAAGAACCGGCGACGGTAGAGCATTAAGTCAAATGACTTGCAAAGCACAACGCTCTGTCCGGGAAACAAGGAAGTGAACGTATAACAGATGTAATGTAAGCAGCTAGATCCTTACTGAAGTTCCGTTGTAATGTGCTTTATCCGGCTGTCAGCCATCTGCTATAAAAGAGCATCGTACAATCCTCTATGCAAAGGCACTCGATGGTTCGAGAACTGGTAATCAGGATAACACCGCGCGACGAGGAAGTATCGGAAGGCAAAAAATTGAGAACGTTTCAAATTGTGTTATTATTAGATGAGCTTCACTGGGACTTTACTAGAGTCTGGGCGGAACGATAGGCTGTACAAAGAAGACTAATAGTTTTGCAATGGGTTTCGTATAGAGGATAACAGGCTGATAGTTTGTGGATGCGGGTTGGTTGTCACCCGTCAAGCGGCTGGGGCGGGTCTTACAATGGCTAATGTGCGTGAACGGTCGCGTCTGGAGGGTCGAGGGAGGGATCATGAACGACATAGCATCCAGAATCAGACCAAGCTGGGCCAGCGTTGTTAGCCCTATCGTAAAAGGAAACGAAGCGAGGATCTGGGTCATTGTGTGCATGAAGTTGCATGAGCTTTGGGTCGATTTGAGGCGAGGTAGGTTGCAAGGAGCGAAGTTCGGGCAATTCGCCGGGCAATTCGGAGGGTTGCTTCGGAGGCTCGTCGATGGGCGGTAGAATGACCAAGTCATCTTCATCCGCGTCTGAATAAATGGCAGCTCCTAACGGCGCAACACTAGGGACCCTGGGATGCAGTTGCATTTCCCTCCTTGCCAATCGCTCAGCCTCCCGAGGAAGATGCCGCAACTTGTTCTCGGCGAACTTGTTGTAGGCATCGTGGTATTCGGAGACATACTGCCAACCGTTTGGTAATCCGCCGTACAAAGAGACTTCGCGAGACATGGGAGTGCTGGAGGCGCTTGAAGAACTAGCAGTCGAGGACGAGAAACGCGACATCGGAAGGGAGGAAGTGTCAGATGCCGATTCAGACTTGGCCATGAAGCGGTCGCGAACTCCAGGAGCTAATCCAGTCGCGGCCAGCCACAGCATCGGAGGCTCAGTATGATGGGGGAAAGACTCGACAGCAGTTGTAGAAGTATTAGATGACGACGAAGTAGTTGAATAGCGCCGAGATAGACCAGAATCTTCTGAGGAAGTACTTGGTCCGTCTGACGCCTCTTCCGCCTGCTCTTCGGCGATATGAGATAACTTTTCCTGTAGTTGCGATAGTTCGTCATTATAATCACGCTGATCAACGACACCAAGAGCAGGAGAAGGAAAGGCCACATTGATGCTGCACCCTTTCTTTGTCCCACAAGTTGGACAATGCTTGATGAACCGCGCTATAAGGTCTTTAGGGATCCAGGAATAGCGTGACCGCGTGATTGCGCATGTCCTATCGCGACCGCCGTGTCCGCTAAGTTCGTGGCAGTAGCAGAGAATGTCGTATATATGTTCCTGCAGCGCGATCGGCAGGCCTTCGTGAAGAACCACCAAGTCGGGAGAGTCGCGATGGAATGGAAGCCCGGGAAGGTCCTCGGGCGGCGGCCCTAGCGTGAACATCTTTCTAACCCAAAAGCGGAATTGTGGAGTCCTACGGTCGAGTCCATGAAGCACTGCCCAGATATCTTCGAAAGTCGCATGGTCAATAAGGGCTTTAGCCCGCCTATTGGGTTTTAGAGCCAGCGCGTAGTCGGCTTCGGCCTGCTTGTACTGAGCATAGTCCGGATTTCCAGGGCCTTGATGTTGACATTCAGAGGCGATTTGACGTAGAAATTCCACCGGCGAGTCAAGATGTGCAGAGTCAGTGTTACTGGGACGAGAATATGGCTTAGGTTGTGCGTTCCTGGTCATGATATTAAACAGAAAATAGGGTAAATGTAGGATTCGCCTTGGACAATTGATCAGCAGAGGCAAGCGATGTTGAGGGTGATGGGAGTTGGTATGAGAGAACGAAGACTCGACGATTTGGGTGACAGCGATTTCGGCAGTCTCCGTCTGGTTCAATGACTTCGAATTCTGACTCTGGTTATAGGTATCTGTATGCTACAACAAAGACGATGTAGATAACTCGTTGTTACGAAAAGGTAAGTTCTATGAGAGCAAAATGATAGCCCCAATCGATGGGAGTAATATCAATAATTTAGGAACGAGAAGAGTCTTACCAGATCTACGAAGAGACTTCCAGCGATATATACACATCAAATCAAGGGGAGGAAAGGTAGGGAGATGCACCCTAGGTACATCCACCGTTGAGGCGATTCTTAGGCATCGGTTGTCCATACTGACTCCAAACTGTGAGATTGGGGTTGGCGTAGGCTTCGGGGTAGCTATTTCAACAACAATTAAGATCAGCAGTTGCAAGCGCAATGCCACAGTTTAGACTTACGCGCGGATGTATGAAGCTGTGGGGAAATCTGCTGGGTCGCACCCGAAGTTCTTCTTACCAACGGGTTGATAAACACGAATCCAATCGATAGCCATTGTGGTGGGGAATGTGACCTCCTCGAAGTTAATAGGCCCGAACTTCAGAGAGAAACCCAAGTTGGCGATGATGTACTGTAAAATGTTAAGGATACCAGACACGCGTTTAGTCGATTGATTCGGCATACCATAGGTTCTTGAGGAATAGGACGTGGACCAATTTCGGCGACTGTGTCCAGTCCCATTCCACGCGCAACGATCGTCCAGGAGGGGGTGCCATCGTTTATCCAGGTTATGTACGCGTCATCAAATCTGGAGGACGTATTCAGTATCTGACCCCTTGTCCGTGATACACAATTCCACCGACCCAGGTGAGTATTCAAAGCCATAGACGGCAAAGCAGCCGGCTTCCAGTTCGTAACAGGCCTGGTTTGTGACAGAGAGACCGCTAGTACATTGTTGCCATACACCTGTATTGTACCAGATGTCATCCATTGAGCTTTGGCGGGTATGCCACGAATTTACGCACCACCTTTATATGTGTTTAAATGAGTGCGATCTCCGTCATGCATGATCATATTATCGGTGGTGTTCTTCCAATCGTATCCCGCCTGTATGGACATTGATTATTTGTGAGTTGTGGGCTAAGTTTTAATTACGCACATTGTATGGAGCCCATTGAGACGACATAGAAACCTGTTGAATAGCGGCGTGAGTATAAACCAGAGTGCAGTGTCGATCGACTCAGGCGGACCTTGCCAACGCCTTCTTCGATGATTGCTTCGAAGACATCAATTTCTGGGGCACCTCTGCCAACGTAATCACCGTTTGAACGCACTGGGCCAGGGTGTGGCTCTCCTGGACATGTGCATGCGGACAGCCGTTGGCCGGGCAAGTAGGACTAAGAAAGTATATGAGCATGGTTAACGTAGACAATTTGCAGCGGGCAACTGTACCAGCTCTCCTTTGGCGGTCGGGTCTCCGTTCTCATGTGCCGCGGCGGGAAGACGCGTCCCCGGATATGTTTGGTTGGGCAGCGTACCAACGTCGCAGGTATCGTAGCTGTAGGGCCACTGATGAATCGGATGTCAGCCCTGAACGAACGATGAGAAGCCGCAGTGCCTACCATTCCTTCGAGACTCGCACCGTATCCAGCACGTCCTACATACATCAGCATTCGAGGAGGTGCATGTTAGTATCAGTTTGCATACCTAAATTTCCCATCGTCCAGCTACATAGGATGATCAGCTTCCATCATCCATAAGATAGAACGCTACTTACACGGCTGGCCACAAACCACTATGTTATAGTGTTAATATATTCCATTCGCAATCAATGAGACGGGTGAGTAACGCACGCAATGTTGTTGGTACCCGGCAACCGCACAGCAGCTGATAGCAGCATTAGACATTACATTCTGCGGGACTGACGCAATAACATACCCTCGATAATCCCACCAGTGAAACAGAATTTGTTCCTGGAGTCAGGTTAGGCTGAATGAAAATATCTAGGTTGGGCACGGCTGCCTTACCATGATTGTATCTGTAACACAACTTAGTATACAAATCACACACAAATGAAAACGGACGCTACCATGCCAGAACGGTAGTTCAAGTTGTGATTGTTCTCGGGATCATCAATCTTTTCCAGAGTTAACTGTAGATGACCGCCGCCCGTCGTTACCTGGGATGGATCATACCATTCTAGATCTTCCTGTAACGTCCAATTAGTGCCCAATGTCTGAGCATGCCCACCGAGAACTCACTGTTCCCCAGTAGTGGTAGTCCATAGCTTCCCAATATGGGTCGTCGCCTGGGTAGAATGTGCGACCGTCTTTATTGAATTCATCACTGAAGACCAATTCCATCTCGACTTCCCCCCTGTACGATTTCTTCACGTATGCCTCCTTCGGGGTGTCACGATCAATCAGCCCCCAATTTCCCGGCATTTCAGGGATTTGTCCAGACGCATTTATTCCTCCAAGGCCAAAGCCACCTTGCGTGCCCTGCGTGGGTATCAAAACGTGCGACAAAATAGGGTAGCCTTGTCGTCATTTAGTCACAATATGCCGAGTGGATGGTATCGCCTTACCGGCACTGACCGTTGCGTTGGAAATGATCAATTATCCAACGACAAATTGATGAAAGGAATCTACTCACAACAACATCAAGACGGCGGTGATCAGTAGCAATAAACACCCGAGATTAGCGAATCCTCTTGATGAGAACACGGTGCCGCCTCTGTCAAGCTTCCTATCTCGACGAGGGTCGGGATTGTGCAGGTAGTCGTCAGGTTCTGGCACGCTCATTAGAAGAGGTGTCCCCCATGACGCAGGCGATGGGGAAAGAGAGTACTATAGGGCAGGATTGTCCCCAGTTCAAGACAGACTCAAAGAGTTACGCACTTTGTCAGATATCGAGCTCTGCGCCCCACCACCGTACTGGGTGAGTCAGGTACGTTTGGCTGATGATGGGGGACTCACTGGGTATCCGTTAGTACCACTGCTAACGTTTGAATTGACTCTGGAGCGGTTTTGCTTGAGCAAACTTGACGTGGATCCGTTATACGGTGAATCCATCGTGGTTATGGCTGAATTTGATAGGGGTACTAGAAGCGATCGTCGATATTAGGGCCTGTCAAAAGAATGAAGAGTTGCGCTGGGCGCGAGCGCGTCAAGGGAGAGAGAGAGAGAGATACGGCAAGTACGAGGAGAAAGATCAAGGATGGCAGACGTACTGCATGGTTCTGGTCACATCGGCGTTTGTATTTGGCGGCATCGAGCCGCACATGGATGCGCTTGGCACCAAGCAGACCCTACTAACGGCCCGTGAGCTGTAGCCCCTATCGCATGTGTTCATGCTCGCTGGAAGGCTGAACACCATCCCTACAACGTTGCCCTATTCAACATTCAACATTCAGTACTCATGTCATATTGCTGCGCCTGCTGGGATTTTCCCATAGACAAACCTGAGCCACCTAGACGATATCAACAAGGTATCACATAGTGCACACGAAGGTCCAAGTTGGCAAGCAACGCTTGTTCACCATGGTCGATATAGTGACGACGCCAACGAGCACCGAGAACAGTATCGCCGGCATAGCTGCGTCACTCCACAGTTATCCTATACATTCGTGGGTTATATTGCACGTAGGCAGTATTACTTGTTGTCACTTACACATTACGCCTACACCCAGTAGCATGAAACGTCGTATGGATTTGCAGTGTACCCAGAATAGGAGGAACCGTCTTATATGTCGTCCTTGTTGAAGATATCGGCCATCTATATATATGATTTATCAGTCGAATACTAGTATTGTTATTTAGCAGAACAAAGTTGAAGACCTATAGTCATCAACATACCGTCCGAGACGCTCGCGCGGAGGTGGTGCTCGTACAGCATGTATTCAATAGATATGAGTTGACGGGTGCCCGTGGGGCGGGAGCGATGGCGTACAACGGTCAGATGTAGTTGTTGATCAATGAAATGGTGAGGCCCACTCACTCAGTACTAGAGATCGTTTCGATGCGTTTGCGGCATGAAACCCGGGACTTCGTAGGCGGCGTCAATGTTCACATCACCGACGAAGGTAATCGAGGCGCGTACTCGCAGGGTTGTCTGAGAAAACTTTCAGTAGGCTAGCAAAAATCCACGACATACAAGAGTCGAGCATCGCGTCGCGTCCCATTTTCAAGTCGCCTGAATTGACGCCACTTCGCCGAGTGGTTCTTTGGTTATAACTTATATTCATTTGGCCAACCCCCTGACGCCAAGTAGATGAGCGTAAGACGCGTTCACTTGCATACTACAGTTTATCCTCCACGGCAACTTCATGGTATCCTTGATCACTACTTGGTCGTGTAGCGGGCTCTCGGGCGGTTGTCGAAGATATCGAGGCAAGTTCATGGTAGAAGACTGAGATATTCGAGGACTAAGCTCGCCTAGACGGGAATTACATACACTACTTCAGGGCCTCGGGAAATTCCTCGACGCTGAGGACCAGTGCCTTCCTTATGCGGGTGGGCTGGAATTTTCTGCTGTATGTGAATGCAATCGACAGGAGGGGCTCGGGGATGTTGAAGTCTAAACTTATAAACGTTGACACTCATCGCCGTTGCCATCCGGGCTCGGGCTTTAGTATTTATGTAAACGTGCGTTGAAGTTGTCAAAAGTAAAGCGAGCTCCACAAGAAGTCGGAGTTGCTGGAACTTGGAAGTAAGTCTATACTTCGGTGGTCAGGCGGAGAGACCCTTGACATTATCAACTTCGGTTATTCCAATAGTAGTATGCTACAAAGATGGCCGAGACGTAGAGAGCTTGTTGTAGTGACTAAAAATGTGTGTTCGACAGTTCGACGAAAGGGGGAAAACGAGAAACTTCCCAGGTCGCCGGTTAGCGGGCAGTGGGGTGAAAGGTATAACTTAAAGCAATTTGTACTTGAACTCGAAAACGGAGAAGAGCTAGTGAGACCGTCAATCAATGGAGAGCATTCCGACCATGTATATGTTATATGCCATTAAAATGAAATCAAGAGGATAGATGGAAAGGTGGAGGAAGTAAGCTTGTCCCTACGAGCATCCTCCGTTGAGACGGTTCTTGGGGACCGGTTGGCCGTACTGGCTCCAAAGGGTGAGATTGGCGTTGGCATAAGCCTCGGGGTAACTATTGCAACAAACAATCAGAGGCGACGATTGTAGGATGGTATAAGTCAGGCTTACGCATTGATGTACGAAGCTGTGGGAAAATCTGCTGGGTCACATCCAAAGTTCTTCTTGCCCACAGGCTGATAGACACGGATCCAGTCGATTGCCATCGTGGTGGGGAACGTCACTTGCTCGAAGTTGATAGGTCCGAAGTTCAACGAGAAGCCCAGATTGGCAATGATATACTTTAAGGAAGCGATGAGTACCACATAAGCAGTTAGTCTATTGTTTCCACGTACCATGGGTTCCTGGGGAATAGGACGGGGACCAATCTCAGCCAGGGTGTCCAATCCCATACCGCGGCCAACGATTGTCCAGGAAGGAGTACCGTCGTTTATCCATGTGATGTACGCATCATCGAACCTGAGAAAATGGATCAATATTGAACCCGGATAGCTGTAGTACTTTTTACTCACCCAGGTGTATATTCGAAACCATAGGTGGAGAAGCAACCACCTTCCAGTTCGTAACAATCTTGGTTGGTAATAGAGAGGCCACTAGTACACTGTTGGAATGCACCTGAAATATACATACCAACAGTTAACCATTGTCCTCGTGTGCATAGTTTATACAGAAGTACGCACCGCCTTTATATTCATTGAGATGCGTACGATCTCCATCGTGGAAGATGATATTGTCAGTCGTGTTTTTCCAGGTATACTCCGCCTGTAGAGGTCAAGCCCTATGAGACGATCATGATGAAGAACAGGGACTCAGACGTACGTTGAATGGAGCCCACTGGGACGACATAGAGACCTTGCCAACACCTCTCTCGATAGTAGCCTCGAAGATATCGATCTCCGGGGCACCTCTGCCTACGTAATCGCCGTTGGCACGTACGGGGCCGGGGTGGGCTTCTCCTGGGCATGTGCATGCGGACAACCGTTGTCCAGGAAGGAAAGACTAAAAGGGAGTAAATTTGATGAGTTTTAGTTTGATCGATGATGAAGTTTGTTGGGAGATAAGAATGGATACGTACTAGCTCGTTATTGGCAGTCGGGTCGCCACCTTGGTGAGCTGCGAGGGGAAGACGTGTGCCTGGGTACGTTTGATTTGGGAGGGTACCAACGTCGCAAGAGTCGTAGGTGTAGGGCCACTAAAACAATACTAGTTATTAGCGTAGCTCGGAACCGCAGCAAACTAGCGATGCACCATTCCTTCCAGACTTGCACCAAATCCAGCACGGCCTGTGCGAGTTTCAGCATGCAAGAAGACACGATAGCGTCAAATTCTATACCTAAATTCCCCATTGTCCAGCTACAAGATGATGAGAACACATTATCCAAGAGCTAGATAGTCACTTACACAGCGGGCCATAGACCGCTACACGCAGAGTCAGCATCGTGTTAACTTTACAATGGAGTGACGTACGCAACATTGTTGGCACCAGGCAAGCGTACGGAAGCTAGGGTGAACGTTAGAACTGTAGTCCACTGAGATGGCAAAAGAACACACCCTCAATAAGTCCACCAGTAAAACAGAACTTGTTCCTGAAATCAGACAGGACCTCAGCAACAGTACCTTGGCGTAACGTTGGCACACGTAACGTACCATGTTTGAATCTGTGACAGAAGTTGATGTCAATACAAGGCCTGATCTGGAGATGGGAGTGGGTTGCATTACCATGCCAGAACGATAATTCAAATCGTGATTATTCGCAGGGTTCTCAACCTTGTCCAACGTTAACCGAAGATGGCCTTCGCCTGTCGTCGCCTGCGATGGGTCATACCATTCCAAGTCGTTCTGCACATCCCTCATAGTCAGCACACGCAGCCAATTACGGCCGTTCAGTTTTGTAACGCACCGTTCCCCAGTAATGTAGGTCCACAGCTTCCCAATACGGATCATCGCCCGGATAGAACGTACGTCCGTCGGTGTTGAACTCATCACTGAAGACCAACTCCATCTCGACCTCGCCCGTATACGATTTCTTCACGTACGCCTCCTTCGGTGTGTCGCGATCAATCAGACCCCAGTTCCCTGGCATTTCGGGGATCTGCCCGGAGGCATTGATACCCCCGAGGTTGAAGCCGCCTTGTGTAGTCTGCGAGGGGACTAATAAATGAGATAAAATAGGGTAGCCTTGATCACATCGCTGTCAGTAAGCCATAATATGTCGAGCAAGAAGTCCAATTGACAGCCTCACCTCCGCTAAAATTGGATTGTGGATGATCAATCACTGTCACACGAAATGTTGACGAGAGAAATTACTTACAACAACATTAACATGCCCAAGGCCAGTATGAGCAAACACCCAAGGTTGGCGATACCTCTTGAGGAGAATACGGAGCCGCCTCTGTCGATTTTCCTATCTCTACGCGGGTCCGGGTTGTGGAGGTAGTCGTCGGGTTCCGGCACGCTCATCAACAGAGGTGTACCCCATGAAGCAGGTGAAGGTGAAAGAGAATACTATAGCACCAGGTCGTCAGCAATTCAGCTGGGAGTCATAACTACCACTCTACACACACCTTGTCGGAAATCGAGCTCTGCACCACGTTGCCGACGCACGTGAGTCAAACATGGTTGGAGAACAAGCTGGCAGACTCACTGGGTATCCAGTACCACTACTCATGTTCGAGTTGACCCTCGAACGGCTCTCTTTATGAAGACTCGACGTGGATCCGGTGTATGGAGAGTCCATCGTCGTAATTCGTGCAGGGGGGGAACGAGTCGCTACTCAATGGACGGGCCCTATCGATATCAGGGCCAGTTGAAAAGAATGTGATGCTGAGATGGGCGCGAGCGCGTTGAGAGTTAGTACTGGAGGGTATAGTATTAAGTGAGGGGAAGAGAGAAACAAAGGATGCAAAAAGCCTGGGTATTTCGGCAGCAATGTGATAACGTGCACCCTGTCGCACTGATGCGGCTGTATTTTACGTGACTTCTTGGCGGCAGCGACGGATTTCTGTTCTCCAATCATAAACGATAAATAAGGAAGTCGTCTTGTCAGTCGTCCGCAACGTCGGGGGACGGAGAAGATCGCCAGTGGCTGGTTCCCCCAGAATTGGTGTTACAACTTCGAAGTTTGAACTTGACAAGACCTGCCTCGCTCCGCTTCGGTTGCAGTGTATTGAAGGTAAGACATAGCCTACACATGACCAGACAAATACACGGCACATGCGTAATTCCAAGTATACGGTATATATCTTGGAATTGACCCACAAGGAGACGTATGTTTCAACTCCGAAATAAAGACAAGAAGTTGACAAGTCCCAGCCAAGGAAAGGCAAAGCAACGAAAAAGCGACGACCGGCATTGAGATGATTGCATCGTCCTGACCAGGATTTCAACGGATTGAGGCATTGAGGCGTTCTCAGTCTAGCCTTCGCAGATACGGGCCTTGTCGTGGATCTATTGTATGGAGTACTCGAAGTTTAGGTCGCCAGTGCCTGCAGCAGCAAAGCCGAGTCAAGGGGACGCACCAGCATGCCAATACCAACGGGCTATCTGACTGAGATACCTACCTCGCTAGGTGACTCATTGAAAGGACTTGGGAGGCACATTTATCATATCGGGCAGTCGCTACTACGGACAACTATGTCGTCGACTCTCACAGGGCGAGAACAAACCTCCATTTCGACCTGCCACAAATGCAACGCCACGATCGACATGGAGCTTATGTCGATCGTTTAATATCGGACATGGGGTGACCGAGTGCACCATACTCGACTACGGGACCAGTAAAGTATTCAGCGATTGGGTCAAGATTGAACACGGAGATGGAACTGTCGAACAATAATTGACGAGGCAAGGTATGGTCCTTATCGACGACGTAGTAAGTGTTTGTAAATCGTAAACCGGGAACTACGCAGCAACTGAGTCGATACCGTCGTGTGCCTTGATGGCAGAAACCAAGTCATCGGGCGTGGGCTTTGAAGCGACAGCATGCACATGCAACTTGAGGGTATCTCGCAGAAAGTCATGGGTTGTCGGGCCAATCGCAGCGACGTAAGCTTGCCGACGCTTCTGCGATCGGTCTTCCTTGTCACCAAAATTGAAGTGCAAGTTCAAGGTGGGCGTGACGAATTCTGCCGCAGAGGGGGCAAAGTAGACAATCCACCATAGATCAAGGCCTGTCCTACTTCGTGAATGCGACGTAGACAGGGATTCGAGGCAGTCACCAACCATCAGTGCCTTTGCTCAACACATCTGCCAGATCAGTCGCGAAATGGGCTGACCCTCGTGTTTCGTAGACTTGAAGTTGATGAAGGATCAGGTTGTTGGAAGTTAGGATATTAGGCAAAGTGTCCCTGTTCTTGTCACCAGTGAGGTACAGCAGTTTCCCCGACATCTGACGAGTATCGTTCAAGATGTGACGAGCTAGCTGCTCGGCATTTCCTGAGTCTTCGCCCCAGATGTCCTTGGGCGCACCATCAAGTTCGCGCAGCGCTGATGCCGTAGACTTGCCCACAACGTAGAATGGAAGAGCGCACCAGCGAACTAAAGATACAGCTCCAATAACGATTGGGCTACTTGACCGGGATGATACAGACCTAAGGATGGTGCAGCCACAAGGTCACTAGCACTCTTCCAAGCCTCGCAAGCCCTAGCACTCGTCAAGACCACTCCAGAAAAGCCAGTGCTAGTGTCGCTGAGAATTCGGACTAGTTCTTCGACGTTTGTGAGGCTGGTCTCGAGAACGGGGATGGAAGTGGGGGCATATCCAGCAGCGACAAATGAGGACTCGTACTTGTCTGGAGCGTCCTTCGACGCCGCTCGAAGGAGGAGGACGCTGGTTGGCATCGTCCACAGTGCGGAATAAGCGCCCAAAGCACGGAAAGTTCTATTCTCGGTCCGCTATTGAACTTGTTGCCGAACCATCACCGAGCCATGGCATTCAAGAAAGAAAAGCCTCTGCATTCAGTCATTGCAGGGACCACTGCAGGCGCAGTCGAGGCGTGAGTAGCCTGCACGCTGTGCAATCTACCGTGCTGAGCGATTCAAGAAAGCTAGTTTCGTGACTTACCCCACGGAGTTCATAAAGACAAGATCTCAGTTTGGCGGCGGGAAGGTGAGTCTTTGCCTTATATAAATCCCGTCTCTCTAAACTTCTTTGCATCACGCAGGAGAGCCCACTAGCAATCATTCGGAATACCTTGAGAGACAAAGGGGTTGCTGGTCTTTACTCAGGATGCATGGCTCTCGTGGTGGGGAACGCTGTGAAAGCGGGTGTGAGATTCGTCAGTTATGACCATTTCAAGAACAAGCTGGCTGATGCGGAGGTGAGTGTTGATTTTCTCCCATTGGGAGACAGTTGGCATATTTACTGCCACACAGGGAAAAGTCAGCGCACCACGAAGTCTGGTCGGTATGTTGGGAAGAGACTGTGAGCTTGAAACGCATGCTGAAATCTATTTGTGCAGCTGGTCTTGGTGCCGGGATGATGGAGGCTATATTTGCCGTAACGCCATCAGAAACGATCAAGTGTGTTCGTTCTAGGCATCGCTAGTATAAGCATTAACTTAGCCATCGCAGGACGAAGATAATAGATGACGCGAAGCAGCCTAAACCGCAATATCGTGGCCTCATCCATGGTACAGTCAGTATCGTTCGCCAGGAAGGAATCTTCGGCATCTATCGCGGTCTATTCCCAGTCGTATGACCTCTATCGCAACTACTTGCCCGTTTCATAAGGCTGATTGTATCCGTGAAGATGATGCGGCAAGGTGCTAACTCGGCCGTACGGTTTACCACGTATTCGACACTCAAGCAATTCGTCCAGGGGACTGCACGGCCGGGACAGACTTTGCCTAGTACCATCACCTTTGGTATTGGAGCGATTGCCGGCCTCGTCACGGTTTACACTACTATGCCACTAGAGTACGTACTTTTCTCCTAGCTCGTTGTTCGTGGATGTCCAACTCATTGGTATTGTTTGGCAGCGTTGTTAAAACACGGATGCAGTCACTCGACGCCCGTTCACAGTATCGCAACTCATTTCACTGTGCGTACCGAATAGCGACAGAGGAAGGGGTTCTGCGGTTCTGGGCAGGTACTACACCGCGATTAGCGCGCCTAGTTGTAAGTCCATTGACGTTCCTCCGCTAGTGCCTTCTTACCCGTTTGATAGATGAGCGGGGGCATCGTGTTTACGATATACGAGGCCATCATCAAATCCCTTGGAGGGCGCGAGACATAATCTCTACATTAGACTTTCGGCCCAGAATACAAATGAATAGATTGAATCGGATGCCACGTTCACATGCAAGTGCCATGTTCCAACAACATGCTGATAATCAACCACAGCTTCGCGCTACATGCAGGTTCCTTAAACCGGTGATGCTACCCTGGCCTCGACGCCCCGGTACGTCCAGGACTGTTCTCTCATGCGCTGACCCTGCCCTTCGGTGAACTCGGTCATGCACTCATCATCGGTGTAGTCCATGTAGTTATCTTCGAGAGTTCCAGTATCTGAACCAACGTTTCATCGAGACTGCAAGCAAGACTCACGGATAGGGTCGAGGCCTTCGCCGTCGCAAGTGTCACGACCAATGGGGCATCCGAAGGCTTCGTACGACTCAGAGGGGGTATCATCAACATAGTCTCCAGGTTCGTCGCAACCTCCTTCGAAGGTGTGGTAGAGGCCAAACCAGTGACCGACTTCGTGCGTTGCGGTCTATGCGAGGAACAGTAATCATCAGCTGATCAGGTGTATGCTCGGGAGGAAGGGAACCCAGACACGTACCATCCCGAGGTTGTATGTATCCAAGTTACCCCCCGGAACAGAGGCGTAATGGATCACAACACCGTCATCCTTTGGATTATCCCCATATTCAAATGGGAACGTTGCGTATCCTAGAAGCCCGTAGTAGTAACCAGAAGTAAACCTGGTGAAAGTGGGTGAGTTCTGCGAACACGCAACGCGGAAATTAAGGAGGCTTACCCGACGCTGTAGATGTTCAGAGCAGCGGCTCCCCCCTTTCGCAGGGCCGCCTTCATTTCATCTTGGTATATACTACAAGGAATCCGAATTGGTGAGGGCGCCTGACGTACAGGCTCAACTTACCTTTCCGGTTCGGCCTTGCCAAACCATGTAGCGTTGACCGTGCGTGTGGTACCTGCAAGCTCAAATGAAAAGCCCGAGTACGCGTACGCGTCGTTCAAGACTTTTATTTGGTCCGTAATTTGAGAATCGCTAACACAAAGGTCACCATCTTGCCCGAAGAAACGACGAGGTTTAACGCACGGGATGTTCCCGCCACGGACCGTGGAATTCTGGCTGACGACATGCCAGTGCACCGAGACGGTGAAAGAACTCTCTTTATTCAGGCTGACGTTGCTTCTAAGGCCATCAAAATGAGCCTCCGCCCTTTGGATTCTTTCTTGGCTTGGTTGCGACCCGCAGACCCTTTGCCTATGCCAATCGTAAGCAAGTACCCTCGTAGAACGTCTATTGAACTAATACCTGGGTCTGGGTGTGCTCCCCAGCACGTAGGCAGAGCAGGAGAGTGCAATTAACAGGATGGTGCGCAACATTTGGTAAAACTCGGGGGATCAAGGAAGCAATATCTAACCGTACATCGAGGACCCCATTCTTATATACGGTGTACGTAGATCCCTTGCTTCTTACACCTTCTGATTAGTAGTTAATGTGCAGGAAAGTGCACATCGAGCGGGGGAAGCGACCTTCATCACCGGAAAGAGAAGCTCAAGAGGAGGCTTTCCAAGGCTTTTTGAGTCGGTTCAGCGGTAGCAGCTGGCCACATTGTCATTTTGTCTGCGGTGTCAATTCTCGAACGCACAGACGATTTCTAGAATCTACAAAATTCTAAAAAAAAATTCCTTTCCTTCCTTCAGCTTCCTAGTACTAGGGGCCGGTACATTTTTTGTGGGAGGCAGACCATCACTGCAAATTCGTGCAGCTGCAAAACAGTCAGGTCATGTCGACCAGTCAGAGAAACATACTCACTCCCTCATAACATCATGCAAAAATTTATAACTTCTGAGGTTACCCCGCAATCTTCTAATATCTAGGCTGTACGTATCGTCCAGCCCGTCCAGTCTCGTTAATTCAACAAAGAATCTGACTTCGTCACCAGGGTCCTGCAAGGGATCGCCATATATCGGTGGAAGACCAAGGGATTCGCTGACAGGTGAACTTGGTGAAACGGGATCGTCGTCAAACGACGCTACTCGCTTAACGTAGCGGGGTATTTTGAGTGAGCCACGGAGTCCGCTTGCCTGTCCTGAACTCAGAGGGTGGATGTTAAACGTACAATTTTAGCTACTCACTCCATTCAAAAGCATTCCAGAGGAAGCTGCGTGTCGAAGCCCGCGTCTATGGTCCACCTGCTTCAGATGTTACTGAGAGAGTAATGGTCTTCATCACCGAGGTAACTGACTTGGTTAGGACCCGTACTACCGCTGCCCCCGGGCAGCTGAGAATCCGCTTCTTTTCCAGCAGTCGATACTGTAGTTGTCTCTGAAACCCCTTCGCCGTCCCGCTTCACTCTTACGCATCTGTATTTAAATTCGCCTTCAGGATAGATTTGGAGCCTCATATTAGCCTCTAGCACTTCTTTAACGCGTTTCATGACTTCTCGAGGATCAATGTTTGTGGTAGTAGCAGAGGTGACGGGGCCGTCATGAATACGAATGGCGTCGTTCAGGCTCTTTGCTTGCAAGCCAGACCTAGAGGGTGGGACCCATGCATTGGAAGAGCTAGCAAACGAAGGGCGTATCTGTGTCCTGACGCTCGACATCAAAGGGTTTCAGGCTTCGGCGGCGGCGCTCAGCGCTCCAACTTTGGACGTTTGTGATGCCCCATCATTTGCTTCCGTCTGCTCCTTCCCAAAGTGAAACCACTCCTAAATCACCCTGAGAATATAATGCGGGGTCGTGTGCAACGGCTCCATCCTCTCCTCGCTGGCGATCGAAACTTTGGAAGCTGTCGCTGTGTAGCTCGAAAAAGAAGTAAAAGTCTGTAAAAGTTAACAACGTTGTTCAGTTGTTGAGGCGACGCCAGACGTATGTCGATGCTGTAGTTATCTTTCAAACGGTTCATTCAAGGGAATCACAAGCGGGCCTTTATAATACTCTACATATCAACTGAAATACACATCGTGGAACGAGGAACTATGATTGAGTCATAGCTCTTCAAGAAGTCGTTTGGCTTGTTCGCGGTATTTTTTGGGTATCCGACGAGGTTTACAACCATCGAGAGCAGCCAAGAAATTTTCGAATGTTAAGCAGCCTAAAGTCTCAAAGTCGATGGCAACGGGTGGGGCAACTGGTGTAGAAGGTCCAGGGGGAGGTGGTAAAACCTCTTGCTCGTCGTCCGAATCGGAATCACTTTCATCGAAGGCTCTGGCGTTTCTGGCATCCATCAACTGCGACCCACGGGCTGCCTGTAGGACACTTGGAACGACTACTTCGGGTTGTGCCTGGGCCGCTCGCAGAATTCGAGCATTAGCCCGCGACTTCTGGAACAAGTCGCAGAGGGGTTTGATCCAAATGGCGCGCAACGGAAGCATTGCAGGCCGTATACGCTGCATCACAGGCTCGGTGTTTTCGTAAAAGAGGGTTTTTGCGGCACGAGCATCTTCGTAGTTTCCGTTCCACTTTTCCAGCTCCGGATCAACTTGATGAAGGTACGGGACAGTGTCCCCGATGTTGTAATGAACCGCCGCCCATATAAGTACGTAGAAGAGCGATTCGAGGTCGTGGCGATAGAGATGAACGGCCGGAACCTTGTCGAGAAGGTCCAAGGCCATGAACGGGCCCGTTCCTGTTCGGTGATTTGTAGTACCACAAATCGCGTTGATAGGCGTTGCTAGATCCCAGTCATTAAGCACCCCGAAAACGCCATTTGCACGCCTGGTCCATAATAAGTTGTTCTCGCTTATGTCCCTATGCAATATTCTACCATATTTCGTCGCAGCATGGTGGCCTATGGGATTTCATCAGCAAGGAGTACTGGCAATGTAATACGACGCGCACATTCAACAATGTCAATATATGCCAACTGAAACTCAGCCAGTGTCTCGACATCCCACAGGTGCTTATAGCGGTCGGTGAATAGAAGGGTGAAGTACCGCCGCTCGAGGTTATGGGCGGTAGTCATGTTGTGGAAGAGATGTCGCGGTAGTTCCATAGATTCACCCTTGAGCGTTATAGCGCAGTGGATTCGAGGCAGTTGATCCTCCATCCACGCGATCTTCTTGAGCAGGTCGTTAATCGTATCCGCCTCAAGGTATGGCCGCTTCTCCATTGGCCAACTTAACTTGACAACCATGGCTCCTTTTGGTTTTGCTGTGGTGGCCGGTCGCTTTTTGCTGTCATCCAAAGTTCCTGTGTTATCCTGCGGAGTAACTTCTCCAACCTTGACCAGATCTCCAGGTAAGACATGCGATCCCCGACCGGTAAGACCACCATAAACGTAGAGCGGATCACCAGTGATTTCGAAGTGCGAATAGACCCCTTGCCCGAGCTTGTCCACGAATTCAATCCCGTCGTTGAGGTCCCCTCCCTGGGCTTTTCCCTCCTTTCCTTCGCCTTCTGGCACTTGAAGGATCGCGTCTTTCAATGAGTAGAGCGGCTGAGAGAGGGTGGTGTTGGTGTTGGATGCGACGAGCGGCTCGAATCCTGCTTGTACAAGGTTGCACTGACCAATGGCCAAGGCGAATAACGCCAGCTTCCATGGCTCCTCGTCAAATTTGAAAGGCTGCGTGAAGATAGCGCCCACACGATCGTAGTAATGCAACGCCACTTGTGTGTCTATAATGACCAAACCGGTGGCCCATCGTCTGCAAGTGGAAGCCAAGAGCTCCAAAGCGTAGCCAGCAGCTTGCGGTTCTTTCTTGCTCAAGACGCTGATTTTGGCGCGCTTCGACGCCTCCGACCTGTCTGGAGTATCTGTGCTGCGGCGTTTGGTACCGCCAGACGGTGTTACGATTGTTGGGGACAGTATCAGGTCGGGCGCTGACGCAGCGAGGGCGTGTGTGGCAGCCGCTTCCTCTTCATTTATTGTGGTTATAGCTGAGCCACTGGCTGTGATACGCTGTGCGCTAGGTGTCACGGCGAGCTCGACAAAAGCTTTGGCGAGTGACCAGGTTATAGGTGAATTGTCGTCGTGCGAGCCGAAGAAGAAAAGCTGGTCTGGCTTTCGGACATTCCCGACGCTTTTCAGTGCAGTCTTGCCAAGGAACGCATGGTGCACGTCGAGCTTCCGTTTGTCGTTCTCGAAGGTACAGAATAAGTTGGCCATAATCGCCTTGAATGGTTCGTAGAGTTGCTCTTCTCGAGCGCCGTCACCAAGCAGATTCACATAGGTAGCCAGACCGTCAAGCTTCCATTCTTTAGCCTTTATTGCCTCGATGTCGTCTGTCGATACGCCGTATACATGTCGCACATATTCTTCTATATCCACGTCTTTCGATAAGAGGCCGGCACGATCTGCCTGCAAGTCCATGTTGGTGCAGTTTCGGACGTACACGTCAGTTGCCCCTTGCTTACTGGGAGTAGACATGCCTGAGAAGAGGTTCGGGATTGAGCTAGAGTGTGAAATAGTAAGGTGTAAGCTCATGTCCATTCTAAAGCAAGAGTTGTGGCAAGATTGAACTAAACAATGGTGGGAGAGCCTATTCAGGTGATTGCCACTTTAGGCTTACCGCTTGGATTGGCGACTTCTTCTGGCCACAACAACAATGGACAATGCAACCTGGGACTCACTTCGTGATTTCTGGAGCTTCTACGCTGCTCGCAACCTGGTCAGACATATATAAGTACGCTTTGTCTCGCGGCACGTACTAAGAGTAGAGACCCCGCTCTCGTGATTTTCCCGACTTCATCCCCGGACCGAACGGTGCCAACAGGAATGAGAGTTGCAGATGAGACACTGCAGAAGTGATTCTTGAAGCGCAATGATTAGGTTAACAACTGACTGTAGCGTCACTTATACGTGATCCACTCTTCAACTGGGATCAATACGTCGAGCCTCTTGGGCCCCATAACCATAGTCATTAACCATATAAATCATACAAGGACCCATAGAATGGCGGAGACGAAAGGAATCGCTTAGCAGCGAGCAAGCAAGGAAAAAAGACGAAGAAGGGGAAAGAAATGGAGAGAGGATCCGGGGGACTGAAGGATATTAGGGTATGCCATTTTGTCACTAGACTGCATGTCTGCAGTATTGGCGGAAAAATGTCCTATCTCTGCAGATCGGCACGACTGCAAAATAATTAGCGTGTCGCCAAAAAATCCAAGGGAGTTTAGACTCACTCTCTGATAATGTCGTGTAAGAATTTGTAACTTCTTAGGTTACCCCGGAGTCGCCTGATATCCAAGCTGTACGTATCGTTTAAGCCGTCCAGCCTCGTCAGCTCAACGGAGAACCGAACTTCATCGCCAGCATCTTGCGAAATGTCGCCGTAGACCGGGGAATGGTCTTGTGAGGGGTTGATGGATTGAGAGGTGGTCTCACCGATGGGTGAAATAGCCTCATCGTCGAATGAAAGGGAGGGCTGCATGTTTGGTGATGATACCTGAGACGATTGTCGACGCATGAGCAGTCCCTTCAACATATTACCAGAAAACGTTCCGTGTGAGGGGACGGGCAAGCCACGTCTATCAACCTATGCGCCACCATATATAAGATGGAGTACAGCTTAATAGGATTTAGATAACTCACTCCGTTCGAAGCAGCGCTCCCCATCATATTCACAGCCGTGAGTTGACTACCGGAATCCGCGCCAGCAACTGACCCACCGACAGCTCCCTTTCTCCTCTTCACCCGGACACACCTATACTTAAACTCGCTTTCGAGTTGGATCTCGACACCCATCCCGTCCAATACCTGCTTGACGTGCTTCATCACTTCCGGAGGGGCCATATTCGTAATCGTTGCTGTGACGACAGGTCCGTGATGTATACGGATGGCGTCGTTCGGATTCTTTGAGGTCTGACGAGTCCTAGCAGCGGTAACGGCAGGGCTTGCAGTAGTAAGCGAAGGACGCATCCATCGACCGATGGACAATGGATTCGAGACGCCTGAGGATGCGGACCTCTGCGGGTGGCCTAGCGGAGACAAACCGCCGCGTTGTGTAGACGGCGACCTTGCACTTTCCTTGGGTGAGGTGACAGCAGTCGCTTGGTTGACAGTAGTTGATGATGCGTTGGCCTTTTCATTCGTCGTCAGTTGTGTGGGAGTTCGCGACCGTTCCGCGGGTTCTTTCTCTGGCAACTCTGGGGCATTGAGAGGAGGTTCGCCCAATCCAATGGAATCCCTTCCGCCCCTGCCTCTACCTCTGAACCACTGCATGACTTTCTTCGCGGCGCTTGTCGAGGCCTGCATACCTCCTGCATCAAGATCGACGCTTGTGTCTGCCTGTGATACCTTGATGAACTCGTCGGCATTCAGTTCCTCCTTCGTGGGCATGGAAGGTACGGGTACGTCTTTGGTCTCTATATTGGCGGTTTCCGCTCCAGGAGTATGAAGGGGGGTACTGGCACCACGGCCTTTATTGTTCCTATTCCTGATGCTCCTGCTGAACGGCTCGACCATGACCGTCAATGTATTCCTCCGCGAAGTCTTCTTTGGATCTTTCTCCTTGCCGCCCTCCTTGTCGCTGTTGGCTGGGGATAAGAGAACAGAGGATCCCACCGAAGACTTCTTACTCTCCCCGTCTGAAGGTAGCTGTAGGGTACTTGGCCGTCGACTGCCGCTCTGTCCAGATGTGTCAGATCCTTCTGATGGTATGCGCTCGTTGGTGGAACTGGGTGAGCCACCAAATATCTTGCCCAGGCCGACGGCGGACAAACCCCGCCGATGGCCACTACCTTTGGAGTGCTGCGAGCTAGTTTCTCGTTTGTCCTCACTGCTGGGCTTCTTCCTGGCCCCCTTTACATCGTCAATGTCCATACTGATATCATCCCTGTCCTTTGCGGTAGGTGAGAAGGCAACGGGTGTACCAGGGGGACTAGCCGCGTTAACGTTCACGACTGGCGTCGGCATGGACAATGTGTCAGGTACGTTGTTCCTAGGATGTGTTGGGGTAGAAGCACCATTAGCTGCAGCGCTGTTGACTGGCTTAGTAGATCCACACGTATATAAAGAGCAACTCACGATTTGGCTTTTGTCGGGGTGCGTTCACTAGCTGGGGGAGGGGTCTCTCCATTTCTCTTCGCCGAGCTGGCCGTGATCGGAGGCTCCGCTGCAAGGATATTGGGTGAGGGCGGAAGAGGTTTGGTTCCAGAAGCGACCCGACTCTGTCGATCCCTCTCATCCCGCTTCGGGCCAACACTTGGGCTCCTACCAGCGTTGCTTGCGCCGGCTGACCTGCGCGGACTCGCTGACCGATCCCGATCCGTTCTTTCCTTCCTTCTCTCCTTCTCCTTGTCTTCGCTCCGTCTTGAAGCAGCACGATCATCACTCCTTCTGCTGCTTTTGGGTTCATCATACTCGACCTGGATTGTATGCCTGAAGCCATCCGCGGGTTTCTTTGGCGGGCTCTTTGTAGCGACTTCCGGGAGAGGGGGGCTAGCGACAGCTGCAGGGAGCCGAGTCCCGTCCATACTCGGCCGTCTTTCACGTTCAGCGGGCGCATTGTTCGCGACAACACCGGCACTCTTCGGACCAACGGGCATGGAGAACGGATCATCCTCGTCCATCGGCACTGCGACTGGGCTGGGAACGAAGCCTTTCCTTCCAGCGCTAGCAGCCGTAGAACCACTGACGGCGGGGGCAGAAGTAGGCGGTGTGGGCATTCCTGGGGAAGCTGTAGATGCATATGATTGGTCCAGGGAAGTTTCATACAGATATTCTGGCTGAGTGCGTTCCCTGTGATGTTCGCTGCGTTCGCGATGCCGGCTGTTGGGGCTGACAACGCCAGCAGAAGCCGGGCCAGCGGAAAGCACATCTGGTTGATAGCTGTGATGACCATGTCGAGAACCATGACCGTGGGGTGAAGTGGTTGATGATTGCTGATGCTGACCAGTCGCGGCAGCGGCAGCAGCACGCATCTGGCGTTGGTAAGCTAAGCGCTTTTGTTGATGCTGCTCCATAGCCTGTCGTTCCAGATCCTCCACGGTCCTACCGAAGGCACGAGGGACATCGATATCCATCACTTCGCCTTCGGCCGGAGGAGCATGGAAAGCAGCTAACCAAGAGTGGTTCATTACAGCTTCCAAACTAGCTCGTTTGGTAGGATCCGGGACTAGCATCAAACTTAGTAAATCTCTGGCCTGGTCTGAGATGTAGTCGGGGAACGTCAACGGAGTATTGACAATGTACTTGTATAGGAGGTTGATATTGTCCCCGTCGGGATTTGCTGGATCGTCGTCGAATGGGAGATACCCGGCAAGCATGGCGTAGAGGATGACACCGCAACTCCAGATATCTACGGCGCTGCCGACATAGAGACCCTCGCTGATGACGAGTTCGGGGGCAGCATAACAAGGGCTACCACAAGATGTCTGCATGAGATCATCTGCGCGATGTTCAAATCGATTGGCAAAGCCGAAGTCTGTGATGAGGATGTTTCTATGGCGGTCCAGGAGGAGGTTTTCCAGTTTCAAATCGCGATGGACTATTTTCTTCTGGTGAATGTACCAAACACCGGATAAGAGTTGGTAGAAAAGCTTGGAGGCATATCCTTCCCTAAGGTACCGGTGGGCGAGAATGTGGTCGAAGAGTTCTCCCCCTGACGCGTACTCGAGGATGATACCAATGTACTTGTCGGTTTCTATCACGTCGTACAAACGAACGATGTTGGGGTGTTTGAGGGTCTAAAGTGCGGTATCATGCCATCAAAAGGAAGACCTGGTAGCCGAACGGAGTCACTCACCCTCAATACCTCAATCTCTCTTTCGACCTTACTCATCCTCACGCTATTGTCTACGTTGCCTCTGCGAATGAGTTTGACGGCCACTTCCTCTCCCCATAGACTATGTAAGCCCAGCTTCACCTTCCCAAATTCACCTTCTCCAAGGGTATGGAGCAAGAGATATGGCCCAAACTTGGGAATGGTGCGCCGAGGATGCGCGGCAAGATATGCTACAGCAGCCGGGTGAGAATAGACATCGTGGTAAGCGACCGGCGCGCTTCCACTGTGGTTTCCACTAGCAGATTCGTCTCTGCTACTGGGTTGGACGGTATGCGACGCGCGTTGCCTTCGAGCAGCAGAGGGAGGGGGTGATGTCGCAGATGCAGGTTGCACTGCAACTGAAACCGGCCGGTATTGTCCTTGCTGAACTTGTTGTTGACGAGAGGGGCCGGGCTCCGCTGAAGGAATTTGGAGACTGGCTGTTGTCGCCATTGCCGGGGACGGTGTCCGAGACTGAAGTTTTCCTGTCAAAGTCTTGTGAAATGTCTTAGTATTAGACAAGGGCGTCTAGGAGTCTTGATTTGCCATAAAAGGTAGAAATCATCAGTATCTGACAGAAACGGAGGGGGCAGTTCCCAACTCACGAGCTGGATGAAGCCCTGGACGACGCGCACGTCGATGAGAACGAGAAACAGAAGGAACAGTTTCAGGCAACCTTGATAAGCGCCCACTTTCGCCCCATCAATGGTTGAGTGCTGATGTAAGCATCAGTATCAACCGAACAAGGTGAGGACCACAGTCGCCGTAGTTGACTTCGTTCAGAAATAATTCACAAATACAGTGAATGGCTCAATTGCACGTTCAGCCAATGCCCGTAGCTCCCAATCAGGCTCGTATGCTGGGTGAAGTAGTCCGGAGAAGGCCGCAGGGATATCATTCCGATGCTATTTAAACGTCTAGGCTTTCAAGCGCTACTGTAAAGGCAGTGTAAAGGTGCGTGCTTCAATTAGTGGTCTTCCATGGAGCTGATGCTCTTTGTGTTGCAGTAGTCATGCACGAGAGTTCGAAGAACTTTGTCTGGTGTCTCAATGATCGTTGAGCAGCAAAGTGCGCATGGCGCTCATGTTTCAAAGTCGTTTCAGCCTGCTTGCTCCCTTGGGAAGATCCTAAAGGAGCCTCGGTGTGCACCGCAATCACTCGGTTTCCATATGTTACTCCAAGAACTATGCAAAACTCCCACCACGCGCGGCGGCGTACGACTGATTCTCAAACACCAAGAGGATAGCGACATCAATATCAGGCGATACCAAGGCTATGGATTCACGGTGCAAGTTCCCCTAGCTCCGAGCATGGACGGGTATATAAACCTCGTCTCCTTCGCTTTTGGTTCTTCAGCTGAGCTCACTCCCTCGATCGTTCAACAGTAGCAGGTGCCGGTCACTTCTACTTTCTCTACATCCAACTACACTCGTACACCTCTTCGTTCACGACTATCCCATACGTCCTTCAGAACAGTTAACTCTGTTACTACATACCACTCGCTACGCCAAGATGTTCACGAAGTCAACCGCCACCACCCTTGCTATCGCGCTCGTTGCCCTCAACGCAGCGTCCGGTGTCTTAGCTAAGCCAATGTTTGTATCCTCATCCTACGCCCTATTTGAAAGGACCGTACTGATTTCTTTCGTTATAGTCCGGGATCGGATGTATCTGATGCCTTAGTGGCAAGGGAGCCGTTAGTCCCTCCAGTTATGGTTTCTACCGACCAGCAGTACTAACCCCTCATCCGATAGTCCCAAGCCTGCCCCGAAGGCTCCTGCCCCGGCGCCCAAGCAGCCGGCGCCCAAGAACAACAACCCACCTCCTAAGAACAACACCCCACCCCCAAAGAACAACAGCCCTCCCCCCAAGAACAACAATCCGCCCAAGAACAACCCTCCTAAGAACAACCCGCCCAAGAACAACCCCCAACCTCCCAAGAAGCCTGAGACCCCGAAGCCCGCGCCACCCAAGACTCCCACTCCCCCTCTTCAACAGAACAACGGCCCCGCCACCCCGCCGGCGGCCCCGGTCAACGATTACGACGTCGACTACGATTCCAACCAGTACACCAACTACTACATCAACTCTCCGTACAGTTGGTACCCGCCTGCTCCGGATTACGGGAACGAGAACGGACACGGCGATAACGGTGCTGGTGCGTGGAACCCATGGTCGCAGTGGGGTGGAGGTTTCCCTTCCTACGGAAACCCTTACCAGAACTACGGGGGCAATGGAGGATGGGGCACTCAGAACAAGCCTAAGAAGCCCCAGCAACAAAAGCCTCACCAACCGCCAAAGAAGCAACAGCCGCAACAGCCAAAGAAGCAGCAGCCCAAGAAGCAGCAACCAGCGAAGCCGGCCGTTCAACCTCCCAAGAAAGGCAAGCGGGAGGAGGACATGGAGGAGCGCGATAGGCTTTACGGACGAGGGGTTAGCACATCGTGGGATTCGTACGACACCAGGGATATCGACGAGGAATTGGAGGCCAGGGAGTACTGGGCTGATCTTGACGCTCGGGAGTTTGACGAACTGAATGAGAGAGAGGTGGAGATGGAGGACTTGTATGCCCGCGAAGAAGCCGAGTTGGAGGAACGCGAGTATTACGGTGACTACCTGGAATCTCGGGATTTGGGATACGATTTCCTTGATGCCCTTGATTAAGAGTGTATTTTTTCCCTAGTTGCCATGAAATCTTGATTACCAGTTTTTGTCATCCATTCATTTGGGAACTAAGCGTATCATGTTTCTGCTTGAGGGTTTCAGAGCACCTCGAATAGGCTTAGAATCAAGTACTCGTCGGTAGCAAATCTAGCCTCTCCTTCCCAGCTCCCTACCACCACACAACAACAGTCTTGTACCGCCCGCGTGGAACCAGATCGAACACCCTTCGAATAACGTCCAAAATTCCAGTGCAACACTCCTCGTGGATCAAGGTGTTGCACAAGGCACTCCGAGGTACTCCTAGTATAACTAGGCCAACGAACCAAGGAGACATCATTACGGCCATAGCGCCCGTTATTGCAGCTCGCCACTTTCACCTTCCATGGTATCGATACTCTCAAGGTGGCAAGCAGATCCCGTCAAAGGTAGTTTACCAAATGTCCGATGGTGCCGAGCTGCCAGGGCGCAGTACCAATAAACTGTCAAGAATTGAAACACTGGGAGAAGAGTATCGAGCACTGTGAATACTTTTTCGTCAAGCTGGGGGCCGGCAACCACGACCTCCGTGTTCTTGTCGAAGGTCTTCAGGTTCTTTTTACAACTGGTGCCATGAATTCGTATGTACGCTGGTCGACATCATGTACAGCATTCCCCAAGCTGCTCATTTCCGAACGTGATGTGCAAACAATGCGCCTTAAACGCTCTTGTGAACGTTCAGTCACGACAAGGATGGATGGCCTTTGTGGGCCGTGCCGACTCACCAGTCGACGTCAGAACGACCCTCGTAGTAGATGGCGTCGATACGACTCACCCAAGACCCCGCAAGCTGCTGGATGAGCGTTCGAATTCTTGTTAAGACAGGCCGATAGAGAGGAAGGGTGCAATATACCGCCTATCAAATCGAGCGGCAGTATTTTACCTTTCTGTATAAGTAGAGAGAGCGGTCTCCTACGTCAAGTACTAGTTGATGTCCGGTAGAGACACACACTGGTGGCTAAACCGTTGTTGTCGATTGTTTTGATGTGGCCGAAAGAAGCAACTAATCTAAGTAGTAAGCCTAAATTGGCAATCGGCCAAACCTGAACTTCATCCACCACCATTGTTTGGTGCAGCCTCGCTTGCCACAATCCCTGCTTAAAATGGACCCCACCATGACTTGCTGCTCTTCCACCGACTCACTTCACGACTACTACTACGATTACTACAATTTCTATCCCTCAGTTGGATCATCCTACTCTAACGACTCAGGTACTGACTCAAGTAAGCGACTATTATCGCTGCTCGACAGTCTGCCTCACTCATATTTACTTAGGCATGTCTACTCCCAGTAAGCAAGGTGCATCTGGGGTCTACAAACGAAATCGCAACAACATGGACTCTGCCTTGAAGGACGACCTTTGCGGCCTCATATTAGGTGGCGTGGAGATGGAAGAATACGTGCAACATGTTTATGGCGTATCGAAGGACGACTTAGAGTACATAAAGTCCAAGAAATGGGAGCCTGAGGGCTTGGCTGTGTATACGAAGCTACTCAATGAGGGCGCTCCAGAAGAAGACCTTTACGCGCCATTCAAGGCGATTGTAGCCGATCTCTTCGACACTTTCGCCCAGGACGAGAAGAAGCTTAACGTGCACCATGCTTCCCTTGGCAAGACCGCGCTGAAAAGTGTTGGGAATGTTCGGAAACCGGACCAGCTTTTCTTTTTCGGCTCACATAACAACAAATCGCCTATAACTTGGTCCCTCGCGAAGGCCTTCGTTGAATTCGCTGTAACACCTAGCGCACAACGTGTCAAAGCCTCATTCGGTCTCATCAGCACTATCAATGAAGATGACTCTGTCGCTCCAGGAAACGTTGTGTCTGCATCTATGCCCGACTTGAAGCCATCCCCCACGACCACGACTCCATCAGGAAGAAAGCGCCGCAGTAGCGACATGCCTAGTGGATCTTCTAAGCGCGCGAGGCATGAAACCTTAAGTGGGAAAGAGCCGCAAGCTGCCGGATACGCTTTGGAGCTCATGGCTTCCGCTTGCAGACGATGGGCCACTGGTGTGGTCATCAGGGACACGCAAATGTCGCTACATTACTACGATAGAGTGGGGGCTATCTTTACCAAACCATTCAGCTTCGATAAAGAGCCTTGGAAATTGGCTTTATTCGCCCTGGCCATCGGACAGTGCGACGTCGTACAAGCAGGATTCGACCCGCTAATTGCGCCCGATCTCGACACCCCACTTACCGACCCACTTTCCTCGCTGAAGCACGCGGTTCTTCATATACCGAAGGGCAATGGAAATGCACAGAACAATGGGGAAGATGGAAATAAAGAAGACATTGATGACGAAAGCAACAACGACAAAGGCAAGATTGACGACTGGATTGCAAGGGGAGTCTATTCGCACTTCGAAATCACCGATGACCCACTGTATATCTACGGTGGCCTCACTGGCCGTGGATCACACGTATTACCTGGAAAACTAATCAAGAAGGCTGAAAGCGCAATTCCGCACGAAAGCGCTGAAAACGTGGACGACGAGGGGAAGCGACCGTCTTTACCAACGAACTCTACGGCTGCCATGGTTGCCAAGCTCAGTTGGCCAACAGAGAAGCGTCCGTGGCTAGAGGCCAACACAATTCAAGACCTATTCGAGAAGATTCCGAAGATGAAACATCATCTTCCTCAAATACGCTGCGCCATAACGCTCAAGGGTGAATCCATAAGACTTCCACGACATCTCTTCGGTGACATGACTACTGCTCATAAACTCGAGCAGCGCTATTTCACCCTTCTATTTACCGACTGTTATAATCACCTCTGGGACATCAAAACTGTGGCCGACTTTCAGCTGGCGTACATTGACATCGTCGAATGTGAGTGTAGTCGGTATGGGCAATAAACCTCATTAATCCAATTCTCCAGGTCATCACGCTGCGATGAAGTTTGGCAACGTACTGCATCGCGATATCAGCGAGAACAACCTATTGTGGACCAAGAGCGCTAAGAACGCTAAGCGTGGGCGCACCATTGGCGTCCTCAATGACTGGGACTTAGCCACACCTGTCGATGCCATTGGAAACAGTTCCAAGCACCGTACAGGCACGGGCCCATTCATGGCCTTGGACCTCCTTGCCCCGGAACCCCCTGTCCATCTCTACCGCCACGACCTTGAATCACTCTTCTACGTTCTTATATGGGCGGCAGTGCATTACAACATAGGTGATGACGTCCCATACGCGCACCGTGTCGACGATGAGGTAGAAAAGTGGACAGGGACCTACTTGGAGGCCCTTAGTGCAAAAACTCTGTTTTTGAGTGACACAGGGCCTGTGCTCAAGCGTATACGACCCGCGTTCCATGGTTTGCGGCCGACTTGGATCGAGTCACTCTGCAAACTATTCCAGAGGGCACAGAGCAATCGTGTCTTGCTTGCGAGCCAGATCGTGGAAGCGGCCCAGCAAGAAATTCAAGTAGAACTCGACGATACCAATGACGTTTTCGCGCCGCTGAAGGAAGGACAGGTTCCCGCTAACATGAACATCGACGATGACGATGAAAGCGATCATGACGAAGAGAAGGAGTCAGAGCTACACTTGCCTCCTCCCCCAGCCGCACCCGCGCCGCCGCCAGTAGACGTCGATTACGAGACCTTAGGCGGGTGCCTGACATTCGAGAGTTTCATGGCTGCACTTAAATGGTCTCCCAGAGTGATACGCCCGGTAGATACCAAAGATCAAGCTTCTAAAGCAAAGTGATTCATGTATCTTTTCTTTCTGCATTTGCTAGACACACAATCACTGAAACACAATATCTACCTGTTCTACTATATTTTGCGCTCAGTGGCTTATTTTTGACGTCAGATGTCAGTTGCCAAGAGATATTGATGTATAATTTGTATATATAATGTCTATAACACATTTGGTTTACCGTAAGGTTGCGATACGGTTTCAATCTCTGAGGTAGTCCCATCCACCACTTGGGTACTCATCTCACCCCCTCCTTCCCTCTCCAGCTCCTCATTCGAGCTCGATTTGTCGAATTCCATATTCCTCCTATCGACCCCTGTTCGACTTCGCATCGATTCTTCAGTGCTTCGTCGCTCAATATTCAATTCTTGGGTTATAAACCTCACTGATAAACTTTATGAGTGATTACCATTGACCTTCGCACTTGTAATATCTGTGACCGCCTATGTCGTAACAACAGTCTTGTTCGCCTGTCCCGCCGTTCGTCGTCAATTACCGTACTCATCCTAAGTATGGCTCTGCTGTTTGGGATAACGAGGAAAGCCATCAAGGCCCCCTGCTGTTGGCTTATGAGAAAGCGTGACAATCAGGAGTAGGGACGGAGATGAGAATTTAGATCACCTAACGAAGGCGTGTAGGAAATGTTGAAGGTCGCGGCACTAAATACGTTGACATTCCGCGACTTCGCATAGCGTCCAAAATTCCAATACTCTTCGTGGATCAAGATGTTACAAAAGGTACTCCAAGGTACTCCAAGTGCTACCACGCCAACGAGCCATCAACACTCTCAAGGTGGCAAGCAGATCCCGTGAAAGGTGGTTTGTCAATTGTCCGATGACGCCGAATCTGAGCACGGCAGAATGCAAATCGGCTCCACTTAGCGCAACTGGACGCAAGTCGTGCTCTCAAAGAACCTACCACAGAGATGACCTTGCCAGAAGACAGAGGCACGAACACCGGAATGGTAATGCGACTCCGGCCCCCCCTCTGCTCGTTCCTGTTGCCCCTACTCCTGCTCAACAGCTTGGCATCGACTTCGAGACTCTGGAAGGGTGTTTGACGTTTGAGAACTTCATGGCTGCCCTGGGTGGAAGCCAGCCTCTTGGGGTACCCGAATAATACCGCGCTTACGCGGCATCTCTCCTTGCGAAACCCCAGTGATTGAATATCAGGACTGCTACTACGGGATTTATGTATCAATTTTCTCCCATTCTTTGTGAAAGTCATGTTCTGTTGACCTACATACACTAGTCGATTATCAGCTACGCGCCAAGTTTTCAGGTAGAAAAATCCCGTGATGTGACACATCGCGTTGTCTGTGAGTGTGACGAACGCGCTCAGCGCGTTCACTGACTTTTCAGTGTTAGTATCCATGGCTTCCCGAACGTTGGATCAACTCAGGGAAATATTCGGGGCAGATGTATCAGACGAGAAGCTCCTCAAAGAATGTACGTACCTCCAAATATCCCCTGCCATGACCCCGCCAATTCCAGACCAGGCGCCAACATCTGCGAGTCCTTCAACCTCACGCCGCGCGACTTCAGTTTTAAAGTCGAGGCAGAGTCCTTCAAGTTCTCTGCGCCGCGCGGATCTGCGCTTCCCAGCCTCAGCTTGGACATGTGCAACACGATTCGACAGACGCTGCGGCGGCAGGCTGAGGTACAGGGGCTCACGAAGGTGGCACAGCGAGCTGCGAGAGGGCGAGGGGGGCTGAACAGCGCGCCGGTGAGAGGTGCGGGGCGCCATCATATGCAAGCACGAGCGCGAGTCAAGGTCGAACCGGGGTCCGAGACGACGAGTCTCGCTCACGCTGGGCCCAGCAAGGTCGCATTCCAAGGGCCTCCACGGACAGACAAACGCAGCTGTGAGTAAGCATGCTCTACGTGGACCCCCCTAACAGCTGCGCAGATCGATACATGTATGAGAAGATATACGAACGCAGTGAAGGTGCGTGCCGTCCCTCTCAGCACCACTGAACGCGACTCACGGTCGGCTAGTCCTCGACAACCGGATCGACGAGTTCGCGGAGCTGGTGCGGGAGCACTACCACATCGACGAGCTCGGCGACCCGTGCACTTTTACCAATGTCAGATCATAGAGCCATCTAGATCCCCTCCCCCAGTGCTGACTTTCCCTTAGGAGCCGATATACGTCGTTGGGCGCATCGTGCCGCAGGTCGAAGGGTCGTCCGCAGACGGCAGCGGCAAGCTCGCGGACGCATCGCTTGCGCTCGAGTCGTCGCGCATGATGGGGTCCGGGCAGCGCGTGCCTCTCCGCTTCGAGCCCACGGTCAAGGTAAGCCCGATCCTTGTCAGATCATCATCATCATCACCTCATGTGTACGCTCAGATGAGGGGCGGCCCCGAAGGCGTCTCGAAATGCGGGTTCTTTCCTGGTATGATCGCTGCACTAAAAGGACGGAACGGCGGCGGCGGGTGGTTCGCAGTGGACGAAGCGATATGTGTAGACCTCTCCCTTGTTCGCTGTCCATCGTGATGCTGATTGGATCCACGCAGCTTCCCCCGCTCAAATCGATGCCACCGGTGAAGATCGAGGCGTTCTTCATGCAGGTAGCAGCGGGGCCCTACACGCTAGACACCGATCTCAGCTTCGGCTTCGCCAAATCCTTCTTCAACACCCTAAAAACAGCGAAGCCATCCGTCGTGCTCCTCGTACGTTTAACCCATGTTCATTAACTGTATAGACGGTTTCTTAGGGAGATGATGTACAGCTTGGCCCGTTCGTAGACGCCAGCCACCAGTGCATCCGAAAGGGCGACGTGGACATGTCGCCGTCCGAGCTGTTCGCGCACCACTTCCTCGCCCCGCTCACGGTGTATCTCAATGCAGCGCCGGGGTCCACCGCCCTCATCGTGCCGAGCGTCCGCGACATCAACAACACCGTTGCGTCCTTCCCCCAGGCCGCCTTCGACCCGAGTCTAGTCGCAAACGACGATGTGTGTGCTACTCTTCTCTTCACTATGACGATGTGACTGAGCTCACATGGCCTACAGCGAATCAAGCTGCTCCCGAACCCCGCGCGATTCAGCCTGAACGGCGTAACGTTCGGCGCGACGAGCGTCGATGTGCTCTTTCACCTCAGGAAGGAGGAGCTGGTCAAACACGGCGAATACGCGGAATGGGTTCCCCCTGCTAGCGCGACATCCACGACAACAGCGACGACGCCAGCTGCTGACGCCAGTGGGTTCATCGACACAATCAACCGCGACCTGCATCCCGGCGCTGCGTTCCAAACTCCTGCTCCTGCGGGCGAGATCCCTCAACAACAGCAACAACCACAATATCAGCAACGGCAGCAACAACCGGGAGGTGTGAAAATGGAGGCAGACTCTGCCCCGCCGCCGTACGACGGCATGTCGGGCCTCTGTCAACATCTGCTCCGACAACGCAGGTACGCATTTTTCTTTCTTTCTTTCTTCTTCATCGTCGTCGCCCCGCGTGCCCTCTACCTGTGATGCTCGATGCCCTATGATGCTCGATACTCACCCAACAGCAGCTTTTACCCCCTGTTCCCCGTGTCCGCGGACCTCGCGCACGACGTCAACCTTGACGTGTCGCGTTCCGAGCGCCTGCGGGTAGACTTGGGGGCTGACAACGGGGGGAGTGGTGTTGGTGTTGCGCCGAATATTCTCATCGTGCCGAGTCGGCTGAAGCATTTCGTGAAGGTGCGTGTGTCCGCCTGAAATGCTGGTTGGAGGTTTACGGAACTCAATCTTATGGCCCTCCGGGTAGCCCGTGGACCATACTGTCGTTGTGAATCCGTCGTTCCTGTCGAAAGGGACTTATGCGACGATCAGCGTGGCGGCGTGCAGCGACGGCTCGGTCCCGCTGACCGACCGTGTTGCTGTCGACTTCGGGAAGCTAGCGAGCTAAACCAAAAGTGATATTTTCCTTGCTCGCGAGTCTACCATCGCCGTGAATGTGCTTCTACACTATATTTTGAACACAGATACAAAGTAACTTTCGACTTGTATTCGGCGCGCTTAACACCCTACGCAATTCGCCAAACATCGTACATACGCATTTTAGCTTAGTCGTGTTACCCCTCTTCAGACGCTGAGCTCTACTTTGCCGCCTTTATTGATCGCCTCCTGCAGCTCATCGCGCGCCAAGGCCGGCACGACCCAGTCCTTGATGAATTTGTCCACCTGCTGGGGTGCGCGGCCCACGAAGGTCGCGGGGTCCAGCAGCTGCTCGAGCTGATCCTTGATCGGGTCAAAGTACGGGTCCGACTTGACGCGGTCGATGAGATCGTTTTCCAAGCCGAGTTGCTTAACCTGATGGGCAGCTTCGTGGGAGAGCACCTAGGTCGCGGGTGGATATACTCAGATCCAGGTGTAAAGGGAGGTGGAGCAACTTGCCCTGATTTTCTCGTGCGCTTCTTGTCGGTCGCCGCCGTTCTTGACGAGCGCCATGATGATGTTCTCCGTCGCCATGAAGGGCAGTTCCTGGGCGATGCGCCGTGCGATAACTTTTGGGTAGACGACGAGACCCTCGGAGATGTTCTGCAGGGTGGAGAGGACGATGTCTGCGGTCAGGAATGCCTCGGGGATGGTGATGCGGCGGTTGGCACTGCATAATCAGAGTCAGATACGCGTTGGAGAACAATTGCGAGGGACAGGGACGTACCTGTCGTCAAGGGTGCGTTCGAACCACTGAACGCTTGCTGTCATTAGGGCGTTTTGGGGGAGTATCATCAGATGGCGCGCCAGACTGCACACACGTTCGCATCGCATGGGGTTCCGCTTGTACGCCATCGCCGACGACCCGATCTGGGTGGATTCGAACGGTTCTTCAATTTCCTATGTATGCAACGAGAGTGCTGTGAGTTAGGTTGAACTTCATCAGATCGAGTATAGTACCTTGAGATTTGCAAGTAGACGTATGTCTGTGGCGATCTTGTGTGCGGTGGCGCCCAAGGAAGCGAGAGGGGTCAGGACGTCGATGTCAATCTTGCGTGAATAGGTCTGCGAAGTCACTGGATACGAGTACTCGAATCCCGAGAGCTTTGTGACCAGTTCATCTAACTGCTCAACCTAATGCCGCTGTCAGGCGATTTCTTAGTGAAGCTTGGGCCATCATGCGTACCTTGTCGTGGTCTCCGTCGAAGAGGGCCAAGAAGCTGGCCTGCGTGCCAGTCGTCCCTTTGACCCCACGGAAGCCAATGTCTTCCCTGGCACGCAGCAAATTTCGCAGATCCCACAGAAGTTCCTGGGGAAATGTGATGTGAGCAAGCTGGATGGTTCGTTGGATGCAGAATGAGGACCTGGATCCACAAGGTTGCGCGCTTCCCTACGGTAGTCAGCTGGGCTGGCTGGAAGTGGGTAAATCCCAAGGTGGGGAGATCTCTGTACTGGGCAGCGAAGGATGAGAGCCTCGATATGAGGATGCCCAGCGATCGTATCAGATAGGTCAAACCAGTCCGAAGAAAGATGAGATCGGCGTTGCTAATCGGGAAGTTGAGCGGTTGCTCGAGGTAGTTATGAATTTGATTTACTCAGTAACATAACACGACGTTGCTCCCAAGCTAAACGGCAGGATGAGCTTCAGTAGTATGCGAAATCGAAATCGGCGTGCTTACTGGATGATCCCAGCAGCTGCCGGGGCGACCTGTCCGAAAGTATGGACGTGCGCCATTACATCATGACGTCTTTTCTTCTCTTCTTGGGCTGCGATCTCAAATTGCTCTGCGGTGAGATCCTATCGTCTCATGAGTTTATTGTGCGCGGGTGATGAGTGGATAGGGAGACGTACAAGGTTTGCTTTCATCTGTTCGATGGCTTCGTCAGAGATAGGCAAGCCTAGTTCCTTTTCGGCAACCGCAAGGTTGAGCCATAATTTCCGCCAGGTGTGGAATCGCATCTATTGAGGCGTCAGTAAGAGTCTTAGGATGAGATGAGCGGTTTCGTACGGCCGGAGAGAACAGGCGGGCCATCTCCTTGCTTGCATATCGGCTAAACTCAGAACGTGAGACACATTCGGGGAACGCAATGACTTTTCAGACCTGGAAAGAGGCGTTTGGTACGTTTCAAAGTTTTCCATGATGATGGACGATGGTGAACGGAATAGGAGCCCCTGAGCCTCAGATCTAAGCGCTGGTGGCGCTTACGGAAACAAGAACGATCACATGCAGTGTTGTCCATTGCTGCTGTTTGTTGTCTGAAAGAAGCAACATGGGATCCAAGCGGTAAGCCTAATGTGGCAACAGCCACATCTTGACTTTCTGCCAGCCCGAACCCCATTGTTTGGCCAATTCGCCATTGACCACACTACATTTCACAAAATGGCCGCTAACATGAGTGGCACGGCATCCAATAACTCCCTCTACTACTACCATTACTCCGACGACTACTCTAGTGATTACGACTCTGACTCCAGTGAGCATCCTCTCAACGATTTGGTTTCTTCGCTCATTCGATTTGAATTAGGTATGACGTCTACAAACTCTACTCCCAACAAGCAAGGTGCTGCCTTTCAGGAGGACCTTCTTGGTCGAACGCTCCGTGATGTATCAATCGAAGACTTCGTGAAGCATGTATATGGTTTCACGAGCAACGACATGAAGTACATAACGTCAAATCAGTGGACGCTAGATTTCAAAGGCCTGACCGAATACAACGCAGCACTCAGTCAAGGCCGGCCGGAGAATGCTCTGTATTTGCCGTTCAAAACTATCATGGACGGGTTATTCGAGAAATTCCGCGATGACAAGTATTCCCTCGACATAAATCTTGCTTCTCTAGGCCACGAGCAATTGAAGAGTATGGGCACACCTCGGAAACCTGACGGACTTTTCATGTTCAAGTCGCACCAAGACTCAGACAAGGTGTCTTGGTCACTCTCCAAGGCCTTCCTTGAATTCCAAATAAGCCCCAGCGATCAAAGGATTCGGAAGGAGGCACGAGGGGCACGCGGCCAAATGCGCACACTTTGCAAAGGAAGAACACTTGGATCTGCGCCAAATTCGAGAGTTAATGTGGGCGCCATAGCCTCTGCGCTAGACTTGGCGCCGTCTGGATCGAAGCGTCGGAGCTCCGACGTCCCTGAAATTGAAGAGCGAGGTCATTCGAAGCGACCCAAAGAAATGACTTGGAAAGAGGCTCAAGGCGCTGGGTACGCTCTCGAGATGATGGCAGCTGCCTGTAGGCGTTGGGCTACCGGCTTCGTGATCAGGGATACAACTGTATGGGTGCATTACTACGACCGCATAGGGGCCATCTTCACTGAGGAGTTCGATTTCTCTAAAGACCCACAAAAGCTGGCGATGGTGGCTCTGGCCCTTGCCAAGTGCGACGTCGTTCAGGCTGGATTCGAACCCCTCATCTCCCCTAGCCTCGACTCCCCGCTTTCCGCTCCTCTCGTTTCGATGGACGGCGCGTTCCTTCGTTTGCCTGCGTGCGATGACGACACGGGCGCTACATATATGAAGGACCACCTCTACTCTCACTTCCAGATTTCCGGTAATCCATTATACGTATACCAAGGTCTTAACGGCCGAGGCTCACTAGTCCTCCCGGGTCGTCCCTTTGAAGCAGTTAAGGGAAGTGGTTCCCAGCTGGAGCAGGTAGCGAGCGACACACCAGACACAAGCAAGCTAGCGAACGGCACGAATGACTCCGGCGACATTGGAATCGTACACGGCACCACAAAATCTCTCCCTTCTCAAGTCTCTATGGTGGTCAAACTAAGCTGGCCGCTGGCTACGCGGCCGAATCTCGAAGCAGAAGTAATACACACCCTCCGCGAGAGGGTGAAGCGGATGAGGCCTCACCTTCCCAAAGTCCACTTCGCGATGGTGCTCAAGGGGGTATCTATCCATCTCCCCGGAGACCTGTTTCGTTCCATGACTACGGAGCACAACCTTGAGCAGCGCTATTTCACGGTTATGATCGTTGAGCAGTATAAGCACCTGTGGGAGGTTCCGACTTACGCAGACTTCATGAAGGCGTACCTCGATATCATCGAATGTTCGTACGCTCTACCTTATGTACACCTATTGTGCCCTGACTCTTCCACTGTTAGGTCATCACGCCGCAATGGAAACTGGAAAATTCCTCCATCGTGATATAAGCGATAGGAACTTACTATGGAAGTGGAGCTCGAAACACCGACGCTCTGTCGGCATCCTCAACGACTGGGATCTTGCATCCGACGTTATCCCCTTGGGTCCTCACGCGAAGCACCGAACGGGAACTGGTCCATTCATGGCACTCGACCTCCTCACCGATGACGACCCACCCACCCACCTCTATCGTCATGATCTTGAATCTCTATTCTACGTCCTTGTTTGGGCGGCGGTACACTATACCCTCGACAAGGGTAATCCAGTTGTGAGCCAACCAGGTTCGACGATAATGAAGTGGACTGGAACGTATGCCGACGCTCGTGAAGCCAAAAAAAGCTTCTTAGGTGACCCGCTGCCAATTTTCAGTAAGATACAACCTGCGTTCCAGCCCCTACGAAAGCATCTCAACGCCCTGAGGAACTTGTTCAACAAGGCCCATCAAAATTCGGTCACGCTTGCGACTCGACTCCAAAGCAACAGTACACCATATGTTCCTGATACTGAGGAACTGATCAATGGTGATCTACTCGTGGAGATCGACGAGGATGACGAGGATGACGAGCTTCCTTTATCTACATCCAAGTCCGAACCTCTTCCCCTGGTCGTTCCTACATTGGAAGAGGTTGAGATTGACTTTGAAACGCTGGGAGGATGTTTGACCTTTGAAAATTTTCTGGCTGCCTTAGACCAAAAACCTCGACAGTACCGGTGATTACTAGATTTCGTACTTTCTATCTCCTTTCTATCGCCTATTAGCATGTAATGATCAGTGTCATATGTCTCAGTGCCTATCCCAAATAACTGTGCCAGTAATCAAGTGACGCGTTGTCTTATATAACAAGAACATTGTATCCCAAACCACAACCACCAAGCCTACCTCTAGGTAGTCCCATAATACTCCCCTTCCTTTTCCTTGCTCTCTTGTGACAAGCGCTTTGCGTCCTCTGAAGAGTTTCAACATTCAGATATTGATTTCCTCATTCATCTTTGCTCGTCTCTTTTTCAGATTAGTTAGATGAGATCCAGAGACATCTCTCAAAGCCTTGATAACATAGTTTCCAAGTTCAACAGTTCTATACGTACAGGCACACACATACTTACACGACTGAGAAAAATTATAGACCGTAAGTAATCAGCTAGTCCAGAGTCACTCAGCCAACATCATGAAAACGATCCGTGAATAAGAGCCTCCCAAGCGCTCTTCGATTGTAGTGTCTGGATGAAAGTGACTTTCGACTTCTCCGAAGGGGCACCACCTTCATCTGTAACGACGACGGCGCCTTTGATTGGAGCTGGAGCGAGAACCGGGCCGTCCGGATATTCTTGTTGAGGATTGGCTGGCGCCGTGATCGAAGCATCTGACAATGTTCCTGGCGCCTGGCTCAAAATAGGTGATGAACAGTGACTGGCCGAATTGGATGCCGCTCCAGAGTGGGTCGGGCTGTTTCTTTGCGAATGGGATACCTGATCGCCGTCTTGGGGGCCCGTTTGAGTATCCTAAGGCGGTTTGAGTAACAAGTCCAGGAAGCGATGGACAAGGGAGTAAAGAAGTATGGGGAAAGAATTCCATGCGGAAGACGTGGTAAGCGAAATGAAAGCTACACGCACCAATTGACTTAGACGCGAAGGCACATGAGGCTGGGAGTGGGAGTGCAATAAAGGAGGGTGGGCATGAGGGAGGTGAGGCTGTGGGTGAGGATGGTACGGAAAAGGGCTAAGGTGTGATTCAGAAAACCGACCACTGGATGGCGTCGGATGAGGAGCAGGGGGTATAGATGGAGTCCCTGGAACTGGTGAATGATGAAAAGAATAAGGATAGGCAGGGCTCGCAGTGCCAGACGACGAGCGAGAAGACGGGGTATATGGTCGTTTCTGGCCAGTTTTTGCATCGAATAACTGTTAGTCGCGATGAAGAACCCTTTGATGCGAGTACGCACCGGGTTGAGGATGCTCCCTAGAGCCATTCTAAGGGCTTCTTTATGAAGGTGTTGAGCGTTGGCACTCATTGGGCCGCCCTCGTTGCGGCTCTTCTCGTGTAGATCGTGCCCGTGGCCATGGCCCTGAGTGAAGTTGTCGTTCGGCGGGCTTTGCACCTGAGTGGGCCCGGGCTAGAGATCGGATATTGAAGTACCCAGAGGAAGGTGAACTGTGTAATACCGTACCATCGCTCTCTAATATACGATGGTTGAATATAAAGGCTCCTTGTGGGAGGGCATTGAGTGTGATGATCTCAACCGAGGGTAGCCCTGAACGTACGAGTATAGATCTCCTGATGAATTGAAATGGCGGCCAACTGCAATTCGGGTGCAAGGCTGCTTGAAGATGATGATGAGGCGGTGAAAGGTAGGACGGTCGTCTTGTGGACAGTCCCCTAGTATAAGTAGCGTGGTTCGCAGGCTGTTCGGCAACTCGATCATGACAAATACCCCACAATTACCCCTTGCAGGGAAGCTGCTTGGCAAACTCACCGGCGCTAGCGAGATAATCAGTTTATCTAATCAATAATCTCTAGATTCAAAGACGTTCTGCGAGGCGGAAGGACTTGGTTCAGAGACAAGAGAACTGGGAATCGGATCACGACTAACCGGAATGCTTGGTATAGATTCTCAATGACCCCTGAGCTGCAGGGGACTCAAAAAGTTCAACGCAAACGCACAGTGTACTGTCAGAATTGGAGAACTGAGGGGACATACGCAGAATCACATATTACATATATATGAGTAGGGGGCTAGAAGATACAATCAGGTCACTCGAGACCTGGAGACAAGGGAAGAGCGCAATAATTAGTACTAGTACGACAACCATAGCAAGGAAATCAGAAAGCGAACATAAGTCGCACGCCAAAAAAAGTCCAAAGCATGCGGCTGGGAACAATCACTGTTGGCCAGGGTTCTTGACTTGAGCCTTCATGTTCGTCGTCAAGCTCTTGTGGATGAATGGCAGTACACCTCCACCAGCAATTGTTGCCCGAACGAGGGTGTCGAGTTCTTCGTCACCACGAATGGCTAGCTGAAGATGTCGGGGGGTGATACGCTTGACACGAAGATCTTTCGACGCATTACCTAGATGGAAATTATATAAGCATCCATGAGGTACGCACAGAGAGTGAACCCACCCGCAAGCTCCAGTACGTCGGCAGTAAGGTATTCGAGAATAGCAGATGTATAGACAGCTGCTTTCGCACCAATGCGGACATTATGCTGCGTACGCTGCTTGAGATAACGATGTATACGACCGACAGGAAACTATGGACGCATTGCGAAGGCAGATGTCAGATATTATGAGAAATTAAGAAACGTAAGTAATATCAAGCGACGTACCTGCAATCCAGCCTTCTGACTCCTAGTTTGTATTTGCCGTGGCTGGTTCGCGCCTTGCGCGTTCTGGTTCGATCCGGCCTTCGACTTCCCTCCTGACTTGGGGTTGGCTACCATCTCGAATGTCCTAGTGAATAGGGTGAACTCTTGTACGTGGTTTTTCCTGGCAAATATCGGTGAGCATACGTGAGATGAGGTCGTCAGATGTTGGGCTAGTCGTGGCATTGGCCATGAGGAGCTACTCACTGTGTGGACGCGAAAGTGGCTGAAATGCTCGACCTCCTGATGATGGTCCAGGAAAGGGAGGTGTTGAGACTTGTTTATCGAACCCTGGCATGTAAACGGAGTCACATGGAGTCACCTGCTGACGCGTTTTAGGAGCTTTAGGGAGGACACATGTTTTTCTTCCGATATACTGTTGAAATCCCATCGGTTCATATTCTGTTAGCTTCTGGAGCCTTTAAAATACCAAGCTTGACTAGGAGTCTTACGGTAGCTGACATTTATCCGTCGAGGCCTCTTTCCCCTGCCAAACCGACGATCTTTGCCGCTGCTTTCTTGTAACGTTTGCGACTGTTTGCGGGTTGGCTTCCAATTAAGGTCTAACATCGACCAATGCGACAAGACTCTCAGCTTGAGGAAGGTCTTGCCACCGCCCAAGCTCACCTTGTCGCTGTCCGCGCTCGACGGTTGCTCTGAGGGTCTGTCAACAACAACAATCTATCTTTCAGCGAGACCCCATAAACGGGATGCTCACCAGTCTACCTCCTTGCAACGGAGATGGGTATTGGAACTTGGAGCGCAATCGCGATGGCTCCACGTCGGGAAGCTAGTAAATGTCTTCGTTACGCGTTGGTCTCCGGCTTATGTGCAACTGGTCGAACTGCTGTCATCATCAGGTCTCCCGCTACAGAAAGCATCTGTATAAGAGAGGGAGAATTATGATTGTGGTATTGGTTTGGGGTGTTGTGAAGGTGGTGTGAAGAGGGCCGGCGCACAAGGCACGGAAGCTGTGTGCGAGTCAGTATGACGAAGGATCCTACTTGTCGAATGGTCCAAGGTGAAGGCGATGCAAAGAGCCCCATCTCTAATCTTGGTTCGGGGTAATCTTGGTTCGGGGGCGATGGATGATACCTTAGGATACCTGATGACAGAGCTTAACAAGTGTAGATAGTGGGCGCAGCACAACTAGCAATCCGCAAAAACTAGGCGAGTCCAAACATGAGGGATCTAACTTTCAAGCAAGGTAAATCACAAGATCCAAATTCAAAAACCATCAGTCTCTTGGAGGCAACTCACCTACGACAATGGCGGATCAGATTGGGCAAATGTAGCGGAGTCCCATATGTACGCGATCCTCGACAACTCGTGCATGCCCTTTCTGGAGTACTTGAAGAGGCTTTCCGCGCCAGGTAAACAGAAATCAACCTTGGAGGCTATACGCGCGAGCTCGTGCCTCATCGAACACGTCATGGTTGACAAGTCCAACGCCTATATGCTCAGTGAGTTACGGGAGGTAAGTGCGGAGGAAGGTAAACACCTTTGCTAAGTGTTCCGGGAGTATGCTCAGAGTGGCCTCATCTGGGAGGAAGTGCTGCCGGAAGGAACGAATGCCCTTGAACGTTAACTTTATTATCGGCTAGTGAATGGTGAGTAACCAAGTCGAAAGACACGTATATAGTAGTGATTCTCCTCACTGCCATTTGCTCCCAGTTCCTATTAGCGCCATGGCTTTTCAGGTCTTCAACGATGCAGTCCATGATACATCTAAATTGACCAATCTCTGAGACTGCAAAATGCGAGCATAAATATGAGCATGGCAACCGCAACCCTATCGATCTAGAAGGCATCGTAGAACGCTTACGCAATGTGGTGTAGTTATCCAGCCTCTGAATTCTCGCAGCGGCGCGCGCGACAATAGTAGAGCTTGAGATGAACTTGGTGTTCTCCTCGGCAATCAGAGCAGCTTGGGTCATCACATGGAGAGTTGAGGGAGATGGATGGAGAGCGAATTTGAGTTGGGTCAGTTCTAACATGGCGATCGAACCGTAGACTGCGAAAAGCGAGTGCCCTTCCCAGACGATTAGCAGAGGCTCGCGCATGTGGCTGATCGTGGGTGACAGAAGCAAGCATCGAATCCTCCGGCCGTTCTTTATGCATGCCCATGGGTTCCGGTCCAACCTGGCGGAGGGCGTGCGATGAACATACAAAGTTACCGGAGTTTAAGGTCGATGAGATGAGCGTACTAACCGGCCGTCAGGATCCCGAGGTATGTCGAGTGCTTCTGAAAGGATCCTTAACGTAACTTCACGGACTACATGCGATACGAGTAGCAGGGGCTTGGCATAGTTCGGAGGGAGGGATTCGTCCACGTCTATACTAGCTGCGCGTTCTACGAGCTGCCTCCTTAGCTCAGAGTGCGAAGGAAGATCGACATCGACATCGGTCTCGTCGCCATCCTCGTCATCGTTCGATACTTCTTCGTCGTCTTCATCACCTCCCAGTTCATCACCCACTGCATTTCCAGATGCTCCGGACGACGCCTCGACAGAGGCATCTTGTGCCGGCGCGACGCTAATAGGGGCGGTGATAGCAAGGTCGATCCAGCTCGCGACGACGTCCGATATCACTTCGTAGAGTAGCTCGGGTGGGAGTTGCAACGAAGTTTGCATGGACGCCGTCCGTTGTACGTGAGTGCAAGGCAGCAAGATACGCGTCGGGTAGCCGAGCCCTTTCAAGGCAGGTCGGAGGCTATGGACGCGTTGTGGGCGTCTGTTTACTCGTGTTTCCATCCAAGGAACTAGGATGCCAACTTGCGGACCGTTCTTTGTCCGCTCCACAATGCACAAAACACGACATTCTGCTCGCTCCTCTCACACGACTCCCTTTGGCCAGTTTGAAGCTCCAGCTGACTTCCACGACTTCTACCGGTCCCGTTATCCTTTTTACGGTCCCAAACAAAGCTTCTGCAGTCTGCAGTCGGTAGTGAAATAGGGACGACCAGTTCCTGAGGTTCTCTGTGATTCGGATACTCTTCGGCACCGTACCACTACGCTCATCTGTGTCCTGTATAACGCTGCTGGGCTACATCGCAACTCTCAGACATGCGGGGCTTGAGAAGCTTTTATCTGGCGACACTATTTAGCAGTACTGGACGATATACCATGACTGTCTCCACCGTGGAGGATATCACATTTGGCTGGGAAGATATGTCATACATGACGGACGACATTGCACATGGGCCGCGATATGAATAGCCTGTTGCCAACAACCATGAAATGACTTCTTTCGCTTCCTCTGCAGTCCTGCTGGTCTGTGATCCCGTGAAATGATGATGATGTTTACCGTATGCTTGTTGGATCGACCGAAGCGCGGTGCAGGAGTCTCCCCGCTTGAGCGCGGCGTTCCCATCGTTGCAATAGGCTTTCTCGGCCTGTGTGACAGCGTTCTCCCCCTAAGAATAACACACGCTGCTGTATAAAGGGCTCCCCCAGGTTGATCGAACGACGACGGTCGTCTTTCTTTCAACCACCAACATGCGAAACATTTTAGCGCCGCTGGCGTGTCTGCTCTACGTGCATGGCATTGCTGCCCAGTATCAGATATGGGACATGGTACGCTATGCGTAATTGACATTGTAGCGCGACGTGTAGTGACAACTGGCGGTGTGCAGTGGCAGACTACGTGGGATCGCTCACAGCTCTTCACATACCAGAAAATCTCCCCGCCCATTAATTTCACCTCGCCTTCGGGCAAAGGCAGCGCAGATATCGTCGTGAACGATGCAAGTACTTTCCAGTCGGTTTGGGGCTTTGGCGGGTCCCTGAGTTGGTCTCTTTCGCTTCCAATGTTGTGTTGCAGTATTGATGCTATCTATAGCCGACTCTTCGGCGCTTACACTCAACAACTTGAAAGTGAGTTGTTGCATCGACCGTTTATACTGGGACTTACTTTGTGTTCCTAGTCGAAGAACCCGGATAATTATTGGAAACTATTGAACTACTTGTTCGTGCCTACGGACGCAGCCAATGCAGCTGGGCTCAGCTATATTCGTATTCCCATTGGCGCTTCAGACTTTTCCGCAAGCCGTACGTTCCTTGCATTAATTCACGCGTATAGACCCCAACTATGCCTTTGTTTGCAGAATACAGCCTCGACGACACTAATGGCGATACCTCATTCAATAGTTTCAACATTGACCGCGCGCCTTCGTACCTCTTCTCTGTTCTCAAGGATATTCAGTCACTCAACAAGATCACGAGGATCCACATTGTGCCGTGGTCTCCGGTAAGGCTTAAGGCTGTCTGTCGATGTTTTGAGGGCGTGCTGAGCACCTTGTAGCCTGGTTGGATGAAGAATACTGGCACAATGTCGGGCGGGTCGCTGAATTCCAATGTCGTCAACTCATGTGGGTGAAACCATCCCTCAGTGGATGCAATAATATATGACCGTATCTAGATGCTACCTACCTCCGGAAGGCTGTTCAGGGCTTCAAGAGCAAGGGGGTATCTGTATATGCCATCTCGATCCAGGTATAGTGCGCTACCCTTGTTCGTGTTTTGGCTTAATTAAGCTGGCTTCTCCACAGAACGAACCTCTGAACAGTAACCCTACTTACCCAACATGTACTATGACAGCAGCCATCGAAGCACAGATTGGTAAAGCTCTCCGTAGTCAGCTCAATAGCAATGGGCTATCATCCACTAAGCTCATTGGTTGGTATACATATGCGATTTATGGCATGCTCAGGTGATGATACTAAGATGTTGTTCCTTTCACAGGCTTTGAACATAACTGGTCTGTTGCATCAAGTTATCCGGTCCAGCTCATGCAGGCCGGCGGTGATGCTTTCGATGGCGTGGCCTTCCATTGTTATGCGGTTAGTCTCTTCATGTTACGTGATAGATACGAAGTATTCACTGCGGATGAACGAATTCCAGGGTAATGTCGCACAGCAAGAGACATTCCATGAGGCGTTCCCCACCAAGGAAATCTACTTCTCTGGTTAGACCAACCTCTGACGTGCGAGACCCTACTAATCCATGGAATTTCTAGAGTGCACTGGTACATTTGGATCCGATTGGTGGAGCGATATCAAAGTGAGTTCTTGTTCTATCGTCGATTGATCGTTTTGCTCATCATGTTCCGCATATAGTGGTATTTGGATAACATGTGAGTACACGATGCGGTGGTAATACTCGATTACTCACTCCAGGGATGACAAACACATAGTTTTATCGGTACAGCTGCCCCTTCATGAGGCTGATGACCTCACTAATTCATCCATGTTACCCAAGGTTCGGTTGAACGCAGTGCGCATGCTGCCCTTATGTGGAACATTGCCCTTGATGGCAAGGGGAATCCCAAGTTGCCTGGAACGAGCAGCTGCGGAGGCCCAGGTTGCCGTGCAATCGTAACCGTGAACAGCGACGGGTCCTATAGTGTCAACCAAGAATGTATGTTCTTCGCTATCATGAGACTCACAACTCGGCTTTATCATGGGCGCCCCTGAATATGTGCTTTCCAGTTTATGCCATGGCTCAAGCCTCCAAAGCGATTCTTCCACGGGACTCCGGCGGACCTTGGGGGAAGAGGGTCGGTGTTTCTGTTGGTGGCACTCTTGGTTCTGGACTGCGCGTCAGCGCCTTCGTCACCGGAAGGGCTAACCCGAATGATTGGGAGAGATACTCCTTGGTGGTACTCAATTGTAAGCTGTCTTTCGTCAATCAATTAATCAATGCCGAAATCGCCGTTGTTTATCTTTTGCCGTTAGGGAATGACCACACCAGCAGCGGCAGTTGGAACCCTGTTCCCGTGAAGACGACCATCGAATTTCGCGGCACCCAGGTAGGCTACCTTGGAAACATCTATCACTCGTCTTCGCTGACATTTGTCCGACTCGGAGGCTACAATCACCTTCCCTGTGGGCGTGTCAACGCTGTGGTACGTAACACTCATAAGTCAATCACCGCGCAAGGAGATACTGATTGACCCAAAGGTGGTATGCACCAAAGCAATCGTTCAACGGTACAGCGGGGTTTGATGGGAACATATTCGCGGACGGGGATGGGACACAGCAGCCTCTTGGAAATTTTAATCGGGCGGATTGACTTGGCCTTTACAGCGCCTATTTCTGATACAATACTTTTAACGCCTTCCTCCACGATTCCTCATGATGCATGATGCAAAACTCGTTACGTTCATCAAACACCTGCATGTCTTGCCGTCTTAATATCACCTTGGTTACCTCTTCTCTATCAACACTTCATTTGTTGTGAATTACGCGAATCGATGAACGGATTTCATCGCGCTCATGTAACTTCCCTTCCGTTGGTGGCTGACTGGTGATAATTGCTACGCCACATAAGCCGCTGATGAGAGGCCTTGAGGGCCAGAAAGGCTACCTTGGTCCAGGGCAACTGTCTCGGCGGAGTCGGAGGAACTCGTCCAATTGTGCTAACAACACATGGGTCGTCATGTATTCGGCACACGAGGCGGTGAATAGATGTAGGGAAATGAAAGGTAATATCAAGGAAAGGTGCACCACACGGATGTTATCATCTGAGCAAGTGGCAAGTGCATAGGCGCACAATATCCACACCTTCTGAAGCCTAGTCCCGTCTCGAGTGTATAACTCAGGATTCTATACATAATCTGGATGAAATGAAGGCCCGTGGAAGGGTGCTCGTGCCCATGATCATGAAGAAAGCTTACCTTATTTCAAGGGGGTTCCTATAGTACCTCCATGGGCCAAATACTGCTGAGCGGGTAAGTAGGTTGGTGTCAGCACATCGTTAAGCTGCGCAGCTAGCTGGGGTTCTGAGAGAAGCTTTCGCAACGGTGTCTGCCTGTTTCGTTCCTGATGATCCCGGCGTTCCGCCTTTTGGAGAAGCAAATCCCGGGCGGCTCTACATGTCCTATTGCTAGACATCTTGAGAACCTGGCGGAGTTCACAACCTGTTCTTCAAGGGTACCTCAGGTGAGTAAATGTTTCCTTGAGGAAGCTAAATCCGGAATGGAAGGGGTCGATTTCTGTTGCCGTTGCTTCCACTTACATAGCACGATGGAGGGCGAGCCGGTGGTAGTCAATGATAACGGAAAACTCCGTGTGTCTTATGGGTCGCAAGGTGCTCGTCTTGCCAGGATGAGGATAATTCTCCGAGAACATGGGAGAAGGTCAAGCAACGGAAGTCGCCATATACATCTCCCTTTCGCGGTTGCTAATTCGCCGGGGGTAGTGGGGCACTCAGCGTGGCATGGAATGCACACTTTCGTTGACTGTGTTGCGTCACGGCGAGCTTCGTGGGCTTCCCAACCTTGCGCCACCTCTTTAAGATCAAAGGGAACCTGTAAGCATAGGAAGTTGCGAAGACTGGAAGCGAGTGAATGTGGGTGAACTTTCATAACGTGCCCATCCTCGAAACTGCTCAACAATTTGTCCGCTCCAATTGTGATGCTCCATACGATGGAGACATTTCATTAACCTGGCTCGGTGGTCGTTGGACATTCGACATCTGGGGTAGTGAACCTGGAAGTATACTAAGGGTCAGCAGCATCGACAAGTGAAATAAATATATTTACCCGAATCATCTAGCAAGCTTATCTGGGTAAAATAAGAAATATTGAATCGGGCTGCATCGGGCATATCATCGGGAGATTCTTTCCCGATTTCGCATGGTCCTGTGACTACGTGCGATCGGCCAGGGGACGGCTTCAGCCCCAGGGACCTGCGATGTTGTGAGACTTCAGTGAGAGTTTGCAGACAAGAATACGCGGTGCCACACCGTATGGTCACCTGGCTAAATCCGCCGCTGGTACACACGCAGAAGAGCTTGTCCAGAAAAGCAATGAGGGGCGAAGCAGCTTTGTCGGAGGGTCGCGAACAATTCTGGCTTCAATTCGACTTCCGCATCTCAGCCGACAGTGGGACTAGAACAAGCACCGCACTATCTAGAATATTAAATGCAGGAGTGGGACACCACAGGAAAGGAAGGCTGCAAGGACACTACAGTGACGATGCGGCTATTTCAGAGGCACGCTGTATGTTACCCTGACGCGCCCAATCGATGATGGTGATTATCATGGTGATATGTACACAGCACTACGTGATGAGCTTTAGTCCTTTTGGCTGCTTTCCGTACGAGCAACTGCCCGCCGGATTCAACTGATATCAGCTTACGGTCGTATCCCGCCATACCAACGGTACTCTTGTGAACCGCGACCGTTTGTAGGATTCAAAGGGTACTGGTACTGGACTACGAAGTACCGAATCAGCGCAGTTTGACCACTCTACATCAACCAGGAGATACTCATCTTCTATGTAGCTTCTTTGTGGGCAGCTATCTATCGTTGAGGGTCCGATTTTGGAGTCGCTAATGCCCGCTTCCCCATAGCCTGCCTCCGAGGCGCGGTGTCGAGCCCGGGCTCCGCTCCGAGCGCTGTCGTAAAAATATGAATAGAAAGTGGGTGACGAGGGCCGTTGTTGCACTGGTTGCCAAGAGAAGGGCGGTCAGCGCCCCTATGGCGAGTTAGTTTCTGGCGTGCAACCAACGATGCAGGAACTCGAAGCTTCATTCTGTATTGCTCAACCCGAAACACCCTCGCGGCGACTGTTCGTTAGAAAATTGCACCGGCGGAACCTTTGATCCTGTCGGTATTCAAATCGCCAATTCACTTGGCCGTTGAGCCCCTGGGGTCTGAGAATTCTCCCATATGAGCCTGGCCTCCAATGCAGAGCGCGAATACATCGGACGCCGGTGCTGAAGCAGAGGCATCAACGGATCCGGCGTCTGCGAGAAGGGAACCGGCCTGAAGGAGTTTTTTCACGAAGTTTGAGGCTGCTTCTGAATTGAAGCCCTTGACATATGGCACGCACTGTCCTCATTTGCTTGTATCCTAAGGGCCCGGTCTGCTCGTCGAGATGTCAGTCCCTCGGGCCTGGGGTTGGCGGAGATTGAACTTGACAAAACCTAGCGCTGGAGTCTGCTCAGGGCGCTTGGGAATCGTCACAAATAAGTCACAGACATCATGGTGGGAAAGCGGCAATAGATACAAAGTAAATACATGCAAACTTCTGCTTTCGGTATTTCTTGTATTTCTTGTCGGCGACCTGAAGTATCCCGGCTCAGTAGGTGATATACTAGTCCAAAAGAGTTTAACATGTGGTACGTTGGTTTAGCGGTTTGCGCGCTTGAGTACTACTTTTTAGCACGGAAAGGTTGCGGGTTCGAGCCACGGATTGTCCTTTTTTCACTTCTTCGTCCTGCTATCTCACCACTAACATTCATTAATAAATAAACACCACAAGCTGTAGTACTGTTTATTGGAGGGAATAGATAATGCAGTTGATACAAGGTGCCACCAGGTATATTAACGCTGACATAATAATGTGACAGGAAGGTCCTAACCCACCCGCAAACCCCCTGGTACAGCAGACCAAACTGTCGGTTTGGAGTAGGTTTGGGCCAGGTTTGGTCCAACCGTGGGAGCCAAATTTGGCAGGTAGGGACTAACATCTCGACGAGCAGACCGGGCCCTAAAGGGTAAACTGACACTCTCCCATACCCTGGTCGCGTCAACCAATTGTCCCCGGTTGACCAGCGCCACCCTCAGTGCTTCGATCATACCCTTCCCTCTAATGTGACTTTATCGCTGGCCTGCCCTTGCCGCTCCTTCGGACCGTCGTTTTCTGAGGTTTTCAGCTCGCGGGAATACGTGGATCGTCACGGGAACTCGCGTCCCAGCATCTTTGATCAGGAAATAAATCCTCTTGGTGACATCTACGCTCAAAGCGTAGATTCCCTATAAAAGGCCATCTATGACAACTGAAATCTCTCTGTCCACATACCGCCCAGTTCTAATATCATGACATCCCTCTTCTACTCGCCAGGCGAAGCATGGATATCCACATTGCAATCCCCCGTCTCATGGGCAATCCTCATACTGCTCGTGGTCTCTAGCATCTATATCACGAGCTGCCATTCACCCCCACGACATTATCCCCCAGGTCCAAAATCAGACCCCCTCATCGGCAACCTACGCCAAATACCACTCGAACACCAGGAGCGGACATTTTCGGATTGGGGGACCAGATATGGTAAGCCCGAGCACTCTGAAACGTTGGCGATAGCTTCTCATACAACGCCTAGGCGACGTGGTCTACGCACGTCTATTAGGGAAAGAAATGATCATCCTAAATACCTTGCAAGCAGCGCGTGACTTGCTGGAGAAGCGAAGTGCCATATACTCAGATCGGCCACGTTCCGTATTACTGGAAGAATTGTACGTCTTCCAATCTATGGTCGCTACCACAGCTGAGTTGTGGCCAGAATGGGTTGGCAAGATGCTACGACGAACATGCGGTATGGTCCCCGGTTTCGAAAGCATCGTCGCTTTGCGCAGCAAACTTTCAATCGGGGTGCCGTGAGGTCGTATCAACCTTTACAGCACCAGGAAATGGGTATCCTTCTCAACAGCTTTGCAAGCGACCCGACTTCTTTTGTGCAACACTTTAGAAGGTGAGGGCGTCCTCGGGCAACGTGCGGTGTTGACGTTGTTGACAACCGCCGGACACGTTCAAGGTACGGCGCGGCTACCATCATGAAAATCACATATGGGCACGACGTCAAGTCGTACGATGACAAGTTTGTCCAACTAGGTGCGACGATACTTACAAATATTCTCATCATTGCCACTAAGGCCCCAGTCACTTAGCTGAGAAGGCTGGAACGGCCACGATTGAGGTCGGGACCCCGGCTGCCACATTGGTAGACTTTATCCCACTGTTGAAGTGCGTGGATTTCACGTTCCTGGATGTAATGATCACCGAATACCTTGTTAGACACCTTCCAAGTTGGATGCCTGGAGGCGGTTTCAAACGTGAGGCTCGAAAATGCCAAGCATTGGTGCAAGCCATGATTGACATACCGTTTGAAAGTGTTCGCGATAGTGTGGTAAGTGGCACAATTATGCAAGGTATCGTGACCACTTCACAAAGTTTGTACTAATTGCAGATTAACGGCAATGCTCCACCCTCTTTCACATCCTCTATACTCGAGTCATATTGTAAATCAGGGGACTTTAAGCTTCCTATCGAAGACGAGAGGGATATCAAAGGGGCTGCTGGGACGCTCTACGCAGGTGAATTTACTTCTAACGCCGTTCATGTGTGTTTCTGAATGTTTCCGATAAGCTGCCGAAGATACAGTAAGATACCGTCTCCTAAGCTCGAGTCTTGCATGCTTAATGAATGGCGCTAGACTGTTTCTACTCTAACAACATTTATCCTTGCTATGGTATTATATCCGGAGGTCTTCAAGAAGGCACAGCGGGAGATTGATGCGGTTATTGGCCGACAGCGCCTTCCTACCTTCCAAGACGTTGGATCACTCCCGTATCTGGATTGCCTGGTCAAGGAGGTATACAGGTATGTCATTGCCATGAATCTAAACCACTTTATTAATAAGCGTTCTAGATGGCATCCCCCAGTCCCTCTCGGTAAGCCCACTCAATTTTGCGAGTACACAAAGACCCTCAATTTGCTCTATCTTTAGGCCTACCGCACCGGCTTATGGCAGATGACATTTATGATGGGCACCATATACCCAAAGGTAAGTTCGACTTCGATTGTACGGAGCTTAGAACTGACCGATAACTCCAGGCGCTACGGTGTTGGCTAACATATGGTTCGTCGTTGCTCTAACTTTGCCTCGTCCTTAATTAAACCTAACCTTGCGACCCAGGGGAATGGCGAAAAATTGTCAATCTCCAGATACCTTCTATCCAGAGAGATATTTAGAGGATCCTGAACTTCCAGACCCTCATTCCTTTGTCTTCGGTTTCGGACGAAGGTATGTCCTAAAATCTATCAATCATCACGTCTTGCCGTACGTATCTGACGTTTTCGCTTTCTTCGGTGTAGAATATGCCCCGGAAGACATTTTGCCCATTCTAGTGTCTGGTTGGTCGCCGCTAATATAATCGCCACTATGGAGCTATCACCTGCAGTTGATTCCGATGGGAACCCGACCCCAGTTTTGCCAGAATTCAGCTCTGGCTTCGTCAGGTGAGCTTCCGGTTACCACTTTTACGAGATTAAACATTAATGCGTGCCGAGAAGACATCCCAAGCCATTCAGCTGTTCCATCAAACCACGATCAGAAGAAAGTCTCAGATTAATCCACGAGTGTAATCCATCATATACATAAGTCCTAGACTTCAGTGTCCAAGCGAACTTTTCCATTATGCATATTCGCCATTTTCCTTGTCATCAATACGCATCTCTATGGGTCCATCGTATTTATATCATTAGTACTTGTACTTGTATGTAGAGATGGTGCATGATATTACGAAGTCCGGTCTGATTTCTACTCCCGTGTTCTCGCATTTTCGGTGGGCTTCGATTACGGAGGTTTAAAACACAGACTTCGATAGAACCATTTACCAGCATCGTGTTATGGTCGACATCAGCGCCATCGAAGCTCAGAATCAGACAGCTCGGCTTGCTCTCCCAGCCCCGAATGACCCTGGCGCTACTACTCAAGCAGCAGTCGGGTCCACTGCCGTGAAGTTAGACGAACTGGGGCCGATGGTGGTCAACAGCGATGGCGTAAGTATGCCAAACTATCTCCATCGTTTGCTGATAGCTAAAGTCACGGCTCTTATCATCATAATGAAGACCCTATCCCGAATAGCAAACTGGGGCAGTATGACAGAGGCGGAGAAAGAAAGAACACTCCGCATTTTGCTCGCCAGGAATAAGTACGGTCTCTTTCGGGGCTATTATGATAATCCTAACCTTCGTGGGTTTAGGGTGAGACTTGCCAACGAAGAGAATGCACGCAAAAGTAACGGTGGGAGCCCCGATGAAGACGATGATGCCACGCTGCTTTCCTTATCGACCCCATCGACGAAGAAGGAATAAGAATACATGCTTACCATGCTGACGATGGAGACATCCACCTGGTCCTTCCGGTGAAAAGACTCGACTATCTTGATGTATGTAACAACAATGTAAGAAGGATTACCGAAAGCTGTGCTCATCTATCCCATGGAAGTACTACTACAGGTACTTTCCTCACAGAGATGACGCTCGTGTCGGCTTCTTGGGTATACCATCGCACCTAAGGGTGGCGTGGATTCAGTAGAGCGTACAGCAGGAAAGAGTAAGCAAGACCGCCACGGAGCCGATCCCCTTACCTCCCAGGTAGTATGATCGACGCTCAATCGGCGCAGACTCTTGGGGGCGTCTTGAAAAGCGCGGGAAATGAAACTGTCATTAAAGTTGCAAAGGCTCCTCCGGGCGTTTCGTACGTATAATTCCAGCGTGTGGAGACGGGTTAGGCCTTGAGAAACCATCCCAAATTTAGTCTACCAGTGGTAAGCACGACACCTTTGTCACTGTTGTCGACGTACCAGGGTATCTAAGGACAGCGCGATTCGTAGCAGCTCCAATTTAGGGCAACATTGGCAAAGTTGTTGCAAAGAAGGTAGACCTAGAAAAGCAGAGCCGAGATTGAGGTGCCTTATGGTCGGGCCGTGCCTCTTTGAGATGTGCTCCCCAAGGCCGTCAAAACTGACGCTTGCGCCACAAGCAAACGGCGACGCATCACCGATAAGATGCAAGCTCTCCAACTTCGAGGATGAGATGATCCGTCTAATCCACACACAAAAGCGGTCAACATCCTGTCGTGTATCAAGAATGGGATGCTTGACGGAGAGACTCCTCAACCGGGGAAAAGGTGGTACGCTCCTGGGCGTGTTAAATTGCTAACCGGTGGTCAATCAAGAACTAGCAACATTGGGAAACGATGTACTCACTAAGTAGTACTGCAACTGGACGTGTGTCAAAGAGGGTAGGAGATCGAGAAAGTGCAAGACGTCAGCGTCCGCTAGAGAATACGAAAGCCCTAGGCTGAAGGATTCGATGCCTTGCAGATATGGTATGAGAGAACGGAGTACGCCTGGGGTAATCGAGCCACAATTGCCCTAGAGAGGTTCCATACGCCTCTCATGACGACGATAATCACAGACGAACCTTGAGGTGAAAGCATAGCAGACTTTCTTTCAGCAGCCTAAGCCATTCAGGAAGTAGTTGCAAGATGGCGCGAGGGGGGTCCCGTAACGTCAATTTGGTCAGACGGGGATGCCTGCGAGGAGTGGGGCTCTCTGTTCATCGGCACAAGAAGCATTGACTTCCACTTCTTCTAGGCATGGAAGACCCTGTAATTTAACGAGCGCTTCGGTAAACGTATTAGGGCAATATGAAGCTGGGGTGAATACGACCGCCCGTAAGTTTCGATACGCATGGATTGCAATCGGTAACTTCTCCTGTAGTTGATTAAACGGAGGGGTACGCGTAGGTATATCGCCTATACGTGGAAGTTAGCAAACTTATATCATAGGAGCCAGCAACAAGGCGTACCATGGATCTCAAGCCGTTGAACATGGATCGCGTTGTGAGGCAACATGGACGACACAAAAGCAGATGGTTCCTACAGCGCTTCCTCAGCGATAGATAGCGAGGCATGGTAAAGAGATATACTGATAATCTCCCTCTGTCTCTCAGCGACAGCGTTCGTTCGTCGCTGCGAGGCGAATAAACGATGCGTGTATAAAGTACTTTGGACGCAGCCATGTTGAATTGGCGATTCACAAGGGTACAGTTGTACAGAGTGGAGTAATCGGGTATGAGTGCTTCAAATATTTCTAGTAGTATTTCGTGGGGGTGAACCCCCGCCGCTCCTGTAAATTCAGGCATCAGGATGCGATAAGTTTGCGACCACTGTTGATCATAAATGGTCATTACTATCTTGAACTTCTCACGGTTATGAATAAGTTCCCGCGGTAACATCGTCCCTGAGTTGCTACCAAGACATTATACTCAAGTACGCACTCAAGATTCAGGTAATATAACCAAGCCGCGTTCGCGATCTTTGGTGTAGCCACCAGAAGCATTTTATCCCCTCTTGCTCCCTTTCTTCACCCATCATGTCAATTCGGGCCCCGACCAAAGGCGAGAACTACGAGCTCAGGATTGACCTCAATAGCGAGTATCGCGAGAAGAGAAAGGATGCTATCAAAAGGGTGATAGCGTCGATGACCGTTGGGAAGGGTGAATGCGCACATCTACAGTCCGTGTCTCGTACTTATCAAGGCCAGATGTCAGCGGCCTGTTTCCTGACGTGCTCAAGAACATGCAGACGGACGACCTGGAGCAGAAGAAGCTGGTGTATCTATACCTCATGAATTACGCGAAGACCCAGCCAGAGCTCGTTATTCTCGCAGTCAACACATTCGTTAAGGACACAGATGACCCAAATCCTCTGGTCCGGGCTCTGGCCATCAGAACCATGGGTTGCTTGCGCGCAGAGAAGATCATTGATTACCTCTGCGACCCTCTTCAAAAGTGCCTACGTGACGAGAATCCATACGTACGGAAGACCGCCGCGCTCTGCGTAGCTAAACTCTACGATCTGAAACCCGAGCTTGTAATAGAGAATGGATTTTTGGAGCAGTTGCACGAGATGATAGCAGATGCCAATCCGATGGTACGTCTATTGGACATCTTTGCTTTTGGTAATAAACTGCTGTCATAGGTTGTGGCCAACACCGTTACAGCTCTATCTGACATCCACGCCGCTGCCGTAGCCCAGCCATCATCATCTACTTCAGAACAAGCTGTCTTCACGATCACGTCCTCTATCCTGAGCAAACTGCTTATTGCCTTAAACGAATGCTCCGAATGGGGTCGCGTCGCGATACTGAACGCCCTCGCAAGATATGAAGCTCAAGACGATAAAGAAAGCGAGCATATTTGCGAACGAGTTGTTCCCCAATTCCAACATGTCAACGGGAGTGTGGTTCTGGCGGCTGTTAAGGTATGGCCCGCGCCGTTCTTTTTGTCCTTGAAGTCAACTCCCGGCCCAGGTCATCATGATCCATATGCGTGGTGTCCGACGAGAAGAGCTAACCAAGCAGCTCATCCGTAAAATGGCTCCCCCATTGGTTACGTTGCTGTCGTCTCCGCCGGAGGTTCAATGGGTGGCCCTGCGAAATATAAATCTACTACTCCAGAAGCGGTCCGACCTCCTGACTAACGAAATGCGCGTCTTCTTCTGTAAATACAACGATCCGCTATACGTCAAGGTAGAGAAGTTGGATATTATGGTCCGGTTAGCAAACGAGAATAATGTAGATCCCCTCCTCAGCGAGCTGAAAGAGTAAGTCTTCTCGTATGTGATCTGGCGTGGTTCGACTAACCAATGCGGTTCAGGTATTCATCCGAAGTCGATGTCGACTTTGTGCGCAAGAGTATTAAGGCGATTGGTCAGACAGCGGTGAAAATAGACGCCGCCGCAGAACGTTGCGTCAACGTACTGCTAGAACTTATTGCGACTCGCGTGAGCTATGTGGTTCAGGAGGCTGTTGTTGTTATGAAAGTCAGTGTGCTCTGTTTCTTCTTGAATCTCAATCTTAACAAAGCCATTGTCTCACCATTGTCAGGATATCTTCCGGAAATATCCATCAACATATGAAGGGGTCATCCCGATTCTATGTTCCAACTTAGATGAATTAGATGAGCCCGAAGCCAAAGCATCACTTATCTGGATCATCGGTGAATATGCGAACAAAATCGACAATGCGGACGAATTGCTGGGTATTTTCGTTGACACGTTCACGGAAGAATCTTATCCTGTTGGTATCACTTCTGAAGCCGTCTCGAGCCACCACTAACATGAGGCGGTCAGGTGCAACTGCAAACCTTGACAGCGGTCGTCAAGCTGTTCCTTACGAAACCGGATTCCTCACAAGGAATCGTCCAACGGATACTCGATACCGCTACCAAGGACTGTGACTCGCCTGATGTCCGCGACCGAGCATACATATACTGGCGACTACTCTCAACAGATCCGGGCGCTGCAAAAGTATATCACATCCTATGTTGGCCTAACGCCACTGACCCTCTAATGTGCGCAGGCTGTCGTCCTAGCTCATCGACCACCTATTTCAATACCCCAAACGACCGTTTCTCCTGCCCTTTTGGAAGAACTACTTGGTGAAATATCCAGCCTCGCCAGCGTTTATCACAAACCGGAAGAAACATTTATTGGAGGAGGCCGAGTGGGCGCAGATTCCGTGCAACGCAAGGAAAACGAGTCAGTACTTCATAGTTACTTCTTCTCAAGGTTGTTTCTTTGGTAACATCACTCGCAGACTCTCGGATGATAAGTTCTCGACGCAAAAGGCGTTGCAAACGGTTGCTGCCGGTCAGCAAGCTGAGAACCTCCTCGGTGAGTGTCTAAGGTTTCGACATGCTTAATTGCTCGGCTAATACTTCGCGAATCAGACTTTGACGACGCACCAGCTTACGAGGGCCAATCATCTGGCCTTGCAGCAACCGAAGTTCTGACGTCAACACCAGCTGCTGCAAGTCTCCTCGCCGGCACATCGACAAATCCGCTAGACGACTTAGTCTCAATATTTGGTGGCAGTGGCGGCGGCATGGCTCCTACGCCCCCGGTCAACGCCTTTGCAGGCCTGTCGTTGGGCGCGACCAATTCGTTGATGACACCGACAAATCAAGTCATGAGTCCAGTCGTTCGAGGCGTACCCTCACCCGCTATCCCAGCTCAACCTCAAACACCGGCGCAACCGCAAAACCCCGAAGAGGATTTGTTGGGCTTGTTTTAGTATCCACAGTAAACTTTACTTCGTATGTCTTTGTTCAATAGAAAACCATTGATGTTAATTCCTCCACGGAGATGGATCCAGCGGAAGGTTTTACGTTCACGCATGTGTTATTCAGTCCGAATAGCATCAGGCATGGTCGACTGGTTCCCCAGATGCATGAATCTTTCGTTCGCTAGAGAATTCCAGATGTCTTCTATGTGAATCATGTATATCAATGCCCTCTGGCCCGCTAATTGACCCGCTTATTCAAGTGCTGACCACATTTTCCACTTGTCGGATGTCGCCCATCAGGAACCTACCCAAGTCTAGCTTGGTTCCTCCAGCAGAACTTCGAAGCGCCCACGAATGGCCATTGCTTAAAGTTTCGACGATACCATACTGTTATCGTTATATTGGTGACATTATACCATTTTACATGCGGCTTTGTTCGACATAAGCGCTGATTATATATTTCGAATATGACATAGGATATAGGTAAAGCATCCAAACGCGAATCGCAGTAATCACTCTGTAGCGAGGTGCTTGTACTTGGCGCTGATGGGCCGGGGCTTTTCACCTAAAACAGCCAGGAAGTTCTCGAACGTCAAGCACCCTCCCAATGTTTCGAAGTCAATCTCATCGAGAGGGAGAGGTTCGACCAGGGTAGGAGATTCGAGATGAGGGCTCGACTCAACAACAGGAAGCTCTCCATCGTCACTACCCTCTGGCAAGACCAGGTCTACATTCCTCACGGCTCTGCCTGCATTAGGGGCAACATTGGCATGGCTGCGTCTTCGGGGTCGTAATGCAAGGGAGACCGAGTTGTTATGGGCCTTGTGAAATAATCCCCAAAGGCCATACAAACGACCACGAAGCAGATTGAATGCAGGCTGTATACCCTCAAACACTGGCAGCGGATCGCAAAGGAAGGCTGCCTTCGCTTGACGGGCATTGGCATACGTACCAGTCCATCTCAGTATTGATGCATTGGGTTTGCTCGAAAACGGCTGTTGCTTATCGAGGGTATAGAGTACCGCCGCCCAAACAAGGAGGTAGAATAGTGATTCGAGATCATGTCGATAGAGGTGAGTCGGTGGTTCAGAGCCGCCAGCGAGGAGATCGCGTGCCATGAATGGGCCAGTTCCCGTTCGGTACTTCAGAGGCCCCTGTGGAATAATATCAGATGCCTGATCCCAGTCATTGAGGACGCCGACACAGCGCGACTTTGGCACGCTACGCCATAACACATTGCCAGCGCTTATGTCGCGATGAAGAACTTTCCCGAATTTCATCGCAGCGTGGTGGCCTAGTAATAATGTCAGAGCGTGATAGGGTTGCATGATATGGACAGAACGAACATTCGACTATATCAAGATACACTGGCATGAAATCCTCGGATGTTGGAACCTCCCATAGATGTTTGTACTGATCGGCAACCATGAGAGTGAGATAGCGCTGTTCAAGTTTGTGGGTTGTCGTCATGGAGCGAAACAGGTTTCCAGGGAGGCCGATAGACCTTCCCTTGAGCACCATCGCAAAGTGAACTTTGGGGAGGAAAGGCTTGATCCAAGGCACACTCTCACGGAGTGATTGGACTACTTCTGCTTCGAGTTTTGGACGCACAGCCAAGGGCCAGCTGAGCTTCGCCGCCATAGTGACTTGAGAAGGGGCCTCCTTCGTCGTTCCAGTGGCCACGTTTCCATTTTTGCCGCCATGGTTCGGAATAATAGGGTCAGTATCGTCAGCTGCTACCTGCTCTGTCTGGGTGCCCTCTTCTTTGACTGCTGCAACGAGATGACCGGGAAGAATGTGTGAGCCTCGGCCAGAAACACCCCGAAACACATATAGTGGATCACCAGTAATCTCAAAGTCTGAGTAGAGGCCCTGCCCGAGGTCCTTTACGAACGTAGCTCCTGCACTATCGCACGTAGGTAACCGGAGAACCGTATCCTTCATTGAAGAGGGCGGAGCGGAGAGAGGGAGCCCGAGGCGGGGGCCAGAAGAGATGAGTGGTTCGAATCCAGCATGAGCCATGTCGCACTTGGCCAGAGCTAACGCCAGCATCGCCAGCTTGCTTGGTTCTTCAGCGAAATTGAACTTCTTGGTGACGATGGTGCCTATCCGATCATAGTAGTGCACCCGTACGTCTTTATCCGTGATCACCAGACCGGTTGACCAACGTCTACAAGCAAATGTCATCATCGCCAGGGCATATCCAGTTGCTTGTGATTCTTTCCGAGCAATTTGTTTGAACCGCTTCGAAGGACCTTGTTCTTCAAGTTCGAGGACGTCGGAGCTTGATCGCTTAGAGCCAGACGACGTCGAGGACGGTGCCGAGTCCGGCGCGGAGACAGTGACACAGGCTTCAGTCTCGTTCATTTGCTCCTGTGGGGTAACGGCGAATTCCAGAAAGGCCTTAGAGAGTGACCAAGACAACTTGTCGACCTTGGGGTTGAACGATTTAAAAAAGAAAAGTCCATCAGGGGTCCAAGGTGCGCCAGTGCTATCCAATTGCTCGTCGCCTGGAGGGACCAGATTTAAATCTAGCTTGTAGCCATCGTCGCTGAATTTCTTGAATAGATCGTCTATGATAGTCTTGAACGGTATATATAGCTCCTCTTCAGGCCGGTCTTTGCTGAGCACGGTGTTGTATTCCTGCAAACCGCCAGAGTGTAGCGTCCACACGTTCGACTTGTTGATGTAATCCACGTCGTCGTCAGTGAAGCCATATACATTTTTCACGAAGTCTTCAATTGAGACATTGCTTAGCGGTTGGCAGAGGAGGAGCTTCGCCAAGGCGACATCCGCCTTCCAGGCAGCATCCGTCTCTGTGCCTAATCCAAAGTAAGTGAGCGAAGGGTGGGAACCGTGAAGGAGTCATGCTTACTGGAGTCTGAGTAGTAATCGCTAGAGTATTCATCGGAGGAATAGTGGCAGTGAGGGGATGAGGAAGGAGCGGCGCCAAACATGCTGCAGGTTCATTTCGCGATGCTGGGCTAGTTGCGAATCAATGAAACGAACACACTTGGTGGCACGGAGTCAAGATGTGGCGGCGACTTTACTGCCTGGATGCGTTGCCTCTTTCGTGCAACAACAAAGGAAAACACCATGTGACTGTTCTCCTATTCTCATACCTCCGGCCTCAGGGGCCTTCAGTATCATTTTCAATACCATAGCGACTTATGAATCCCTGGAGTTTGCTTGAGATTTATAGCCGGTTAGCCTTAGAGTAGATTTGATATGTATCTTATATTTCTTGGTGTTCCTTTGGAGGGACAATGTGACACTGAGGAAATGATACGCTAAGGGATTCGAAGACATATGCAGGGGTTCTTTCTCACGGACCGGACGCGCATAGGCTCAGGGTGCAGCGGATTCAAAAACTTTCCAAATCCCTTCATGTTGGTTCGACTGAGAACGGTTCAGAGATGTCGTTTGCCTCCCATTCGACGATTTTTGTCTAATCCTGCCTTTGCGACGAACCCCGTTCCCCATCCCGACTACCCTCCTTTCATCGCACGCGTTCAGCAAACCCCGGGAACGCTTCAAGGGACGACTCGTTTCACGGTACTCCCGACCCCCCTTCCTCAAGATTCCTCGTCGCCTGCGAACGATGTCTGGTTCACCGACTCGACCACGCAAGAGCTTATTGCCGTGATCGACGCTTGTTTGCACAACTTATATGACGTGCCGCGTGCAAAGCAGATTTTCGACCGGCTAAGAAAACGGTCGTCAAATGTGCTGGAGCCGAGAATATACAATAGTATGCTAGAGTCTTATGTTGCCATGGCCTCGGCAACAGACGACGCGGCCAAACCCAAGTACTGGTTAGAGGAAGCCTGGCGACTGTACCAAACGATGGAGAGTTCGACGGTGGATAAAATCGCTCCTACAGCCTCTACATACGCTCTAATGCTACTTGCATGGCTAAGGTGTGTGTATATCTCTACCCTTCGAACCCTTAATCATAATACTTCCTAGATTTAATCCGGACTCGGCCAATCCAGTGTCCTGCGACAGGGCCCAAACGCCTCTCGCTCTGCTCTCCAATCTCATTGACCGAGAGATATCAGTCCCATCTATTGTCTCGGACCGTGTATTTGAGTCCGATGAAGAGGCAGCGCAAGTCATCAAAATGTTGTCCAAAGCTGCCGTAGACCTCAATCTCTCAAAGGTAGTGTCGGAACTCGGGCAGGCAGAAGCCATCGGGTCAACATATCAAGATCCTCTCGAGAACGTCCCGGACGTGAGGCCAGTGTTGGCCTTCAAGATGAAGGATAAGGTACGTCATGCCACATCGCATCCTCTTGAATATGTGGCTAATTGCTCCCACAAGTCCGGCACCCCAGCTGACCCAGAGATTCCATTCAATCTGACGAACCTGCGGAACCACCTGGCGGACGTGGTGCTCGCTAGACGCGTCCTCCCTTCTGAACTCACAGCGCGTCAAAAGCTCCTCGAAGAATCCGTGTATGATGTTGCTGTCACACGACTGAAGCACCAAGCCGAGAGATTTGCAGAGTTGGGGATCACCAGCCAGGCACTCAAAACCCATGACTTGCAAAAGTGGATGTGGGAATGGCATCTTAAATTGCAGGAAAGATTGGCGGTAGCTATCAAAGATATCCTCGAGGTCGAATCCAACCCAGTGAAGAAGAGGGGGAGAGTAGCGACAACCATCCCACTTTCTCCATTCTTGCAACTTGTCAAGCCTGAGAAGTTGTCCCTAATCACTATCCTCGAGATCATGCGGTTGCAGGGAACGGGTGGCGTAAGCGACGGGATGAAGACAGCCCGTGCACTGATTGGAGTGGGCCAATGCGTGGAGATGGAGTATAAGGCGCAGATGTGCAAAAAGAACACTACGTCTCTTCCGTCGAGCATCCCTACCTCGGATATCGGGTCGAATCAGAGCACGGATGCCGCTCCTGCGGTCCCTGGCGCGCCAGCGGCTCAAATCTTCTCGAAGTATCAGTACTGGGACTTGCACGCTCGCCGGGTGGCCGCGAAGCAATTTGTGGAAGATGGCGAAGGGTGGACGGCGGATTGGACGCAGGCAGTCAGGCTTAAGGTCGGAAGTATCCTGGTAGAATGTCTGATGGATGTTGCTGAGGTTGAGAGGACCGGTGTGCATCCCAAGACTGGTGCTATCGTGTGAGTACCCCCCATACAGGCATATGACTCTCCTAATATGTGATTGTAGCTCGGAAGTTCAACCAGCCTTCTTCCATTCCTACGAGTACATCCGTGGCCAGAAACTCGGTGTCATTCGGCTAAATCCAGTTGTTGCTGAACGCATTGCGAAAGATGGGTTAAGGGAAACGCTGCATCCACGTCATCTTCCCATGTTAGTGCGACCCAAGCCATGGCTGAATCACGATCAAGGAGGATATTTCTACAACAAGAGTATGTTCCATTGACTTCGTAAGTTTATTTCGTTCTTACTCACACTGCTCCTAGCATCGGCAATGCGTTTCAAAGATTCTGTTGAGCAACTCGCATACCTCAAGCACGCATCTCAGCTAGGCAACGTCGAGCTCGTGTACGCTGGTCTGGACGTCCTCGGGTCTACTCCGTGGAGAATAAACAGGCCCGTGTTTGACGTTGTCCTCGCCGTGTGGAATTCCGGCCTTCGTCTAGGGAAAATGCCTCCAGCGACATACGATGAGCAGGAACCCGAACGACCCGACAACTACGAAACTGATCTCAGGGCCAGGAACTCGTATCTGCAGCGCCAGCGTGCTTACGCGCAAGGCAAGGCAAATAACCACAGTGATCGATGCAGCGTCAACTATAAGATTGAGATCGCTCGAGCGGTAAGCCAAGATTTTTGTGTGACTATCCGTAATCATGCTTCAACTATCTCTTTAGTTCCTTGGTGACACGATCTATCTACCCCACAATCTCGACTTCCGTGGCCGCGCCTACCCTATCCCTCCCCATCTGAATCACATTGGAGATGATCTGTCTCGTGGCCTTCTCAAGTTCTCTGAAGCTAAGCCCTTGGGTGAACGTGGTCTTCGATGGCTCAAGATTCACCTTGCCAATTTGTATGGATTTGACAAGGCCAGCTTCGATGAACGCGTCGAATTCGTTATGGATCGCCTAGATGACGTCTTTGATAGCGCGACTCGACCCCTGGAGGTTTGTTATAGTCACCGTAAACGAAACGCGTCTAACTTCCAGTTTACAGGGCCGTCGATGGTGGACTCAAGCTGATGACCCGTGGCAATGCCTGGCATGCTGTATAGAACTACATGCTGCGCTAACCTCCCCGGATCCCCCAGCATTTATGTCGTCGATCCCGGTCCACCAGGATGGTACTTGTAACGGTCTGCAACATTACGCCGCCCTCGGTGGGGATGCGCGTGGTGCCGCCCAGGTCAATCTCAGCGCCTCAGAACGTCCATCGGATGTCTACACATATGTCGGCAACATGGTAGAAAAACTCCTGGAGGAAGATGCTCAGAAAGGCGAGAAATACGCTATTCTACTCCAGGGCAAAATCACCAGGAAGGTCGTCAAGCAGACCGTCAGTCTTTTTGTGTATGTATCTTCCATGGGTGCTTGGCTTACCAGCACTTATTGTAGGTCATGACAACCGTGTACGGCGTGACTTATGTTGGTGCTCGTGACCAAATCGAGAAACAGCTAAAGGACCGAAAGGATATTCCTGATGAAGATACTTGGGGCGCCTCTGCCTACCTAGCTAAGAAGGTATTCATCATTTCATTTCTGCTCCGCTCTTCAGGTACTAAGCTCCTGAAATCAAGGTCCTTGCTTGTATTGGTGACCTTTTCACCGGTGCACAGCATATACAGAATTGGCTCAATCTCTGCGCGCGGCTTATATCGAAATCCATCCCCGCTGACAGATTACCTGAAGTCTTGACGGATCATTCGAAATCAAAGGGTGGCTCCCGCAAGAGCACCCTCCCTCAGGACCGGATACGCAAAGAGCAGATGACCTCCGTCGTTTGGACTACCCCGTTGGGCTTGCCCATTGTTCAGCCGTACAGGAAGCCCAAACGAAAGCAGATTATGACCTCTTTGCAAACGGTGTTTATCTCGGACCCGAATTCACCGGCTGAAGGTGAGATGTGGTGCACATGCTAGCGTTTCTGCTCTCAGCCTGACCGTTCTACCCAGTGAACACGATGAAACAAGCTTCCGCGTTCCCGCCTAACTTCATCCATAGTTTAGATGCTACGCACATGATGTTGACCGCTCTTGAATGCAGAGTAAGCACCGTGGATTTGATGCTATGCCGACGCGGAAATGCTGACCCACGTTTCTTTTTGCAGGCTCAAGGCCTTACATTTGCTTCCGTTCATGACTCTTATTGGACACACGCGTGTAGCATCGACAAGATGTCCGAAGTAATCCGTGATACCTTTATTACATTGCATTCCTCCGACGTCTTAGTAAAACTCCAAGAAGAGGTTCGTACCCCACAACCACCCACATGCGATCCGGTTCCATACTTATTACATCACGCATATGTAGTTCCTAGAGCGGTATCGGGGATACAAGGTCCCTCTAATGAACCTCCGTTCCCCTCGGCTCGTGAAGCACCTCAAAGAAGCTGGAGCGAGAGTCGTGGCTACTCCGGAGCAAGCTAAGACGCTGGACGCCATCAAAGAACTCCTGGTCATCTCGGACACAGAGAAGCCAACCGTTGAAGAGACCGACGACCCCGCCGCCCTCGCTGATCTCCAGAATATGCTTGAACAACTACAAAAAGAAGAACCGACACCGGTTGCTACTCCCGAAAAATCTGACGATCCCTCGAAATCTCTCGTTGAGATGCTTCTCGAAGAGGACGAATCAGAAGTGGATGAGGAGGAAGAGGACGAACAATTTAGTCCTCGTGCGAAAGCCGCTAAGAAGAGGAAGGCGAAGGAGGACGCAGCTACCATCACTCTCCTGGGCAAATTCGTTGACTTGACTGACATCCTGCCGCCGTTGCCTGCTAAGGGCGACTTTAAAGTCGAGGCTATAAAGTCTTCGCAGTACTTCTTCTCTTAATCGTTCTAGTCGTTGTCCTTTTGTTGTCGAATTCACTCATCATCTCATCGCATCTAGAAGCACATATCGTCCCACCTCCGCATTTGCATAATATATATTCATATGTAGCACATAATAATACATTTATTGGTCCCAAGGCGAACTTATGCGAACACTCTGCAGTCTCAAGACGTTCAAGCGATTTGTATAGTTGTGGCGTAGAAATCTCTTGTATCTTGTGCAGGTGAAGCGTTGGTTTGTTCGCTCGGATAGGATCAACGTTCAGCAGTGTCGTAGACGCTAAGTGCCCCAGCTAAATCAGCATAGAGAAGAGATATTGACCCTCGAGTAGCTAGTCTTGAGTTGCGGGACTCGCAGTTTACATCACAAAAAGCAATTTACATCACAAACTGAGATCGTCGGGTGGCCGACGCAAGGCAGCTATGTCACTATGACACTACCGGGTGAGGTACGTTGCCGCGCATTAGGTTATGCGCGACAATAACTAACCGTTGTACAACACGACGTTGGGAGCATCGATGCCTACGTTCACCGCCGCTAATGCAGCTATTGCGCTAGCCTCGTCACTGGTGTCGATCGAAAGTAACCCTCTTTCGAAACGCATCTACATCTGGGGTGCGGGGACCCACGGCGACAGAGTAACCTTCCTCCTTGAAAAAGCGGCGACAAATTTCCCAACGGTAGGCCCAGCACCGATGATGAATGCTAGCAGATGTAGGGACGATCGAGGGCAAGTATCTAGCATATCTTCGACCTTTTGACCGACAGAGCGGCTACAGGGCTTTCGGTTTCTAGAACTTACATTGATAATCCACCCAGCGCGAGTGTTCGCAATATGGGTCGAAACGAATGTATGGCTCGGGGGTGGTGGCTTGCTCGCGGCTCGCGGAGGTGCACCCCACGACCTGAGCTAGCCGAGAAACGTTTGCCCAAAGGTAGGGTGGACTCACGTAGAGCCAGGGTGACCTCACTGCTGCCTTGCTTACCCCGAGCTAACGGTATAGAGTTTCTAGATTCAGCACGAACTTGGCTGGCTTCAGTCTCGGATGATTGGGCGTTCACTGCTACAATTGCTTTGTCCATTTTCAGCAGGAAGAAGGGATAGCAGATAGAGTTTGTATTGATGATTCATATTGGCCATGAGCTGCGACACAAAACGACATCTTTCTGTTGAATTCTGGGGAATGTTGAGACACATCTCAACGTGCAGGGGAAGCAACATACCCAATAGAGGCGCATTACTGCTTTACTCGGACTTCGCCTTGGCAAGCTCCTCCTGGTGCTCTTTCTCAAGAGCGGCCTAGGAATGATGAGTATGTGTACCATTCTTCCCCGATAAAATAACCTTACCAGTTCGGCCTTCTTGGCCTCAATCTAACAAAAATAACTCAGCCCTATGGGCCAACCACATAAGAACGAACATACGTTGTCTCTCAGCTTCTGCAATAGCTGCTGCTCGTGTTGACGAATATATTGGTCTACAGACAATTCAACTTCTTCACCCCCGAACAGCCGCAACAATCTGACCTTCATGGGCCTTCTCTTTTTTGCTATTAGGGCGTTTTAATTATGGATGCGGTCATGTGGATATGCGCAGAATCGTACCTAAATTCCCTGGATTGGGCGACCGAGCCCTCCTTCAAGCTCGAGGAGAACCGCACGGAGGCGACGGCAACTCTGGGGACACGGCGAACAGCAAGTCTGGCGAGCATTGTTTGTGGTTGGTGGTGTAGAATTGAGAGGTGGTTCAACGTAGGCGGGAGACGGAGTTGATTGGGCGCCTCAGTCTCACGGTTTGTGACCTTCCTCCGAGTCACGTCACACTTTTCTTTCCTCACCCACCATGTCCACATTCCTCAGGCAGGCCACTACCGCTGTACGTCCAGCCTCCAAACCGCAGCGTCGGTGTACTGATGAGATCTAGGCTCGCGCCGTCTCGCGCTCACTGTCCTCGACGGCCGTCGCTCGCAAGGGTAAGAAACAGTGATTGCATGCAGGACAACCCGCTAAATTCCGAGTACGTCCGCAGACCTAGTACAGGACCTCTACCTCAGGGAATTGAAGGCATACAAGCCTACGCCTGTGGTGAGCCGTTACACTACTGTTTCGAGCAAGCCGAGCTTATACGACTTAATTGCAGGCTAAAGACGCCCATGTTGGAAACGTGAAGCAGTATACTTTGCCGCCAGCACCCAAAGCACCTGCACTTCCAGCCGATTTGGCGGGGGAGCTCACCGCATACGATGCTGCTGAACCCACCGCGGCAGAGGTCACAAAACCCGTATCCACGTCGAGTGAAGAGACCATCACTGGTGCCGACGCGTACCTTAGCTTCCTCGAGCAGGATCTCCCGAAAGAAGAGGACCATCATTAGAGAGAGATAGCGTAATGGCAGTAGATTGATTTGGCATACCTCCGAACCTTGCCATTCAATGGATACCAGTTGAATTCTATCCGACCGTTAACATCTATATTGAAACCCCAAGCAATGGTTAGCCTTCGTCAGACAAGTCCATGGTTGTGTCAAGTTCAATAGCAGCGGGTCCATCTGCATTGGTACACGTGAGCGAATACCCAGCATCTCTATCGCCTCTCTCGAGCTTGCCGTTGTTCAACCTGTTGGACAGATGCATGTATTACGATTCTTCTCTTCCGGGATGGCCGCACTCTTGCATCACTATATGGAGATGACCTCAAGCGCGTAAGAGCAACCAGGCAAAGACCCGTCAATATGTCACCTGAAGCGTAAAATGCCTCTGCCAATTCGCCCTCACCTTCTGATGGGTGAACCCTGGTATTACAGCGCTGCGCGAGCACCACGATGGCCATTTCATGGCCGTCTGTTAGCGATATTCCGGGCGACCGGATATCGGGGTATGACTATTGCTTGCAATCCCAAGCGTCCAACACTTCCAGGTTCAAACCCCAGACATCACTCCAACATATAAAATGGTCTACTAATAGGCAAGTAACTCGACAGCTTCATCACCGCAGCACTAGCCCAGCCCACTCCTCTCATCACACACAACCAATATTTTCTAGCCGCACCATGCCTTCCTCAACGCCACTCGTCGCGTTCATCATCGGGTTCGGGCCCAATATCGGGGGCTCAGTAGCCTCCCTTCTGAAGGAGCAAGGATACACTGTCGCAGTGGGGTCCCGTAAACCCGACGTCGACAAAGTCAAGAAAGAAGGGTACTTTCCGGTCCAAGTCGACGCGACGCAGCAAGCGAGCATCTCAGCGGCGTTCGCAGCCGTGAATGCTGAACTCGGACCGCCCAGTGTTGTTGTGTATAACCGTCAGTTTCCTCCTGCTGTCCGTACATTAGGAGAGTCTGCTGATCGTGATTGCTTGTGTTCTAGCCGTGATCCATCGAGAGCCTACCGATGTCTCTGACCCTTCCACGCTCCCCCTTGAAGCTTTCAACGATGTCATTGCGATAGGCAGCAATGTCTTCGTTGCTATCCAAGAGGCATTGAAAGGATTCCGCTCAAGCAAACACGAGGATACGCCGAAGGCATTCATCGTCACAGGCAACGTCCTGCCCGCCGACAAAGCTCTGTCACCCTTCTATTTCTCTTTGGATATACAGAAAATCATCGAGTCGCGTATCGTCGGCCAGCTTGCCCGCGCAAACGAAAAGACCGGTATACAGTACGTTCCTCAGCTCTTGACCTGCTTCTTCGGCCTTGAGCGATTGATGGCCATGTAGATTCGCTTATGCTACTCTGGTTGCGGACGATGGAGGAATACCTCCGTATGATCTATTCCTCAAGAGCGGAGACGTACACGCGAAAGTGTATTGGGAATTAATCAATCGCAAGGAAGGGCCTTGGGATTACAGGTCAGTTGAGACACCGGCCACCATTTTCACCATTGACCGTTCATTAGGTTCACGTTGGATGGAAAGAAGCTGGCCAACTACGAGTCGTTATGATTGATAATTGTCAATGAACCTAGGCCCTTGAGCTTGAGGCCTCCTCATCAAGTCATCTTGGTCATGGCGCGAAGAGAACTGAGATATTCCTACCCTCGCTGCGTACATAGTCCCGCTGTGGGTTTATCAGCAACTCTGTACTGCTTACTACGATGTACTCCTAGAATACCCCCTGACTCCTGATGTTCTTTCGGATGCGAATCTTAGGGATGTGCTCTTACTATACTACTGTATTAAGAGTACCTCAGACCATTATCAAGTCAGAAGACTTCGCGCCCAGCAATCCGCTTTATCGACCTGCGATAAGCACGCCATGGCTATCAATCGGCCTACTATTGGCAGATTCCGCTTGGGTGCGCCATATTCGACTAGAACGGCGTTAATGCCTTCAATCCATGGGAACGCCCCGCAATCCAGGATGCGGTACGGATACTGCAATATTGTTCATGTAAGCGTACAATGTCGCCATCAACTTTATTTACTGAAGTCTGACTAAAGACCTTGCTTTCAAAGCCTATCGAATAGGGCCCGTATCAATGGTGCTAATGACACCTATTATTAGGGATAGGGAGTGCTACAGTCGTGGGTGCGCGTGGATCTGGATAAAAGGCGGGTCGGTGGTAGGGAGGTATATACTTCATTCTCAACGGCAATCAACCCGTCTGCACGCACATCTTATCCTCATACTACAACTCGACACACACAGAACTCAGGAGATTGAAGCATGTCGTCCCCGCTTGTCGCATTCATCATTGGCGCTGGGTCCAATGTCGGCGGCTCTGTCGCCGCCCTCTTGAAAGAGAAGGGTTATGCTGTCGCGCTTGGGTCTCGTAACCCCGACACCCAGAAGGTCAAGCAAGACGGATACTACCCGGTAAAGATCGACGCGACTGAGAAAGACAGCATCAAAGCCGCTTTCGCAGCCGTCAACACCGATCTTGGCCCGCCCAATGTTGTTGTGTACAACGGTAAGACTTTGTTTGCACCCGGGGACGGAGATCGGTTGGTAACAGTGCATAAATTCGTTATAGCTGCTTTCCATCAGTCACCGACTGATGCTTCTGACCCCTCGACATTGCCGCTCGATGCTTTCGATAAGGGCGCGTCAATTGGAAGCAATGTGTTCGTCGCGATCCAAGAGGCGTTAGTTGGATTCCGGTCAAGCAAACATGAGAACAACCCGAAGGCCTTCATCGTCACCGGCAACAGGCTTCCAACAGTCAAGGCCCCGACGCCCGGCTATTTGGCCTTAGATCTTCAGAAGGTCATCGAGCAGCGAATTATCGGCCAATTCGCCCGCGCCGACAGGATCGGTATACAGTACGTTCATTGCCCCTTTGTTCGCTTGCCAAGTGCATTCCTGATGTTGACATGAATGTTGGGTAGATTCGCTTTCGCGTTCTTGGTTTCAGAGAGTGGCGAAGCCCCGCCGTATGATGTTTTCCTAAAGAGCGGTCCTACGCACGCAAAGGTTTACTGGGAATTGATTAATCGGAAGGAAGGTCCTTGGGACTACAGGTACGCCATAATTCCTTCCGCTACTCGCCTTGAAGGCGAGTAATGGCGCACAATAACTAATCATCGGCCACGACAGGTTCACACCGGATGGAAAGAAGCTGGCCGGATACGAGTCCCTATGATAAGTGGCGAAGGATGACTGGGCCTCGAATTTGATGTACCTGGTAGAACCTGTCGATGGTAGCGTAAAGGCGTGGCGAACTGTACAGCCCAATTGTTGAATGATCCAGGCTTAGACTGAAATTTTAGTTTGCTTCCTATAGTCTACTCAAAGCGACGTGGCAGCGCAATCGGCATGCCCCCTCCAGCCTTGCTTCGTATCAAAACGTTGTCTCGACGGCTATCAGCGAGTCCGCCATGCAGCGCAGGCTGATCAAGAGTATTCGACACCATGATCCATTGACCTGAGACAGCATTTGACGCCAGAACATTGACATGCCATTTCCACGTGGGGTGGAAGGGGCCAATCCTGAATCAGGGTCCAATGATGCTCGGTTCCATTGCTCGTAGACTATTTTAGAATCCGGGCCTTTATATCTCGAACCACCAGCGAAAAAGTTTTCCTGCCCCACTTTGCTGCTGTTCTGGTCCCAGATTTTCAGCAATGTCCCGCATATTCTGCATCCCCGGGATTATCTTCCTCCTCTGCGCGTTCGTGCTGAGCTTCCTGACGTCGATCTCGCTGCCCTACCTGACCGCCCTCGACATCACGCGAGTGCATTTCGGAAATGCTGGGACTGCAGGGACTTTGGATCAAGGCGTGACGGAGCTGAGGGTGAGTGCTCAGTGCAAGCTAGTTTTACCAATGGCGATATCTAAACTCGCGTCATGATCTGCGTTGTCCTGGGATAGCTCGGCGTCTGGTGAGTCGCGTTGTCCTGATTGCCTGACTCCCGTCAACTAACCGCAAATTTTCAGGGCGTATTGCTCGTACGATGTGAATGATAGCCGTACTTGCAGCAAAGCAGGTGCGATATATTTGGTGTGGTCAGAGGGCATCGCTTACATCGGCTCCAGGACATGGATACAACGTTGGCATCGGCAGTGTCGTGGATAAAAACACCAGCGTGATCATTGGATCATCCTGGACCCGTGGACTGGCTGTCCACCCCGTCGGTAAGCTCACTTCTTCCCCCCTCAAATCGTTTAGACTCATGGCCGGAATACGTCAGCCACCGCAATCACCTTCGTGGCTCTCCTCCTCTCCTTCTCGCAGCACATCACGGTCACCCTAGTGTCCTCGATTGTGTCCTTCTTCGCCGCGCTTCTCACCCTAATTGCCTTCGCTATCGATATCGCGCTCTTCGTATACGTACGCCATCAGGTCAAGAAGATTAATGGAATCGACCCCAACACAAACGCTGGTCCAGGTGCGTCTATCGAGTAACTTAAATTCCATCACCGTGGTTCTAACGTGTGCCTGCGAAGGCTTCTGGCTGACCCTTGTCACCTTCATCCTCCTGCTGTTGGCTGGCGGGACAGTCTGCTTTGGCCGCCGCAAAGATAGGCTGTCAGGTGCTACCACCACCACGTATACCACGTCTGAGAAGAAGCCTTTCTGGTCTAGGTTCAAGAGAAAGAACTAAACTAGGCTTCTCTTACGAGCATCTTACTAGCACGTATACCCCCATCTTTTTCGTTCGTAACCAACAATCCCCTCGTATGACGATGCCACGAACCATTTCCTTACTTCCAGTGAACCCCACGTAAAACATACACGATACGATACGGTCCCCTTATACCTGTAATAGAGTCTGTCATACGATTACACGCTCCCAGTCGACGATGTCTGGCCGCCACAACGTGCCTAATGCTTTTGCCCTAATGCGGAAGCGATGACCTCAGTGCCTTCCAGCATCCCCTTGCGATAATCACTATTTGTGCCCTGGACTCCCATATAGGCAAAAGAACGCAGAAGATACCACTCATAAGGACCCATATCCTGACGGTGTACAATGATAAGCGACTTCGCTGAAGAAGAGGAAGAGGAGAAGCGGGCTTACATGCTCACGGAAATCCAGAACCCAAAGAATTGCACGCTGAAGACGTAGTTGCTGAAGAACATGGGGATGGGCACTTCGGGGCAGGAGGTAAGTAAACTAGTGCGAAGAGACTACGGGTGAGACTCGACGAACCAATGATGGTGACAATGGCGGTCAGACTCGAGGAGTATATAGCCGCACGTTTGAATGATGCTCGAAGGGTAGTGATGTCGACAGGTTTGTCACGCTCATCTTGCTCTGATGGTGCACTTTCTTTCACTTGGATTGACCCCGCTTCTACATCGACTTTCCCTGCTTTCCTCTCAGATGGACTGAAGTCGCCCCTGACAGTGAGAGGGGGGCTATCAGGGGGAATTGAGGCAACTTTGTCTAGATCTTCTATCGCCCTAGTACCATGGAAGCTGTAATCATCTGGACCTTAAAGCGAGAAGAAATTGAATGTTCCAATGAAGTGCGTTTGCGTTGTAAGTGAGAAAAGACGCACTGAGAAGGGAAACGGCCACGGTAATTAGCCCCGAGAACAGAAGTCCCGTCAAACCGCTGCATACGGCAGAGTATGGGTTCGCGAGGTTGGCGACGTTAATCACGCCTATTAAGTGATGATATTACTCACTTAGTAGCCAATACCCTGGAGAAGATGGAAAGGCGTACCATATATTTTCCAACAACCTATCATCCATGCTGCCATACCAAGTGTTGCGCCAATGAGGGCACCGGACAGCACCCCTGCCCGAGTAAGCTTACTCCAGGACACCGTCAAAGCAATTGGTATGACAGCGGGGCTCAGAACTACTCCCCTATAAGACATTTGATAAGGCAATGAACGAACGTCCGGGCGTAAATTACTCACTGGACATAAAACAGCTTTGATTTAGCGACAAAGTATCAGTAACAATAATTTCAAGAGCAATGGTAGAACGGTTCACCCATCCTAGATCTATACTAGCTTTGTGTAGCTAGGAACGATGTGATTAGTGGGTGCGATGTGATTAGTGGATGGGGGAAGGAGAGATGCTCACGATCACTGCCCAACATCCCATCCACACTGCCCAGAAGCAGATGAAATAATGTGATGCTCGAACAATTTCGGGTCCCCGCGCGGTGGGTCGGAAGTAGGTCCGATAAATGCTGTTTACGGAGATGATGTGTGAAGGATGTGAATGGTCGCAGGGAATGACAGCTTCGGCTGCGGGATGTAAACGTGCTCACTCATATGAACTGCATAACCGGGATCAGTTAGCGAGCTGGAGGTACGTGGAAGCCAGAAAGAAACACGAACAAGAGACTAGAAACACCTATTAATTCCGCACTGACGGCAGATGTTACGGCCATGCTATTCAAATCAAATCAAATGATCTGGATGGGGTCGTTTGGCATATTCCACGCACAAGACAACCAGTAAGATTGCCGCTGCTCCGCCTTTGCCCATGATCACCGATGCGGCCGCTGGTGCCGCCAATCCTGCGCTAGTTTGCGCTGGGGATAAAGGCGCCGGGTAAGTGGGGAACCTGGGCTGCGTCGAAATGTCTCACAATAAGGACACTGATAGCCATACAGCGAGGAAACTTACATCGTTGACGAGGGCACGAGCAGCCAGTCCCAGGCACGAGGCGAATGCAAATGGGACCGCGAACCAGGATAACCCACCGAGCATCTATCCACAAATATCAGTATAGGTACGAGGAACCGCCATTCCAACTTTACATATGCTTTTGTGGTCGTCTTCGGGTCACTTGCGATAGCCTGTGTCAACACAAATGAAATCAGCATCAATCGGCTGTGCTCGACAAACGGCTTTAAGGATGATACCCTTTGCCAGTAACCTATGGAAGAACCAATTGATGTTAATATGATGCGAACGGCGTATGGACAGGAGCCTCGCCTTGATCACAGAAGATTCCTGAAAATCCACTGAGAATCGTGGCCGCACCAAATACAAGGCCCTGATTGCTCTTCATTGTGAGGTAACTGCCTTGCGCATTCCCTGTGACAGGAACCTCATTCCCTGCCTCGGTTAGTAGATCGTGCATGCCGTGCAAGCCTCCCGTCACGGGTGAGGTTCCACTACAGCTATGTAAGTTATAGCTTCCAGTAACATCGTCATACTCACAAGACACTGAAGATGACTAGTATTCGTGATGGATTAGGGTTTCGAAACAAGAATAGCAGTATAGCATCTTACATATGTAGATTATGGTGAAGAGGATGATGGTATGGCTCCAATCGCAGATGAATGTAGCCCGAAGTCCTCCCCAGAGCACATACACCGCAATACCTATGGGGAGAAGCATGCAGGCGGCTATCTGTTGTTTTGTTGATAATCAAAACCGGAGACAGTGGTGAGATTATCAACGAACAGTATTCATTCCTGTCAGAGCGTTGACTGTTGCTGCGCCTCCTACTGAGCCGAGTTAGCCTTCGACCAATGTGCACCGCCAGACAGCTCACATAGAAGAGATCCACAAACGACCATGATGCATAAAAAGGCGTAGAATGTGAACAAAAGATGGGGTCCTGTCCCGAACCGTACTTGGACGATCTGTGACATCATGGAATCAGCGAACATATCACAGAAGCTCGTGGAGGTATGCATCACCTCGAGGAAGGTGTGAGCTCCGTTTGCGTTCATTTTAACTTTGGCAGCGACCATTCCGAATATCGCAAGCTGTATAGTCCCCCCAACACCATACCACCTAACCACCGGAAGAACTGAAATCAAAAGTACTGCGCTGCACAGGAAGCAGATTACACACACCATGGACCGCTGACGCCAAAGGTATAGGCAGCTGTACTAGACTGTAACAGTGTCGCACTCCATGTCCAAGCGCTGACACTGTTGGGGAACGGTATCAGCACCATCAAAAGACCAGACGAAGCCGTATGGGTACTTACATACCGCAGCACACGAGTCCCGGCTGCAGAAATTGGGCCGAGCTCCTTAGCATATCCGCATACTGTATATGAAATTACGAACCTTTACACTTCTAGAGGCACTCTGAGAATAGCACCCGTTAGTCGCTGTTCTACGCTCAATACTGATGGTGACTGACGGTGAATTCTTCTGATGAACTCGGCGATACTGTTGTGAATTTAGACTGTAAATAGGTCAAGAAGACCATGACCAAAGCAAAGAAAAACCCAATGCCTAATATCTGCGTCAACAAAGCATAAAAAAATCAAGTGAAAGGGACGCACCGACAACTACGCCGTATCCAATACTTTGGTCTGTCGAATCAAAGTTAGCCCCGGATACTATCAAAAAAAATGTGCTGAGTATTTGCCCAATAATGGCCGGAACTGTGGTGTATTGGACTCGGAGGACATCGTTGACAATGGTAGATGTGCTGCGTCAAACCTTTGGTTGACTGTTGAACAAAAGGGAGAAGTGAGTCAGGCTATCAAGTCACCCTATACCATCGAGATAAAGGTGCGTTATCTCGACCGTAATTAGCACACGATTCCCATCGTATCCGCATGATGTTCTACGCCGCATTTCAACATTTGGTGAATGGCTGCCTCAAGTTAGCGGCGGAGTCGAAATTTCCCTTTTTTGGATGTAAATTCGGCTGGCACTGGTCACGTTTAAGCTTCACAACCGCTTTCCGCTTCTTCGACTCGTAAATGCTTGATTCCTCGACGTCAGTTCGGATGCACAAAGCTTACTCGGGCATCATTTGGCGCATCATCGCCAACATAGGGCTCCTCGGGTATCATACAAATACAATGCCGTGGAAAGGCTGTTGCGGACCAAAAGTTGAGTATGGCTCGAGTTGCCATCAATGCATCAACAGCAGTGATATCTAGAGAAGTGCCACACATCTACAGAACTCAGAAACAAAGACTGCTAACTACGTCAGTGATTGATCCATAGAAATTGCCCTGTATTCGGGCGTGTTTCTAGAGAGCGCTCAGCGGCTCAGGCATCCATGGAAGAGAGGAAAGCACGGAACCTTTACCATTGGAAGGCAAAGTCTTTATTGGACGTCGTCAGTTTGGAGAGAAATCCGCCTTCATTGTTGTTTCATCGTTGATAGGAAGTCCTCTAGTCTCCCGATGCTCAATGGCGTCGAGGCTCTCTCACTGATCCAAAGAGAATCAATATTATCCGGGGAAGTAAGAATATTCAGGACGACAGTCAAAGTCTGAGTAAATACACATTGATGGTGTAAGGCTGTGGCTAACAGCCGAGCATTATTTATTTAAAGCACCGTCCCCGGCCCATATCCTCGTCACCACCATGAGCTTTAACACTAGTCGTCAACCCCAGCCTTCAGACTCACTAGAGTTCAGCCATATCTCGCCATGGGAGCAGCACCCATGCCCTCCCTACGCTGCCTCGGTCTGTCTTGCACCAATTGCCTCGCATGCCAACAGCATTAACACACTGCATAGGGTCGGGGAGCTGGAGGCAGCATCAACTCTGCCTTCTCGTCCCGCGCGGAAGTGAACACACCGCCCCCCGTGTATTTCTCTCGTACGTGTTTAACTGCCTTGCGTCAGAGTCGCGCTTACCACAGCGGCGTAGCACACAACTCCGGGGCCGTTCTCTTGCCTTCGTACTCTCCTCAGGCTCCTGGGCAGGACCTAGAGCATGGCCAAATTCGACGCGGGAATCTCAGCGAGGTAGGCCCCGCAGCTGGTTGGCCCGTCACTCGCATGAAGATTTTAAAAGGACTGGGAGCCTTGGGGCTTGTCGTCGGCCTATTGACCACGGCTGTGGTCGTTGCCAAATTTGTCCACGAGCCTGACCCTCCCCGATAATCACCACTCCGCATTCACTAGACCCATTCGACAATCCTCCGCCGTCGAAGTGATGGCCTGAAGAAGTCATTCACTCTATACCTGCCCGGAGTTCGCCTCTGCTGCCAAAGGGAGGTACAAGAGTAGTGTCAGGAGCCCATAGCTCTAGATGTGGCCCGGGAAATACTCGTTTCTATCCTTCCTGCATGTTTCACGTCTTCGAGTACTATATACCCCGCAATCTCGGGACAATTCATGACAGCTGAGCCGATGTCAAAGAATTGGCGTTCAGGGAGATAGATGGTGGGCTGTGGTGGGATTAATGGAAGACGTGGCAAACGTGAAGCGCTAGTGACCTAGGGAACATCGATTGAGTGATCGTCTGGATATGGTGCTACGTATGCGCTGGTCCACGGTTGTCAAACAAACTTCGAGGACCTTTCGGCATGCTGTGTTTTCCACCGCATTCCTCGTAAGTCTTTGGATTAGTTCATGGAAAATAAAACAGCCTACCACTCGACGCGTGGTTTTACGTAAGGCCCAAAATCCATTTAATTCATATATCGTGGACAAGCCATTACACAGTAAAGCCGGACAATAGAGTGCTGATATCGACTATTCGTTTCTGAGAAATCGGTGTGCGGTGATTCAAGACGTACGTGCCAGCGGACTTGCGGACGCCCAAACCGGCGTGCGCTGAGTATAATATTTGAGCAAGGGTCATTGTACGGGCAGGCGCACATGAAAAAGGGTCCAGCGTACCGCCAAAGAACGAAGAGGACTTGGCAACTATCGTTAAAAGCATCAGAGCAAACCAGCGAACACAAAGTAGGCTAGTCCGACACAAGCGGACAACCAATTTCCATGTCCTACGCCGCCCGCAACACTTCTCGACCCGCTGTTCGGCTTTGCGTCTCCATCTGGAGGAGTAGTGGTGGTATTTGATGAAGGGGGCGTGATGCTTCAGTTCACGGTCGGTTAGCCGAGTGATACATCACAGGCAGCTCACTTACTCGAAACCGTTGAGAAGGTCAACGGCGCGGAGGCCTTCTCCGCGATTGACAAAGTCGAGCAGAATGAAGTTCGGCGCCCGGTCACCTGCCAATGGCGCACAAAGGTCCACATTCGCCTGAATCCTACATGGACATCGTTAGTTCCTTTGCACCGCACATGTCCGAGCGGCTATCACTTACGAAGTGACACTATTGGTGGTGCTCGCCTCGAAGGGATCGCTAATGATCACGCCCTCGCCAATGGGGATGATATTGACGTTCAACGAGTGGTTGATCAAGTACATGTGGTCTTCAACTGGGAGTGGACCGTGTATTCGGTTGACGGAGCACGGGAACGCGGGATCCGTTACGCTGAACGGCGTCTCCCAAATCTGCGGTTTGGCGAGTCAGCAACACGGCTGCTACGCGTCCAGGAGGCGTACCATGGCGAATTCGGGGAGGATCGTCGCTATTTGCGTAGGATCGGCACCGGCGTCGAGAAAGACCACGAGGCGACGTCCGCTTGCGATCATACTTCCCAGCGTAGGCCAATCGTCGCGTTTTATAGGCACGTCAGCTGGGCTCGGAGTATATATGAGTTCCGTCAATCCTGCGCTATCCTCGTCAAGCAAAGGAACGGTACAGGGGAGAAGGAACCCTGCCTGCATTGTTAAATACATCCTTCCATGGCCCTGCAACGGATACGCCCTCAGGGTTTGTGAAAAGGAGGGTAAGTACCTCGTTCGGGTGACCGTCGAGGAACGCTTTGACGGTTTTCAAGTAGGAAAGGACGGTTCCGCCGTCGAATAACGTCTAAGGTGTTTGGTGAATCTCTTTAGTAGGCAGATTAACTGGGCTCGATGATTACGCAGGCTACACATATATAAGTCCTTCAACGTGAGATTCAGATGAAGGGCAAAGGAATACTGACAAGTGTGACAGAAATGTAATGTTCCATTTTTCCTACCAGAGATTGAGTGCGTGCACGGAGTATTCGTATTACGCTAGGACTCACATATGGGACTGAGCCTGAAGAAGGCGCACCCCAAGTTCAAGTTGCGCGGTGATGTTGACTTCCTGGTCCCTTGCCACTGGTACATGCAAGCATGGGTATCCGGCGCGGAATCGGCTTTGAAGAGATACATACACGCCAAAGGGTCCCTACTGCTTGCGAACGAATCATGAGCCCCCAGAAAAGTGATGTTTCCGTAACTTCTATTGCAGAGTTCTTCATGACCATTGCATTGCGTGGCCCTGTTCCAATTCTCGTCAACATCGTTGGCGCTTCAACCAAGTTCGATGCTCACCGTTTCACGACATCTTTCAGTGTGACCGGCCACGCAAAGCTAACGTCTTCCAGCCACGATATCAGCAGAACAATGGCAAACAGGGTCGAAGACACGGATGATAGTCTGGGCTTCATGAGATGATGGACAGACAAGCCAAGAGCATGCTGTGCTCTGAAATAGATTCATGGCAGATGTGAAATGGATGAGCCCGAAGCTCTATCATCAACAAGATCCAAATATGGATCTGTGGGACGCGCCAGCGATACACTCGCTTCGCAGTGCAAGGGTACGCGAACAAGCAAGGCATGATGCATGACCTGTGAGCTGATTATTAGAAAATGGCGTCGAACTCGTCGTCATCTGCAGCTTCCAACCACAGTAAGCCCGACTTCGTCTTGAGCGCCGCGAGATCACTACACCTTCACACGAGCACGAGCACGTAGGCGCCAATGGGTCAGACTTGTGTTGAGAATACCGCTGTCGCCCGTACACTTTTATAGAAACTCAACGTCGGCCTAGTGCGCACACCAGCACATCCCTAATGGTGCAAAATCAAGGACAACAACCGACCCTTATGCACGGAGAGACTGCCTGGCAGCATCCGCATCGAGACGACAGCGCACTGTGCGCAACAGAGCATGCAAGAGGCGTCCAGAGGGTAGTATAACGTCTGACGTGGCGGTGTTTCTTCATCCTGCTGTAACGAGAGCAACTTTCTCTTTCGCTTTTACGACAGGAAGCGGTGCCATCGTGCCGCACAAGGGACGAACAAGAGAGAAGGCCGAACAAAGCGCACATTGCTTGAAGTTTGAGCTTGAAGAGGGGGGACGCCAATAGTGAGTGTTGACTTTGCGTGCCTTCTGCAGTACGTTCTGACGCCAGACCAGCGCATATGATGATACACCGCGAGTGGAACCCCAGTAACGTTTTGGAACACACGGGGAAACACGCGCACACCCCACGCATACGGCACTTACCAGTGGATGCAAGAAGGAAAATGAGACCGAGGCGACACATACCAAAGAGATCCAGCCATCCAACAAAACTGAGTGCTCCAACTATGAAATCCGGTGAAAGCCTCTGAATTTTGACGCGAATCGGAAGCCATGCTAGCGAAGCGTCCAACAGATGCGTCAAAACGATGCGCAAAGAGAGGAAATACCAAAAAATAAATAACGGAGGAATAGGAATAGGAATAGGAGAACCTGAGGGGCTACCCCCTGAATGAATTCCCTTCCCTGTCGCCGTCGCAGAGTCGACCACAGTATTCCGTGAAACTATGCAGAGTCGGAGGCCAGATTATGCGGCCAGGGATGTCTCGACGTTGCAAGTATCAGCATGACGGATACTGCACTTCGTCGTAAAGTTCTACGACCAATGTCATGTCAACGATATATGATCCAAGGTGGTGGCGAGGCCGCTATCACTAACTTTTTACTTTTGATGCGATGCGATATGAATTTTTCGGACTCAAGAGTCAAACCAACGATGGTGGTTTCCGGCCCACTACGATTAAGGCACGCGACGGGCCCGCCCACTCCAGTGCCTCCTGGCAACTCATGGCAACCGCCCAGTGCCAGATGCCTGCGTCCGACCGTGATAGCATGGCCATATGCGCCCTTCTTCCCTCTTTATAAAAGGCGGGATGTTCTTCGGTCCTGTCACCCATTCCAACCCTACTACCCACCATGTGCAGGCACGAAATGTGAGTGCGCGGCGCCGTTGCCTATTCGATATCGTTCACTAACGGTTCAATTCAGTATAGGAGACTATTATAGAGGATGCGGGGTGCGCCGTTCATCTACTCAGACATCCGACAGCGATAACCTTTGAAATCATAGCATTTTCATGGTCGGTACTATACGGGTGAGATACACGATTGCCTAAGGGACACATGCAAGTCCAGCGTAAAGCATAAACACAAGACCGCAAGAAATTGCGGTTGCCCCGAGGTATGTTCACATGAAATCCATCTCGAAGGTGTTTTTCATCTCAAAGTCTCTTTTCACAAGATCGTGACGGATGACAACCAAGTCCAGAATATGTTTCAAGCAAATCATCCAGAATGTCCACGCATTACCCGCTGATATCATCAAATTTTTATAGACACCACATTTAGATTTTGGATGCACTAACAGTTATAATCACCCTCCATCGCTACTTAGAATGTCATTTGATATTGTACATCATCATAATCTGTAACGGCCGCGTCTTGCACTTTCAAATGCTCATAGTTGCTACATCTTCCGGGGCCTTGGCCGCCAGTTCACATCCCATATAGTCCTTCATACCGATCGGCCGGTAAATCCACATCTCTCCTTCTTCAAACGCGTTCAGGTCGTACTCCTTTCTATCGGGGGGACTCCCGACACTCTGCTCGACGACCTCTAAACTCCCCAAGTCGCCTGGCTTGACCGAATCACCATCGCGCACCGTTCGTCCACCTGCTATTGTGGAATCACGTACAATAACAGCAGTATGATCAGGATCACCGAGGATAGCCCAGCTTCCGGGTGCGCCGCCAACAAGTCCGATCTTAACCTTCCGCCATTCCACGATATCTCCTCTACGCACACGATCATCGCCGCCTCGCCATCGACCCACGGTTTTGTGTACCCCATTTGCTTTGCCTTCGAATATTAGATGGCCATGTGTACGACTGATGCTCGGTACAGGTTTCGGAACGTAATCGAACTGATCAAAGTATTTGAGCGCTTCACTGGCGAGATCCCAGCATTCTCCTCGCGAGCAGTATTGCCCCGTTCCAACGAAAGATTCGGCAAACGCCGCAATAGTCTCGCCGTATGTTTCGTGAGCCCGCACCAAAGGTTCTCGTTCCAGTGCTTTGGGTCGCGGGAGGTATTGAGCTTGTCGACGAACCAGGAGGGTATCATTCGGGTCCGCATGGATTTTGGTGGAGTAGTCGACGACGCCCCAGCACAAGCTAAGATCTGCGAACAATAGGCCAACAAAGACTTGCTTGTCGGCGTTCCGAGATTGCCAGGAGCCCGCGAACCGGTGGTCGCTGTTGCCGTGTAGTGGCGGAGGGAGGATATTATCGGCATCGTACCAAGGGGAGGACCAATGTGCTGATGGGTGAAAGAAATAGGCAAGGTCAAGTGCCGAAGAGCCATGGACTGTAGGCGGAGGATGAGAAAGTGGGAAGTCTGATGGCGCTGCGATGTATACACAATCAAACGTGAGATAGTCCATGCTGTGGATGGGCCTTACAGTTATTCGAGGTGGGTGTGGTATTTGGACGCGACCACGTTGCGACTTTGGGCTTCACTCTCTGTCAATAAGAGGTGTCATTTCCATGACGCGAAGAGTACTCACAGGAGGCCCTACGCCTGATTTAACCGTAGAAGCGGGCGAAGTGGCTGCTCGAGGCTGATGAACGGGCGGCAAGCGAACCCCCGGGTTCTGGGGCTGTATCCCGACCTTGAATAATCGCTCAAAATACTCATCAAGCCAGCTGAAGAAAGCCTCCTTGTCATCGGGCGATAAGTTGGCCCAATCAATCTCATCACTTCCCACTGGATGAAGCCCTGTGGGGCGATTCGCTATATTCACTCGGGGAGGAGGAGGGGTGCTCGATGACGGTCGTCCTTGGTCGTTTGCTGCCGCAGATCTAGATGGCGGCGGTGGTGGCGGAGCTTTCTTGGAATAAGGATCCCAGTTCGTGCTCTTCATAGGAACGCTGCGATAGTTCCTATCTGCTCACCGACGCGTCTGACATGTACTGAACGCTCACCTGGTATTCCTGTCAACGGTGTCGTTGAATTTGTGTCTTCCCGCATCTGCAGCTTTGGCGGCCCTTTCCCGCAATTCTGCAACTAAAATGAGTTATAGGTGCTGGGTGATGGTCATGATATCTGCGGAGCACAAACAGCTAGGCATCTTGGTGGATCGTAGGATGTTCCAAGTTATTAGCGCTTGTTTGAAATGCCAGAGCGTTAGAGTCTGCCAAGGGGATCCACACTGAAACTACTCTCCCTCGCCAGTCCACATCAGTCCATTGGGGCACGAACACACCCCTTTGAGAACCGTTAAATCGGCACGAATGTCGCAGGGACATTATCTTTTCATCCTATCCTTGTCTACGCAGTGATGACTCGACTGACACTATTGTACTAGATTATTGACCATCTCTCCCTTTGCCTTCGAGGCATGATGATTGCCACCGATGAACTGCTTTGATTTCGTTTCATCCAAGGTCCGTTGTCAAGTAGTTATGGAGACTCAAGTACTTAAGAAGTAGAAAACAGTTCTGCACGGCCAAGGTTGTGCATAAAAGCAGGCTAACTTGCATTTACCGCGCAGGGGATAGGTCGGCATGCTACGAACGCAGTGACTACATAGATCACTGTATTTTAACAACGCTATAGATATGAATCAAGTCGCAATCGACACCCTTAGGCGAAGTGTATCCCGGCATCGTGGAACGCAGATAGCAGCCTAGCGCGGGATCAGTGACTACAGTATCAAATTCGTCCAAGGACTTACTTGAGCAAATCGTCTACGTCCATTTTAGCAGGGCGTTGTTCCGTATTCTCCGTTTCCTCCAATATTTTCTCTATTTTAGCCTTCATATCCACATCGTCTTCAATCATCTATTGAGTGGTGAGCAATGTTCAGTCGGATTTTGCGATATTGCTTACCTTCCCAGTCTCCGCGCACCACGTTCGCCAATTCTTCTCCAGCATGTCTATTACACCCTTTGCCATGAAGTTGCCGTGTACTGTCTTGTTCCGTCGGCTGAATAGTATTCGATTCAAGCCATCGAATTCTTCAAACTTGACTGGTGGCGGTGGATCTATAGGCACCAATCGTATGACGCTCGACTCAACCTGGGGAGCAGGTCTGAAGTTGTTCTTCCCAACTTTCATTATATGGTCCACCTTGGCGTACAATTGCACATTTGCAGAGAGCCGACTCCATAGATTCGTTCCCGGACGGGCGACCAACCGGAGGGCGAATTCGCGCTGGAACATGAGGATGGCGATGCGAGGAATCGGGCGGTGAGACAGCAGACGGAAGATAAGGGGTGAAGATATCTGGTACGGCGTATTTGATATGCAGACATCGAAGTAGGGTAGGGTTGCTTTGACAAAATCACCGATGATAATATCGAGTTTTCTTTGCTCTGGCCTGAATGAAGACCTTCGTAAAGATCCTGAAGCCCACGAGGGTTGTCGCATACGCACTTTCCTTGGACACGTTTTGTCAGTTCAGCGGCCATGCGAGGATCCATCTCCACAGCTGTCACACTCTTGGCTTTTTCCAGTATCCTCATCGTCAAGTTCCCCGTACCAGGGCCGACTTCAAGTACTCTGTCCGTAGGCCGTAAATTTGCCTGAAGATATCAATAAGTTAACTGTTGATCAGATATCTAAGTCGAATACCTTGTCAACGATCCTAATGCATTGGCTCAACGATGATTCGAGCGCAGTTCACTGATGGCTACTCACGCCTGGGCAACCAGTGGATTTTTGAGGATATGTTGGCCGAAGCGTTCAGTGTTGAAAAGGGGATTTCGGCCAGACGAAGATGGTCCGGCCTCTGCATTCTTTTCTTGAGCCTTCGCTGATGGCTGGTGTGCTCGGGAAAATCGCTCGGTCGTTGCTCGAGGCATTTTGGGAGATCGAAGCCGCCTATAGCAAATTGTTAACGCTTCATAACAACATAGGCAAACAACGCCTCGTCTCACCGCGAGAAGTGGCGCACTCCTTCGTTGCACCTTGACTTCGTCACAAATCATCATGTTCAAGAAACCTCTGTCCAATCTTAAGACCTCGGGTACGGGGAACGGCCCAAAGTTCACATGAAGTTCAATATTCATTCGCAAATTAGCACCCTTGCGTGGTTCAGATCGCCGCAAGCTTCGTCAAAAGGTGGTCCAAGCGTATCAGATATCCAACGAAGAAGGGGATCTGTTGGTGCCAGATGGCCTGCAATCAGTCAAATTTCTAACCCATCTAGAGGAGCCAGGAGTACGTCTTCGACTCGATGGCACAGTCCGATCTAGAGAAAATGAAAACCTTCATAGACCGCGTATCTTGCCCCCGACGGCCGAGATCCATTGTGGTTCTCCATCGGTAAAGACTCAGATGAATTGATTCCTACAGGTATGTCGCGATCCAACTTGTTTCCACTTGTCCACTGAGATTCTGAGACGAGCTGGATAGTGTACACTTTGTGGAAGCGTCCTGGACTCTTGCCATGGGTTTCGACTCCAGAAGCTGTGATTCCGAAGCTCATCGGTGGAGCAGATCTTATGATTCCAGGCGGTACGTCGATTTCAAGGATTCGTTACCTAACTCATATTTTCTTGGGCCTCGCAAGCCAGTCGTGCAGTGGTCACCGGCTATTGCAGAGGGGCAGCTCGTTGCTATCGTACAATACACTCCGGACGAGTCAAAGCGAGGATATCCGTTAGCCGTTGGACACATGTCTGTTGATAAAGGAACTCTGCATCAAGATGGCAAGGGGAAAGCAGTCTACGTTAAACACACCTGGAGGGATACGCTATGGGATATGGGGCGCGGTGGAGAGATCCCAGATCCTATGACGATTGACTTGCCGGCCTCGCCACAAGACAGTTCGTCTCAGGTGGAGGGTAATCCTACGGCACCTGTCATTGGGGCGTCGAATGATCGATCGCCCAATCCCGAGTCCGGCGGTGCCAGCAGTGATAATGCTCAAGCCGTCGAGCTGACTCCTGATGGTTGGTTGTCTACCGTCCAAAACCAAGTCAGTGCGGATGATACTTTTAATTAGATGTGTCCGCCGTACTACGGAGTAGTCTGCTCCAAGCCATACAGACGACACTGTCTAAAACCCCTCAGTCATCTTTCCCCATCATCGCCACTACGCTCTACACAAACAGTGTCCTTCCATCTCGCCCAGCGTTTCCTTCCCCATACTCCGAAACACCCGTCGACGTCAAACACTCATCCCACAAATCTCTGACTGCGTTTCTGAAGGCGATGGAAAAAGAAGGTCTGATAACTCTTAAAGTGCCGAAGGGCAAAGCTGGGGGCGACGTAGTCGTCACTGCCGTAAACGCCAAGCATCCAGACGTTGAGTCTCATTCGTCTTATACCACCATCGCAGACATCGAGGCAAGGAAAGAGAAACGAGAGCAACGAGAAGTGAAGGAACGAAGCAAAGTAAAAGAACATGCGGTTACCGAGAAGTACAAACCGATGGGATCTGGAAGCGTGCGCTTCTTCGAAGACTGTGGAAAGAAGTAAGCCCGTTCAGCTTTCTCCTGGAAATACTCATCAAGTAGGACTATTCAAGCACCAGCGCTTTGTACACCGCCCCCGAGATCCGAGCCATCATCAACCAGTATGTTCAGGACAAACAACTGGTAAACGTACGAGAGCAACAATACATAAATATCGACGAAACACTACAAAAGGCGATGCAAGGTTGTGACCCCGATACCCAATTCTTGAAAAGGGATGACTTAGTGCGCTTCGTTATTGGTATGGGCAATATCGCTCCTTTTCTCCGCCTGCTCACCCCTTATCTTAGGCAAAATGCAAAGCTGGCATGAAATCACCCCGGATGGTAAAGATCCCATCCTGAAGTAAGCCGATCTTGCGCTACCATAATAGCAAGAAGCTTACCAGAGGCCGTGATGCAGAAAAGGGGCCTTAAAGCCGATCTCTGTTGCAGTGAAAATCAGACAAGGTCGAAAGGCTGCTACCTTGATCACAGGCTTTGAGCCTTTTCTTCTTGTTGCGGAAGACTTAGCCGATGAGCTGAGGAAACTGTGTGCTTCCGCTACCTCAGGTATATCATATTTCGTCTTTTCAGTGTCACTAGCCGTGCGTGCTCATCACGGATGTGCAGTGTCTCCCGCCCCTGGGAAGTCGTCCGGACAAGAGGTGCTGGTCCAGGGGAAACAAGCGCAAGTTGTTACAGATCTACTGCTTGGGAAGGGGGTACCAAAGAAGTGGATTGAAGTACATGACCTGTTGGACGGGAAGAAGAAGTGAATTGCGTCAGTTACATCTTCTCCTGCCTTTCACCGATGTCTGGGGTGGTACGTAAAAATGATAATGTTTTGCTCCACAACCTCCGCTGAAGCGTCCCGGATCGTCCACTCTTCCCAAATCTTTCTCCTTGGAAGTGATTTACTCTCCCCGGCTAGATTCTTGGATGTGCGGCGTTTACTAGGCCAAGCTTCCGGCGGCCCGCTGTGTGCCAGCCAAGCGCCCACTCTACCAAAGGAACAATTTCGGAGACGTTTCTCATTCCCCACAATTCGTAGGTGTATAGGCGATACCCGTTGCAACTTGTTACAGTATGAACTATAGCCGGCCCGTTGGTCTGCTGACCACTCGTGTGATCCTCCGACGACTTGACGAGCTGGCGAAGAATGTAACGAGGAAAAGCACGCATACTGAGTCCGAAGCTTCTTTCGATAAAATGGCAGAAATTGGGGCATCTTCAGAGCTACCGCACCCCCCAGGCAACGCTGTTCGATCCGACCATGGGACGCTTTTCGACGCTGGCTCTCCTCGTTTCTCTGTCTTCAATCGCATCCGTTCATGCCGCAGAATGCACGGTGAAACACAGCGACAATGGAACAGACGACAGCCCTTCCATACTTCAGGCCTTCCAAGAATGCGCAATTGATAGCACGATTACATTCGAGAGTGCTAACTACAGTGCTCACACACCTCTCTCCCTAACCGGCCTACGTAAGGCTGCAACTCTCTTCCTCTGCAGTATCTCATACTTCTGCAGGAAATGTCACCGTTTTCTTGAACGGAAACTTAAATCTACCCAATAATATATCGCAAGTACAGCATGAAATCAACATCACACAGAACACCCCAAGTGTACGTTCAGGTTATGGCCCACATCCCAGCCCCAGACTGACTTCGTATTTTAGACCTATGCGACACCTTGGTTTTACATTCAGGGATCGGATGTCCAAATTATAGGTTCTGACGATTTTGAGTGGGGAAGATTCCACGGATTTGGGCAACAGTGGTGGGATATCGGCAACAGGGTCAGCTTGCGGTTGATGTGTACATGGAGAGGCGCTTATCGTCTTCCCAACACAGATTCTCCGTCCACAACTGGCGACATTCAATGTAACGAATGGTTTGCTTCGCAAGCTCAAGGTGATCAAGCCCGTTGCTTGGGGTTGGAATCTTCCTGGCCAGAATATTCGCGTGGAAGATCATTTCGTTGATGCCGCTCCAGATAACAGCACAAGAGACAGCACAGTCGTATGTTTTTCCTTGTCTAACTCTAACACAGACGGATGCTCACCTATGTCGTGCCAGAGTTTCCCTTTCAACACGTACGTCCTCTACACCCTCTTTCTGAGAATATTGACTCATCAATTGAAATAGGGATGGTAAGGCATTCAGTCACCAGTGGTGAGCCATTGACTCAGATAGCCTTTCAAACGTAGGCTTCAACCTTTCAGGTCAAAACATAACGATCGACGGATATTATGGACATAATGGCGACGACTGTGTCTCGGTGGTGAATGGTGCCCGAAATATCCTCGCTCAAAATGGCTTCTGCGGTTTCTCTTCCCATGGGCTATCCATAGGCTCACTCGGCCGGAATGGTGCGAACCAGACCGTAAAAGATGTAGTGTTTAAGAATTGGACGATGGAGGGCGCAGTTTATGGAGCTCGCGTCAGTATCTGATCTCTCGTACTTGACTCTCGTGTACTGACTTTGTTCATAGTTCAAATCCTGGACCGGAGGACAAGGTTTTGCCGACAACATTACTTGGCAAGATATTCACGTGGTCAATGTATCGACTGCCATCTTCATTACTCAGAAGTATATATTTACTTGTATCTTGTTTGCAATACAACTGACCGAGCACCTTCAGTTACTTCGACCAGGTTCGTGTTTCCTTGGTACGAGGCGCTCAAAGCTGATGCTCTTCTAGGACAAAGGTCCTCGACCGGATAACATCAATAAAACCAGCACTAAGATCTCCAATTTCCTGTTCCAAAATTTCACAGGTACTTTGGGCTCGAATTGGAGTACGTATTTTCGACATAGCTAGAGTAAACTTCGCCCTCATCTATGTTACAGCCGACGGGACCTGCATTAGCAACCCTTGCTGGAATTTCGTTGAGGGCGGTGACACTACCCAAGCTATCATTTTCGATCTGTTCCCGGACACTGGTAAGCCGGCTGAGCTTGCTTCTATCAGAGTGCGACCTTATTTTCGTGTCATAGCCCTCAACCTGACATTCCGCGACATCAATGTGCGTCCATTCGAGAAACCAGAGAATGCTACCACCGTCATTTGCGATCCCACGACTCTTGTCCCCGGAGAACAAGATACGCTAGGATTCAAGTGCACTAGAGGACCTCTTGAGACAACCGAAATCAAAAGCACTGGCAACAGCGCCATTTCTGCAACGCCGTCTCTAACCCTATGGCCATGCATTGCCTTGTTGATTCTACTGGCACACTACTAACGAAAGTGTGTCAATAACTTCGTTATCGTTTTATTTATGTGTTCTATCATACCCCGCGTGTTTCCCTACAGTATACTAGGACAAGTCAAAATGGGAAGCATCTTCGTTACAAGCAAAGTCAAAGTCAGGGCGTCTACATCTGCTTTCGTTTCGGCATCGAAGGCAGTAATGGTGGCCAAGCACCCAGAGTTCACCGTCGTGGCCTCGTCGGGTATATGAAGGCTCAGAGGGCAAGGCAATAGGTCAATTTGGTTTGGTCTGGCTTCGAACCTAGTGAGCCTGAAAGGTATGGTCGCTGACGTACAATTCGATAGGGCAGGGAAGTTGACGTTGAGACCAACTCCCGCAGGTAACGCCGGCGGTAGTAGCGTGAGAGTATTGACAAGCCTCATCATCGATGATGTGTAGGCCTGCGCAGCGAGGGTCGACTGGGAAGTAGGATCGGACTGCAAAGTTGTGAACGATACAGGACTACCCGTTGCGCCAGAAAATGCGATAGCCGGGGTACCTGCATTGATAGCTACTATTGCTGCGCCACTTCAAGCCGAATCAGGTCGCGAGGTCGTGCAAAGATAGAAGAGAGAGGCAACCTACAGAGTTTCTGAGCTATTGATGGCTGCGCCAAATGTATCTAGGGATATCGATCAGGGGCTTAGGGGGAGAGGGATCCGAACAAGCACTTACTGCCAAAATGAGGGCCGACGATCACTAAGTTTGGTTGGGATCCGAAAATGGTTGGAGACGACTTATTCAAACCATCATTAAGCGCATCGGATCTGAAATCCACGGTGAGCCATCAGCGAGGTAACAAACGGAAACACCGACAGATGACCAGTGAGGAAATGGAGGCGCGCTATGAAGGAGACGTAAGAGCCCCAAGGATAATGCTCAAAGTGGTATTACTCACCATCAGTCGCATTTGATCCACTGACTGGAAATCCCAACGGTATGCCTAAGAGATCCAGTAAAGGAGGGCAAGTGTTGAATTGACACGGGAGCAGGCGAGTATTTATGCCCAGAAGAGGAAGACTGAGCACCGGCGATACGATTCCGCTGGTGGTATCGTCTGCAGGAGCGTCAAGGAGCACCTAGGATACCACATCAAATACGATACGCAGAGACAGTCCCAAGGAACAACGTACATCATAATTGGCGGCCTTCAGCGCGTTGTACTGAGCACGAATCTGAGCAGTCGCCCATCCACTGTCGGCTGTAAGAAGAACTTTCCGTTGGGCAGCAGAGGGCCAGGGAGATAGACACAGGATCCATAACGCTCCGATGTGATTCCTAGTCCAACGCATGAATGTGGTTCGGTGCGGGTGCCTTCTTCCACGACGTTTGATGAAAGAGTCTTTGTAATAAGGATCGCCGTAAGACCAAAGTCTCCCTGCGCAGATCGATGACTCTGGGTTGGGCTTTTTAATAAGAAAGATCCGAGAAAGATTACCCGGCTGGTGTTTTCGCAAGGTACATTTGCCGACATCCGTTGGGCTTCGCAAGCTATCTATACGGTTCCTTGGAAAGGCAGGGGTATATTACGTCGTACTTGGTAGCGTGATTTCTACACAAATCGTCGTCCACACAGAGCACTTTGCACTCGCCACCTCTGGGGATTGCCACGTTCAAGAGAGAAGCCATAGAGCACATGTAGACATTACGTAGAATGGTTAAACGAGTTATTTGGGCCCGAGGTCGGGGCTGTTTCCGTACAAGTGAGGAGGCTCTAGACGAGATAGTAGCACATCTTGACAGATGCCAGGAACCGTTCACACCTTTGCCGGGTACTAGGAGGTGCCCCCATAGGGTCGGCGGAAGAAGACAGCACTTTTGGCCAGATGTACGTAGGGTAACGGATGCGGGAATTTCCCACTGATGAGAGCATTCAGCCACCAATTACGACAGATTAGGGCATGTCAGAATGTCCAGCAACTTGAACATCACCGCGGCCTGAGCCAAAGGATCCGCATCTTCCTTCGTTGACACGTCCCAAACACTTATGCTAGCCAAACAACTGCTACCGCCGTTGGCATTCAACACAACCGACTCCAAGGGTAAGCGGAGATTGGTGCAGGATTCGTCATTCGCGTTGGGATCTGCAGCGAGTCTGCTTAAGACGAACTTCACGCTGGAAGCGGTCGCGCAGTTGGTTGCAGGAGGGAAGTTGACGCTGAGGCCGACATTGGGAGGGAGGATGGGGCCGGGCGGTGCTGTGAGTTTGTTGGCTAAACGCACGACTAGAGAGGCGTAGGTACGGGCTGCAATGGATGTGGAAGAATTTGGATCCGAGTCGAGGGTGGTGTAGGATACTTGTGAGCCTGTTGCGCCAGAGAAGACGACCGCTGGTATTCCTTGACTAATAGCTGCAGCGGCGGCAGTGCTGAGATTTTGTGAGGGCTTGTGTGACGGGAATAAAATTCATCTTACACAATGCCAGAAGACTTTATTGACGTGCCCTTGATATCTAACGAGGACTGTGATGAAGGCCCCCACACACACGAGTGAGGAAGCGGGACTTACTACCAACGTGGACACCGATAAGAACAAGATCAGGAGGCGAGTTGAAGGCGGTGGGAGATAAATCTTGTAAGCCTTTCTGAACTGCGTCTGCGCTGGAATCAATATATCAGGCAATGAAGCGGGTCGATGCTGATTATACGAACGTAAGGCCAGTGATGTAATTGAGCCGATCTACGAAGACACGATGTTAGAACTAGCGGGGATGTCGTCTTGGAATGCCTTACTATCAGTCGAATTGTAACCTGACGCCGGAAAGAGGCCCAGGGGAAGCCCTAGAGGGTCTAATAGCCCGGGGCATGTGTTGAACTGGCATTGTAGCAGTCGTTGATTGAGAATAGGTATAAATGGCGGGAAGAGACCCGACGACACGTCGTCAGCAGGGGCGACGAGCAAGACCTAAGACTTTCATTAAATATCGATAGAAATGAAAAATATCGAGAAAAAGCCTACATCGTAATTTTCGGCCTTTAATGCAGTATACGGCGCACGAACGTGGGCTACTGCCCAGCCGTTGTCGTCAGAAAGAAGAACCTTCCTTTGAGCATTCACGAAACTTGTCGGGGCAATAAGTAGCACCAAGACGTAGAGTACAGAGATCATCGAGATCATCGAGAAACGATTGAATGGCTACATCCGTTGGGATGGTTTACACTTTTATATGAGGTCCCGATCCCGGCTACTGTGAGCTCTAGACCACCTCCAATCTTCCCTCGAACTGTCAAACTGCGTCTAATCGAAGCCATTCATCAGAGGGTGGCAAAAGGGGGGAGTCGGTTTCCGTGTCTTCCTGCTCTTCACATACGAAGGGATCGCCCAGGTACACCCTCCAAAATCGGGCGTTAGTACAAAATAGCTATCGTCCTCGCTTCATCTCAGGTGCAAAGCTGCCACACAGAGAAACAAATTTTTATCCTCCGTAGCCTTGAGGCCAGGAATTGTCATCCCAGGGGACACCATCCGAGTGGATTCCAGAAGTTGGGCAGGCGAAATCTGGAGGAACATACCTATGTACGTCGGTATTTGAACTGTTTCCCCGCAGGCCGACATTTCCTGTTATCCTCTCTATGACACGCGAGATCTCTTGCAGTCTATGTTTGTCTAATAGCGACCCGTGTGGTGAGATCAACTGGCGCGCCCCTGGGCGAGTTGGTAGGAGTACGAGATGAAGATAAGCAGGAGGGTGTTCGAATGAGCCTGCCAGTAGCGATGATATAGCCGCTCTCCTGGTTCCTCTGACTTCAACTTGGCAGCCGGAGTGTGTTATCAAACTTCATGCGAGGCTCCAAGTAGCGGTGTCTTTTGATATTGTGTTTGGGATTGGAGGCTCCTCGTTGTTGCAGGCGGCGACAGACATATGGGGGCCAGAGAGCGCGTTGTTTATTATTTGGTCGCACGCGCACATCTTTGTCTCTGTCCGCCACATTCGTTATATTCAGTGAAGAACCAAGATGCTAGGCCGTCAGCAGTCGTTCTGATCTATGATCAAGGGCAAATCAAGGACGAGTATCAGACTCACTTTCTGACTGCAACTGCGTCTCCCGCTGAGGGAACATCGTCACGACGTTATCACCTCCGTAGTAGAAGAAATCTTCGAGTCGAATAGTCGGATAGCCCGTTGGACAACGTATAATGTGGCTTCAATCCTAGCTGGCCGTTTCAACCATTTCATGTGTACTAGCTTGTGCAGAACGCTAAAGGACCCTGATAAGTCTTCAAAACGTGAACTTCGTCCACGACCATTGTTTGCTTCAAACTTGCCACAACGCCTGGTCTAGAATGGACCCCTCCACCACGAGTCGCTGCTCTTCCACAGAGTCACTTCACGACCACTATTACGACTACTACAACTTCTACCTCTCAGCTGAATCCTTCTCCAACGACTCCAGTAAGCGTCGACCTTACTACTTGCTTACCTATCTTGACCTAGGCATGTCCACGCCAAGTAAGCAAGGGGCAACTGGCGTGTACGTCCGGAACCACACCAACATGGACGCTGCCTTGAGGGCAGATCTTGCTGGGCTCATCACGAAAGACGTGGATATAGAAGAATATGTGCGACATGTATACGGCGTATCAACAGACGACATCGAGGTAATAAAGGTTAAAGAATGGAAGCTTAACGGTCTGGCTACCTATGTGAAACTGCTTGGCAGCGGCGCTCGAGAAGAGAAGCTTTATGCGCCATTCAAGGCGATTATGACCCACTTATTCGGCATTCTCAATGGCGAGGAACGCAAGATTGATGTGCACCATGCATCACTGGGGAAGACTGCACTGCAAAGCGTTGGGAACGTTCGAAAACCAGATCAACTTTTCTTCTTCGGCTCGCACGACGACAAGTCACCGATAACCTGGCCACTCGCTAAAGCCTTTGTCGAGCTCGCCGTGACGTCTAGCGCACAACGTATCATGTCCAGTGCCTCAGCCATTGCAACAATCAACGAGGATGAACAATCTATACATGCTCTAGCTGTGTCAGCGCCCGACTTCATGCCATCCGCAACGATCCCAACACCGTCCAGGGGGACCAAGCGGCGCCGGAGCACAGATCCTACAGACAGACCGAAGCCCCCGAAACTTCCGAAACTCAATGTCTTGAGTAAGGAAGAACCACAAGCTGCAGGCTACGCTTTGGAGCTCCTGGCTTCTACTTGCAGACGATGGGCCACCGGCATGGTCATCACAGACACGCAAGTGGTGTTGCATTACTACGATCGTATGGGCGCTATCTTCACCAAGCCTTTCAAATTCGACGAAGAGCCTTGGAAGCTAGCGTTATTCGCCCTGGCCGTCGGACGGTGCGACCTTGTACAAGCAGGATTCGAACCACTGATTGCACCCAACGTCGACGCCGCGCTTTCCCAGCCATTAGGCTCGTTGAAAGGCGCTGTCCTCAATGTGCCCAAAGAAACCAGAAACGAGGGTAGTGTAACCCAAGGCGGTGACAGCGACGGTATCAAATTCGTGAATAATCTTGGTCGGGGGGTCTATTCGCACTTCCAGATCACTGGTGACCCACTATATATTTATGGGGGTCTTACTGGTAGGGGGTCGCATGTCTTGCCTGGTGATCTCATCAGGATGGAGGATAATGGAGCCACGGACGATCAAAGAGAGGAGCCGACCGTACCAGTAAACGCAAAGGGGTCTATGGTTGTGAAGCTCAGTTGGCCAATGGAGAAGCGGCCGTTCCTAGAAGCCCAAACCATCGACACGCTCGCGAACAAGATTCCCTGGATAAAACGACACCTCCCCAGGATCCATTGCGCTTTGACAATCAGGGGTAAATCGATGGGGCTCCCTCGACATCTCTTTCATAACATGACTACGGCCCATAAACTCGAGCAGCGTTATTTTACTCTCTTATTCACCGACCGCTATAAACACCTTTGGGACATCAAGACGTTGGATGACTTCCAGGTGGCATACGTTGGCATTGTTGAATGTGCGTGTAGATGCGTCCTACGAATCTGCGGTACTAATGGTAATGTTGTTCTTTAGGCCACTACAACGTGTCGAGGTACGGCAAGATGTTGCATCGGGATATCAGCGAGAACAACCTACTGTGGACACGCAAAGAGAAAGAGGTCGTAGGTGTACTTAACGACTGGGATCTATCCACACGCGTCGATGTGGTCGGCAACAGTACTAACCACAGAACGGGTACGGGCCCATTCATGGCCCTGGACCTCCTCGGCAAGGAACCTCCTGTCCATCTCTATCGCCACGACCTCGAATCACTATTCTACGTACTTATATGGGCGGCGGTCCACTATGACATCGGTGGCAAGGTGCCTTACTCTCACACTGTCGATCCCGCACTGGAGAAGTGGAACGGGGACTTCGAAGAGGCGCGCGTGGCAAAGCTTGCCTTCTTCTCGGATGCCGAGTCCGTGCTGGAACATCTACAGCCAGCGTTCGAGCCATTGCGCGAAGCTTGGATTGAACCACTCCTCGACTTATTCCGGAAGGCACGCGCCAACGCTAACCTCCTTGCTAGAGCCAAGAAAGGCGGCCAGAGCAGCAAACAACTAGCCCGGAAACCAAGGAAACTACCAAAATATAGCGACGATGAAAGTGATGAGGAAAGAATCGATGGGAAGGAACACCCATTACCACCACCTGCACCTACTGCGCACTCTCTTGCGGTTAATGTCGACTTCGAAACTTTAGGGGGGTACCTAACCTTCGAGAACTTCATGAAGGCTCTTGATGGGTGGGAGCCCAGCGGGGTGCCCAAGAAGTATCGCGAGTATGCAGAACGGCTCCTTGAGGAGGAACCTGTCACTTCTACCACTCCCAACAGTACAGCTAATTCTCCTCGATGCTAAAACCAGGTTAGTCTATGTCTTCTGTATAGCATATAATATATATATAAACTCTGTTGTTTTTGACGTCAACCTCGAACCTTCGGCCGCAGCACTGCTAAATTCGACTGTTATTCGTGCGCTGCGAAAATAGTTGTGACGGACACGGTCCCAGAATCCAGCACCCCCAGATTTTATATCCACTGATGTCAGGCTTGCTATCGAAGAACTTCGGAGCCAGCATCTGGAAGGGAGATCGCGATTCGTCATTGACAAGCGGGAGCAGTATATAGGTAACCTTTGGGTACTCACGGAAAAGCATTCACAAAGTTTAGACGTGCTGGGCTGCGAATCAGTCATCACATCAAACCGTGTAAAGCTGAATACCGAAGGTCCGTCTCGTTGAACCCTACAGCCGGTGATCCTGCTGGAAAACTATCAAACTCGCAAGGATCTTTACCGGGCGTAGGCACCTCCGATTGCGGGTTAGTCCCTGATCTATTTTCTGCGGGCGCAGACAAGATAACCTTCCTCCGTTCTGATAAACAGACGCACGCAACTAGTCATTGATGCCCTTACATCAAACCCAGCTTCATTCAGAACTTCGTCCTCGGCACGAATCTGCGCCTCGGCCCAGCCGTCGTTTGTCAAGATGACTTTGCGCTGTGCCGATACCCCGCGCAAGCAGAAATTTAGGACGGTGAATAGATGAAGTACATGATAGGGTCTCATGTTTTTTCAGTGGGTGCGAGGCTAGCGACCGATATTTATATCCATAGCCATACACACGTTTATTGTCCATGGGATCATGCAGTCAGCATGGATATGTAGATGGTCGCCAATCAGTGAGAGAATGCATACATGGGGAGAGAAAGTTTGGCAATTCCACCATCTGTATTGCAGAAGGCATGTTCCGCAACGTCCATAACGTCCTGTGAAAGCATATACGATTACTGGCCACTCTCAGAAACGAAGCCTCACCAGAGCAGAGATTAAAACTTGCAAACGTGCTGATCCAAAAGACTATGCGGCCTCATACGCGATAAATGGTGCCAATAAACACCCTAACATCTGCAAGACGAAGGCTCCATCTGCGGGATCTACACTGTATCCTTCATGGTCGCATTCAGACGGACACCACTGATGATAGATGTCCCATTGATAGGATGATGAATGCGGGCAACAAACTTAGGGTAGCCAGACGCGCAAGTATTGGCGACAGGGAGCATGCCCCTAGTGACAATAGGAGTGCTGAGCTCTCTCGATAGAGAGGTATGCGTAAGCATGCAACTATCGGTGAATTGACTCCTAATACGGGCAGTAAACAAAACAAAGAGACAGGCTTGTGACTGTACAACCAAAGCCTACCGTTGCAGAAGCCCGTCAAAGTGCAAGACAGCTTCTTGCACACAAGTGCTCGAGTTGCGGTGTTTGCATCGCCCTTGGGTGCGGCATTCATCAACATTCATCGCGCTGGTGCTAATAAAGCATCCTGGACATCCGGCGGTAAGATGCACTGTCACACAAGCAGGTGCACCCATCACATTGTCGTTCGCAGCAATAATCTGAAAACCTCAGCAGACGTACAGTGGGGGGGTGGGTGGAAAGTTGACATTCACTGAGATCCGGCGTGAAGGTGGAGGTGAGATGAGCATAGATGCGTGCGCTATTGGAGAGTGTGTATCGAGAGTGGCGAACGAGGATTTGGCCCGCTGTGGAAGCCGAAAACGCAGTCCATGGTATCAGCATGCGTCGCACTTTGCACCGCGATGAGACTGTTATTTTCAACGACGGATATAACCTGCCAAAACATATACTGTTAGCACTATGGCAAGCCAGAGTGATCCGCCCTCGTTAGACGTCGAGCTGACGAGAATCGTCACGAGATGTCTGGAAGGAGGAATTTAGCGCCCAGATTACTCCAGCTACTACCCGACTCAGGACGTAGCGGAAAATATACACGCCTCCGAAATTCCTCTCATTCGCAGCAACGACGACAGCGACGGTATAAGAATTAGTGGGTGACTCCCTTTCCTGTGCATAGGAATATAGCAGGAGAACGCAGGAAGACGAAATTATGCGCAAACGGTGGATTCCAGCATGAAGCGAAAGCGATACCCGCCTAGGACGCCCAATGGGAGCGACGGTGGGCACACCATCGACAGTGAGGACTTGAGGCGGCTGCGAGTCAGAGTTGGAGGATCTCATCCATCTATGAGGCCCCTTTTACAAAAAAAAACCAGCATTCCTACAATCATCCACGTAAGAGCCGTCAATATAACAGAACCGTCCTCCGCTCACATATAACTTGACGTACGTTTACGCGGGAAAAGCAATAACACGAAGCGTGTCCATTACATCCTCTGAGCTCTCACCGTCTCACTGTCTCTTCTTCCTGTCAATGAGCTACAATGATGGAGATGCAGGATAGATAAGGTCAACGAACTTTACTCTGGCAGGTAACGCTCCGTACAGGTATACCGCCGTGGCCACCAGGTATCTCGTCAGGTGGACCACTGTTGACCATTGTTTTCGAAAGAAACTAATCTAAGTGGTAAGCCCAAATTGGGCCTCGCCCAAACCTGAACTTCATCCACTGCCTTTGTTTCGTTCAGCCTTGCCTTAACCTATCCGCCACAACTTCTGCCTTAGAATGGACCCCTCCACGAACGGCTATTCTTCTAACGACTCCCTTCATCATTACGATTATTACAACTTCTACTCTTCGACCGAGTCGTTCTCCGAAGACGACTGCAGTAAGTGGCGACCGTTCTATTTCACAATCTTGCTCACGCGTCTTGATGTAGGCACGGACGATGCATTACGAGCAGAGCTTTTCGGCCGCATCTCCAGAGATGTAGATATAGAGGATTACGTGCAGTACGTGTATGGCGTATCGAAGGCCGATATCGAGTACATACGCAGCAAAGAATGGAAGGTCGAGGGCTTGCCTACCTATACGAAGTTGCTTAATGAAGGCGCGCAAAAAGAGGACCTTTACGAACCATTCCAATCAATTATAGCCGATCTCTTCGACACTTTCACCAACGACGGGCGCAAGCTTGATGTACACCACACGTCCCTTGACGAGACAACACTGAAAGGCGTCTGGAACGTCGGAAACCCTGACCAGCTTTTCTTCTTTGGCTCACACGACGAGGAGGCACCCATAGCCTGGTCACTCGCCAAAGCCTTTGTCGAGTTCGCCGTGACACCTCGCAGACAGCGCACCGCAGCCAGTGACTCAACTATAGGTACATTTAACGAAGAGGGGACAGCTGCTACAGCTGCTCTAGCTGTGTCATCGCCCGGCCTAGTGCCCACCCCGACACTCACGACGCGATCTAGTACCAAACGCAAACATTCTAGCACAGATACCCTCGACGGACCGATGCCAGCTGCAAAACGCCCGAAACTCGTAGTTTTCACTCGGAAAGAAATGCAAGCGGCTGGATACGCCTTGGAGCTCTTGGCTTCCACCTGCAGACGATGGGCCACCGGTGTGGTCATCATAGACACACAAGTGGCATTGCATTATTACGATCGTATGGGTGCTATCTACACTCAACCTTTCAAATTCGACGAGGAGCCATGGAAGCTAGCGTTGTTCGCTTTAGCCATTGGACAGTGCGACCTTGTACAAGCAGGATTCGAGCCACTCGTCGCACCCAACACCGATACCCTGCTCTCTCAGCCGCTCTTCTCGGTGAAAAACGCCATTCTTAGGCTGCCCAAATATAACAGCAACAAGGATAGTGCTTACGAGGGCGACGACGACAAAGTTATTGGCAATAAAGTGAAAGGCGAAGCCGCCGTTGATAAGGTCTGGTCCCACTTCAAAATCATTGGTGATCCGCTATACGTATCTGGTAGCCTCACTGGACGAGGATCGCATGTCTTGCCTGGAGATCTAGTCGAAGAATCACCTGCCCAGGATCGCTCAGAAGGTGTGGCCAGCAAGGAGAAACAGGGTGCTGAATCAGGACAAGAGGGCACCATGGTTGCCAAGCTCAGTTGGCCAATGGAAAAACGTCCGTATCTCGAGGCGGATACAGTCAAAGATCTCGTCGAGAAGATTCCATGGATGTCGCGTCACCTACCTCGGATTCACTGCGCTATATCACTCAAGGGTGAATCTATGGGACTACCAAGGCGTCTCTTCCACGACATGACCATAGCATATGGATTGGAGCAGCGGTACTTCACCCTCCTATTCTCGGATCGCTATAAACACCTTTGGGAAGTCAAAACGTTGATTGGGTTTCAAATGGCATTCATTGACATTGTTGAGTGTACGTGGTGCGGTTCATCATTTAGACCTCACTAACGCTTCGAAATTCACAGGCCACCGCACCGTGACGAGGTACGGAAAGGTGCTTCATAGGGATATAAGCGAGAACAACCTACTATGGACTAATGATAAGCGCGTCGTTGGTGTCCTCAATGACTGGGATCTAGCCACACCCGTCGATGCGGTTGGCAATAGCACCAACCACCGAACTGGGACGGGCCCGTTCATGGCCTACGACCTACTCGGGCCCGAACCGCCTGTCCATCTGTATCGGCACGATCTCGAATCGCTCTTTTATGTGCTTATATGGGCGGCGGTACATTACAACCTCGGCAGTGACGTCCCTTACTCCGGCGCTGTCAATCCAGTGCTGAAAACATGGACTGGGGATTACGGAGAAGCTCGTAATGCGAAGCATGCTTTCTTGGGGGATCCAGAGCCCGTACTCCGCAATATACAGCCTGTGTTCAAGTCGTTGCGAGCGTTGTGGATTCAACCACTCTGCGACCTTTTCCAAGAGGCTCAGATGAATCGAGACAAGCATGCGAGAGCGAGAAGAGCAAGACAAGAGGTCATCGGACGGGACGTTCTGACGGGAAGCCAAGGATCTGCACTCATGACCACTGGCGACGACAGTGATGACGAGGACAATGCAAACAACTTAGCGCTTCCTGAGCCTGCTGTCAAAAGCGCTCCGGCTCATGATATCGATTTCGAAACCCTAGGATGCTTAACCTTTGAAAGCTTTATGGCTGCTCTCGCTCACTGGAAACCTCGTTCGATACCAAAGGAATACCGCGAGTATGCAAAACGACTTGTCAAAGAGGACAAGTGAATCACTAGTGGGCTGACAATAGGTCACGAAATTCGGAATGTCTACTCACTGTTTGTACAATCCCAACGAGGATACCCTCAGCTGCCGATGTTTGCCAACGACACGCAGACAAATCGCACTCGCAATATAAATAAATTATAAATACAAATTGAACGTCCTAAAGTGAATGCTAAATAGAAACGACGGCCTACTGCCGATGCACAGGCCCGCCACATCCGAAAAGGACTTACGTTCGACTTCGCCCCAACCATCTTTTATACCTCGCGGGGCAGTACACAAGGCATGTAGCCTTCATGTCCTTCTAAGATACCTCTCTCGGAAAGGACCTTCGACGAATCCATTCTCGTTTGCAAGCCATATGTCCGAGTCAAATAGGATTCTACAACTTTCGCTCGCCATCGTCGTAGAACGGCCCAAATCCATGGATCAATTACGACGCCAAGGTACAGATCGCTAGAAACAAAGCAAGAGCGGACTTCGTAAAGACAAACGAGATGGGAATTGGTGTCAAATGATTTCCCTATACATCAGGCGCTCGAGTGAGCAACTGAGCTTTCTGGAAAGCTTTGCTTCGGATCTGTGTCGTCCTCCATCTGGGTAGTGATATCTACTTTGATGTGCTTCATCGGCATGCACCCGATCGTCTGGACGGGGTCGGACCTCGAGAACGCCGTGGAGTTGGCGCGAAGCTTGACGGGAATAGTGATAGCGTTGAAAGTGATCCCCTGCTCGTATATCAAACTCATGGCATGACCAGACAGCCAAGGAGAGACGCGCCACTGTAGGCGTCATCAGCTCCAGCAACTTGGAAGAAGTACTGCCCGTTCACCGCGCGCGAGTAGAGCGCGAGCAGCAGGATCTCCACGACAAGCTGTAGCGCCGCAGACTCGATGAGGATGCGTGCTACCGGGAGGAGGTAGCTCCCGGTTTTGTACTGGGCGGATCTGGCGGATGTGTGCCAGATGCGGAAGGCCATGAGGGGTTGTGATGACGTTTTGGACCACGGCGATGGAGTAGAAGGCTTGGATCCACGCGTTCAGCCGATCCGTGCAGACGCTTACCGTGGGGTCGATTTGGACGAAGAGGGCGGATGCTACGGGACCAAGGCGAGTTAGAGAAGTATCGACCCAACTGATGTTGGTTACTCACGAACGCACAGAACATCACTCTCATCTACAAAAGGCCAAACAATCTGGGGGTTCCTAGTCCCTGATTTGATACCAAAGTTCGCGGGCAAGTTCTTCACCGAGGTACCCACCCTCTCCGCCCAAGGAAAGATAAGGAGCCAGGAGGCCATTGTCCAGGGTTTGGAGAATGCTCCCGAGGCTGCTCCCGAGGCTGCTCTCTTGGATATGTTGAAAGAAGGAGGGAAGGTTGGCAAAGTCGTTGTCATCGTCGCTAAGGAGTGAACTCGTTAACGCCGATGCAAAGTATGTACATAGGTACAGGATGAATCACCCGTTTCCCATGCCCCTTAGAGGGAATAGTGCACACCTAGTATATTCTAGTTGACTCGGGGGTAGAGCGCCCTACTCGTATGCAAGCATACAGAATGAGGGAGTAAGTCGTTCAGATCGGTCGTCGCACAAAGCAACTTGTGCATGAGGAAGGTTTTGTTAGTAAGCCTAATAAGATGGCTTTGTCGGGGCGCAAGCGATCTAGTTCGTCTGCCCGCCCTTGAAGTTTCGCGTGTGGGTCCAAAGGACAATAGAATGGAAAAGCCACAAAGTACCAACCTCACGACTCCGCAAGCCGCCCGATACCCCTTCGTTGGGCACCCCTTCATCATGTGTGCTTTACTGGCAAATTGCAGAGGACGTTGTGTTGATTCAATATACCACCCTTGCTGCCGAGTCTGTCCACGTCCGCCTGTGGAACTGGATGACCGGCGATCTATGGCTCGTAAGTGACCCGCATTCCACTCTGATTGATATCTCATTCTTGTTTCGGTAGACCGAGGACTATTCTATGACTTGCGGTGGTTGCGGGCTTCTGTCTGCACGATCCTTCATGCTCCCCTCACTCAAAGGGTGTGGTTCAATACAAATCTATACCCTTGAGTTCTCCAATGACTCTCGAACCCCACGCCCCGAGCTCAAGGCTACGCTACCCCTCCCCTCCTTGACTCCCGGCATCTCGCTGCGCTTCTTCACCTCTCATTCACCGCCCATCGTTGCACGGCCCCTTCAATCCAAAACGGCTTCCCCCACAGCGGAAATCTCACATCCACGTTATGTCAGTAGCATACAACGCGCAGTTTGGGATTAGATTCCGTTTGTTTGTCCCCAATCGCGTCCTGCTTTCTTACGCCGCCATGGCTCCTGGTCATGCACCCATGCTGGTTCCTTGGGACACCTGGGGCCCGGACGGGGCGGACAACAACATGAGATGAATAGTTGACTGGAGGGCGCAGTCGTATTGGCACGGGGACGAGGGCGCTCATCACCGTCGCACTTGGAGGTAGAAGCGTGGACAAGGCTGCCTTTGGATTCAGTGCAGGTCATCAGACGTGGGGGATTGTGTTGGGTACACTGATGTTTCTGACGACCAAGTAGTAATCAACCCTAGTTCTATAGCCGGCGAACAAATACGACATATACGGCTATACGATAAACAACGCTTTGCTCTCCGCTTGCGCACGTTGGGCCCATCCTTGTGGTGAAAGTCGAAGCTGACTTGGGGGAAGGTGCTTCTCCGCAGGTAAACAGCTCCTGCCATCCCCCACCCAATGGTACGCGATATTTTGGCAGTCCATGCCGTCAGAGGAGGGTGTTCTTGTGAGCCTGCTTCTTCGTCGCGATGACATGGGGATATGGTTTTCTAGCGTTGCTCGCTCAGGAGTGTGCATAAAGTTACTTTTCGATCTTTCGACCTTACTGTGCGAACTTTTTCCCACACAGTAAAAGTAACTTTCGTCGCTCGCTCAGTTCTGACAATCTGAAATTGCGGACACGCCCTGTTTATCGATACGTCGGCCAGCGGAGCTCCCGGCCACGATGATCTCGTTCTGTAGTTAAATATCTGAGTTATCGTACCGGTCCATGTTCGTCAATATTCCTGGAACCCTACGTGAGCGCCAAATAATGAGACACCAGGACCACTGCGCGTGTGTGGAACAGTACAGAGTCCACAATCTAGCCACGGCCCACCGACTCACACTTAGGGGGTGGCTAAACCATTGTTGTCTGTTGTTACTTATTGCTGTTAGTGGCCAAAAGAAGCAACCAATCTAAGTAGTAAGCCTAAATTGGCAATCGTCCAAACCTGAACTTCATCCACCACCATTCAGTCTTGCCACCTTGCCACCACGCTTGATTTAAAATGGACCATCCCACCATGAGTCGCTGCTCCTCCACAGAATCACTTCACGACTACCACTACGACTACTACAACTTCTACCATATCTACCCTTCAACTGAATCGTTCTCCTCCAACGACTCCAGTAAGTGTCGACCTTACTATCCCATACTCTTGCTCACATATCTTAACTTAGGCATGTCTACGCCGAGTAAGCAAGGGGCAACTGGCGTGTACGCTCGAAACCGCACCAATATGGACGCTGCCTTGAAGGCAGATCTTGCTGGCCTCATCACGAAAGACGTGGAATTAGAAGAATTTGTGCGACATGTATACGGCGTATCGAAAGACGACATCAAGGCAATAAAGTCCAAAGAATGGAAGCTTGAGGGCTTGGATACCTACATGAAGCTGCTTGGCGAAGGTGCTCGAGAAGAGAAGTTCTATGCACCATTCAAGGCAATTATGGCCAACTTATTCGGCATTTTCGAGAGCGAGAAACGCAAGATTGACGTACATCATGCATCCCTTGGCAAGACCGCACTGAAAAGTGTCGGGAACGTTCGAAAACCAGACCAACTTTTCTTCTTCGGCTCGCACGACGACAAGTCACCCATAACCTGGTCACTCGCTAAAGCCTTTGTCGAGCTCGCCGTGACATCTAGCGCGCAACGCATCATCACGTCCAGTAGCTCGGCTATAGCCACAATCAATGAAGAGGAAGCTGTATTTGGTCTAGCTGCGTCAGCGCCCGACTTGATGCTACCCGCAACAATCACAACACCGTCCGGGGGGACGAAGCGCCGGAGCACAGATCCCACAGACAGACCGAAGCCCCCGAAGATCCCCAAAATCAGCATCTTGAATAAGAAAGAACCACAAGCTGCAGGGTACGCTTTGGAGCTCCTGGCTTCGACTTGCCGACGGTGGGCCACTGGTCTTGTCATCACAGACACGCAAGTGGCTTTGCATTACTACGATCGTGTGGGTGCCATCTTCACCAAGCCTTTCAAATTCGACGAAGAGCCATGGAAGTTAGCGTTGGTCGCCTTGGCCATTGGAGGATGCGACCTTGTACAAGCAGGATTCGAACCACTCGTTGCGTCCAGCCTCGACACCGCGCTCTCGCAGCCGCTTCTTTCACTAAAGAATGCGATTCTTAGATTGCCAAAAGATGACAGCAATAAGGACGGCAGCGACAAAGTGATTGGCGATAAAGTGAAAGGTGAAACTGTCATCGAGAAAGTCTGGTCGCACTTCAAAATCACTGGTGAACCGCTATACGTATATGGCGGTCTTACTGGACGCGGGTCACATGTCTTACCTGGAGATCTAGTCGAAGAAGCCCCTGCCCAGGATCGCGCAGAAGGTGTGGCCAGCAAGGGAAAGCAGGTTGCTGAAGCCTCAGAGGCACCAGAGGGCGCCATGGTTGTCAAGCTCAGTTGGCCGATGGAGAAACGTCCGTATCTCGAGGCGGATACAATCAAGGATCTCGTCGAGAAGATTCCATGGATGTCGCGTCACCTACCTCGGATTCACTGCGCTATATCACTCAAGGGTGAATTTATGGGACTACCACGGCGCCTCTTCCACGACATGACCATAGCATATGGATTGGAGCAGCGGTACTTCACCCTCCTATTCTCGGATCGCTATAAACACCTTTGGGATGTCAAAACATTGATTGGGTTCCAAATGGCATATATTGACATCGTTGAGTGTACGTAGCAATGTCACTTCGTCATTGAGACATTACTAATGCTTCGAAATCAACAGGCCACCACACCGTGACGAAGTACGGAAAAGTGCTTCATAGGGATATAAGCGAGAACAACCTATTGTGGACTAATGATAAGCGCGTCGTTGGGGTCCTCAATGACTGGGATCTAGCCACACCCGTCGATGCGGTTGGCAATAGCACCAACCACCGAACCGGGACGGGCCCGTTCATGGCCTACGACCTACTCGGGCCCAAACCGCCTGTCCATCTGTATCGGCACGATCTCGAATCGCTCTTTTATGTGCTTATATGGGCGGTAGTGCATTATAAGATCGGCAGTGACGTCCCTTACTCCCGCGTTGTCAATCCAGTGCTGAAAACATGGACTGGGGATTATGGAGAAGCTCGTAATGCGAAGCGTGCTTTCTTGGGGGACCCTGAGCCCGTGCTACTCGAGGTACAGCCTGTGTTCAAGCCATTGCAAGCTACATGGATCGAACCACTCTGCGACCTTTTTCAAGAGGCTCAGACGAATCGAGACAAGCATGCGAGAACGAGAAGAGCAAGAGAAGAAGTCATCGGACAGGACGTTCTGACGGGAAGCCAAGGATCTGCCACAGAGACGGACCTGTTCGCTATGAGACTGTGGGACGAAGACCAGGATGATGACGAGGGCTCAGCCCCTTCTCCGACCGTTCCACAGGCTGTCCCTCCTTCTCCTGCTCCACGAAGCGACGACATCGACTTCGAGACTCTGGGAGACTGTTTGACGTTTGAGAAATTCATGGCTGCCTTGGGTGGAAGCCGGCCCGTTGGGATACCGAAGAAATACCGCGCCTACGCGGAATCCCTCCTTGCAGTGCCCAAGTGAGACTCAATAATCGAGTCTGCTACTACATTTAATATAGTTTGCTTATCGAGGTTCTCGGTCATGTTTTGTCCTCAGTATGTATCTTTCATGCGCTTAACATAATAACTCGTATAAATTTCTGTTGTAGGTGCGAAGGGGAATTCGCGCTTGTGTGAATGCGAGGACTGGGAATGGTGTGTTTCCACCAAAAGACGAAGTAAGAAAGAGTGAAGTGAAACTGAACGTCACGTGACGAACGGAACGGAGGACCTGTTATTCGGTCTGCCCGATTGCCTGTGTACGAAACTCCAATGCATAGGAGGGCGGCGAAGATTGAATACTTCATGGCATGATTTGTCCGCTGAGGAAGGTAGATGACTTGGTCGACATCGCTTATACGCCCTAGGATAAACTGCCAAAAGGTCTCGGTGGGTATGGCTCCCAAACGTGCTGGTGAGAGAAAAACAACACGCCATGCATTCTCATCAATAGCTCTCGAGAACGCTCCAGATTGATGGGAGGTCACATCATTATTTCACTTGAATGGAGTGTGCTCATGTGTGTCTGTCTGTCAACGGCTCAGCGATGGACCAGCTGTATAGCAGCGTGCGAGCAGCGGGTACCAGAGCCTGGAGGACCCAGGGGGTTGGAGACTGGTACGCATGCTCCAGAAGAAAGATATATAGGCATGAAGGGCACCATCTGAATGGACGGTTCTTCAGGAAGACAGCCACGCGAGGAGGTACGGGGGCACGTGCCAACCGCTCTTGGACTCGAACCATCACCATCTCTGGGTTTCCCACGGTTGATTTTCAGTTCTCGAGGCCCGTCGTCAGCCACGTACAGGCTTCTACAGCCATTCTCGCACTACGACGACGAGGGAAGGCAGCACGGTTCCTGCCAGAGGGTGCTCCTTCTTTAAGGAGCTTAAATGAGTGTTCACGCCCTCTGAGTCCTGGAAAGACTGGAAACTTCCCAGTGCCAGCCACTGTCGGTGCTCCCTTGGTAAAGGAGCTTAAAGTGGATGTAGCCACGCCCTCCAGTCCTGGAATGACTTTAAACTTCCCTCTCTATGGCTAATATGCCCTATGCTAAACACCACCCGACCAACCATTATCCTGCTCAAAGTCGCTGCATAACACCGGGAACTACTCCAAACACGGCCCAACCCCAATTTGACCAACCCTACTCGTAACAACCGGGTGCAGCGTTAATTCGTTGTACTCAACCCACACCGCGTCTTAGTAGCTTTAGCTTGCTTGTTGCGGTATATAAATGCAGACATTAAAAAAAAAAAAAAATACGGGGGCACGTGCTTGCTGGGTCGCTCCCCTACTCATCGCTTGGGCGCCTCCCCGAGTCGGCGAGGACACTGGGCTTGATATCTTCGACTTCAACGGTGATGGACACACATCTGTCCATATGTGCGACCTGAAGAACTCGGCCTTTTGCAACCACAACCTTTGCAGTTTGGCTGTAGTGGTCACAGACTTGTTCCGTCGTTGGCGCTGAGCTTCTGTGACATGGGGGGCTCACATTTCAACATTGCAGGCAATGCTCGGTGCATATCTACTTTGCCGTAGTGGATCTTCAACGTTGACCACTGTTGACCATTGTTTTTGTGCGTGGTAAGCTTGGGGTGGTAATCTCACTACCATTACTGCCACAACCTTGCCCTGGAATAGACCCGCTATGAATACCTGCCCCACGACTACTACTACGACTATTACAACTTCTACCCTTCAACTGAACCGTACTACTCCAACTCGGACTCCAGTAAGTGGCAACCTTACTATTTCTCATTCTCGCTCACTCGTCTTCATTTCAGGCATGGACAGTGGTTTGCAGGCTGAGCTTTTCGGCCTCGTATCAGAAGATGTGGATATGGAAGAATATGTGCAGCATGTGTATGGTGTATCAAACGCCGATGTCGAGTACATACGCAACAAAGAATGGAAGCTCGAAGGCTTGCCTACCTATACTAAGTTGCTCGATGAAGCCGCGCCCGAAGAAGACCTTTACGAACCATTCAAAACGATCATGGCCGCCCTCTTCGACACCTTCATCGACAGCGGGCGCAAGCTTGACGTGCACCACGCGTCCCTTGGCAAGACGCCACTGAAGGGTATCTGGAACGTCCGAAAGCCGGAACAGTTATTCCTCTTCGGCTCGCACGACGATGAGTCGCCCGTAGCCTGGTCACTCGCCAAAGCCTTTGTCGAGTTCGCCGTGACACCTCGCACACAGCGCGTCGCAGGTGGTGACTCAACTATAATATCAACTATAATAAGCACAACTAACGAGGAGGGGACCGCTGCTGCCGCTGCTCCAGCTTCATCCACGTCTGACCTAGCACTCGCTACAAGCTCTAGTACCAAGCGCAAACACTGCAGCGCTGATACCCCCGACGAGCCAAAGCCAGCGCCGAAACGCCCGAGACTCGCAGCCTACGCTAAGAAAGAACCGCAAGCTGCTGGATATGCTTTGGAGCTCTTGGCTTCGACTTGCAGACGATGGGCCACCGGTGTGGTCATCACGGACACGCAAGTGACGTTACATTACTACGATCGCATGGGTGCTATCCTCACGCAGCCTTTCAAATTCGACGAGGAGCCGTGGAAGCTAGCGTTAGTTGCCTTGGCCATTGGACAGTGTAACCTTGCACATGCAGGGTTTGAGCCACTCGTTGCGTCCAACCTGGACACCGCCCTCTCGCAGCCGCTATACTCATTGCAAAACGCGATCCTCAAGATTCCCAACGATAATAGCAACAGGATCAACAACGACTCGATTGAAGTTGTGGATAACCTTGGGCGAGGGATCTATTCGCACTTTCAAATCACCGGCAACCCACTATACATTTACGGCGGGCTTACGGGTAAGGGATCACACGTCTTGCCTGGATATATGGTCAAGATGATTGGAGAAGCTCCTTCGCAGGACGACGGAGATTTTCGCGACGCAGCGAAGGAACTGGCGTTGCAAGCCAACTCAAAGGATACAATGGTCGTCAAGCTCAGTTGGCCATTAGAGAAGCGTCCATGCCTAGAAGCCCGTACGATCAATGCCCTTGTTAACAAGATTCCTTGGATGAAGCGGCACCTCCCCAAGGTTCACTGCGCCTTGACATTCAAGGGCAAATCCACGGGACTTCCGCGACATCTCTTCCATGACATGAGCGTAGCACATGGATTGGAGCAACGGTACTTCACCCTCCTATTCTCGGATCGTTATAAACACCTTTGGGAAGTCAAAACGTTGATTGGGTTTCAAATGGCATTCATTGACATTGTTGAGTGTACGTGGTGCGGTTCATCATTTAGACCTCACTAACGCTTCGAAATTCACAGGCCACCGCACCGTGACGAGGTACGGAAAAGTGCTTCATAGGGATATAAGCGAAAACAACCTACTATGGACTAATGATAAGCGCGTCGTTGGGGTCCTCAATGACTGGGATCTAGCCACACCCGTCGATGCGGTTGGCAATAGCACCAACCACCGAACCGGGACGGGCCCGTTCATGGCCTACGACCTACTCGGGCCCGAACCGCCTGTCCATCTGTATCGGCACGATCTCGAATCGCTCTTTTATGTCCTTATATGGGCGGCGGTACATTACAACCTCGGCAGTGACGTCCCTTACTCCGGCGCTGTCAATCCAGTGCTGAAAACATGGACTGGGGATTATGGAGAAGCTCGTAATGCGAAGCATGCTTTCTTGGGGGATCCAGAGCCCGTACTCCGCAATACACAGCCTGTGTTCAAGTCGTTGCGAGCGTTGTGGATTCAACCACTCTGCAACCTATTCCGACAAGCACAAGTCAACCGGGACAATCTTGCGAACTTGGCCCACCAAGCACAAGAAGAAGTCATCGGACGGGACGTTTTGTCAGGAGCACTATTGTCTAGATTGGATTGCGACGAAGACGAGGCCTCAACGACTCCCGCTCCTCTTCCGCCTGTCCCATCAGCAAACATTGATTTCGAAACTCTGGGCGAATGTTTGACGTACGAAAAGTTCCTGGCTGCTCTCAATGGCGGGACGCCTCGTCCAATACCTAAGGAGTACCGCGAGTATGCAGAACGACTTCTGGCAGAGGAATGATTATGTATTTCATCTCCAGCACGTAGCACAGCCAATCTCCAGCCTTTCACTGGTGTATAATATTGTACCCTATCTATTTACTTGTACGGCTTAGTGAGGCGACTCATTACCCCTTAACTTTTGGCCCTCGATGGACTTACCATTCAAGTAAACTGATATACTTAAAGCTGCTGATCTTTCCCCGCAGTCCAACCTGTTAAAAAATAGGCTGGAACCGTCACAAGCCCATTCGCAACATAAATACAAAACGAAGGTCTGGAAGTAAACGCTAACTATATACAACGTCCTACTGCCGATACGACGCGTGGTCGTAGCTCGGCGGGGATTCCTCCATGTCCGGCACGGCGGAATAGGGAGTCTGGTCGGCGGTATGAGAGAGCTGGACCATAGAACGCTTGCTATCCGGGGGATGGTAGGCGTGGGTACTCACACTTGCGGGGTACGACCTTTCTCGAGGCGAGTCGGGCTCGGAGGGGTTCGCGGTGTATGGAGGGCGGCTGCCACCAGCACTGGACACCTGCGACATGCTGCTCCGCGGGTATATCTACGAAAAGGTGAGTCGTTGTATACAGAGGGGCCATACGAGTAGACGTGACGCACGGAATTAGAAGGTCGCTCTGAAGCTGACGGGGCACCAGGGCGTTCGCTTGGGGGTAGGAGTTCAGATTGGGTGGTGGAGCCCATGGTGAATGGCGTATAGACGAGGCTGCTGGGAGGGAGAGGGCGGTCTTCGATCACCATCGATGCGCGCTTGGACCGCCCTGCTGTCTTCCGCCAGAAAAAGAAGGCAACAACGAATGAAGCCAGCAGCGCCACGGCGCCCACAGCAATGCCCGCGATGACCCCCGAGCTCATTCTACAAATGAGGGTCAGCAATGCGTCGCAGAAGAAAGAACAGGGGCACCCACCCTCCCGAACTCGTATCTGCGGTCGTCGGAGTCTCCGAGCTTACGTCGCAAGTCTTGTCAGCGATCATCACGAAACATTAGCAGGAGACACACGCACCCCCCGTCAACGACCAGAGCATAATCGAGGAGCAGGCCTTGCCCTTCTGCAGCCGGCAAGTTCACCAGTTTTAGGGTGTGGCTCCCAGGCCCCAGGTTGTCCGCGAAGTACAGCATCGTCTGCGGTGTGTATTCGTTCACTCGACCGTCAAAATTCTGCGCGGGCTGATTATCCAATTGCACCGAGTACGGCGCCGTCGTGCCGCTTACAGCACCGAACACAGAGATAGCGCTGCCCTACTCGTAGCTTTTATCACTACAGGCAACGGGGTGGGGTAGGTGTGAACGTACGGTGAACGTCAACGATGCCTCGGCGTTTGTCGTGGTTGTGAAGCTGCGAACGGTTTGCCATGGGTTGAGAGTCCTGACTAAAGGCAGACTTACTGTGCCGTTGTGCTGTTGAACCCAGCAGAGACAGGTTGGTTCCAGGCTGACGCCGGTTCGTATTGAAAGGCGCCGGCTGTGTGAGGTATAACAACTTGGCTCGCCGACGCATTTTGTACCTCCGCCGTCCAAGTGATCTGCGCAGCCATTCAATTAGAGACACGATGCCAGCAGAGGGCGTCAACGCAACAACGCAACAACGTACGAAGTCGATGTCTAGGTATGGTCTTGCATCGCTGGTATCGCGGCGATTGGTGATCGAGATGGTGTGGAGCCCGTTGAACAGGTTGTCTGCGGAAAAGAGCGGCGTGGTGAAGTCTTCTACGGCCTGAAACCCATCAAACCTCTTCACGTCGTTATCGAGGTTTATCTCGTATGGGCCTAGTAAGCAGAGGACAGAGAGACAGAAGACAGATTGTTGTGCAGCTGTCAGAACTTGCTTTTGTCCATTGTACAGCGAGATAGACGTACCGTGATTGTTTCGCCTGGCACCGTGGATCCAGATCCCTGTGCCGTTGAAGGTAAACGTCGCCGACGCCCCCGCAGTAGTGCAAAGCGTGAACGTTCCGTTGTTGCTATACCTAGTAATTCAAATGTGCCAGTTCGTCAGCTCCCACTCGACGTCATTCTTGCACCAGCAAGAAGCCGGGCAGACTTTGCGACGTGCAGACGCACCGCGACGCTAGGGGGTCGAGGGTTCTGCTCCCAAGCGACCAAGTGCCCGCGGGCGCATAACGGATCAAGGGGCTGCGGTCGTCGATGGTGTGGTTCACACGCGGCATCTATGGCGGGAGGTGAGGCTCAGTAGGTGTCTTGTGCAATGCAGCACGGTCGTGGTATGCTAGAGAGCAGGGCGCGCCACACGCCGTCGGGAAGGAGAAAAAACGTCAAAAAGAGCAGAGGATGTGGATGATAATGAGGAGTCTCCGCGCGGCACTGGGCGCTCTCACTCTGTGCAGGGCTGTTGTAACCACGGAGGTAATAATTTGCAAATGAGGTAACCAGTAAGCTAGGATCGATACGAGCGTCGGGCGGCTGGCGGGACTCCTTGCTTGAGATGTTGAGACGACGCCCGCCTGAGACTTCGTGCAGATGTTGGATGAGATGACCATTTCCTGCCGGGTGACTTGAACGGTAATGCAGATTCTGTCAAAAGGTGGGGATGTGGTCAGGGTCGGATGGAGGTAACACGCCACATCATTATCAGGAGGTTCTCCAAGTTGCCACCGCCAGGCAGGTAGTCACTGTACTATGCATATCGTTTCAAGGAGCATAAACCAGTACATAGAGCACAGGCTGTACGCACCTTCGCACCCCGGCGGCTGGCCTAAGCAGCAGCGCAACATATAGACAGTCGGCAGTGCGCACCGTGACATCCCAAACCCAATATGTTTCAGGTCTGCAAGTCCAACAGAACTACAGAGTGTCACTGATGTGCATTGTGCATTGTGCCAACATTGATATTGAGGACGTGCGCATAGTACGCAGTCCCGTGTGTCTAAGCTCTAGCATGATCCTGGCGGGCGAATACACGTCGGACTTTGATCGTAGCAGTAGGTGAGCAACGCGACTACGCGCAGCGCTATTTATCGTGTACGCCGTGACAGTGATGTATGGGATTTGTCTGGCTACTAACTACTAACCACTAACCACTAAGGTATGCATCCATGTACGGAAAATCTTGGAAAACGCTACGCAACTAAGGTCCTGCATATCTATAACTTAGCACGCCTGCACCTGCGCCAAACAGCCAACTTCCAAGCATGCTGCAGCGCTCTTCTCTACGCTCTACGCATTGTGGTGTTCAACGGACTGTAGGCGCGAAGGGGAATTCGCGGGTGTGGACAGGGAATGGTATGTAGGAATGAATGACACCGAATGCCACGTGACGAACGGAACGGGCGCCGCGTGCAACTGCCAGTTGCTTGGACTCGCTTTCGCAATGCAACTAAGGGGAAACTAAGATAATACCTAAGAAATAATGTGGCGGCGCAGCAACTCATGTTCAGTTGCGGACCGAAACAAGTAGTAAACGAAGCGATAGCAAGCGTACAACATACCATGTGTGCGGGTTCGAACAGGGAGCCAACCCTACAGGACTTGGCAAGGGTATGAGGGAAGGTGGTGCAGTAGTGTGTCGCGCGGACCACTGGAGGTGTCGTATCAATGTCCAAGGTGTTTGAATCCGGATTCGCCGTTTGTCGTCTTGCTGAGTATTCTGAGGCATTATGGCGTTGCATGGATAGGGCAGGGATACGAGGGATAACGACTCTGCAGGGAAATCATCATCTCATCATTCGCTTTGATATCAGACTTCCCAAGCTTAGTGATCAAGTCATCATTAATTCGTTGCGCGGGCTCTGTACACCGGCAATGCGGTTGCATGGATGAGTAAGTCTGTCAACAGAGGGAATGTGCGGATTTGTTTGTTTGAAGGGATGGGATTTTGAAGGGATCGCGGGAAGGGGTGCGTGGTTGGGTGCGTGTGTATAAGGAACCTAGAACAGAACAAGTGGCTACCGATCGAATGATCCGTTAATAATCAGCTCGTCCTTCGTGCTGACCTCCATCCGCGCCTGCGTCCCAAAGGCCTAAAGCTGGAGGTCTAAAGCCGAGGGCCGACGGGCAGGACCGCGTCTCTTTCTCTGCAAGCAGTTCTCTGTACGTAGTTCTGTCTCTGTGCGCAGTTCTCTGTAAGTGTCCTACCCGAGACTCCACTGAAGAGCGAGCAATTCGCTGGGTAAGCTGGGATAAAGCGTGTCCTTTCAGATGGATACGGCGTGTAGTCGATGCGCGGTCGAAGAGTTGAAGGGGCTCTGAAGGGGTGCTGGGGTTTGAACTCTAAGTTGTGTGGAATTGCAGTGGAAGTGTGGGAGGTATGCCAGGTCCGTCGAGATCCTGAAGAATGGGCAGGGCTGAGTAGGTAGGAGTCGGGAGAGACGCAGCGCAGTAGGGGATGGCATTACTTTGAGAAACGGGTTGGTGCTAAGCGAGGTCGACGAGGGATTCAAGGTGATCAGAGACTCGAGAGGATTACCCTCTGATGGCGTGTCCGTCACTGCACCGCCGGCTAGTATCTACGAAGGGAGAGCGCCAGGAACGCCCTCACGCGCGGGTGGCTGCCACCCATTCAGTGTTCAACATTCAGTGTCCAGCGCTGCAGCGTTCCGTACGTGATGGAGTCCCATGAAACTCGAAACTCACGGCCTGAAGGAAGTATATCATCTGCGCCTGGGGGCTAGAACGGTAGCATTGATGGCGTGCCAGGCATTCCGGGTATTTGGGCAAAGCGTGCGCTCTGCTGGACGACGACGATCAAGTGCCTATCTGGGTTTTGATGTGAGTGCTACAACGTCGTTGTGATCGGCTCTGAATATTATAGAGCGGGTAGCAGACGCCGGTTGATGGACGAATTACAGCGAGGACTTGCATCGTCGCTTCGTTAGCGTTCAGGAACACCAATCGAAGATATCATTGATCACGACCAGCGCAACGAACGGGTATTCTGTTGATGCAATGCATCAGCATCAATACATCACAGTCATGTCATGGGAAGCATTTTGTGGCCACCGCATGCTGGTTGACCGGGGGCACTGACTGATGCTCGCTGCCCGGGGTGCTGTCTACTCCGAGAGTGTCCCCTCATCTGGTTCACCGCAAAGTGTGTTCGCTAAAAGGACATTACTGGTGCTAATGCGGCCGCCATGTGCTCGGTCCAAATAAGAACGGAGCTTTTGCGGATGGCAACGCCCACTGCCGATGTGATGGAGACCGGCCAGCGAGAACTTGCAGCAGATTCGCGAGCCTGTATCGAAGGAGTTTGTGGCCGCATGAAATGATTTCTCTGCAGAATGCACACGCAGGATCAGCATCAGTCTGCACGATGATGAGTCTCTGGATGGTGAGCAGGGAGCTGGATGGTCGGAACTGCCGACAGAGCAATCAATATCAATGTCGGAGTCATATATATAGACGCACCTAGCAACGGTGTATTTCTGCACTGTTCGAGGTGCAAAAAGGTCCTAAAATCGCAGAATATTGTGCAGCTGAGCTCGCAGCGAGTAGCGAGGTCCCTCGCCGGCACCCACTCTCATATGTTCGTGCTTACCAAGTGGCAACGAACGCGAGCAACGCACTGTATCACGGAAGAGCAATTGATGGACCGTGACAAGGGAGCCGAGGTGCCGGGGGCAACAATGATAGTGTGACAGGCTGTGTGACCGAGCAAGTGAGCAGGCGTAGATATAAGCAAATGATCTGGATGAGTTCAGGTACCTTTTTTCCTTCCCCCCTTCTTTCGCCTGAATCAACCTGCTCTACGGCAAGCCGCCTAGTGCGACTCCCAAAGACTGCGCACGCCCGGCACTGGTGTCGTTTTCTTCACAGTTCATTTCTGAAGTCACTTGCAAGGACTCCGTATATTCTTCAAGCTCTCAAAGCACCCTCGTTCGCTTCTACCACACAAATTTCTACCAGTTTCAACCTTTCTTCCTAATAACGACACTATGTTCGCGAAGACTCTCTGCTTCGTCTGGCTCTCCATCTATCTGGCCGGCTTTACCGCCCAGGCTATGCCGACTGCTCGCCAGTTCAATAACCAGAATTGTGACGTACGTGCCAAGCGGTGATCGACATTGAATGGTATAAATAATGTTCACTTTCTAGCTGCCCCAAGTGAAGACCCGGTTTGTAACCGTTACCGCGACCGTGACGGCAGCGCAGAGCCAGAATACCAAGGTTGGCAACAACGGTAACACTGGTAACAACGCCGGTAACAATAACAACACTGGTGAGTTGGATATAACGTTCGTCTCGTGAAAACATATCTAATCCGCCTTCCCCCTCTTTAGGCAACAACAACAACGGTTAGATCGTTCATTCAGCGGCGTACGTTTCATTCTGATTATATTCCAGGCAACAACAACAACAACAACACTGGCGGTGGAAAGGGAACCGTGACCACTACGGCTCGTGGTTCGGTGAGTTTCGCTCTTCTATTGCGCTGGATGCGTTCTTACTTCGTGCAGACCAACACTGGCAAGGCTGGAAACAACGGCAACACCAATACTGGCAACAACGGCAATAACAACGCTGGGAACAACGGGAACACTGGTAACAACGGCAATAACAACACCGGCAACAATGGTAATAACAACACTGGCGGCGGAAAGGGCACTGTGACCACTACCGCCCGTGGCTCGGTGAGTTTACTTGGCACCATAGAGAGTGTCGTACTTATCATTATCGATGCTCTCACTAGACGAACACTGGCAACGCTGGCAACAACAACAACAACAACGGGAACACCCGCAATAACAACACTGGGAACACCGGTAACAACAACAACGGGAACACTGGCAATAACGGCAACAACACAGGAAACAACGGCAACAACAATGCCGGGAACAATGGTGGCAACACTGGAAACAACGGAGGGAATACTGGAAACAATGGAGGGAATACTGGAAACAACGGAGGGAATACCGGGAACACTGGCGGGAACACTGGAAACAACGGTGGCAACAACGGCGGAAACAATGGCGGAAACGCCAACGCCGCACAGACGTCACTCAGTGAGTTTCTTACCGCCCTTTCTTTGGCTGGGCCAACCTGATGTATCTCCGCAGCGCTCGACCCCAAAGTCATCGCTCAAGGCTTTGCCAATGACGGACAAGACGTTCCTGCCGCCGGCCAAGTTTCTTCGCTCACGTCGACCAACAACTTCATCAACTTCTGCCTTACCGTCCCCAATCTCCCCATCACCAACGGCCAGCAAATCACCACTGGCTCGTGCAACCCCGCTCCCATTGGCACCATCCCCTCGACCGACAACATGCCGTCGTCCAAATTCCAGTTCCCTCCCAACTTCGGCACCGTCAAGGCCGACACCCCTTTCACGATCGCGATGGCGGTCAGAAATTTCGATACGGGCTTCTTCGTCAATGCGCAGAAGAACTACTTCTCCGCGCCCCAGCAACTCAACGCCCAAGGTCAAATCCAAGGACACTCCCACGTTGTCGTTGAGCAGATTGCCTCCCTTCAGGACACCAAGGTCACGGATCCCAAGAAGTTCGCGTTCTTCAAGGGGCTCAACGGAAAGGCCATCAACAACGTCCTCACTGCTACCGTCGACAACGGTCTCCCTGTTGGTGTTTACCGCCTTTCTTCGATCAACTCTGCCGCCAACCATCAGCCCGCCATCGCTCCAGTTGCTCAGCACGGTTCTTTGGACGATGTGATCTACGTAAGCGCCGCCCATAATATGGTCTGTTCAACGCTTACTGGATTGTTCACTTCTTAGTTCACTGTCACCGCTGATGGTGTGCCCGTTGCCGCGCCTGGTGCCACTACCGGTGGAAACACCGGCGCGAATACCGGTGCGAATACTGGTGCGAACACTGGTGCCTCGAATTCTACTGCCTCTGCCTCCGTTACTGCCTCGGGTATCGCTACCAACGCCACAGCCATCGCTACAGGTATTGCTAACAATGGAACTGCCGTCCTTTCCAACATTGCCTCCGCCACCGCGCTTCCTTCAGCAGTCGTCAGCGGATCTGTCAAAGCCTCTGGCGTCCTTAGCTCTGCCGCCGCCGCCCAATCGACCGTAGGCATCCGTGGTGGAAAGGGCCCCAAGGTTGGCGGTGGTGCCGCTGGTGGTGCCGTTTCTGCGGTTCCCGATCCCGCCGCCGCCGCCTCGTCAACAGCAGCAGCCGTAGCACAACCTACCGTCTCATTGCGTGGCGGTAAGAAAGGCAACACAGCGGCAGCTCCTTCCTCCGCCGCCGCTCCCGTTGCGTCATCAGTAGCAGCAGCCGAACCCACCGTGTCGTTGCGTGGCAAGAACGCTGCTGCTGTCCCTGCTGCTGGTGCCGCCAATGGCAACACGAACGCAAATGCGAACGCGAACGCCAAAGCTGCTGCCTCAGCGTCTGTAGCGTCAGCTGCAACTGAGCCTTCAGCACCAGCAACCAAGGGAAAGACCGGAGCTGCTGCTGCTGCTGCCGCTGACGCCGCCCGCAGATAGTCAAGTGTCTTATTTCTCCTCCTCCCCCCGTGGTATTTTCAAGTATCGACGAGATTGATTCCCCCCACTTACTCGATAGACCACACTCCTCACTCACGACCTTATTTTCTTAATTGTCCTGGTAGACTCCTTTGTAGCCACTGCTTGCTTTCGTTCTTTTTTATCTCGCTGTCATCCCTATGGAGCAGATGAGGGCCGTTTATATCGTATGTCCTTGCAATTTGTAGTCTTTCTTTCATCTATACCTCGCCCAACAGAGCATTTTGATTCAGGCAATACATAGACGGAGATAGGCTCCAGTGTATTTTTATCCATCAAACTGACTGCTTGAAACATTAGATGAGGAAACTGGTGAAATGCACCTCCTGTCCGACCCCTTCAACGTTCCGCATCGAGACTTACAGAAACTTCGACAGAGATGACAGTGCCGTCTGGTACGTAACTACGTTGTCTACTTCTTTGACATTTTTCTGTTCACCATGTGTGGTTTCAGCTGCAAGGTTAGGGCATCAGAAGGTCGACCGCATTGATTCCGTGAAGGCACCGTTTGTGAGAAAAGAAGTCTCCTGAAGCATGCGTTCGAAGGTTGCACGTCCCCAATCCACTGGGTCCCCAGTACCCGCTGCTCGCGCCGTTGCACAGCTGCTCCTTCGCTAAGCTGTTGGCAGGCAGATACTGATGAGCGCAATCCATTCAAGCGAAACAATGCTGACCTGCCATCGACTTGGAGCAATCGCGAGGGATATCGATTAATAGTAATGGTGCGTTGTTTTTCTCTCACCAGCACGATTGGAAGCCATGCTCACCTAGAGCTTTTGGCAGTTCATCCTACATGGTGCATGACCTGGCATCCAATGCGTACGCCAACGTGTGCGGCGTCCATATGACTTCATGAAGATTCTATTTCGAAGTATAGACATATAAGCCATGTCGACAAAGTCATTGTCTACGACTTACTCTCCCAACGAACAAACAACGCTATGAAGTATCCACTCTTCTCCGCCTTCCTTTGTAGTGGATTCGGTTTCGTCAGTGGACAGACGGGCAGACCGAATAATATAGTAGTCACCAATGACGACGGGTGGGCAACAGCCCAAATTCGTGCGCAATTTGATGCCCTGGAAGCCGCCGGATTTAATGTTCGTATATACATGGCATCCAGAACGCATTGCCCCCAGATTGCTGACTATACGGTTTGGTGCAGCTGATACTCTCATGCCCTGCAATCAATAGGTCTGGGACAGGATCTTCGACGGCCCCACCTACCACGCTGACCGCACCTTGCGAATTCAACACTTGCGCAACAGGCTCTCCACCGGAAGGTTCTGATCCAGAGGACCGTAAGGAGGGGCAATGTATGCGTAAACTAGGAGAGCTAATTCTGAGATCCTCTAGCTCGCCTGAATTATGTCAATTCGTTCCCGTGTGTATCTACTCCATTCTCTCTATGACTCCGACGCTCGAACCGCTGGCTTACGAACTTCTTCAGTGTTGATTCAGTCCGCTTCGGAATTCAGACTCTGAGCCCGCAGTTTTTTGGGGGGTTGCCCGACTTCGTGGTCAGTGGACCGAATGTTGGGAGTGAGTATCGTACCACACTTCGACGCCGCTAAAGTTGACCCCGATTGGCACCAGCAAATCTCGGCCCAAACATCAACGGATCGGGTACAGTGTGAGTCTTTACTTCTTGGTATGCGTAGTGTCGCAAATAATTCAGTAACAGTGGCGCCGCGTGCGAGGCAGCCCTTGAAGGAATACCATCAGCTGCGTTTTCGGCCTCCACGGCTAGCCAAATCTCATTCACCACTCTCACTACCGACCCGGATTCTGCGCTCTCCATTAGCGCACGTATCTATGCTGATCTCACCACCACGTTCACGACAACACTGCTTGCCGCTGGGAGACCCGTCCTCCCACCTGGCATCTCAGTGAATGTCAACTTCTCGCCCACCCCCAACTGCTTGTCCGCTGGGGCTTTCAGATTCGTGCCGACACGTATTGCTGCGAACAACAATGTGATAGATGCACCTGTTTGTGCGACAGAGCATCTTCCTGCTGAGAGAGGAGTTGTCACCGGCCCAGGATGCTTCGTTAGTGTCAGCGTGATGAATGCTGCATCCAAGGGTGATGTAGATGCCGCAACACAGGCGATTGTGTTCGAGAAACTGTCTCCCATTTTGACGTGCTTTTGAGGCGATATGCCTTGGTAGTATGCATAGTCATGGATCCGAATTGTCTTTTTTCCGTTTACTGCCCCTTGTATTAGAAGTTGATTCATCATATCTGCCGGCCGCATGTGCTGCATTTTCCACCGAACTGCACCCCTAGTACCCCTAGTATTGTTCATAGGGATGTCTACTCCCGCGCCTATGCGACCACAAAGGTTACGACGCCAGAGTCCGTATGTGACGAGGAGATTCCCGAAAGGGAAAATAGTCTCGGCACACGGAATAGGAAGGTTTTGAGGTCGCTCGAAAGGTGACAGGAATAACCGTCGATTCAAGAAACGCTATTGAATACAAAGTATCTATAGGGTTTTTATAGGTAGAGTAGGAGTAGACAGACATATGATAAGGAATAGTCGGGGATCCGAGATTGGAAATGACGGAGGGCCGACTGGGAGTTAACGTAGCCGAAACAATATCATGGATGAGGTGGAGTTGAGGGAATTGGAATTGGGGATGGTCGAGGAAGTCTCGACGGGACCAGGCGCCAATTGCCCGGTCGTTACACTCGCCCTTCCGGACTCGTGTCGACGAGTGCGCTCAGGCCTTGCTAGAGGATGCGACAGGTCCACCTTCGAGATCCTCGCAATAGTCGACGATCATTTCATCGGCAGCACCTTCTTCGACAGCGGTGGTCACTTTGCCAGCAACCCTTTTCTTCCGCAAGTTCTTCTTCTTCGAATTCCCCGTAGGGGATTCACCACCGCTAGTCGTGTTGATGGTCGCTGTCACAGAGTTACCGAGGACGGCAGTGGAGGCAGCAGCGCTAACCACAGGGACAGAGGCAGCTGCCGCAGGCACTAGCGTTCTCAAAAAGGTGCCTTGGGGCCGACTCCTGGTGGCGACCGGATTGTGTCGATGAGACCCTCGAGCCTTGTTCTTCGACGCTGTTGTTACGATTGTTGGTGTGGTTGTTACGATAGTTCGTGTGATGTTGAACGGGCAGCAGTGCTGAGAATGCCTGGGTCAGGCTATCGTCTTCTAATCCGAAGTTGCGGGTACGGGGGTCGCGGTCGGACACGATGAGAGAGCCGTTCGCGTTGGGCATCGCGAACTTTGCCCAAATGTTAGGCTCCTGGTTGTAGGCGCGGGCGAACTGCAGGTAGTCGGACGGCAAACCACCGGCAAAGGGTATGTTCTCAGATTTTGCCTGATGATGAATGACAATGTAGTTGCGGATCTCCGCAGCCGTACGAGTGATGACCTCGTTGGAGGTAGGATTGGAAATCACGAACTGGTCAAGGGCAGGTGACGTCGTGAGAACATGGTGATGGAAAAGTTTGTTTCCGACCGGGGCAGCCATTTGTGGGCGATGGGAGCGAGGCGAGTTCGGTAGAGAAAATGAAGACAATGTTGCAAGATGCTGAGTACGCTTTGCAGGTACTACTCCCAAGAGACGGCGAGGCAAAGGCTGTCGGCATTGGGAGCAAAGCTCACGGTTAAATACCTTTCTAATAGGGGCAGTATGAATTCCCCCTATAAACACTTGAGGATCACCTTCAGGAGGGGTGCCCGAACCTCTAGGCAGCTTGGCAATGTTCTGAACACCCAGAGCCTCCAAGTAACGTTCCAGAGCCTGTAAGTGAGCAATCTGATCATATTCCATCCAGGTTTTATCACCTGAGGCCCACAGGATCTCGAACATTGCCCCTTCTCTGGCACCGTGGTGGGAGATGATCTCCTTAACTGCCCACTCCTTACTGCCAATCCCAGGATTCGAGACCTGATCCAATGACCGACCTGGGAACAGTCTGTCATCATTCGCAATATGCATCCTTAGCAATGAAGCATGGAAGACATTGTGTACTCCGCGCTGAAGCAGCTCACTTGGCAACCGAACCTCAAATGAATTGTTCTTGAAATCTCTCGTAATACGGTAAGGTCCCACAAACTTCGGCAGGAGCTTCCTCGCTAATCCCTTAGGGAACGTGATATTCTTGGTAGAAACATACACCAGGTCCCCGTTCTTGAAAGGGGCAGGCCACCGCTTCCTATTTGCGTCTCGTGTCTGTTTAACTCGCGCGGCTAGAACAGAATCATGTGCGGACATAAGCGCATGTTTTATACGTTGCGCAAAGACACGAACTCCGGGGAATTCGTCCTTACTAGGAGAATCCCACAATAACGATCTAGGCATGCAACCATTGTTCAGGAAGAAGGGCGCATACCCTGTTGACTCAGATCGTGCCGAGTTGATTGCAAATTCAATAGCGGGTAAGCGCAAAACCCAGTCCTTTTGGCTAGGTTCAATGCACTGACGGATCATCTGAGTGACTGTGCGATTAGCGCGTTCAGTGGCGCCGTCGGATTCTGGGTGATACGCGCTCGACATTCGTAATTTCGTGCGCAGCAGACGATGTAGCTCGCGCCAGAACTGGGAAGTGAACAGGACATCTCGGTCACTGACAATAGCGGAGGGTAATCCATGCAGTTTCCAGACACGGTCGTACATTAATTCCGCTACATTCTTCGCTGTGTAATTTGTACGACTGGGAATCAAGTGAACCATCGCCGACATCAAATCAATAACCACAGTAATCAAGTCAAAGGTCGCGTCGCGATCACTCGACTCAGGTAGCGGACCGACGAAGTCAACGCCCACAACTTCCCAGGGCTTACGTGGCATTGGCAGTGGATTCAGGAGGCCATAAGGTCGCTGATTATTAGGTTTTGAACGCAGGCAGACAGTACACGATGCGCAATACGCCTGGGTGTCCTTGACTATCTCCCGCCACCACACATGGTCCCGAAGGTATGCCAACGTCTTAGCATGTCCAAGATGCGCCAACAACGAATGGGCCTCATTCAGGACTATTTCCCGTATGTTCCGACCATCAATTACGACATTCGGGATGCACAACAACTCATTGCCGCGCTCCCTCATGTAAACCAAACCTTCGCGCACCACGAAGTTCTTATAATGCTTCGGGTTCTCCAGAATCAAACGAAAAAAAGAGTCGCCGTGGTATTTCCCCACAAGAGCCCTTCGGAGGTCAATTCCATCATGCCTCAATGTCAGTACACCGAGCAGTGACACGTCCTCCGTGGTGCCTTCTTCCTGCGATGTACTTGAGTATTGCTTGGCAGGACCCGGTTTGCTTCCGCTTACATCCTTGTTGTGAAACTCAGCGGAACCCTGAGTTGGCGCCTTCGCCACATTACCACCACCACCACCACGCTTGTCAATACGTGGGATACGAAGGGTAAGTTTTTTCTCTGACAAGCCTGCCGTTGGCGACGTTGCGCGATGAGCACCATGCGCGGTACTCCTTCAAGGTCCGTGTAGCACAAACGGTTTGGCTGCCATGCGCCGAGCGAACTCCTTCACCTGCTTGGGAGTATCATCATCGACATCCAGCATGTTTACACACAGGGCGTTGTTCGCGCCCCCGGGAGCCGTTCCAGCCATACGACCCTCGTCTGCCACCAGTACTGGCGCCGAATAAGAGCCGACTCCCTTTGTCACTAGTAGGCCGTCATCGAAGGAGGTGTACTCAGAAGCAGAACACACTGTTCCAGGTGCGTCGTTCGAGTAGATTCGAGACAACGCATCGCTCAGCACATTGTCCGTCCCAGCGATGTACATGGGCTCGAAATCAAATTCGCTCATCTTCTCCATCCATCGAGCTTGACGGCCCGTCAATCCCTTCTGATTCAGCAGATGAATTAAGCCCCGATGGTCAGTCAGCCATTTGAACTTCATGCCCTGCAGAATCTCACGATGTCGCATCATTGTCTCCAGCCCGGCCAGCATCTCAATTTCATGTGTCGCGTAGTTCTGCTGAGGCGCGCTCAATTTCGCGGAATAGAAGGCAGCCACACGCGCGGATTTCCAGTCCTTACCCTGAAGTACCGCGCCTGCGATTCCAGAAACACAACCGTCAGTTGCGATCCAAACAGGAGGTGCGTCCTTCCCATAGTCCAACGGTTTGCGACGATGCTCACTGAACTGAGCAATACAGGCCTTGATTTCGTCAAATGCGCGTTGATGGGTATGCTCCCACCGAAACGCCACGCGATCCCCAGTCAACGCAGCCAGAACTCCCATGGGAATGCGAATACGTGCTGCGTCGTCGGCTAGATAACCCACCGCACCCAAGAAACCTCGCAGCAAGTCTCGGTTCGTGGGCACTTTCCACTTCAACACTGAATCCACCTTATGGGGGTCCATCCGAATGCCGTCGTTGTCAACGATACGACCCAGGATCTTAAGCTCTCGCTGCAGAAAGTGAAGCTTAGCCTCGGAAAGGTACAGCTTCTCTCGTTTAAGGATATCAATAACCTGCTTAACATGCCGAACATGATCAGCCAATGTGTCCGAATAGACAATAATATCATCAAGATAAACGTCTACAAACTGTCCTAAGTGTGCGCCGAAGATGTGATTCATCAGCGCTTGGTATGTTGCCGGCGCATTACAATCCCCCTGCTGCATTACTAACGAGACCATATTTCCGTTAGGTGTCGTTACGGTGGTGCGCGCAACATGTTCAGGCACAATCCTGATTTGCTCATAAGCATCTTTGCCGTCCATTGTAGAACGATAGCGGCGACAAGCCACACACCTCAATATTCCCTCAATATCAGGCATCGGCGTCGCCATCTTGCGAGTATTCTTATTCCGTTCTCGCAGGTCAAACACCGTCCGCAGTTGCTTTGTCCCTGGCTTGTATATCAACAGCATGGGGCAGGCATTACCCGAGTTAGTGACCTTCCACCGCCCGGACTTTAGGTACGCATTACGCATCGCTACCCATTGAGCACGCAAGGCCTCAGGACACTTCGCGGGCCGCCAAGGATAGATTTTGCCCTCATCTATCAGAGGAATAGTGTGGTTAATTGCGCGCAGAGGAGGCAACGGGGTGTCTTCCACCGTTAGACACAGCGGTTTTGCGTATCGAAGCAGCTCCTCCCTGGCGCGCTCCACTGTTTCGTCGTGCATCTCCATCGCTCGCGAGGCAAGCTTGCTTACACCATCGCCCTTCAGCGGTAGCGGACTTGTACTTCCAATAACCACGCTAGCTGGGTTCACCCCAAGTTTTACTTGATGTTGGAACATCCAAGGTGTGCCGAGGATAACATCATAGTTGGAGAGGTTAATTATATCAAAGTAATGCTCCTCCTTCACCGTCTGATACTCTATCCTAGCCCGGCAGCCAAAATTAATTTTCGCGCGAGACCCTTGCACGGCTAATTGCAACGGTAACGGTTTCTCAAGTTCTACTCGGTCCAGTTTCAATTGTTCGGCCAGTGTGGACGACACAAAATCCCCGAGCGAACCCGAATCCAGCAAAGCCCTTGCCGGTTTCCCGTTCACGTTCACCATTACAACCACTGGTCGTGGAATTAATCGTACAAAGTCCTTTGCGATCGCTGCATTTCGTTGAATTGCAGGGTACGTTCCTGGGGGAACTTGCTGACCAAACATTTCCACCACCTGTAGCTCGTCCTCCCAGTCATCGAAACGTACACGCGACAAGGTCGTCATCATCAGAGCAAGGCTATCCAATGCACGCTCCTCCCTGCCCTTGTCAGGATTGTACAGTGCTCGTAGGTCAGCTGTTCCGTCATTACCAGTAACAGCCAATTCCACATCACGGTACGACTGTTGGATCCTCTTTTCATACCAATCTTCGAGGTTAAACAAGGCATTCTCCAGTAACGACACCTTAATCTTTGACTCGAGCCTTAGCAGTCGGTCGCCAATCGTGCACCATTCACGGGCGTCGTCAAAATCCAGCCACCACCGGCCATTATCCTTCACAAAAGCCTCCCTGCCCTCAGTTAGGGCTGCACGGATTTCCATTGCGCCCAGGTGCGCAAACACGTTTTCATCTAAGGCATCAACGACAAACGGCTGCCATTCCATCAAGGACACGCAGCGCTCCGCGTGATCAATCCCATTCACGTCTGCCAAGTACTTTGCATACCACCACGCTAGGTTGAATTCCTCAGCCTGCAGTAGCTCCTTGTTGATGAGCACAATTTCTCCTTTCCGTAGGCTATCCCTTAGCGCGTAGTCTTGGGAAGAAATTGACCAGAACGTGAACCGCGGTTCCCATTTGTTAACGGGCGCGAACTTGTCATCGCCAGGAAACCCCAATTCCTTGACCGTTTCCATGTACATCGTTTGTGCATTCGCCACGCTGTCACCCATACGTCCGCCTGGAAAATAATACGCTGAGTACCATTCCCAGTGGGTGCGCTCGTTCCACTGAGTAGGTGACATGTTAGCCCATTCCTTTATGTCCACCTCAGGTGTCATCACGAGTTCGCCATCCACGTCCTCGAAAGGATCGGCAGTCACAGTTTTCTCGACCGGGATGTGCACATAATCGTCGATGACCCGAACCTCAGCCAGCATTTCCGAGGCGAAGAGCCCCCAGTTCATTACGTATATGGACTGTGGGTCAATTTGGGCTCCATCCTCCGCCTCCGGGCTTTCCATACCAGAGGCAAGGATGCCAGACCCATTACCGTTGTTATCGTCCCAATCGTCAAAGTATCGTTGGAAAGTGTTCCCCACATCTTCAGGGATCGGCACACCGCTTTCGCCTTCATCGTCCGAGTTGTCGTTGTTGACAGGAATCAGACCTGGCATCTCGGGATCGGTGTCATAACCCATACCCTCGTCCTCAGTTCTGTCGTCTACAGGGCCGGTTAAGGTCACGGCCTCAACCAATTGGCTGCTCACATTGATCATACCAATTTCAATGGTATGCAAGGTATTGTCATCTTCAATTGACGTTCTTAGGTCTTCAGCGTTCTCAAAGCTGATCTCCACATTATTGCTACGAACACCAGGAGGGCGCCGTCCTCCCGCTGAAGATGTTACACTGTTAACGCGAGGACATTGACGGGCTACATGCCCAGCTTCCTTACACAGGAAGCATTTTTTCGCCGCACGCAAGTCGTTCATCTCTTGTTTGGAGAGGTTAAACTTATTAGACTTCGGTTTAGCATTCCCGTTACTAGGTTTAAAGTCACGCCGACTGCCCTTACTCGAACCTCCATTGCTCTGTGGCATTGAATGCCCCTTACGGGAAAGAAAACCGCCATTTGTGCGTTCGTTGCGGCCGCCGTCTGGCTTCGCTGACGATTGCCTCTTTTCACGAGGACGCTCGCCGTTACCAGCAATACTCGCTGCCACCTCATAGGTTTCTGCCTGTCGAACCATACGTTCCCAAGAGCATTGAAGGCCCGTGAAGCCGTTTTCCCACAGCTTGCTCTTCAACGACTTTCGGAAACCCTGCCACAGCCGGACAACCTTATCTTGTTTGTCGTTCGTCCCGATAGCCATGTAAATTTCCGCAAGCTCGGCTGCGTATTCCTTTACTGATCTATCGTTCTGATAGCATCGGTTCAAACGCATACGCTGGCGTTCACGGAAGTCACTCGGGAAAAAATGGTTGAACAATTCTGTAAACAAGCGATCTAGCGTCCAGTTCTCGATGTCAAACAGAATAACCTGCGACGCGAATACATGGGCTCACCCTTCGAGGAAGCGCAACGCTGTGCGTACCTCATTGACTCGCGGCACCTGCCCGTCCTCCAAGTATGCTACAACCTCCATCATGAATCTATGGAAATCAGGCAGGTAAGCCTCACCATTGTAAGCTTTTGGTTGCACAGGCTTAATTTTAGACTCTCTAACTGCCTTTCTTTTCTTTGCCCGTCGTCGCGATGCAGAATGCGACCTAGACAGCCGCGAGTGCCTACCCTTAGGTCTCTGCTTGTTCCTTCGCCCGCCGTTGGAGCTTGATCTTCCCGAGGAATCACTGTGGTGAGACGAGTCATCGTCACTACTAGAATCGGAGGGATCCGATGGTGCATTACTTCGAGCTCTAACTTGCGCGAAGAATTTTCCCAATGCCGAATTTTTGGCAACCTGCCGTATGGGGAGGACATCATTATCGCGGTCCTCACCGCTCTCAATCTCGCTTGCGCTGCTATCGGCCCTCGCTTTCGGGGACTTCTTGGATTTCCCCTTCTTGGTCCTCAAGAACGGCTTGTTCGCAAGTTCTCCCTTGAGTCTTTCCACCTCGTCCACCAAACTCTGAAGTTTCAACTGGTCGAGACTTGGACCGCGCTCAATCTTCGGGTCCACTTTGGTGATGTCGACCGTTCGGTGCTCCGTCGGCGGTACCTTCCCTGTATAGGCGGCCTGACTATTGGACGGTCCCGCGCCACCGATATCCTTGGTATGCGCGCCACGCTTCAAGTCCTGGTAGCTCTTCATGACCTTTTTTTGTAGCTCGACATCCTGGATCTCATCATCCGAGTGGAACTCTCCCCAGTTTGCGGGATCAGCTCCCTTGCCTTTGTCACGACTTTCGTGCTCAGGTACTCGTTCTTTAATTGTTAATGCTTTGTTTCGTCTAGCTAATACATCGCGCTGCTCTGCCGACAGTTTATCTTCGGCCGCTCTAATGGCCTCGACTTGAACCTTCGTCAAGTGTGCATCGACGGTGTCAGCACCTGGCGTGGAACGCCCTTCGCTTTGTCCCTTATCCATCCTGGATACTGCGGGATCAGGGTCCGAGTTACCCTTCGGACCTTCGCTCACGCTTTCAATGGCGTCTTGAGCGGCGTCGACGCTATGGTCAGACGAGTCAACCCGAGGCGACTGCAGGCGCGCTCGGGCCGGGCCAGCCACTACCTCGCTGTACGATAACGCACGCAAGCGCGGGATAGGTGACTCTTGGCCAATCTCTTCGGTGTCCGACACCGAACTTCTATTAGTAGGAATAAGACTAAGGGGGGAGGACTCAGCTAGATGCCCGGGGACCGTAGGAGATGTGTCCTGAACGGGGCCGCGGCTTCGAAGGTGCATCGAGCGAGACATGTTTTGTTTTGTAGTAGTGTTGAAAGGAGCGCCGAAAATGAAATATTTTGAAGGTTTTCCTAGTCGGTGGTCCAGTTGATCAGACTGGGTGGTCCCGAGATTTTTTAGAAGGATGAGAGCGAAAAAGAAGGAGGAGAGTTGAAGTCGGATAGGTTGGTTGGTACTGTCAAAAAAATGTGACGAGGAGATTCCCGAAAGGGAAAATAGTCTCGGCACACGGAATAGGAAGGTTTTGAGGTCGCTCGAAAGGTGACAGGAATAACCGTCGATTCAAGAAACGCTATTGAATACAAAGTATCTATAGGGTTTTTATAGGTAGAGTAGGAGTAGACAGACATATGATAAGGAATAGTCGGGGATCCGAGATTGGAAATGACGGAGGGCCGACTGGGAGTTAACGTAGCCGAAACAATATCATGGATGAGGTGGAGTTGAGGGAATTGGAATTGGGGATGGTCGAGGAAGTCTCGACGGGACCAGGCGCCAATTGCCCGGTCGTTACACCGTACCTTGGTCTTGCAGAAGTTGGGGAATCCACTGGCTGGCTCTTGAAGAATGTGTATAAGCACATTTGGCTGCCTAGTCTTCGCTAGCACGTTTGTAAGCTACAAGCTGAGGCTCTTGGTGAGTGCTCGTTGCTGAAATTGGCTGGTAGTCACACAGGACCTCATGGACCTCATTTCTATACTACAGCACTGAATGTCGAAATATATTGACCCCGAATTCATGTACATAGTTTCTCACTGGCTCACGCTTCTCCGTCGACATATCCTTGCTGACTCCATCGTTCCATGCGGAGTAAGCTCAGAAACGTGCGTGTTTATGGATATAAATATATGTCACTGACATCGTACTCCCCAGGAAAACATGAAATATCTCCACGCGCTTCATCTGTTTACTGTCCTAGTGCTCTGCCGCCTGCCTGTGGTATTCTCGCAGCACAAAGTTATCCTGACAAACGACGATGGCTGGGCGGAGGCGCAGATTCGTGCCGAGTACGAAGCTCTGAATGAAGCTGGGTTTGATGTAAGTATATCAATGATTAGTTCCGTGCGTCTGCTTATCAGTATGGAGGAAGGTTGTCTTGTCTGCCCCCGCAGAAAATATGTCAGGGACTGGCTCGCGATCTGAGGATCCAACGCCTCGTACAGAGCCTTGCGAGTTTGATAGTTGCCCAGCAGGGTCCCCAGCTGTTGGCTTCAACGAGACGGACCGTAGGCATCCAGCTTCACATTACTTGCTGTAACGAGTGACGCGTAACTTAGCACGCCTAAACTACGTGAATGCTTTCCCGTGAGTACTTAACGTTTCCTATGTCCTCGCCTTCTCAATGTCCTTGCAGTGTGGACTCCGTGCGCTTCGGCATCCAAACGTTGGCTCCAAAGTTCTTCAACGGCAAGCCTGACATTGTTATCAGCGGATCTAATGTTGGGAGTGCGTATCACCGAGACACTCAAGTCGCTTCGCTTCACTCACCAACCCAATTAGACAACCTTAATTTGGGAGTTCTGGGCTCTGGGACGGTGTGCGTCGCAACTCTTTCCTTAGTTTTCCGTAACGCACTAATATCGATTGAATTTAGCGGAGCTGCGGCCGAAGGCTCTAAAGAAGGCATATCATCCATCGCCTTTTCTGGGGCGACCGCCTCGCATATATCATACACCTCGCTTGAATCCGACCCAACCTCCCAGGATAGCGTCGCAGCGCGAATTTACAGCTCGTTGATCCTTACCTTCGTCAACAAACTATTGGACGGCCCGGGCGACATACTCCCATCACATACGTTCTTGAACGTGAACTTCGCGCCGACAGATAATTGCCCCACAGCGGAGAGCTTCAAGTTCATATTCACGCGATTAATCCCGAACCCATTCGTCAAAGACGTGAATACTTGTGGGAAGGATCACTTACCTGATGAAACAACGACAGTGGCGAGAGGTTGCTTCGCCAGCGTAACGGCGTTGGATGATAGGTTGAAATTAGACGTAGGAAAAGAAAAACAAGCGCAAGTATTGGGTCGATTGAATGGCTTGGTATCTTGCTTGTAAGCAGAGCACCAAAGAGTAACGATACTGTAGACCATACTATAGCTAGAGGAATTGATTGGACACGTTGTGGAAAAGTAAGGTCTTACTTGGATGCTTCCCCTGCTCCACGAAAACGTACTGTGCCATCATGGCATGCATACGCCGCAATAGGACAGACTTTTGGCTACACGATACTTACATAGTTATTCCCACAAAAAGAACAGCGATACCCCGCCTCCAACATCTCTTCCACGATCCAACCCATCGATGAATGGCCCAAGGCAGCCGAAGGCGGCAGCAACGCCTTACGCGTGCACCCAACACACGTTCTTACTGATGTTGTCGACAAGATGAAGGACGTGACGGAGCATCTGCCTGCACAAATTCAGTACGAGTTGACCAAGCGCCGATGAAGCAGCTTCACTCACTCCAGCTGTGTCCGTTTTCGCATTGCGCAGTAATGATGTCCTGGAAAGGGATGTTCGACCCACACGCGGGGCAACTTTCGTTGAGCGATGTCGGAGTTAGGGCTTCTGAGGAGATGGGCATCCCGAGGCCGTTGAGCTTCTCAGCAAGATGTCGGACACTGAGCAATAAGTCTGGGGGACAGCGAGGGAGGTTGGACTGTACGACAAGGCGACGGATGAACGGTATGTCGTCGGCTATAGAAATCCGGCTGGGTACGTATATGAGTTATACGTAGAAACGACGAACGAACCTTGGAGGATCGGAGCAACTGCCGTTAGATGCTGGACCACGGCCCTCAAAATGTGGTGAGATATGTTGTCTAAAAGTGTTTGTGCAATGCGGCCACAGGCTTCCTGCTTCTCGGGGTCCTGGTAGATTTTCTAGAAGCCATATCAGCGTCAGCGGAAACGCAGAGTGTGTATTACAGGCCTACCCAAGCGTAATCTGCTATGGCTAGCCGGAGGCGATAGGAAAGTACACGATCCGAACCAAATAGCTGCTCTCTCAAACACCGCCTAAAGCAGATGCGAAAGTCCTCGCAAAGCACTCCGTCGTACGGATCGGGGGCGAATGTGAGAGGAGGGTCGCCGGACGGCCGAATTATGTTCAGGATATTCGAGTGGAGTTTGTCGAGAGTACCTGGTCCGTTCAACCGGCGGAATACAGCGCGAAGCAAGTCGTGCGGTGATGCCCCATCGGCTGGTGGCATGCTAGCGTGAGGGTCACCGATGGCGAAGAAAGAGCCACGAGCTTACAAACTTTGCAATTCTTCAACAAGTCATCCAGCCCGGCAAGGAAGGCGTCATCGTCAGATTCCGGGAACAACTGCGCAACTACGAGCATGCTTGTGTGCTTCGCCTCGTGCTTGTAGCTGAAGTCTGCTGGCCGACATGACCTAGCAGAAGCCTATCAATTGCGCAGAGGAAGAAATAAACTAGTAGATTTACTCGTGTACCCAAACGGCAGCGGAAGAGTCGTAGCAGCACATTCCGCAAATTCGACCAACGTCTTCAAACGTGGAGTTGGGTTCATAGGCTTCAAAGATTGAGCGCACCAACTTGCTGGTGTGTCCGGTGGCGAGGCTGGTGCAATCTTCGGCAGGTGGGTCCCAGGAGGGACCCCCCGTTATATTGTGAACGATATGGGCTGACCCATCGAACAGGGAAATGAGGAGGATGTCCCATCGACCTAGGTATTGGATGCCTGAGGGCGGATAGAGGGCGGAAGACCCAACAGACATGCGCTGGGTTGTCAATTTCAAGGAACGCAATCCTACCCAGTCGGACGAATCGCTTCTATTGAGAGGCGACCATAGATGGAGTACCCCTGGGGACCCAAAGACAAGGATTGGCTATGGCGAACTAATGAGTTCTTTGCTTGTCACGAGTGGAAACCTGCTTCTACCTGTCTGCTTGGGGGAGATATCCAAGACAATTCTCCAAAAACTACGAGTGCGTCGGTGACAATCACTTTCTCGGATGCGACCTCGACGTCTAGTGCGTATTGTCGAGATAGTGATGATGGTGAGCCCAGTATATTCAACGTTTGCTTGATGGCCAGGGCGATAACTTGGCCGCTAGAGTCGTTGATAGCCAGGCGTGCTTCACCTGCAGCGGTGTGGGTCAGAGGGGTTTTCGGAATCCGACAACCAACGTACATGTACTCTCCCCAGAGGCAACCCACGGAGAGACAGCAATTTGTGATACCCAATAATCGCTGACCTTTACGGTATTGATGCGTTCAACGGATTTTCCGTCGAACCTATGCAGACCGCGGTCAGCTGAAAGGGTGCGTTACCTATGAGTGGGACTCAACCGGAATAGCAACACTGTCCCCGCGCGAGTGCCAGCTATCAGCAACGATGCGTCGACCAGTGGCGATGGGGAAAGGCCAAAGGCAGCTTGCCCTGTCCATGTAATACCTATATGGCTATTTCTGAATACAGAGCTATAGGTGAGACAGGCCACGAACTCATGATCTGGTACTCTTGGACTTCATGTCCAGCAATTTGTCGCCCAGCTGTATAATGGTGGATCTGATCTTCGTTGCCCGACGTCAGGCAAGAGTGAGCTATATGCATACCATATTCCATTCGCCCTTCAATATGTTCTTACTGGGCGCCCATATCGACAGGTCCATATTGGAGGTCAGAACAGCCAAAACGCATCTGAGAGGGGGATCAGCGAAGTCTCGAGACGTAGATGAACTACATACGTTGCACTCGGGGAAACATCAGTAGGAGACGAGCATATCGCTTTGAGACTGATATCCAAAGAGCCAAGCGAGAGAGCGCCCCAGTCTAGTGCCGTTTCAGTCGCTTGCTCCACAGAAATCGGGACGACTCGCCTTGGGAAATCTCTGGCCATTTGGTTGGGCTCAGCGCGTCCAGGTCAATCAAGTTGCGATACCAGTTCAATTGTGCGTCGGGGGAGCCAGTCGAGGTCCTGATGACAGAGGCTACATCAAAGTTTAAACCTAGATGCGGGGTCTACATGTCCGTCGAAATGGGCACCAGGGAAGCCTGTCAAACGTAGTTCTTTACCAAAATGTAAATGGAGGACTTCATCATCAGGAGCAATTGCCCGTCGCGCGACCATTGCACGCAGCGAATAGAAGGATAGGCATTCGCTGTTGGGACATTCAGAGTCGAAATTGCATTCGAGTTTACCATTCGTGTTGACGAGACGATGAACAGAAAGAAACACCGAACTATTTCCCGATTTAGAAATGGGGCGGAGGTGGCGCTGCGCTCACTCTCTGCGTATGTTCGGTTGGTGATGGCCTTCTCGATATAAGCCTGTTGTGAAGCGCCGAGCACCATACGGGTCATCGAAATGTTTCCTTGTTTACCCGCCAAGCAGCTATATAATATTTTCGGAGGCTAGTCTACGGATTTACATCAAGGTGCTGCTGCTGAGGTATATGATGCACTACAAAGGTACGTACAACACGGGGGTAAGGCGAGCGGGATATTGACGAGCAAATTTACATGGATGACCAGGCAGGACAGCAGGACTTAAGCGAACAGAGGCCAGACAATAAACATGAATGTACGAAAAAATGATGAGGAGAGAGAGAGCAAGAGGAAAGTGTAGCCGGCTGGGGTGGGGGAGTGAGTACGAGTACAGAGAATGAGCGACAGGAGAAAAAGATGGAAGTGATTAATCCCAGCGTCATGAAGGCAACAGCGTCCCAGCAGGTATAAGAACATCCGACGGACAGTGAACGAGTGTATATTTAATCGTCGTCCTCGTCGTCCTCGTCTTTCGCTTCTTCTTTCTCTTCGCTCTTCTTGCGATCCTGTTGGACAATAGTGATGAGAGAACGTTGATGAGAAACGAGAGAAAAGTACGAACATCGTAAGCGTTCTTTTCCTCTTCGGCCCGTGTCTTATCTTTGTTAGCTTGCTCAACATATGGCTGTATGTGGGACGTCAGCAGGAGCGTTATCAGAAATAAAGCGAAAGCTGCACCTTCTTGTCCTCATCGTCCATCTCCTTCCACTTAGCTCCAAGGAGTTTGCCAACTTCACCTAAGTACGAGGCATAGTGTTAGGAAGGAAACAACAGACAACGAGAAGCCGTTGTCACTCACCGAACCCAGCATCGGGATTCTCAGCCTTGATTCTCTCTCGCCAGTCTTGGCTGAAGAACATGTATGCGGAGAGGGCGCGCTTGGGTGCCTTCGGGTCTTTCTTGCCCTTCCTAGGTGCTTTCTCAGCCTTATCGGCGGCCTTGCGGGACTAGAGACGGGAAGGGGATGTCAGCGGAGTGCACGGAATCGTAAGGTAGGATCGGAAGTGAAAGGGAGAGAAGGCTCGGAGCTCGTTGAGGACGACGACGAGCTGCAACCATGCCGCCAGCGATGGTAGCAGCGCTAAGGTCGTCAGAAGAGTGATCGGCAACGAAGAGGCATCACGGATCGGACGAGAGCCCAGAACACAAGTATATGCGCCCTAAAACGAGCCAAAGTTGAAAATTTTCAAGTTCAACAGCATTGTACAGCATGGCGTCCGACCCGAAACAGCGCAACAAAGGTCCTGAAAGCTGATCTGAACATACCTTGGACTTTGTGGCAGCCTTGGGCATCTAGAAGTGCAAGGGCAGAAGCCAGTCAGCCAACGATCATTCAACAGACACCATCACCACAAATGACACGTCGAGCGAAGTTCCAGCGGCGCCAGGAGGTCGCCTTCGAGCGATGTGGCCGATGAGCGAGGGCGGAGGGAGAGCGCGACGCGTCCGTGTGACCAAACAAACAACGCGCTCTCTGCCATCCCCCTTTCCTGCTCGTCGCCGTCTACAACGACGAGGAACCCCCAAACAACGGCAAAAACACCGCCAGCAGTGTCGAATGAACCATAGCAACATACCTTGGCGACTAAGTTTGAGGAAAAGAGGGAGTATTGGAGACTTGGATTTTAGAGGAGAGCGCAGGCAGGCCAGGCGTATACAGCTAAAATCGCAGTAGGGGCAATCACTGTGTTGGGTTGCAGAGGGGGCGCTGGCTGCCTCTTAGGTGGAGTGCTGGGCTTTTTGGTGCTGGGAATCTGCTTCAAGCCCCGCGCTGATGCCGTTCGGCCGAGGTTTGTCCAATACGCACAGACCGTTACTTTACATCTCCGCTTCAATTTCTACCCTAAGCGCTATCTAACTTAGGATGATAAGATAACTCGTTCGCAAATTAATGCCTTTGGGCTCGGAAGGTATGAAATCCTAGCACCGCTACTTCAGATTGACTGATTGAAAATTTGACGGACTACATAGTATCAACATGTCGCTACTAACGACAGGAGCGGCAACTGAGGTTCGACGTTGCCTTGTTGTCCTTGAACGGGGTATTGTGGGTGCGCTACCATGAGTACTAGCACGAACCAACTAGCAGCGAGCAGAAGCACATACATGTAAACCTGTGCCCACGATAATAGGGTCTGCAAACATCAGGTGTTGCAAGTCTTTCCCATTCCACCGCCACCTCTCGAAATGCTGCAGGGTCACTCGTACACGGATGCATAACTTCTCTGATGCATTTGTAATCAACCTACGATACCTGTGTGTCGCCTCTTCTCCCTTGGTTCTTCCGAAAGAAGGATCGCATTCCATCCTCTAAGAAGAACGACCAGCGATGTGAGTCGGCAAGCATCTCGAATTCCGTCGATCCAGCCAACGAGGACATTGTACCTACACTCGAACCAGCACTAGCTGTTGGGGGAAAATCTTCCAATTCGACAGCATTCTTGGAGGTAGGGACTGTAGCGAAGCCACGGGGGTCGTTCAGAATTCGCAGTAAAGCAGGGTGGAGGAAGTGCTCGTCTAGCCTATCATCCCCCTTGCAGAGATTAGGGGGACAGGGAAGAGACGAAGCAGAGGGTATCGGGCGGCTTGCGGAGTCGTGAGGTTGGTACTTTGTGGCTTTTCCATTCTATTGTCCTTTGGACCCACACGCGAAACTTCAAGGGCGGGCCGACGAACTAGATCGCTTGCGCCCCGACAAAGCCATCTTATTAGGCTTACTAACAAAACCTTCCTCATGCACAAGTTGCTTTGTGCGACGACCGATCTGAACGACTTACTCCCTCATTCTGTATGCTTGCATACGAGTAGGGCGCTCTGCCACCGAGTCAATTAGAATATACTAGGTGTGCACTATTCCCTCTAAGGGGCATGGGAAACGGGTGATTCATCCTGTACCTATGTACATACTTTGCATCGGCGTTAACGAGTTCACTCCTTAGCGACGATGACAACGACTTTGCCAACCTTCCCTCCTCCTTTCAACATATCCAAGAGAGCAGCCTCGGGAGCATTCTCCCAACCCTGGACAATGGCCTCCTGGCTCCTTATCTTTCCTTGGGCGGAGCGGGCGGGTACCTCGGCGAAGAACTTGCCCGCGAACTTTGGTATCAAATCAGGGACTAGGAACCCCCAGATTGTTTGGCCTTTTGTAGATGAGAGTGATGTTCTGTGCGTTCGTGAGTAACCAACATCAGTTGGGTCGATATCTCTCTAACTCGCCTTGGTCCTGTAGCATGCGCCCTCTTCGTCCAAATCGACCCCACGGTAAGCGTCTGCACGGATCGGCTGAACGCGTGGATCCAACCCTTGTGCTCCATCGCCGTGGTCCAAAACGTCGTCACAACCTCCCTCATGGCCTTCCGCATCTGGCACACATCCGCCAGATCCGCCCAGTACAAAACCGGGAGCTACCTCCTCCCGGTAGCACGCATCCTCATCGAGTCTGCGGCGCTACAGCTTGTCGTGGAGATCCTGCTGCTCGCGCTCTACTCGCGCACGGTGAACGGGCAGTACTTCTTCCGAGTTGCTGGAGCTGATGACGCCTACAGTGGCGCGTCTCTCCTTGGCTGTCTGGTCATGCCATGGGTTTGATATACGAGCAGGGGATCACTTTCAACGCTATCACTATTCGCATCAAGCTTCGCGCCAACTCCACTGCGTTCTCGAGGTCCGACCCCGTCCAGACGATCGGGTGCATGCCGATGAAGCGCATCAAAGTAGATATCACTACCCAGATGGAGGACGACACAGATCCGAAGCAAAGCTTTCCAGAAAGCTCAGTTGCTCACTCGAGCGCCTGATGTATAGGGAAATCATTTGACACCAATTCCCATCTCGTTTGTCTTTACGAAGTCCGCTCTTGCTTTGTTTCTAGGATCTGTACCTTGGCGTCGTAATTGATCCATGGATTTGGGCCGTTCTACGACGATGGCGAGCGAAAGCTGTAGAATCCTATTTGACTCGGACATATGGCTTGCAAACGAGAATGGATTCGTCGAAGGTCCTTTCCGAGAGAGGTATTTTAGAAGGACATGAAGGCTACATGCGCCCCGCGAGGTATAAAAGATGGTTGGGGCGAAGTCGAACGTAAGTCCTTTTCGGATGTGGCGGGCCTATCTCCGAATGGCTGTGCATCGGCAGTAGGCCGTCGTTTATATTTAGCATTCACTTCAGGACGTTCAATTTGTATTTATATTGCGAGTGCGATTTGTCTGCATGACGTTGGCAAACATCGGCAGCTGAGGGTATCCTCGTTTAGATTGTACAAATAGTGAGTAGACATTCCGAATTTCGTGACCTATTTTCAGCCCACTAGTGATTCACTAACTACTGGCGGTTTGTCCTCTTTGAGAAGTCGTTTTGCATACTCGCGGTATTCCTTTGGTATCGAACGAGGTTTCCAGTGATCGAGAGCAGCCATAAAGCTTTCAAAGGTTAAGCATCCTAGGGTTTCGAAATCGATATCATGAGCCGGAGCGCTTTTGACAGCAGGCTCAGGAAGCGCTAAGTTGTTTGCATTGTCCTCGTCATCGCTGTCGTCGCCAGTGGTCATGAGTGCAGATCCTTGGCTTCCCGTCAGAACGTCCTGTCCGATGACTTCTACTCTTGCTCTTCTCGTTCTCGCATGCTTGTCTCGATTCGTCTGAGCCTCTTGAAAAAGGTCGCAGAGTGGTTCGATCCATGTAGCTTGCAATGGCTTGAACACAGGCTGTACCTCGTGTAGCACGGGCTCAGGGTCCCCCAAGAAAGCACGCTTCGCATTACGAGCTTCTCCATAATCCCCAGTCCATGTTTTCAGCACTGGATTGACAACGCGGGAGTAAGGGACGTCACTGCCGATCTTATAATGCACTACCGCCCATATAAGCACATAAAAGAGCGATTCGAGATCGTGCCGATACAGATGGACAGGCGGTTTGGGCCCGAGTAGGTCGTAGGCCATGAACGGGCCCGTCCCGGTTCGGTGGTTGGTGCTATTGCCAACCGCATCGACGGGTGTGGCTAGATCCCAGTCATTGAGGACACCAACGACGCGCTTATCATTAGTCCATAGTAGGTTGTTTTCGCTTATATCCCTATGAAGCACCATTCCGTACCTCGTCACGGTGCGGTGGCCTGTGAATTTCGAAGCGTTAGTGAGGTCTAAATGATGAACCGCACCACGTACACTCAACAATGTCAATGAATGCCATTTGGAACCCAATCAACGTTTTGACTTCCCAAAGGTGTTTATAACGATCCGAGAATAGGAGGGTGAAGTACCGTTGCTCCAATCCATGTGCTACGTTCATGTCATGGAAGAGATGTCGCGGAAGTCCCGTGGATTTGCCCTTGAATGTCAAGGCGCAGTGAACCTTGGGGAGGTGCCGCTTCATCCAAGGAATCTTGTTAACAAGGGCATTGATCGTACGGGCTTCTAGGCATGGACGCCTCTCTAATGGCCAACTGAGCTTGACGACCATTGTATCCTTTGAGTTGACTTGCAACGCCAGTTCCTTCGCTGCGTCGCGAAAGTCTCCGTCGTCCTGCGAAGGAGCCCCACCAATCATCTTGACCATATATCCAGGCAAGACGTGTGATCCCTTACCCGTAAGTCCGCCGTAAATGTATAGAGGGTTGCCGGTAATTTGGAAGTGCGAATAGATCCCTCGCCCAAGGTTATCCACAACTTCAATCGAGTCGTTGTTGATCCTGTTGCTATTATCGTTGGGAATCTTGAGGATCGCGTTTTGCAATGAGTATAGCGGCTGCGAGAGGGCGGTGTCCAGGTTGGACGCAACGAGTGGCTCAAACCCTGCATGTGCAAGGTTACACTGTCCAATGGCCAAGGCAACTAACGCTAGCTTCCACGGCTCCTCGTCGAATTTGAAAGGCTGCGTGAGGATAGCACCCATGCGATCGTAGTAATGTAACGTCACTTGCGTGTCCGTGATGACCACACCGGTGGCCCATCGTCTGCAAGTCGAAGCCAAGAGCTCCAAAGCACATCCAGCAGCTTGCGGTTCTTTCTTAGCGTAGGCTGCGAGTCTCGGGCGTTTCGGCGCTGGCTTTGGCTCGTCGGGGGTATCAGCGCTGCAGTGTTTGCGCTTGGTACTAGAGCTTGCAGCGAGTGCTAGGTCAGACGTGGATGAAGCTGGAGCAGCCGCAGCAGCGGTCCCCTCCTCGTTAGTTGTGCTTATAGTTGAGTCACCACCTGCGACGCGCTGTGTGCGAGGTGTCACGGCGAACTCGACAAAGGCTTTGGCGAGTGACCAGGCTACGGGCGACTCATGGTCGTGCGAGCCGAAGAGGAATAACTGTTCCGGCTTTCGGACGTTCCAGATACCCTTCAGTGGCGTCTTGCCAAGCGACGCGTGGTGCACGTCAAGCTTGCGCCCGCTGTCGATGAAGGTGTCGAAGAGGGCGGCCATGATCGTTTTGAATGGTTCGTAGAGGTCTTCTTCGGGCGCGGCTTCATCGAGCAACTTAGTATAGGTAGGCAAGCCTTCGAGCTTCCATTCTTTGTTGCGTATGTACTCGACATCGGCCTTTGATACACCATACACATGCTGCACATATTCTTCCATATCCACATCTTCTGATACGAGGCCGAAAAGCTCTGCCTGCAAACCACTGTCCATGCCTGAAATGAAGACGAGTGAGCGAGAATGAGAAATAGTAAGGTTGCCACTTACTGGAGTCCGAGTTGGAGTAGTACGGTTCAGTTGAAGGGTAGAAGTTGTAATAGTCGTAGTGGTAGTCGTGAAGTGATTCAGCGGAGGGGCAGGTATTCATAGCGGGTCTATTCCAGGGCAAGGTTGTGGCAGTAATGGTAGTGAGATTACCACCCCAAGCTTACCACGCACAAAAACAATGGTCAACAGTGGTCAACGTTGAAGATCCACTACGGCAAAGTAGATATGCACCGAGCATTGCCTGCAATGTTGAAATGCCCATGTCACAGAAGCTCAGCGCCAACGACGGAACAAGTCTGTGACCACTACAGCCAAACTGCAAAGGTTGTGGTTGCAAAAGGCCGAGTTCTTCAGGTCGCACATATGGACAGATGTGTGTGTCCATCACCGTTGAAGTCGAAGATATCAAGCCCAGTGTCCTCGCCGACTCGGGGAGGCGCCCAAGCGATAGCGACTCAGCCAGCACGTGCCCCCGTACCTCCTCACGTGCCTGTCTTCCTGAAGAACCGTCCATTCAGATGGTGCCCTTCATGCCGCGTACCAGTCTCCAACCTTCTCCAACCCCCTGGGTCCTCCAGGCTCCAGTACCCGCTGCTCGCACGCTGCTATACAGCTGGTCCATCGCTGAGCCGTTGACAGACAGACACACATGAGCACACTCCATTCAAGTGAAATAATGATGTGACCTCCCATCAATCTGGAGCGTTCTCGAGAGCTAGTCACTTGATTAGAATCCATGGCGTGTTGTTTTTCTCTCACCAGCACGTTTGGGAGCCATACCCACCGAGACCTTTTGGCAGTTTATCCTAGGGCGTATAAGCGATGTCGACCAAGTCATCTACCTTCCTCAGCGGACAAATCATGCCATGAAGTATTCAATCTTCGCCGCCCTCCTATGCATTGGATTTGGTTTCGTACACAGGCAATCGGACAGACCGAATAACATTGTAGTCGCCAATGACGACGGATGGGCAACAGCCCAAACTCGTGCGCAATTCAAAGCCCTAGAAGCCGCTGGATTCAATGTACGTACATATATATACGCGGTACCGTTTGCGTTTTCCCAAAATCACTGAATGTGCATGTATTCGTTTTAGCTAGTACTTTCCTGCCCCGCGATCAATAAGTCAGGAACAGGATCTTCGACGGCTCCGCCGACGACATTGACCGCACCTTGCGAATTCAACACTTGCACGACAGGATCTCCTCCCGAAGGTTCCGACCCTGAAGACCGTAAGAAAACACAATGCACCCGCAGCTTGCGCAAGCTAACTACGAGATTATCCAGCTCGCCTGAACTATGTTAATTCCGAGTCGTCCCCGCATGTATCTTCCTTATCCTCGCAATGAAACCAGCTTACAACTTCTCCAGCGTCAATTCAGTTCGCTTCCGAATTCAGACTCTAAGACCACAGTTCTTTGGGGGGTTGCCTGATCTCGTGGTCAGTGGACCGAATGTTGGGGGTCAGTACATTTCTGTGCGCGCTGTTATCAAAGTTGGCCCAATTGGCACCAGCGAACCTCTGGTACGGTGTGAGTCTTTATATATATGCATGTGTGACGTTGGAAATAAATATCTCGTAGCGGAGCAGCGTTCGAGGCAGCCCCCGAAGGAATACCCTCAGCTGCGTTTTCGGCCAGCCGAATCTCCTTCACCACTCTCGAGTCTCGATACCGATCCAAATTCTGCGCTCTCTATTAGCGCTCGCATCTATGCTGATCTCACCACCACCTTCACAACGACGTTGCTTGCTGCTGGATAACCTATCCTTCGACCTGGCATTTCAGTGAATGTCAATTTCTCCCCTACGTCCAGCTGCACGCCCGTTGAGGTTTTCAGAATCGTGCCGAGTACAAAGCTCTGAACGAAGCCCGGTTTGATATATGTAGGTGCATTGATGCCTAGTCGCGTGTGTCTACTCCGTGAAGACTTTGATCTACTCTGCAGAGAAACAGAGCAGAAGATCCAACGGATGTGCGCTGAGTCGTTTATTTCAAAGACGCAGCAGTTGGATGAATTGGTTTTATTGGGTGGCGACCATAGATATAGTACCCTGGAGATCCAAAGACAAGGATTGGCTACGGAGAACCATTTGCTGGGCATAATGGGACACCGCTTCGACCTGTCTGTTCGGGGGAAATTGTAGAACGAGCGAGTTAGCGTATGTTCTCAGTCGTACCAGGATGTGGTGCGAAGCTCAATTATATTATAGTAAATATAACTACCTGTAGAACGAGCGAGTTAGCGTATGTTCTACAATGGTGTGTGTGAGTAACGCTAGATTATAACCGGGCAAGTCGAGGGATTACATACCTCAGTCGTACCAGGATGTGGTGCGAAGCTGAGGTATGGGAATAGGGGGCGACACCTAAATAGTAGGCGCTGGGACTAAAGCGGAAAGGGGATGTATATAAAAGGAAGGAAGAGAATGAATAAAGATGAAGGCATTGCACGATCCATTCTTTACAGAAATATCCAGGTCAATTCTCCGAACACTGCGAGTGAGCCAGTGGCGATCACTTTCTCAGATGCGACGTCGACGTCGACCGTGTGTTGTCGGGTGAGAGACGTTGGTGAACCCAGAGTATTCTGATGGTCATGACGATAACTTTGCCGCTAGCGTCATTGATAGCTAGGCTAGCTTCACCTGTAGCAGCGAGAGGAGAGAGCAATTTCAATGATATCCAATGATCACTGAGCTTTACGGTATTGACGCGCACAGTGGAGGACCCATCGAACCTACGCGGACCGTGGTCAGCTGGAAGGATGTATTTCCCAGGGAAACATCGACAACTGAAGGTATCAGTTCGTTTGGATGATATCTTTCAAGTCAATGGAGGCAAAAGGTAATAGTTGTCGTGATTGAGTAGCCTCAGTTGCGTTGCGAAAGCGAGTCCAAGCAGTTGCAGGTCCTCCGTTCCGTTCGTCACGTGACATTCAGTTTCACTTCACTCTTTCTTACTTCGTCTTTTGGTGGAAACACACCATTCCCAGTCCTCGCATTCACACAAGCGCGAATTCCCCTTCGCACCTACAACAGAAATTTATACGAGTTACTATGTTAAGCGCATGAAAGATACATACTGAGGACAAAACATGACTGAGAACCTCGATAAGCAAACTATATTAAATGTAGTAGCAGACTCGATTATTGAGTCTCACTTGGGCACTGCAAGGAGGGATTCCGCGTAGGCGCGGTATTTCTTCGGTATCCCAACGGGCCGGCTTCCACCCAAGGCAGCCATGAATTTCTCAAACGTCAAACAGTCTCCCAGAGTCTCGAAGTCGATGTCGTCGCTTCGTGGAGCAGGAGAAGGAGCGACAGCCTGTGGAACGGTCGGAGAAGGGGCTGAGCCCTCGTCATCATCCTGGTCTTCGTCCCACAGTCTCATAGCGAACAGGTCCGTTCCGATGACTTCTTCTTGTGCTTGGTGGGCCAAGTTCGCAAGATTGTCCCGGTTGACTTGTGCTTGTCGGAATAGGTTGCAGAGTGGTTGAATCCACAACGCTCGCAACGACTTGAACACAGGCTGTATATTGCGGAGTACGGGCTCTGGATCCCCCAAGAAAGCATGCTTCGCATTACGAGCTTCTCCGTAATCCCCAGTCCATGTTTTCAGCACTGGATTGACAGCGCCGGAGTAAGGGATGTCACTGCCGATGTTATAATGCACTACCGCCCATATAAGCACATAGAAGAGCGATTCGAGATCGTGCCGATACAGATGGACAGGCGGTTCGGGCCCGAGTAGGTCGTAGGCCATGAACGGGCCCGTCCCGGTTCGGTGGTTGGTGCTATTGCCAACCGCATCGACGGGTGTGGCTAGATCCCAGTCATTGAGGACCCCAACGACGCGCTTATCATTAGTCCACAATAGGTTGTTCTCGCTTATATCCCTATGAAGCACTTTTCCGTACTTCGTCACGGTGCGGTGGCCTGTTGGTTTCGAAGCATTAGTAATGTCTAAATTACGAAGTGACATCGCCACATACACTCAACGATGTCAATGTATGCCATTTGGAACCCAATCAATGTTTTGACTTCCCAAAGGTGTTTATAGCGATCCGAGAATAGGAGGGTGAAGTACCGCTGCTCCAATCCATACGCTATGGTCATGTCGTGGAAGAGACGCCGTGGTAGTCCCATAGATTCACTCTTGAGTGATATAGCGCAGTGAATACGAGGTAGATGACGTGTCATCCATGGAATCTTGTCGACGAGATCTTTGACTGTATCCGCCTCGAAATACGGACGTTTTTCCATTGGCCAACTGAGCTTGGCAACCATGGTGCCCTCTTGTCCTGATTCAGCACCCTGTTTCTCCTTGCTGGCCACACCTTCTGAGTGATCCTGGGCAGGTGATTCTTCGACTAGATCTCCAGGCAAGACATGCGATCCTCGTCCAGTGAGACTACCAGATACGTATAGCGGATCACCAGTGATTTTGAAGTGGGACCAGACCTTCTCAACGGCGGCTTCGCCTTTCACTTTATTGCCAATAACTTTGTCGTCGTCGCCCTCGTAAGCACTATCCTTGCTGCTGTTATATTTGGGCAGCCTAAGAATGGCGTTTTTCACCGAGAAGAGCGGCTGAGAGAGCAGGGTATCGGTGTTGGGTGCGACGAGTGGCTCGAATCCTGCTTGTGCAGGGTCGCACTGTCCAATGGCTAAAGCGAACAACGCTAGCTTCCATGGCTCCTCGTCGAATTTGAAAGGTTGAGTGTAGATAGCACCCATACGATCGTAATAATGCAATGCCACTTGTGTGTCTATGATGACCACACCAGTGGCCCATCGTCTGCAGGCGGAAGCCAAGAGCTCCAAGGCGTATCCAGCCGCTTGCATTTCTTTCCGAGTGAAAACTACGAGTTTCGGGCGTTTTGAAGCTGGCATCGGTCCGTCGAGGGTATCCGTGCTAGAATGTTTGCGTTTGGTACTAGATCGCGTCGTGAGTGTCGGGGTGGGCACTAGGCCGGGCGATGACACAGCTAGAGCAGCTGTAGCAGTTGTTCCCTCTTCGTTAAATATACCTATGGTTGAGTCACTGGCTGCGGTGCGCTGTGTGCGAGGTGTCACGGCGAACTCGACAAAGGCTTTGGCGAGTGACCAGGCTATGGGTGCCTCCTCGTCGTGTGAGCCGAAGAAGAAAAGCTGGTCAGGGTTTCCGACGTTCCAGACGCCTTTCAGTGTTGTCTCGTCAAGGGACGTGTGGTGTACATCAAGCTTGCGCCCGTCGTTGGTGAAAGTGTCGAAGAGATCGGCTATAATTGATTGGAATGGTTCGTAAAGATCCTCTTTTTGCGCGCCTTCATTAAGCAACTTCGTATAGGTAGGCAAGCCCTCGACCTTCCATTCTTTGCTGCGTATGTACTCGATATCGGCCTTCGATACGCCATACACGTACTGCACGTAATCCTCCATATCTACATCTCTGGAGATGCGGCCGAAAAGCTCTGCTCGTAATGCATCGTCAGTGCCTACATCAAGACGCGTGAGCAAGATTGTGAAATAGAACGGCCGCCACTTACTGCAGTCGTCTTCGGAGAACGACTCGGTCGAAGAGTAGAAGTTGTAATAATTGTAGTGATGAAGGGAGTCGGTAGAAGAATAGCCGTTCGTGGAGGGGTCCATTCTAAGGCAGAAGTTGTGGCGGATAGGGTTAAGGCAAGGCTGAACGAAACAAAGGCAGTGGATGAAGTTTGGGCGAGGCCCAATTTGGGCGAGGCCCAATTTGGGCTTACCAGTGACTTAGATTAGTTTCTTTCGAAAACAATGGTCAACAGTGGTCCACCTGACGAGATACCTGGTGGCATACCTGTACGGAGCGTTACCTGCCAGAGTAAAGTTCGTTGACCTTATCTATCCTCCATCTCCATCATTGTAGCTCATTGACAGGAAGAAGAGACAATGAGACGATGAGAGCTCAGAGGATGTAACGGACACGCTTCGTGTTATTGCTTTTCCCGCGTCAAGTTATATGTGAGCGGAGGACGGTTCTGTTATATTGACAGCTCTTACGTGGATGATTGTAGGAATGCTACATCGGCCAGCGTACTGTGTTTTTTTTGTAAAAGGGGGCCCCATAGATGGATGAGATCCTCCAACTCTGACTGGCAGTCGACTCAAGTCCTCACTGTCGATGGTGTGCCCACCGTCGCTCCCATTGGGCGTCCTAGGCGGGTATCGCTTTCGCTTCATGCTGGAATCCACCGTTTGCGCATAATTTCGTCTTCCTGCGTTCTCCTGCTATATTCCTATGCACAGGAGAGGGAGTCACCCACTAATTCTTACACCGTCGCTGCCGTCGTTGCTGCGAATGAGAGGAATTTCGGAGGCGTGTATATTTTCCGTTACGTCCTGAGTCGGGTAGCTGGAGTAATCTGGGCGCTTGGTGCGGCGCTAAATTTCCTCCTTCCAGACGTCTCGTGACGATTCTCGTCAGCTCGACGTCTAACGAGCGGATCACTCTGGCTTGCCATAGTGCTAACAGTATATGTTTTGGCAGGTTATATCCGACATTGGAAATAACAGTCTCATCGTGGTGCAAAGTGCGACACATCCTAATACCATCGACTGCGTTTTCGGCTTCCATGGCGGGCCAAATCCTCGTTCGCCACTCTCGATACACACTCTCCAATAGCGCACGCATCTATGCTCGTCTCACCTCCACCTTCACGCCGGATCTCAGTGAATGTCAACTTTCCACCCACCCCCCCACTGTACGTCTGCTGAGGTTTTCAGATTATTGCTGCGAACGACAATGTGATGGGTGCACCTGCTTGTGTGACAGTGCATCTTACCGCCGGATGTCCAGGATGCTTTATTAGCACCAGCGCAATGAATGTTGATGAATGCCGCACCCAAGGGCGATGCAAACACCACAACTCGAGCACTTGTGTGCAAGAAGCTGTCTTGCACTTTGACGGGCTTCTGCAATGGTAGGCTTTGGTTGTACAGTCACAAGCCTGTCTCTTTGTTTTGTTTACTGCCCGTATTAGGAGTCAATTCACCGATAGTTGCATGCTTACGCATACCTCTCTATCGAGAGAGCTCAGCACTCCTATTGTCACTAGGGGCATGCTCCCTGTTGCCAATACTTGCGCGTCTGGCTACCCTAAGTTTGTTGCCCGCTGTCATGAACCATGTCTGTAGACATGGTAAATGAGTATATTCAGCATTGTACTCCCTCAAGCAATTCTCTCTCCATTTCCCCAAGCTCCTATTTCCCCTATACCCCTATTTCTCCTAAAACTCTTCCTTCTCAAAAACTCTACCATTCCCCAAACATTTTAGCATCTCTCACAAAAATTACATAAGTGCTGCTACCCTTTCCCTTGAGGCTTCTTACAAAAGCACCAAGTTTCCTTCTCCATTCCTGAAAACTTCCTCACTTTTAAATTTTTCCCTTCCATTCTAAATTTTCCCCTCCATTCTAAAATCTTCCTGCTGAGTCACCAAGACACAATAGCATGGCTTGTATCCATATGATTTCCTTTGTTCCAGCTTACTACTCCCATTCCATTGGAGCCCATTTTTCCAAACTTGTCCTTTTACATTCATAACTTAAAATTTTAGAATGCAAACTAAATTCTTCCCCTTCTTTTATTTTGTTTCAGAATGCAACTCTGCATTCCTCCTCACCATTTATGACTCAGTGCTTACATTACATAGCCATGCAAGACTAGTATATAAAGCCTTGTATTATATAGAATAGGACAAGTTTTTACCCCCTAAGAAAGGTTCACCTAAGATCTGCAAGGATTTAGGAACTGATCTAGCTGTACCTAGAGGATCTAAAGAGTAGGTCTGATCTAGTACTGCCTAGAGGTTCTTAACACCAGTAAAATCTAAGGTGAGTAAGTCAAATCATCAATTTAAAACTCAAAAAGCAGTATTACCTTGTTTCCCTGTTTTTCAAATACCTACCTATTTCTTTATACTTTCACAACTTTGATAAGAAACCCCTAAAAACTTCGAAACCCCTTTTCCAACCAAATAAAATAAATACTTACAATTCTCCCTGTTTCTTCATAAAACTTATAAAACCCCTCTCTTTCTCTCTCTTTCTTTTGGAACCAATATTCCATATAGAACATCTGTGTTGCTTGAAAATCTTGTATTTCTCTTGCACACTTGCCCCTTTTACATACTAGAATCTCTGTTTGTGATTGCTAACCTCTTTAGTTAACAACCTTCACCTCAAAATACAAAACATAGACTATACCTCGCCATTATCTGCATATACGTTATCTCTACCCACCAAATATAAACAAATATGTACCTTCTCCTGTGACGACCCCTATTGGTGAAACAAATACAAAGAAACACTCCTAGAACAACCGGGCCAACACTTGATCTTCTATCAAGGAACCAGTGACCCCAGACACCTACTTACAAAAAGGGTGTGACACCGCATACATCATCCTATCAATGGGACATCTATCATCAGTGGTGTCCATCTGAATGCGACCATGAAGGATACGGTGTAGACCCCACAGATGGAGCCTTTGTCTTGCAGAAGTTAGGGTGTTTATTGGCACCATTTATTGTGTATGAGGCCGCATAGTCTTTGGGATCAGCACATTTGCAAGTTTCAATCTCTGTTCTGGTAAGGCTTTGTTTCTGAGAGTGGCCAGTAATTGTACATGCTCTCACAGGACCTTATGGACGTTACGGAACATAGTCACGACGACGCCTGGGCCCAGGTGCAGATTCGTGCTGAGTACACTGCGGGCAAATGCCCATAAAAGCATGAGTGATACGGAGATGGTACTGTGAGGGTAAAACAACACACTTCTGCTTATTCCCACTGTAGATACTGTAGAGTAATCTATTATATCTATCTATCTATGTATCTATCTATGTATCTATCTATTATATTAAGTCTCAATCCGTGTGAACTTTGAACTTAGGTAATCTTAGGTAAGCAGCAAATGGCCAACTGTTGCACGTGCTTCTTCTGTGTGAGGATAGAGGAATAGAAGATAGGAGAGGATGTCTTGCAAGTCAGATTCTGATGAGAAGGGGGGAATATATAAGCCATAGAGTATAAATATGGGTAGTCCCTTATACAAGCCTCTGAATGAGCTGAACAGGGTCTGTGAAGGCTTGAGGTTTGTCTGATGGGTGCTATATAGAATGATAGTACAGATGTAAATCTCATCATGAAATGAATTCAGTGTATGTAGATTAATATATACTTCAGAACTAATTACATGAGATGTAGTATGATATATTCAATTGATTACCACAATAATGAAGCTGAAATAATGGAGTAAAGGTTGGGGCAACCAGAGAGGGTAGCTAAAGCTACTCAACTTCCATGCCCTAAGCACTGAGTTTGGCTTTGGGCTCAGCATAGCATAGATAATATGAGATTGCATGATTATAGCTGTAGCAGAATAAATCTCATTTGTCAGGCTTGAATGACAAACTCATAAACCAAAGCATTTCAAGTTCAGGGTGACAGGGGATACACAGTAGGAGATAGGAGGCACAGTAACTAAACTCAGTTGTTGTGGGACAAATGGGGGGTACTTGAACATAGAATGTTAAATAGAATGGGGGGTGTAAGCAACTACATTGAGCACTTTGACAAGTGCTGATATCAATAGCCAAGACTCCTCAGCACAAATTAAGAGGGAATGATGGCGGGAAGTGGTATATATGATGGCCAAATCCTTCAAGAGTCAATCCAGTAAGTGGTTAGCAGACTGAGTGCACAGCAATGGTGAAGCAATAAGTAAACTGTACTCTAATGACTTCTAAGCACCATATTTTCCATGAGATACACTTACCAGAATGCATCTAATCTAAGAGAAACAAGAATGTTTCCTTAGTTGTTAATGTAAGGGCAACCTCAAGATAGCCGCACAGTGCAAGCCTAGCAGAGGGAGAATCCAAAGAGATGAATAAGACTAACTGCAATACATGAGAGAGCTGCTCACCTAGCAGAGGGAGAATCCAAAGAGAACAGGATAAGGATTCTCCATGCTAGGAAGCGAAGTATATACTGTAGTAGCGTGGGAGGAATGAAGGGTAACTGTACAGTACACCAGCCACAGGTACGAACAAATATCACGAGGTACGAAGGGGCATGTGATAATGAAGTGGAAGGGGAATGTACAGGAGTCGTGCCAGCGACCTGGGGAAGTGGGGACAAGGAATGACGAAGTGGGAAAGGAGAGTGGAGGTAGCCCGGACGAGTCCCGAAGTGTATCTACGAGTCCGAGCGAGTCCGAAGTGTCCGAGCGAGTCCGAGGCGAGTCCGAAGCGCGGGAAGACTTCGGAGTCACCGGACGGGGCTCGGATGCGAAGGGAGTGAACGGAAGGGAAGCGGAAAGGTAAGGGGGCGAGAGGGAAGGAAAGGGAATGAAGGGAATGTAGATAATAGTCCATGGGATGAAGGAAGGGAGAAAGGAAACGAAGGAGGAAGGGAGAGGGACAGGGGAATAGGAGAAAATAGGAGTGTCCCCTTACAGCCGTGGATTACTACGTGGCAAGAGACGCAGACGGAGGGACCAGGTACCTACCAACCACGCCCGTAATTTTCCAATCCGGGGATATTGTCGAACTCCAGGCGTCGATGACGTGTATCCCGACGAAAGGAAGCTTCACGGTGAAGCTGATACTGAGGAGCGTCATGTTGCTCAACAGCGAGTTCACCACGGTAAGCCAAGGCAAGCCCGGGTTTCAGCACATACTAACAACCGGGATACCGGGACCAAAGGACGCAACTACCGCCAGAACCTTGATTGCCATTGCACCCACCGCAGTGCCGAAGCATCTGAAGCGCCGCAACCCGTACATGAGCGGCTTCGATGCAAGGAAGAGCGGCCCCCACAAGCCGTATGACAGAGCTCTTGCAAATGCCAACACAGATGGGAATGGCTGTGCAGGGATGAGCCAGACCGCCGCCGACGACCTCTACTCATATGCCAGGATCGACCACAATAATGACAGCAACGGCGATGCACAGGCTGAGGGCTTTGGGCCAGGAGCAGACCAGCAGGCGGGAGACATGCCCATGGAGGGCTGATCAATATTTGTAGGTACAGACAAGAGTACAGACACAGGTAAAGATAGCTAGGTAGCCTTTGCGAATAAAGACACAAGTGAAGCTGCTCAGGAATGCAAGTAGTGGCAGATGGACTCTGTAAGAGAACCTCAGAGTGAGAGCACGTCACAAGATTGAAGGGCCCACTCACCAAGGGCAACTGTAAGGGGACACTCCTATTTTCTCCTATTCCCCTGTCCCCCTCCCTTCCTCCTCGTTCCTTTCTCCCTTCCTTCATCCCACGGACTATTACTTACATTCCCTTTGTTCCCCTTTGTTCCTTTTCGCTTCCTTTCCTTTCCACTTCCTTTCCGCCCATTCCTTTCGCATCCGAGCTACATCCGGTGACTCCGAAGTCTTCCCGCACTTCGGACTCGCCTCGGACGCTTCGGACTCGCATATACACCTCGGGGCTCGTCCGGGCTACCTCCATCCTCCTCTCCCACTTCGTTATCCCTTGTCCCCACTTCCCCAGGTCGCTGGCACGACTCCTGTACATTCCCCTTCCACTTCATTATCACATGCCCCCTCGTACCTTGTGATATTCGTTCGTACCTGTGGCTGATGTACTGTACAGTTACCCTTCATCCCTCCCACGCTACTACAGTATATACTTCGCTTCCTAGCATGGAGAATCCTTATCCTGTTCTCTTTGGATTCTCCCTCTGCTAGGTGAGCAGTTCTCTCATGTATTGTAGTTAGTCTTATTCATTACTTTGGATTCTCCCTCTGCTAGGCTTGCACTGTGCGGCCATCTTGAGGTTGCCCTTACAGTAAGTAAGTACCCACCCTCTTGTGCAAGCGCCCATCGATTCCCCAGGAGTAAAACAGATCCTTTCATTTCATTTCATTTCATTACAGGACCCGTAATTGTACTACATACTAAATACATCATTTATAAGTCTTTTTTTCTGTTTTCACAATAAATGGATGGAGTGTTCATGGGGTGCCTTCCCATCTATGTACTGCTGGTAGTAAGTTTCCCACATTGATTTTTTCCCTTCACTTCATCTTCCTTCTTTCCAGATCTCAGTAGCAGTATTGAGATTGAATTGTGTGCTATCCCCTCCCCTGTTTACCATGACCTATTTGGAGAAGTGAGGAACAGGGGACCCGTACATGCCATGCTGTGCAGTGGCTGCAGCCCCAAGTAGTTGCTCCATTATTTAGTGTTTTGTGCAAAAGTGACCAACATTGCAAGGGTTTTTTTAGTCACTGTATACTACCTATCTACCTACATAGGAAGTTAGTTTCCCCCTCCCTCAGTTGCGTTGCGAAAGCGAGTCCAAGCAGTTGCAGGTCCTCCGTTCCGTTCGTCATGTGACGTTCAGTTTCACTTCACTCTTTCTTACTTCGTCTTTTGGTGGAAACACACCATTAATGACGTTCAGAGTAGAATTGAAACTGAAACTGAAAGTCGTAAGCGCTCGAAAGTCGCAACCGCCCGTAGCCAAACAGTGCGAAGCCGTTAGCTGTTGCCGGCGGAGATCGAATCATCAGTACCCCTGGGTACCCCTGTTGCCTGCACAGTTATCACTGCGCACCATCTGCTATGCCTCCAGAAACATATAGAGAGCAGATCCGGCGTACTTTTCTAACTGGTCTTGTTCTAACTCACCTTCTTACTATTCCAACCCTTTCTCCTGATGAAAATGAGCTAGATCACTTAACAGATCAGCTTTTTGCAAATCTTCCGGTGCTTCAAGCCATCAATGAAACACGGTATCTTCGTGCTCGAACTCCAGTGCCCAAGAGCTCACAGATCAATCTGTTGTGGCAATACATGTCTAATCCTGATCATTACCACCGCTTCAAAGACATTACTGGGGTTTCTCCGCTAGTCTTTGACATTATCCATGATCTGATTAAAGATCATGCTGTATTCCAGAACAGCTCAAATGTACCACAAGAGCCAGTGGATATTCAGTTGGCTGTGATGCTCTACCGTATGCGCCACTATGGAAATGCAGCATCTATTGAGGCTGTTGCCCGATGGGCAGGTTGTGCAGAGGGAACTGTAGAAGCCTATACATACCGGTGCTTTGATGCTATAGAGGAACTCCATGATATATTTGTACGCCCCCTTACAGCTGAGGAAAAAGAACACGAGAAGTGTTGGATTGAAGAGCAATCTGGTTTTAAGGGTGGTATATGGCGTGAGGGTTGGCTAATGTATGATGGCACTATTGTTGTCCTCTACCGAAGGCCTGGCATGCATGGAGAAGCATACTTCACACGTAAATCAACATATGGACTTAATGTTCAGGTATACTCACCCAATTATGGTTTTATTTCATTACTAATATATATCTCAGATTGGAAATACTCCATCTAATCTTCGCATTGTAGACTATGCACATGGATTCACTGGATCTGCACATGATGCATCTGCATTTGAACATACTGCAGCAGCAAAGCACCCTGATTGGTTGTTTAGTGGACAAGAATTTGCCTGGGCTGATTCTGCCTACACACTTACCACACGGATGATACCAGTACACAAAGAACCTGCATCAAGCATTTGGTACAACCAGAAGTTTGACAAAGCAGTTTCTCATCTACGTGTGAGGTCAGAGCACTGTATGGGGGTGCTTAAGGGGCGGTTCCAGTGTCTTCGTGGCCTCAGAGTCCATATTAATACCTCTGCTGACCATGTCAGAGCCTGCCGATGGATCACAGTAGCAATAATCCTTCATAATCTGATTATCGACATCGAAGGAACCCAAGATATCTCAGAATTTACTGCAGAAGATGACCAGGAGAGAGAGACTGAGGATGACACAGACATACCTGATGATTCGGAATTTGGTCCAGCAGGGAATGAGGCAGAGGCCAAACGAATGCAATTAGTTGTAGAGCTACTAGCATATAAGTATGGACATCAACTGGAGGATGAAGGGATGTAGTATGAAATGAATGACAAATATTAAATGACTGTAGGCTAAATGAGTGACAAGGTAAATGAGGGCTATGTAAATCCTAGACATCATCATCGGAATCTTCAATATTATACCGCTTACGCAAAGATTGAACCTTTTTCTTCACTTTCTTTGGGGAGTAGCCACAAAGCTGTGCCTCTTTCAAGGTTTCCCTGTATTCCTCAACATAAAGACGGGTTTCGTCCAATCTGAACTTACGCCTGTCACGTTCCTCAGCTTGGGAAGCATGTCGGCTATCAATGAATTAGCTTCCTTATCTCTGAGTTTAATAAAAGCCTACCCAAGGTGGTCAGCAAGAACTTCTTCAATGCCTCGCTTTGCAGGTATGCGCTGCACTTTTTCCTTGGCCTTGGCCACAGCAGCATCAAGTGAAGGCGGTGTCCCAAATGAAAAAGAGGACGATTTTGGTTTATGACCAGCTCGGGGTTTTGCTGATGTTGAGGGAGGAGGAGGAGGAGGAGGAGTTGGGGAGTGTTGGGCGGTGGGTGGTAGACTCGGAGAGTGCCGAGTCAGTGGAGGTGGACTTGGAGAGTGCCAGTTGGCGGGCGGTAGAGTAGGAACAGTGAGAGACGGATCAACCAAAGACTCAAGCACTAAGGGATCAAAGGCAGAGGGGAAAAGATCAAATGTACCAGTGAACGGCTCATGTTCTGCGGTGGACGTGGTAGGTGGACCATCAGCCAGTGATGCTTCGGGTTGAGCAGTTTCGTTATAAATGATTGAGCGGCCATGTGGGCCAGTGCCGGTGATAATGAGGGGTGGGGTGATGTTGGGGCGGGTAGAGAGTATACGGTGAAGGCGTTCAAAGTAGGGAAACTCTTGCAGAATTTCCTCTGTTAATACAGCTCATGAGCCCTGTACATCCATGGGCAAAAACATATAACCTTACCCCAGATATTGTGCGCCTTTGCAGAGGTTGTGTTGGTTGGTCCATCGGGGCCAACAAGGAGACGGAGTGTCTGCTCGTTTGGGGCCTGTTCATCATCACAGACACCATCCCCAGTCGCACGTAATCGCTTGACATGGAGATGGTACTTGGAAACGAGGCCCCTACAAAAATGTGCAATAAGAGATAGAAATTCAAAGTATTGGGAGGACTTACTGCTCAATCTTCCCCTTGACACGCTCCCCTAGTGTCTTGACAAACTTGGGATTACCGGCGTACTGGGGAAACAGTTCTCGAGCAATGGATTGATGGATCTTTGTTTTTGATTCCTTGCCGGTGCGCTATGATTAATTAGAAACGGTCAAAAAAGCGGAGTCTGGGTCACGTACATCGTCCTTGTCCTGTTTCCCAAACAGTACTCTGAAATTCTCGGGCTTCTCCATTTGCGAGATCAGCGCGAAGGTAAGTTCCTGGGTCCAGGTGATCTTGGTGAGCGAGGCTGGAATTGGCAAGGGAGAAGCTGAGCGGAGGGAGGGAGGTTGGGCCATGGTGAATAGGAGGGAGCGATGTGAATGCTCTGTATGCGTACTACATCTTATAACGCAGCTGCAATGCGTTGACCATGCATTTACAACAAGGTTGGTGAAGGTTTGCTGTGGCGTTGCCGACTCGTTGCCGATCACTTATGTCATCTATTTGGCTACGGGCGGTTGCGACTTTCGCGCGCTTACGACTTTCAGTTTCAGTTTCAGTTTCACTTTCAGGTCTACTCTGAACGTCACTATTCCCAGTCCTCGCATTCACACAAGCGCGAATTCCCCTTCGCACCTACAACAGAAATTTATACGAGTTATTATGTTAAGCGCATGAAAGATACATACTGAGGACAAAACATGACCGAGAACTTCGATAAGCAAACTATATTAAATGTAGTAGCAGACTCGATTATTGAGTCTCACTTGGGCACTGCAAGGAGGGATTCCGCGTAGGCGCGGTATTTCTTCGGTATCCCAACGGGCCGGCTTCCACCCAAGGCAGCCATGAATTTCTCAAACGTCAAACAGTCTCCCAGAGTCTCGAAGTCGATGTCGTCGCTTCGTGGAGCAGGAGAAGGAGCGACAGCCTGTGGAACGGTCGGAGAAGGGGCTGAGCCCTCGTCATCATCCTGGTCTTCGTCCCACAGTCTCATACCGAACAGGTCCGTCTCTGTGGCAGATCCTTGGCTTCCCGTCAGAACGTCCTGTCCGATGACTTCTTCTCTTGCTCTTCTCGTTCTCGCATGCTTGTCTCGATTCGTCTGAGCCTCTTGAAAAAGGTCGCAGAGTGGTTCGATCCATGTAGCTTGCAATGGCTTGAACACAGGCTGTACCTCGAGTAGCACGGGCTCAGGGTCCCCCAAGAAAGCATGCTTCGCATTACGAGCTTCTCCATAATCCCCAGTCCATGTTTTCAGCACTGGATTGACAACGCGGGAGTAAGGGACGTCACTGCCAATGTTATAATGCACTACCGCCCATATAAGCACATAAAAGAGCGATTCGAGATCGTGCCGATACAGATGGACAGGCGGTTTGGGCCCGAGTAGGTCGTAGGCCATGAACGGGCCCGTCCCGGTTCGGTGGTTGGTGCTATTGCCAACCGCATCGACGGGTGTGGCTAGATCCCAGTCATTGAGGACCCCAACGACGCGCTTATCATTAGTCCACAATAGGTTGTTCTCGCTTATATCCCTATGAAGCACTTTTCCGTACTTCGTCACGGTGTGGTGGCCTGTTGATTTTGAAGCATTAGTAATGTCTCAATGACGAAGTGACATTGCTACGTACACTCAACGATGTCAATATATGCCATTTGGAACCCAATCAATGTTTTGACATCCCAAAGGTGTTTATAGCGATCCGAGAATAGGAGGGTGAAGTACCGCTGCTCCAATCCATATGCTATGGTCATGTCGTGGAAGAGGCGCCGTGGTAGTCCCATAAATTCACCCTTGAGTGATATAGCGCAGTGAATCCGAGGTAGGTGACGCGACATCCATGGAATCTTCTCGACGAGATCCTTGATTGTATCCGCCTCGAGATACGGACGTTTCTCCATCGGCCAACTGAGCTTGACAACCATGGCGCCCTCTGGTGCCTCTGAGGCTTCAGCAACCTGCTTTCCCTTGCTGGCCACACCTTCTGCGCGATCCTGGGCAGGGGCTTCTTCGACTAGATCTCCAGGTAAGACATGTGACCCGCGTCCAGTAAGACCGCCATATACGTATAGCGGTTCACCAGTGATTTTGAAGTGCGACCAGACTTTCTCGATGACAGTTTCACCTTTCACTTTATCGCCAATCACTTTGTCGCTGCCGTCCTTATTGCTGTCATCTTTTGGCAATCTAAGAATCGCATTATTTAGTGAAAGAAGCGGCTGCGAGAGCGCGGTGTCGAGGCTGGACGCAACGAGTGGTTCGAATCCTGCTTGTACAAGGTCGCATCCTCCAATGGCCAAGGCGACCAACGCTAACTTCCATGGCTCTTCGTCGAATTTGAAAGGCTTGGTGAAGATGGCACCCACACGATCGTAGTAATGCAAAGCCACTTGCGTGTCTGTGATGACCATGCCGGTGGCCCATCGTCTGCAAGTCGAAGCCAGGAGCTCCAAAGCGTACCCTGCAGCTTGTGGTTCTTTCTTATTCAAGATGCTGATTTTGGGGATCTTCGGGGGCTTCGGTCTGTCTGTGGGATCTGTGCTCCGGCGCTTCGTCCCCCCGGACGGTGTTGTGATTGTTGCGGGTAGCATCAAGTCGGGCGCTGACGCAGCTAGACCAAATACAGCTTCCTCTTCATTGATTGTGGCTATAGCCGAGCTACTGGACGTGATGATGCGTTGCGCGCTAGATGTCACGGCGAGCTCGACAAAGGCTTTAGCGAGTGACCAGGTTATGGGTGACTTGTCGTCGTGCGAGCCGAAGAAGAAAAGTTGGTCTGGTTTTCGAACGTTCCCGACACTTTTCAGTGCGGTCTTGCCAAGGGATGCATGATGTACGTCAATCTTGCGTTTCTCGCTCTCGAAAATGCCGAATAAGTTGGCCATAATTGCCTTGAATGGTGCATAGAACTTCTCTTCTCGAGCACCTTCGCCAAGCAGCTTCATGTAGGTATCCAAGCCCTCAAGCTTCCATTCTTTGGACTTTATTGCCTTGATGTCGTCTTTCGATACGCCGTATACATGTCGCACAAATTCTTCTAATTCCACGTCTTTCGTGATGAGGCCAGCAAGATCTGCCTTCAAGGCAGCGTCCATATTGGTGCGGTTTCGAGCGTACACGCCAGTTGCCCCTTGCTTACTTGGCGTAGACATGCCTAAGTTAAGATATGTGAGCAAGAGTATGGGATAGTAAGGTCGACACTTACTGGAGTCGTTGGAGGAGAACGATTCAGTTGAAGGGTAGATATGGTAGAAGTTGTAGTAGTCGTAGTGGTAGTCGTGAAGTGATTCTGTGGAGGAGCAGCGACTCATGGTGGGATGGTCCATTTTAAATCAAGCGTGGTGGCAAGGTGGCAAGACTGAATGGTGGTGGATGAAGTTCAGGTTTGGACGATTGCCAATTTAGGCTTACTACTTAGATTGGTTGCTTCTTTTGGCCACTAACAGCAATAAGTAACAACAGACAACAATGGTTTAGCCACCCCCTAAGTGTAAGTCGGTGGGCCGTGGCTAGATTGTGGACTCTGTACTGTTCCACACACGCACAGTGGTCCTGGCCACAGATGTCTCATTATTTGGCGCTCACGTAGGGTTCCAGGAATATTGACGAACATGGACCGGTACGATAACTCAGATATTTAACTACAGAAAGCGACGAAAGTTACTTTTACTGTGTGGGAAAAAGTTCGCACAGTAAGGTCGAAAGGTCGAAAAGTAACTTTATGCACACTCCTGAGCGAGCAACACTAGAAAACCATATCCCCATGTCATCGCGACGAAGAAGCAGGCTCACAAGAACACCCTCCTCTGACGGCATGGACTGCCAAAATATCGCGTACCATTGGGTGGGGGATGGCAGGAGCTGTTTACCTGCGGAGAAGCACCTTCCCCCAAGTCAGCTTCGACTTTCACCACAAGGATGGGCCCAACGTGCGCAAGCGGAGAGCAAAGCGTTGTTTATCGTATAGCCGTATATGTCGTATTTGTTCGCCGGCTATAGAACTAGGGTTGATTACTACTTGGTCGTCAGAAACATCAGTGTACCCAACACAATCCCCCACGTCTGATGACCTGCACTGAATCCAAAGGCAGCCTTGTCCACGCTTCTACCTCCAAGTGCGACGGTGATGAGCGCCCTCGTCCCCGTGCCAATACGACTGCGCCCTCCATTCAACTATTCATCTCATGTTGTTGTCCGCCCCGTCCGGGCCCCAGGTGTCCCAAGGAACCAGCATGAGTGCATGACCAGGAGCCATGGCGGCGTAAGAAAGCAGGACGCGATTGGGGACAAACAAACGGAATCTAACCCCAAACTGCGCGTTGTATGTTGCTGACATAACGTGGATGTGAGATTTCCGCTGTGGGGGAAGCCGTTTTGGATTGAAGGGGCCGTGCAACGATGGGCGGTGAATGAGAGGTGAAGAAGCGCAGCGAGATGCCCGGAGTCAAGGAGGGGAGGAGTAGCGTAGCCTTGAGCTCGGAACGTGGGATTCGAGAGTCGTTGGAGAACTCAAGGGTATAGATTTGTATTGAACCACACCCTTTGAGTGAGGGGAGCATGAAGGATCGTGCAGACAGAAGCTCGCAACCACCGCAAGTCACAGAATAGTCCTCGGTCTACCGAAACAAGAATGAGATATCAATCAGTGTGGAATGCGGGTCACTTACGAGCCATAGATCGCCGGTCATCCAGTTCCACAGGCGGATGTGGTCAGACTCGGCAGCAAGGGTGGTATATTGAATCAACACAACGTCCTCTGCAATTTGCAGTAAAGCACATATGATGAAGGGGTGCCCAACGAAGGGGTGGACCAAGGACTTTGATTCTGAGCCGTTGATCACTAGGCACGGGGATTGCGCAAGTTGGTGCGGCTCTTTGGTCGCCATGGAGTAAATGTACAAATGCGTATTTCTTGACTTCTCCGACGCGACGGGACTAAATAACAAGCCTCGTAGGTCAATATTAGAACGACCGCGAATTGAGCGAATTATACACACATCCGAGTATCTTCTAAGAATATGACAAGGTCCTGGGTAGGATCCATAGCGAAGTCTCTGGCGGCGAAAGGAAGATCCCAGGTGTCGATAGAACTGGCATCCATCTGACCCGTATCTGCGGCTCTGGGCATGGATGGCAGCTCGACGCATACAAACTCGTGCGCTTCTGTCAGCTTGGCAAGCACATCCGCCACAAGCTCATATGCTAAACACTCTCCTGGAAGATGTGCAGATACGGCGTCATTCCATTCCATCGCCGCCCAAGCGTGGCGCCGCCGAATGATAGTGGCCAATCGGTCCGAGTACGGGGTTGACGAAGCCGCTCAAGTGCATATGTTGTAAAATGAGAACCAAGCCTCTTCCCTAGTGACCAGCTTCAAGCAGATTGTGCGAGTCGCAGGCGCTTACCGATTCAGGGGCCGGCGGCAGTAACGTGCCATGCCAACCGAGTTCCCACGCCCGCACTCGCATGCCATTGTTCGCCTTTTATGGTAGTCCTTTTGTCCGCTCAACAATGAACAAGCAACAATGGCCAGAGCAGAAGAATAGAAGAATACGCGATGGATGACAATGGCGCGGGGCGATACTAAAGCCTTGTGCGGCGCGGATGGTGGGATCTAAGGTTCTTTCTGACCACCACCGCCAACGCCCCATAGCGAACGCTTTACGCTAACGACCGACTACTACGAAGACTACGAAAGTATGAACAACACTCTGCTATCTACTTGTGAGTGCTCTCGTTCCTGCTCTCTGAGGTTGGATATCGATACTGATGTTGGCTGCGAAAAGGCCTGCGGAGGCAAGCGCGCACGCGCACGCGCAGACTCCACGCCCAACCACACATCGCCACTCTGCAGATGATCCCCGAGCTCGAGGAGGACGCCGCCTCCAGCTCAGGCTCCCGGGCATCGTCGCCCGCGCCGCGCTCCGTCAAGGCCAGCCGCCGGCAGGGGAACGTCAAGCTGTCGGACATACGCATTGTGAGGGATATCGACGTGTCGTGTGGGAGCGGGGAGGAGAGGTGGGTGTCGTGGGCGCTGGAGGGGTACGGGGAGCTCGATTTGTGTTCGCCGCGCCCGGCGCCGTCGCCCCCTTCGTCGCCGTCCTCGCATTCCTCGTTGTCGCCCCCGTCGTCGCCACCGTCTGCATCTGATGAAGAGGACTTTTTCGCGAGTCAGCAGCTCCAGCGCATCCTCCCGCTTTCTATCACGAAAATCAACAGGCCCCTTCCCCAGGAGCCACAATCCGTCACAGAGCAGCAACGAGAGTCAGACGACGCGGATGAAGACGAGTTTGACGTTTCCGCCTACTACTCGTCGCCATCTTCCGACGATGAAAGCAGCGACGACGAGGCAGGGTACTACACACGCGAGCTGCAAGATATCCTCACTCTATTCCCCCTCTCCTCTGCTTCCATGCCCTCGCCAACTACGATTGCACGCCCCGAATCTATGATTTTCCCTTCGTCTACAAGTACTAATGAAAAGCGGGCGAGTCGACCCCTGCCCACGCCTCCCCGCTCTTCCTCTTCCACACCATCATCCTCTCCTTCGCCGTCGCCTACGACATCCAAACGTTCAAGCACGGGCAGGACTTACGTCATCCCATCGCGCCCTCCTCCTCCACCCCCAACCCACCAGCGACGCCGCCCGCCGCCCCGCGTATCCGTCCCCTCCGACTTTGACCTCGACTCCAACACCTACGAATTCGAGTTCGATGACGCAACGTCTCCCTTCCCCCCATCGCCGCTCTCCATCGTCACCCCGCCCTCGCCCTCGCCTTCCGACCAGTCCGACGTCGACGTCGACTTCCCGCTCGCCGACATGGACATCCGTTTCGAGCTCGACGTGGATATCGATCTGGACGTGGACATGGACCACCCGCTGTGCTTCCCCGAGTCCCTGCCCGTCACCCCCATGTCCCCCGCCACCTTCGACGCCTACCACAACGACGAGTACGCCCTCGACAGCACGCACCACGATTCTGACCTCCTCCCGCCCTCGCAGACGCTCAAATCCCGCTGGAGCTCGTCCACGCTCTCGTCGACCTACTCCCAGCACTCCCCCGCCTCCCCCAAGCACAAGAAGAAGCACTCGCGCTCAGGGTCTGTGCTCTCCGCGTCCAAGCTGAAGTTGTACTTCAGCGGTGGAGGGCGGAAGAGCCTGGACGCGATGCCCTCCACCCCGCGCACGCCCTCGACGCCACGCACCCCGATGTCGCCCAGGATGGCGTCGGCCTCGCGGGTCCCGTCGACGCCGAGCACACCCATGACGCCCAGGACCCCGCTTTCGTACAGGTACGAAAGCCCCCCGCCTACCACGCACCGTCCTGCCCATGCGCACACGCACACACACGAGTACGCCACCCGCAAGATCCGCCGGAGCGCCTCCGTGACGTCGCACCACTCCCTCTCGTCGTCGTCGTCCTGCTCCTCGAGCGGGTGCAGCGACGTGAGCAGCGCGAGCAGCAGCGGGAGTGGGCTGCGGAGGAAGCCGATCCCTGTCGAGATGTTCTTGAGGAACTGAGTCTTGCCAGGTTGAACGAGGCTTTTGAGCGCAGCTGTGTTCGTATTCGCCTTGATGTTTCGCTGTTTCGATGTTTCGATCGTCCCGACTTGCCATCTTTTTTACGCACCCCCGAGCCCCGCGATCCCTCCTCCTCCCTCCCCGCTAGTGGGTCGTTGAGTCGAGTCGAGTCGAGCACCGGGCATCGTGGCTTCATCCCATCCCCCTTCCCTCCTCCTCCTCCTCCTCCTCCATCATACGGAGTCGAGTCGAGTCGATGAGTCACGGAGGGCGCCGAAAAGCATATATGAATATATCTATCCCTTTCGTTTGATTATCACTTTCGTTGCCCATTTCACCCATTTGCCATCTTCAATCCATTCGTATCCATTCGTTAGTGTACATACCCTTCCCCTGCATGCTCGCACATTCGCGCTTCGATTACCCGCTGTATCCACCACATCTCGTATCCGCATACTACTATATCACGTACCATATACTACTTAGACTGCCTCACTCACTCTTACACTTACACTCTCACTCTCACAACGCATAACGCATACAAACGAAGCAATGTATTTTTAGGTTTAGCTAGTGCTGTCCGATCAAACATCCATTATCCATTATCCATTATCTATAGTTGAAATTGTGAAAATTTGAACGTGAGTCTCGAATGTTCAATGAATGAACAGATGAATCGACTCTGGATTGGAACCGGTGAATTGGAATCGGTGACGTTCGGGCAGAAGTCACTAATTAAGACTGAAGAGACGCCACACTCCAAGGACCGGCTTTCCCATTCCTGGCCAACTCATTACTCGTTGCTGCGTTACTGCGTTACTACTCGCCCCGAAGGCGGTTCAGACGCCATTTGGTGAGCTGATAGTCTGTAGTCAATGATACATGTTATGTTGGATATATGTTGGATATATGATATAGATATGTGGTGTAGGACACAGCGATTGTCGTGGGCGCTAGAGCATTGGCGGGGCGGGGCGGGGCTGGGCACTGGCCATGTTTTATGCGTCTCTTCCTTCTCCTCTTCCTCCTCGTTGTGCTCTCAATTTACATAGCAAGTTCAAACACCAAACCTCTTCCGCGCTCCGCATCCCAGCCCTGAGGCTTGGTGCCGAGCGCTCACAGAGCATCTCTCTTACTTCGGACTCGACTTCGGACTCAGAGCCCTATCCCTTATTTCCTTATTTTCAGGGGCCCATTCGTCCGCTACTAGCCACTGAGCGACCTCTTCCACCGTGTATATTAAGTCATGTATTAAGATTCAGGAAGAAAGGCAGAGTCCGGAACAAGGGAACACAAACACAAACACAGACGCAAGACAAACACGAAACGAACACGAACACGCAACAGCACGCCCGGTACTGCGTACTGTACTAGCCAGTGATTCAAGATGCGCGCGCGGCCACGAGTGTCCTTAGGCACCGGATACAGGCGCCGTCTTCGGCCAGTTGTCCAGAAATACGTAGGCGTCCTCCGTGGGCGGTTGGATCTTGGCTAACGCGCCGAGACGCTCGTCTGGTGCATGCACGAAGCAGATTTATGTCGGTTGACGATCAGGGATCAATTTCAGAATGTGAACGTGAATGTGGGTGTGATGGGCGTGTAGAAAGATGATTGTTAGAAGGACGTAAAAATATGATAAACACACGAAACTCACAAACGGGATCACTAGCAATCGGCGTGAAATGCTTCAGCGCCCACGACGTCCCGGCGGCGACCTCGTCCCGTCTACGCTGTCTCTGTTCATTCTGCGTGTTCCAAGCGAGTCGTAAAATCACCACGACAACAACACAAACCCCGGTCAGCACCAAGAACGAAGCGACAGAACAACAAACAACCCCACCTCGATCCTCCCCTTCTCCCGGCTCGCGCTCTCAAAATCGCCTTCCCGGATCCCCTTCGCGACCAGCCTCCACAGCTTCCTCGTCTCGAACTCGCCCATCTCGCCCTCCGGCGCGCCGTCCCCGCCCCCAGCGACGACCGTCACCTCCTCCTTCGGCCCGTTCACATCGTGGAAGTCGCCCTTCCCGCTGACGCCCCCCTTCACGAACTTGCTCGTCGTGTGCCACAGCCCCTCGACGACGTGCTCCCGCCCCGGCGCGCCCGGGGCAGGCGAGACCGTCGCCTTGAACGAGTGGCTCTTCCCGGAGAAGTACCCCTTGCCCTTGTACTCGACCGTCGAAACGAAGCCCCCGCCGACGATGTAGGACGTTTCGCAGAGCTCTATGTAGGGCGAGCCGTACCAGAGGCCGTCGATGCGCAGCCGCGGGAGGGTGATGAGGTATTCGGTGACGGGTGGGGCGCCGGAGGCAGAGGAGGCAGAGAGATTCTTGACGGTGAGGATCGCGTGTCCGATTTGTTTGACGATTATAGAGCCGCCTGTTGTGCCAATAGCGGTTCATTCACGGCGCGGCGTACGCAAATAAGTAAGCACTGACCGCTGAAACTCGTCTTCTGCGCGTTGTGTCCAACCAGCTTCAGCCCTTTGGCCTTGTTCTCGATGACGTAGGCTGTTATGGGCGGGTGGTGGGATACTTGTTCTACGAGGAGGTCGGTTTGACCGCGCCCGCCTTTGTCAGGCCACATTCCGTAAAATAGCCTAAACAGGGGAGACAGATGTTGAGCAACGAGGAGACGTGGATAGATGCAGAGATACCCACTCTCCTAGAACTGGATTTAATGGCCTGGTGAGAGGTGGGGTTAGTAAGTTCGCGTGTCTTCAGACGAGCCCAAGGATTTGCTTACTTCTTCTCTGATCCCATAGTATCGTTTCGCGAGGTATATTGCCCTTTGAGCGTACTCTAAAGAAGGGTGGATGTATCAGTAGGTTGTAATAAACGAGAGAAAATAGAGAACGTACAATAAACCATTTGAGGACCGCTAACGCTCTATCTTCGTCAGACTTTGCATCTGCTATTGCGGCGAAGAGTTCTGGTCGTTCGCACCAGTACGCTGCAGACGTAGGGGGAGTGCATCAGTCGCTTTGAACACTTTCCCGATGAGACACGGATGTAATCATAATCGTACCAGGAAATTCCGTAAGCGAAACTGGGGATAAGATGAAGGGTGGGGCCGTCATTGATGATAGATCTCCAGAGAATGATGCGATGCTATTTTGGTCGTGAATTCGTGATTGCGCAGGCGATGGAGGATGCATGGGCGCGGGCACATCGTGATAAATTCGTGGTTCGGTACAGCGCCAGCCCGTCCCCGTCGTAGAAGGTTTCATGGTCGCCGCCATCCAGTCAACATCGGCATCGGGGGCGAGAACAGCGTGTGTAGGGTATAAAATACGCAGAAGGTCGTCAGAAATCATCAGGAAGGATTGTGGAAGCTGGTTCCCAGATCCACGGTGATAGAAGCACCACCCAGTCCAGCCTGGTAATGCAGAACACGTACGATTTCAAGAACGACGTCCAGCTCCCTCTCTGCGACGCAGGAACCGCCTGCCATGATCAAACGCGAATGAACGAGCGGATCCCATGGATTCTGGAGAACAACACACCTCTCCGACTTGTTCAGTCATCGTGGAACTGTGTATTGATGATTACTTGGAGGAATGCGAGCAGCAATGCGGGGAACGAGGCTGAATCGATCAAGGTTGGGAAGCGGCGCAGTAGGTGGGTGGAGTAGAGGAAGATTAGCCGCCCAACCTGGCACTGTCACGATATACCCATTTGTCTGCTACAGGCTAAATTTGGAACCTCAAAGTCACTGGCAACCCAACTCTCTCTTATTCCATTCGAAATCTGGAAGACTTATTGGAATGAGAAGGGAAAGGGGGACGAGCTCACAGCTGGGGATTCCCATTCCAGCGACATCTGTATTATCCTCGACTTGGTCGTCTATTCCCTCAGCTCACTCTGTTAACTTCTGGACGTTTGTCACCAGACTCCGTCGTTCTCACACTTGTTTCACCTCAGCGCGATTTTCCACCTCTTGATGCCTTCTACCTCGAAGTGGACACCAAGCGCGACGTGTCGAAGCCGTCGTCCTCCAAATGACGATAAATTTCACGCGCAAAGAATCACCCAAGGGCTTCACGTTTTTGGAACGGTTAAATGGTCTGCTGCAGTCTCGACGCGACAAGAGACTCGGCCCAGTTGAAAAGACACAAAAGCTATCTGTGTAGCGCGTCCTAAGAACGCTGGACTCACTAATGCTCCAGTGGTCGTTGAACACCATCCTTCGACCCCGGTTCCCATATTTGCGCCGCCCATATGTCCCATCACTTCTCAAGCACAACTGGAAGAGCACATAGCCTTGAGGGCGTCTGCTGAAATTTGACACGCAAAAGCAAACGCATGGCACATATGGCAACACGACAATACAACGATAAATATACAAGAGCGAACATCTTTTCGACCGACCTCGTTGCGAGGACTCACCTCCACGGACACGAAGTCTCATTCCAAGAGTGTCCTCACGAAGAAAAATTGCCACCAGGAAGATACAAGTCTTGCATGAATTATCATACTACATCATAGCTTCCGAAACATACCGTAAAGTAAATATGTATCTATCGAGAGCAATAGTCCCAGTCGCAATGCCCAGAGCGATCATAACTAAACCAACAACATCGAAGATTGTAAGTAACATAAAACAAAAGCGAGGATGGACGCAACCCTTCAGCACGACCACCGCATATAGATATCTGACATGCACCCCAACATGCCTCACTTATCCTCCGATATAATCCCCTCGATGCTAAGAACATTTTTCCTTTGTCCTTCCCCACCTACCCCGCCACCGCCACCGCCACCGCTTCCACCCGCAATCGAGCTAGAACTCCCCGATCGCTGGCGTCCATGCTCGCTTTTATCCTCATCCTGACCCCTGCCATAGCCGCGACTGCTGCTCCTCAACTGTATGGTCTGATATCCCCCGCCGTTGCCCCCACCGTTCCCGTCCCCGCCCGAGCTTGCATGCTGAGAAGTCAGCGGCATGGTCAACAATGACGCTGGGCCTAACCCTCCTCCGCCCTGACTATGCCCCGCCGAGGTCTTCATCGGGGGCAACTGAATCCGATCGCCTCCCCCGCCGTACTCTCCGCCAGGACCTGCCCCTCCCCATCCACCGCCACCACTCATCGCCGGCGTACCCCACGCCGTCACTCCCTGCGCTCCTCCTCCGCCTGCACTCGTCTCGCCCTGCTGTTGCTGTACGGGCGTCGGCCCACTCATTCCAGGATGCACGCCGTGTGGGGGTCCATACGGCCCAGGCCCGTACCCATACGCAGGATGTTGCTGATGTGGATGGTAATACGACTGCACGTAACTCGGTGTTCTCCCCATACCCATATTGGGCGGCCCTCCGTGAATAGGCGGCGGTGCAGGTGACGACCCTCCGAGCGTCGTGCTTCCCGTCGTCGTCGCTGCAGTAGTGGAAGAAGATGCAGAAGCGTTGGCGTTCGCACCAGGTGCCACGGGAGAACCCGAAGTCCCCACATTCGGAGCCACCGACTGCGGCTGTGACTGGCCTTGTGAGGGTTGCTGTTGCTGTTGCTGCTGCTGTTGAGGAGGCAGAGGTGCGTACCCAGTCGATTGTTGTTGCTGTTGTTGGCCGGGTGTCGTAGATCCTTGACTAGGCGGCGGTACACCCTGCTGGTGTTGTTGACTCTGATCGTAATACCCATACCCGCCCCCATAATCGTACCTATGCATCGGCGGTGGCGGATGGACATATCCACCATGCATCTGCCCACCCATCGCATGCGGCGGCGGAGGTACGCCGTAATGCTGAGGAGGCATCCCAGGATGGCCAGCATAATGCGGGGGCGGTGGAGCGTGATGAGGATCGTACATGGGCGGAGGTGCACCCCATCCTCCGGGATACTGCATGTACCCTGGCGTATGGTGCATAGGATGTGGAGGCCCAACCCCTACTCCTACACCTGGAACGCCAGGCGGCGGCATCCCCATATGCATTGGCTGGTGTCCCGCATAAGCTTGCGGAGGACCGTAGCCTTGATGCCCAGGGTGCATTCCATACGGAGGGGGGACATACGATCCCGGCGTAGTAGGTCCTTGCATGTATCCTGGTTGGCCCATATCATACGAAGCATATCCTCGAGGATCGTAGATACCTCCAGGCGTCCCCGTAGGCGTCATGCCCATCGCTTGGGGTTGTTGTTGAGGTTGTTGCTGCTGCCCGGGCGCTGGTGTATTGCCGCTTGTCGCGCCTTCGTTAGTTTGCTGGCCCGAATTCGAATTCGCATTTGCGGTCCCATCATGCGCATGTTGTTGAGGAGGCGGTAAAGAATACAATGAAGGTGGCGGAGGCTGTAAAACACCTATCGAATACGAATCAGCTCAACAATCGGCCCGTGGTGTACAACCTCGCGACTATAAAAGCACGCTGAAACATAAAAGAAACGTCGCTCTTACCTGGTTGCGAATACGCATGCATAGGCTGCATCATACCCATATGACCTTGCATCCCTGGATACATGACTTGCTGTTGCCCATGCTGCACGAGTGGCTGTTGACCAAGCTGCTGACCGAGTGGGGGTTGCTGCTGCTGACCCTGTTGCGATGATGGTGATGGCTGCGACTGTTGGCCAGCTATCTGCGCACCAGGCGGGGGTGGAATGTTCACCTGATTCTGGTTCTGCTGTTGATTTGGCGGTTGCTGGATACCAACCATAGGACCAGGACCATTGCTTGCTCCTGTATTTGATGATGTGCTTCCAGTAACATGCGTCGCGCCAGGAGGAGGAGGTATAACTTGTCCACTACTGCCACCATTGCCAGTACCCGCATTTCCGCCCCCACCCCCTGCAGTCACATTTCCAACAACTCTCTGCGCGCCAGGAGGCGGAGGGATGACTTGAGTCGTCGAAGCTCCAGGATCTAGCTGCCCAACAGGCGGCCAAGCAGTATGAATAGCCGGGCCCACGACCACGCCGGGTCCAATCGATTGGCTCGCCGCTCCCGTAGCTACGCCGCCAGTGGCGGCAGCAGGGCCTCCCATAGGTGGAGGAGGCGGTATACTCGGAGGCGGAGGAATGGCGTTATCAGGTCCGACAGGCGGGATACTTGTATCGTGCGTGTGAATCTCTACATCGCCCCCTTCACCGCTACCACCAACATTTGATGAGGGAGGATCGTTCATTCGCATACGTTTGGGCTCCCGTTCGCCGGACTTGGCCCCGTTGCCATTCCCAGCACTCCCGTGCGTGTTCGCGTTCGAGGTGTTGGTGGCAGGGTTTCGTCGCTCGTCTTCGTCTTCATCAGCTGCCCGGGGAGGATAAAACCCAGCTTGCTGCTGTTGATATCCTCCCATCCCCCCAGCGTGAGGTGTAGCGATGTTCGTCGTACTAAGATGCGTGATTGTTCCATGCTGTAAACTGGGACTCCCGATTGGGTGCTCCAAATGGGGGTTCGGGCGCTTCCTGACACGAATGTCTTTGCGTATCCGGATTTTTATACCCTGATCTGCGAGGGAGCATGACAGCGGTGTGGACTCTATAGATTAATGGGCAAGGAAGTAGGTCAGTAACAGCAACATTAAAGCAATGGCAAGCGAGGATAGGAATGAAATAGTCTAACATCTAGGTTCATCTCGTCAAGAACCTCCAGGGGCACAGACATAGTGATGGGTCGACAAAAGTAGAGCGTAATTACTCACCCTCCATGCCCGGGAACTTCTTCGCGGTGTACACATAAAACGGGGCTGAAAAGATCGACTTGCAATGTCTCACCGTGCTCCTATATGCCACGCAATCACAGAGAACAGTCCCGGTTATTATAGTTCTACTTAGAAGGGGTGTCACAGCTTACCCAACAACTTCATATAAACTCAGCTTCAGCCTATAACTCCCCTCGGTTCGAACGCTCAAATCCGGGAACACGAAAAATCCGGCGTCTTGGTTCTGGTTCTCCGTATCCTTGAGGTGGTAGAGTGAAGATACGACAGAGCCTGTTGTACAGCGCGTGCGACCGTCCTAGTAGGTTGAACGTAGTTAATAGTAGGTCAGTGACATGTTATTAGATAGAGCAAGGAGAGAGGAAAGGAGAGGGAACAGAAAGAAGGTAAGAAGAAAATGTGTATTCACTTTCAGCCAATGCAACTCCGTATCATCATCCGGTTTCGCTAGACTCGCAAACATAAAATAATACGGATTCTGTAAAAATGAAGAAGCAAGGCCAGCGCTCCCTCCTCCTGTCCCCATTATCGTTGACGTTGATGATCCTTGCGCTGAAGTTGAGATATTTGCTGAAGATGTGGTAGGTGTAGAGGTAGATGCGGAGGAGGGGTGTGCAGTAGCCGAAGATGATATGGATGCCGTAGATGAGTGTGGTTGTGTTTGATGTGAGGAATGGTGCGATGAATGCATGTATTCGTCTTCGTGTCTGTGTAGTCCGGAAATTTGGCGGGAAAAGCCAAAAAAAGATGACCAAGGCGGGGAAAGAGCGAATGTGGAGAGGCCAAGAACCACAATTACATCCAAGAAGTAAGCCGAAAATTTGCCAAGCCACGAGGCAACAAGCGCCAGACAAGGACACCGCCACGGGAGGCAACCAATACCACGGATGGTGCCATAGGAAAGGAAGATAGACGCAAAGCACGTCAGAGAGGCGTATTTGGACAGCGGGATGTCGGCGACGACAGCAAGAACAATAAGAAGTAAAGTATGCAAAAAGGTATCCAGTTTGGCAAGGGTTCACATCGTTGCCGATAGTCCATAATGACGACAGACCAACGATCCAAGACAAGGGTTGATGTGATCGGCAGCATCCAGGTTCCAGGTTTCAGGGAGCGTACGTAGGGGAATAAACCGAAAAGAGAGATAGTCAGTGATCGATCCACAATCCATACTGATTGAAAGGAGGTGGAAGACAGAAGACAGAATAGCTGCAGAGTGTAAAAGGACTCACCGTCCGCTCATATCATGATCGTCGTCGAGCATGCCGCCCTCTGCTCCTCGTCCCCTACTATTTCGTCTGCCACCCCTTCTGCTCGTACTCCGCCGCGCGTCCGCGCGGTCATCCCCTTCGTTGCCTTCGTCGTCTTCGTCTCCCTCGTCATCGCGTTCATCGTCACTACGCAGTCCACCTCGCCCACCGGCCCCATAGGCCGCAGAAGATGTTGTCGCGTGGGAAGGAGAGGCTATATGTATAGCCTTCCTCCGCTGATGAGGCGGGATATTTGAATTTTGGGCAGGCGGCGACGAATGTTGCTGCAACTGTGTCGATTGGCTGGATTGACTAGAATATGAATGAAGTCCATGAGGTGGAGGTGGAGCTTGAAGATTCCTTCTCCGATGAGATGGATCTATAACCCTGAGCTGGACGATTGGAGGAGGGTCAATTGGTCTTCTATCGGCTGTCGTCGAGTAGATACAATGAATACGGTGAATAGTGACAATCCAGGCAAGAGATTAAACACCTTTTCCGCCGATACCACACATTCTAGCTTGTTTCGGTTCTTGCCTAACGGTTAACTCGTATTCTCTATTTGGATGTGGAAGTGCGTCGCGATCGAGCGCATGGGTGTTGCCGTAGTATGAAGAATGGGAGTTGTAGGTCGAATGAGGGTGAGATGGGTAATTGTGGTAGGTCATTGGTTGTTGCGGTTGGGTAGGGGGAAAGAACGTGGTATACGGGGGAGGATGATCGGTGTCGGCGGCAGCGTTGTAGGGCGGTGGAAGGGGCATGGGGTAGGTCAATGGCAGGCCAAGTGTCAGCGACATCGAGGAGGAGGAGGATGAAGAGTTGTGAAGGAGGATGAGAGTCAGTGCATCCGTGCGTGCGAGAAATGTGATAGACTTACAAAGTACCACCTCCTCCCACACCCATTCCAGACGCTGTGCCGCCAATACCCATAGCCGACCCGACCCCAACTCCTGGTACAGCTACACCATACCCATGTCCGTGTCCGTGTCCTTGATGTCCATGAGGATGCGCTTCCATGTCGTTCCGTGCGTCGACCTGAGAGGTATTATACCCGGGTGGCCGAGTGAGTGCGCTAGTGGTGTCGCAGAGTACCGAGCAGGGAAGAAGGAGGAGGGAAAACCAGACTTCTGGAGTCTGGTCGTGGTGGTGGTAGAACTCTGACCGTGGAACAAGCGTCGACCTTCCTGTGGGTAACACTCAAATACTCTCACGCTCACAGTCCATCACAATCACAACGTTTTCGACTTCAAAAATAAAATCGAGGTGCTGCTCCGCATTAAAGTTCTGCTCCATCCAAGCAAGACTGGCATGCGAACTTTCCAGGAACTTGGCTCTGACACAGGCCGGTTGCTCGGCTCCATCCTTGTTCCCGTTCCCATTGCCCTATTCCTCTCCCATGCTGCATGCATGTGCAACACACCGGGACAAAGCTTCAGAACAAGTTTTTCTACGCCGGTTGATGGAGTCGACTCTCCACCAGATCCCCGTCTTTACATTAAGGTCCCCTTTCCACGCTCGCCCCAAGAGTCCAATGGCATTCATCAACGTTTCGTAAGGAGTTGAAAGTTATGCTTTCGGGCCTTGTTATACATAGACGGAGAACTCATTCAGAGCGGTCAAGTCACCCCATTTCTATGTATAGTGGATCAACATGGCTTCGCATCGAGTATGTAGTCTCATACATGAACCGCAGTACGCACCGACATTTCAGCGCCGAACCCCCGTTATTCGGCTCCCAGCAGATCATCACCTTCAAGTAGCTCATCACGCCCAACATCAACCAGCGCCCGGTCAAAAACAAACTAGTTTGACTTTTGGCACATAGGCACTGGCTCTATTGGGCACTGGCGGTCCAATGGGTGGAACAGTCCAGATACTAACAATACCTCCAGGTCGCGAACCATAGCATGAGGACTCCCGGAAGTTGCCACAACCCAGCGTTATCAACCACGGCGGGGGCATAAGGTGGGGAGATATAGGTATACGGCAGTCAACGCTTGAACGTTGAACAGTGATATGTGAGCCACAGCCCTCCAGCACTTACTCCCCTTGGCCCGCGGCTCTAAGTTTAACAAGGACATGGACACTTGTACCTTTTGAGAAATTCGGTGAAGTGGGTTGATCACGAGTTCACGCGGTTAGTGTTGGTATCGAATGTGGCTCCCCCGGGCTTTGTCTTCGAGATTGACTTACGTGCTGTTGGGAGCACATACGAGGTACTAGCCACTAAGTAACAGACCAAGTAGTCCAGCATTATGAGAAATGAATATAATCGCTCTCATACAAGGTCAATGGCGTGTTGTGGACGGTATCTCGTCGCAATTGGTTGATAAACGACAGCTGGTGGTCTCGATATCTGCCTACCTCACGAGCAGTATCGCCGTCACCGTCAATTGCTTCCTTCGGTTCCAATCGGAGGGAAAGCTGCTGGCTAAGATGTCAAGCATTCACTACGTGGAGCGAGTAGTCTTCCTTCGGTATCAGGAAGTAAATGTGACTGGATAACTTGAGGCTCTCCATTAACGTCGCTGGCAGTGGTGGAGCTCGAGACGCGCCCAATGGTTCATCTCGGGACTAATATGCTGATGCCGTAGATTGTGGTTTTGCCAATGCTGAATTGAGGGAGCATGATGAAAGTAGTTTGACGAGAAAATGGTATCAGGATGTGATGAATTCGACTTACAGTTCCCCTTTAGCTCTCCGCATTCCCTTCCCTACCCCCCCTCCTTCACGAAACTCATTGTGGAGGTGAAATCCAACGCCCCTTTGCCCCTGAATATAAATTTCCCAGGCGGAGTGCCCGCGGCCCGTGAATCCTCCAGCATGGAAACCAACATCGCAACGTGGCTTTCATTCCATGATGCTGCAATGCTCGGTAACAATTATGGGCACGCGCCACAGAGGCCGGCAGTGGGGAAGAAGACAACTGAGACTTGGAGGGCGTGTTCTTATCACCGTGACTGCGGTGAGCACTGGAATTGTGCCGGATCCATGTCGGTGTTGGGCTGGCAGGACGACGAGATTCAGTATATAATACGAGGTGGGTGTCCGATGTCGCTCTAGACGTGCCTGGGTTGTAACTAACGGAGTCATTAACCCCGTAGCGCTGTAGGAAACCCGGTCTCTCGCATTGGTTTCCTCCAAAACCACTCCATTCGCTCTCCTTGAGCCCACTGAGGAGCAACAGTGCGGGCACCAAGGCACGCACCGATCCTACTACATACTGGCAGTAGCGAACGAGAGGTGACAGCTAGCTGTCACTCTGGCATAAGTTGTAAAGGTGGGTATTCACATTCACAACTCAAAACACTAGATCCTAACGTCAAGGCCGAGTCGACAGGTTTCAATTTCAATCATAAAACTACGGAAGGGTCATTAGATCGAAGGACCCTTTTGTGTCTCTCCAAACAGCTTTTTTGCTATTCTGCATTCCCGGCGCAGGAGCGTCCGACTTTTCGTTCTTTCCCGGCGACTGGATCGTCCTTTCGTAGCCCAGTCTACTCGCGGGATGTCACCGTCTCTTCCCCCTCGCGCACCAGGCCGCTTCAGAAAGTTCTTACGGTATACCAAGCTCAAGCTTTTGGTAAGCACTTTCGCTACCTCGTGTACACGCAATACATCTAATTCGCAATACGAGTATGCACGCATTACAGCAACGCCATGCATCACTCTCTTTTCCATACTGTCCCTCGTCACATCCATTGTCCTCATCGTACTGCAAGGCATCACCTTCCGCGATAACACCATGGCCGTTACACTCACTTCTGCTATGCTCGCTGCGGGACGGGTTGATGGATTCCCCGTGTACGACGGGAAATCGCTCGAAATATGCACTGTCTCCAATGGCACCACAACGTGTTCGGTCGTACCTGCCATCAAAGACCCCGAGGAAGCACTGGAAAACAAGCTCTTCGGCGGTTTGAACGCAACTGAGCTTAACAAAGCGCTGGACGGGTTGATATCTTCGAGCCAGTCTCAGGTGCGTTGCTGTCCTCACGTTTAGTGGGTAACTAACATTGCTCATGCGTGCCCAGTTCTCAAAGAGGAGCGGCTTAGACATATCACCTGTGTTTGATCAGAATCGCTTGAACGGTGTCCGTGTAGGAGAAACGGTCCTATCGCTGAAGTGTGTGGAGTCCTTTGTATGGATAAACGATACGTGAGTACTTCGCCCTCGTTCCTGCCACCCCCGCTTCACGCGTTCAACGCTTCCTTTAGCCTCAAAGATGCGAAGCGTGAAGATCTGGTCACTCTGGCCTTTCACGCTTGGGTTTTTGTGATGATGGTATTGACGGTGAGTCACTGTCGTTAACACGCTTGCCGCATGTCTATTCAATACAAGATCTATTCTCAGGTTGTCAACGAGTCAATCCCCCATCTGTATGTCTTCCTATTTGATAATGGACCAACGTCGTTGACTTTCTGATCGTTACCAAGTGTTGCGTCGTTGGCCGCATGCATTTTGGGTACCGCTTGGGCAGGGGCCCGAATCCAGACGGCCAAAAGCTGGCACTGGATGTACCGCCGCTACATCATGCTTGGTTCCTGTGATGGCACGGACTTGCTGGGTGATTGGTTCAAGCTGCGAGCGAGACCTGCTGTCAGTTTCCTCTATTTCCATTTCCACCTTACTCCACGCAGGCTGACACGTTGAGGTAGATCCCTATTGTGTTTATAAACGCGCTCTCCACATTTGCTTTTTTGTATTTGTCCATCAGCATATACAAGGTGCGTTCTCAGCCAGTAGACCTGGCGACAACTAAATCCAGGCCCGCAGACTTATTCTAAGCGGACGATCGCCCGGGCTGGCGCGTCAAAAGAGGTTCAGCGTATCTACAAGGTGAGCGTCTCTGATGTCTATCACTGATCCCGGAGATCTAAATGATCCATGAACGTCTAGTTCGCTCTGTTATTCTCTGCCAGTTTGAATTTGGCGGCATTCTTCAACGTGGTGTCGGCTTCGATATGGATCGACAAGGTCTCCAGCAGCGCATTGAGGGGTGTTGCTGACCATATCCAAGTTTATCAAGCACTCTTCATCGTGTCTCTCCTGGTGCGTCGTCTACACGCAACGCTAAGCTCCATCTGATGATCATCTATCTGTAGCTAGAGTTGCCTTGGTTGATTTCCGTGAGTCCGCGTCCGAGTCTCGGCCCAGAGTCCATCGCTAATCAATGATGTCTGGTGGCTACTAGGGATGGATGTCTGTTCGCAAGGAGTCGAGACTCCTTTTCGTCTTTTTCATGGGTGTTGGCATCGTCCCATTCGCGATCGCAACTGTCATGTTCACTAGCGAGGTGTACGGGTTCATCTTCCACACCTGGACGTTCTTCGCAACCGTTACAATCACGTCCTACGCGTTCAGCATCACTACGCTATTCATTGGAGCGTTCTGTAGGACGCAGTTCGGCAAAGGCCTCGCCCATTTCCGTGAGTCCATCTCTCTTTAGCGCTGTTTTTCGGAGGTTAATGTATTTTGCGGTGCAGTGCAAGTCGAACAGGCGCTAGAGCAGCTCGACTTCACGCCGGTGTATCTTTCGAAGGATCTAGAGGCCAGGTCGACTGATGATAGGTTCTCCTTTTCTGGAGCTATGCCATTCCCCGACACGGATACGAAGCGCATACGCGCGGTTCCCTCACTTTCTATGATGTGGAACAACGACGCGAGAAGCGAGAAAAGTGCTTCAGGCGCTGAGTCCATCTTCACTGTCCCGGGCAGTCGACGGGGGTCGTCCCAAACCGTCCTCGATCTACGCGAACTACCGAGACATCCTAGCTACGCGTCGTCAACCTCCAGGCGGGCGCCCACTCTTTCCACTAGGCATGAGTCTGTCGCCAGCTCGATCCTTGAGGTGTCCGAGAAACCGCCCACGCTCGCTCCAATATCTCCCCTGTCGAGTTTCCATGACACTAAATCCGTCAGGCGAGGGCCGTCGAACTTATCCCAGCAAGTCACCGCTTCGAGTTATAGCAAGGCAGGCCCGGCGCGTCCCCCCGGACTGGGGTTACCAGTCAGTCCTGCACAGGCAGTGCGACCCGCTCTCTCCAGGCGATCGGCAGCACCTGTTAGACCACTCCCCTCCTCGTTTAGCCCTGAACCCCAGATGCCGTTACCCCCGCTCCCTTCTCCGCCTTCGTCTCAGCAGGGCTGATTCTTACGTTCTTTTCGTGTGCCTTATTTATCTTTGCCATTGTACGTATGTACGGAATTGGCGAGGGAATATCGAGAGTATTGAGATTTGCTGTCCCTCTGTAATTTATACACCACTCTGTAATATTAGTATATGGTTATTTTGCTGATGGTATCCGTTACATCGCTATGTTTGTCCGTACGCTACAACTAATGGATGCAAGGGCCTACCGGGTCCGCCTCTCTCACATAGTAACCCATCCGACAAGAAAAGGAATCAAGACATGACTACCATTACAAACATCTCCTATAGGTACAGCGTTGCGATACTACAGACTTAGAGTACATATCTCCACCCCATACATGGTAAATAGTTCATAAATTAGCTCTCACATTATTATCCCAGTTTTCCCTCCACCAAGAATCCACAGCTTCGTCCGCATCGTAGCCAAACTGTTCGTCGTTCTTCCGCTTATCAGCCCACATATTCGCGTTCCCCTCCTGCTCTCCCATCCGCGCGATCTCGCCCTCATACTCCTTCAACGCCTCCGCCATGGCCACCTTCATGGATGCGTCCCGCGCCCTTTGTGCAGGCCCGTCGTGGAAGTGGAATGTGTCCCGATTGCGCAGGGTCGCCTGTTGCGTGGCGGTAGTGCGTGGGTGGCGGATGCTCTGGTACGCGCGCGAGAGGGCACCTATTTCTGATTTGCACGATATGCGGGAGAAGAGGTTGCCTAGAACGGCTGCGTCCTCGATCTATATCGCGTTCGATGCGCCTGAGCCACCACGTCAAGGGGAGGAAGTGTGGAGAGGGTTACTTACGGCCATGGCAGCGCCCTGCGCACGATAGGGCTGCGTAGATAAAGGTGCTAAGACCGACGAACCAGGGAACGGATACGGAGAAATTACGCACAAGCATCGGATGGGCAGCGTCTCCCAAGAGAACGACTCGGCCACTTGGATCCACCCAAGTGTCTAGCGGAGCATGCGCCATGACTTTGCCGTTCAACGTCGATTTCGCTAACGTCATCAACTTCTGTATCCTTCGATGTCCAAACGCCATATAAACCCCCGGGAGTCGATGTTACAAATATAGACCCACCTGATTTCCCAATTCCCGAAATCCTTCTTCATATCCTCCACATCACCTTGCTTCGTCCACGATTCGACGGACCCGTTATCCGGATGTATCATGACAACATTGTATTCTTTCTGGGAACGCTGAAGGGTCCTCAGGGCTCAGCCTCTATCGAGACAAAGGCAAAGCCAAGTTAATGCGCAGGGACTCACCACGCAGTAAGCCACGACGTGCCTGTCGGGGCCCATCCAGCAATGCACCTTTGGCGTATCAACCAACGTTCTTAGATCGGGGTCCCTTTGCATATCCTCCACAGATACAATGAAACGATACGCCGCATCCCCAGTTGGGATCGGGGGGCCCACTGTGGGCGCGACGAAATCACGGATGCAGCTTTTGATCCCGTCAGCGCCTATTAGGGCCCGGTCTGCTCGTCGAGATGTTAGTCCCTACCTGCCAAATTTGGCTCCCACGGTTGGACCAAACCTGGCCCAAACCTACTCCAAACCGACAGTTTGGTCTGCTGTACCAGGGGGTTTGCGGGTGGGTTAGGACCTTCCTGTCACATTATTATGTCAGCGTTAATATACCTGGTGGCACCTTGTATCAACTGCATTATCTATTCCCTCCAATAAACAGTACTACAGCTTGTGGTGTTTATTTATTAATGAATGTTAGTGGTGAGATAGCAGGACGAAGAAGTGAAAAAAGGACAATCCGTGGCTCGAACCCGCAACCTTTCCGTGCTAAAAAGTAGTACTCAAGCGCGCAAACCGCTAAACCAACGTACCACATGTTAAACTCTTTTGGACTAGTATATCACCTACTGAGCCGGGATACTTCAGGTCGCCGACAAGAAATACAAGAAATACCGAAAGCAGAAGTTTGCATGTATTTACTTTGTATCTATTGCCGCTTTCCCACCATGATGTCTGTGACTTATTTGTGACGATTCCCAAGCGCCCTGAGCAGACTCCAGCGCTAGGTTTTGTCAAGTTCAATCTCCGCCAACCCCAGGCCCGAGGGACTGACATCTCGACGAGCAGACCGGGCCCTTACGAGGTCGGCCACGAGGGTTGCACCGGAGGACAGGAGCACCGCTGGGGATGCCGAGGACGCGTCGAGCGCCACAACACGCTGGCCAAGATGCAGGTCCATGTACGGCTTCGCCGCGGCGTACAGCATCTCGTGGAGGTCTGCTCGCTGGATTTATTTAGCGTCAGCCATCGTCAGGTTTTAGGTTGGGGATGTGAAGACGTGCTTACGTGGATATGGTAATACGGAGCCCCGTGTTCGCGCTCCATCTTGCCACCGAAGACAGCGAACCCGACCTGCTCGCCGCTGTTATCTAATCCGGGGTTAGGCCGATAAGACGAGGGCTGCAGCGGGGACGCATACGTACAACTGCAGAAAGCCAGCGTCGTAGGCTTTACGGCGACTCTTTCGAGCAGTGGTGAGAGGCCCCAGCGAACGAGCAAGCGAGAGACATCTAGATGTATCCCGAATGTGAGTACGGCTCACCAGCGATGTGGGCTGAACTTACTGGGCGTGAGTTGAATCCCTGCCCCAACCTCTCGAAGGGCAGACGCGGCTTCAACGACGGTGACGTGATGGCCGGCTCGTCCTAGGCAATATGCCGCTGCTAACCCGCCTATTCCACACCCGACAATGACCACTCGTAGCTGGACCCGGCTTGATGATGCCATGGATGAGGGAGGGGATGATGGAAGAAGTTCTGTATGAATTAGATGTCCACCAGAAACACGATGATTATATACTAGCAATCACTGGTGCTACGGTTCCTGGTGAATCCGAGAATAAGATGCTGAACAAGCCAAAAACAAATGGGGCTAGCCTTGATGAATGTGCTGCATTCGACCTAACAGAACATAAGGCCAGGCGGGGTGGAGAGGTATGGCGAATAAAGGCAGGGGCACGACGGGTGTATTTCGCACTCGTACACCGTACCTGGCCACCGACCGGGACCGGGACCAGAAGGTAAGCAGGTGACAAGGCGTTCAAGACCGTACGCATACCGCAAGTTCTGATGCTTCTCACCTCCCTGGCGTTTGGCTTGTGGATCGGGACGAGGCTGAACGTCCTCGTCTAAATAGAGCCCCAAATAGGCACGAAGCGGAGGAAGACAGATGATGGCCCAATCACAAGGTGGTTTTGGTATCTTGTCCAGGGCGTGCACATGGCTCAGTGGGAGAGTTTATCGCAGGTGTTGCCACAGAAGGCAACAAAGTGCACACGAGGCAACAGTTAAGGTCCAAATGATGATGAATACTGGCTTACATAGATAAATGACAAGGGCACCGGTCGATATTCGCTTCGAATCGGTAATCTTGGCTCGATAGGAGTCAAGTGTAAGCTAGAGTGGTATACATCGTCCCATTATGCAAGGTGGTAGGTATGGATTTGATAAAATCAAACAGCACTGTGGACAGTCAGAGAAGGTGGATTTCAAGACAATCGCAGACGGTGGAAGGCTCACTTACATTTGAAAACACTGCAAAAACACATTCTGGATAAAAACACATTGTGGGGAGCATCGTCGTTATGATAGCGACACTTTTGCAAGCTTACGGCTCGCTACATCCATTTCATGATCAGCGTCGAAATCGAGATCCGGCAAACATAGCTGTGCGAGCCCGAGATCGTGCAAGCGCGTCATGCGCACGAGCATGCTTAGGTATGCCTCCAAGTTGCCAGGGGACTTGCTGGCGCTGGGGTCCGGGGTATTGAGGAGTTCCCAGCTGGCATCGTCCATGTCGTCGCTCATGCGCCCCCAGGTGGACGTGATGGCATTGGGGTAGCTGAGCGACGCGGCAATGAAGCACAGCGGAGAGCCTGCCGCGAGCATCGATATTCAAGATCAACGGTCACGGAGAGGGGGAGAAGGGGGATGCAACGCACATAGACCGCTGATTTTCTGTTCTTTCGCGAGATGCGGGGATGCACCTTGATTCTCCCCCATGAGTGGAGGGAGCGTATCGCCCAGCCGATACAGGCGCTGACACGACGGACAGATCCTGCTCGTTGCGCGGCTCTTGTTGTACCAGAGCATCTGCAGGAATCTGTTAGGCACGCCCGGGTACAACACAGCACATACCAAAGCAAGGTCATCTGGCAGTACTGTCATCAGCATCTGCAACACCTCTTCCTGCGCAAACTCAGCGCATAGGGGGTCGTCCAAAGCAGGTTGTTGGGCGAAGTACGACGACGTCAGGAACGCGCGCGTGTCCCGCACGCGGGGACCATTGCCCGGGTCGTAGATATAGGGCTGTTTGAGGGCGATAGCCTGCCGTTCTCCGTGCTCATGGTCGTGACGAATTGAGGGGACGTCCCGTATTGGGCCAGGGCAGTCGTCCAAAGCCTCAAAGACAGCTAAAGTGGTGAATGCAGTCCCATTTGCTGCGAAATCTGCCCCTGCGAGAGGCGGCGTGACAACCTGCTGTGGTGATGGTGAGGAGGGCGCGCTGGTGTCATTCCCATCCTTGAGCGAGGGCGTGCGCGGCTTGCTTTCCTTCGGTGGCCTCTGTGGTTTCGAGCGTGATTTGCGCTGCTTCTTCGAGTTGCTTGGCCCTGGCATGACTCTGGCGAGGATGGACGCAGTGACAACGGTCGACGCGTAAAGAAGTGGCAGTCACAAATAGTCACGTGTGCGTTACTCAACGCGCCCCGCCCATGTCAGTCTCATCAGTTGTTCGGCGGCACCTACTCATATTCATCATGACTGCGACTGTCCCACCCACAGCCCACAACCCTCATGTTGAGTCCACCAATAATCTCTAGTATTAATTCTGCTCAACGATACAATTCATTCTAGGTCTACCAGTCGTACGATTCATACGACTAACGTGGCAGCGGCCCGACATCTTATCGACGAGGAAATCGCCCTTCACGAAGCTGCAATTCGCATTCTGAAAACTCGGCAGAATACCCATAGCGAAATTGCAGTACTCCCCTCTGAAATCCTTGCACTTGTCTTTCTCGAAATGAAGAACAGCGCCTCAAAAGGCCGGAAGTTGGATGAATGTCGCCGCAGTGTGTCGTGGGTGGCGGGATGTCGCACTTGCATCGCCTCAATTATGGTGTTCGTTTGGCCTTGCTGACCCAGATCGCGCCTTGGTACTGCTCAAACGATCTCGGCCTGCACCTCTCCACATTAGCTGCGGGAGCACCCCCTTCATCATCACAGAAGAAAACGAAGGTATGACCAAATCAGTCATGGCTGAGCTCCATAGAATACAAGAACTCGATCTCTTCGCCTTCATGGCCGATTGTATTCTCCTGATTCTGAATATGCATGGGACCGCGGGGGCGCCTTTGCTGCAGCGCCTTCGACTGAAGTCATTCCCATCACCCATCGCCACCTCGATGCCACCCGATATCTTGCGTCGGGAGATACCTTGTCTTCATCGCCTAGAACTCGAGGACATGAACTTTTCTCCTGCGCTACCTCCTTTCCCTCACCTCAGATATCTGAGCATTTCGCTCAGCACCTCTACCATCACCCCTTCATCCTTGCTCACTTCCATCCAGTATGCGCCAAACTTGAGACAGATCCATATCTCTGGCATGGCCAACGACCGTGACTCGGCCCCCACGACAGCACGCGTTCGTCTCCCCCACCTTGTGTCTATCTCCATCACATCCAACGACATGACATTGAATCCTCCGCCATCTTCGCCAGCCTTGAGTATCCCCCAGTGCCACCGTAGCATTCACGAGCAGACGGGCCCCATGATAATGCCAGATCTATCCAATTCCAATCTAATTTCAATTCTTCGTCACATCATCGTACCAGGTGCCGCATTGATTCAGAGAGTCGAACTAAGCACCAAGGATCCTGGCCAATTCCAGTTATCTACGTGGGGCCCAGGACCTCAGAGCCCCCCTTCGCTCGTCATCTCCCTAGCACTGGCTTTTGACGATCATTATCCCCTAGTCCGCTCGATACTATGCCACTATGCCAGGCGTTACCCCTCGAAAATCCTTGCCTTGGAAATCCAAGATTTCTCCCTGCCGTTGCACCCAGACTGGGAGAGCATTTTCAACCGCTGCAACGAGGTGGCTCGCCTGCGCTTTAGCCACGTCCGATCTGACCGAGTCGCCTTTCCCGAGATTGCAAGAGATTCACCTGGTGTCGTGCACCCATCCAGATCTATCTTTGGACATTTTTGTCGAGCGACAAAAACAGCTTGGAGTGGGAGTCCGGGCCGTGATCATCAAGATGTGCTCTGTCACTGAAGACACGATCGAGAATCTCAGCAAATACACAAAAGTCGACTGGGATGGCACGGAGTCGGTCTCGGAGGATGAGGAAGAGAAGGAGGGGGACTCTGAAGATGAATACGACTTTGAGTGTGGATTTGGAGCAGTCTGAGATTTGAGCGGAATCCCGGTCCCATTGGCTTTCTACCCACCAATGACCACTACCGTATCACACTCTCGAGTTTACTAGATTGTGCACATTTTATTATCGTCTTCTAACCCGCACCAAATGCTACGCCTCAGTTCCCTTACAACGTTGCAGCAAATTTGTACCTTTCACCATACATATTCCATTGTACGGCGTCGAACGGCGTACAAATTGTGCTAACTTACGAAACAGTGAACGCTCACAGCGGCCGTTGCAGTTTCACCCATCACTCCAATATGTGCTTACGGCGCGCTGACGACACGCTCAGCGCTGACCAGCGTCCCTCGATTCCGCGCGCATCTCGCCTTGGCAGATCCCCCCCCCCCCCACTGAATACTACCTACGCACTGAGATCTGAGAACGCGCCCAGTGCTAGGCTAGTGGATATATCCAAGGCGCTCATTCAATCTATTCAATCTGGTGCACGCAGCGTACGTGTCCCTTCCACCTTCCACGGGCGCGCTGATCATGACGCGCCGGTGAAGGCCGCAAGCTCCGATCCAGGCAAGCCGCAAGCGAGTCTGTTCGGCGTGTTCCTCGAGTTTAAGTACCCCAGGCTCCAGTAGCATATGCCATATGGTTCTGGTATAAATATAAAAGGGCCCGTCATCGCGCGCCTCGTTCGCTGAGAATCCCCCAAGCGCCGCACTATCGCACTAGCGGATCACTAGTCGCTATTCGCCATTCATCATTCGTCAGCAGCGTCCCCGTCCTTGAACGTTTGAACCATCAGCACGTCAGCACTTCAGCACTTCAACACGTCAGCGCTTCACCACCGCAAGCCCCGCGTCCAATCCACCATGTCACTCGCCCCGCCCGTCGCCGCCTGGGTCCAAAACGCGCTGTCAGAGATCCTCAACGCGACGATGCAGCCGGCCTTCGACCGCGCCTTCGACGCGTGCTTCGCCGCAGACGCCGCCGTCGTGCGCAACGGCGCGCCCGTCCCCCGCGACGCCTACAAAACGGCGCTGCAGGACATCAAGTTCCCGCAGCAGACGGCCGCGGTGCAGTTCCCCGGGGCGGTCAGCGCGAGAGAGGGGCCGGGGCGTGGGCCGCTGGAGGTATGTGTTACATATAATGTGTAATGTGTAATGTGTATGGCGAGGTGGTTTCTTGGGAGTGCAGTGAAGCGGGGGGGTGTTGTGGGGATTGTGGGTGGGGATTGTGATTGTGATTGTGGAGGCTGACGTGGTACCCCTACTTATTCAAAGACAGGGATCGTCGGGGGCTTCTTCGAGGCGCAGCTTCGACAAGGCGAGCCCGGCGGACGCCCGTGGCAGCTGAACATCCTCACCACCTCCTTCATCGCCAAGTGAGTATATATACATACTTCAATATCCACCATATCCACCATATGCTCTCAGATCTCAGGCTCCGGGCTGACATTCAAGTTGGTTCCTCTTTCCACAGCGTTGACAGCGACGCGTCCGTCGTGCCCGATCCTCCCATCACCGACTTCGATGCTCGCAGGATCTCTAAATTCACTATCGTCGACCGTGTTAGAGTGATTCCATTCTGAACAGCTAGACGATTCGCAGCCTTCTGTAGTAGTACCCAATACAGTACCAAACCCCTTGTCTTGCGTCATACGCTTGCTACTCGGATTGTCCTTGAACCGGCGCAGGTAAATGATACAATTGATTTAATCCCGTTCATAGAGTACTAGTAATACATTTGGTTATCATAGGCCAGAGCCCCGCCCCCTCGTGCAACGCGTGTTGAGTGATGTCGGCGAGACGCGAAGGTATTCAAGCCTCCAACACCCTCCCCGCCCCGTCCTGCTCATTCTTATTCCTATCCGCAACACTCCGTGCTGTCGGTGCAACGGTAACAGATTCAGGCAGGCGCCCCAGACGTCTGTGTTCTTCTGCGCAAAACAAGAATATTCAGCAGTGCATCAAGGCTCGGTCAGGCTCAGTACTAGTACTCAGTACTCAGTCCGCGTACCTTTCGATGTCGGTTCGTCGGAATGATCTTTCAGAATGGCCTTGGCCACAGGACCTAGGTCGGAGCCGGCGAATAGGACTCTGTTGCCAGCGTCGTTCTCGTTCTTGTCGGCTACGCTTTGGGCGATAGCAGCGACGGAGCCGGCTTCGGGGCGATGCCCGATACGCAGGTGTTCCTCGGATACGACTTCGGCAGCAATGTCTATGGCGAAGATGAAATGAATTCGATGGGGGAACAAGAGTGACCACTGAGTACTCACCTTTAGTCATTGGCTCGCTACCGTGCTCGTCTAGGATTGCTCTTGTTTCGGCTGGTAGCGACCTCACATCCTTACTTGACTCAAGACTCAGAATGATAGTCATAAATCACCGTAGTGACAACTCACGCGCCCTGCTCCGGCGACTCAGGCGGACTTCCTGACGAATTTGACTTGCTGCTGCCGCTTCTCTGCGATCTAGCCAGAGGTGAGGTTTCATCGGCAAATCAAGGAACGTTGAGAGCGCTTACGCGATGCGAGCAGCGTCTTTCAGTGCCTCTTGCGCGAGGACTTCCCTAGGCGGCTTGGGGACGCCTTCCAGGCCCTTGGGGTGTTTGGAAGCAGCGGCTTGGGCATCGGCGGCAAGCGAGCCGGGCGGCGGCCGATAGCCCAGTGCTTTGTGTTCCGCAGACATGAGTCTCCGTGCTTCCTCTGCCAACAGTGGTTTGGGTTTACTTTGTATGTATATATATATATTCCTTCAGTCAAAAGGAGACGTACCTACGCCGATGGCATCCAGGTTGATGCCAGAGGTGCTTGCGTCCGTTTCGGGTGAACCTGGGTGTGAGCGCTGTGCAGCTATCCTGGCTGCATCTTCGAGCGCGGCTCTGCGAAGGGTCTCTTCGTCGATGTGAAGGGTATTGGATTCGGGATTCGGGTGTTTAGAAGCGGCGGCTTGCGCTGCTGATGCGAGAGAGCCGTGAGGTGGGCGGTATCCGAGAGCTTTATGCTCTTCCGACATAATCCTTCGGGCCTCGGCTGTTACGAAGTTAGAGCGCGTTCACAAGGTAGGCATGGATCGGATTACGGATCACGAACCCAAGCCAATGTCCTTCAAGTCTATTCCTCTGTCGGCCCTAAGTGCGCCGAGATAATAGTCAGGCTCCTGCAGAAAACCCGATCAAGTGCGCAAGGCAACTCACGCAATACGCGAGGCGTCTTCGATATTATGGGTCAGCATTTTGCTGATGAAAGATGTGAGGTCGTAGTGGTGGTGGTGGGTGATTGGAATTGGAAGGGGATGTGGGATTGCGGTGGCGAGGAAGGGTTATATATGCTGGGAGCCGCGTCATGGGTGCTGTAAAGAAAGTGGAGCTCGACGTCGCCTGTGGTTGATTTGGAGCTGTTCGAGCAATTGAGTAAATCATTACCCGGCTGTTGCCATCCCTCCATTGCTGATATGTGATAGCACTGGATACAATCACATACTGAGAAGCACCGCAGTTCGGCCTGGAACGTAGCGAAAACATACGCGACATCTCTGCGAGAGCCATCGTCGAATCTCAAGAAAGCTTGATGCGTTTGGACTTTGGGGCCAGGACAGGGGCCTGCGAGGTACTCAGGGGATATTTTGCTTCCGAGTCGCGCGACTTGAAAGTTACGAGAACTGGTGCTGAGAGTGAGATAGTGAGAGTGAGATGGACGCCAAGACGCCAACGCTCCGGAAACTCTATTCTCGCTCCGTTGGTCGTCCGACATAGTTTCTGTGTGTGATGGGAAGATGCGTAAGCCAGGCCAGAGTGCTCTAGTTGTAGTTGTCTCGAGTTCGCATTTCTGGTTGCTTCATCGCCATGCCATGTTCCCGTATGTGCCGCTACCTGGAATGTGAGCCTAGACGTCCGACGGTCCACTCACGACTGTCTCCGCGCGGCGCGATGTGGCGAGGCTGAAGGACTTCCATCTGTACATACTATTTTCCACCTTCGCAGTCGCTTTAGACGCGCCCAAACAAGCACGGCCACTTACAACAGCCGGGCACTTCAAACAGCCTTATTCGGAACCGAAGTTGGTTTTGTTCGGTGATTATATGCCAACTCATAGCATAAGTATAGTATCGGAATCGAGGTTATTTTACTCAGAAGGTGGAGTCGCGAAGCCCACAACGATAGCAGAAGTCGATTCAGTGACCCCCATTCACTTCGCCGATAAGCTGTGGACGTACCCCTTGGTTCCAACATCGAATCCAATGGTGACTGTCCTCAGCAAACTTGAAGGTTGCTGACTGAGTCACGCGTTACGCGTCACAACAGCATTGATCGATGATGGGGACTCTGCGGCTAATTTTGTACTCCCATGGGTAAATGTTGCTGCTTGTATTTCCAACATTGACAGAATCTCTTATCGGCGACGAGGAACATGGGGCACCTTATCAGGCCGTACCGCATGCACTCCACCCCTTTCCCTGACACAAACGGCCGAAGGGCGCGTATAAGTATAGTAGAATCGGGGTCGCGGCTGGGCTCATTCCTAGCCCACGACACACTAGGCATCTTCCAAGTCGACGCATCGGACGGTCGATATGTCTGCGAAATGGTGGCACCCTTCTGCGTGGGCCCTTCACCCATCGGCGTCCAGCTTTGGGCCAAACAGTCGATGGAGCAACGAAGATATGGATCCTGTCCCTCCTCATAAGCGGACCTGGACGAGCTGGAGTTACGTCGCATATTGGGTGTCCGACGCGACGAATGTCGCCGTGTGGGGGCTCGCGGGGTCTATGCTTGCAGTTGGGCTTTCGTGGTACATAAGTGGTTTATTGAACATACGCAATCAAGTCTCACGTTCGCACATAGGAGACAGGCGTTGCCTGCTATAGCCCTAGGCCATATCATCATATCCGTGGTGATGGTGTTGAACGGAACAATTGGCGCGCGCCTTCATGTCGCCTTCCCGGTCCTCAACCGATCATCCTTCGGTTTCTGGTTCAGTTATTTCAGCATCATCAGCCGTATCGTTCTTGCCATGTTCTGGTTCGGCATTCAGGTGCGTTCATACTTTTGTGATTGTACATCTTGTGACGAAGTCTGAACGTGAAGACATACACCGGCTCGGAGTGCCTGTATCAAATGCTGAAAGCTATATGGCCAAGTGTAGCACGAGTTCCAAACCACTTATCACCAAACGCCAACATCACCACAGTCGGTACGACACTCAAGCAATATCGTTCCTGTCATTCAAACCTGCATAGCTGATTCCTTCGTTTCGTTTTAGGCGTCATGTGCTACTTCCTCTACTGGCTGCTCCAGTTCCCTTTCATGCTCATCTCACCCCAGCGGATCAGATACTTCTTCATGGTCAAATCCATCGTCGTCCCCATCTCGTGGATAGCCATCCTAGCCTGGAGCATCCATAAAGTACCCGTTTCAGTCAGCCTCGAGTCCAAGCACACCTCTTTGCAGGGGAGCGACCTGTCTTGGGCGTGGCTCAGCGCCCTCAACAGCGCCCTCGGCATCTACTCGACCCTCGCCGTCAATATCCCTGATTTTACGCGTTATGCTAAAACGGAGAGATCGTAAGCATCTTTCATTAACGCGCGTGAATCCATTGAGTAAATCCGTATGTGTAGCCAGTATATCCAGATCGCTATCATCCCCACAGTATTCACGTTCTGCGGGTTTATCGGGATCGCTGTTACTTCTGCAGGCGAAGTCTTATACGGCGAGACGCTATGGGACCCTACGCATATCATCGACCGCTGGGACAACCGCGCCGCGGCATTCTTCGCCGCCTTCAGCTTCTGCCTGACCACCATCGGCACGAACATCTCTGCGAATAGCTTGAGCGCCGCGAACGACATGACGGTCCTGTTCCCCCAGTTCATCAACATCCGCAGAGGACAGGTGCTGTGCGCCCTGCTCGGCGGGTGGGCGCTGTGTCCCTGGGAGATATTGGCCTCGGCCAGCGGGTTTCTGAATTTTATGAACGGGTACACGGTGTTCCTTGGGCCGTTTGCGGGGATTATGGTCGCGGATGTGAGTCGTTCGCGTTTGTTGCGGTTAGGGAACTCGATTGGATGCTTTGATAGTACTGGATCGTTCATCGCTGCAAAGTGGATGTCCCTGCCATGTATGACCCACATGGTCGGTATGCGTATTGGCACGGAACGGTACGTATCTATAACCAGTTCATATAGCAAGAACTCACATATCATGCAGAATTGGCGGGCGGTGTTGGCGCTGCTTCTTTCCGTACCCCCAAGCTTCCCCGGACTCATCTCGAGTATCAACCCCGACATCCAAGTGGGCGCTGTAAGGCATGTCTTCGACATAGCCTGGCTATACGGGGTTCGTTATCCCCCTTCCTCCCTCCGCGTAAATGGCGTTTCTGACAAACTCTCTCTCTCTCTCTGCGTAGTTCTTCATGTCGTTGATTGTGTATAGCGTGACGTCTACGATATGGCCGGCCCGGGAAACGTTTGTCGAGAAGAGCATCTATGGGTACGAAGACGACGATGACTTCAGTGTAGCCGAGGGCTCGCTGCCTGAGAAGACTGATGTCAAAGTGGATAAAATCGCTTGAACGTAGTCGATGCCCCAGTGCGGGTCGTTGGCAGCCGCTCTCTCTCTCTATCCTCTATCTCTTAGAGTTTATTGGATATGGACAACCTTAGAAACTTACTATGTAAATGTAAATAGGACAAATATGTACATTGGGCTCGAATTCAGCTCTTTCAAAAACTAAGTTAGCAACCACTCGAACAAGTGGCAGATCTGATCGCGACGCAGCTTTGCCTGATCGTGGGAGTATAAGTTTCCCAACTTGGCCTGCCTGAGGTCACTGACTACTCTTCAAGCTTCAGCCCTCCTTCGTTGACCTCTACCATCCAAAGCGTGCAGCGGAGTGGCCGCCTGGTAATACACAGCACGATGTCGGACGCATTCGATGTGATTCCCTATGAGGCGAGTCATACATCTCATGGCTTAGACAGCGCTCTAACTAACAGCTAACAGGACATCCAAGGATCATGGAAAAAACTAGGCTCCGGATCCTTTGGAAACGTTTACAAAGGTCCGCCATTTCCACTCTCCACATGTAGCTGCTCTACAACGCTCACACAGGCAGCTATCTCGGAATCGAGGTCGCGATCAAGGAGGTGCTGCCGTCCACGGAATACGACGTGGCCAAGTACTTCGAGCGCGAATGGCGGCTGATGAAGGAAGCGCGGCACCCGAACGTCGTGCTCTATCTCGGCCTGTCCCGCGCCCCCGATCCCGACGGGCGCATATTCATCATCTCCGAGTTCATCGAGAACGGCAATCTGCGAAGCTACATCTTCGACAAGACGAAGCCCTTCCCCTGGCGGCTGCGCATCTCCTTCGCCACCGACATCGCGCGCGCGCTCGCATATCTGCACGCCAGGAAGTGCATACACCGCGATCTCAAAGGCGAGAATCTGCTCGTCACGTCGAACGGCCGCCTGAAGATCACGGACTTTGGGTTCGCGCGCATCGCCGCGCGCAATGAAGACGAGCTGAAGCGCCTGACCTTCTGCGGCACGGACTCGTACATGTCCCCCGAGATTCTGCTCGGCGACGAGTTCGATTTGCCGACTGATATATTTTCTTTGGGCATTATTTTCTGCGAGATTGCAGCTCGGAAGCTCGCCGATGACTCGCATTTCAAACGGACCCCGCCATCCTTTGGGATCGATGAAGCAGAGGTCCGCGAGCGCGCGAGCCCTGGGTGCCCCGAGGGCTTCATTTCTCTCTGTCTCGATTGCTCTGCGACCGACCCGTCAAAGCGGCCGACTACTCGTAATATTTTGGAACGTCTTCGCGTTATCGAGGCCGAGGTTCTGGCGCGACCGGATGAGGCTGACACCATGCACCTGGGGAGTGTCAAATTCATGACTGGCGGGAAACGCACGGGTGCCGCCCCGCGCATTCCCAGCTTCGGTGTGGGGGTTGGTAAGGATATTAGGGGGAGCGGTAAGGATGATGAAAGCGACGAAAGCGATGATGAGTTGATGGAGGCCGTCATCGGTTTGTCGAAAGTGGATCTCAACCATAGTACCTGGGGTGGTTCGTCGATGGCGAACGAGCCCCTTCTGAACCGGCCTTCATCCTCGGAATACAGCACGACGGTGGTTAAATCCCACCCCAACGAAGGAACAAATACGCATCCACCGTCGCTGTCGTCGATTCTTACTATTCGACCCTCGCCTGACCCTAACGATACCCCTGCCCCAGTCCTTCCTGCTACTCCCTTGTCGGAGTCCGTTAGCTCTCTTAAAGATGGTGCGGACGCCCACCCGAAGGACACAACAGATATCCTGGGAACGAGCTCCATCATGTCTATCGCTACAATGGATTCGTACCGCACCGCACCGTCATATTATTCTCAACAATCCGCGATCTCGACGGCCTTGGCAACGGAGGGAGGCTCTACTATTCGTTCTTTATACCCCGCCTCTCTTAGTGCCACCAATGGTCAACACAACGCTCCGCTTGTGCATCGGTTTACGCTGCTGAAGCCTGGTGCTAAGCCCAAGCGCACCAGCGGCAGCTTCTCCCCGAATGGCAACACGTCGCCTAACGGAGGTACTTCGGAAGGTCCCAGCACCGTCAACGATGCTGCAGTCGGATGGAATCCCTTAGAGCTGTTCTTCGGTAGTGGTCTGCTTGTATCGAAGTGCGATCTATGTACGAAGCGGTTGGGCTGGAAACCTGTTTTGGAATGTGATGATTGTGGATTACGGTGCGTACGATGACCCCTTCGTGTATGATCATGTGGCTGACGTTTTTCAACAGGACACATGTCAAGTGCGGAGAGCTGGCTCCTCGCGACTGTGGTCTCCGGCCGATCCGCCCAGGCTTTGGGATGTCCCCGTCTTTGAACGCTATAGTATCTTCGGCGGGGAAGGGCAAGCAGGCGGCGGCCCCTGCTGTTGCTGTGAAATCCGCCAACAAGTCCCCGCCTAGATAAGCGACGAGTGCTTAATCTTCGAGCTACAAGGCGTATGGGACACGACACGATGTTACGACCTCAGAGCCATGACTTCATGACTTGGTTTAATGATGCATTTTCACGGACAAACAAGTACTTTTTAAATAATGCGCGCAATGATCACGATAATTATTATTCCTTCTGTACACTTTTGATTGCATAGGTAGTTGCCACTTTCTGTGTTCCAAGTAATTTATAACGAGGACCCTGTTGTTGTACTCTTGTACCTAGCACATATTGCATAACCAACGGTCAGCACTACTTGAGATGATTCCACTGGCCTTCATTCCAAGTTCAGCAAACACCAGTAGCATATTGCGAGCATTGAATTAGATTGGGTATAAGTAGGGATTCATTTACACGTCTGTATTCCCCTCATCTTGGTAAGAGGCTGCCTGCTCCGCGCAGTGCCATTTGCCCACCAAATCGTAGGGTCTGCGTTCCTCCAGGGAAGTATGCGGCGACGTAGGATAATAGAGCCAGCAATTGAACTATCGCTCCGAGCAGGGAGCCAAGATACGATCCTCGCTGGAAGGGTGTGCGTCAGCTTTCGATTCCGCGCGGACGGGAGGTGAGAAGCGTACACCGAGGGAGAAGTAAAGCGTCAGGCCAAGGCTTCCAAAATAAACAGCAGTGAACGGCAGGCGCTCTTTTGAGATGAGGTGCTTGATATGGTTAATGGGTCCAACGAGAACGGAAAAGCTATATAATGATCATCCAGCGCTCAGCGTCAGCAACTGGTGGTTTCTCGCGGCACATGAGTGATGACCCACCCAAGCATGAAGAGTAAGCTCCCCAGACTGAAATGACTATCAGCACCGCAGCGTGTCTTCACCGTGGATCCATATCTTACCTAAATGCTAGGGCGAACTTTGCTGGTCGTAGCGCAAGGAGAGGGAGTGTAATGAATGCCACGAAGAAGCACGCAGCTCCACCTAACAGGCAGGCTCCAAATCCCAGCAGTCTATAGAGTCAGAGAGATGCTCAGCATGCCGACGACCCAGTCGAGCTTGCTCACCTCTCCCATCTCGACAGCGCGAACCACGCCTCCTCCTCGTTTGACTGTTCGTTCGACCTTAACGGTATATAGTCTCCCGCAACTGCATTGTAGAACCGGGAGAAGGGATTGCTTGACCCAGACGACTGCGGGGGTGGCTGCGAATCATCGGTAACACCGCTTGCCCATCGAAATTGAGAGAGATTGGCTCGGAAGCTCTGTTCTGTGGTACTTGGCATTCGGTGCGTGAGGACGAGGAGGAAGGGTGGGTGTTAGACGCCGCGGGTAAACAAGTGCATACAGCCAATCCGCCTTTTCCACTGAAACCCGTTTCGCTTCTCAAAAGCTTCAGACTCGACCAAAATGCGGGCGTCGGCTGCACATTATCTTCGCATCGTTCCCCGGTCTTCGCTACGCGTGAAGCCGAGCGCAATTACGCCAGCACCAGCGCCGCAGGTCACAGAGCTTCACCAACCGACAATCATCGACGTCTTGACGAAACGCAGGGATGCGGCTGGATCGCAGTGGCCCCAAAACCTGCGAATAGAGCCTGTGCTTAAGAGGGAGGCGTTGCAAAACGTACGCGCTGAGGTGCGGTCGGACTTGAAGGCGTTGCTTCGAGAGAGATAGCTGTATGCTGGGTGAGTGCAGGCATTGTGAAGAGTCGGTAATGGACTAATTGAATGCTGCAGGTTTGCGGACAGACGCTCCTTGATTTTGGGGCTAATGTAGCGTTGGACGATAGCCCTCCACAACTCTTTTGGAGATAATTACTACCCATGCTCTACCTCCACCACGCTAAACGACCATAAACCTGCTACTCGTACTTGATTCTACCGGCTCTAGCTGTCGTTAGCGTTCAGGTAAAAGCGGTGAACAAAGGGGAGGGCTGTTTTCAGTCGCGAACGCACCTTCTAAAACAAAGCGTAAGTTGTGGGGTGCTGACGACTCGTTGAAGTAGTGCTACGCTGCAGGTATTGTGCGCTCTTGCTACTGGGGATTTCTTCTATGTAGCATAAAGCTCGGTTGGAATACGTGAATCGCTTGACTGACAAGATGCGTTGAGCGACGGAATATCACACATTCTGGCGTTGAATACTGGTATCATCCATACTCATAGCGATTGATAGGAACATTAAACCACACAACGTAAACGACAGGTGTATACATCAAGACGCATCCGACTCTATACTATCGCGCAGCCGTCGGCTCATGATCTCAATATACTGTTGGCTCGATTGGGATTCGTTATCATTGGTGAAGGCATACGCCTGTAGATAGGTTATAAAAAGCAGTCGTGGTTGATTAGGACACTCACCAACTCCAGGCTCTCTAGCCGTTGCAAGGCTCCGCCTAACTTCCTGCTGATCTCGTTGCGGAATACCTGTGGTTCGGGGGCGGAAACGAACCGTAGGGCATGTACGGTGATCGCGTCCCCGGCGACGGCGTGTCCTTCGGAATAATGCATTATGTGCCGCCACAGCAGGAGAAGCAGCATCTCCATTGTGCCTAGACGAACCATGGAATCAAATATACTTATATACCCCGTCAAAACTTACCGAGGAGCATTTTGGCTTCGTCCTTTGCTATTGTCTGTATACGGGAAAGCGCGCGATTCATTAAAGATCGCTTTTGAGCAACATCGAGGTCGGGCCAGACACTTCTGTCGACGTCGGGGAGGATCTGCATAAGAATGTCAGCGCGGTTTCTTGGGAGGATAAAGACGTGACCGACGTGCTGAAGCCTTTCCAAACCAACGTGCTCCCTGGAATCGATTTCAACAGCGATATCAGCGATCTGCTTCAGTATCTCTGATAGATCAGTGCAAATATCTTCCAGAGCCTCCAAAGCATCCCCGACTGTTGGGATGGTGGCTATGAATACAGGCTTTAGCAATCATGAGGCAAATATTGTTGGGACGGACTCACCGGTAAATGTTGACCGGCGATCTTCGCCTCGAGACGTTTTGGTTACGGGTGATAACATCGGGGAAATTTCTGGTTCTGCAAAATCCATACATAAACACCAGGCTCTTAGCAGGGGTGATCCGACGCACCAGTGAAGCCGTTGGCGGTGCCCAAGTAGGACACCGTGCTCTTCCGAAGGAGGTGTTCTTCATGCCGTACTGTGACATCGAACACAGACGAGTTCCTCTCTGTGCACCGTCATGACAAGCCGACGTCGTTACGGAGTAATAACATACCTGGGGCAGTAACACTAGCGCTTAGTATCTCTGTATCTGTATGGGGTCGGATATTCTTCGCCCACCACCCGTGAACCAAGCAACGAGTTGATAGACCGAGAATAGCTGCATGGATAGCACCAAATCCAGAGTGTGCAGAAGCCTTGTGTTCATTGAGTTATAGTAGATGCCAAGCTAAATGGTCTGTACTCACTAAATCGGCTCTCGGGACGCTGGGGAGCACTGAACCGCACAGGGTTACGATGAGTTGCAGCTCTTGAACTACCGCAAGGGATACATCCTCAACCTCGTTCTTGATCAAAATAACAATAGTGGCACTATGGTTGTTGAGGAAATCGAGAACCTGAAAAAGGTCAAAACATCATTGGACAAAGTGTATGGCGGTGGGTCTCACTTGGTTCGAGACGGCAGCATGCCTTGCGCCAAGGGTAGCGACGATGCCGTTGACCACTTGCAAGGCAGGCGTAAACAACTGATGATACCGCTGAACGGCGGACGGCAAAAATGTATCTTGGTCTAAAGGACGGTCTGAGTAAGAGCAGATACGTGCGGCTATACAACTTGCCCATGAACTGCTGGTCGGCTTCTGGTCTGGCGTCGACGAAATCACATTTCGACAACGTAGGGATTATTTGAGCGTCTAGTAGCCGTTCAGCCCCACCCTTGGTTTGGCTCATTCGGACGAAGAAAGACATCTTGGCCTCGTAGACGTAGAGGGGATTGAGGTCATCTGCAGTATTCTCAGCAGCAGTCGTAGCGATCAAAGAAAAGGTCAACTACCTGGATCGGGCTTCAGCACGGACTGGAGGATGAGATCTGAGTCCCTTATGCTCCGCACAAAGTTCGCCAGAATGCCGTGACGACCGAGCGAGTTTAACACTGTATTCTGTTTTTCCATACTTGACAACCTGACAAGCGAGTCCAACAGCATAAATGCCACAGTTTTCCAAACCTCAGCACCATCGATTGCATCCCGGGAAATGGTAGAAATGAGTCGGTCCATCGCATGCTTCATCAACGCCAAACTTCCAGCTTCGAGTGAGGTGGAAGGAGTCGACGACGGTCGACGACTGATAGCAAATGCATCTTCGTCAGATACCGACGCGGACAACGCTTTTGAACCAGAGGACGGAAGAAGGCCAGCAAATTGTGCCTTGAAGGAGGTTACCAGATACACATAATTGATCAGAGCTGCGTATAGATTTCCGCGGACCAACTCCAGGCGACCACCTTCGATGATACAGTCTAGAATTCCACGGACAATAACGAAGAGACGCTCCACGGGTAACGAGTTGGTTCCAGAGGCGCCAGATGTGTCGTTCTGCCGGTCTTCGCGCAGTTTGGTTATTGAAGACAAGACGGTCTCGGATAGTAAGACAGCGGTCGACTCTTGGATGTCTGGGGACCTGATGATATTGGGAAGCACTTGCATCAAATCAAAGAGGGTACTCTCGCGCTGCGTTGACGGAAGTCGATCAAAACACTTCGTTAGGACCATGCTCAGCAAGCGCCGCCAAGACTCGTAGCCAACTGCGGTAGCGTACGTTATTTGCAACCGATGGTTTTCGACCGCTGAACTTTCAAGAACATACTGTATTTCTGCGTTGAGTTGCTCGTTTTGTGCGGGAGATACGACGTGTCCTTGAGTATGGAGGGCATGGCGAGCGTCGTTGAGGAGAACCAACAAGGCCGATCGGTCAACGACCTCGCATCCATTAGTGTCCACACGCAAGCAGGACTTGAGATTGAGTTGACTGAGGAATCTAAGGTCGACAGGTTGCACATTCAATGTATCCGACCACTCGAACACGAGGCCACGAAGGAATTCGATGATCTTTAGATGTGATTGACCGATCTCTCTGAACGGCTGGGAAATATCGGTCTCCCAAGAAGGCGAGTCGTCGTAGGCGCCGCTTCCAAATAAGATGACGAGGAGTTCGTTCACACTCTTGAAATGACCTTTCTGCGTCAACAGGTGTAAGTCAAGAGCGACAAGGTCAAATATCCATGATCGAAGGCGAAGAAAAGAACCAAGGGCCGAAACCGTTGTGGCCACACTGGTGCCGTCATGGTAGAGCACTCGGATGTTGGGGTCTTGCCATGCATTGGGGATAGTGGGCGGCATCACGGCTAGCTGCCTAGCAAAGAAGTCTTCTCTCGTCCGCAAGTAACGCATGACGAAATCACACGTCCTTGAATGCGTGCACAACTGGAATATGACCCGATAACATCTTTCGGCAAGGGCAGGCAGGGTGACGAAGAGGGGGTCGACATGTTGCCGCCCCGCGACACGCCCATCTTCCTTTAAGCGAGGCACGCCAGAGTTCACCATATCCAGAAGAATGTGAATACAAGCGGCTTGCGCACCCAAAGCATGCGGATCTTGGATCTGTTGCTGATTACTGGAGCTTCCGAACAATAGAAAATGGGCAATGTTTGGGTGGGGTCGATTGGTTTGAGTGTTCTGGATGAACAAGTCGAGGACAGCTAATCGTACAGCTTGGGCAAGCGACGGGATTTCCGCGTCGCTGTCAGGCACACCAGCGCCCGTGTAATGCTCGGATGCCTCCTCTGCCTCCGCCGGGTCCTCGTCAGACTCCGAAATGAGAATGCGCTTGTATCCTTCGAGTATTCTCTCCGATTCGCTGCTTTGCTCCACCAAGGTTGTGAGATTGGTCAAAGCACCTGAGGTCGATAACATGGTCAATGTCTTGACAGAAAGGAGTGCAAGCTCAGAGTGGCCAGGATAAGCGACATAAGAGGCCAAAGCAGGAAGATATTCAGGCCCGAAGGAGAGAGCCTGATCCAGACGAATGAAGTATGAACGAGGTTGGACGACACCGACATACGGAGTACTATCGAACTCAGATAGCAGAGGGAGCAGCACATCAAGGAAGATATCTTGAATCTCCAAGACTCGATGGATAACTCGCAGGACCCTTACGATAGTGCTCTTGAAGTACGGTTCGTCTTCAGCAAGGCCTTTCTCGAAGCCGCCTCCTCCGTCCACAATGTACGACAACACTGCTGCCTGGAAGGGGGTCGTTGAGAGTAACCTCTTCATGATGTCGTAGCCTGGATGTACAAGGAGTGGCGTGATTGCGTCTTCCTTCAGTCGGAAATCGTCTGCGGTATTGACCAGGGCTTCCAAGTCATAGCTAGCCAAGACACGTTCTACGAAGCAAAGGCACAGGTCGTTGATCTGCCATCGGTCGGAAGGGATAGCGTAGTCGCGCTTTGGGATATTTAGGAAAACGTTGTCGATGACGAACGAAGTGAATGGTCCTATCCCAGGCAGACGGTACGGTTGTCCAAGTGCTTCTGGAATAGTGAGAATGGGTTCCATGTCAGCCATTCTGTCTTTCAGAGGGATCCGCTTAGGTGTGTGTATCAACGTGCTGAGCAACTTCAGGAAAGCAATCGTGGCTGGATACAACCCATGGGCTGTCTCGACCTCCTCAAGCTCTATCTCAACCCCCTTGACGGCATTCACGCTACGGAGCCCGAGGCCAAGGGATGGTCCGGTACCTCCCCGTACGTTGATAACCTCCATCCGCTCCATCAAAGTCCAAACCGCTTTGCAAATCTCAACTCCTTGACGTCCCGCCCCAGGCTCGCAGAATGCGGCCAAGGCCCCAAATGCAGCACCTTTCAATTCGAGAGGTATTCCCAGCGGTATCAAAGAAACGAGCGTTGGTATTGCTCGGAAGTGGGGGTGTCCTGATATGGTGATGCGTACGGCAACGGAGTACGTGACTACCGTAGAAAGAAAACGCAGGAATGCTTGTGCCAATCGAACTTCATTGGGACCAATGTTTGGCTGAGGGGGATGGTTGTGCGGTTGTGGGGGACGAGCACTGAGGCCAAAGGCGGAAGTTCCTAGGGGACCGGGCGGAGGGGGGGCTTTGATAGTATTGGTCACCGTCGTCCACGAGTCGAGTAAACCAAACACAAGGCTCCAAGATACCGCTTGTCCGCCCGCGGAAGACGGCAGGGTGCTCCCCGGGATGACTTCCCCTGTACCCCGAGCCATGAAGTTATGTGCCAATTCGCTGCATTGCTGCCCTTCGGATAGACCGCTGAGCATGTCGTAAAGGGCAGTGGAGAGTGTCAGATCGTGCACCTGAGTCGACCATACGGCCCACTGCAGGAAAGTGGGAAGCCTGCCGGCCGCTGACTCGGTGTACTCCAGGTATGTCGTGCGCTGATCGTGTGCCGACCCGGCACCCCAGAATTGAAGTGAGCGCTCAGGTGGCAAGGAAGAATAGAGAAGTCCAATGAAGGAGTAGAGCACGGCGATATCATTGCGTGGCGATGAGGGAGCTCTAGCTTCGGGTGACGTTGAGGATGCAAAGAGACCACTTGCTGTGCGAGTACGATCTCGAGCAAGGACCAAGTCTTCCTGGCGCTGTTTTATTTTGCGCAGTTCCGAGGATGCGTGGGTGATGAGCAAGCGTACAAGAGTTTCGAAGGCAGAAAGTACAAGAGGTTTGAAATCATCCGGCGGGACCTCTCGCTGATCTTGGGGTTCAGGTTGTGGAATGGGCAATGTTTGAAGAAACGAGGAAATTGGCGGGTTACTGTGACCCTTTCCGAATTGCATGACGACTTGGGCCAGGTACGTGAACGCGTCCCCTTGCACTGCATTCCATATTTGCGTCTCCAATTCTTCCGTTGTGAACCCGTCCTGGTGTTCGAGCTCGGGATTACGATGACGCGTGTCAGTCAGAAACAACGTCCATTGAAGTAGAACTGTCGCCTTCAAGCCATTGTCCTTCCATTCAGAAGTCGGAGCCAGCTTTCTCTTCATGTATGCTATGTTGGATTTATCTATCGCAAGCTTCCGGCGAAGCTGTCCACCGATGCTCTGTGGATCCACGGGATCGAAAGCCGAGAGAATGGAAGTCAGTAGGTAGAAGGTCATGCCATTATTTGCGTTGACGGAGAGCCAGTCGACGACGCTTTTCACTTCTGGCGCTGTGATGTAGCCAAGGCGGGCGATCGTGCTGAACGTGATCGCCAGTTGCCGCCTTTCATACCGTATCGAATCGTACCGGGCGGCAAGGATATCAGACCCCAGCGAGCCAGGGTTTCCTGGAAGGCGTGTGAGACGCCAATCATCACAAACAATCGCGGTGCCCACCTTGGCCATTCGGAGGAACAGTGTTACTCCCTGCATTCCGTCTTACTCCATCCACTTTCGTCAAAACACCTCCCAGACTGTCGACTTCCTTAAACACGCGCGATGGCAGCACCCCTATCATCTCGCTCCGTACGAACGCCTCGATGCGTCGGTACATGGGCAATGCATCCGACGCACTTGCCCCAACTTCCGCTGCCTCTAGCAAAAATCGCAACGTGTCCACGAGGTGTCTCCGTCGCTGATGGAACTCGTTCAGTGTAGCTTCAAGGTAGTCTGCCGGCCCGACGTTTGGGTTCTCAGACATGACTGAATGTAAGAGCTCTGCGACATATCTCTCCGAGCATTCGAGATGTTGCGACAGGAAAAGAACCTGGCGGGTGAAATCCACGTTGACAGCAACTGACTTGCCGTGTATGGTCACCTTGCCTGCGAAAACATCAGTCGCATTGAGAAGGAGTGTCAGAAACCAGACTCACCGGATTCAAGTTCCTTTTGTTGTTGCGGACTTCTGGGACCGACGTCAAATACTTGCAACAGGCGTGATTTATGAACCATGAGTTCATCGAATATGTCCTGCTCGCCGTGAGGTGCAATGCGTCCCGTCAATGCGTGTAAGAGAGCTTCGCGAAGGCGGGATATTGAGTCCATGATGCTGAAAGTCGGATTAAAACGCGTCCCAATCGAGCGTCGCGAGCCCGAGTATCTGTGCCTGTAGATGTTAGACGCCCCCTCGTACGTTTCGACGCTCCCAATGTCGAAGTTAGAGTTGAGGTCCGCGTAGACTTGTTAAACTTGTTCAATCAGATTCGGTTACCCAGTAAGTGATCATTTTCCCACCATAACAATTTCCATTGACCGTGGGATTGTGCGAACCCACGATCAAGTCAGAAACTCAGACCTTGCTCGCATATCGTAAATCAAAACGAATGTTGTAAGGGCTTTCTTTATATAAGTTAGGACGGTCGTGATCTACAACGATTGAATGCATATCCATCGAAATGTTACACTATACGTGCAGCCATAACCCTTAGCCATGAGCGGTAATGGTTGAGGAGGTAACTTTTCATATCGCGATCGAGCGGGAACTTCATTGCTTGAAGTTGATCATCGCATGCACTTAGACCTTAGACGGGAATGAGATACACATGCGAAATTGATGAGGCGACACAGTCAACTTTCAAGAAAAGTGATCATCGACCACGCGATATCCACGTTGCGATCGTGATCGATGGATGATCGAGGTTAAGTAGACAGATCCGGAACATATAGATGGTACCATCTGCTACCATGACCTTCGACATTACATACATAAATAAGGACTTGACATTATAAGAGATCAGAAAACAGATACAACACAAGGAATTGCCATTCGCTTTTAGCACCCCGGCTCCAGGTGCAATTTATTTTATCTCTCCCAAAGCTATGAAGCAATGGCGTCGTCAACCTTTGTTTTCTTAGCAGGTTGTATGGATGGAGGGGCCTGGGTACCACGAACGCCAACATCCGGGCCACCATCTGGCTCCACGGCCCGTTTTCGCTTGTCACCTGCCTGTTCCTCCGCTTCTGCCTTGGACTCACCGGCTGCAGCCCTCTCTCGGTTGCGAGACCCACCACGGCCACCACCATGAGGACCACCTCTCCCACCGCGTCCACCTCTTCCTCTGCCCCCACGGCCGCCACCACGGCCACCCCTGCCTCCGCCCCTTCCACCTTTGTTGTCTTGGGCATGTGTAAGGATACTTCGGGCGGCAAACTGTGCCCTCTCAATTTGCAGCGCCTTGTCTTCTTCCTCTGTAGGCGGTCAATCAGGGCAAAGGTGTATGGCAGGAGACAAAGCTAACCGGAGGCTACGGCCCAAGTGATCTCCTTGTCATTTAAGGTCTTGAGTGTCTCCTTGACGAAGTCGATTTCCTCCGTTGACAGGGCTTTGTCGAATCCAACTAAACCGTGGTTCTCGCCTTTATTGTACTTGATAAATGGGCTACGAGAGAACTTATCCTTGAGCGATTTCTATGGAGGCACAAGAGTTAATGTAGTTGAGCAAGGCGATAATGTGAAAACAAACCTTGATATGTTGGAAGTCCACTTGACCATCGCAGCCTTCGAACTTGAGCGAAGCCCCGCTGACGAACGGCACGTCCTCCTCTTTGACCGTACCATTTCCTTCTTCGTCTTGCTGAACACGAATCTTTTTGCCCATAAACTCAAGGAATACCTCCGCCTTCGCTGGCCTTCTTTCTGGTTCGTTATTTTCCTGGAAAGCGTTGAACCCTCGGCGATTGATCAATTCCTTGCGGTGGACAGCGGCCTTCCCAGTCAGACCTTTTTCTTTGATTTTCATGTCGCAGTAAGCTTGTCTAATTGACGATCAGCATCTTGGGCGAGCTTCCTATGCGATAGAGATATACTTCGACATGATGAGCAGTTCCTTGCCTTCCCATGTTGGCTTGGGTTCCGCATTGAGGAACGCGTCCACAGACTTGAAATCGGTGAATTCGACGAAAACAGAGCCCTGCCACGGCATTAGCTGACACTGTGGCAAGTGCTGTCCAGTGTCCACACACCTTGAAAGCCTTCTTCTCTCCCCGTCTCATGCGTACAGCGTTCGTCTTCCCGTACTTGTCGAAGAATGCTTCAAGCTTTCCTTGAAGTTCGCTGTCCTCATCCCCGAAGCCTTTCTGTAGATACAACTGAACTTCTCCCACCAGTCCCTAGACCCCGACCGACTCACCGCATAGATACTACGCTCAAACTGGTCTTTAGGCTCCTGGACCTCAGTCGTACGCCGCACATTGACGCCTTCTGCGTCCAATTCCAGTTCCTCACTTAACCGGACTGCCTTGACCACCCAATCAAGTCCCCGAGCAGTATGCTCCCGCATGCGCTTGAACGATGCGACGGTGCTTATCGGTACCCAATGTTCAGGGTTTTTGGTGTGTAGAGTCCACATAAATCTGCCAACGGAACATCAGAAATCCATGGGCACCAGATAGTACCAGAACAACTCGTTCGTACCGGTCGTATGGTAGGTTGGAGTCCGCGAAGTAGAACTCCACTATTTTTGCGGTCAGAGGAATCCAACGGATTCATCCAAGCCACGCACCTTGACGGCATGCCTTTAGCAGGTCTTTGCGCTCGTCGTCGCCCATCTCAACGTCCTTCTCGGTCGAGCCCTCCTTGGTTTTGGATATAGCATGGTCTTCTGTTGGCGCAGCGCTGCTCGATGTAGCCTCGGGCTTTTCTGTAGTAATATCGGTCGACATTATTTTGAGGTCGACTCCAGTAATCAACTGATAAATTAGGAGTCAAGTAAAAAGAGAATCAGCGATGATAAGATAAAGCTAGCTTTCTAAGTATCTCACGGTCAATGTAGTTTGGATGCACTCAAGGGACGGGGACAACGAGATTACACGAAACTAAGTACAGAACAAACAGGGACTACATGAGACGTTAGTATATAGAGAAGGATGACATCGGATAGCATTCTATTGTCCACTGAATCAAGTCCATGGAGACAGAGTTCACTGCTGGGCATAGATCTCCTGCGACACGAAAAAGCAGAAATGAGTGAAAACGCTAACATAAAGGATGAAGTAAAGAACAAACCTTGATGTCATGGTCGAATTTCTTCGCGATCTTACTTCTCTGAATCTTTTGGGCGGCAGTGACCAGCCCACTCTCTGGCGTCCACTCATCCGCAGTAAGGATGACGGCCTGCAGTGTCTCCATTGGCTTGAATCCACTCTTCTTCCCCTTTGCGTTACACTCTTTAAGCATAAGCTCCCTTACTCGAGAGTCGTGACACAAGACAGCAAGCTCGGCATTGGGATCGACTTGGTTGTTGGCACCTTTGTTAGATTTCGAGGACAAGGAGGAGATTGACGGTGCTGGGGATGTCGATGCAAGAGCATGTCGAAGATTGACCTCGTGCGGGATGATGATAGCGATGGGCTGCTTAGCATCAGGCGTGGCATGAACACAGATGTTGGCGACAAGTGGGCAAGATTTGTACGTCGCTTCCAGGCGCTCGAGAGCAATATACTGAAGTCCAGTTAGTAATAAACTTAAGTGGTAGAGCCAATTACACCAACCTCTCCTCCAGACAACTTGACGAGGTTCTTGATCCTACGTGAATTGAGTCAGTCATACAAGTCCATAGTCCTGCAATGCTAGGCGTACCGATCGATCAAGGACAATGTTCCGTCCGAATTCCATTGCCCGACGTCACCAGTTCTCAGCCAGCCATCCTTGGTGAAGATTGTCTCGTCGTTATTCAAGTCATCCCGTTTGTAATAGCCTTTGATGACTGAGGGACCCCGAATGCAGACCTCGCCCTGTGGCGGGTTGCCCTTGGCAAAATAGCCAGCATCGGCAACATCCAAGAGTTTTACCTCGATGGACGGGACTGGCAAACCAACAGCCTCGTAGCGTATGAGCTCAGGTGGCAATATGGCACACATCCCACACGACTCGGTCATCCCATAGCCTACAATGACGAGTTGTCAGCGTGGTACAGCACTTCAACGCAAGAGACTTACCCTGCACCAGAGTCACGAGAGCTGCGTTCAGGAACTCTTGGGCTTCCTTACTGATCGCCGCCCCACCACTCAAGGCCAAACGCAGTCTGCCTCCGGTAGCAGCCTTCACTGAGCTGAAGACGGCGGAGTCTGCCAATTGGCTCAGACCAGGCACGCCAGCCTTCTTCACAGAGATAGCACCATTGAAGATACTCTTCTTGAGCGTGCCTCCCGCATTGACCTTGCTGATGATCCCTTTCCTGATGGTCTCCCAGACAGCTGGCACGCCCACCATGATAGATGGCTTGAACTCGCCGAGATCACCCTTGCATTGTCGTACGGAGGCATCGGTGAGAGTCTTGACGCGGCCGTAACCAAGGGTCATGCCGACGAAAACAAAGGACAATTCGACAATGTATTCGAGGATGTGAGCGAGTGGAAGATAGGCAAGGTACGTGTCCTCTTGAGAGAAATGATGGCCGAGGAGAGTGACAACAGCTCCAACTGAAGCCACGAGATTGGAGTGAGTGATACAGACGCCCTTGGGCGCGCCAGTGCTACCGCTGGTGTACATGATACACGCCAAGTCTTCTTTCGTCGGTCGGCGACCCTCGAGGATATCTTCGGACTGCTTCTTGCCAATTTCACGTAGTTCATCGATGCTGTGGGCTTCGATGTCCGCCCGATGCGAACGAATATTCTCAAGAACAGAGGGCTTTGGTGTGCCGTCGTAAATGACGTACTTGACAGTCGGTGTGTGAGTGAGAACATTGAGTAGAGTGGGGAGCAATTCGGCGTTGGTGAAGAGACCGATGCAGTCCGGCTCGTTCAGTGAATGGATGAGGCCCTCTTCCCCTAGAGTGTCGTACGCCGTAGCAATAGGCGTGGAGATGGAGGCGCAAGCGTGTGACATAAGCTGCCAGTTGACGCTACAATACTCCATTGTCAATGTGTAGGACCTTCAAGTGCGACAGCTACATACCTCGTCTGTGCGTAGACGTTGAGGACGTGATCCTTCGTCACTCCAAGGTGAATGAGACCTCGAGCAAGCTCAGAGACTGCATCCTTCAGCTCAATGTAGTTGTAGTACTTGTAGTCGCTTAGCTGGAAGTATTTCCACTTCTTGATTTCTTTTGTCTCCTTGCCCGCGATGAACTTGGTTACTTCTTTTTCTTCCTCGTGAACGTCGACAATGTCGCGCCACCCCATGGCTCGCTTCGTTCCGTGTGTGCGCCCCGCATAACTCATAATATCGTGCACAGTCTCGATGCCCTCAATGGGCTGGGTTACAAGCGTGCCTGAGGTGATAGCCAAACGCCTTATGGGGCCGTCATTCTCGCCTGTGGCTGGCGAGACTTCGACGGAACCAGCGCCATAGTATCCGGCTTTGTTTGATGAAAGTCCCATCGTTTGGCGTTCGGTGCGTTCGGTCGTGAAAAGAAACCTTTGGAATGCTGAGGGGGGGTTTGAGTGCAAGGCTGAGTGAAAGACGCAGGTCGCCCTTTTCAAATTGCGTAGCTGTAGCGGCAGTCAACGCGACACGTGACCCAAGTTCTTGGGGAAAGGGGCGTTTGAGGGGTGTGATCCGAAACTCAATTCACCCCGCTTTGAAATCGAACCCCGCGTTACGCTTGGCTAGCAGGGTCCTGGCAAGTAGAGAGCGGCCAGAGCACTTGGAGGCGTCGTGGAGTATTGGGATGTGAGGAAAGACAAAACTAAGGTTAGGTCGCAGCTTTGCAGTATATATTTCTGAGACGCGCCGAGACGTAGATTACCCATATCATGCGCCATCGCGACGAGAAACAGGCGGGTCCAATCATCGCCGGTCAATAACACAATGTGGCTGGTCGACCGACTATTCATAGCAACAACGATAAGAAAATGGCACGAAGGTGGCAAAGAGAGTCTGATAACGCCGGGCAGACGCTACTTACAGGCTGCAGAGCTTTCACGTGGCTGTGTATCACCATGCAAAAGTCGCAAAGCCCCAGTCCGAGCGAACCAAGGGATGACCGCAAGTTAAATCAATGAGTGCTGTTCTCTAAAGTAAGATGTGTATATCACCGCAGTGCGCACTGTTTACTCCAATAACGCCAAAGATAGGTCGCTCAACGTTTATGCTTTTCCTTTGTGCGTTCCCCATTGGTTCCCCATAGCGGTGGACTTTTTATATTTCAGGCCCGTTAATGATAAACGTAAGCGTACAATGGGGTGGATATCAATCATTCAATTAATGACAATATAAACCCTTTGCCGTTACAGCAAAAATTGTAGGTCACCAAGACTTGTACACGTCTAACCCATTTTGTTTGGGCGCGGTGCCCAGGTAAGGCTTGAACTGACCGCCAGGAACTTCCCGTGCATGGGGGCCGCGTCGGGAATCGGGAACCACTGGGTACCGTGGATGATATCGGAGTCAGTGACCATGACTTACCAGCGGGTACCCTCTTCTAACTGTACGAAATCCCCATGCAACCTTAAACATCTCTCTAGTAGGCACCCGGTACGTTAGTCCGATAGTTACTCGACCGTGTCTTATCCGATTAGCGATTCACTCAACGACCGTTCTTCTAATACTTGCTGCTTCTTGAGCGGACTCGAGGCTAGGATCGTACTGGGAAGGACATGGAAGTGTGGTCAAAGGTTAGGATACTCACATACGTTGTCGACATTTCCCCGAAGTTCGTGGCTGAACAGTACTAAGCACGGCGTGTGTGTGTACACCTGTCGTGACAGGCTTTGAGAAGAATTCAGAAGTAGGAGAACTGCTATAGATATACTCTTCGACGCACCTTCATTCCGGGCCGGGTGTTCGTCGTGAGTTCGCTCCAGCTTCCCGGATCGACGCAACTCGAATGCAGCACGCCGTATAGTCAAGCTTGACTTCAATGCTCCAATAATTTCGCTAGTCCCAATGCAGGCCACAGGTCCCTGGAAATACTAACAACACATTTCTGCGACATGACAGTGGGGATCAATGTACGTTTGTGGCGAGGGATGTTTCCAGCGGGCGTTAGTACACTCCACTCTCCAGTGGATTAGACGAGTGGTGCGGGTGCCGCCTCCGGAGTGTGGCAAGATGTGAACTTGGTAAGTGTCTGACGCCGATCGTCGCTGAGAGTACTTATGTCAACCCGTCCAACAGCAATTCAGCCCTGCAGAGGTGTATAATGCACCATGGCTGAGATACTTCATGTGCATGATCTAGTTACTATGTGACCGCCCGTAGCGGAAATCAAATTAATAAAAGACGCATGTATGTACTAAACCCCACGTTCAAGCCAGAGATAGATAACATCATTTCATCTGGATACCCCACGTCCTCCACGACTGTTCCCCGAGCCATCATTCATATAAACGCCTCAACTTCCTATCAACGTGCAACCCTTCGCGAAGTTTGTCAGTTGGTTGCGTTATTTGCATCCAAGCGATGATAACAATGTCGCCTCGTTCTTGTCTTCGCTAACGGATAGATCGGCTAGCCACCGATGGGAGAGAATTCGACCACCTTACTTAAATGGATGCGCTTATATCGTGGCATCCTATGAGGTCATGGTAAGGCTAGACCAGGGCAAGGGCTCAGTAAAAGCAGACGGACGTTATACTATTCTATAGCGCCGAGTTTTACCTCACATCGGCAGTGAACAAGCTATGTCTTCCTGCACGACACTCGGATATTTGAATCGTACTTACGCGATGACAAAATAAGGCGGAAATGAGATGGCATTGCGAGCCTTCTATCAGGCTTTGATTCAAGCTCAGGTGGGTCAGTAATCCGACTCAGGCCCACAGCACCATGTCATGACCGTCACGACTTACGGTTGAGTAGATTGCATCTATGCATCTACGAGAGTAATTGGTAATGTTCGGGAGGCCATGTACATAGTTCATCGCCGGTAATCGAGGTGGGCTCGCGTATCTCCTCCGATCTCTTCTACTAACGAGGTAATCGCGTATCTTCATTCATATGCCTACGATCGGTGTCGATCCAGTTCAGGGAAAATCTGGGGTAGCTACGCGCACGTGGAAAAGTAACTTTCGAACGTGATACGGTCACGTGCTAGGTCACAAAGTTCTGCCGTGACGCGTCGCTCGAATTGACAAGTCTGGACTTGTGCCACTTCCATCACCATTTGCTTCCTTTGGCCTTTCTTCGTTCAACAAGCGGACAAGCGGAGTTGAGCCTCTGATACGGATTTCATAGAAACTCGTTCTGATGTAGGTTTGCAGCATGTTCTGGCGTTCTCCGGACTATTGCAGCCTATCACTTGTTACAACTCGGATCATGGGGCGTTGCGTTATCAAGCTTGGAACCACACCTGGTCATGCCACCGCTCAAGTGTCTTGCTCAGCAGTCAGCCTCGTTGTTCTCGCCTGGCTTTGATTGCCCTTTCATCGAGATAATTAATTCCATGTCGCACTTAATGATCGGTGCTGGAGTTCGGCGGACAACAACGACGATCTAAAGCTCAGATCTTGTCGGGTATACCCTGGTTTATCGACCGCGTCGATCGGGGCGACGATGAGGACTACTTCACGACTGTAGTCTATTTCCCTCGAGTATGTCTCCAAACGGCCATAGCGACATGTCCCAATCGGTCGTCATATCGCTAATCGACATCGATCGATAACTACGAGCAGGTAAAACCATCGGCGCCCAATCAACAATTCTTTCTTCCTCCCTCCATCATCGACGTCGGCGACAGTGATATGCTTGCCCCACGCCCGTCCTCCTTTGACTGTAAGAAGACTAGTCTGTTAACCGGCAACGCGGGATTATCCTCGGGCGTCCGTTCGCCTATTTCGCTGAACGCGAAATCGACACCTGTACCTCCCTCGCCCTGACTAGGGAACCAAATTGACACTAGTCGCCTTGCTATCGCCCTCGCCTCTATTGCTGATATGAAATCTCTGTGTTCTGTATACTACTGGTTGGACTGTCCGAGGTAAAAAGTTAAAATAGTACGGCAATCCCCTCTGCAGGATCCTTTCTGTCGCAGCGAATGCGGGGCGTCGCAATGCATTGTGTACATGGTGCGTCGCGGCATCGGAACAACTTCAACAAGCCTGTGGTGCCAGTCTGTCTAGACCTGTAATAGGTTGCCTCTGTGACCTGCTCTTGCGCGTATGGGTCAACACAAGCTATCTATGTTTCTCGTGCTTATCACTGGTGATGCCTTATGGTGCAGAAACGCACAAGCAACGAGGCGATGGACCATGGACTTCGGTGCTGGAACGAACCTTCCGATTTTGGACGATGTTAGCTCTTCTACCGTTCGATGGGATTCTACCTTATCCTTCGCTTGGGCAAATCCACTACTTGGCATTCGCTCTCAGACTTATGGTTCGCGACAGTCAGCTGCTTTCATTTCCCTCACCTTTGGGACGTCGATCTATATTTACGACTCACAGGGCTATTGATGAACACTGGAGGCTATCAAAGGCACGTGGGGACTCATAGACGCTGCGTAGCCTTATCGATGAAGCATATCGATGGGATTCTGGGACAATGGGACTCGAGGGAACATGACCAGTACGCCTCATTTTCCTTTGTACTTCTGAGCCTGACATTTGGAACACACTTTTCTGATTGTAAGTGATGGTTGATGCACTTCGATGGATCTTCTATAATTTCGCTTCGAATTTCGTTATTATTCAGAATGTTATGTTTGTTTGAAGTTTTGCAGCGCTTTCGTTATTCTTTGAAATGCCGTTGCTCGTTTCATCTTTCACAAGTCATGTGGAATTTGCAATGACAAAAGTTTTTTCGTCTTCATATTTCTTCCATGGGGGTAACTTGCTTGCATAGGCGCGAACGCGAACACCACAGGGAGGGGATATGGTGACCCTTGTTGCCACATCCTGCACTCGTTCCGCTACTGAAGCATTGTCTTTGTTCCGACGTTTAGTGGTCACCCGTTGCCCCAACGCGATAAGGAGGTCTTTGAATCATTGGGACGGAATCACCGAAGTTGGATCTCAGACGACGAGTGACGCTGGCGTCTCGTGACTCCTCCTCCCAAAAGCTGTGTAATGTGTTTTCGATTTCGATCCGGAGTAGCCCTTTGAGGCACATGAAGGAGGTACATAGGGCAGAGGGCTTCGTCGACAGAGGTGAGATCTGGCGATGCGCTGAGTTTACTACTGGCAACGTTCCAAAGGTGGGGAAGCTGGGAATCATCACGTATGGCAAGAAGGTTGTGGAAAGTAGTTTCATTTTATTTACTGACATGAGGAGAGAGGCTAGATGTGACCGACCTCCACAGATATTCTCGAAGGTTGGATTGTGGGCTTCCGAGCGTAGTTTCCACTCGGTAGAAGGAGCTTTCATATCCGCCACGCCCTCCCCTGCAATGGATTCGTATGCCCATCGGTCGAACCGGGACAAACTTCCGCATCATGCTGTGAGTGACTCTGTCAGATGAGGATTGCGCCAAGGTGTGCTACTGTCTATCTATCCGAGTTTGTCGTGGTTAGTACAGCCTAACTACAGCCAGTAAATTAATTCGACTACGCTGGCTCGAGGAACTAGCAGATATCGGGCGTATTTTCTGCGCTGCGAATACTGGGGGAACGGAGACGGAGAGACGTCGGGGGAAGCGCAATTAGGTATATCAGAGGAGTCGAAAGATAAGTCACAAACACGTGTTGCGCGATATAATATAAATAATAATATATATATTATAGTTGGCGGCAACGTGCTGATCCCGATTGGGCGTATCCACCCTTTGAATTAATCTGACAGCTATAACCCAGTCCTTATATCGCAGCCTTTCCCTCTCCTCGTTCCTCCATCCTCCCCTCCTCCAAGCGTACCTGCTGCTGATCTATGCCCAATATCCTCAATCTCAAATTCAAAGTCGGTTGCTATTGCGCGCAGCAAGCAGCTTTCATGACTCAACCATATGGTGTCTTCTAGGGCAACAAGTCTTTCGTCGCGTTCAGCAATCTCAATGATACCGAATCTCTAACGAAGACCTGGAAGGTGCGTGCTTTCATATATCGTTATCTGTATCGTCTACTCATATGTACTCTTGTCGACTAGGTCTGTACTAAGGTTGCCAGCTTCCTCGAGCAAGGACAAAGGCTCGAGAACCTGAGCTGGAGGTTATGGCACCTTCAGAACCTTATGGTCGACACCGATAACGCCAAGTCGAAGCGGGAATTCAGGAAGCTCTCCAAGTGCATGGGAGACAAGCTCGACAAAGAGAAGGGAAGGTAATGACTTGTCTTCACCATGCCCGGAACCCTCAACCCTAACAAAATTTGATTTCCTATAGGAGCATCGAGGAACTTGAAGCGCCCGACTTCAGGCGAAATCATTCCACAGATATGATTCGACAACGCGCCGAAGAAAAGGAGCGTAACCGCGAGGCCAGCCAGCACATTCCAGGCACTATCAAGCGAATGCAATTTACTTTCAGCGTCGATCAACCCACCCCGGCTGTTAGCCAGACAGTCAAGAAGCCTGACTTGAAGCCCTCTCCGGAGTTCTCGAAGCGTCCGAGAAATGCTGCGCGTGTCTCTGAACATGCTGTGGAGGGTGATCACGACTCCCACGACCATCACGACAAAGACATCTCTTTGACTCAACGCGGCCGTAAGACCCAAGGCGGCGACCTGTACACCTCGAACGAAGTTCTCAAGTTCCCCACCCTCTTCTCTTCCGACTTCGGCCCTTCGGCCCTTCTTTATCCTACTCCAACCACCACCAATAGCTTGAACTACGGCGAGGGCCTCAACTCCAGTGCCGCTAACGACGGGTTTAGCATTGTCCGTCCCACTATCGAGCTGCCCCTGGATGAGCTCCTCGCGGACTCTGCCGATAGCCCTGACTGGGCTGCTTTTGTTGCAGCCCATTCCGCATCATTATTCCCTATTCCTGCTCAAGAACAACAAGATGTCATAATGCAACCACCTGTATCCATAGTTCCTTCTTCGACTCAGTCTTCCTCACCTTCTAGCCATGCCAGCGACGACGAAAATAGTAATGACAGTGACGATGAAGCTAGCGCCGATGAAATTGTTACCACCACTATGAGAAAGAAGGGCCGCCTTGCTCTGAAGGTCGCTCATCCGCAAACCGTCGCGCCTTCCAAAGTAGCTCCCATGGACCGATCCAATACACCAGTTGGGCGTCCAGCCCTTACCGTCCGCACCCAAGTCGGGCACAACACTCGTTCCTCGGGACCTGGCGCCACCGCGACGAGTCTGAACCCTGCTGTTCTACGCAGCGGCGGAAATAATTCGGCCCCTGGTGGTGTCAAGGCCGAGTGCTCGAATTGTGGCGCCACTCACACACCACTCTGGCGTCGCGGCCTGAACGACGAACTAAACTGCAACGCCTGTGGCTTGTATTGCAAACTGGTATGTTTTTTCCCCTCATTAGCTTGGTATCATCGAGGGGCTTATCGTCTGGTTTAGCACAAGCGACCTCGTCCGAAGAACATGCGCAGCAATCATGGCGAAGGCCGAGCCCAAGCAGCGCCTCGCCAGGAGGCTGTTGACGTCATGGGTATGTTGATGGCCCTCCAATTCGACGACACGATGCTGATTCCTAGGTCCAGCCCAATGCTACAATTGCCATACGACTGCGACGCCTCTCTGGAGGAAAGACGATGAAGGCAAGACTGTCTGCAATGCGTATGTCCGATCCCCTGTCCCCAGCTTTTATTAAACTTAACGGTACATTTTTTCTCATGAATTATCTAGCTGCGGCCTCTAGTATGTCTTTTGTTCGTTCCTTATCGAGCCTAGTATTCTAACGACTCCCCCCTTTCAGCTACAAACTTCACGGTTCTGCGCGTCCAATTTCCATGAAGTCCGATGTAATTCGAAAGCGCTCGCGTCACGATGCTCGTCGTGCTGGGAACGGCGTCTCTGAGACTCCTTCTGCTAGTCCAGGGGTTAGTCGTCGCGCCTCCCCTGTGGGGGATACTTCTCCGACCTTCGTACCTGATTCTACTTCGAACCAGCCCCGAATCCTGGACTTCACCGACGACAACGAGCTCCACGCCGTCCAGACGGAGCTGATGCACACCTTCTCTCAAAGCACGAATCATAACCTCGGTTTCATGGGACACCAGTACACTAGCATCTTCCCTGGGCCATATCATCCAGATTCCATGCCTCAGTACACTATGGACAACGTGCTCCCCTTCTCAACGGCAGACATGTCCGACCACGAGAGCCAGTCAATGAGCCCCCGCTTGAACAAGAGACGCAGAATGAGTTCCGACTCGGCATCCGAACCTCCTTCGTCCGCCGTTTCTTACAGCTCGTTCAACGACGGGTACAACAGCGCTTCGTCAGCTACATCCCATCGCTCTTCCATGGACTACCCATTTAGCTTCTCACCGGCAAACTTTGGGAATCCTGCGGGCCTTCGTGGGTCTGGGAACGCTTTCTGGCACCCACCCATGCTCCCCCAAGGCGATAACTCCCCTCGAGGCTTCCATCCCCCCATGCTACCCCCTGCCGAAGACTCCTCCATGGACTACCCCCACCCTCCGATGTTACCACAGGACGAAGATGCCCTCTTCTCCACCTACTTGCATCCGCCCATGACTCTTCCCGAGGGTGAAGGTGCTTCCAATGGGAACATGAACTCGCATCAGCAACAGCAAATGTTCACCTCCGATTACGACGCAAACATGAGGCTCTACTAAGTTGGACGCTAGCCGTGTGGCTCTATCACCGGTCGATGCGCGGGCCGCTTTCGTATACGTATACGCATAACTTATTCGCCTAGGACCCACGACTATCTCTCCCTTCTCGCCTTCCATCTTCATTTCATTCCATTTTCTCACACGCATACATACTAGCATTGGGTTTCGTTGCATCATAGCTCACCACTTCCATCAGCGATCTATTGCCATCTTCCCGCCTCTGCCCGACACTTTTTCCGTGCTGCTATCCATTTGCTTCACATAGAGCTATTGTTCAACCACTTATCTCCTGCTCGTTCGAGGCTCATCCGCACAACTACATCGCTACCTCACGTCATCGATCCATCATATATCAAATATCCTTCTCCGCCCTATCGAAGTAACCAACAAATTGTACACCCCTTTGTGTTTTTATCTCGTTCATTTACTTGATTCTCCATCCATTCCACTTATCCATCCAAAAGCATTGCATCGTTCCTGCTCACGATTTCTTGTCTTCATGCGACGATTCAATTCCCCGTTTCTTTATCCATTATCTCCATATCTACTTCCCAGCAACGAAACGAAACAAACAATCTGTAGTAGCTACACGCTGTATACAAGAGATCTCGCGAAGGGCTGCGCGTATTCATGCCCCCGAATATATTGTTATTCTAATTTTGATCTCCATACCTGTGTGCGAGTTTGAGCGTTCAAACGTTCAATGGAAACGTATGGAATGAGGGATGATTGATTTGATGATGCCTGCCTTCCGACAGGCTAGAATTCTTTGCACCTTAGGCCTTATCTAGCATTCATTGGACACTTCAAACGTATGCAACAGCCCTGGGCGAAGCGCTTTCTTCTTGGAAGGGGTTGAGGGTATGCGAGTTTCGAGATAGCCCCAAGGACATGAAAGCGTCAGACGACGTGTTTCCTAGGCCTCAAGGCGTTCCTTCTTCTCTCACCCAGCCGAATAACATAAAACGCTCGGTTGAAAGTAGTGAGACTTCTACATGAGAAGATATATCCACTGAACACGTTAGGGTCGACGTGGAAGGGTTCGAATGCATATGCCCGGTGTTACTAAAATTAGGGCAGGGTGCAGTGGTCCTGTGTGGCACGTTCACGCGTTCAACAAACGTTCACGATCGAAATGCGGGTGAGAGCGCAGGCCTGCTCAGGCTCAGGCTCGTGTCTGCACAAAGGAAGCAACTAGGAAGTATCATCGTGTTTGGGCGTATTAGCGGAAAAGGGTGTCGGCGTCCGACGTTCATCCGCTCCGAAGTTGGCAGCCTCGGAGGTCGGATGTTCCAGCGGAACCAATCGTTGAGATCTTGCCCAGGCAGTCGCGAGGTGCGAACAACGATATTTCGCCGATATTAAGCGCAAGGGAAACGTCATCAACGTTCAGGACTACTGAGAATACAGCAGGATAGCAGTTGTTGTTACACGATACAGAGAACCAACTACCAGAGCTTCGCAGGATGATAGGAAAGCGGGAATTAAGAGAGATGTCCACCTATTCATAACCAGCCGCGAGCCATTCGATGATCATGGGAGTGAGTTCCCCTAGCTTGGTTTCATTGACCAAGAAGTCCAAAAACATATCATCATGCACGCCTCCACGTTGAAGAACGAAGTCCAATTTCCCTTTGTATGTCTTCTTCAGCTTCTCGTTGAACGCCAGGATGTCGTCCCTCAAGCACTCCTGACTACCTGCAGTAATCAGGATTCTGTCGACGACTCCGTCCATGTTCTTGAACCAATCGTCTGGCGCTTTCAGTGCCTCAACGTATCCACGCTTGTCCACGGGCACGTCAGCGAGTACATAACCACCCCATTCACGTAGGTTCTTTGGGGAGATGATGTCGGAGTTGGCGTGCTTGAGGGTGGACTCGCTGTCAGCGGTGAGGGACACCCATGGAGAAATGGTGTACGCTCCACGCAAAGGCTTAGAAAGCTTCAGAGGCACCACAGATTCGATTGGGCGGAGGGCGTGCAGAAGGACCTGGAAGATGAGATTACCACCGGCAGAGTCTCCTGCAAGATGGATATTCTCAGGTTTGACACCTTGAGAAGTGAGGTAGTTGATGGCTGCAACAGATTGCCGTAACGGAGTTGGGAATGCAGCTTCTGGGATCAGCGCTGTAGAATGATTAATGTGTTGGCCATGCGTCGGTGCGAAACTTTACATATCGCTTACTGTACGTTAAAATAGCCACACCAAGGTCAATGTTGGAGCGCGCCTTCAGCTGCTCTTGAACATGCCTCCAGAAATAGAACGACGCGTCTGTGGCTGGGCCAAGGAATGCTCCACCTATTGACAAGAATGTATAAGTAAGCTGTGTAGCAAGCTGTGATTTCCGGAAGCATTTCTTACCGTGCAAATATAGCAGGACATGATCCGTTCGCTTTGGACCAAGCCATAGAAGGCGCGCGTCACTGCCGATGTCTTCTTCAACCGCTGGTATGTTCAGTTTAGCGACTGTGCTTCTGTAAGTCGTTAACGTTGTCCCCATCAGACTCTGGAGCTGTGGGACTTTCAACCCAGCGGCCCAGCGGAACGCTTGGTCCCCGAGCACACGACGCCATGTCTTGTGTTTGTTGTACCACACGAACGGTGAAAAAATCAACGAGGAAACCAGGATTATAGCTATGTTCCGGTAAAACTAAGCGCTGAAACATGGCAATGGAAGGGTCGAAGAAGAATAGCTACGCACGAAGTTTAGCGAATTGAAACGCGATTTCGACTACATCAAGCGAACCAATATCGCCATACTTTCCTGGCACGATGGAGGTCATGGTTGGTCGATAAGGGGGAAGTGTGAGAGGCTAACCAGCCGTGTCTTACTTTATACCATGCTTGGGTGAGAACGAACGACAGGATGATGGGAAGTCACCTTGAAAGAGCCATGGGAAATATCGCGGCGCTCGGCAGCGACGGTTCCCTCTATGGAGGACGCGGAGCATTGCTTAATTCAATGCAGAATCACAGCTTCCTGGTGCGGCAACTTCTGCCAACCTTGGTCAAACTGAAGGCCGAACAAATATGACATCTAGCCGCACACTGGCCGCACTTCGACGTGATCCCGAAGCTTAGAACTGAATACAGAAAGCTTGAGCACGCGGTTCATGCACATGGCCGAAGGCTCTAGGATATGTGACTTGCCTTAAGCGTCGATTTACTGAAGGTGTTCTATTTCAGATTGTGCTGTATATCACTTTTCCACTACCGTTGCCAGTGTACCATTGAGCGCGCAGTACTTCAGTCCCAGTCAGTGGTGACAGGTGGTGATCTGTTGGTGTCGGTTCAAATGGTTCCTGTAGGCGTGTGTGGGTCACTGTCGGCGTCAACCTACCCATACGCGATGTACCAGTCATCTGGAAGGCTACTCTGATTACCTGTGACCATGTAGCTATGACTAGGTGCTTGTTTATTGCTCTTTCCCCATATTTGAAACTTCTTCCCACGAACCTCATCCATGTCATGCACGAACTTTCGCTATCGATTCTTACGATCAGGCTCACTTCTTCGCGTCATGACCAATTCACCCTCTTCATATGAGAATTGGACCAGGGAGGAGCTGATTGCGCGCCTCGCGCAGCTGGACGACTCGCCGAAGCTGAATACAGCTACTGCAGCGTCTTCCAAAAAGATACCTGACAAACCATTCAGTTTCGCGTCATACTCACGTCGAAAGATCGCGCTAAAGTTCTGCTATTCTGGATGGGAATATAATGGACTAGCACATCAGCTTGGTCCGACGCCGTTACCGACCGTTGAAGGTACGCTGTTCGATGCCTTAGCTCATGCAAGGTTGATCGATTCCAGTGCTGGCTTCGAGGGGTGTGGCTTTGAAAGGTGTGGAAGGACGGATAAAGGGGTCAGTGCAGCCGGGCAGGTGGTGTCACTGTGGGTGCGCAGCGCGCAGAAACATGAACCCTCTCCTACAAAGGCCGCTACGGGTCCTCCAGAGGTAGCACATGACGCAGAGTCGTCCAATTTACTGGGGGATTTTGGAACATTTGACGACGATATCGTAGAGACGTCCAACACCAGCATTGCTCCGGTCGCTGATACACCAGAGTTACGCTACGTATCTATTCTCAACCGTGTCTTACCTCCAACGATCCGCGTACTCGCCTGGTCCCCCGTACAAGACGATTTCTCCGCTCGTTTCAACTGCAGATACCGCCACTACAAGTACTTCTTCAGCCCCACCGGCCTCGACTTATCCCTGATGCGCGAGGGCGCGTCACGTCTCGTAGGAGAGCATGATTTCCGTAACCTGTGCAAGCTGGATCCCGCGAAACAAATAACGAGTTTCAAACGGCGGATAATTCGGGCAGACATTTCACCAGTATGCGATGGGATGTATGTGTTTGACTTGGTTGGAACGGCATTCCTGTACCATCAAGTGCGACATATCATGGCGATACTGTTCCTGGTTGGAACTGGTATTGAGCGCCCGTCTGTCGTGACGGCGCTGCTAAATGTGGCCTCTGGTGCGGAGACGGATCCCTCGCTATTGGAAGTGGTCGACAGAAAGCCCGAGTATCAGATGGCAGACGGGTTGCCACTTATGCTCTGGGACTGTGGGTATTCCGAAAACGATGTGCAATGGCAAACCGATTCGGAGGCGAATTTGTACCACGAACTCGATTCAATTCTTGCGCGATCCACGGTCCACAATGTCTTAGACTCTCATTTCCTTGAAGCTGCAGCGCAATACCATCCTCCCCCGCCGCAACCCTTCCCACTCTCGACCACAGGGGTGGATATTAGCAGTGGATCGGAAGCGTTCAATATTCCTCTGGGTGGCGGGACGTCGAAACGAGTAGTGACGTATGTGCCGTTGTTGGAACGGAAGAGGCTAGAATCGGTGGAAGTGGTGAATGAACGGTGGCGTATTGGGAAGGGAATGAGAAGAGAGGAGCGGCGGCGAGAAGTGGAGGAGGAATCATCTTTGACGTGAAGCAGCTGGCGCTTGCTTTGGCCCCGAACCTCGCTATGGCCATGGCATCGGGGGGTTATCGTCGTGCTCCGTGCGTCTTGGTATCCGTCGGGGTTACCAATGATTGCGTCGGTGTATCTTTCACACTCGACGACATATTACAGACTCGACCTTGGACTGACGACCTATCTTGTTACAAGATAGAAATACGTTGTTGACTGTGGTTGGGCTATATCACATTTTACGTCCATACACTCAGTTACCGGTTTGCCAGCCACTACTTATCAATCAACAAGATTCTGCTCAACGCTTCTCAGAACTGCATTTGCAGTCACGTTTTCGTACTCAGGGGCTGTGGGCTGGTGAGCTCGGCGGTGTCTTGACCGTTCTTGGCTCTGGCTTTTACTTTCACTCTCTTCGTTCTAATCCGCCGTCCCCCATAATGCAGGCTATTCTCCTTCTCGCTTTTCTATCGTCACTCGTTTCAGCGTTCGATTACACCGTAGGAGTTGGTAAAGATGAGAGAACCGGGTAATTGCTCACCTGATCCATGTTTCTTTTCGAGGCCGTGCTAAAAATGCGAAATTGTTCGTAGGAAGAAAGGCATGGGCTTCGACCCCTCATCAATTCACCCCCAGGCTGGAGATTCCATCGTTTTCGAATTTCGAAGCGGAGCACATAGCGCTGTCCGTGAGTCGCAAGTTTTCCCTCCGGAAGTGCTGTCTGGACTTCGAAAGCTCACAACTCGTTTCCGCCGAAATAGAGTCCACTTACGACAACCCGTGCACGCCCTTGGAAGGTGGATTCAACTCTGGGGTTATCACTGTGCGTGGAACGCTTTTCCTTGCGGTTCTATTTCTGTCTCACTCACATGATGTTCTGGCAATTGAATCGTCCCTATCGCACTAAATTACGGTCACCAGGTAGCAGACAATCTCGAGGTCGATGCACCCGGTCTCCCACAAATCCGGCTTCTCGTCAATAGCACTGAACCCTTATGGTAAATCTGTCTCTCGGCGTGCCTGCGTAGTCTCTCCCATCAACCAACTTCCCCCTTCTCTCTTCTGATGTAGGTTCTTCGACCAAGCTGGCGGTCTCTGCCGTGAGGGAGCTGTACTATCTGCGAACCCCACATCCACGCAGACAGCTGGAGGCTTCGTAGAGAATGCTTCTCGTGCCCCTGCTTCTCCTCCTCCAAGCTCGTCTACCTCATCTGACCCCTCATCGAGCACGGGATCTACCTCCACGTCCACAGGCGAAGCAGCACCAGCCCAATCCTCTGGTTCAAACACCGGGTACAGAGATGCCGTTTCTGGCGCAGCAGTTCTCTTCGGTTTAGTGATCGGTCTTTTGTAATGTGCTCTATCTATCTGCCTGTAGCACTTACCCGTCACTCGTTACTTCGCGGACAATAATCATGGACTGTTTATATTCGGAAGCTTCCTCCCTGAGAATCCTGGTTTGACTTGCAGGTTTCCTGATGCACGGGTCGTAGCAGGCACAGATATCCGAACATGGGGGGTACGTTCACAAATACTTCTCGCATTCTCGAGTGATAACGTACATGTGTCTGATGCTGTAGTCACAAATTTCTATTGTGCATTACGAACAACAAAGCACTCGCGATTTCTGCATTGAACTAGTGCTTGCTATCTCCGCTCTTCGGTTTCCATACATCCTAGGCTGCTTCACCGAGAGGAAGTTGGTAGGCCAGAAGGGGGTTCTGCACGGAAGGGAACTCAACTCCTCACTCCGGAGTTGACTTTTTTGTGTAAATTGTGCGAAGGGCCAAGTCAGGCAGGAATCTCGCTCCTTAACAACAGAGTCTTATCAACAGAAGCTGGTTCTAGTTTTTCCTCTGAGTATATTATTGTTAACAGTTGTACTCTCCCAAGCCGATAAGGCATGGCCGCTAGGCCAACATGATATTCTGTTCTCACTTGCCTTCTAAATCAGGAATGCCTTGAACACACTTGATCTATCGCAGCTAGTTGCTTCTTCCGTAGAAGTATACGACCAAGTCTATATTCTCAGATAGCAGCGACTGTCACTTTTGGTCCGGCGCCTATTATAGACTTAAACTCCATCTATGTTTAACGCACTTCCCGAAGAATTATTGACGAATATTCTGCGACACTTGGACCATCCATCCCTACTAGCTTGCCGTCTGGTAAGCTAGCCTTCGTGGTTCATCAATTATCCATGATCGACTTATTTAATACGCACCGTCGCAGATATGCCACAAAATCAACAATGTAATCCAGTCTTCTGCGGAGCTCCAGTACTACATTGAGCTGGGCATGGATGGGTTGGTAGATTGTGCGGCTTCATCAACCCCGTACTCGGACCGATTGGCCACTATCATTCGGCGGCGCCACGCTTGGGCGGCGATGGAATGGAATGACACCGTATCTGCACATCTTCCAGGAGAGTGTTTAGCATATGAGCTTGTGGCGGATGTGCTTGCCAAGCTGACAGAAGCGCACGAGTTTGTATGCGTCGAGCTGCCATCCATGCCCAGAGCCGCAGATACGGGTCAGATGGATGCCAGTTCTATCGACACCTGGGATCTTCCTTTCGCCGCCAGAGACTTCGCTATGGATCCTACCCAGGACCTTGTCATATTCTTAGAAGATACGCGGATGTGTGTAAAATTCGCTCAATTTGCGGTCGTTCCAATATTGACCTACGAGGCTTGTCATTTTAGTCCCGTCGCGTCGGAGAAGTCAAGAAATACCCATTTGTACATTTACTCCATGGCGACCAAAGAGCCGCACCAACTTGCGCAATCCCCGTGCCTAGTGATCAACGGCTCAGAATCAAAGTCCTTGGTCCACCCCTTCGTTGGGCACCCCTTCATCATATGTGCTTTACTGCAAATTGCAGAGGACGTTGTGTTGATTCAATATACCACCCTTGCTGCCGAGTCTGACCACATCCGCCTGTGGAACTGGATGACCGGCGATCTATGGCTTGTAAGTGACCCGCATTCCACACTGATTGATATCTCATTCTTGTTTCGGTAGACCGAGGACTATTCTATGACTTGCGGTGGTTGCGGGCTTCTGTCTGCACGATCCTTCATGCTCCCCTCACTCAAAGGGTGTGGTTCAATACAAATCTATACCCTTGAGTTCTCCAATGACTCTCGAACCCCACGCTCCGAGCTCAAGGCTACGCTACTCCTCCCCTCCTCGACCCCCGGCCTCTCGCTGCGCTCCTTCACCTCTCATTCACCGCCCATCGTTGCACGGCCCCTTCAATCCAAAATGGCTTCCCCCGCAGCGGAATCTCACATCCACGTTATGTCAGTAGCATACAACGCGCAGTTTGGGATTAGATTCCGTTTGTTTGTCCCCAATCGCGTCCTGCTTTCTTACGCCGCCGTGGCTCCTGGTCACGCACCCATGCTGGTTCCTTGGGACACCTGGGGCCCGGACAACACGAGAATCATGGAACAAGGGGACACCTCAACTTGGCTGAGGTGTGTGATGTCTCCTTAGTTCTACCTACCGCCATACTAAGAGGTGCGCTTCTTTGATAGGTTTGTACACGGTACTCGCGTCGTCGCGGGACCACCGGTGTCACGTATCCCTCCACTCGAAGCCCCAACCTCCCAAACAGTGCTGCAGCTTTACGACTTCAATCCGCATTGTCGCCGACTTCACTCATCCGTCCAGCCCATAAATGGCGCCAAGGCCGAGTTGCAACCAGAAACAGTAGTGCGAAAAGGATTGGCCTTTGCTGAAACGGTCACCACTCGATTGCCATATAGACGAGTATTGCATCGATTTGACAAGAGGTATACGTCGTTTTTCATCGACGATGAGAGGTTATTGGCCCTGGAGGTGAGTGTCCTACCCAGCTTTCGTTACACAGTTACTCACTGCATATTGTAGCATACTCCTCCTAGCGGGCGCGATCTCAATAATATTGATATCTATACTTTCTAGTCGTTCATCAGGGAGTCGATCTGACATGGATTGAACGATATACGACGCAACTGGAGGAGCAGCTACGAAATGGAGTGGCAACAGGGCGGACAAGAACATGAGATGAATAGTTGAATGGAGGGCGCAGTCGTATTGGCACGGGGACGAGGGTGCCTCTGTGTTGCGAGCGACGAGGGCGCTCATCACCGTCGCACTTGGAGGTAGAAGCGTGGACAAGGCTGCCTTTGGATTCAGTGCAGGTCATCAGACGTGGGGGATTGTGTTGTATGTATATCTTGTCGAATGTAACCCGATCCAAACTGAGTGTTTGTGCTGAAGGCTGCGTGAATGCCGGAGTGGTTGGGGCCTTAAGCTCTCATACCTCTTCTTCATTGGGCTCCCTTGTTCTTCTGGCTTTCCATATCCCCCTCCAAAATCCGTGGCAAGGATTCATCGGCTTCAGTTAGAAGACCTCCATCTTAATCTTGCAGTTGAATCCCAAGGGCAATTACGAGTGGTATACTAATATGAGATAAGGAGATTCATCCACATTTCATCTATATGCTAAAGTCTCTGATCCATATACTTTCCTTCGTTATTGCAAGGTTAGGCTCGAGCTACAAGTTAGTCGGCCCGATAATGCAGACTATGGGCGCTTACTAGATAATGATCAGCACACAATATTAGAGCCAATCTACGAGTGCTGCGTCCTGTATCGTCACCCGCACCATTGAAAAGTCTGATACATAAAATCACCAATTAGTATGAACGACGATTGTTACATAATTCTCGACTAAAGGTGCGTTCCTTAGAATCCCTTTGACTCGGTCACTCCTTTCAAAGTCAGGGGCACGTGCTTGACGCCATAAAAGAGAGCTTCACCGATCGGACTCAAGTACAATCCTTCATCGCATTCACACCCAAGTGTCAAGCCACTGCATTCTCATTGATCCTACGATGTCCAAACCATCGACGCCGACGCCATCAAATACGTTACTTCTTCGAAGGCAGCTGCAAGAACTTACCAAACGACCAGTAGAAGGATTCTCTGCAGGTATGCGAGAAACACATGGCGGATCGATGGCGTGAACTAAGCTATTGGCAGGCCTGGTTGACGACAACGATCTGTATGAATGGGAGGTCATTATCATTGGGTACGCGATAAATGACTCCTCATAGATTCCCCTCGCCATAACATCTCACGCTCCGTCTCAGCCCCCAAGACACGCTCTAGTAAGGGGTACTCAGCTGATTGCCAACATCTGTTCCTGAAAGGATGTGCTTTGCTTTGCAGTGAAGGAGGGTTCTTCAAAGCGCGGTTATCATTCCCGCCTGAGTTCCCCCTCTTACCCCCAAAGATGCGATTCATCACACCGATGTGGCACCCCAACAGTGAGGGATGGTCTCCCCCATATGTATACCGTACTGATACTCGAATACTTAGTCTACGCCGATGGCACCGTTTGCGTTTCAATCCTGGTAAGCTGCTCCATCTTTCCAAATCAGCGAACCCTTACCGCTCTACCTCAGCACGCCCCCGGTGACGATCAATACGGGTACGAAGATGCCGGAGAGAGATGGATGCCTGTACATACAGTGGAGTCCATCGTGCGCACACTTTCTGATCTCTCCGTATACGATGTTCTTGACGCAATATGTGTAGCTTGTCAGCGTAATTTCGCTGCTATCGTCCGACAAGCCGAATCTCGACAGCCCGGCTAACGTTGATGCTGCGAAAGAAGTTAGAACAGACTTTGAAGGTCCATACCGTTCCTAAGCTCTTACAATCGCCACTGACGTTACGCCCTCAGGTTACAAGAAGAAAGTACGAAGGTTGGTCCGCCGAAGTGCGGAGGAGGCCTTTGATTGAGCATCGGCTTTTCCCATTTTGTTTCCCCCCCTTCTACCATCTCGCTTTCTCGTTAATAGTTAATTCACGTACGTTCGGGCTCTAGCTGTCCATTGCTTTCTTGTACTTTCAATGGCTGTAGCGGCTCAGGGCTAATGCTATTTATAACTCATAATCCAATGTCGGCGGATCCCGAAGACCACGTGAGCGCCTTACTGTGTCACGGGACAAATAATTAGTATCGCGGCGCGACTCCAGCCACGGCTCCGACCACAACTCTGTCAGTAGCCACGACCACCGCGAATCAGTCGCGACTCGCCGCACTCAGGATATCTCACTACAAAACGCACTGGCGGTTGGGAGATTGCTACCTACCCCGTTAGCAAATGGACAAAACCAGGAAGCGTTCGAGTCAGTGCCTCTTCCTTCTCAACTCCGTGTACTTGTACTTACAGGCAACAGGAGAGCTGATATCCGTCCCTGCTCCCATGGGTAATTATTACTCCCTTGCGATCTGTGTTCTATCGATGACGTCGAGTCAGAACCCGATTCCGACTCTGACTTCAACCCCGGAGCATATGTATACGAGACTAAAGCCAAGGTGAAGCGCAGCAATGGGAGGAAGAGAAGAAAACTTGCCAGCGATACCGAGTCAGAACTCTCCTACAAGCCCAGTCAGTACCCTTTCCTTGGTCCCGACTATGTTACTCACAGTAAAATATACAGAATATACGCCGAGGCCAACCGCATCGCAGAATGTTCTGCTGCAATACTTAGGTGCGGGATATTGAGCTTGTACATTAGTATCTGACTGACACGCTCACTTAGGACGTGACCTTGATTTGTCGTCCGACGACGACGGGCAAGTTGCGGACGACGAAAATGGGCCTGCGATGGAAGAAGAAGACGATGTTGACCCTGCGGATAGCGTCGTTCCATCATCTGAAGCGGATTACTCTCCAAAGCTATCGCGGACGTTTACCATCCTCCAGAAGCCTCCGCCCCCGCCCGTGCCTGTTGTCGAGTTGGCTGCGAGTAGCCACACAGAAGATGACTCGGTGACAGAACCCGATTCGGGCGACGAAGGCCCGCCGCTGCCTGATATCTCTACGTACAGGAAACCTGATCCGGAGGCGTCTGTCACGGAAAGTGATTCTGGTGACGATGAAGCTCTAAGCAAGCTTGAGCCAGGTGACACCACTTCCTGCTCTGCGCATCTCAGTCATCTCAACCACCTATGCAGTCCCGTCGATAGTTTCTCCTGCCAGCAAGCCTGACATAGAAGAAGACGCGAAACCTGACGAACCTCGAAAGAACCTGGGCCCTCGTCCGAACTTCCCCATTCCCGACGGGCAGTCTGCCCTGGGCCCATTGATTCTCGATGAAGAGCTGGAGGTCAAAGTGCCGCCGTCGATCAACACGTTCCTCCGAGAATATCAGCGTGATGGAATACGGTTTTTCTATGACAGGTACAAGGAAGACCGCGGGGGCTTATTGGGCGATGATATGTGAGTTGATACCATACAACGTACGTTCAATCCATGATCGTTCTGAATGTACGTATATCCTCAGGGGTTTGGTAAGTTGGTAAGGATGCTGGAAATGCTCATAGAAGTCGCTGACGAGTGAATGCGCTGTTGGTTCACAGGGTGAGTGTCGTTCACCCTCCTTGAAAGCATCCCTAACGTCCGTACGAAGGTAAAACTATACAGGTCATCTCCTTTCTATCCGCAATCATGGGCAAGCACGGTGACAAGGCACGTTTGATTTGATACATCTCGCAATTGCTTTTACTCACCCTTCGCTCATACTATGTTTTATGTTCCACGTTCAGCGCGACCGCAGACGCCGGTGGCGCCACGTTTCCCAGCTCCAAGACGGTGCGCAGTGGAAGAAACACAGAAAGCTACCACCCGCCAATGCAACGTGGCCAACGTGCTTGATCATTGCGCCGAGCTCGGTGGTGCCGAATTGGCAAAGGGAATTTGAGACTGTGCGTGGTTGTGATATCTATTTCGGAATGGAGGAAATGCTGACTGGTGTCGATGATCATTGCCATCGTTGGTGTGTTGCTATCATATTCTAACAGTGGGGTTACTTTGAAGTTGGCATGTTTCATGGGACGCCCGCAGAGCAAGAAGTTGCACTCCACGACTTCGAACTCGGACGCTTGGATGTCGGTAAGTGCTTACGGACAACTTACGCCCATAAAGACGCCTACTCCTACTCCTACTCACTGCACCTTTCTTCAGTCTTGACGTCTTTCGATCTCGCGCGCCGGCACATCGACAAGTTGGACACTCTCCCGTGGTCGTGCGTCATCGTGGACGAGGCGCACCGCCTTAAAAGCATCACGTCCAAACTGACGCAGGCGTTCCACCAGTTCGCGTGCCCGCGGCGCATCGGGCTCACAGGCACCGCGATACAAAACTCGTACGATGAGATGTGGACGATCCTGGATTGGACGAATCCAGGACGTCTAGGGACGCGGAAACAGTGGAAGGTCCTGGTGGCCAAACCTCTGGCGGTGGGCCAATCGTCGGGTTCGAGCGAGGAACAGCGGGCAAACGCGCTGGTGAGTTGTCGAGCACACACTGCACACTTCTTGGCGGGTGATTGAATCAAGTAGTCGGTAGCTCTTATTTTGAGGGACAAGATACTGCCTAACTTCTTTCTGCGGAGGTAAGGATACCCCTTATTGACTCGATGTAAATTCTGACGCCCCGCTTGTATTCAGGACGAAGGAAATCATTAAACACCAGGTATGTTCGCTGCCTACACAAGGGTACAAGTCCAGCACTGAACTCATCCCGCACTCCTAGCTTCCCAAGAAGATCGACGAGGTCGTCTTCTGCCCTTTGACCGAAGTTCAAATTGATGGTGGGTACTCGCGCTTGACAGTGCGGTTTGCTCGCTCACAACGCACACCCACCCCCCTCCCACAGTGTACAAGCGTTTACTTGCTATGGAGCCGGTACAAAATCTCATCCGGAAAGATGAGATGTGCCCCTGTGGTTCTCAAGAAAAGTGAGTCAACCTACGCCTACGGGAGGGTTTGGACATCTCCAACTTGTGTGACATTTCTAGGCGGAAGGATTGCTGCTTCCCCTTCGCCGCCGGCGACCTGTTCAAGTTCATGTCCGTCCTCATCAAGCTCGCGAATCACCTCGCCCTTATCCTTCCAGGGCCCGATGATACGCCAGATCAGGTTTATTCCTTATTTACGTTCCCTTTGCTACGCTCTATCTGACGCCGCTCATAGCTGGCCCGCAACAGAGAGCTCGTGGCTATCGCCTTCCCCAAGAAAAATGCCCCGAAGCATGTAACCGCCATGCTGCAAGAGAAATACTGTGGCAAGTGGCGCGTGAGTAACACGTCGCTTGCTTCCATCGTGGGCTCACCAAATGGACGATTGATACTAACGATCCGACGATTGTCCAGGCCTTGGAGATGTTGCTGACAGACTGGCGCAAGGACCGTACGAATAAGGTCCTCATTTTCACGAAGTCGGTGAAGCTGTTGACGATGTTGGAGTTTCACCTGAATAATCGCGGTGCGTTCCCGTTCCCTGAGCCTTCGCTTTCTGGTATTTGAGTATTGAGTATTGGGGCCTGTGTGTAGGCTTCGGGTATGTCAAGCTAGAAGGGAAGACACATAGCAAAGATCGTATGGCTGTCATTTATGTGTCCATGAGTATTAGCATTGCTGACCATCGTGAATAGGCATGTCCATCATAGATCAGTTTCAGCAAGACCCAGATGTTTATATTTTCTTGGTGTCTACTATGGCAGGTGGCACTGGCTTGAACCTTACTGGCACGGCTAAAGCTCCTTCCTGTGGAGAAATCTTATTGACTTTAGTTCGTTTTAGCCGCAAATAAGGTCGTAGTGTTTGGTGAGCCTTTTTGTTCAATCAATATTCATTCGCTCAGTCCTGAGCTCATATAATCGTTGCTGCAGACCCCAATTGGAGTACGTATGAGTCTATGCTTCGTTCTTGGGCAATTCTCAAGTATATGCATATGCAGACCCTGCGCATGATCTCCAAGCGATGGATCGCGCGTATAGGTTCGGTCAAACCCGCGACGTTCACGTTTATCGGTTGCTTGGAGCTGGATCCATTGAGGAACTCATATACGCTCGTCAGATATACAAGCAGCAGCAAATGGCGATCGGCTATCAAGCAAGCGTACAAACTCGGTGCGTTGTAACCCCCCCTTTTATCCCCAATTTACCTGAGTCCTCCTAGGTTCTTTGAGGGAATTCAAGGAGATACTACGAAGCAAGGTGAACTCTTTGGGATCAAGAATATCTTTAAGCTGCACGAGCATACTTTGAGCACTAAGACAGTGGTATGGCCTGCGCTTTTTGTCACGTTGTACAAGGATTCGTTACTTACTGGGCTCTAGATCGAGAGAGCGTCCATTGCTGAATTTGACTGGGCCATGGCCAATCTCAGCGGCTCCAACTCTGGCAAAAAGTCCAAGGCGGGTGATGAGTTGACTGCTGATGCTGGTCAAGACGCAGTGAGTACTGTGCCAGCTAGCTAATTTTCTCGTTACTCAAGAGGATGTGTAGGGTGACCTGCGAGGGCTAGGGGCACTCCTCTTTGACGAGCGTGAGTCTAAAGAATGCAGATGGCGCGTGTGTCAAATATGACACTGATTCATTTTGAAGATGTTCCTGATATTTCCAACTCGGAAACCGCGATTCAGAAAACGCTGAGCACTGTAGGTGTCTACAGCCACAAGAACGATGAGATCCTCGCAAGTAGCAAAATAGAGGAGGCGCGGGTGCTCAATGCTTTGAAGGTACGCGTGCACACATCTACTCTGGACATTACTTGACATTTCGTAGGAATCCAAACGCAGGAAGCGCGCCAGAAAATCTGCAGCGAAAGGTGAGCCAGAGAAGGCCCCCGAACCTGTGTGGCCCCCGAAGCGTAAACATCATAAACCCAAGCCAACGCCTCAGGAACTGTAAGTGCATGGAGTGTCGAAGATGTGTTGTTGGTTTCCGCACACTCACGAATCACTATTTACTCCACAGCATCACATCAAGACAAGAGGCTCTTCTGGAACTTAAATATATCGAGCGCCCTGACCAACTGCCAGAATTTGCCCTCGAATTGTAATGTTCCGTTCATCCCTCATCTGATTATGCATCTAAACATATCTTCCTGTGTAGTGCTCGCACCTCTATCGAGGATCAAAACGCACTAGTAGCGAAGCTCGATCGGCACACAGAGAAGAAAGCAAGGACTCATCAATGAGCAAACTTCTCTCTTGAACGTTCTATATACCACATTCACATATACCATAATCCTTACAGTTGTATTCCTTGATCTGTAGTCTGCGTGAATGTAGAGTAATAAAATGGAAGTTGTTTGTGAACGCATTAGCGGCTGCGCGAAGTGGAAATTTCCAATTACGGTATTTCCGTCGTTGTCCATCCCGCTAACGATATCGCGAACGCAACACGTACACGTACCTCCACCCCGACAAGTATGACTACTGGTAGACCGTCAGACTCACCATGTCCGTTAGCTACGTTCTTTGCCGACCTTGAGCTTGATCGCTCACTTGTGAATCACGATCCATAGCCGCGCCTCAGGCTCCAGAAGTCTCCAATGACGGAAACGAAATACATGCAGGGCCACCTACAGAAATAACACCCGAGACTGGTAAGTTGCTAGAATACTCGCCCCTCTTACCGGCCAGCAACATGACTGGTGTTCTCGATAGATCTGGCATCTTTGTCTCAATCTCAGTTATACGAGTTGAACCAGGTGCACATCGCTTTCGCTTGGCTGCGACTCCTCTATACGAATTTAGCTCATTGAATCTGAATCGTGATCGCAATGCAGAACCTGCTGGAGGATAGCGTGCCCACACGAGCTCTCATCGAAGACATAGCGCCAATGAGCGTGCTACGGGCCGAGTACGAGAACGGTTCACAGTCTTTCGTAAAGCAAATCGACAGCTTGGTGGCTAAAGGATTCGATTCCATCAGAAGGGCAAGAGGTCAGTTTGTTACCAATCGTTCACCTTTCTGTCGTTTATTCACGAAGTGCACAGGGGACGGAGACTGTTTCTATAGATGTGATTGTGCTTTAACCACCTACACTGTGTTGTTACTAATTCTCGTAACTTTACAGCTGTCGCGTTTGCTTATGTGGACAGCATGCTCAAGGCTGCTGATGTAGCAATAGCTGCTGCGAGCGCAATATCCTTGTTGGAGTCCACGTTCCCAATGCTGGAGCAAGCGGGCTTCCAGAAACTCGTCTTCGAGGACTTCTACGATGTGCTAGCATCGCTTCTGCAGAACATTGCCCAGGGTACCAATGACGGGAAATCACTTGACTCAAAGATTCTCCTTGCTTTCCAATCGCCTGAGAGCACGTTTACCCGTTTATACATTGAACGCATTTGCTCACTCTACATCCAGTCTCGAACTCTATCGTCGTATATCTTCGGCTACTAACGGTAACACTGGTTGTTCATCTTGGGGTTGGGGTTCGAACTCACGAGTCTTCAGTCAGCACGAATACGAACTGATCCCAACGAATACGCACCATTCCTCTTCCACCCCGAAATCGGCATCCAACTCGAGCCCAGAGAATTCTGTGAAGCGTTCGTCGAGGCCGTTGGGAAGGAAGCGGGTAAGGCAGCTCAAGCGCGTCTGACGATTTGGAATACTTACCGTTATGATGGTCGGGTATCGCAGACCACGTACAAATGACCGCACTCGCGCGCACTCTTCGCCTGAACCTGGACGTAGCGTATCTTGACGGACGTTCGGCTGATGGGCATGTGGACTTTGTTGAATTCAGGAACAGCGACGCGACGCCGTTGACCTTGTTGTATCGGTAAGTCCAACGCCTCTGCCAGTGCAATTGCAGCTCACAATTCGGTTTCCATCGTTCAAGCCCCGGGCATTATGATATCTTACTGAAATCCGGCAATGGTCGTGCATGATGTACTTATGTAGCTGTAAAGAGGAAAAGAGGATGCTCTGCGGAGTAACGTTGGCGTGGAAGGCATACACAGTATGTACTTTTCCTGGACAGTACTAGGACGCAAGGAGATTATGAGCAAATAATAAGAGTAGACTCGTTCCCCTCCAATAATATACGAGCACAATCAGATCTTCCATAGACTGAACGTGCCTCCGAGCGATCTTGTAAATGGCAGCCGTTTCTTGGTGACAGCCATCTCACCATTAACATTGCAGGCCGTCTACAGAAGTCTAGCTTTCTCTGCGATCGATCTTCCATCCTCCCCTCGGCCAAGTTTCTCTACTCCTCCTCCCATATTACGCGTTGAGTCGCAGTCACTTCCGAGTCGCGTATATAGGAACGACGCGAAGAGACGAGGGCGCTAGCGTAGATATTTATGTATACTCACTGTGCTTGAAGGACCAAGTACGTCGTTCGTGCACCGCCAGTGTTCACCAGTGTAGACAATGAGCGCGATCTGTAACTTGGTGGCAAGATAGGGAGCTTCGGGGCATGTACCGAGATACCAAGTTCGGGATTTTTATAAGCAACAAGCGACGCGACGCGTACCGAAGCAAGGTTGATATCGTCTCCTCCATCAAAGGAGTATGAAAGGGAAATCGGAATCGCGATCTGTAAAGGTTGACCTCGAGGACTAGAACAGACTCGAAGAGCGGGATGCCGTTAGTTCAGAAGCTCAACTCGGAATCCCGCACTGGTAGCTGAAAATAATTAGACCCATATGGCGTGGAGAGTCCCAAGAGTTTTGAGCATACGGGTCACGTCTATCTCAATGTCAGGAAGACGGGAAATAAGAACTGAGAAATACGTGAATGAAGAGTGCCGTGTGCGAGAGAATGTTTGTCCATATTTTGACCGAGCTCCTATTCAGAGATATGCTTGATTCTTTACCAGTTGCCCTCAAACTTCTACGATATCTATGTTATGACTGTCGAAACGCGCGACGACGAGTGGGACGAGGTCGAAAGGCCGAACTGGCGAGGGCTTGGTCTGACTGACCCGATCAAGAATGTGGAAGTAAGCACCAAGTGCGTCCGATTTCTTGTACTCATTCTATCTCACCGACGATTATAGGACAAATGGCTGCTGCTGCCTGCCTTCTTGAAGGTGAAGGGCCTGGTGAAGCAACATATCGACTCGTTTAACTACTTCGTGGACGTCGATATCAAGAACATCGTCAAGGCCAATAACAAAGTTACCTCGGACGTCGACCCTCGGTTCTGGCTCAAATACACTGACATAAATGTGGGCTTCCCCGAGAGGCCAGACAAGGACGCGATCGACAAGCGGATAACGCCGCACGAGTGCCGACTGCGAGACATCACATACAGTGCGCCGGTCATTGTCACAATTCAGTATACGAGAGGTCGAACGATCGTGCAAAGAAATGTAAACGTCGGGCGGCTGCCGATCATGTTGCGCAGCAGCAAGTGTGTGCTAACGGGACGCAGCGAAGCCCAGCTGGCGCGGATGACGGAGTGCCCTCTGGATCCAGGAGGGTACTTTGTAGTCAAGGGGACAGAGAAAGTGATACTTGTACAGGAACAACTGAGCAAGAATCGAATTATTGTCGAAACTGATCCTGTGAAAGGCGTTGTTCAGGCATCGTGTACCTCGTGAGTTCCCTCGGCCATAAGTACCCTCCTACGGCTGATCCAGGCTTGCAGGTCGACTCACGGCGGCCTGAAATCCAAGACGTACGTCGCGACGAAAAAGGGCAAAATATATTTGCGGCACAATTCGATTCACGAGGATGTCCCCATTGTTATTGCGCTCAAAGCTTTGGGGATCCAATCTGACAAGGAGATCTTGCTGCTGACAGCCGGCAACACCGAATCTTACAAGATGGCGTTCGCGACAAACCTTGAGGACGCCGCAAAGCTGGGCATATTTACCCGCCATCAGGCTTTGGAATATATAGGTACACGGGTGAAGGTGAATCGTCGAGTTGTGGGTCCTCGGCGTCCTGCATGGGAAGAAGCACTGGAAGCGCTTGCCACCATTGTTCTTGCCCATGTCCCCGTCAAAGGCCTCGATTTCAGGTCCAAGGCGATATTCGTGGCCACTATGACCCGTCGAGTCCTCATGGCCATGGATGACGAGAAAATGGTGGACGATCGAGATTATGTTGGCAACAAGCGCTTAGAGTTGTAAGTCCGGCAATAGTACATGTGAACAATCCTAAATCTTTCGTATTTCAGAGCCGGACAGCTTCTCGCGCTTCTTTTTGAAGATCTCTTCAAAACTTATAACACCAATCTAAAGTCGGCCATCGACAAAGTCCTGAAGAAGCCATCACGGACCAATGAATTTGACGCTTTTAATACCATGCAATTCCAAGGTGACCACCTGACGTCGGGGTTCGTTCGGGCTATTTCGACTGGGAACTGGTCTCTCAAGCGGTTCAAGATGGAACGCGCAGGCGTGACGCATGTCCTGAGCCGCCTTAGTTTCATTTCCGCTCTCGGGATGATGACTCGGATCTCCTCGCAATTTGAAAAGACCAGAAAAGTCAGTGGACCGCGTGCTTTGCAACCTAGTCAGTGGGGAATGCTGTGTCCCAGCGACACGCCCGAAGGGGAGGCATGTGGGCTAGTAAAAAACCTGGCGCTCATGACACATATCACCACCGATGTGGAAGAAGAGCCTATTATTCGGCTGGCATTCATGCTGGGCGTCGAAGGTATTCCCCGGCTTATTTTGGGACAAAGACAAGTAATTCTCACTCCGATTTGGTTTAGATATCAGCCTGGCAACAGGGACGGAGATATACGGCCCTCATACATTCGTGGTTAACGTTAATGGTACTATAATTGGGATCACGCGCTACCCCTCCCGTTTCGTTACTAACTTTCGGAAGCTGCGGCGAGCAAGACGGCTGAGCGAGTTTATCAGCGTCTACATCAACCACCACCACAAGGCAGTACATATTGCTAGTGATGGTGGACGGATTTGTCGTCCAATGATCATAGTCGAAGATAGCAAACCAAGAGTCCGATCCGAGCATATCACGGTAATGTTTATCCGCTCCTATATGACGGTGTTCCATTTACATCTAACGTCACTCGCAGCTTCTGAAACAAGGCACACTGACATTCGATGATTTCCTGAGACAAGGCCTCGTCGAGTATCTAGATGTGAATGAAGAAAACGATACATATATTGCACTTTACGAATCCGACATACATCCCACGACCACACATCTGGAAATCGAGCCTTTTACATTACTTGGCGCCGTCGCAGGTCTAATTCCATATCCCCACCATAACCAATCTCCCCGAAATACATATCAATGTGCCATGGGAAAGCAAGCCATCGGGGCCATCGCCTATAATCAATTTAATCGCATCGATACCCTTCTATATCTGTCAGTATATCCACAGCAGCCGATGGTCAAGACTAAGACCATCGAGCTAGTGGGGTACGATCGCCTCCCCGCTGGCCAGAACGCGACCGTGGCTGTAATGAGTTATTCGGGATATGATATCGAGGATGCCCTGATCTTGAACAAAGTCCGTGGTTCCGCTGGTTCCGCTTCCCGATGTTGGCACTGACGCTCTAATGCCCTTCGTTGGAACAGGCTAGTCTGGATCGTGGTTACGGTAGATGCCAGGTCCTGCGCAAAAACGCGACGCTTATACGAAAGTATCCAAATGGGACGTAAGTAATATATGAGGAGCCCGCTGTTAATTGGTTACTGACGTCTGCCTTTAGATTTGATCGGCTCGCTGATGCTCCATTGGATGAGAATGGCCAAACGCAGAAAAAGTACGACATAATTCAACTCGATGGTCTCGCGGGCGTTGGCGAGCGGGTGGATCCTGGCGATGTTTATGTCAACAAGCAAAGCCCTACTAACGCCAACGATAACTCATTCACTGGCCAGGCTGCGGCTGTCCCTTACAAGAACACGCCAATGTCGTATAAATCCCCCGTCGCTGGCCAAATCGACAAGGTGATGATAACTGACACGGAGAGCGATCAAACCCTTATCAAAGTGTTGATCCGGCAAACCCGGAGGCCCGAGCTGGGCGACAAGTTCTCAAGTCGACATGGACAAAAGGGTGTCTGTGGGTTGATCGTAAACCAAGAGGACATGCCCTTCAACGACCAAGGCATAAATCCTGGTGCGTTCGGTTGGATCCGCTCAACTCGATCACCTACTAGACCAAACTATCTTAGATACCATCATGAATCCGCATGGTTTCCCATCCCGAATGACAGTGGGTAAGATGATTGAGCTTTTAGCTGGCAAGGTACGTACGGCTAAGCGGCCCAACACGGGGCCAGCTGACTTCTGACTTCCCTGCAGGCAGGAGTATTATGCGGTAAACTGCAGTATGGAACCGCTTTTGGGGGATCAAAAGTAAGATTCACCGAGTATCATTATGATAGTAACTTTAACTTCTATGTCGGGCGTAGGTCGAAGATATGAGCCGAATACTCATCGAGAACGGTTTCAGCTACGCCGGCAAAGACATGCTCACTAGTGGCATTACTGGTGAACCCCTCGAGGCGTATGTATATTTCGGCCCCATTTACTACCAGGTATGAAGTATCTTTGGGATGCCCCTTTATTGACTCCGCGACTTATCCGTCCAACTCAGAAACTCAGTAAGACGGTGTCTTATCGTGTGTGCATCCATGCTAAAAAGCACCCTAGAACATATGGTTATGGATAAAATGCATGCCCGCGCCAGGTAAGCGCGACGGACATTCTGTTTGCAATGTGTCTATACTTACCGCTCGCAGGGGCCCACGTGCCACTCTAACCAGACAACCGACGGAAGGTCGGTCCCGCGAAGGTGGGCTTCGACTTGGCGAGATGGAGCGCGATTGCTTGATAGGTTATGGCGCAACCCAACTCCTCCTGGAGCGTCTCATGATCTCTTCGGACAAGTTCGAAGTCAATGCTTGTCAGGAGTGCGGGCTTATGGGATACAACGGCTGGTGCACGTATTGCAAGAGCTCGAAGAAAATGGCTCAGCTGACTATCCCATATGCTGCAAAGCTGCTTTTCCAAGAGGTACCGTGTGTCAACGTCACTTCATGACCCCCTGATTAACTATCTCGCAGCTGATGGCCATGAACGTGGTGCCTCGCTTAATCCTGGAAGACTGTTCCTAGGGAACATATCGTGGAGTACTATCACCTTCAATGGTGTTACTCAGTGCTTGGTCGACCTGAAAAACAGCCGGTCCCAACGGACCAAAGCGGACGAGTTATCCCACTAGAGGCGTGCGATGTGGAGTACCTTAGCAATCGATGCTCTGCCTCGATTAACTTCTCAGAAAAGGATAGTGTGGTGTCGAAAAATAAACTGGAGCGCTGCTGCCACTCTGCTGTTCGGAAATCACCGCCAATAAGATGCAGCACTCTCACGAGATCAGAGATACAATTATACGATTGTCGGGCGGGTTGCGATGTCAAGTAAGTATAAGTCACAACCCAAGTTGTTCGTTTATGGACTCTCGTACGAGCCTTTCGTATTCCTACATCAGGTTAGCACCTGTTGTCCTGGGTATTGGGAACGGCACGTACCTGTCGGTTCTCCCTATATAGTTTGCAGCAATCAATATTCGCACCGCTCTCAAGGTTCGGTTCTTAAAGCGACAACATCGGTTTAATGACATGCTGCAGAGAAGAAGCATAATGAAAGGACATACCTGCTAGCATTGATATGACGCTCAAAATCACTTTTTCCACACTCTGCACGGGGCTCCATCTTTCCGAAGCTTGCTCGTACATCGTCGGGTCATCCCCCGGTGTATGGAGAATTGAGATGCACACATTGCCATCAGGATATACTGGGAGAAATTACGGTCATTCCCACCGATTCCGGCAAGGGCAGAGCAAGTCCTTACTGTTCGGGTGAAACAACGGTGGCTCAAATTTCATTTTGAAAGGGGAAAGAGGGTAATCGGAGGGCTGCGATGCCAGGGGTTTGAATACGGCAATTAGTTCGAGGATATTAGCATGGGTGCCTCGGGATGTACGCACAAAGGTCAACTTGGCCGAGAATACGCCACCCTCCTTCAGTATATTGCATTCAATTCGATACGTTCCCACTGAGCAACGGCGCGGCTTACAAACGGCGTGTCCTTTGGGCCACAAATCAACGCCTCCCAAGTGAAGAAGTCAGATTCGGAGATTGGACCTTGAAGGAAGCCATATCAGCACTGGGTTTCAAGCCGTGCGACTGTCGGAGTGACAGGCGTACCAGCGGTGAACATGCCATCTGGCGAGCCTACAGCAAACGCAGAACAACGAACCGGGGATGATCAGATTTGGGCAGCTGTAGTTGAATCGGGCAAACCTCCGGCAGTAAGCTGCTTGTATTCGGTCATTAGGCGACGCAAAGCGGTTGCACTGGTCGAAGGCCGTGGATTCATGATGGAAGCGCACTGCGAAGAGCTGAATGGCGTCTGCAAGCAATGCGACTGCGCTAAACTCCGCGACTGTCGGCCGATTGATCAGTTATCTAATCTCTCCGATTGAAACCAGCGACGTGGTTGGTGCATATTTTATATTATAATTAATCCTCTATAGTACGCGATCAAAGAGTCTATCGATACACTGTCCATGAAACCCAGATGTGAAATGAGAGAGCCTATTCCTTTCGCGACTTGTGTATCCGTCCGGCTATGTTGTGCCCGAATATGTGTCGGTTGATGTAGTCGTTGCGGAACATCCCAGTCGAATCAACATCCTCGAGGACACGAATGAAGTCATCAAAACGTGGATACATCTTTCGCAGCGTATCGGGACGTAGATTGTGTGCCTTCGCCCAGTGCGGACGGCCCTGGTACTTGCTAAGAATAGCCTCAAAGCCTTCGAAGAGCTTGCGATACGGAACGTTACAGCCATATGGTCTGGAACATTGATCAGTGGGAATATACGCCGCGATGGATCGGAACTCCTACTTGTATTGCACGATCCCAATCCAACAGGTCCGTCCGCCACTGCTGGGGCTTAACCATATATCGTCAGCGGCTGAGAATCGGATTTCCACGGGGAAGTGAGGTCGGATCCCGTCTGGTTTTTCTATTTCGGCATGCACCCAATCTCTGAATTCGCGCAGGCACGGGACCGTATTCTCGTATGGAATAGCCCACTCGGTCGTGTGTTGGGGATACTAGGTGGGATACATCAATATTGAGCGATCTCACGATGAAAGGAATGCCGCTCACTCTGCATTCCACATTGAAGATGGCGTGACTAACGTCCACGCCCACAGATTTGCTGCTGGTCAACCAGGCTGCAAACCGGCATGTCCAAGTGTTCACACACAAAAAGAATCGCCCGATAAACAATAGCAGTTGGACCAGATGGTAGCCCATGAGGGAGTGCCACAACCAAGAGAACGCGGGTTTCCTAGGCTAAAAGGACCAATTGCTTTAGTGCCTGGAACTTTCAATTAAGTTAAGCTACTAACCTCGTCGGTACGATTTGAGACGCTGACGCGCACGGTGTCCGGAGAGTAAAACCACCAGAATCTCACGTGTTCGCCAGAATGCACGATGGTGTCCAAATTCTCCATCGCGTCGTTGAAGGAGAGAGATTCTTGATACTCCTTTAGCATGAATGCGGGTTCGACTTGTAGATGTACGTTCAAGATGAGGCCTGTGCTCCCCAATCCACAAATGGTAGCCATGAATAGATCCGCGCGCTCATAACGTGAACAGAATACACGAGACCCATCCGCCAATAAGAGGGTCAGCCCGAGCGCGTGCGTCGACATGACGCCGAAGTCGATTCCGGAGCCGTGAGTGGCTGTCGTAACGATTCCGGCCAGGGTTTGGTCGGAGATAGAACCAACATTCATCATCGCGAGCTTGTGCTTGGCGAGTTGGAGATGGAGGTCGGACAGCGTGATGCCGCCTTGGACGACGACATAATTTTTCTCTGCGTGTACCTATGTGAATCCAATAGTGGGTTGAGTCAGCGATGGTGCGGTACTCCAGGAACGAACGTAATCTCGTAAGGGAAAGTTGAATAGGGGCTTACCTCCAGCAGGCGGTTCAGCTTTTCGGTACGAAGCATGTACTCGTTGGTGCAGGCGAGATCACTGGGGCTGTGACCGACTCCAACGGCGCGGACGGACTTGCCCTCTCTGCGGGCCAGCTCCAATACAAGCTCGCATTGGTACTCTGTCTCGGGCAAGAAGACGGCGAGAGGCTGGCAGGTAAAGGTGCGGCCCCAGTTTGTGAAGCGGGCGTCGGGAGAGAGGGTCAGGGGCTGGAGGAGGTGGTAGAGGTTCTGGAGAGGGATGTCTGAGAGAGAACGGGATGCCATGGCGCGATGTCGACCTACTCGTACCCATTGCGAGGTTTTATAGTTTCTGGTGTGATAGCTGCCCCCCGATCGCATCTCCTTTTTGAGTAATCATCTCGAGGACGGAAATGGCCGGCGAGTGGTGGCAACGCCCGCTTGTCAGTAGCTTGAACCATTTCATCACTGGTTTGAACCACCTGCGACCAGGAAACAGGTACCGAAAACAACTCCGAAAAGAAACTCACGACGGATTTAGCCTGTCATTAAAAAATCATGTGGCACCAGTGGCACGTGACAGGACTCAGATTCACTGTTGAATTCAGCGGTAAATCTGCGGTACCAAATGTTGGGCAAATGTGAATTTGACACTGTCGGCATGATTCTTTACCAGATACTTGTCCAGATAATTCAGCTGTCACCTATATGTTCTTATTAATGTTTAAGCCTCCAAAGAAAATTTTGACGCTTAATAAGGAGTGAACACAGCGCTTCAGTAAGAAGATAGATATGGTAAAGAACCAAGGAAGCTGTCCTGCTAATTCAAGAAATCGAAAGTAACCCTAGAGGCGTAGTGAGTAATAGAAGCGAGCGCCATCGATGTGGAAGACAAACCTCCCCCATTCCTGCCCGTTGAAGATTAAAATACCCCGAACCTCCGCGCTATCCAACTCGAGGCCTAGCTCGAACTCTGTTACACGTTCTCTGAGGAGCAGCTCATCGTGAAGTGCAGAGAAGCTCACCAGTATAGAACCCGCCAGGAGGCGGATTCGCAGCGTTCTGCCGGAATGTAGGGAGCGTGGAGATGTCGACGGTCCACTTGCACAATTCCACGGTTTCCCCTTCATCCGTGTACCTCAGAACTTTCTCCGCCTCGCTGGTATACAAGACGGCGACAAATGTTGAATCTACGATACTCGCGTCAAGAAATGGAGGAAACCACTTAAGGTAAGGACAAACCTTGAGGTGTTTGAGAGAATTTGCTGCATATAGCATTAGACTCGTGGCTTCCATCGCACGAATTAAATCACCCACCAGAATTTAGTCGTAACCCGTTGACTTAGACTCCTAATTAGACGAAAAGGCAACTGCGAGGGACATTTTTGCTCACCCTTTCCTGATAATGGCACCCTTTTGCACGAGGTATTGCAATCTGATCAGACCCGCCGGCAAGTCAATTTCGGTAGCAGGAAGGAAGGAAATGCGTGGTACCTGTTCTCACAAATCGGGACGCCTGCGTCATTGTTTCGGATATACGCAGGCCTTTTCATCCAATCCTCTTGGTCAGCTGGCAACTTGACCTAAGGTTGAATGGCGTTAGAACTGCACCACCACAGGAATCAATTTTCAAACCTTCATAATGTACGATCTGGGCGCGATGACACTGGAAACAAGCGGACGCCGGGCCAATCCGTATCTTGCTGCACCCCGAACGGTGGCCGTATCCGCATCAGGTGGTCTCTCAATCACTCTAATTCTGGAGCTGAATTGTTCCTGACGTGGGAGTTAGAATACCAAAAAGCGCTCGTAACAACTTCGGTGGATGACGAACCTCTACCCTAGCTTTGAGGTATTCGCAGCCAGCAAAACCTCCCACGAGAAGTAACGCATCAATCCTTTGATCTAGCTTCCGTGTCTGCTCCTCGATTAACGCCAGGACCTAGGAAGGCTATGGTTGAGGGCTCGTCGGCGGGTAAAGGGGCAGATACGAACCTGTTCTACAACGGGGTCAAAGACTTCGCGGCGCAGCATATTACCGGGTATCGAGAGCTGCCCATTCTCCAGTCCGACCTCCGGAGCGTGAGGGTCCTCGACATTGAAGCATGTGAAGTGGAACATATTATCTGCCATCCAAAAACGTCATATCGGGAGATGGTGCAGGAGCCCAGATGCACGGACCGTCATCTTCAACCCCGGTATATGCAATCTTGTCAGTTTCGCTGAAGGCGTGCACTGAATATCATATCAGTAATTGCAATTGCAATAGAAATGAAGGTCCGACATACTGAAATAAGCCAGAGATGCAGGGTCTAAATGAGCGGGATGGTCGGCCAGAAGCGTCTTCACCAACTCTTTGAACCGCAAATCAAGGAAGAGAGAACCGCAGTTTGCCCCTGAACGTGCGCACATCTCGGCAATTTCGAGGTTAGCCATCTGGCCGATGATTTTGTAAACCGCAAGATCGACAGTACCACCACCAGCATCACAAACGATGAAATTCTGAGATGGCTTTAAGTGATGGAGGTCCGTCAAATGTGCACAATGGACCGCTGCTGCTTCAGGTTCAGTGATGATCCTCAGCCGCTCTCTCCATTCACGATCGCCAGCTCTCGCACTCTGGACGAGCCCGGCGGAGATGGCAGCTTCTCGCATAAGATCGCAGCCCTTCGCATCCCACGCTGCTGGGACCGTGAGCCATACGTCTGCGGAGTCTGCAAGAGGTTCAGTTAGCTTGCGGATTTTAGTGTAGTATAACAGCGTACTGAGGTCGGCAACGGCGCCGATTTCGCGAGTGATCTGTTCTTTAGCATACTCCCATAAGCAACCGAGATAATCAACGATGAGATCAACCGCCCGTTTCCCTGGCTATTGAAGATCAGCAGTAAATGGGTATGATGACAAAAGGACAAACTGGTAAGGCGGGCAGGCGTTCGTCAATTGCCGATTGGTCTCGAAGAGCATGGGGTTCCAGATATAGCTTAAACCTGGGGAAGAGAACTGGTTACAAGGGCTATTTTCGACGACGAGGAAAATTGCGTACCATTCACATCGGGTAGTCCCAGGCATCGGCGTCGCATTTTTAGCTTCGAGGCCCCAGGCTAATATTTGACCATATTCACTAGCCATAGATCAATCATCTCGAGCGTTGGTCGAGAAGATCCTCGACTCACTCATACAGCAAACATGTCGGAATCTAGAAAACGGTGAGGCTCCGATCAAAGGTTCTACGCGAATTTGACTGACCTTCCTGAAAGTCTCAAACGAGCCGGGCCAATTCAGGATCTGCTGCACTTGACCGCCGGCTATACGCGAAGAACCATACGCCTTCGATCCATTGAACAAGCGAAGTCTTATCCAAAGCCCAAGTCACTTACCACGCCAGAGAAAGTCGTACCTTGAAAGAATTTGGTTACTCAGGCTCAATACGTCACTTGACTGGACGCTCACCAAAGTCAATTGCTACAGACATTTTACCCTCGTCGGCTTGAGTTGGGTATCCCGGTATTTGGCCTATTTGTCCAGGAGGTGGTTGGATAGTCATCATTGGGGGAGGACTTGAAACCGACATATGTGGAGGTGAACCTGCCTGGGACCTCATGATAGAGGTATGGGCAGATCCTGGCCGAGCAAGTGGTTCGTTGAAGGGATATCCATTGGCAGACCCATTGTACGTGTTGTTCGCCGTCGCGTCAAAGGTACCAGCGGGTGTATTTGTACCAGAATACGGATTGAACGGAGGCGGAGAGCCCGACTGCCATCCTTGCTGTTGCTGGAAACCGTTCTGAGCAAAAGCGCCCTGTTGATGAACGTTCGGGGGCGGGGAGACGGTAGGCTGCTGGAAAGACGGGTTCTGCAATCCAGGGAGCGGAACGGGCTGCTGATTCACCGTCTGCATATTGGGGTATCCATTTTGTGGTTTCTGGGCAGAGGTAGGAGGCTTGGCCTCTCCGCAGCAGCTCATCGTTGTGGGTATGTAGGTCGGTCCTCGAAAGGAATGGACTTGAACCAGCAGGTCCGTTGAACATCGTGGGCTGTGTCTTCTCGGCGCTTGCTCGAGCGCTCAGGGACCTGGCCCTGGTGGCGGTGTTCCGCACGTGCCAAGATGGGCCCTCGACAAGCAGGAATGTACAAGTGGTATTCAGATTCAAGTCGCCATAGTCCCGAATTTGAACAATCAGTAGTCAACTAGTAGCGTTCATAAGACATATTCCAACGAGATTATAATTAATAGGCGTAGTATAGACTCTGAAGCCCAGGAGGTTGGCGTGGTATCCGATACAAGGATTGCTGAGTCTATAATATAATCAAAACAATCAACAAAGCTCGGGCACAGAAGAGAGCGCGATCATACAGCAATAGACGGGAACAAATTAGCACTCCCCAGACAGCTATCGGATCGGAAATGACGACTCTGCGGAAGTATTTCCCTGACTTAGCATAGTGCCAGCCACCGAAAGTGCCAGCCAATAGTGTGCCACAATCCAGCGGGGCATATTGCTAATCGATTGGGAGGATCCGCAAATCCCAGCATCAATGCCTATTGCATGTGGTGCGTCACCACGGTCTCAAATAAACTGGGTAAATTGGGAGACACCAACCAACCTTGGGCAAGGCTCATCCGATATCCTCCAATAACATTGCGCTTATCTGTATACATATACCCGCCAAGTCAAACGGTGATGTCGATAAATACACGCACTCGGAACTTACCTGTCCATACATATGCAGATCGAAATCCCCACCTCAGATCAGGAAACGAAGGCGACGGCATCGCCTGAGAGCATCGTTGATAGGCAGTTTGGGGAAGTTATGATCTAGGCCGTTGGAAAAGGCGTCATAAAGGGTCGTGGAGAAGCTAACGGGGTCTTCGAGAAATAGAACGGTCCAACCGCCGACAGTTCTATCTGGTTTTTGAAGTATAATATTGGAGGTCAAGTTCCCAAGTAGGTTTGGAGTCAACGACCGCATTCTGCCGCGGAATGCGCTTCAGCTTCGTTCCACAGGGGCAACATCGTGAGAGCAGCCTCCGGACTGCGTGGATGATTTATGATCTGATGAGTCGGACGGATCGAGCCTTAGAGCTAGTTGGAAGGTTCCCATCCTCGGATTTCAGTGTGAGCGGCGAGGGGAAAGTCGAACCATAGCTGGTTTGCCGAGCTTATGACAGGATCACATAGAGCATTGCTGCGCCTTCTCGGGAGTTACCTTCAGGTTATTCGATGTTCTCCGGATGTACGCGGTTACGTGAGGGTGCGGTGCATCGAAACCCCTGGGCGGAAGTGGTCACGGAGGAAATCGACGAAGAAGAGAGGGTACATCAAAAGGGGAGAAGCTTGAAGTGGGTCATAACCCCCAGACGTCGCACACGAAGCCACTGCCGACTCAGCGGCTTGATGGATGCTGTAGGGTATGTTGAGGTTCTTGGTGACACGGGTAACGAAAGCCTCTTTATCCAGGCAAAACGACCATATGTACGTGGGACCGTTGAAACATCCTCTGAGAAGCAAAACACAGCATGCTGCACGATTTTTCCGGGGATGTGAGCTTGTTTGAATGGCTAGTTGGTAAAGGCAGCGTAAGTCTGAAGGACTGGATGCTAATGCCACGCGAAGGTGCACCGAGGAACGAATATGCTCGTAAAGCGGCGCAGTGAGTTGTGACATTGAGACCACAGCCGGACTTCCGATTCGGATAAATGTCATGAAAATCAACCGGTGAGGCTGATTTATTGTCTACGAGCAGGGGTGATGAAACATATCAGTAGTGTTCAGAAAAATTGACTTCTCTGCTAGCCGTTGTCAAAGTGGTGTTGTGTTTTGAGCTTAGGCCTCTCGCGCGATCTTTGCCACACAGTTGACAGCGGGCAGAAAAAGACCTGAGCAACAGATATCAGTACAATGCCGCATGCAGGCACACAGGCGAACAGATGTAAGATTGGTTGACTCGAAACATACTCAAGGTCAGGGGAGATATAACCAATCCAGACGTCGCCTACAACCCTTGGTTCCGCCAGGCAAAAACATCAGTCAAGAATTTGTTGGCTAAACTAAGCCTCACATACGGTGATCCCAGAGAAGCACTGATTATATAGCTTCCTGAACAGCCACGGCATTGAATGATTTTTTATCGGAAGACTATCGGTCGCATGATTGTAGTTCCATGGTGCAAGTCATTCTGTGGTGGGTCCATGATGAGGAGCAACGTTGGTACGGTCCGACTGGTAAGTAAGTTGGTGGCAAAGATGCAATCGGCGGTGACTCGGACTTTGAAAGCGAGCCGCCGGTACAGCGGTAAGCGCCCTCAAGTCGACCTTGAACTGCACCACGCACCAGCACGCACCTTGTCCCGACGCTAGCCGTTCAACTCCGTACATGGCGACTAGCACCAAACTTGCGCAGAAGTTGAGCAATATCGCCGCAGCATGGCCTAAGGATCCATTTAGGCCTCAAATCCAGCTCAAAACGTTTCTCACCTCGTTATCGGCGCATCCCAATCTTACGCCGCAAGCGGTACAGGCCGCACGCGCATTGAAAGACAATGATATGTTCAAAAAGGTATAACTTCTCCCGCGAAACTACTCATGAGATTAGACCCATCGATACGGGCTGACTTTGCTCTCTTCAGTATCCGTTGTCGAGGAAGATGTTACAGCCAGCGTCCATGCCCAAGTACTACGATCGCCTCGTGGAAGGGTTCGAGAAAAGCGCGCAGGGAATTGCCAGGCCTTGGTGGAAGGTCTTTTTTGGCATTTGGTAGTAGTATCCCCTACTGGCAAACCATATGAATCGAACGATGCGGGGCTCAATGTGCAAAAATATACCCAGACTACCCTGAGCTGGCTCGCGACTTCGCGGCTACGAAGCCCTCCATCTGTGATACATAAGTCAGCCTCGCGATGTTCCAGGGCTTAGATGTTAGAGCCGAACATGCGAGCCTTTCTCTACTTATCTGTTGAGTATCCCATTAGGTCATGCTACATGTGCAAATCGTGTCTAAATTATACTCCCTGCGGCTCTCTCCGACCATCCATAACCTGTAGGAGATGAAGTGGGTAGCAATGGCTTTTTAGGGACATTAGACTAGGAGATATTTTTACAACACTGGTATTGCGAAATGTGCGATCATGAATCATGGAGAGCATTACGCCGAAATTATACAATGACTACCAGAAATGGGCAAAGTAGATGGAAGAGGCCAGAGGCTTACTCCTCCTCCAGAATTTCGTCCTCGCCCTTCCGGGCCTTGAAGAGAATACATCAGCGGGCACAGAATCACCTATCGTGGAACCGGCTTACCTTTTCAATAAGTTTGCGACGTTTCTCCCTAGTCTTCTTGAGTATCTTCGCGTACTTCGCCATAGGAGTCTCTTCAATTTTGGCACGGACTCCGCTCTCCCATTCCTCTACCTTCGAGACGTTTCCTGGTGCGAAGGGAAGAGACTTCCGTTTCTGATCTACCCAACGTGCAGCATCTTCTATGCGTTCAACTAGTACCTTCACAGCAGCGACATCCTTTCCAGAAGCGTTCTTACCGGCCTTCAAGCTTTTCCGCACGGACACCACGATGGGCACGACGACTTCTGGAAAGGCCACACTTCCCTGGATCAGCCGCGTCGCCAGCCAGTCCGCCAAGAGAAATGTGGCCTCTTCCACGAGACCTTCAGTGTATACCCTTGTTTTTAGGTACTGTTGTGGCGCTCGAATCTGGACTTCAAAATCCAGTGGTTTTAGCGTCGACGATTTCGGTCGGGGTCCAGTCAAGGTAGCCGTGAGGATCGGGACGATGTATGGAGCAAGAGGGACGTATGTATCGGTATGTTGCGTCAGACGCAGGAGCGACCGAATAATGTGAAAGTGGAAGGGATAGCAACGACTGCTAGATATGAGTCTGTGATAATGAGAAATCGGGATGGGTGGGTTAGCAGAAACGCCGGCGTGGTTTAGGGAAACAACGTACTTGATCGACCCAAGGCTAACCTGAACAAGGGGGTAGATCAGGGCCTTGAGCTCATTGTCCGATCCTTCGGCGTTCGAGCGAACATCACACGCGCGTGCCAGCACGATCGACCAGAAATCAATACAATGTACAAACTGCCAGTTGTACACTTGCTTATAAGCCTCCTGTTGACAGATGATTCAAAAATATGGTAATCAGCATCAAGGGTGACAACTCGTGTGTGAGGAGACCATACCTTAGTTTTGATTTTCATGCTATTGCGAAGATGTATAGCCAGCTGCCTAATGTAACCAAACGCATGCTGGTAGGCCGAGCCGTGGTCCAGGCAGAAGATCTCGGACGCAGAGTTTTTCATGAGGGTTATGGCGGGCAGAGTGTGTCCACTGGTCAATTTTGTTGATCGCACCAATGTAAGGTAAATACCCTAGACACCCATTGAGCACTTCAGTTCATTTGATCAACGACCCTACCTTTTGCACGTTGGCCAATATGCTTTGGTCAGAGGATGACGAGAGTTTTCGCATGGCCAGTACTGCGGCGATCCGTACACTATCCTGGGAGCTAGACCAGAGCTCTAAGCATTTCTACTAAACGTGTTCAGTGATTGATTTACAAAGTGTATCGCGCCTTACTTTAAGATACAGCTTGACTGTCTTCCTGCTCGTTATGATGTAGGGGATCAATTTGGAGCTCTCTTTGACGGCCAACTCCAGGAGCTCCTCGTCTGTCGATTGAGACAGGAGGTGGATAACGTTTTGGAAATACGACAATATTAGTTTTTGCAGAGTCTTGAACTTTTTCGTTTGTACTGGCGGTTTACTACAACATACATAAGTGGAGTCAAAGTCAAAGGCATGGTGCCTATGTGGGGCGGCGAATACGCACAATCTACCATCCGGAAGGGTTTTGTATGGGACGTGGTGCTCGAGGATGACGGGGGTATATCGTAAGGAAGTGGTGACCAGCTTGTTATACACTTAGCCCGCGTTTAGTAAAGGTATAGACGCAGAAAGCGTTAGACCGTACCTTTTGCGCTGTCGATACTCCACGCAAGGACTTGGCCTTCTTCGTTCATATGTACAGCGGACCGAAACGCTACTAGGAGTTTTCGGAGAGAACGTAATGACCTTTGCTAAAGGTAATGTAGTGTTAGATTCGATACTGCATTTCTTATTACATGGAGAGTGTACCTGTAATAGTACTTTCTGCCATTGAGTCAAAGTTTTCATTGTGAGGATGGGTAGACGTTCTTCAGCCTCCTGGCCGTCCATATCTTCGTCGACTTCGTCCTCATCGTCGCCATCCATGTCCACATCAGGGTGTGCAGAAGGATCAAAATCGAGTAGTTCTTTATCATTTTCCTGAAGGTACTTGTAGAATTCTGGATCCTTCTCCGCGAGTTTAGATAATTCGTGGAGATGAACTTCGCCTTCGCCTGTATAATCGATGTACCCTCACATCTCATGAGAAATGTAGATGCGGAGGACTCACTGTCCAAATCGTCCACGTCCGAGAATGAACCCTCGTTGGCTATGTCGTCCTCGGCGTCCTCGTCTGCATCAGAGGACTCCTCCGCGGATTCAGCGTACATCTAGACAGCAGAAGTAACGTGTCAGATTGCGAGAGAAGAAACAAACATATGGAGAACGGTCACCTCTTCTCCATCTTCGCCTTCTCCTTCACTGTCCTCCATAAAGCCCCCGGCCAGGATATCATCCACTGTGGTAGGCTTTGACCTGGGAGAGTTTGGGATGAATATAGCACCCTGGAAAGCGAGATAGCTGCGTACTTTGATGATCTAGGCTTAACAACCTTTGGCGATTCCTCAACTCCACCATCTGCATCTTCGTCCGCAGGGGTTGTTTTTGGGTTCCCAGATTTTGCACCGCGCCGTCCAGAGATTCGTTTCCGAACTTGCTGCTGCTTGCGCCTGGCCGTTATAGTCTTTTTCAGTTGACCACTAGCTATAAATTTCTTTGTCGACTTTGCTGTCTTCTTTCCCATGATGAGAGGAACGGTCAGAGGACTGTACTGTCGTACTGCGAGTCTGCGACTGTTGCCAGAATTTTGATTTACGAGCGCCTATTCTCGATCAATCCATTAGGAGCTATTTTTAGGATTCCGTTTCGGCGCTTATGCAGATGTACCACGCCTCCGACGACACTCACTGTGTCAGATTTCACTACCTGCTACGATGCAATACTGATTCTTCATCATTCCTATGAGACTCGCACCGTAACTTATTGGATTTCAAGGAGTTCTTGAACCTGAATTGGACGACACCATGCCAACTACCACTGAAGTAATCAGCTCTGTAAACGACACTCTTGCCGCACATGCGGCCTTAATTTCTCGCGTTCGTGCCACCCAAAACGAATTTAGGCAACAATTGCACGCATTTCAGTCCCCACCCTATGAAATACTGAAACTTCCAACCATCCCGAGCCCAACCTCGTCACCCGGACTATCCGAACGATTCTCACCTCCGCCGTCACCGACACTGAAGGAGCAGCAGCACCAGAAGCAACTTCAACGGACCGATTTACCGCCTGCGAAGCGGGCTAGGGCTTCTAGATACCGAAATTATGTCCCCGAGGAGGAAACCATCCGGAATGACTACTCTCAGAGATATGTCGACGGCGGAGAATGGCCGCAGAACTGGGTCCTCGGGACAGACCCAGAGCGAAGATTCGAAGAGTACGTGTGCTTTCTATTACTTTGATGAACCACGATGACCCATGATGACCCATTGAACTGTGCAGATACCCCAAGCAGCGACGCTTGCTGGAGCTCAAGAAGGCATCTGTAGCTCAGCACGCTGTTTCTCCCTCTTACCTTCCATTTTCAGAACTACAGTCTCTGGGGTCTTCTAAATTCGACGTTGTCCTCATAGACCCGCCGTTCTCTTCGTCGTTTACTTGGGATCACCTTCAAGAACTACCAATTCCTTTGCTGGCAGCCGAACCTAGTTTCATATTCCTCTGGGTAGGCAGTGGTGCTGGCGAAGGCCTTGAAAGGGGGAGAGAGGTGCTCGCGAAGTGGGGCTATAGGCGATGTGAGGACGTCGTATGGGTCAAAACTAACAAGACTACTAACCGCGGTCCCGGGGTATGTTCTCTCACATCTCACATTTCACATGGTCCACTCACTACCCGTCAACACCATAAGACAGATCCTCCGACTACCTCGTTGCTCACACGCACAAAGCAACATTGTCTGATCGGAATTCGAGGGACTGTCCGACGCTCGACCGATAGTTGGTTTGTTCACTGCAATGTTGGTGCGCGACATTCAGTTTTCCTGTTGATCACTCTTCTCATCATGATACAAACAACTCATTTCCGAAAATAATTTTCTTTCTCTATTCTTACAACAGATACAGACGTGATTATATGGGAAGGCGACCCTCTGGACCCCACCCGCAAACCGCCGGAGATGTACACATTGATTGAAAACTTCTGCCTGGGTACACGGCGATTAGAATTATTCGGTCGTGTTCCAACATCATTTCGGCGGGGATGGGTGACAGTTCTGAGCCCTGGTCACGAGGACCGTCTCCCTACTTCAAAAAATGACTCTGGTTCAATAAAGGTCGAAACAGAGGACGGCGGAACCGTGGATTTGACCCGGTGGGATAAGGACAAATGGGAGCACGGGATACAGCAGATTGCGGAGGGAGGGAAGGCCATCGTGCCTACAACACCAGATATTGACACTCTGCGCCCCAAATCGCCGTTCAGACCTGGACAAGGACATCAGATGCCTGGTGGGTCGGCCATGGGTGGCCCTGCTGCCGGGAGGATGATAGGGGCGGGTAACCGGGGTGGATTTGGTTCAGGTGTTCATGATCCAGGCCAAATGATGGGTCAACCGATGATGGGCATGACAAACATGGGTATGGCCACCATGGGAATGGTCCCTGGGATGGGGATGGGCGTTGGTGTCGGTGTCGGTGTCGATGATATGATGTGGCAGGGTGCTGGGATGGGCGTAGGGATGGGCATGGGCATGAACCAGATGGGTGTGGGAGGTATGGGCCAAGGAGGGGGCATGGGCACCGGCCTTGGCTTAGGAGGAATGAATATGCCAACGATGATGGGTGGGATGGGTCAGATGAGTCAGATGAGTCAAATGGGACAGATGGGAGGCATGGGCATGGGATCGGCCTTCCAAGGGACGGGCTTCGCTAGCGGCTTTAACAATATGAATGCCAACAATAACATGGCTCGGGCGACCGGAGGAGTAGGTCCAGGAATGTTCGGGGGACAGATGCAAGGCATCGGGGACTGGGGTGATCAGAACCAGTTCGGTATGGACACTGGGTGGGATCACAACGACAATAGGACTGGAGCTATGGTTCCGGGCGGCGGGACGAACCTCGGGGTCAACATGGGTAATATGAATATGAACAACGGTATGGGTATGGGGCAATGGGGCACAGGCGGATTCTAAGGACACGGAAGACTTTCCGTTGAACTATCTAATTGGTTGGTACGTCTATATTATCTATGTATGTGTTTTTGGGGCACTTTGCAGTCGTTTTCGATGGGCAAAGCAGTGGATTTCCCCTGAACAGGCGATGAATTACATATGACTGTGTCTCGACATACCATGATCGGTCGATGCTCTCGTTCACTGCCTGACCTAGTGTTCTGGGGAATGATTTTAACTTTTCAACCTACTAACATAGGGGCTTCATATATTGCCGTGGGCATCCTCGATCTTGTTTTTTCTTTATGTAATTTCGACGCGTCGTCCTTCAAGGAATCTCACCTCTCCCCAGGCCGGAGACGTCCCGCTCCTACCCCCGCACAATATTGCGAGGTGCCCTTTTTCATGTCCCCTATCAGGTCCTGTAAAGGTTCAGGTTCACGCGGTACAAGCACCGACAGTAGCCTTACCACGCTCGTGGAATCGGATGCAAGCTCGGACGCAGAGTCAGAGTATGCCCCCGAGCCTCAATTCACGGCAAAAAAATCCAAGGCGCGTCCAAGAGCGCAGGCCTTGATCTCGCGTGGCACCAAGTCCGTAGTCTTTGGCACTCTGGTCATTGGTGGGCAGGAATTGTGCCCAACCGTGGTCTTTGACGCGTTGTGGCAATGGATGCAGGAGAGGATGTTGATTGACAAGAAACGTCGATCAGGAATTCCACCCCCGTGAGTATTGTGCCCGTCAATCAAAACTCAAATAATGCTTAACATATCTCTGTTGGCATCAGCTGGACGGATGATCACATATTACGGGATTACTTCTTCTGTGCCCCGTATCGCGTTGCCGACCGTGCCACTCAGTACCTCGTAACGGAGGTTATCGAGAAGGGCCCACAGTCCGCATCCGAGATCGTTTTTCGCGTCTGTATTTTCAGCACCTTCACCAAGATCGAGACGTGGGAACACCTACAAGACACCATTGGCCCTCTTCGTTGGTCTAATTATGACCGAAGGGTGTATCAGTCGGCTTTGCGTACCGCACAGAAGAGTGGTCGGCCTATCTATACCGGCGCGTACCAGAAGCCAGCGCCAAAGTTCGACTACGACGAAACGTTCATGAATCACCTTGCTCTCGTCGAGATGTGGATGCAACTCCAACTGCCGCAGCTATTAAAGGATGCCAATTACCTGGCAGATGTATACGAATGGCTTATATCATTCCCCGGGATGGGCGAATTTAACACATATCAACTCTTACTTAACCTCTCCTACACTCCCGTCTCCCAATTCTCCGATAACGATTTTGTCGTCGCTGGTATTGGAGCCAAGTCGGGCCTTGTTAAGCTATTTGGCAACTCCTACAAGATTGCGAGGGAGAACTCCGATACCGTCGACGTCGATATAATGCAATGGATGGTCCATAATCAAGCCGAGTGTTTTAAGAAGCTCGGCATCGATTTCGTCGGCCTCGGCCCGGACTCTTTACCATTGACGCTCCCCGATCTCGAACACTCTATTTGCGAGGTGGATAAATATGCTAGACTTGCATTCCCCCACATCAAAGGAAAGGATAATCGCACTAATTTGCGGCGGTCCTATAAACAAACTGGCAAAGCACTACCTCCGTTGCAACTACCAAAGGCTTGGAGCCACCCTGCGCGTCGGCAAGTGCGCATCAGGCCTGGCCCACCACCGGTCATTGAGAAACGATACCTAATTCAAGCCATCGAGGGCAGACGGGATACCCCAGACGGACCCCAGTATCTGGTATATTGGTTCGGCTATCCTGCGCATATGGCGACCTGGGAGCCGGAAGAAGGTCTACTTCTTGATGCACCAGACGTCGTCGCCGATTACCGCAAGTACGGACAATCTGGCATAAGAAGAGTCTACACGTAGATGGCATAATTATTGACCGTTAACTTTAAGCCTTTACGGCTGCATATTCTGAAGACTGTTATTTTATAGATCGATGTTGAAGTATTGATAAATTTGCGCACATCATATTTATACTGCTGTCCTATGCTGTTCTACGAAGTTACAAATGCTGCGATTATTCATCATTATAATCAAGATGAAGGGCACATTGGTATAAAGAATTATGTGGAGGATCAACAAAAATTCACATTCCTACTTTTTAATATAGTTTATCGCCGTACCACGAGGTTGCCGTCAATGAGACAGGCTGAAGGGGACGGGTTAGTGGTTACTGACTAACGAAAACGAGGACTGACCTGCGATTGGGGTGACCTGCGACCTTCTCTGTAGATTATGATATCGCTGGGCAGAGAGACAAGAGAGTTACTGTCGGATTTTGATAAACTCTGTGAGGGGGTATAGAAGCCGCGCGAAAATAGAGAAAACGAGCGCCGATGGCGTATCGACTCCATTCTCTTCCGATGACAGCACCACAGAAATAAGGCGAACGCGATGGCAACCAGGCCGAATCCTCCAGCTATGCTGCCAATGATAGTCGCGACGGGTGGAGTTGTATGCGGAGAGGCAATCGATGTGGGAGAAGATGACTCCGTGGCTAGCAGTCTCGTTGGCGTCGCGGGTTGTGAATGTGCCCAAGTGATGGACACGGGAGGACCGGATACCGATTCGGGGGTAGGCGCCCCGACTACTAGATAGTCGATATACACCGGACTGCCATCATTGACACGGGTGCCAACGATGGTGTGGGTGCCAATTGAAAGATTGCCTGAAGAAAAGAATTGCTGATTGTATTGCACGTCATTGCCAGGCTTCCCGGAGAAGAGAGCGGGTTCACCGCCATCGACAGTGTACGAGGTAATAGCATCGGGGAGGACGGGCGCGCGTGACGACCCAGTGGTCCCAGCTAATGTACCAAAGACCTTGATCGAGGTTCCTGAGGAAACAAGTCCATATCAATGCATATATCAAGCCGTTCGCCGACGTACCGTAAAACGAGAACGTGAATTGCGCGCCTTTCGTACTAGTAGACGTGGTTGTTCCCAAATATTCGACCTTCGAACCCGCTTTGCCCCACCCACCAGAGTACTGTATTCGACTGTCCCTATCGTCCACTCGGGTTTGTATCATGGGCACCTTGAAATAGCCAGCAATGCAGGATGGATGGGGTCTGAGGAAATTTGTGTTCTACTGACGCGCAGCCCGCTCTAAGAAGGTCTATGCTGTTGGTTGCCTGCGTAGCCTTACTGAGGGGCCGCCGCGGCCGCGTCGTAAGTTTTGTTGGTTCCTTTTACACTGTTCCATGGCACATGCGTTGAGCTAGCACCTAAGTCCTAAGGTTAATGTTTCTCATCTCAAAAGGCGACATCAAAAGAAAAACCTTGAATTCGGGTCCCAGCACCGTTCATAGCAACTTCGATAATGTAGTCCGTTTCCCCATCCTCCAAAATGTTCAAACTCGCAACTCACATCATCTAGAACAGTAGGCATCGGCGCAAGCTCCCGAGTCAGGCATCATTCCACGAACGAGGTTTACTGGGCCCGTTATCGGGGTCGATGTATTTCCTGTGGATTGTATCAGAGCTAGGAGACTGGGGTACAGTTAAGTGACTGACTCGCCCAGTTATGTATCACATTGCGACGAATCACGTTTACTTACTTACCTGCAGGCCGCAGCTGAGACGCTCAACGCCCATCTTCAACTCGCCCTGATGGAGTGGTTTATAGACGCCAGTGTCATGACTCCTGATTATTGCTGGTGGGGCCGTTTGTGAGCCAGGAAGACTTGTTGGAAAGCCACAGACAAGTAGTATCTAGATTTTCAAACCCGAGTCCTGATCAGGTATGCATAGGGTAATCGAGGGGAGGAGAGGCAGAAAATAGTTGGTGAACTAGAGTTTGGGAGTGACTAGGCTGTCCAAGAGCGCCGGGCCACCATTGTCTAGAAATTTACGTTGGCTGTGGGTGATGACAATTCGATGCATCAAATACTTTCAGGAAAGTTCCTTCGTGTATAAATGAGCGGCGAGTGCCAAAATTGATTTGAACATTACAGACATACCAAAAACGTTCGGAAGGCCAGGGATGCCGCGTACTCCCGAGTTACCTCAACGCGGATCACCAGTGATCTTGACCTTGGACCCGCATGCGCACCTGTATAACGCGACTGAGCAGAAGTATGCCCGGACCGACGATCTACCGCAATCGATGGGTCCCTACCAATAGCACGGTATGATACCGGCGTCTGTATCTCATCTGCACTTTCCGTAATTATAAGAGGCCGTTCGATTATGTCACCAGGGGTGATTTTGTTTGTTGCTCATGGCAAATAATTACTTGGGCTAGGGGGCCGATGCCGGGGGCACGGCGGGTACGAGACCGGGTTTTCTCCAGGTTTGCTCAAGCTAATATCTCTGCTGTCCTCAGCATGTAGATAGCCATGACAGGAGTCCCCTGTACTGTCTGGGATGTAGATGCCTGCCAGGCAGGCAGACATCTACACCGCTCTTTAGTTTTTATGCCATCATGGAACCAGGCTTGATGTGCAGAATTTACTATAACAGAAGTAAAATGTGATTCATGCCAAAAGACAACACCTCTAAGCACCAACTCCATCAGGGTCCCACCTGCCTCTATTGACCATGTGTGCTCAGCAAAGATGCCACCATTGTAGAGAACAAAGCCTACCATAGAGGCTGGCCCTAATCCCTTTGACTCTTGATGCATCACCATTTGAGTTTCACAGTTTTTGCATATGTGTGACCTTCTAAGTAGTTTGTTTGACAGCCATTGCCCAATTGATCCAGAGTGTTGTTCTGTTGGATTTGCTATTACATGTTTCAAGTGTTCTCCAAATTCCATCATGTGTTTAGATAATCACGATGTACTTATATGTAGATACATTTGATTATTCACACATAGATAAAATAGGTAGTTTCAATTATGTAGTCCCTCACGCATTTGCAAGGGTCAACTGCTATTCCGTACGCCCGAGTAACCATGAAGAAACGGTTATTTCTACATGTTCTACTACATGAGAGGTGGCCAGTCACTCCTCTGCATGAGGAACCAGATGACCTTGGCAATTTGAGCAAACATAGATATTGCACATACAAATCTCTTTTGAAGGCATTATGATGTGTTATGGTCTGACATTTCTTTTCCTTTTCATACGATCCTTATCTTATTGGGCACGTGATGTATTACACAAGCATGCTCACTTATGATACTCCGCTTACATCACCTGGGCCGTCTTACCGACAGTCTCAGTCAGTGCCTTGCTGCTACCGCATGGGCACAGTCAATAAGTGTCATACCTGTTATAGGCGCATCCAAGGAACCCCTTAGGGGCTACTAGGGGCGCGCCCACATGCGTTTCCCGACTATGGGCTCGGGCCGCGCTGACACGCGGCCACGCGGACTTCCCGGATTACGGACTAAGTACATACTCGAGCACATTGTAGTTACTACGACCGAACTCGTTACTGTTTCGTGAACGCGCGGACGCCGCGTGTTCCTTAGTATATAGTCCTGTATCGTACATACAGCTACCTGAGTTCGAATATTAGTTCCTTCTCCGCACTCGCACCCTCGCCCCTCTAGTGGGTTCTCCCCCCGTCGCACCCCTTCGCCTCCGCCCGTACCCTCGGTACCCGCGTAGGACTCCTCCCGGAAATACAGGGCACGCAAGAGTGTGGGAGGCGCAGCCAGTAGCTGAAGCCAAGCCCGTACGTCCTCGTTCCCCCCGTTTTCCCCGCGCATCTACATGGAACCGCGCACCCGCGGGTCCGCGTATCCCGAGCCCCCTGCGAGTGTGGCTCTTAACAATACCTCATGCAGCTGAGCTAATCATTCCATGGAAAGACGGTAGGATACAGTGTGTAGATAGACATGAGGATATAGCATGTACAGTAGTATATAACTGTCCCAATAAACACCCAGAGACGTTAACTTGTTCTCTTGGGATCACCACTAGTATTAGTGCCTAACTCATAGTCCTCAAACCTCATCTCTCATCTTTAACTCTTTCTCATCTCGTCTTGCTTGTCGGGTCTGCATACACTTTTATAGTGTATTAGTGTCGCCCTAACATGATGTCCCACAGATCAGACACTGCAATATACGATGCTCTGTAAGGAAATATGCTTGGATGATTTCTGTGCAACAATACACGCACCACATCTCTTGCCTTCACAAAACCTGCTGCATCATTTATTTTCACCATCTGTCTGCCTAATGCTACCATATATGAGCTGTTGCAGCCATGAAATATCAGATTGTTACTTCTCCATGCAGCATATAATATAGTGAATAGAGCATCGTAGGCACAGCTGAAGTTTACAGGATCCCATACTAGGCCTAAAGGACCTGCTTGACTATCTAGCCGAGCCTTCTGTGTGACTGTTGTGGTGTCATTTACCTCACATCTCCTCTTCTGTCCATGACTTGGAAAACTTTGTTCCTTGTACCATTCTATCAGAGTGGTACATGTTTCACAAGAGATTCGCTGATGTTGCCCAGATTCCAACAAATACTTATGTATTTATATTATCCAACATTTCTAGCTCTCTTAACTCATGCTGAAGGTGAGTGTAAAGTACAAGTCTCATATTTCCCATCTTACGGTAAAGGATAGGTCATCAAGGACAAGGAGGTTCCAGAGCCCTGCTACATCCACCCTGACAACATAGGGCTATGTCAGATCAAAGCCCGACTGGCAGTCTACCAACGCTGCAAACAAGACATTACACTATTTGTCAACAAGGAATATATGGTAGGAGATATTAAATTTTCACAAGGCATGACTTACAACTTTGCCAAGGTTGGTGCTGTTCAGTACCAGGCATTTGATAAAGCCACACTGGAAGAGATGGACGAGCACAAACAGCGAAGCACACATCTGCACAATGTTAAATGTGGTGTTAGCTTCCGCACATTCACGTGGGGAAGCATGAAAGCCTTGGGCTCATGTCTTCCACAAGGAGGAAATCCAGGCTCAGGATATGGTTCTTACAAGGATATGATTGCAAGAGAGATTGAAGACATCAAGTTGATGTTTGAACATGCGAAGGTCTGTACCGTGATCACAACAGTCAAGTTCTACTTATACAGCCTCAGATTGCAGATACTCTGATCACATCAGGTCAATGTATTTACCTTCCAGTGACAAAGGCAATAGGGCAGCACCTTGTTGCCCAAGGGATGGACCCACTAGGAACCGTAGGTGGAAACCTCTTCATCTGTCACAACTACTGCAGTCCAGTACATCCTGATCGAGACCACACCATTTCAGTCTGCATGCAGCTGAAAAAGAGATGCAAGAAGGGAGAATGGAACTTTGTCTTCCTCCGTTGGATAGTTTATTTGGACAATGATGCAAACACTCTATGGCAAGTCAAATCTTTTAGGATATTGGGCCCTTAAGCTAACTGACAGCAGGCTTTTTAATGCCAACGACTTTCATGCCAGCACCATGCCCGGCGTGGCTACGATGGAGAACACGAAACACAGCATAATCTTTACCAGACAACACATTCAGCAAACTCAAGGTGAACCTGGAGCATTCACACGACATGCACTGGCCGACAACATACACACAGGTGCGCCATTGAACATCATCAATGCCAGAGCAGGAGCAGCTGGAGCGGCAGGAAACGGGGCTGCCTACTATGAAGCCCAAGGCCACACCATGCCCCAAGCTTATCCTGGTGGCTTGGCATGGATCATAGTCAATCCAGGAGACGCATCAACTGGATATCACTGCTCAGCCAGGTCTAGAGATGTGACACACACATATCACTATCAGCAAGTTAGAAGACAATTGCCAGCAGTAGAACAATACTGGGCATGACTTCCAACCCTTTGTACTGTACAAATATTGGTAGAAGACTCCATCTGTACATAGTACTACTCAGAATCAGCTTAAGTGGCAAATATGCAACAAGATGAAGGAAATAAAAGTAGAGAAACTTTGCGCAACACAGACTCCACCTGTAAGGAGTGTGCGTGCTGAGAGCGATAGACAAGCAGCTGCTCCAGCCAATTGGAAGAGAAATAACCTTAGTTTGAACAAATAAATGCAAAGAAGCAAACGTCAAATCACAGCTCGACAAATCACAAAGGAACCAATGAGGCTTGTTGTTCCTAGTGTAAGGGGACACTCCTATTTTCTCCTATTTCCCCTGTCTCGCCCCCTTCCTCCTCGTTCCTTCCCCCTTTCCTTCATTCCCTTTCCTTTCCTTTTGTCCCCTTACCTTTCCGCTTCCCTTCCGTTCACTCCCTTCGCATCCGAGCCCCGTCCGGTGACTCCGAAGTCTTCCCACACTTCGGACTCGCCTCAGACTCGCTCGGACGCTTCGGACTCGCTCGGACTCGTAGATACACTTCGGGGCTCGTCCGGGCTACCTCTATCCTCCTTTCCCACTTCATTACTCCTTGTCCCCACTTCCCCAGGTCGCTGGCACGACTCCTGTACATTCCCCTTCCACTTCATTATCACATGCCCCCTCGTACCTTGTGATATTCGTTCGTACCTGTGGCTGGTGTACTGTACAGTTACCCTTCATTCCTCCCACGCTACTACAGTATATACTTCGCTTCCTAGCATGGAGAATCCCCATCCTGTTCTCTTTGGATTCTCCCTCTGCTAGGTGAGCAGCTCTCTCATGTATTGTAGTTAGTCTTATTCATTTCTTTGGATTCTCCCTCTGCTAGGCCTGCGCTGTCGGCCATCTTGAGGTTGCCCTTACACCTAGCCCCATACTGAACCCTGTCAAAGTGTTTCAGACCACCTGCGACCAATGAGCCTCCATTTCATTCCGGTCTCATAAAAGGATATTGACATTGCCAGTGGTTGCTTGCTACTGATTAGATTGGGTAAAGATTATGATTAATTGTGAGAATATTTCTGTAACTATATAAAAGGTCAGAACTACTGATCAGTAGTGCTTCTGCCCATTTACATATGAGATGATTGATTCACTACAGTAGTTGAGACAATGTACAAGAAATGTTTAAATCACTCAAAAACATGTATAGAGCAATCATCTATTAACAAACTGTCCTCATATGAAAAGTACATAATATTTTTTATGACACTTTCTCCAATACTTTGGAAGGCTATGCATGGTCACTCATATCATTTCAAGTTGATCAATTGTCAGAGTACAAGTTGGGTATTAGGACAAGTTGGGGGCATGATAGTGTAGTGGGCTACCACACAGCTGCCATTGCATCAGCAGCACTGGTTGACATCACCAAGAGCCTGAGTTTGATTCCACCTTGAGTCTTTTCCCTCAGAAATCAGATATCTTTCCTTCACCACTAACTGATCAACATTCATTTGGAGCTCAAACTTTAATATCACATCATCATCCAATCACAACTAACAACTGTGTTAGGGCAACACTAATACACTATAAGCATATGTGGACCCAACAAGAATTGGAGTGAGTGATGATAAGAGAGAAGTAGGAGAACTGAGAAGGAAGTTGAAGACATTGACTTAGGTGCTAGTACTCAGCGGTAATCTCAAGAGAACGAGTTAACGTCTCCAGGTGTTGTATTTGTCATATATATACTCTAGTACATGCTTGGGCCTCATGTCTACATACATGCTGTATCCTATCATACTTCCATGGAAAGCTTAACTCAGCAACATGTGTTTGTGATGTCACCAACAGTGCCCATGCTTTATTGGACTGAGACTATTGGTAATATGGCCTGAGAGCATAAGCAAGTATAGTAAGCAAATATGTGCTCAGTCACGTGATACATAGAGGAAGAAAGGGAAACAGAAATCAAGCCATAACAAACTGCTTTCATGGATTCAGCTTATGAATAGCACATGACTGCAACAAGTTATCCTGCTGGTTGCATTACCAGTACCCTTCCACCTAGGCACACTATGAGAAAGTCTTGCATGGCAGCCTGGAGTTGGGCATTCAGAAAAATAAGTCAGAGGAATGTGGGAAAGCAGCACTGAGGTTCCTGAGCCTATGGTAAGCCTGGGCTGGAACTGGGAAGATATGTTGGATGGTGTGAGAAGGAGGTGATGTGGGAAGTTCAGGGCACTCAACCGGATAGGTGTAAGGGGACACTCCTTTTTCCTTCTATTCCCCCTGTCCCCATCCCTTCCCCATTGTTCCTTGCTCTTTCCTTTCTTTTCATGGACTCTTATTTACATTCCTTTTGTTCCCTTTTCCTTTCCTTTCCCTTCCATACACTCGTATCTGATGACTCCAAAGTGTTCCTGTGGTCCTGTAAGGGCAACCTCAAGATGGCCGCACAGCGCAAGCCTAGCAGAGGGAGAATCCAAAGATAATGAATAAGACTAACTACAATACATGAGAGGGCTGCTCACCTAGCAGAGGGAGAATCCAAAGAGAACAGGATAAGGATTCTCCATGCTAGGAAGCGAAGTATATACTGTAGTAGCGTGAGAGGAATGCTGTAAGGGGACACTCCTATTTTCCCCTTTTCCCCTGTCCTGTCCCCTTCCTCCTCGTCCCTTTCCTCTTTCTTTCATTCCCTTTCCTTTCCTTTCGTCCCCTTTCCTTTCCGCTTCCCTTCCGTTCACCCCCCTCGCATCCGAGCCTCGTCCGGTGACTCCGAAGTCTTCCCGCGCTTCGGACGCCTCGGACTCGCTCGGACTCGCTCGGACTCATAGATACACTCCGGGGCTCGTCCGGGCTACCTCCATCTTCCTTTCCCACTTCGTTATTCCTTGTCCCCACTCCCCCAGGTCGCTGGCACGGCTCCTGTACATTCCCCTTCCACTTCATTATCACATGCCCCCTCGTACCTTGTGATATTCGTTCGTACCTGTGGCTGGTGTACTGTACAGTTACCCTTCATTCCTCCCACGCTACTACAGTATATACTTCGCTTCCTAGCATGGAGAATCCCCATCCTGTTCTCTTTGGATTCTCCCTCTGCTAGGTGAGCAGCTCTCTCATGTATTGTAGTTAGTCTTATTCATCTCTTCGGATTCTCCCTCTGCTAGGCCTGCACTGTGCGGCCATCTTGAGGTTGCCCTTACAGCAGAACAGGATCTCCCAATCCTGGCACCAGAGCCCTACGGAAAACGTCCTGCGCCACTCCGGACTCGTTCCCGACGTCTCTCCGGTTTTGCGGACATTCCGGACGCTCTCCTGCTACTCCCACCCACCTCTGAGGACCCAAGGAACTCCATCCCTCGCCCCCCTGACGACTCCGAAATGCCGGGCGCCTCCAGCCAGATCCCGCCATCCGAGCCAGTCGCTCCAGGACCGGACTCCGAGACTTTGCAGACCTTGTGGGCTCAGACGTACGAACACCAAACCCAAATCAGCTCCATCCAGGATACACTCGCCCGAATTGAAGGACTCCTCCTAACACCCCGTCCGACTACTCCGAAAACGACTCTGGACTCCGAGCTGAGGGGCACTGAAGCCTCCCAGCACGCCCCGAGTCGATCCGAAATCACCCCGCGTTCCCGTTTGAAGCCCGCCTCTCCCCCGATCTTCGACGGAAACCGCAAGGATGGTCGCGCGTTCTACAATGCGTGCTCCATCTACTTCCAGCTCTGTCCGGACCACTTTCCGACTGAGCAGGCCAAAATCCTCTGGTGTCTCTCCTTCTTCCAGAAGGATCGCGCCAAGGAGTACGCGGACATGGTGCTCCGGAGTCCGAAGGATCCGTACTTTGAATCCTGGGCCGCCTTCGCAACCGAATTCCGGACTCGCTTCCTTCCGGATCGGGAACGCAAAGCCGCCATGCTCAAGCTGGAGTCCACCCGATACCACCAAGGGCGTCGGACTTTCCAGGAGTACCTCGACGAGTTCCGGGACCTTGTAGACCAGTCCGGATACTCCGAGGGCTCCAACATCACGATGAAGTTCCGCCGCGGACTGGACTCCATCATCCAGAGCCGCGTTGCCGAGTCCGCAGACTGTCCGGACGAGGATGACTTCGAGGGATGGTACAAGGCAGCGCAGCGGGTCGCTGACAACCGTGCTGCCAACCAGTCCTTCCACTTTGGCGTGCACTCCGGAAACTCCGGACACTCCGGATCCCTCGTCCGACCAGCAGCCAGCTCCGGAGTCGCTCGGACTCCTGCGGGTGTACTCCCCGCGCCTCGGACTCAGCTCCCGC